CCTAACCCTAACCCTAACCCTAACCCTAACCCTAACCCTAACCCTAACCCTAACCCTAACCCTAACCCTAACCCTAACCCTAACCCTAACCCTAAACCCTAACCCCTAACCCTAACCCTAAAACCCTAAAACCCCCAAAAAAAACCCTAAAACCCTAAAACCCTAAGCTCGATTCTCGGTTACACAACTAATGTTACCACCGAAGCGTAGACAATCATTTCTGCTCCATATGAAGGAATACTACTGAAGAACTCACCAAAGTTGATTAGCAGATATCATAAGACACGCTGTGCACACCAGCATGCGCATACCAACGGCATAGGTAGGGGTAAGTGCGAACTGAAGGAGATTTGCGAACCCGATCTAAGATAAAATGTTGTCGAGGGGAGGGACAGTGGCCGAAAAAAGGGTGGAGGGGGAAAAGATTACGATTAGCAGTCCTGAAAGTAGAAAACAACTTAGCGACGGTTACGAAGACGGCTCGCCATGGCAGCCGATCGTGTCTAGAGGGCAGCGACACTGCGAGCTTTCCCATTAGCCTACAAGATGTGAGAAGATCCAGGAAGATCTAGTATAGTCTCGTTTTTAGGACCGCGTCCCTAGATGGAGAGTGTATTAGGCGTTTAATAGGCAATCGTCTAACCTAGCTTCGTGGTAGGGAGCGTTTCATCTAGCCTATGGCGATAACGGTTCTAAGCTCGAGGTAAAGGAGAAGTCGTAACATACATGCAGGTTAGAAAAGTGAGATAAGTTATAGCTTAGCTATAGGGAATAGTGTAGCTTACCTATAGCTATTCTTACTATTAATTAGTAAGAACACCTACTATATACGCCATAGGATGAGAGTGGTATATATTAACGACTAATTGTCCTAGGTATATAAGATCGGTAGGTAAGACCCTATACTAGCGATTAGCAATTATTAATATAGTTCTAGAAATAGAAAAAATGCTTCTAAGGCTAAGATTTAATTCTCTTAGGCTTAATAGTATAGTAGACTTAAGGTTCTTAGATAGGGGTAGACCCTAAGCTAGATAGATCTCGCACTATAACTCTAGTAGTATATAATTATTAGAAGGCATTAATATATAAACTCTAATGATTTTAAGATAGTTATATAATTTTATTATTAGGAAGGAATTAATAGACATATTATAAGAGTAAAAGTAGAGAGAGTTAGAGAATAGCCGAATTTAGGCTAAGAATGTTTATATACTTCCTACTTTAGCTATAGGATTATATAAAGTAAAGCTATATCTAATTATATATTTCTTAGGTTAGTAGATTAGGCCTAAGTATAAGATAAGATCTAAGACATACTTAAAGTATATACTATAACTAGGTAGATATATAATTATTACTCTTATAGATTCTAACCTAAGAAAGCATAGTCTTAGTAAGCTTAAGATAGCGCCTACTTACTTTATTAAAAGGTTAACTATTTTATATATAGGAGATATAAGTCTTAATAATACTAACCTACTACGCGTTAGAATATAATTCATTATATATAGCATTATTAAATTTTAGCTAACCGGTCGTTTATAGCGTACTTTAGAATTAAAATCTCTTAAGATTAGCTTTAATCTTAAGTTTATTTTAATACTTTTAAAATTAATATAGCTAGATATTAGTTTTATATAAATTTTATCTTAGTTCTAAGGCCTAAATAGCTACCTTATAGCCGCTATAGAGCTCTTCTATATCTACATATTCTAGTATCTTAGACTAGTAATTTATTAAACTTCTAATACTTCTTCTAACTCTTAAGACACTTTACTATCTTAATCTATTTAGCTCTAATCTAAGCCCTATCCTATAGTATAGCACGCTAATAACTACTAAAGACCCTCTCTAACTTAGTAGATATTAAATTATGTAAGAGAATATTAATAGCTATCTAAGTAAGGTTTAGATAATATCTAGATTATATACTATAGTATACTTAATTACTTCTTTTAGTATATAGTACTAGAAGGCTTATAGGATTAGGTTATTTTAATAACTAAAGTAGTAAGTCCTATATTAGACTAGATTCTAGTTAATATTAATACTTATAAAAAGCTTTAAGAGCTTAGCTATTATAGTATTATTATATAACGTATTATTTAAGGTAATATAGCTTAGGTCCTTAATACTAAGTAACTTAATAGTCTTAACTAGATATAAGGTAGTAAGCTTACTAGTATAGTTATTTAGAAGGTTATATAGATTAAATAATACTTTACTTAACCTACTATTAGGTATTACCTATTAACTAGTTACTATAAGTAGTTCTAGGTTACTATAATTTAAGGTCTAGCTATTAGTTATAATATTATTGTTATAGCTAACTATTCTCTTAAAAGAATAACTAGTTATAGGGTTAGACTAGTAAAGAGAAGTATTAAGTAAGTAAGTAAAGTAAGTAGTGTAATATATAGTAGTATATACTAAAGGGACTATTAGAATAACTATTTAAGTTAAACGTAGAACTACCTATAGTTATTCTACCTTCCTATATACTTAAGCTAGCTTATAAAGGAGTGTATAAGCTATACGTGCTTAGGCCTAGGAGTCCTAAGCCATATAGGCTTAGATAGCTTAGTCGTAAGCCGCTAAGCTAGCTTACGCTAATTATCCTAAGCCGGTAGAGGTTAGAGGTATAACCCTAACCCGACTGCTACCTAGGCTTAGGGATCCTTCGCTAAGCTAGGGCAGGGTCACCTTAGATCGTAATAATTATATAAGTATTATTATATTATAAGCTAAGTTAAGCGTAATAGGTTTTATAATAATTATTACTAGATAGGGAATCCTACTCTAAGGATTCCGCTAAGAACTAGAAACTCTATAAAGCACACTATAGAAGGTAGCTACCTTATATACCCTACTCTATACAATTCCTTAATCTTTTTACTCCCTTTAGATTATATAAATTAAGAGAGTATATAGAGTAATATATATATACACTTATTAGCTAGTAAGTATATAGGTAGGTAGGAACTTAGTAAGAGGTCCTACGTTTAACTTAATTAGTTACTCTAATAGTCCCTTTAGTATATACTACTATATATTTGTTACGGTTCTGCCTACGCTCCGAGTCGAACCGTGGACCTTTAGGACTGGCGGAGATAAGCCTACCTTATCTCCAGCGTGGCCAAAGCTCCCACGCAGCTTATCCGCGACTCGGAGCTCGCGCTCCTCTTACTTCTACCGTACGATAGCTTGTGTATCAAATTGACTGTTAAACTCGCCACGACCGTGTTAATATTACACTACTTACTTTACTACTTACTTAATACTTCTCTTTACGAGTCTAACTCTATAACTAGTTATTCTTTCTAAGAGAATAGTTAGCTATAATAAAAGGCTACTTAGAAAAGAGCCTTTAGAAACCCTTAGAATTAACTAAGGCTACTTTAAGTAATATATTTAGTAAATAAGCCTAGCTTACGCTAATAACAAAATCTAAATATATTATACTTTAGACTACTACTAACTACTACTCTTAGTTAGTAAAGAAGTTTTTAAAGATTAAGTTACTTAAGATAAACTTACTTATAACGAAAGTAAACATAAAAACAATTCCAATTAGTAAGACTTTACTAGAAGCAAGCTAGAACCCGCTCTCGCCATACTACCGGACGGCATTTAAGCCGAATGAAATTACACCTCCTCGAAGAAGTAAGACACTGGACGCCAAGAAGGTCCTGTGAAAGATGTTTATGACAAGAAGACCACCGAAGGTGTTTCCTCAATATCTCAGACGCCGCTCACCTAATATGTTTTCCCCAAGATGAACCGAACTCCAATTCCCATGCTTGACCCCGTCCTCTTTGCTTCCAGAGCAAGATATGCAAATATCAACCAATTACTTACGCCCTCTGACCTCCAGATCCCTCAACTTCCTAGACAGCAAACTCTCCTGCTTGGTACTGAGATCCACACTGCCATCCCGTCGACCAAAGACAAAGGCTCCTTCTCCTCTGTCTTCTCTCTGCCATGCGATATCGTGGAACGCACTAGCGGGCTGAGCATCCAAATCCACGTCGCCACGGCTCTCTGGCCGGCTATCCACAGTCGGGAGATGGTCATGCTGAGGCCTGAAAGACAGGTGTTGGAAGGAAGCAGTACTGTCAACAGAGCCTGAAGTGGGCTGCGGGAGCATGCCGAATGATGAAGTGTGGGAGGGAAACACGGCGCTGCGTCGTCTCTTAGCATCTTCGTTTGCCTTTGCAGCGATTTCGAGAGTTTCTGGAGTGGCAGAGGCTGGTTTCCAGATTGAAAATCGCGGTTCGGGCATTTGCACATCGGTGCGCAGTTTTTCTTTTCCATCGGGTACGCGATTGGCAAAGACCACTCTGATGCCACCGTAGAGATAGTACCTCCCTTTCTGGGTCGAACATATGTTGAGGTGGATCAGATACCTCAAGATTGGCTTCTCCATAAGACCAGCATTGGGGAAGCGGGTGAGGTTTGAGATGGGTTGGTCGATGATGGGCCCGGCAGAATAGGAACGTTGGCGAATAAAGGTCTTGGTACCAGGAGGCATGTCAGCTAGATCGTAAGGAACGAGGAAGAGCTTGACGGCAGTTTTGTTCGGGTTCTTGATGACTATTTGGAGTTGACCAATCTCTGGAATGCGATACGATCCAGCTGGGGCCGCTGTGGTCGTTCGTTTGTGCAGCTTGTGCTGACGTCGAGATGCCTTGTCGTGATACTGATCATTCATATCGGCTGAATGGAGAGTGTTTTTGCTGTGTTCTTGCTCGTACTGGTGTTTTCGTCGTCGCCGTGATGCAGCAGCTTCGGGCTCGTCGGCCTTGTTCAGTGTGTTCTCCAAATCGAGCATGCCAACGTAAGGACTGGGCTCAGGGTCGTTGTGGATACCAGATGGGTAGCTGTAGAAGACGGCAGGAAAGGGTATCGAGACATGTGGCGGACATTTCAGACTCGGCTTGCAGTCACCTTTTCCGAGGACACCGATCTGAGCGACAAAATCCAGAGGTTTCGAAGGGGTTGTAGACATGCGACCACGGAGAATGCTCTCTTCGTATGAGCCAACCATGGGAGCGTGTTGCAAAGGCGAAGCATCGGTTATTGAGGGACGGCGGGCGGATGGGTATGGAGATTGCGGGAGACAGGAGATTGAGCCGACGGAGCGACGAGGTTGGTGTGCCTGATACGGGAAGGCGCGTAACGAAGACTGGCGGTGCAACAACGAGTGCGAGTGTCTTGTCGGGGTGAAGTGTTCATGATTGTGGTCGGGCATGTCGGCGGCATTGGCTTGATGGACAAGGGGGCTAGTCGGCGGCTGATAAGAGAAACTGGCTGATAACGAAGCTTGAGATGCAGCTCTGGGGCGTTGCAGGAAGTGCGAGTGAGCATGCCAGGGGACTACTGGAGACGTGGCGATGGTGTGCTGTTGGTCGTCGTCTTCTCTGAAATTGCCACGGTGCAGGGCAGAGCGTGGACGGGGGATGTCGAGGCCGAGTGCATTTTCTTGGTGGTTCAAGGGTGTGCGAGTGGGTGACGGTTGCCGTTGTTGGTCTGGATCGGCGGTCACTCTTGTCTTCAGGCGTCTAATAATGTTCTGCCTGTCGGTAGTAGGAGTCGGCGAGTTTTGGCGATCGAAGCCATGTCGGGGAGCGGACGAGACGAAGGGATTGAAGATGGCGGCGGGGTGGTTATCGGGGGAGTCGTATTTGGAATGGGGCATTCTGCAGCTCGGAGCACATCTGGACAGCTCCAAGCTGCTTGTGTTGGAAAATTGTAACCAGAAGTGGACGTGTCGTGTGTTCCCTTGTGTCCGGGCGGTGAGGGTGGATTGTCGCTCGATCCAAGACCCTGATGGGCCCGCGATCTGATAAAGAGATAGGCGACGTCAGAGTGTCACGGCCGAGAGACTGAGGTTGACTGAGAGAGAACGGATGTCGTCGAGAGTCGGAAGGGGTCGAGTTGCAGGATTTCACAGGTGGGATAGAGTACAGGCAGTCGCGGACAGGTTGACGCTACAGGAAAAGAAAGAAAAGGTCGGTCGTCACGATTGAAACGAGTCATCTGATGCAATCGAAACGACCGAGGCCGAGACGTTTTTTCTTTCCCGCATTTCGACAAAGAAGTCAAAGAATTCCACCATTTGCGGGGGAGGAACCATCAACTTTCTGATCAACCACCACAGCAACACACGACCCACCACACACCACACGATGGCCATAACGAAACGCCCTCGCGACGATGCCTCCACCGACCGCGCCGCAAAGAAACACAAAAAGGGCTTCGTCGTCGGCCCCCAAAACCTGCCCGACGGCACCCATCGCCGCAAGAGTACGCATACCAACATCTCGGTCTGCCCCATCACACGCTGACACCATCTCTCACAGCCATTCAAATCAAGCGCAACCTGATCGAAAAGGCAAAACTCAAGAAAGAATACGCAAAGCAGAAGCAACAAGCCCGAGACGACATCCAACCAAAGCGCCCATCAACATACACGACCACCGACGACGAAACACGAGACTCGCCAGACGAAGACGTCGAGGAAGAGAAAATCGAGAAGAAAGCGAAAGCATCGCGACGGTCGAAACCGAAACCCAAATCGCCATCACCGTCGCCTGCTTCCGCGCCCGCAGCTGTCGCAGATGCACCCGCAGAAACTACAGAGTCAAATCTCACAGGCATCCACCACAGCCGCCGTCAGAAGATTATTCCCTTTGCAAAAGAGCACCGCGCTGCTCAACGCCAAAAGCGCGAAGCCGAAGAACGTCGTGCCGCTTACGAGAGCTCGCAACGGGAAAGAGAAGAGAAGACCGAGGAAAGAGAAAGGTTCAGAAAGGCAATGGCAAAGGCAAGAAGTGGAGGAAAGAACGGTCAGAGGAAGCTGGGAAGAGAAAGCACTGTTTTGCTTGATCGCATAAAGAGAATGGTCCAGCAGTAACAAGGGAAACACAGTCATGCATACATAATCGACGAGGAAGCTCCAGATAAAACACCACCCATAGATACCCTCTCAACGCCAAAGACTCCCCTGGAGCCATCCGTATCCTTGTCCAACCCCAGAGTCTAGATCTTGTATACAACACCACTGGTGTACATGATCTTGTTCGCGTCGTTCAACTCGACAAGCGCCTTCTCGGCTTCTCCTGCGCTGAACTGCTCCTCTCTCGAAGCTATTCTCGCATTCACAGCCTCGACGAGCGGCTCCACATCCGCCGCATCGTTGGCAAACAGCGGCCCGTCGATAAGCTGGCCAAGCGCTTGTTGGAATACTTGCAGACGTTGTGCCGTGATCTCTGGCTCCTCCTCTTGCGTCTCCTCGATCTCTTGGCTTTCAGGCGCCGCTGATTGTGATTGCGAATCAAGAAGCTGTGATGCTGGGCGCGAGGATGCGAGCGAGAATTGTGAGGACGAAGGTGGAGGGAGCGATGATTGTGTTTGTCTGATTCGGGTGGCCCTTGGTGTCGCTGAGTACAGGTCTTCGTCTTCGTCCGGTAGGGCGCCTGAAGCGGTATGCTCGTCTCCATTTGCAGGCGTTCGTCGTGCGCCTCTTCTGGCAGGTGTGGTGCCACGGCGTGTTGAGCTGCGGTTTGTGGTTGTTGCGTCCATGTCTTCGTCGTCTGAGGAGTCTTCGTCAGAGGAAAGCGTCTCGGTGTTCGCACGAGTCTTTCTGCGTTTCCTACGCTCGTCTTCTGCCACTTCCTTGAAGAGAGCGAAACGAAGAATGCCCTCTGCGACTTCAGCATCTTTCTGTTCGACACGGTTGGACAGGCGAGATTTTGCGTGTGCAGTACTCAGACGGATGAGAGTCTCCAGGGTACGGGCAGTCATTGGCGAAGTCTTGCGCTGGTTGCTTTCGATCTCATCGTTGCGAAGAGACGAATAAGTGGCGATGATGTGGTTTGCGGCGCCAGAGGTGAGGATGGGCTTGACTCTCGACTTGGCGTATTGGATGTACTTTTTGATGAAGGGAATGCTGAGTACTTCGACCTTGCGACCAGATCCGCGGCCAACTGTGACCGTGACACCAGCGTGCAGCATAACGTTGAACTTCTCGTAGACTTCGGAAGTCTTGTCGCTATCTGCTTCCTCTTCAAGACCGACGCCAAGAGACTGCGTTGCTTGCTCGCGAACTGGTGCTCCCTCTTCTGTGCCTGGCTGGCGGTATCTGTGCATGCGAAGGACGTGCTCCGAGACTTGTCTGTCTCTGATGTCCTCGATGTCGTCTGTCACGATGAACAGCAAATCGAAACGAGAAAGGAGGGAATCAGGAAGAGCGATGTTGCGGTGAGGGTCCTTGTGTGTGTCGTACTGGCCGTAGATGGGGTTGGCAGCTGCGACGACCGAGCAACGGGCGTTGAGCGAGGTGTGAATTCCAGCTTTGGCGATGGTGACAGTCTGCTGCTCCATGACTTCGTGAATGGCGACACGATCGACATCGGACATCTTGTCGAACTCATCGATACACACAACACCACGATCGGCCAAGACCATGGCACCAGCTTCAAGTCTACGCTCACCAGTCTCCTTGTCAGATGTGACCGCAGCTGTCAAACCAACACCAGAAGAACCACGACCAGTCGTGGCAATGGCGAGCGGAGCCGTGTTCAGCACGAAGCGTAGAAGCTGAGACTTTGCAGTAGACGGATCACCAACCATGAGGATGTTGATGTCTCCTCTCAGATGGGTGCCGTTGTCCAAGTTCTTCTCCATACCTCCAAGAAGCATAAGCAGAATCGCCTTCTTGATGTAGTCGTGACCGTAGATACTGGGAGCCAGAGATTGTGAGAGCAGATCAAAGACCTTGCGCTGTTTTGAGATTCTGTTGATGTTTCTGATGTCGGTGTCGGTAATTGTGGCCTGGGCGATGCCACCGCCGGACTTTGAGGAAAGGAGGATGATGTTGTTGGCGAGAACGAGCGTACGGAAAGTCGAGCTGCCAGCACCAGCGTTGCGGTTCCCGAGCGACCTGTAGATGCCGACAAGCTGGATGCGGTCACCAGGCTTGACTCTGTCGACCATGTCGTCGTCCATGATGACATCGACACTTCGGGGGAGCTGGCCGGCGGGAGCGCGTTCGGGCATTTCTTGAATCGAGATGGTCTGGTGGTCGCGGTAGGTGCAGAAGCCGTACTCGGTGACTAGCGGATTGCCCTCGTCGTCCTCGGTGGGATAGACAGAAGAGCTGGCGGCGCCGTTCATGGTCATGGTCTGATCTCTGTACTCGCGGAAGTGGAAAGACGACTTGTTCTCGTTGTAGTGCACACTCTTGACCACCTTGGGCCGTACGAGGGAGCATTTTGTGACGATGCCTTCCAGCGAGACCATGTGGTTGAGGTGCTGAGAGCTCAGGGTGCGAGGGTTGGTAGCGAACTGTCCGAAGCTGCCGAAGAAGGCGCAATAGTAGACGACGTCTTCGGCTGTCTCGTAGGGCGGTCTGCCAGGCAGAGTGTTGACGATGTTCTTGACGGCGCGGTCGAAGGCTTGCGAAAAGTCAAAGGGCTGGTTGAGGATGCCATCGGCCATCTCTTGACTGTGCTTGCGAATCTCATCGAGAGATACAGGGAGGCGCCGCGATGAGCGACCCAGCATAACCAGGATGTCTGCTCTGTAGCTGCGGGCTCGGGGGTCATCTAGCACCACAACATCAGTGATTGTGTCTGCTTGCGCTCAAGGGGCAGCAACATACTGGGGTCGAGGAACTCTTCGGCCGCTCTGATGCGGTCGCGGACGGCTTCATCTCGTAATTGCAGTCCGTCCATGATGTGATGTGTGGATTTGGGTGTGATTGGTAGACAGACAGAGATTCTGTTGTTTACCCTCGCTCCAGTCTGCCGATGGGTCCGAGCGCGCCGCCTTTCGCGTTGTCGCACCGTGGTCGCGTAGAGTGCTTTTCTGGCGGCGATGGATTAGATAAGATTTTCGCGCAAGAGATAAACGGGCATATCAGGATCGACAGATCACAGGGCACCACGCGGCGCAGGGTGATGTCAAGATCGCCCTGTCCTCATCTTGACTCTTTGCTGGTCTGCAGCTGACTCTGCATGCGCGTGCGACTAACCAACAACAGTCACCTTCACCGCTCGCCTGCCACGCCGTGTGCGCGGTGCTGCACGCGTTGCTTCTTTAACTCAAGCCATGCGCCCGCCTGCTGCTGCTGCTGCATCTTTGTCGCATCCCTGTTTCCTGCTCCAATAACGACTTGTTCAACGCCCTGCTGTGCTGTTCCTTCGACTCCACGACTTTACAACTCTTGATCCGCTTTGCGCGTTGCTGCCTGCTTTCTTCGGTCGCCTCTATCTGTTCAGCCCGTAATAGTGACTCTACTATTCACACTACCAACTGCAGTGCTGCCTTACTGCCCACCAATCCCCTACCCGTCGCATGTATATAATCTCTTACCTTTGGTCCAAGCCTTGAAGTCTTCTCACCCCCCACAAAGTTGCTTTTCTCGTCGCATCCGATCGACTGGTCGAGATCAAATCAAACAATATTCTATATCAAGACTGAAGTCTTTCTCGCATTTGAGACAAGGACCTGGCCTGCTTGCATTCCTGAGACTATACATACCTGACCTCAATAATAAGCTTGCCCTCTTTTGCAATTTTCTCCTCTCGCCATGGCTTCACCACAAATGGAAGCCGAGCAAAAGGAGGCATACCAGTACTGGGGTTATCTGTTCAAGCAAGACCGCACTGGTACTGATATGCTCAAGAATCTACTCAGAGGCATACATCAGACCATAGTGAGCCACAATGTACCGTCATGGCCGGACAGTAACACTGACAATTCGTAGATAACCACATTCGAGCCGTCCGAGTCGCCAGACGTTACCCCCATTCAAATGGCCCTGTTCTACAAGGCGGTCAATGGCGACTACGATCCTCTTTTTCTGTCAACTCCGCCATCGACCATCGCCTTCATCTACAAGAACCTCGGCTGCTTACACAGTCTACAGCCACCGATCAATCCGGGCGACCGCTATGCTGATCCCGTTGTGCCTGCTCTCAAGGTCGAAGGATGGATCATGTGGCAGACTGTTCAACTTCTCCTAGGACCGGACGAACACTCGGAGTTCCTGAGACAGGCAGTGCAGAAATGGAACGTCAAGAACCCCGCCACGGGGGAGCCGTTCCCAAAGATCCTGCCCCGGTCATGCTTTCCTCCACATCCAGACACCAGCATGGTTGAGTGGTATGAAGGCATGAGCAGCCGATTGCGTCGCGAAGCTGAAGAGCAAGAGCGCATTCGGGTGCAGCCCATCGAGGACCGACCAGACACGCCCAACAACTCGAAACACCACCGCAAGATCAGCAGGTACTCGGACAGCGCTCTGACTGATGACGAGTCACCGCCCGACCACAAGAACTTCGCCATCGCCTACTTCCGTGATCCTTTGTTCAGAGCAATAGACGGCAGACCTGGACTTGTGAGGAACAGTAGTCGCCGCCGACCTCCGCTCAGCCCTTGTGATTCGTTCGTCCACCGAAGCAAGACAGTTGCATCGACGTTCGGCAATGTCATCAAGAATGTCGGCAGTCCGCACCTGTGGGACGGTCATGCGGTCACCAAGGAGAAAGAGAAGGACAAGGACCGCGATCATCGCCGCCGCAAGAGTCTGCCTGACAAACACCACTATCAAGACCTTGACGATGACAACGAGTATTCGCGACCGTACAGCCGTCGTGGATCTGTTCAAGACTCACCCCCCGAGCATCCATCTCACCATTCCCATCATCACGGATCTTCAAGTTTGAGGCCGAGTCCGACATATCACGACCCTAACTCTCGACATCGGCGATCTCATGGCCCGACAAGTCCTCGAGAATACTTTCCTCCAGTCGATGATGAGGTGGACATGCGGCGATCCAGTTCAGCCACCCACCTGAAACCTCGGTCAACGAGCCCACAAAAGTCAGGCTTCATGCCCTCGGTATCGCCTTTGTTTGCGACGCATGTAGCGCGAGAGGGATTGGTACCGTCCTCCCGGTCGCGGCAATCCTCGGCGCGAAGTCCGGAGCGGCCTGAGGTGTCAAGACATTCTGGAGACGGAGGCAGTGGAAGCGAGGTTGGGAGCAGTAGAGGTGGGAGTAGAGGCAATAGGCCAAAGGTTGCAAGATTTCAGGACACACCTGTTGGAGGAGTGAGTGGGAGAAAGTATCCGGTTGAGTCGATTTATAGGTAGATTGTGACTACCACTCGCGCGCCTACAGTCTTCGAAAATTAACAATCACATTTTCGATCATTACTTTTGCTCCGTTGCCTTGGCTGTTGGAAGTCTCATGTCGATTAGACTCTACATGCCGTTGCATTTTGTGAAGAATACTCTCGACTCGAAGCTCGTTGCTAACAGCGTGATGATGAGATACAAGGACGAGAAACCATGTCGTGCTAAAGACCCTGGTCGCGAAGCAAAAGGTCGAAGCCTCAAATCCCAAAGTCTGCCCTGTTTCCCTGAACATGTTTGGCCGACTCCCGAGACACGTCAGCCAAGTTTCTGCGATAAGCGCGCTACTTCCTGCAAGTGGCTGTGCGTGGGATATCATCGAGCGGTGTGTGCATGACTGCGACGCTGTCGTTCTGGACTTTCTGGAAACTGGCTCTGCTTTTCAAGCATCAGAATAGCCAGGAGTCCAAGCGTGGACTGGATGATGACTTTCCGTGGGCGGTAGCGAGAAGACCCGAAAAGGGGTAATGAGGTGTGGCTTTGGACTGTATGTGGCTTGAATCAAGGTCCAGGCTGTGTGGGGAAACGAGTTGGCGGGCTCTAGCTTGACTTGGTCGCGTTTGATGATCTGAAGCTTGCGTGTTCCCTCTTGGACTTTGCACAACTCGACACCTCGGATCTTGTCTCACTCTCTTTTCTCCTCTGTATACACTTGACTCTCAATCCATGTTTACTGTCACTTCTGGTTCTACTGTCGCCCATCTATAACCTGAGCATTCGACAATCTTCGACGCAGGCCATCTTATCGGCGAAGCTTGAGCGGGCCCCTCACACCATCCCCCAGCAATCGCTTGCTTGCTGCACAATGCTGGACGGCTTGCACAACGGCCACTCCAAGGAGGAGCTGAAGTCACAGGGCGCGATCGATGCTGCACGCGACCCGCACAGCAGAGTCACAGCTGCAGACGCCGAACAGACCATCCTCGACGAGGCCAAGAAGGGCGGAGCGGCTGCTTTCCAGTTCGATGCTGATGCCTCTTCTGCTGAAAAGGCCCGTCAGGTCAAGGCCGTGAGTCTCGCTCTCCAACCAAGATGTTCGCTCAGGCACTGACTCGATTTAGCGATTGCCGCCGGAGCTCCAACACATCCGCCAGCACCAGACCGCCGTTCTCGCTTCCGACCAAGACGACTCCCTAAAGCCCGCCTACGATATCCCTACCGCCCCCCTGAGTGCTGCGCTCCCTTCGCCCGCCAAGTCGACAGCAGAACTCACCAATGGCGCCAGTCCAGAGAAAGAGGAGGATTGGGCAAAGGTCGGCTGGGCTCCTCGCTTCGGCCAGCTGCCAGACAGCGCCAGCGTCCAAGGAGAAAGCCTGCTCGATCACCAGACCATGCTCGAGGGCAAGCTGGACGACAAGTTCTTCGGCGATTGGTACCACAACACGGGCATCATCATCTTTGCCTGCCTCTCGTCCTGGCTCGTCGCCGTCTTGGGTGGTGGTCTCGGCTGGCTCTTCATCGTCATGGCCATCTGTGGAACCTACTACCGCACCTCGATCCGCAGAGTCCGTCGCAACTTCCGCGACGACGTCAATCGTGAAATGGCAAAGGCCCGCATCGAGACCGATGTCGAGTCCCTTGAGTGGATCAACAGCTTCCTCGTCAAGTTCTGGCCCATCTACGCTCCCGTCATCTGCACCACCATCGTCAGCTCCGTCGACCAAGTCCTCTCAACGAGCACTCCGGCTTTCCTCGACAGCATGCGCATGAAGTTTTTCACACTCGGTACCAAGCCTCCTCGCCTCGAGCACGTCAAGACATACCCCAAGGCCGAGGATGACATTGTCCTCATGGACTGGAAATTCAGCTTCACCCCTAACGACACTGCCGACCTGACTGCTCGCCAGGTCAAGAACAAGATCAACCCCAAGGTCGTGCTCGAGGTTCGCATCGGCAAGGGTATGGTCAGCAAGGGCATGGACATCATCGTCGAGGACATGGCTTTCTCTGGTCTTATGCGCGTCAAGATGAAGCTGCAGATTCCCTTCCCTCACATCGAAAAGGTCGAAATCTGCTTCCTCGAACGTCCCACCATCGACTATGTCTGCAAGCCGCTTGGAGGCGACACTTTCGGCTTCGACATCAACTTCATTCCTGGTCTAGAAAGCTTCATCCAGGAGCAGATCCACGCAAACCTCGGTCCCATGATGTACGATCCCAATGTCTTCCCCATCGAGATTGCAAAGATGCTCGCCGGAAACCCTGTGGATCAGGCTATCGGTGTGCTGCAAATCACCTTTCACGGCGCTCAAGGTCTCCGTAACCCCGACAAGTTCTCCGGTACCCCCGACCCATACTGCACCGTCTCTATTAACAACCGCGACGTTCTTGGCAAGACAAAGACTGTTTCAGAGAACGCAAACCCGCGCTGGAACGAGACTATCAATGTCGTTCTCACCAGTCTCAAGGATGCGCTTACTCTGCAGGTCTACGATTACAACGAGTTCCGCAAGGACAAGGAGTTGGGCGCTGCTACTTTCGCCCTCGACCAACTGGAGAGTCAGACCGAGTTTGAGTCTCAGCAACTTGAAGTTATGGCCAACGGACGCGCTCGTGGTGTCATCCAAGCCGACATTCGCTTCTTCCCCGTACTCGAAGGTCAGAAGCTCCCTGATGGTACTGTCCAACCTGCACCTGAGAGCAACACTGGTATTGCCAAGTTCACCATTGAAAGCGCAAAGGAGCTGGATGGCAGTAAGAGCATGATCGGTCAACTCAACCCTTACCCTGTTCTTCTTCTGAATGGAAAGGAAATCCACATCGGCAAGAAGCTCAAGAGAACCAACAACCCCGTCTTTCCCGACGCTACCAAGGAACTTCTCATCACTGATCGCAAGAAGGCAAAGCTTGGTCTTGTCATCAAAGACGACAGAGGGCTAGCTGCTGATCCCATCATTGGTACTTATCAACTCAAGCTTGACGACATGCTGGAACTCATGAACAGAGGCCAAGAGTGGTACAACCTTGCTGGTGTCAAGACGGGTCGTGCCAAAATGTTGTTGCAGTGGAAGCCTGTTGCTTTGAAGGGTGCTCTTGGTGGCTCTGGCGGTTACGTTACCCCTATCGGTGTCATGCGTCTCCACTTCCAGAACGCTCGCGACTTGCGCAACCTTGAGACTCTCGGCAAATCTGATCCCTACATCCGAGTCATGCTTTCTGGCATCATGAAGGGAAGAACAGTCACCTGGAAAAACAACCTCAACCCTGACTTTGACGAAGTCGTTTACGTTCCCGTTCACTCCATCCGTGAGAAGCTCAGCCTTGAAGTCATGGACGAGGAGAAGCTCGGCAAAGACAGACTGCTCGGCATGATCGAGCTTGCCGTGTCGGACTATGCTCATCAAGATGAATCTGGAGAATACCTTGTTGACGACTCCAAGAAGGCTTTGTCACAAGGTCTACGTATGGGTGCTACTGGCTCAGCCAAGGGCATTCTCAACTACACTGCATCTTTCTTCCCCACTTTGAATGTCATCGATCCTGAAGATGAGGAGACGGAAGACAAGTCGAGTTTGAATGTCGCCGACCCCATCGAGGAACTCCTTACTCCCACGACTGGAGTCAGGCCAGAAGGCCGCGCACGCAGTAACACCGCTGGCACGATCGGCTCTCTCAAATCGAATCCTGCAGCTGCTGAGATGCGACAACAACTTGCTGCCAACGAAAACAAACAGGATGATGGTTTGCCTGTCAAGAAGGAGGTCCCCAAGGTCCGCATCAGCGCCGAAGACCTGTCAAACTATGGTGAGTCCGATCTGAATTCGTACCGTGTTCGACTGCTGACATCGTGCTTAGAATCTGGTCTGCTCGTCTTCAAGATCATCGAGGGCGATCTTGCCGCTCCCGGCTCTCATCTCGAAGTCATCATGGACGACATGCTCTTCGCTTCGTACACCTCGTCCAGGACTCGCTCGAAGCACTACAAGTTCAACGAGACTGGTGATGCCATGGTTCGCGAACTCGATCTCTCCAGGATCACTCTTCGCCTTGTGGAGGAGGTTGATGCCAAGGGCGATGATGACCACGATAAACACATCAAGGCAAAGCTCACCGGACAGACTCTGGAAGTTCTGAAGTCTGCGCTGTACACACCTACCAAGCTCACACTCAAGGACAGCCATGGACGCGACAGCAGCGTCACCGTCAGTCTGAAGTACTTGCCTGTCAAGATGAAGCTGGATCCTTCGGAAAGCATCAACAACCAAGGCAACCTTCGTGTTGAGGTCCTTGATGCCGCTGATCTCCCTGCTGCTGACCGCAATGGCTACTCCGACCCCTACGCCAAGTTCACACTCAACGGCAAAGAAGTTTTCAAGAGCAAGACCCAGAAGAAGACCCTCCACCCCGCTTGGAACGAGTTCTTCGAAGTGCCTATCCGCTCCAGAACCGCCGCCAACTTCCAAGTCGATGTGTACGATTGGGACTTTGGTGACAAAGCTGACTTCCTCGGCAAAGCTGCCATTAACCTTGACATTCTCGAGCCTTTCCGTAGACAGGAAGTCACTCTTGGTCTCGACGGCAAAAGCGGAAGCATCAGGTTGGGCATGCTGTTCAAACCAGACTATGTCACCAGGGCACGACAGGGTTCATCAACCTTCCACGGCACATTCGCGGCACCCGGCAAGATTGTTGGCGCACCTGTCAAGGGTGTTGGTAAAGGCGCGGTCTTTGTCGGTGGCAATGTCGTCCGTGGGGCCTCCTTCCTTGGTCGTGGATTCCGTCGCAGAAAGTCGAACGCCGAGCAAGATGGTGACGACGCACTCACTGATGATACACCCATGCCTGGCATGAGCACCGGCGCACCGCTTACAGAACAGCAGAGCCCCGAGTACACAGTCAACATCGAAGGACCAGGAACACCGCACTCGCGCACCCGCAGTTTTGGCAACGCCACTACATCACCCACCTCCTCAGAGACTGGCACGGCATCGATCAGTGTCCTCTCTGCCGCTGGCTTCCCCGCTGGTACCAAGGTCGAGGTCAAGATCCTTCACGATGGACCTCAAGGTCTTAAGGAGATCGTTCGCACAAAGCCTCTCAAGACCAAGGGTGAGGAGGTCTCATGGGCCGACCTTCGTCTCGAAAAGAAGCTGGCCTGCACCGCGGACTCTTCCTTCCGTGTCGTCGTGTCTGATCATCATACCTTTGGCAACGGCAACGAGCTAGGAGAAGCACAATTCTTCCTTGACGATCAAGGTGCTGGTGGCGAGAAGGAAGTCAAAGTCGGCAGCGGTATTGTGACGGTGAGGAGTAGCTGGAGACCATCAACTGCCGATTCGACATCCATGCTGGGAAGCATTAGAGGTAGCCCTGGTGGCGCCAATCTGGGAGGCAGCATTGGCAGAAGAAGTTTCATGGGCAGAAGAGAGAGAAGCGTCACACCGTCTGCACCTGGACAACCTTAGAAGGAAAGCAAGAGGAAGCCTAGCCTTACCAGTCTGCGAAAACATCGATTGGATCGTTGAGAAGGGTCTCTGAGGATTCTCTTAAGCAGGCAGAGGGCAGGGCAAAGAGAAAGTCGGCGTGGTTTGGAAGAGGCCGCAGTCCTGCAGGCATCAAGAGTCCGACCAGTATGGGCAGTATCAACAGTATCGTTGATGCTGTCGATTCTCCTCCCTTGAGTCCTGGGCGTGGCAGCGAAGAATGGACGCCATATCCTGTGGCAGGGTCGACTCAAGAGATGAAGTAAGATACCAAGGAAAAAGAGAGAAAAGAGTTTTCTGGAATTGTCCATGTGTTTATTGTTCTGTTGTTCTCAATTTTTACATACCCCTATGATACCAGAGCATGAATTGCAATATTTCTACCTGACTTCTCGCGCTCTGTCAACTCTCTGTTCATAACATTATGCCTTGTTTCCCTCCGTGATTCTATTGCCTTCCAATCATTGACCAATATTATCATTGTGAAGCTTATTCATGTCCCTTGCTCTTGCCCCCTGCCAATTAAACCTCGTTGTCCTTGATGAGGATATCCCTATTCAATTCCTCCAAGCCCCTTAAACCGCCCAGATGCATGTTCATGATCGTATCGCCCATCAGACTGTTCAGGACATGCTTAACACCATCTTGTCCTCCGATGGCAAGGCCGTACGCGTAAGGTCTGCCTACCAACACGCATTTCGCTCCCAATGCGAGTGCCTTGATGATATCGCTTCCACATCTGATTCCGCTGTCGAAGAAAATGTCAAGCTTCTCGCCAACTGCATCAACGATTTTAGGCAGCATTGTCAGAGAGGCAATGGCACCGTCTTGTTGACGCCCGCCGTGATTGCTCACCACGATGCCCGCGAGACCCAGTTCAGCGGCCTTGCGGGCGTCGGCGACAGTTTGAATGCCCTTCAGCACAATAGGGCCATCCCAGTGTTTCTGCAAAAACTTGACGTCCTCCCATGTATGGCTGTGGCCAGGGAACACGATACTCGTCCACTCCTTTGCTGCATCTCCGAAAGTTGCTCCCTTGGTGATGCCGTATTCGTCCAAGTGTCCTCTGCTGATGTCGTGACCGTGCTTTTCCTTGAACTGCTTTTGGAACACGGGGTCTGTGAAACCAATCTCTACGCCGATGCGATCGGGGTGGATAAAGGGGTTGTAGCCGTGATCCATGTCCGAGGGTCGCCAGCCGAGCACGTAGGTGTCTAGTGTTACGAAGAGGGCGGTGTATCCGCTGTCCTTGGCGCGCTTCAGCATTGAGAGGGTGATGTCGTCATGGGCTCTGCTGGGCCAGTACAGCTGGAACCACCGAACCGCGGCGGGGCCGTCCTTTGGCGACGCCGAGGTGTTTGCTGCTGCGACCTCCTCGATCGAAGTACTGGATGCAGTTGACAAGATGTAAGGGATGCCGACTTCAGCTGCTGCCCTTGTCGCTGCGACCTCGCCTTCAGGGTGGAAGATCTTCTGAACGCCGATCGGTGCGATGGCCATTGGGAATGGCAACTTATGGCCCAGAACTTCGACACTGGTGTCGGGATATAATTCATTGCCGTCCTTGTCTTTGCGCGAGGGAATCAGGCGACTGGGACACATTGCATAGCGTTTGAAGGCCTCCAGATTGTTATTGTATGTGCCGCCTGTGCCTGCATTGCCGTGCACGTAGCCCCAACTGTTCGAGTCCAGCACTTCGTGGGCTTTGGACTCCCATTCCGTGGATTGGAAAGTAAAGGGTGGGGTGTGAGAGGTCAGGCCGGCTTGGTAGACTTGTTGTTCGTATTGGACTGGGCGTGGAGTCGACATTGTGAAGTTTGAGCAGATGAGAAGGAGTTTGGTTTCCTGGGCATCACAAGCAGCTCGGAGCTTACTTATGTCTTTCGGAGACGACGTATATTTCGGGTCAGAAGAAATGTCTTGACAGGCAAGGTCTGTACGATCCGAGTCGTTCCGCGATCTTGGAGCAGCAACTCGGCGATACCTGGTGATGACGTCGACTTCGGTGCGTCGCATGTGTCAAGACACAAAAGACGCTCCTCGGAGCAAAATCCGAGAATTCCCGCCTCGAAAATGATTGACCGGAGCCGCGTCCCTGCAAGTTGCAAAGGCTTTCCCGCGGCCTTGTTCCTTGTTTCAAAGCTTGTATATGAGGTTGCTATTCTTGGCAGCAACATCTACTGGCGATTTATGACCAAAGTGGTCATGCAGTCCGGTCCCCCGAGCCTGTCTCAATGAACAACTGGACGGAATATCCTGATTATTCCAAGACGGATATGGCGCGATGAGCTCTTCTTGACTGGTGAGATATGGTACACCATGCTAATGTTGTTATGCTTCATCTTGAACGCGTCAAATGCTCATCAACAACAGCCAATAAAATCTTTGCATCTGGCTCCGGAGGAACACTCGATCTAGGATTTAGCCGGAAACTGTCTACATACTCTTCTTCAATTGCTCAGACCAAGATTCTGCAGCTCCTTGGCAAGAGTGTTCAATCTCGAAGCCTGAACGTTGGAGTTGGCAGTATTGAAGACAACGACCCAATCTGACTTTCCTGGTCATTGTCCTCTGCAAGCCTGCGCTTGATCTCACCAAAGATCTGCTTTGCTTCGTCTGGCAAGACAATATTCATGTTGGACGCCGCTTTCTCTATGCCCAGCGTGGCCAGCGGAACGGCCGGAAGCTGCTTGCTGGCGTGAGCCAAGATGCGAAGATCGGCGAGAAAGGCGGATGCAGCGTCCCAAGAGAACGTCAGACTCAGCGATGAGGTTGAGGGTAGTGTCTCGAAAGCCACGGGGAATGCGTAGTACGGCAAGAAGCCCATGAACTGATCGTAGCTGTAGAGCTTCGCGATGCACCTGTGCAGCGTACGAGATTGACGAGTGGCATCCACAGCAGCGGACAGACAGGGTTCAATGGGAAGGCCGGCTTCGATCAGAGGCGCTGCGTGTGGTGTGGGACGAGTGGATGTGGTGATGAATGGGCGGAACAAGTCACCGACCGCGAAATGATACATGCAGCTGCGAACCGTGAGCCTCGAATATCAACACAACAAGAAGTGGAAGAAGGCAATCTCTGGAAGAACTTACGTGACCATGAACACATGCGGTGGAGCTTCTTCTATGACTTGCAGACTTCTCAAAGCGGGATCTATCGACATCCACCAAGTTCTTAATTGCTCATACAGACCAAGCGCTGCTGTGAGATACGGCAACGTCAAAGGACCTTTCGAGTGCTCTCGTTGCAGAGGAACGATGTGTTTCATGATAGAGCTTAGGCCTGCTTGAGTAACAAAGACTTTATCCCTGAGTGCTTTTAACGTCCTTCCTGCCCGAGGCTATGGCCACGGCATCCACAGGTCTTTATCTGGATCATCAATCACCCTGGGAGGTGGGACCGGCGGCACATTCTCGAACCCAAGGCTTGTGCGAAAAGCAAATTCGGCCGAACTTCAGTCACCATGTCAGTACTTTTAGTCTCATCAAGGCAAAATTCGCACTTACATGGCCCAGTGGTGCATGCCCCAAGCGAGAACGGCTCTAGCGCGTGTCGTTCTAGGGTTTAATGGATCATAGACCCGTGAAGCGACGCGCTGGTCGTACAACCCTAGGTTCGTCGTGATATGTCGCATATGCAGAAGATAGGGCATGCCAAGCTTCTACTTTGGCTGGCGTAGCCATGGTGATGTAGTGCTTTCGTATATATAAACATCCTCGTTATGTCGTAAATCCTTCCTTTCGTTTTTACTTCCTAAAATCCTACAACAATAATCCATCAACACTGCACTCATACCTCCTCCTAAACCTCTTTTTTGTTAGTATGTGGGCGATCTGCTGCGCTATACCTTTAGATGCGAGGGTAGGTAAGGAGTTCATACGTTCTAGAAAGAAGAAAGAGAAGAGCTCTAATGTCTAACTGCAAATTAGGTTAAAGATCATATACTGCAAAGCCAAAATCTTCGCAATCCGGACCTGACTTATGGATAACGTTCTTACTCAGACAGGATCAAAAGATGTCATAAGGGAAATGTTTGCTATCGTTGATTAAAGGCCTCTAGATGATGACACTTTGTTGCTAACTGAAGAACCTAAGAAGGAAGATGACGGACAATTAAGCACGAGGCGAATTGGTTTCGATATCATGGAGTTACAGCTCCTGCTTAGGACTGGACGATATACTATAGTCGAAAGAGATAGAGAAGATATAGATCGGACTAAGGATGGGGTGCTACGAATGAACGATTGATAGGAGTTAATGCTATAGCCTAGTTAGGCATGTGGAACTAGCAGTTACGTAACTACAAACCAGAATGGTAGTTCCAAACATAGGCTTTTTAGGCATCATCTTAACCATGCGCACCAGAGCTGTCAAGCTAGACTTTGCCCATTCTAGCCTAGAAAGATTAAACGTGCTAAAGGTCTTCGTATAGCTTCTTTCCTTCCACTACTCCTGTACTCCATCCTGCCTTCCTTTATAGATTGTCTACATGTATCTTTATGATACAGGATCTAGGTTTAGCGCCACTCTGGACAATAACTCTACACTAACGACAAGGCAGTACCGACTCATAAGAGTAAGCATATATATACAGAGGACGATATCCAGCAAGCACAGCAGGATGCTACTGACGATGCCAATCGAGTACATGGCTTTCATGATCACGTCTCTGCCGTGGATTCTTGGTTGAGAGAGACGGGCATTGCCGAACACATACAACATCTCCAAAAGGACGAAATTCGAACTGGTGCCGTTAAACGAGTGAAGAGCCCAGATCAGCATGGCAGCCGCAGCGTTAGCCATGCTGTCTTCTTTGTCTATGTCAGTCTCCCACAGACGCTCACTTTCGACCCAAGCGACTTTGTGAACAGCTGCTGCAGTCTCAGAGTCAATGTGCGAGTAGTTGATCTGAGCCGATGGTTAACGAAGCAAAACCGAAGACTGATCACGTATGCTTACTGAACCGTATGCTACGACTGTGTGGACGAGTAACTCCGAGCACGTATCAGATGGCAATCCAGCCAGACCCTCAAGAAAACCGTCCTCGTCGAATGGGCGCACAGCAGGATGATCCTATACAAGATACGAGCAGATGATGTTGCGAAAGCCAACGTCGTCGATGTATGAGACATTCCAGTCACAAGCCTTAATGTTGTATAAACGCTTGTCGCGGAGCCAGATTGAAGGGGAAGTGACGTGATTTCTCGGGGGTGTCCCAGTCACATGCTGTATGTTAGGCGCGCTGGGAGACCTCCTTATTCGTGTGCACCTGCGAGGTGATGGTGTTCGGCTTGAAGAGTCTCTAAGTGACGCACTAACCCTAAGGTCGAAATAAGCAGTCTGCAAGCCTTGCACTATCCATCGGCTGCTTTCGCACCCTGTACTTATATCACCATTCAGTACGTTCAATGTCTCGTACTGCCCAAGAGTGATAGCTGGATTTCATAAACGGCGGCGCTCATGTCGTGCGCTGACGCCTGCCCGTAAGGGGTGAGTAGACGGGTCGGACTCACCGAGAACCGGATGTGAATGGACTGGACATCGACCGAGAACCGAAAGTGCCTAGAAGTCCAGATTGTCCTGTGTGTCATCATGTCAATATCATCTCAGAATAAACCAGGAAAACCAGCTTTGGGGATCCAGTCTTGGTTCTACTTGTATATATGCGAGTGATGCCTAGTAGGATGAGACTATCAGGGCGCACGTCTGGACTTCTACAGCATCTGCCGGGACAATCTAAAATTCGGGCTATTTCATTATCTACTCGACCGAGACATTACATTTCTCTTCCACCCATCTCGCGAACCTGACTGATGGCTCATCGACCGTTGTGGTGAACAGATCAGCGAACCAGACCGTAAAGAACAGAGTCGCTCCGGACCCGACTCCGAACCCGACTGCCCTGTTCAAAGCATGGTCTCGACCCACAGCACCATCAAGAATGTTCATCAGCGGATACCCAATCACATGGGTTACAGCGCCATGGACGATGTACAGGGAGAAAGAAATCTTGCCCAGGTATTGCGACAACTTGTTATCGAACAGGCGTTGCAACGGCTTGTAGCAGGAAGTAGACCAGACAAGCAAGATGGCACCCCACCCTGGCCAGTACCGCTTAGGGTTGCCGATGTGGTCTGGAATCATACTGACAAGCGTGACCCAGCCTGGAGTCTTGCCTGCACTCTTCTGCGGCTGGCAGCCCAGGTACACTCCCAGGAGGAAGACTGAAACGTAGACCAAAGGCTTGAGTATGCTTCTTCTGTACTTTGTGGTCGAGGTACCGGTGGGCAGAGCTGGTGTTGATGTCGAAGAACGATGGAATCCAAGATCAGCGCAGAGGAACCCGCCGTAAAAGAGAATCATCTCCCAGCGACCCATCTGATGTACCCAGATGATGAGAAACACTAGAATGGCCATGCGAACTTTGCTCTTGAGATGCGCCAGACCAGCTTGTGTAAGATATAGTACTAGGGAAGAACGAAACCTGCGACACAGATGCATTAGTCAGACCTCTTGACAGTCTCTGCGACACGGGCAGTATGTATCCAGCTGCATCAACTTACTCAACCGGAATTGTCCAAAGGTGCCCATCTATGGTTACCTCGGTGCTTTTTGCGGCGAAAGACCAGGGATTGATCAGCTTTGTGGATGTCTCCTTCGCCCAGAACGCCATTTGTGCAGCCAGTGAGTCGAACTTCGGGATGTCGATGTCATGCTTGGGATTGTAATGTCCTCTCGCTTTTGCGAAATCGGCACCCCAGTCGTATAGTCCCGACCAGATCATCATAGATATGAAAAAGGTTGATACAATGCAAGGCAAGAACAAACGAATGGCTCGACGGAATATCGACGAAGCCAGCGATTGCGACAGGCTCTGCCAGCTCTTGCTCCTCATAAGCTTGACTGGTTTGTAGGATAATGCATAGCCAGATACCACGAAGAAGATTGAGACCATGGTAGGTCCGGCGTAGATGATGCGGATGAACGGAAGCTTGAAGAACTCTCGATGCTGACCGTGATCGCCAGATGCATAGCCATGTTTGGCGTCGTAACAGCAGACCACAAGATGGAACACGATGACCAAGAAAGCTGCCACTCCTCTCATGCCATCAAGGAAGCCTGTGGGATGCAATGGCTTTTGCGGCTTTGCTGAAGGTCGGATCCTATCCTGGACGAAAGATGGAAGTATGGCGAATGCAAATGTTCTGCTATAGCGTGGGTAGTTCGACAGGTGCAGGACTCCTGCATGCGAGATTGAGGGCAATTGAGGGAGATGTCTGCCAAAGATGGATGATTTTCTAGGGTACGTGTGCTCCTCTGACTCTTTCTCATAGGTTGAGAGAAGGTGCGAGTCCTCTGGATCCTCATCCGAGATGGAAGAATGAGAAGAGCGCATGTCTTTCTTGACTGGCTTGGACGAGAGAGAATGGTGAAAGATGGGGGAGATGAGTAAGATGGGTAAAAAGGCAAGTGATTAGATGAGTGAAGACGACCAAGAACAGAAAGCAGGATAAAGAAAGAGCGCGACGAGCTGACTATCCATTGAACAGGCAACAGATGCACCTTGCCAATTGACTAAGCCGGACTGTCAAACGCTCGCAGTACGCAGGGAGATTCTCGGTGCACCGCATCCTTCTCGTCGTCATCGCGGATGTCTTGGAATGATCAAAGGAGAACAGACTCACAGTTGGATCGATCCGGTATCTTCCTTTGACTGATCATCGGATTCTGAGATGCGAGTCTGTCCTGAGACATGCTCACACGACCTGTCGAGTGATCGTATCCCTCTTGGTGTAGAAACCATGCCTAACTAGTGAACGACTCGACAAAAAATCTCTGCCAAGCGCGGGTGACAGCAACGGGGGACAACCGAATCCGTTGATGAAGGTGTAAACATGTCGAACGGCGAAGGATGCTCTATTTGTGAACGGGCGCGGCACAACTCTTGGCTCCCAAGATGCTCCATCCATACACGATCGGGGGTTCAACGGCGTTCGCTAAACGATTAACATTCCGCCCCCACCTGCAGGATCTCAGACATCTCTTGGCAAGCGGAGTCTATTGACTATTGCAACGTCTCCTGCCCTGTATCGTTCGGACCAAGGATTGTGGATAGAGCTCTATAACAGTTTGTCTATATTTCTTATTCTAAGATGATCGAAGATTTGGCACATGTGGCAAAGATCTGCACAATACTCAGTAAAGGTAGCCAAGTGGTGTCAAGTGGGTATCGGGGCCTCCATTGCGAACATCAATGTGTTTTGTCTCACGACATATTCACGACTTAGGTGCTTCTGTGACATCACCTCCAGTAGAATTGCGTGACACGTGAACGGTTCGAGATATCGCGTAAATCAAGAATGATACACGCACAACGATCACCACTTCGTGCACTTCGTGGAGTGGAAGGCGAGGAAGTAGTAGGCCGAAGTGGGTAGATGGTTCGCTGATCTGCGTGCTTCGGGCGGAGGATTCAAGTCGCAGTGGTTGAGGGACTGACCCTGGTCGCAAGTTAATACTGGTAGTCTGGTAAACAGATTGTACCTTAGACAAATCGGATCAACATGAAGTTCAACAGGATGTATAGATAATCAAAGGTCTCTGAAACCATGTATTGGTGGGCTGACAAGTCCAATTTGCCTGCGGAGCGATTTGTCGTACTACGCCTGGTTTGTTCACGGATGGTATCTCTGAGCAACATCTGTGGCTAAAGTGCACTGCCAACCAAGAGACAAGCACGACGACAGTGCACAAGTCGGCAGATACACTGCTTGCAACTCATGATCGAAGCCGACAATATTTGATCGAACATAATTGGTGCAGATCAGACGAGGGATAACATATCGTATATCATCAGTCCTATGGGAATCACTGGGGGGCACATTCCAGACAATGGGGTTTGAACGTGAATGATTAACTTTAGACTATTATATTGCAAGGTAATAACGATTTCGTCACAATAAGACAGGTAAGGAAAGTAGTTAGCGATTATAAGACAAGCGGGACATCAGACGTAAGACCATGATCCTAGCAGCCAACATGATTGTTGGCCCATTACAGCTCGATGACGACCTTGCGAGGCGCATGCTTAGCAGCGGGCTCAGCGTTGGAGCGACGAAGAACACCACCGCGACGGACGACCGGACCAGCCTTGTTGCGGTTGGCCTCACGAAGAGTCAAACCAGCAGGCTTGGGAGCGGCAGCACGAACAACGAGTTCCTCCTCAGTAGGAACGTCAGGATCGGAAGAGGGATCAGCAGTCTGGCTTGTGGTGGCAGTGCCAGAGGTCGATGTGCCAGAAGTTGAGGTTGCGGAAGTGGAAGTACCAGAGGTAGAAGTGCCTCCATTCTCGGTAGTCGAAGTGCCAGATGTAGAGGTGCCTGAAGTCGAAGTACCCGAGGTAGAGGTGGCAGAGGTAGTTGTGATTGCGGAAGTCGAGCTCGAGCTGCTCAGGCTCGAGGTACCAGTCGGAGTAACGCGGCTGATGACAGTGGCAAAGATGATAGTGACATCGCGACGTCTGGTGGAAGCAAAGATGGCGCTGAAGTAGAGACAAGTTGAGGTATCAGTGTTGAGCGAGGTACCGGCACAAGCCTCGTTGTCGGCGCAAGTTTCGAGACAGACTTGGAGATTGATGGAAGTCGACTGACGCTTGTTCTTACGGGCAGGCAGAGCAAGAGGTGTGCCGTCATAGTTGATCTCTTCCTCGATAAGGAAAGTCACACCATCGACTGTGGTTCCAAAGACACCGGCAGCAGGGACGCCAGCGCCTGATGTAGGGGTGGCTGTTGCCGTGACAGTAACTCCAGAAATGACAGTGGCAGTGCTTGTGACGGTCGCTCCACCGATGACGGTGGGGATGGGGATCAGTTGGGTAACGGTGTTGGTCACGGTAGGTCCAGTCACAGTGACAACTGTTGCTTGAGTACAAGGGCATTGTGAGATGTAGGTAGGTCCAGGAACGACAGTGATAGTGCCACCAATGGTCAGAGTCTCGCCGCCGATTCCAATGAACCCGGTGGGATAGACGATTTGGGTGTTGATCACAGTGGTAGTCGCAGCTCCGCCAGCGTTTCCGCCAGCATTACCTCCAGCATTGCCTCCGCCAACGGCTCCACCGACGTTTCCGCCGGCAGCTCCACCAGTGTTGCCCGAAGAGGCACCTGGAGCGAAAGCAGCAGGAAGAGTGATGACAGGTCCAGGTGCGATGACCGTGGTGCGGGTGGCACAGGGGCAGTTTGTAAGAACAGTGGGAGCTGTGATCACGGTTGGGACGCCGCTAATCGTGACAGTCTCGCCGCCAGTGACAGTCAAAGAGGAAGGATAGACAAACTCAGTGACCTTGGTGACAGCTGGAAGAGTGGTCACATAGCTCGCAGGGTTGGTGGGAGCGGGCGAAGGCACCGTGTTTCCAGCGGTGTCAAGATAGACAGTCTTGGGAGCAGGACATGTCTGAGTGACAATCTTGGTGATTGTAGTGGGAGGGCTTGTGTAGCAAGTTTTGGTACGAGGGGCTGCAGAGACCACAGCAGTCAGGCTGAGGAGGCTGGTGAGATGGAGCCAGGGGTTCATCTTGGAGATCGGAGAACGAAAGTATGGAGAGAGTTTTGATAAAACGATAGACTTGGCGATGTTGATGAGCTGATGAGTTGATGCTTGGGACCTCAGAAAGCTACATATATAGTCCAAAGACTTTCATCAATATGATGACGCAGGTGTCAGGAAAGTCGATGACATGTCGAACTACAGGTCTGTCCAGTGTCCAAGGTCGCTGAATACAGTATGTGACAATGCTATGAGCGGTATGTGTCTCAGGATTGTGGATCCAGTCTCATTGAATGTTGAAGGAAATCAGCCACCATTGGTAAGCGGTATATGCCCAGTGTATATTTTTGGCTCTCCAGATGATTGAGTTGGGTGGACAGCTGTATTATCGAACGGGGATTGCCAGAATCATGGCATGGTCTTGGTTAATGGTGCAACATCTGAGTGTCATCGACGGGGGTCATGATCGTCGTGTGGGCACGATTTTGTCCGATGATGTTGCTCCATGTGCTCGTACACGCGGATGCTTGTCTCAAGAAGTTGAGAGTGGTATTGAACTTGACAACATGGGGTATTGATCGAGGTAGATCGTGAGTCGATGAACAGCCCGTCAATATTGGCACAAATGGCATCGTCGATGCACGATTGGTGGTACAGCCGCTGTCAGGGCGATTCAGTGGATCCTGGTATGATATTGGGCAACAGGCAGACGAACCTAACGTCGATATCTTGCACATGTCGCACGGCCGATGGCATGAAGCAGTCCTGGCACGATGAGTATCGGCAGTGCTATCTTCTCATTGAGGATGACTTAGATCGGAAGCAATTGATTATTGGAACGGAAGTGTTGTCGATCTTTCTTAGAGTAAGTCATCAGGGAAGTCTGAGACGGCGGTGTCACGAGCTCGGTAAGGTCCGATACTGTGGTTCGAAGGCCGGCTCACTCACTGATCGATCTGTAGAGCGAGCATAAGTCTCGTGAGGAGCCAAAGGCAAGTTGACGCGACCAAGTAAGGAATCGCTAAACTCAAGGTTGTTCGCACAGATACGGCACATCAGGTATGTGCCGTTCTATTGAGTGGCGCAACAGGTTCTACCGTCACGACCAATGAACGAGGATTCGTAGCTCAATGCCGGTAGATTAGCACGTTGATTGAACATGATGGCATGTCGTTTGGTCGAGTCGGCTCTGTGATTCGGGTAGGAAGTGTTGTTGTGGTGTCTGCCAAGGCGTGAAGGCTTTCAAACGAGGACTGCCAAGAAAACGTCAACACCACCACCACAAACGGCGTCTGTCATTGCAACTCTCTCCACACGAGCCGTTGTCGATCGACAGTTCCTGAAGGATCTCGGAAAGCGATAACTTAGAAGTGTCGCATGTCCAACTTCCAGATCTAGCCGACCGAACAATTCCGAACAACGAACGATTCCCGCACCTCATCCTCGAATCGCCATGACTCGGTCGCTCCCACGGGCCCATGCTAGAATGATCAATGTGGGCAGTATTGTGATAGAATCAACGTTTGAAATCCAAATAAGCCTTTCCATGATGTCTGTGGCTCATATCTGGTTCTCAGGAAGTTCCTCAGACCATACTACCCTCATGCGCTTGAGCCGATAACAACACTTAGTCAACACTTCGCTCTACTGCAGCTATAGCGAACAAGCAGCTCAGACTCTCAGCATGTCGCACCTACAGCAAAAAGACTCGACGTGGCAGACGAGACGTCCATCTTCCCCGTTCACGCGATACACTCGGTCGCACAGACGGCAGCTTTTCGTTGTCTTCGCGCTCCTCTGCATGCTGGTTTACTGGACTGTTTGTGTCGGACTTGATGCGAACACCAGTCCCTTTACTCCTCTATTACCAGCATCCCCAGATTTCTTCGCTGGAGGCACGCAGGACAGACTTGTGACGATTCAATCCAATACAGAGAAGGGTTCGTTTGACGCAGTCCCAAAATATACAAACGAAGATCATTTGTCAACGAAGCCTCTCGAGGCGTTTGAGATCGCGAAATCAGATGTCGCGGGTCCAGACGACGTCGCAGAACGTGTCCCCGAAGGTCAACCAGCCGCCGTCCAGGTCATCAAGGGCAGCTCCATCCATGACATTGGAGACATCGAAGAGCAGCAATCATCGGCAGAAGACGCATTCGAGCTCCAGCCTGTGGTCGCGGATGGCGGCAGATTAACAGAGAGCTCGAAGTCACTAGCAGTCGATCGACTCGACGACAGTTCCACCGTTCATCGAGGTTCTCGATTAGAAGATCTCACGCATGCGCTCCCTGCCATGTATCCAACTGCGTCGCAATTGATCGAGCCTGTAACGTCCGTCTCGACATATGTCTTCCCCGATACCTCAAACTTCGAGAGGCTCAACAGGCTGGCAGATGAACTTCCCGATTTCGTGCATATTCCTCTGCACATGGCGGTGGGCGACGAAGTCCTGGAAGGCTGGGAGGAAGATTGGTTTGCACGCGCTGATTACGATGCTGCCAAACACGGTAGAGTCCGTGAGCCAAAGATCGACTTCGTGTATACTTGTAAGTTCTTCTTTCTTGCGAGGACCATCTGCAGTAAAAAAGCTGATGTCTGAAGGGGTCAACGGGTCCGACGCAAGATTTGCACACACGATGCGACCCTATGAACTAAACTCCACCTTGAACGATGATGCTGGAGAATGGGTTGCTTCTCATGGCGTCAATCGTTATCGAGATTGGGACGAGCTGCGCTACTCTATCAGAAGCGTTGAAAAGCACGCGAGCTCATTCAGCAACAACATCCAGATCCTTGTCAATGCAGTTGTGGGACTCGATGGTCAGATGACGAAACAACGGCCGACTTGGCTGAAGTCAGACTCAGCGATAGGCGACAAATTACAGGTCTTGTCGCAAGAAGATTTCTTTGGAGACACCGAAGCACAATGTCTCCCGACTTTCAACTCGTTGACCATTGAAAACCAGATTCACAACACACCTTCAAATACAGACCGAGTAAGGATTACTACTTGAGATACTACACAGAGTATGAAACATTAATAGATGATCTAGATCTTCGCAATGTCTGATGACATGTTCCTCGGTAAACCGCACGCGGCGTCGGACATCTACTCCCCCCTATTCGGTACAGTGATGGGTTTCAAACCCAACAGCTACAACACCATCGTGCCACCTTCCGAGAAGGACGCCCTGCGGTTTGGTGAGAAGCCATACCTGATCTACACTTCTTGGATGCTGAACCGTCGTTTCGGTACCCGCAAGAGAAAAGGACAAGTTCACTTTGGTCATTCTCTATCTCGGAGCGTATACAAGGAGGCCATGGAGGCGTTTCCTCGACCAGCGCTCAAGAGTGCTTGTCAGAAGTTCAGAGGCGAAACCGGCTTCCAACTATATTCTTGGTACAATGCATTTCACTACACAATTGAGCGACACCGGGAAGCTCTGCTCTGGAGCTACATCATGATACGAAGCGACTCTAATAAGGACGGATATCTCGATTGGCAAGAGAGACAAGCTATCATCAGTGATCTCGAGGAAGGTCTAGCCAACGAAGGTCGCAATTCCTTTCGCAAGCGAATGTACTACTACGTGGCCAAGTCACTCGAAGACGCAGGACTGGAGGCACCAAAAGTCAACGTTGAGACCACTTGGACATCTTTGGACGGCCCTGCTACCATCGCGAACATCGATTGCTTTGAGTTCAACGTCAACGAATGTCTGGCACCTGGCTTCTCGTCTGCGTCATGGGATGACGGATCAAACAACCCCGTCTTTTCGACAGCGGCCATATTCGACAGAGTGGCGCGACAAGATCCACAATGCGGTGATTGTCTAACAAAACTCCTGCTCAACCGTGTCGAACAAGGTCTGTCGCCTCTCTTGCCGCACGCGGACAAGGACGCCGAGCACAGAGAAACCGTTCTAAAAGCTCTGAAAAGATATTCCTACGTCGTGGTGGAGCCAGACGCGCTGTTCACGATGGTCACTGACGCTGAACAAGTACGAGTACGCTTGATCGACCGCCTGGGCGACCCGGAGAAACAGGCTGGTCAGCTTTGTCTTAACGACGATGTGACTACCGACAATGAGACAGAGCTTAGGGAGCTGCGAGAGACAATCTCGACGTTATTCAATGAGCATTGGGGAACGCCGAGCCAGTTTGAGGCCTAGTGACAGTATATGTACATGGCTAGTAAATAAGTAATATCGCATGTACCTGGGTGTTACACTTACTACACTTTCAGGTCTAACCTTGTTCTCGCACTATAGTCTATACCCGTGTTCATCTCTTTATAAGTCTAACCTTATGATTAATTATGTTTTCTGTAAAAAAAGCTATACTCACTAGTAGTAACTGAAGCACGTGAAAGTAAACACTAGGCTAATATAACTATAGTTGTTCAAGCAGGATTGTGCCTGGTCAAAAATCGGTGTCAGTCATTCTGCTGTGACGAGACTGAAACCGATCCGTCTTGTGTAGAGAATGACAAAATGGTGTCGTGTGATGTGGCAGAACTGCTGTCATGTAGTATATACCTTGATTCCTTGGATGGCGGGGGAGACCAAACTTGGTGATGGAGATCCTGGTGAATCTCGATCTTATCAGTGAGTTTCATTCAAGTGGTAGGCGCTGATCGATATAGACGACGGAACATGCTGTCGCTTGCCAAAAGGTTTCTGGGTGTGTCGAATTCGAGCACTCGACCCCTCTGAAGCAGAACAATTCTGTCAGATGATAAGATAGTTTTGAGCTACCGCAAAGAGTTAGTGCCATTCGCGTTGCAGTCAAATTGCAAGACCTACCCGATGTGCAACAGTGATGACAGTACAATCCGCAAATTGCTCCTCGATGACATTTTGGATTTGAAGATTGATCTTGCTGTCCACACTGCTCGTAGCCTCATCTAATATGAGTACTGGACTCTTCCTGAGTAATCCTCTTGCCAGGCAGAATAGTTGCTGTTCGCCCTGTGAAAGCGGGTGGTCGAGCAAGATTGCGTCTAGACCTCCGCGCTCTTGCAAGGCCGTCCAGATACCAACTTTCTCACATGCTGCTTTGATTGCCGCATCCGAAGACTCATTGACAGGATCGACATTATAGCGGACAGTCCCAGGAAGGGTAAACGAGTCTTGTGGCACAGTGATCAGTTTGTGACGCAGGATATCACCATCGAGTGTGCTGATGTCAATGCCGTCGATAAGGATAGTGCCTGTGGCAGGAGGCACTGCTCGAAGCATCGCGCTGATAAGTGAGCTTTTCCCGCTATTGTGGTGTCAGTATTGTGAACTTGGAAGACAGCCATCTGGGAGGGCTCGACGAAGCACAGACCTTCCACTACGTCCACAAATGCCTATCTTCTCGCCATGATTGAACGCCAGGTTGACATCCTTGAGTGCAAAACCTCGTTCCTTGTATCTGACGGAGATGTTCTGAATTTGAATCACGCCCTGACTAGGCCAACTGCTTGGTGGGGCCAGATGACAGTCTGGCGAATTTTCCGACGGCGTAGTGCTTGCGAACGACTTGACGCGCGCGATTGCCCCTAGAGAAGTCTCAAGACTTGTCCATGCTGTGACCATCGCTGAGAGTGCCTGATTAAAGCTGAGGACATTGTTCAGTGCTACACCGAGCAGTCCTGTCCGAGTATCGCTTCGTAGCTTCACCGCTAGTGTCACGACCAAGACCGCCAATGCCGCGACTATGAGGTCTAAAACTAGGCCAAGCCACCGCTGTACACAAAAAAGCATGTAGTAAGGTCTCTGCGAGTAGTCGAGGTGTTCATCGTTCTTGGTTATTGCTTCAGATTGCCACCCGAATGCCCGAATAGTGGCGAGCCCTTCCACTGCCTCCGTCAGATGGGAGAAGAGCGGACTTTTGTTTTCCAAATCCAGATGACGCAGTTGTCGAGTTGTCTTGAGATAGATGTGTTGGATTATCGCGACGGTGCACAACGTGAAAGGGATGCTGATTGCCATATACGATGATCCTGTAGCGATCAGACAGATCTTTGCGACACACGCGAAGCAGGTCATCACAAACGTCGATAAAGCGATGGGAAGAGCCAGATCTACGAGACTCATGTCTTGACTGAATCTGTTGAGTGTGACACCGCTATCAACGGCGGTCAAGAAAGCCAGTGGAGCATCGAAGACTGTCCGTAGGAGTTTCCAGTGTAGCTCTGCTGCAGACTTTGGCATGATCCTGAGGAACATGATATATAAGCAAATAGGTGCCGATACTGTGGCCGTTAATAAGAGCCCGGCATAGACGGGAAGATACTTTGGCATTTGTTTGCCATTGGCCGCAGCCCACCAATTGAGCCAGACCTGCGAGAAGTTCTCCGTAAAGATTGATAAGGTAGTTGCACTTAGGAAAACGCCGAGTAGTGGCAAGCCTATGGTCTGGAAATAGAAGGTGTACAGCTGAGCGTCCCCGGTCCTCCTGATCGAATCCTGGAGCTTGGTGTCGACGACTTCTTGCTTGGATGGTTCTGGTTCAGGTTCAGGCTCCACGCGGCCAAATGTACTTAGGTCAGATTGCTGCTCGTCATCCGCTTCTCTTATGTCTTTGGCATCGTACGAGAATGTCTCATTGGCGAGCGCATGTTCGTAAGAGTTATGTACGGTCGTATCACCTTCAGATTTCAAGATCACGATCTGATCTGCGAACTTCACATCGTGCACTGTACGAGAATCGATGGTCAGTGTTTCAATCGCCAGGTGGCGAATCTCAAGCTTACCGGAGTGTGCTGTCAGGACAACAGTAAAGCCCAACTTTCTGAAGATACCGGTTCTTGAGAACAGCCGGGAGATTACAGTACTTCTGGTGTGGTTATCCAGAGCGCTCAAACTATCATCGAGCAGAACCAGTGACCTTTGAGAATAGACCGCTCGGGCTAGGGCCTTGCAGGTCTATTGTCAGCACCCCAGCGTATGTATGTATATACAAATCATGCACTTACTAGTCGCTGCTTCTGTCCTCCAGAGAGGCTCACTCCTTTACTTCCAACAATAGTCATATCTCGGTCCTCCCAAGCTCGAATATCTTGATCCAGATTGCATGCCTCGAGGACTTTTTGATACCAGGTCGCACTGAACTCCATAGTTGAAAGACCACAGACCTTACTCTCCACCGAGCCATTAAGTATGAATGGGTCCTGGGCGCAGTACGCTATGCTTCTCGTCCCAACAGAGAGGTTGCCGGATCGGCAGGGGATCTCTCCTAATATTGCTTTCAATAACGTCGTCTTTCCCGATCCAGTTGGCCCGACGAGTGCCACCATACAGCCAGCTGGGGTTCTGAAGGACGCTCTGATCTCAGCTTTCGTTGTGAGCGATGCAACCGTCGGCGCGAGAGTGATCATGTCAAAGTTGATCGTTGGGGTAGGATAATTCTTCGGTATTGCTCGTAGTTCAAGTTCCAATTCAAGGCGCGTCGTTTCAGAACCACCTTGTGTAGACGAGGATTTCTCAGTCTGCAGGATTTGACGATCCACGAACCTCTCCGACAACAGATACCGCTGAATCCTCTGGAAGCAACCCAAAGCAGCCGCGATCTGAGGCAAGAGAGTAAGTAGCTTTCCAGCCGAGGCAGTCATGATGTTAATCACACTAAGTGAGGTGAAGACTTTGACGACATCGACTGAGTCTCTGCCCTGAATCATAGCATGGACTGCATACGAGAGGAATGTGACGAAGGGCGACCAGATCGCGGGTAATGAAGCTGGACATGTAAGATCACAGAACTACAATTCGGAGGGGTGCCTACTGAGGAGGTTCAACCACAAGATACCCTTGAAGAAGGGACGGGAGATCTGTAGTTCTTCAACACGTTGTGCTTGTAAATCTGTGCTGACGGCATCTGCGAAACCCGAAAGCTTGATTGACTTTAGCGACCCAAGTATATGAGCTGTGTTCTTCACGCGAGATTGAATGGCCGAATTCCAGTTCTGCTGATTTTGACCGATAGTTCTTGCGACCAAGGTCTGTCCTGCAGCACAAGCTACGAAATCGTGTTAGTCGAGGTGACTTGCTGTTTCGTATGGATGATGACTTACCAAGTACTACTATGACCGGCACAATACAGGCTACCCCAAGTATCCGCTCAAGAAGCCAAATTCCGATCGAGATTTCAAGTACGAAAGCCCAGAGACTACAGATATTCTCGAGGAACTCAATGATGTTGTCCAAGTCTAGCATTAAGGAGCGTCAGCCTTTAATGCTGCATATATCGTGAGTAATTCCAGCATACCAGTACTGATCAGTGTCAAAGCAGCGCCCTCCGATAGAGGGGTCTGTGGCAGCTCGAGTGTCTGACTGTATATCAGACTTATCATCGCACCACGAAAGCGCATGACGATCCGGTCGAAACATTGTCTGGATAGCACTGAAGAGATCTATGATCATGATCAGCAGAGGTGACAGCGATGAGGGCCGCAAAACTCACCGCAATGCCCATATAAATTAGAAACGTGGCTCCAATCAAGCCATATGCATAGGCACTGGTGCTCTGGGAGACAGGCTGATCGACATATTTGAGAACCGTTGAGATCAGAAAAGGCTGGGCGGAAGTGAAACCGACCAGGCATAAACGAGGAATTGCCGCAACAACAAGATGCCATTGAAGCATAGCAAAGACAGCTCTAGGTAGCAAAAACCGAGTATCTTGATGATCTGTGGCCTCGACGCACTTCTCCCAGACGACTTTGAGGCGCTGGCCGACACAACTTGATTTCAGTGATGGCTCAGTCCCGAACAAGTCATTCGTTGTGATGAGCTTCTGGAAGCCTGTTAGCAACAACTGATTAAGCCACCAGACAAAGCTTAAATTCCAAATGCCGCTTCGCGCCTCCGGAGGATATTGCTTAAAAGGCGGCTTGAGATACGACGTTTTCGATTTTCCTTCCAGAAACAGTAGGACTATCCTGGTGCAAATACTGAGTGTTAAGATAACGGCGATCTCTTTCTGTCTGATGAGGAACAGAGTTCGAGCCTGCGCAGCATCAAATAGTACGGACAAGAAGAGGTACACATTAATCAGCGACGACGGCCTTGTGGACTTCATGTCTTCCAAGCCCGAGAGACACAACATCATGACGGAGTCGACCAGTCCGAGTACGGAGGATGGCACGGCAGTCAGAATTCGAATTTTGGACGTTTTGCACCAAGACACCAAAAGCCCAAGCTGCAAGACAATGTTTACCGCGGCCAGCGACTGCGCTGAATCAATATCTGAATGACAAGACCTTTGTGAGAATGTAGATCCTATGACATACAAGTTTTAGAGCCAGTCTTGTCTGCCTCTCTGCCTTCGACTGATGTTGGAACAATTGATAGATCCTGGGCAAGACTGCTAGCAATATAAGACATGACGGAAGAATCGACAAGATGCTCTGTTCAAATGCGAGCGTGAAGTCAAAAGATCTGGCGCAGCTTGTAGGGCCGAAAGAAGGATCCGAACAGCTGACACTCCGGGAAATGGCGATAGAGGTAGAACGAACAGGCATTTTGCTTGGATACAAGATGTCGACGGTATGTTGGCCTCGGAAGGGTTGGGCTGTCAGAGGATTATTGACATGCAGATGCTGTGCAAGTACTGGGGTTTGAGTATGAGTGAGAAGTCATGCAAAAGCGCATAAGCTCGGAATCAGGCTATAGCGCACACGAGTTTAGATAGGTGCTCGGGATAACGTCTTGCGTACCTATCACCTTTCGTCATAGCCGAGGCCTATGAGCGCGCGGCATTCTAGGGACGTTTGTCACAAACAGGTTGGCATAGACTCCCTACTCGAGTAAGACGAGCGCAGATAAGAACCCTGGAATTGCGTAAGCTCAATGTCGCGAAGGATCATCGTCTTCATTATTGCATCCTACTCGTATTCGCGACTTTGAGAGTTTTCAGATAACGCTCGGCCGTATCGGCACAGGACGCTAAAGATCCCTTGGAGCTTGTTATGGCCGCCAAGATCGTCAGCGCCAGCGGGTTCCAGACTTCTATAATGAAACGGGGTCGAAACAAGCTCTATCGCTAATCGCGGGAAGTCTGCAAGAGGGACGGGCTCCGAACTGTAAATTATGTAATGCCTCAAGCAGGCAGATGACCCAATGTAGGCCTGATCTTCTAGATAATGAGATCCCACAACGAAGGCCACTTGCGAGCTTCATGTAATATCACTGCGAGGCTTTTAATGGGACCATTCAAAATCTCCCTGCTCAGATACGTCTCTCCCACATTTGTTCTCTGCACATAAGTGTGAGCCTTGACCAGGCGAAGCGACTTGCTCAATTCTTGCGTCATGACCATTGTACGTCTCATGCAGCCTGTACCATCCATCTGTCTAACAATGTTGAGTTGTCTCAAGAAGAGTCATCGCAGCCTCTTCTCAAAGTAGTAGAGCGAGAGGCCAATGATGTGGAAGCGTCCGACGTTGAACGTCAGGCTCCACGATTTTTCCGTCTGACGAGGTCAGTGAGGGAGAGCTTTCTGGTCGTCACCCTGGTCGTCCTCCATTCTGGAACTCTGGTTCTATAGGCACTGTTCATTATCAATGACATGCCCAAGCTGCCGACCGGTCGCGAGTTTGGTGGCTCTATAAGTAGCATTATAGAGATAAGATCTACTCATAAAGAAGTAAATATTAGTGTTAATGACTAAGTAGTTATTAACGTTAGTCTAGTAAGGGTTCCAAGTCTAAGGACTTTAAAAGCCGTCCAATATAGTGATAGGCAAAGTCTTAGACCTCTAATGAACTTTCTTAAGAGCGGCGCGAGATTCTGTCTTGAGATATCTCCCATGACGTATGCTAGATAATATGGAAACACTAATGATAGTACTACTAGATGATGTATGCAACGTATCGTGACGGGTAGTGTTTATCCCCTGGATTATACGTATCTAAACTGCTTATAGAAGTTTATAGCACCGGTAGTGGTAAGGAAATGAGAGGAACGCCGTCCACATCAAGCAAACAGCAGAAGACGTTTGCATGGAATGTCTTAGACGTAGTCGTAGCCGAAATTCGGTCCCAGTGCTAACGTCTACATGTGCTTCCGATCAGTCAGGTTGTGGGCGACTACTTCAGCTTCGATAAAGATGTGGTCGTCTCTGATTCTTGGAAGAAGAGTTTGTCGCAGCTCGGTAGCGTTCATCTTGAACCTCAGTGCTAGTGTCTTGGGTATTGCAAGATACACAAATAAGAACATAGGAAGATCATGGAAACAGCTGGTGGGCAGGACCATATCTGTATGTATATACATACAATGTTCACCGGCATCACTACAAGCTTCGGTCCAAACGAATTGATGGACATATGCGATACTACTGGATCTGCTGGGATCAGGTCGAAGCCACGAAGACATGACTCTGCTACATCTGGCGCTGTTAGTGGGTCAACAAGGGCTGGAAAGAGTCAGCAAGGAGGTGCAAGTGAACATCGAAATGTCTGCCAACACGGAGTTTATGCTCGGACGTCGGATTTTGACACCGGAGTTTCCAGGCTTTCGCGTGTTATCACCGCAAGTCTGTCAACACAATGACGAATGAGTGACCGAGAATTCTTTGCTATTGACGATGCTCTATATGAGATCGGAGATAACGTACTAGTAGGTTCACTCATTGCCGTTGCCCTGAAACGCCGGTCAATCGCCATTCAATCACCGCTGTATCATATCCAACATAAAAAATGTGCTTCCGGCAATATATATAACAGCACTGCCCAATGGTTTTCGGTCCATTTTGTTCAGTCGTCCACCATGGAGCCCTTTCGACTGCCCCTCGAGAATGGCGCCGTAACAGGTGCTCACTCAATCCCACCTGCTTCGTCATCCCCAATTCGACACCGGCCCTTGATCATAGGCCTACATGGCGGATGCTACGATCACCAGTACTTCGATGCCGCGCCAAAATATTCTGCGTCTTTAGCAAGCGAAGCCCTTGGAGTTCCATTCATCACTATCGATCGTCCTTCCTACGGTGGCACAAGTTGCGTTCTGCCTATACCAGATGGCTCCGACTTCACTCAAGAGAGTGCCAAGCTCATGCATCATTCCATTCTCCCTCGCCTCTGGAACACATTCGGTGCATCGAATGGCTGCAACTGCATCGTGCTTCTGTCCCACAGTCTGGGAGTCATGGTTGGCGTTGCGGTGGCTGCGATGCATGCACAAGATGGTGATCCTGCTTATCCTCTCGGAGGTCTTATTGCAAGCGGCATGGGCGACGTCCAGACAAAAGCTACGCAGGGCAATACTCCATCCTATCCCATGGTAGATGACGAACATGCTTTGTGTCCAGTACAACTCAAAGATGCCTTGATGTTCAAGCCAGGCACCTGCGCGCCGGAAGTTCTGGCCCAAACCGAACGCTTGAACGCAGCCTGTCCCATCGCCGAAATTATTGGTTTCGCAACAGAATGGTTGCCTGTGTGGAGAGAGCAATGGGCACCACTTGTAAAAGCACCAGTCATGTTTGCATTGGTCGAAGAAGATCCGTTCTTCGAAGCAGACGAGAAAGAGATCGCACGTTGTGTAGGCGCGTTCAGGAACAGTGTGCGTGTCGAAGGAAGTCTGCTGCGTGGAGCTCCGCATTGCATTGAATTGAGCTTATGGGCACAGGGGTGGTATGCGCGATGTTTTGGGTTTGCGATGGAGTGTTCTGCCAGCTTTTCTGTAGCGACTTAGACGAGAACGGATGGTTGGCGGGATTCATATACCACAGTTGACAGCCAAAATACGGAGGAATATATTATGAAGTGTTACATGTATCGCGTGTCGCATGTCTTGTAGTGGAAACATAAATGAAGTGCCTATTTTCCCATTGCAGCCATGTAAATGTATTCGGCCTGGCCTCTAATCTCAATGCATGACAAGAAAAAATATATCGACAGCTATGCGACTCTGCAGAGCTCATCGGAGACCACCGCGACTATACTTGTTCATGCCAGGCAGAACAGACACTCTATCGCTCTGAACATTCTGGAACGCCGCAAAGGTCCGCTGATAAGTGGATTGCAGGAGACTCATCACAGTCTGTTCACTTTGCAATCTAGAGGGCGCAGACTGGACTACCACAAGATTGATGTTACGCAGAGACGGGTTTGCCTCCGCGTCACTGACCTGCCGCTGGTAGTCGATTATCTGCGATTGAATGTTGTTCAGCTCGCCCTGGATGATGTATTGAAGTCCTGTGATCTGATTGCCAAGGTTGAAGACGTCGTTTTGCAAAGATTGAGGGATCATGCACTTCGGGCATGAACTTCCGCTGCTGCTTCCACCGCCGCTTGTGCTATCACTGTCGTCTCAGTTGCTACCACCACAAGTGACGGTGGGCCCAGGTGTGATGCTTGCAGATGCGCAGGCAGTTGTTGAAGTAGGGTTTGTAGTCGGAAGAGCGGCAGCCTGGGGATAGTCCTCTTTGATCATGACAATGTCGTCCATGAAAAGAATGCCAGAGTCGATCTACCTCTATAAGATCGCTTCCCCGCCATGCCTAAACAAACGATGTTAACCTTCAAGATAAGACTTTAGAGATTATAAGGCCTAAGAGAGACGTCATAGAAGTAATCCAAGCTAGTTCATTTAAGGAAGCCTTTACTGACTTTAAGCTGGAGGCTAGCATTCTTAATGGCCAAGTTGTTATAAACATGATTGGTGGTAGCAGACCCGAAGAGGTTTCTTTAAATTTAGCTTTAAGAGACTGGCTCTACACGTTGCAACTTTGGGCCGAACTCTTATCGCCACCACTCTTTAGGACCCTGCCTTTTCTGAATACATCGATAATCCTTTTCGCTTCCTTTCTTCCACTGTAATTATCCTAACGACTATAATTTCACACTACGATGTGTGTGCTTCCATGCCAGCTCCAAGCATCCGCAGCTATTTCATCGTAGAACACGCCCGAAAGTGAAACTATTGGTATCCTGTATCACCAATCTATACGAGAGAGCTAAGTGCTTCTGTCATAAGCATGGAACCTCAGTTGCTGTAACACGTTCCTTGTTTCGTTGCGGTCCAGGCAGCACCATTTGCTTTGATGCCTGCCAATCTGTTCTTCAATTGACATGTCGTCCCCGAGTACGTTACATCGATACAACCAGCTGTCCTATCGCAAGCCTGGATGCAGGCAGAGAATGTCGGTTGCGTAGACGTTGAGAGATCACCGCCTACATAGTCGATACCACAATGGATTGTGTACTTTCCTCCGCCAGGAACCGTGAAGATTGTGCCGTCACTAGCACCATTCGCGCAAGTTGGAGCAGAGGAGCTGGAAGAACCAGCGTCACTTAGCCAGCCCGCTTGAACGCCATTGTTCGGATTGAGATTGCCTAGGCCACTCTTAAGATAGCAAGTTCCAGGAACGTATGATACAGCCTTGCAGCCTGGGGTCGCACTGCAGATACCAAGGCACTGTGCAAAGCTTGAGCCAGATTTGGAACCCATATCGTGTCCGGCGACATCATGACCGCACTCGACCTGGTATTTACCAAAAGTGGCAATGGTGGTGGTGTCTTTGTTGCTACCGCTGCATATGTCAAGATAGGCGGCTTGCACAGATGAAGCAGGACTGGCCACCGAGACACCGTTCTTCATGTAGCATGAGCCGGACACATATGAAACAGCCACACACCCATTCGTTGAGACGCAAGTATCGATACATTGAGCAAGATCGCTACCGTGGACTGACTTGAAGTCGTTTCCAGGTAGATCGAACCCACAGAGAAGTTTGAAGCCATTATAAGTCGAAGAGCTCGTGGATTTGCATAGAGAGGTCGCGGAAGGTGTGGCAGTACTACTGAGGGATGTCGAAGAAGAGACTTTGTTTGGTTTGTTCGATGTCGTGGATGTCGTAGAGATGACCGGCTTCGACGAAGACGAGGAAGTGGTTGAGGAAGTAGTCGAGGAAGTGGTCGAGGAAGTGGTCGAGGAAGTGGTCGAAGAAGTGGTCGTGGATGTCGTAGAGATGACCGGCTTCGACGAAGATGAAGGAGTGGTCGAGGAAGTGGTCGAAGAAGCGGTCGAGGAAGTGGTCGAAGAAGTGGCTTGGCTTGTATCTCCACTGCAATAGGTACTTCCGTCAGGTTGCGGGATAGGTGTAGAATTATCAGGACACAAGCATTGTTCAGAGTAGTGACCAGTAGTGATCAGTGCCGTATCGATTGTAGTTGTAAGAGATTGATCGCTCGTTGAACCTGGGTAGAGAATTGAGCCCAGATCACCGACCCAGTATTCGTTTTGACCATTGTAGGTGGCGTAATCAGGTCTGTTCTTTGGAAACTCGACAATGAGGTTGTTGACGGTCATGTAGCCATAACTGGACGACTTGGAGAAAATGACTGTTTGCAGATTAGCCTAGTTTGTCATGTTCAGCACACAATCATGCACACACCCGGAGTTATCAGGGTCCCTGAGCCGGGACAAGTCTGCTGAGAAACGAGGACAGAACACACACGGTTCCTCTGAGGATTCAAGGTAATGGTCTGCACGACGGACTGGCCGTTGTCGGTGACTGTTCCCTGAGACACTGAATACCCGACGGTGACACTGAGCGAGGCCGTGACGGAACTCGAGTCGACACCCTCCACTCCCACTGTCTCTGTGAAGCTCAGACCAGCGGTGATGGAGAGATCAGACTCTGTTGAGTAGCTATGACTCACGCTAGTCTCAGTTGTGATTCCGAGCTGGATAGATGTGCCAGAGTCATGAACCACGCCTTCGGTGACAGCATTGCTATAGGTACATGCACTCGAGTCTGTCTGGATATTTGCCGTGGGAGCATCGCCCAGGCACAACTGTGGCGGTTGGAGACCATATTGCGACTGTTGGTTGATCGTCGGTACATGTAGGATTGCGTTGACATCATCGGGGTTCCAGTTGAGTGCGTTGCCTGTCGCAGAAGCAGCACTGCCCGAGGGATTGCCATTGTCATCCAACTGTGAGGAGACTTGGTCAGAATGTATATAGCGTTGCGTTTGGCAGGTCTACGTACCCCTCCAAAGAATCCGCCATTGATAGTCTGCTGAATATTACAGCCCCAAGGATTGCTAAAGTCCTGTGCACCACGGCTACAGACTGTTTGTCCTTTCAGCATACTGTTGAAGTATTCGAGAATCAGCTTCTTCTCGTCGAGGCTGAGCTGTGCGAGATCCGCGTTGGTCATGTCGCGGCACCGGGGTGAAGGATCACGGGCGCGTAGTGCTGGATGAGCAGTCGCAGCCATAGCCAGGGAGAAGATCAAAGTCCAACGCATCGTGGAATCTAGTATCGAAGATGATGAGAGTCAAGCAGCTCTGGTCGCGCGGCTGTAAGCATTTATAATCCAGCAGGCCACGCAATTAAGAGAGCAAAGATTGTTGAGCTCAATTGATCCACACAAGCTGAAAGCTGAACATCGAGAAGTTCGTCTTCCTTCCTTCAGCTCTTCCGAGATACGCTAGCATATCGTTTGGCTAAGGCTTGTAAAGCTTGCTCGACGCCACAGGGGTGGCATTGGTTCGAACCAGCAGACGATACAGGAGGCACAGCAAGCACAATACTGCAGCGACTGTCGCTAGCTGTCTGGTTTGTTCAAGGTGCGTCGATACCATGCAGTCGATCGCATTGCTCAAGGTGAGGATGTCGGAAGACTGATCATATCTGTTGTCATATATCGCAAGTCATACTGGGTATACAGACCATACAGTGGAAGACAAGACAGCTCGACAAGGACAAGGAGCACAAATTTCGTGCTTACAACGCTCGCCTGGAGACGGACATGTTGATCTGAAGATTCATGCTCTTGGCTAGACTAGGCTCTATTTGGTCAAAGGTGTTGCCGGACCACAAAACGCCGCATCCCACGATCGAACGTGCCGGCATCAAGAAATGCTGGAACGATTAGACCTAGCTTCAACTTCCAACAGGATCTTGCTCGAGACAGTAGATATGTTTCAGAGCGCCGCTGGAGAACAAGTCAAGGTCATCCAACTGAGGCAGAGGGTCTTGACAGCGATGCGTTTGACCGGAATATCTGCAAGAATTGTCTGATGGACTGCGCCGTCTGTTCCCGAGGTTGCGGGATATTTACGACCCTAATCCACACAAAATGAGCTGCGAAGGAATTCAATAGAGGAAAGCTTTAATGTCAATCTCGCAAACGTCTTACTCCATATGGTATAAGGTAGTTGATTGCGAATCTGTGCGTTTTCATGACCGTCACCATCTAGATGTGGACCTTTGTTTGGTTCCTGAGATTGGATATCCGTGTGAGGCGGATCTCCAAAGCGGTCATTGGTGTTTACATGATCCAAAATGTGCGGGGCCCTGTCTCCGGAATGTCTAGATTCCGGTTTCCGAACTTATGCTTTCTCGTTATAATTATTGCGAACTGGTTCATCCAATAGGAAACAAGACTTCCGGGCGAAAACCTTAAAGTCGACAAGCCTCGCTAAAGAATACCTTAGATCCAGCTGTGGCTGGCTTTAAGCTCATTGTCCACCTCGAATTGCAACCGCTTTTCTGTTTACAGCGCTCACGTGGGCGAACCAAAGACATGCAGCCTCAAATGCGAAGAACTTCAGCACACATATGAGGACTAAAAGTCTGTATTCCAACGGAAACATGCTGAATTACCTGCAACCAGAAGCTCGACATAACCGCTTGTCGCTCACCTTGTATCTTGGGCTATGATATAGTCCAGCTTTCTCATTCGCTGTCTTGATATATCTCGTGGTTCTCGCAGTCTCAACACTCCATGTCATACTTCTAGTCTGTCTGCACACGCGCAGTATCTGATTCAACCTTGCGAGCCAAAGCGATGCAGCTAAACATGATTGCTCCTCCATCACTATTACTCATGTCAACAATCCTCTTCATCCCCATCTCCAACGCCCTCGGACTCAAAACATCCTCATCATCATTCAAGCTTCCCCTGTCTAGGGGACCCTTCCTATCTCCCTCCAGCTCCCAAAGCTTTCCTCCGCTCTTGACAAAAGCCACAAAATGTCCTCCCTGGCGCTTGACCTCTGCATCAGTGTAGCTATCCCCATCCTCCTCTACAGACTTGTGAGCATTTTCGAAAGCCAGATGGTTGTATAGCATCTCAGCACGCTCAGCCATGGACAAGGGGATAGCAGCTTGGCGAATCTTGGATAAAGTGGAGTCGGGAGTGATGAAGTCGACAGCTGGGCCATTGATGACACTGTGCAATAGACCGATGGAGCCGCACGCGTTGCCGATGGTCTGTTTGAACCAGATGACGGGCTCATTCTCGCCGTACATTGTGTAAGGTCCTTTGTCTGCATCTTCGGCGCGACGATTTGCGGCCCAGGATGGGGTGAGAGGGATGATGACGAGCAGTGCAAGAGCCGGACGGGGAATGTGGTTGAGCTCGACTTGTGAGTCCAGCGAGTAGACGTCGTAGAACGTGAGGGAGTTTGATAAGCCAAGTTTTGCGGCCAGCGCATTCATCACTTCAGGATTGTTTTCTGTGGTCTGTGGTAAGTTTTACGTTCGGGTAGATAAGTGACTGTAGATTGTGGAGCGTTTACCCAGCATTTTCCACGTCTTTTTCTCCATCTTATGATACTGTGGCGGCTATAGGGCCCAGATGATATTCGACAAGTGTACGCGCAATTTTGCAAGTTCTGCGGCTGATGTTCAGAGTGAAGAAGTGGTGCCGTCGGTTGAGGTTGCAGGATTGCGGTGCGGGGTTTGCGGCGAACAAACAACGCGCTGAAGGATCGGCCACTTGTCTGCCCTACAACTGCATGGTGGCACCCAGAACGTGTGATGCCTCTATCCCGTGACGTCCTAACACGAAGGCAGCTCGTCTTACATATACTCTCCGATCCGGTAGTTGTTCTCATCGGTAGTATCGCTCGGAAGACAGACTTTATTATCGTTGCCAGAGCTTAGGTCATCAAGTTTGATGAATCTGCTTGTTCAATTACCAGTACTGATTACATTCCTCATTCAATCAGTCGTCAGAACCTCTTTTAGTGAATCTGAAGCTTCCCGATCGACCCCCAGCAACATCTTGAGAGTGGTGATCAGATATCAGGTCATTCCCGTGTAATGCCCTTATGAATGGTACCCCTGGGGGCACAGCATCCTCGCGAGATATCCACCCACACTTCTGATCGATCATCGCGTGTTGCAGCCGGAGGGTCCATTGCTTTTGCCATCTGATCAACTGAGCCTCTTTTTTGAACGTTAAAAAGGATTGCCGCCCAACAGCAACGACGGCCAATTGAACTTCCACATCACTCTAATCATCAATCGTCGTGGACAGGTCTCGCCCACATCTCCATAACGCCCAACGTATCGGTCAGTGCGACAAGTTAAATCGTGGAAAGTGACACTTGTACGGCCTCCATAAGCAACCTGCTGCACGAGCACTCGTATACGCTCGGGGACACAAGGGCTCGATCCTCATCGCTAACGGTATGCATGAGCTCGATACTTCACCACTTAGTCGAGTATCCAGGTGACGTGGAGTATCAGCGGAAGAGTCGCCAAAACTCACCATTGCATATCATTCATGGGGAATTTCTCGAGGAGTCGCTTTTACAACTGCTCAGTTTTTCTCGAATCTATTGTTTCTGACTCTGCAAAGTCTGAGACCTCGATAGCACGCCACCCATCGTTCCCGCTCTCAATCTCGATTGCAACAAGCGAGCGACATCCTGAACAGTCTAGCTTGATGTCGAAGTCAACGATGTTTTGTCGCGCCTGGTTATCCGATTGACTTGTTCCATGCAATCCTTGTGTTTGCATCCACGGAGATGGTGAACGCCCGATCCGCTGGTAGAATAATTCGGTGGAAGACTGAGATTCTTGCATGTTGAGGAAACAGTGATGATCCGTAACGCAGACTGTGGTCCTTGGGGGCCCGCTATATATCCCAGCCAAGGCGGCGGGCGGGCCGTTAAGCTTTGACCAAGTCTTTTTGGCGTGTCTCGCGCATACACCACGTACCTTGAGTCAGTCAGTCATTGTACATTTATGGTGGCTATGTACTGGATGATTATCGCTTTGCTTATAGGTCGTCCTACCGATACGTACATCGTGAGGATGCACACACACGATTGTCGATTCAATAAGGCACAGACTCGCAAATCGTATGTTTATAACATCGGTCGCGCTGGGCAATGGTATTCCTGACGAGGCAGTGGACTTGGTTGTTTGTCGGTGGTAGTCATGTGCCCAGTCAAGTAGTGCTGCTTGTCTTTTCCTCTGTTGTCAACCCTCTGGATTGCGGCTTTCCTGCTCTTCCTTATGTCTGATGGGAATTTACTCAGAACGATCGTAGAGTCTACAGACTCGATGCGGTGCCAATGTCTGTTGCGGTTGTCAGAGGGCGTCCAAGGCGGCCGCGATCGTGCGTGTGCACAAACGGTGTGTCGTTGTCCGTGGTTGCGGGGTTGCGATGCGGGGTCGATCAAACAGACTGGTCACCTCGCTTGAACGCAAGGGTTGGCAAGATTGTAATCCGTCTTTGACTCATCTGAGTGTACTATGACGACTATAACATTTGTGATTCTTTGTTGTCAAAAGGCAATTCTATCCACTGTAGTCCTCCGATATATGTGCTCCTATACTTTCTCGACTCTCACGGTACCCTCCTTCTCATCTCCCCTCGATACCATACTGGCAGACCTCTCCGCCGTCTCAGCTGGGAACGGCACCTCAGCTGCATCGCCGTCAAACACCACAGCCATCTGTTCAAGCGAATGTCCTTTCGTTTCTGGATAGGCGAAGAATACTGTGACGCCATAGACGATCAGAACGACCACGAATACGATATAGTACTTCCAGGCGATGCTCTCGAGGGCAATAGGGTTGACGAAAGTATTGAAGCAGATAGCTAGGACCGTGCTCACGTTGGTCACTGTCAAGCCACGAGAGCGAAGGCGGTATGGCCAGATCTCACAGGGGTATGAGATAAGCAGAGGGGTAAGCGCAATGTCGTAACCAGCGAAAAAGATGAACAAGAATGGAATGACAGCGATGCCGACGGCAGGGGTGTGAGTGGATGCGAAAGAGCCAGATAGACCAGTGACCAAGATGTATGAGACACCCATTATGACGGCCGAAGCGAGGAAGAGAGGTCTACGACCCAGTCTGTCGACCGAGAAGGCAGCGGCGACACACCAGATCAGATTCCAAAGCTGGAGGAAGCCCGAGATGAGGGTCACGTCTGTGACGCTGGTGATGCCGACAGTCTCAAGGACAAGAGCGAGATAGTATGAGACGACTCCGTTGCCAACCTGAGCGCAACGTAAGTATGAGAGTGACAACGCGTCTTCGAGCAGGTTCACTTACCCATTGTCCGAATATACCGAGGGTGACGGAGATGAAAAGACGGTGGCGATTACCAGGGGTTTTGAACATCTCGATATAGCTTGCACTGGAGGTTGCATTCTTCTCTTGCTGGATGGCTGTGGTGATCTCGATCATCTCGTAGTTGACAAGCTGCGAGTCTTGGTCGCCGCCGCCGTGCCACTTTGCCAGGACTTGATGTGCCTCCTCGGTACGATCCATGGAAACGAGCCATCTTGGGCTTTGAGGGGCCATGAGTAGACCAGGAAGCGCGAGGAAGGGAACCAGGATCTGGAGCAGCGAGGGAATTCTCCACGACCACGAGTTTTCCATGTTGCGGGTGCCGTAGGTAAGAAAAGCAGCGATGAGCCCGCCGACATACTGGAAGGGATTTAGTCAAATGTCTAGGCCACAGAGAAGATGTACTCACCCATCCACAATTGTACAGAGCTCCACAGATGCCACGATGAGACGGGTAGGCGATCTCGTTGATAAGAAGAGGAATCGAAGTTGAAAAGCATGCCGAGGCATTACCGACAAAGAAACGAGCAACGGCGAATGCTGCCTCGTTGTTGGCACCAGTCTGAAGCCCAGCGCCGAGAATGAGGAAAAGATAACCGATCCAGATAGGCATCTTACGGCCCCAGCGGTTGGAAATTACCGCAGCGATTGGGTACATGCAGCCGGCACCGATCCAGTAGATGGCATTGATGAAACCGAGGAAGGCCCCGGCAGGCCGGTCGAAGTAGTCGTTCCACTGGTTCAGTGCTTGGAGACCGTTCATCAATGAACCATCGTATCCGTTGGCGGAAGCTGCAGTCGTGTTAGATGACTGGACTATGGCACAATGGTCTCATTCACATACAGAAAAGCACCAGACACCCGACGACAAAGTTAAGCTTGATAAGATGAGCTTTCTTGTGCCAGGGGCCTGCCGGGAGGACAGCGGCCAGATCGTCGCCGACAGCAGCTCTTGCGCCTGCGTCTTTGTTGCCCATGTCGTAGTAGAGGTAGAAGAGACAAAGATATGGAAGTGATTGAGATGAGATGTGCGGTGTTATGGGATCGACGAGGTGGACGGGCAGTTGGTATATATAGACTTCAGGCCCGGCTTCGAGACCCGACCCTGGCGTCCATACCGCTCCGCAGCGCACAGGCGTCCAGGATGTATAAAGACCCCAGACTCTCCACATTCGATGTCAAAAGGCGAGTTGATCATCGATGCGGAGCACTGCGGAGCACGTAGATGCCCACATCGGGCATCCCGAATCCACCTTCAGACAAGCCCCAGTAGTTTTTGTCGCAGGAGCGGAGCGTGATGGGTGTGCGGAGATTTGACCAAGGCGCGGCGAAAATGAGTCGTGACTCGCATGGTTGGGTCAACGGTTTGACCTACTGTAGCAGGGCGCCGCCCCATAACGGTGCTCAGTCTTGGACTCAGGATCAAGCGGCGACATGCTGCGTAGCATGATTGAAGGTGGAGGGGCTGGCTTCATAATCTTTGAGGAGTCGCAGCCGTACTAGAGTTGCAATGCGCAAAAGCAGTGAGGCACGAGTTTTGACATGCTGCAAGTCAGAGTCGCAATGCAAGCCAAGGCTTCATCAGTAGACACTCGTTGACCTTAGACTCCAAGATCAGGAAGCTCACGCAACCGCATGTGTCACGAAATGCGAGTCGCAAAGGAGTCGCAGGAGGAGAGATAGCCAACGCGTACGAAGCCTGCCAAGGGAACGCCCTGGACGGAGAAATCGCCAAGAGTGCGGAGCCCGACCCTTTGCGGCGAGATGGCCGACAAGTCTCAGCTCCGCGACTTCGCTCCGTTCCCATCTCTCACGAAGACACACACCGAGATATCCATCATACGCGGTTGGCGGACCGTCGAGCCGTGAGTAGCATCAGGCGCCGAGTAATGAACATCGACTGCGGAGCGCTGCTGCGGGGTGTTTGCGGGATGCCAAATATGGAGACAGCTTTCGGTGCCTGTTCTGGCTATATCTACCTCGATGGCCGACATTTAATGCCTTCATCATGCTCCTACTCTTATCCTTTTGACTTTCCCTGCACTATCATCCAAAGGTCCAAGCCATGGGTATATCTACTACGCAAACCACACGTGAGCACAGCTCCGTCTCACAGTTGACGACGAAGCAGCAACAACAAGAGCTCGACGTTGAGCATGTCCTGACACAGCTCACACTCGAGGAGAAGATATCTCTCACAGCAGGTAGACTCACTCTTGACAACACAATCATAGCTTGTCTTGACAAGATGTAGGCAAAGACTTCTGGCATACGGTGCCTGTGCCTCGCCTAAACATTCCTTCCATTCGCCTTTCGGACGGGCCCAACGGTGTTCGCGGCACATGCTTCTTTGACGCTGTACCTTCGACTTGTCTTCCCTGTGGCACTGGTCTCGGCGCCACTTTCGACAAAGACTTGCTCCAAAGGGTTGGAGGCCTGTTAGCGGATGAGTGTAGAGCCAAGGGCGCTCACATGCTGCTCGGCCCCACAATCAACATTCCCAGAGCACCCCTTGGAGGTCGTGGCTTTGAGTCTTACTCGGAAGATCCATATCTTGCTGGCATCCTCGCAGGGCACTATGTGCAAGGTGTCGAAGAGAAAGGCATTGTCGCATGTCTCAAACACTTCGCCTGCAACGACCAAGAAGACCAACGCATGGCTTTCAACGCAATCGTCACCGAACGAGCTCTAAGAGAGATCTACTTGGTGCCTTTCCAGATTGCCCTCAAGCACTGCCAGGCAGGTGCCGTCATGACAGCATACAACCAGATCAACGGTACTCACGCTGCCGAGAATGAACACATCCTCAAGGACATTCTTCGAGGCGAATGGGCTTGGGATGGTCTTGTAACAAGTGATTGGTTTGGTACCTACAGCACGACAGAAGCAATCAAGGCTGGCCTTGACCTGGAGATGCCTGGCCCGTCACGCTGGCGGGGAGAAGCCTTGATGCACGCCGTTACAGCCAACAAGGTCAAGAAGACCGAGCTCGACGCCCGCGTTCGCGCTGTCCTCGGACTTGTCAACTCAGGCATTCGTTCTGGCATCCCGGAGAATGCACCCGAACTTCATCTCGACCGACCCGAAGACAGAGCTCTAGCTCGTGAAGTTGCAGCACAGTCGCAAGTTCTGCTCAAGAACGAGGAAAACATCTTACCGCTCAAGAAAGACAAGCGCATCGCTGTCATTGGTCCCAACTCGAAGATTGCCACTATATCTGGCGGTGGTAGCGCTTCCTTGACACCCTACTATACAGTTACGCCATTTGAAGGCATCACATCGAAAGCGTCAGCCGGTGTGGACTGGGCGCAAGGCGTCTACAGTCATCAATCTTTGCCGACTATCAGCAAACACATGCAGACTGTCGATGGGAGGAAAGGCTTCACAGTCAAATTGTACAATGATCCTCCTGAAGCGCAGCATCGTGAGATGTTGGAGGAACGAGTACTCACCGACTCTAATGTCCTTTTCGCCGGGTTCAATCGTCAAGATCTCGCGTACATCTGGTATGCCGATGCAGAAGGCATCTTCACCGCACCCGAAAGCGGCCTTTACGACTTCGGTCTTGCAGTCTATGGCACTGCACGTCTGTACATCGATGACGAGCTTATCGTGGATAACGTAGAAAATCAACGCGCTGGACCTACCTTCATTGGCTGTGGAACGGTAGAGGAGACAGGTACGAAAGAGCTTGTCGCCGGTGAACAATACAAAATTTTCCTTCGGTGGGCTAGTGCAGAGTCTAGCACCAGACCCAAGCCTGACGGAGTTGTCCTATTCGGTCATGGTGGTTTCCGCATCGCTGGCTGCAAGCGCTTGGACTTCGAGGCCTCTATCAAGGACGCCGCGGACCTCGCCCGTACCGTTGACCAAGTCGTCCTGTTTACAGGCTTGAGTGGTGAGTGGGAGAGCGAGGGTCAAGATCGTCCACACATGAACCTACCGCCTGGAAATGACGATCTCATTCGTGCTGTCCTCGACGCAAACCCGAATACTGTCGTTGTTGTGCAAAGCGGTACTCCCGTCGCAATGCCCTGGGCTGACCAGGCTAAAGCCATTGTCCAAGCTTGGTTCGGTGGAAATGAGACCGGCAACGGTATTGCTGATGTGCTCTATGGTGATGTCAACCCAAGTGGCAAACTCCCTCTTACGATGCCTCGTCGCCTTCAGGACAACCCTGCATACATCAACTACAGATGTGAAGGAGGTCGCACACTATACGGCGAGGACATCTACGTTGGCTATCGCTGGTACGAGAACGTCGAGATTGCACCTCTTTTCCCCTTCGGACATGGCTTGTCCTACACATCCTTCAAGACAACCGATCTGCAAGTCACACAGAGCGAGTCGTCTAGTCTCAACATCACCTGCCAGGTCGCGAACGTTGGTGCCCGGGCTGGAGCACAAGTTGTTCAAGTGTACATTGCTGCACCAAAGTCAAGATATGTCGGAAGACCTGTCAAGGAGCTCAAAGGTTTCTCCAAAGCATTCTTGGAAGCTGGCGAGACGAAAGAAGTGAACATTTCCATCGATCTGGTACAAGCAACAAGTTATTGGGACGAGATTGAAGACCAGTGGTGCAGTGAGGCTGGCACTTACATGATCATGGTCGGGGATAGCAGTGCTGCTAAGAACTTCTTGGAAGCAGAGGTGACAGTCACGAAGACGACGCATTGGTTAGGCCTATAGCACATCGTAGTTATAGGAATCCAAAGCATAACACTTCCGAGATGAACCATTCTCACGGAACAAAGCCTAAGCTATTGATCAGTCGAGACAACTGTTTGTTTGAACTTTTCAATACTCAACATTGTGCTACAGGATGAACAAAAACATCGTACTCCATCCAGAAGACTTTTGAAGAGATATACAAGTAAGAGGTTGATGTTATTGTAACGACAATACCGTGGTGCAGTGGTCGTGGATCGCACCCTGGCTGCAACGACTTTTGGCCGTTCGGGAGACGTGTTTTGACCTCCGCTAAGTCCGTGCAGTGTCCAATCAACCTCTCGCAATAGGCCCACAACTGTCGATATAATTGAAGTCGGAAGCCAGCCCGGAGTTGCAGACACCGGTTGTATCACTCATGCGTTCCGACCGGGGACCGGCGTAGCCAGCCGTGTCGAGCCAAGACCGCTGCTATAAGGATTCAGCTTGAAGGTTTAAACGGGCGGAGAGTTGCCAGTGCGGGGCTTCGAGCGGAGAATTGTTCAAATCGCCATTTCTCCGCACCTTCCTGCATCTCCGCAACTTCCCCAGTCGTTTTGCATTGACAACATGCCGGATGCGCAATTGATCGGTCGCTCGAGACGGAGAAAATCGACACTAGCAAAGCAGGCATGCGATCCATGTAAGATCCGCAAGGTGAAATGCTCCAACGATGACTCTTCCGCCCCTTCGGAAAATAGCCATCGACCCTGCCAGAGATGTTCACGCTTGACCATCCAATGCACTTATGCTTTGCCTCAGAGATGTCGCGGTCCCCAGAGGTCCAGACGGACTGTCAGGCATGTCTCACGAAATCTTGCTGACAAGCAACTCATCCTGACCGAGATTGTCGCAGCAGCGATGAAACTGATGACACAATCACCAGGTGGCCGTCGACAACGCGTGATGCCACATGTGTTCCAAGACCCGCATCTGGTAATCCGGCAACACAAATTATGGAATCGCCCATACCTGAAGCTCTGAATCTCCTACAACCGCACACGGCGGCACCATCGAACAGGCCCGTACAAACACGGAACCTCTCATACCTGTTGAACAATGATGGCATCTCTTCCTGTACCCCCTTGGTACGCATCACACCGTCTTCACTTGACCAGACCAACGCTTACGACGCGACCACTTCACCACTTGCTCAGCGCTGTTACCAGACGGATGCAGTCTGTTCTCGTGAGCTCTTGAGACGCATCATAAGTGATTATTCCGAGCTTATATATCCTGTTGTGCCTCTGGTTCATCGTCCTTCTTTCAGACGAGATCTGGATCAAGAGAGAGACTCTCGCGACTCAGACTTCTTCCTTCTTATCCTTGGCATCTGCGCGTTGACCCTTGCAATTGGGGCGTCAAGATTTGAGCAATATCGTATCATCGATCCTACACTGTCTTTCCAGTCGCCGGAAGCCATGATCAACCACTGCTATGATCTCTTCGTTTGTCACCGAGAAGCAAATTACTACGATGAAGTAAATCATCCAAAGTTTGCCGTGGCTTACTGTTTTGTCACTGCTTTCTTCCAAACCGGACAACACAATCGATCCCGTATGCTGGAGATCGAGGCGATGCAATTGGGCCGTCTGCTGCAGCTCCATCGCGCATCAACGTACGAGAGTCTCGATCTCGTTGAAGCTCAGTTGCGGAGAAAGGCTTTCTGGTTGATTTTCTACAGCCTGGTGCATAATAAATTACAGTACGCTCGGAGAGAACGTCTTCTATATCTTGACTGCTCAATGCTACGCTCGATAGACTTCCAAGCCCTCCTACCCGCCGAGATCGAGGACGAATACATCACACCTGACGCCATACTTCCACGTCCGGCAGGCGACAACAGCGCCAATATCATGACGGCTTTCAACATTCATTCCAAAGTCTTCTGTACAGCTCTTGTGCCGCTCTGGCGTGTAGCTGGCTCGCCGCCACCAGATCCATGTCCTGCAGAAAACAATCAATTCTGCGGATGCGATTGTATCGAACCCAAGCTGCAGATTGGATCGTTGAGAGACAGATACGAAGAACTGAGATTCATGCTCGACAAATGCCCGCCGCGTCTGCAACCTTGGGCTCCTGTCAACGGTGCGACCATTGATGGCACATCTCCTTCTCGAATCCTAGATACACAGATGGAGATTCTTCGAGCGAATATACACGTGACTCACCTCTGGTTGCAGTGTATGATTCTGGACAAGATTGATGCATTGCAGCTGAACGACTCCTCGCTTCCTGAACCAGATCTCAAAGCTAATTGGCACAAGCGCGAAGAGATCGCCCGACAAATGCTACACGTCTTGCACAGCTTCTCAGATGAATCACTCCTGCCCAATGGCTACCATACTGTAAGTCACTGCCATCCGGCTCGCAAACAAACTTCCGCTTTGTTCCCAGTTGCCTGACTGAAACCACAGTTCTGCAAAATCCGCGATGTGGCTGTCTCGTTGTTGAGTTGTCCCTTCGAGGAAGGCGATCGTATCGCTGTCAGGGCGAATGAGTATCTGCATCGCTTTACTGAGATCCTTTGGCGGCTGGACAAGAGCGAGCTGCTCAATTCGTTGAGCTTGCAGACTTGGATCGATACTGGACGGCAAGAATGAGTCACAGATGTATGCAGTCTGCATCTTACGCGACTCTGTATTCGTGGCCGCGAGCTGTACCGATCGAGATTCTAGAGTTTTCCATGTACCGACTCCGCAGGCTCGCTTGTAGACTTTACAATCTTGGCCTCCATGTAATCAATCTTCATTGTTGTCGCAACATCTTTCCAGGAGACAGAGACTTTCTCTAGCAGACTAGCTGATCCAGCGACACCGTGCTTGACGCGGCTGGTCAGGAACACGCCACGTTCGTCGCTTGGATTGCAAAACCGGTGGATGGTGATAAGGACCAGATTTTCCTCGGGCCAGTGGAGGGATTTCTTATGATTCATGTAAGACCGACTCTGCAGATGTACCTACCTGTCAGAATGCCGCAGCTTAGCCACCGACAGCTGCGCAATAATCTGCACTCAAAGCTACATCGGGAGCTGGACTGTTCCGTTCCTCTTTCATTCATTACACTCTGGCCACGACCAACGCCACGGTGGTTTTTGTCTACCTCGAGCCCGGCTGGACGTATGCATTTAGTGTTTCTGCTGGCTTCCAGAGCTGTACGGATTCCTGCACTATCTCTTATACCCTTGACGATGTGCCGTTCGAGAGCTACTTTCCTTATTATACCGAATTAGGCAAGAATGCGGACTTTTATGGTCAATATCATGCTCTAACGACGGACCCTACTATGTCGTTTTCCCGGCGGTTACGCAGGTGATGGGTATCGAGATGAGCTGTGCAGGCGGTGGAGTGTTTGCCGACTTCGCAGGGGCTAATCTCTGGGGGCTGTTGGTGGATCCGCCGTAGACGGTCTTCTAGGTAGACCTACCTCTATATACCCTTGGAAGCGTTGAATGTTAGACGAATTGATCGAGATTCATTTCATTCTTATCAACTTCGCATATGGCATCGATACCTTGACGGTGATTGCGAAGACCGAGACAACAATAATCAACGATTATCGTAATGATTCACTGAATCTCATTACCCCGTTTAGGACTCAAAGCGCAGGAGATGATATAGAGATGGCTTCACTTAGAGATGCGAGCGAAAGGCATGCTACTGATGGTCACTTCTGCGATGCGGATGATCATCAAGTCATCCCTCGACTGAACGTACCCCAAGTGGACATAACCACCGGAGCACAATAAAGTTGTGCGCGCAAAGTGGATCGGGAAGCGGAGAAGTGGATCTGCAACTGGAAGGGGTCTGGGTGGGGAAAGGACTGCCAAGGCTAAGTGGCAACCGGCGGCAGGGCACCTTCCCCCCACAGATGTGTCCACCTTTCCTGTCCCCCATCGCTCTGACAGATGCTCATCAGACAGCATGGCTGAAGCCAGCAGACACCGTTGTCCTATCTGCAGCAAATCATTCGGCTCGAAACAAAATTTGAGTCGTCATGGCAAGACACGTGAGGATGCAATTGCGCACACACATTGTCCGGTGGGTTAACCGCGGATAGACAACATGGAACGCAAGTACACATGTTCCAGCTGTGCACAGCATTTTACTCGTAGTGATCTGCTCAGACGCCATGTGCGGTTGCATGCATCGGAGACAGTCTCAACTACAGTGCAGCAAGCGGACCGGCAACCTGATACCCTGCCTTTGATAATGCCACAGATCTTATCAGCAGACGTTCATTCCTCGAGCAACCACGCCCCTGGCGCATCGCTAACACAATGGCCATTGTGGGATCACGCGGACTTGCTATCCTGCGACCATATCCCAGAAGGTATCCTCCAGGACGAAGCCTCTTGGCAGTCCTTTCTGCACAGTGACAGCACGTACTGCTTGACTGACTGGGACATCAACGACACTTCGCCAGTCGGCGAGGACACAGCCATGCGCGATGCTGCGGTGGCAACATCTCAGCCCAGTACTGCCCCCTCTCCTCCGAACGAAACATCACGCGAAGATCAAACACCCTTCGCTTGGGACCCGGCTTCCAGAAGAATATCTCACATCGGTGAAGTTATATTCGATCCTGATGATCCCTTGCTGTTGAATGTCGAACCACGATTTGCGCTCACACAAGAACGATACCTGCACCTCAAGGCGGTTCTAAGACAGGATATTGTCACTAACGATAGAAAGACTGTTGGGGGAATGCCCAGTATACCGTCCATTGAAGTCTTGAACGTGTTTCTCTCACAGTTCGTCCGCTATTTCCTGCCTCAGGCCCCAGTTTTGCATTACCCAACGTTCGAGATAAATACCACTTGCCCAGACCACCTTCTCATGATCATGATTGCAATCGGCGCTGTCTATTGCAAGCGGAGGAACGTCCGGCGATTTGCTATCGTGTTGCAGGATCTTGCAAGATGTCATCTCCTCATGGCTGTTACCGCAAATGATGTTCTCTTGAAGGATCCGAACACGGTGTACAGTTCGGCTCTAATCCGCTACGCTGGTATCTGGTGTGGCAACAAACGCGCATTTGAACTTGCAGAAGCCTTGAGCGTTGTCGCGTGGACCCGCAGATTGCCGAATCACACACCTGCGACTGAAGGCAATCGGACTGGCGATCAAGATGTTTGGCTCAACTGGATCCGCATCGAATCCTTGAAAAGATTGAAATGGACAGTGTTCATGTTCGACTTCCAGATATCTCTCCTTACCAACACGCCTCCCAACATGAGTCTAAGTGAGGTTTTCGACTGGGAGTGTCCGTGTGATGACGAGTACTGGACTGCGCCGACCGCCCGACAATGCAAGCTTCTACTTGGCAGTGCGGTTGTGCCACCTTCGAAGTCATTCGCTGCAGCATTAGGTCCATTCATTCTGAACACACCAAACCTTCGACCGCTCAAACAGTTGAACGACTTCGGTGCCTTTCTGGTGCTTCTGTCGGTTAACATGAGAGTATTTCATTACAAGGAAGAACAAAATATGCTTATGAAGCTTGCACATCTGGCGTTTGACGGCGGGGAGCATGAACACAGCTTAGAGAATCTACCAACTCCTGACCCCGAAGACTGGAAACCATTGGCCAGTATGTATCATCACTAGCACGATGCTCAGGGTACCAGTGTTCACTGACTCTCATAGGATCGCTCGAGCTCTGGAAACTGACTTATGTCGGTACGGTGCAAGATGACTCACGCGGTGGGTCCTTCTTTCAGGCAGCTGGCCAAGTCATGATGAACTTCTCTCGGCTTCAGATGCAAACATCAATCTCAGATCTACAGGAGATTATAGGGAAATCCGGTCGACCCGGGTTCGTGGAGGCAAGATCTAGATTCACAATATGGTTCGCGACTCATGCGGAGAACACTCGTAACCTCGTCAGCGTCTCTATCAAAGCGATCGAAGAGTCTCGCCGTGCGCTACTTGATAACAATCATCGGGCAATCTCTGTCGGCGAACTATATCCCGGGACACCATCTACGTTGTCGCCATACGGACCGATCTACATATTCCTGAGTTATGTCTTCCTTTGCGCTTGCGCTACCGCAATGACGTTGGACCAGAAAGAGCAGCTATACAATCCGTTGTCGGCGCAGTTGGCTGGAGAAGTCCACAATCCGAATGATCATTCCATTCTGGCTAATCTGTGTGGCAGCGATAACGACACAGCCGGGAAGGAGATTCTCAGACACGCAGCACAGACATTGGCCCTTTTCGAGAGTTGGGGATGTTCAACAAATTTGGCTCTGTTACTACACTGGAGGTCTAGGATCAATTAAGAAGCTGGCATGTCAAAGTCTCCCCTACAGATCCAATGACTCAGCGGAATGATGCTTCTGCCTTCGCCCCATGCGTTGCTGTTTACCCGATAACGTATCGGTCAAGCAATTGATCCTGACGACGATTTTATGCAATATGTACAAGTCTGGTCAAACTTGTGGCTACATAGTTCTTCACAAGACACGCACCACTCACACAGTGGCAGCTTTTCCTTCTGCAGCCGTTGCCACAACTCCTTCAGCCGCTCTTCCATCCGTGTACTGCTGGAACTTTTTTGGCGCAATTTTGTTCTCGTACAACCAATCAATCTCCGCAGTTGTCAAACCCCTCAGGTCAGGAATGAGCGGATAAGAGACTAGGGAAAGCACCAACGAAGACCCAGCGAACACCAACGCAGTCCTTGCGCCGAGGTCTCCACTATCGATGTTGTACATGTAAGGTACGACAAAGTTGAAGAGCCAGGTGGTGAGCGCATTTGAGAGAATCGCAATCGCTTGGTTCTTTGAGCGCAAGCGGTATGGAGAAATCTCTCCGGCAATGACGAAGGCGACAGAAGTGAGGGTTGTACTTTGCCAGCATACTAAGATATTCCTGGAATATGGGTCAGCTTGTTCTTGCGCCGAGGAATATGGCGGGTTTGTCCTTACATCAAAATCGCAATGGCCCAAAGAGCTCCCTTTCCTGGTGCCCAGTACAAGCCGCCGATAACTGCCATGACCACCGTGTTGACGGTACAGCCGACCAACCAGAGCGATCTACGACCAACCTTCTCGAGGTGAACCCAAGACGCGATGATGGCAAAGAATGCAAGGGCAAAGCCACCGATGGAAACATCGAAAGTGTGGATGGCCGGTAGTCCTGCAGTGAGGAGGAAGTAAATGCTTTGAGCCAAGAAGGATGAGCCGGCAAGACCAATGCCAAAGAACAAGAGATGCACTGTCATGGTCCTCTTGAGGTTGCTGCCGCGGTACAGTTCAAGGTAACCGCCGATACCCGAGGCGTGCTCTTGAGCAGCTTCCTGGCGGACTCTGCTCGCGATCGACTCGTACCAGGCTTCAGGATTGTTTTTTCCTCCATACAATTGAGCGACGGCCTTTTTAGCTTGATCCTGACGTCCCTTGATGATCAACCAAGTGGGACTTTCCGGTACCAGGAAGAACAAGATGCAAGTAAGTCCACAGAAAGCCCATTGTATGGCGAAAACGGTGCGAAAAGCGCTTGGCTCGATGCTAGCAATATGCTGACGAACCACGACCAAAGCGAGCGCTTGCACGAGAACTTGGAAGAGCACGATGCCAGACTGTATCGGACCGCGCAAGCAGGCAGGTGAAATTTCTGAAGCCCATGCAGTTCCGGAACTCAGAATACCGCCGATGGCAAATCCGTTGACCACTTTGCCTGCCAGGATCATGCCGCGAGATGTTGCACCATACTGGAGCCCGACTCCGACGACAGAGATAAGGCACGACACGATAATGGCGACCTTCCTGCCATACTTGTCAGACAGAGGAGCGACCGCAATGCCACCGACGGCTTGCCCAAGTGCAGACATGGCGCTGAACAACGATGCCCAGATGCTAGGCAAGTACAGTGTGTGGTTTGGTGTCACTGCGCCAAAGTAGATGAGGAAGCTGGGCATGGCGATTGCGGCGCCGTTGATGACCACATCGTAGCCAAAGGTCATGCCTGCTACGCCCGCTGCGAGAGAAAATAGGACGATTCGGGGGAATGTCTTTGCTGCTTGCCAGAGTGTGAGGTGTTCTTGTTCGTCGTGAAGTGCGTCTCCATTGGTCGTGCCATTGTTGGCCATCATCTCAATATGTTCCGCCCTGGCGTCGTGCTTGTCCACGGAAAGGTCCATCGTATAGTTATGTTTAAGTGAAGATGAACGATGGAGGGCACCGATGGATGTGTTACGAGACGTGGTCAAGCTCGATTATTAAATCAAGCCTGTGGGGATGATCCCCGTGGGGTTGCGACGCCTCACACAACCTGAGAATGTCCACTTTGTGTCCACTTTGACTATCACTAGCCTCGCTGCAACTCACACCGACCCCCCGCTTCCCCACATTGTGATGTGGATAATCTCGGTGGACATCTACTGTGGACAACTGTGGTCCGCGATCAACACTAGCCCACAAGTGCAGAGAAAGCCCCGACTTACCCATCAAGGTTCGAAATCATGCTCACGCCGTCCGCCCTCATCTTTTTTCCACAATTGAGTATCCCAGCAACCATGCCAATGACCATCGTATACCCACGACGCATCGTCGCAAACAAGGGCGAACAGATCGACCCTGCAGAATGTCATGCTTTACCTTTTACCCTCACAAGCAACGATATCAGCAAGCCAGAGATCATCTTGGACTATGGACGAGCAGAGAGAGGACGGCCTTTTTTCGAAGTCGCGAGCGCAGGATCTACCGTGGGAAACATCCTGTTCGAGGCCGTCTACAGCGAACAATTCGGTGCCATCAGCGACAAAGGCGGAGACGGTCCCTACTTCCTCTTCTCAAATGCAATGGATACGTACCGAAACGTCCTCCACGAGGTTAAACCGTCATCATCAACGCACACAGTGGTCGCAAGACATGAGCAATGCTCTCAGCGCTATCAGCGAATCAGGCTTCTGACTCCAAACACATCCATCACCTTTCTTTCGGTCGGCTTTTGGTCTGCAAAGTCAGAAAAAGCTTCTCCATCCTTATTCCGCTGTTCAGACCCGAAGCTCAACAAGATATGGGAACAAGGTGTACGTACTATCGAGATGTGCACTGTACAGAAAAACGAGACGCTTCCGGCGTGGGACGTCACTGCTGATGGCACTACGATACACGGTTCACACTGGGCTCCTTGTCGTCAGGGGACTCGCTGGACGGATATCTGTGTTCGTTTCGATGTCAGGATTGATCGCAGGGGAGCGAGCTGGGGTATTCACATGGTCGCAAACGGCCTTGTCTTCTGCCTTGACAAAGAGCGGCGGACACTTACCGCACATGAAGGATTGTCACACGAATCTTCTGTCTTTCCATCAGTCGCAAGAGGTGACTGGCTGATAGACGGCAAAGTTCTTGAACCCGAATGGCTATCCATTAGGATGTTCGCTGAAGGTGCTCAAGTTTTGGTTCTCATCAACGATGTCGAGGTCGCAACTGTTTCTGATCTCGACCTCCACCCACTTCTTGGTGGTTCAGCGAACAACTCTGGGTCTATCGCCTTCGGCGGGCCTTCAGGTTGGACCTCGACCCTTCGAAACTTGACTGTTACGGATCTCGACGCCGCCACACTCTACTCGAACAGCTTCCTGCCTGTCGACAAGGAAAGAACATTTGCCGATTTCGCCGTCGGTACAAACCCTCTGCCTTGTATGATCGATGGTGCAAAACGAGACAGAGCGGTGTTTGGTGGTGACCTGCACATTTCCGGCAGGGCGGCGGCATTCTCGAGCGCCAATCTCGAAGCAGTCCGAGGGAGTATCGAGCTACTTACCTCACATCAGACCAAGGATGGTTATCTTGGCAATCTTTGTCCAATTCAGGCGCCGAAACACACTACTGATGACGAGCCACCCACATATGCTTTCTATTCATTGACTTATGCTTTGCTGCTTATGGTCGCTGTCAAAGACTATTGGTTGTTCTCTGGGGACGAGACAATTGTGGGGGAAATCTGGCAAAAAGCTAAGAATCTGATCGCTTTTGCGGAACGATTTCAGGATGATAGACTGCTTGTTGCAGCCCCTCCACCACTGTCATGCATGTATTTCCAATCATCGAACCCATTCGTGCCATACTAATGCTCGAGGCAGTAACATTCTTTCCCCTGAGTGGTCCAGTCCTCGGAGTTTCTACCGAGATCAATCTCGCATTCTACGACGCTCTCAAAGCCATGGCGGCAATGTCACCGTCTGACAAAGAGAAGCAGGAATCAGAAACAAAAGCTGACGTCCTCAAGCAAGCCATCATTCAGCATCTATGGGACGAGGAAAGTGGTATACTACACATGAGTGACACTTCTTCACCAACTGGACTATGTGCTCACGTCAATGCGTATGGTCTTTCCCTGGATATCAAGCCTCCTCACACGGAAGACAAAGAGAATTTAGTCCAACCAAGCAGCAAGCTTCCGCTGGCTTTCCGAGGTCTAGAACCACGATTTGATTCAGCAGGACTTTGTAGTCCATACAGTGCCGCCTTCGCCGTCGAGGCATGCTTCAGCCAGAATGACGGCCTTGGAGCACTCAGTCTGCTCGATCGCGTCTGGGGTCCTATGACAGACGAAACACACCCCAACTTCTCAGGAGGCTTGTGGGAAGCCATGAATGCAGAAGGCGAACCCCTACACAAGGATACTTCTCTCATGCATGCTTGGTCTTCGAGTCCAGTATATCTGCTGCCAATGTACCTCGCCGGTGTTGAGCCAACGAAGCCTGGCTGGGAAGAGTGGAAAACTTCGCCTGTCTATGCGGAACTTGATGAAGTTGAAGCTGTAGTCGAAACGCCAGCTGGCTTGCTGCAGATCCGATGGATCTTCAAGACTGATGAAGAAGATCGTGGCTTTGTTTTTGTTGATGTGCCAAAGGGTACCGTTGGTGTCATTTCGCCCCCCAAAGGATGGCTTATCGGTAATGGAGACTGGACTTGTGGTTATTCAGAGACTGGTATTGTGGTAGAGTCTGGGACGATAAGGCTGCTCTTGAGGCGCGAGTGTTAGCGTTTGCATCTTCGGATGTTTGCGTTAGACTTTCGACCATGTCTGCTCTTGGAGTATTTTCTAGAGTTAGCTTCCTCCTTGGAACCTTGCTCCCATCTCCGCATCTTCCCCGCGCCTTCCTCAGAATAGTCCCGCACGCCATGCCCCGCATTGCGCCCTCCCGAACTCACTCGCTCCAGCGATACCATGCTCATCAACCTTTCACTGACCAGACACCGCATACGAGATCATGCATGGCGCATGAGGATCGTAGACCAGGCTCCGGTCCAACAACATCAAGATCAGAATCCTGCATTGTTAAAACAGATCATCTGTTCGACAAAATGAGATTCGTTTCAATTCTTCTTTCCTTGGCCTGCTCCACTGTGCTTGTTTCCGGAGATCGCCACGTCGTTGGGTCATTCCTAGATACCAGGGATGATTCTGGGCGACACGCCGTTGGCGCAGCTGCCGATGTCTTTCGTCGCGCAGCCTGCAACGCTGATAACTGTGCCCGTACTGTGACAGGCACCTCCAGAGGCGCAGCCACCAGCAAGCAACGTCTGCAAGACTGTTCGTCATTCTTTGCCTTCACAGTGACTCCAGCCGCGGTCACGTCTACCGTCACAGTCACACCATCTCCCATCACTGTGTTCTCCATATCTTTCACCACATCCACTCTTACTGTTGCACCCACCACCACAACCGATATCGAGGTCTACAACAATAACAAGAAACGAGGCACAATGATGCAGTGACCGTATCGCCAACTGCTGTACCTGCCTATGCTTCAGCTTGCTCCGGCACCGCCCGTTACAGCAGTGCATGCTCTTGTGCTGAGGTAACAGCCAGCTGCACCACTGTCGCAACCCCAACAACCACAATCACAGTCACGGCAGCTCCATCCACCACAACAGAGCAGACCATTGCGACCGCCACCGCAACCGCGGGCGGCGTCTATCAAGACCAGATTCCTTGTGGTCAGACAGTCACCGGAGCCGATGGATTCCGCATCACCGTCATTTGCGAGGCCACCCTGAGTGGTTCCGAACAGTTGCTCTCTTCCACGACTGTCGGTGACTAGGACCAGTGCATCTCGTTGGCCGACAGCACAAGCGCTTGTACCAGTTTCACCTACCAGTTGGCTACGCGCCAGTGCAACTTGTACAGAGACTCGAACAACAACTTCTCCAACATGCCTGCTAGTGGTATGGTGTATGCTTACTTCCCTCAAAATCAGTGAGGAACTCTCACATACAGTTTGATTTAGGCAGGGTCCAGAGATTTCTTGTTTGAGCTGGTTGGCTTCCGAAACTGTTTGTCGTTTGGTGCTCTAAGGTTTCGATCCGGTTTTGGCGAATAGTGATGGTTCGTGTCGAATTACAAAACCGTCTACCGTCGATTTGACCAAGACCAGTTTATACCGTAACTTTTCGCAAGCTCAGTCTAGAACTTTTCTTCGGTGGCTATAGTGAATTTTCGTGGGACGAGGGCCAACAGTTTACGCTTGCAGGAACTCGCAAAATATGGTGATGAACTCGCGACGGCTTGATAGACACGTAAACTTGTGAAAACAATCCTTGTCATCTTTCAACCACTATGGTTATCCATAGGTATCATCACGCTCAGCGATTGATAGGAAGATTCTTTCCCAGGACTAGTAAAAGTCCACAGCAAACCGATGGTCTGCAGAAGCAATATCAGGAACACCAGACCCTCCGGTAACATACACCTTGCCCTTGATACCTTGTTGTGCCTCGATGGCAGCTTTATTCGGACCTCCCAGCCAATTGCCCATAGTACTGGCAATGACATGCTTTCCATCTGCTCTGGTCTGATAAGCAGACCCTGGAGCGTGGATCGGAGTAGTGAATCCACCTGTTCTGTTCGTGCCATCAGTAGATCGGATTGTCGCTGCGCCATCGTTTCCTTGCTCGACACTGACGTCTCCGTGCCCCTTGTGGTCGTCGGATGCTTCGAGTTGGAATCCGACCCATGTGGCGGGGATTTTGTCGCCGCGCTGGACGCGACCTTTGAAAGAAGATGGTAGATCGACTGAGATGGTATGCCCCGCAGGAACATGCACTGACTTGATGGGATGGTCGAAGTTGGCTCCGGCTGTGCCGTTTCCATTCCAGTAGTTGTCGTAGAAGAAGTAAGTCTCGTCGTGTTGAGATTTGTTGGTTAGCAAGACGCCAGGCTTCTTGTCAACACCCTTGGGAGGTGCTGCAGTTTGCTTCGCTACGAGGACATGTGCATGAATTGGAGTAGGCTCATCTAGGTCTGGGAAAGAGTAAGATACGCTGACTATCTGGATGGTTCTCGATCCGATCTGCTGGGAAGCTAACCTGGTCTGGCATCTCCATTACTGTAAGTGATCAAGATGTCTTTACTTCCTTCAGCTGCGCTACTCTGTACACATAGTCAGTCATTGATATTCTATAAGAGGGTTCCGAGCATATATCTATGCAGATCTCGTACCTGAGCGTTGTCTCGTGGGTCTCCCTTATCTCCCTTCCAAGCACCTTTTCCAACATAGGACAAGTCATCAAACTTATGTACAAATGCTTCAAGGTGAGGATTATCCTTGGTCGCGTCCATTCTGATTATGTTTCCAGCTCCGTCAAAATGGAGCGACTGTTTGATCTCGTTCTTCGTATTCTGATCGGCCGAGTGCCATGCTTTATTGAGAGCCTGCATGAAGGTAGGATGACCTTTGATTGTCTTGGGGTTGCCGACCTGCATAATGGTCATGTTGCCACCTGCACCAGTGATGTTGCTGATATCGAAGAAGTCGTTGCCGTTGAAGCCTTTCTTGGTGATTTCAGCTTGTTCGCCTTCATGACCGTTATGGAGGGCGATGATGGCTCCGGAAGATCCATCAGGGGCGTTGATCTTCGCTCGTTCGTTGCTCTTGACAACGACATTATGATTGTTGTTCCAGCCGTGGACCTCGAATTCTTGGCTATGAGGAGACTTGTTATGGATGGTTACAGTGTGCGACATGATTGCTGTGTTGATATGATGGAGGTGAAGTGGATGAATATGTTGATGATGTTCTCGGGATGAGGGACTACTTTTGTATCTCGAAAGTTTTCCAGGATCAATTCGCAAGGCTGAGATGCCACGACTGGGATCCAGGTAATGTCCGAGGCTGCGTCGAGCGTCACTCAGATCGTGACTTTTCCTCGGTGCCTTCTGGACAGCCCTAAGGGATTTTCTGCCATCGAGAATACTTGGGCATTTCTGACCGAACTCTCGCCTGTGGCTTTCCAGTATTATCACGAGGAATGGAAGCTATCAGAATTCAAGTGTTTACCGGAGAATGATGGAGCCAGCCTTGTGAGTGTTGGGTGTTGGTGGGAGACAGAAGGCTGAGGATCATAAGCCACAGCCTCGTGCCCCACCTTCCCACGATACTGACAAGGCAACAAGGCCAACGCATCGGTCACAACCATTTTCTCCATCTGGACAAAGCTTGAGTAGCACTATCAAGCTTTTGGCTGTGAAGTGATTTCGGGAAGAGCAGTAAGCGAGGTGCTCAGCCCGGACATTGCGAATCAGGCAGCCAGCTTGTGAGATTGTCCAGCCTTCTGCAAAGCCACATCTGTGCGCGAAATCATGCTTGATTCACTGCCCCGGTTTCGTTTTCGCATCATCTAGTCGTACCGGAGTGGATCAGGAAAGAGCGAGGACACCAGATAAAGTGTACATTTAGCCCTCACCATGCACTGGATGATCAACATCCTTACCTCGTCCGACCTACAGCTGACAGCTTCAATTCTCTGCTCCTCAGTGTCTGTATCTCTTGTTACCTACAGCCAGACCGAAGTCCCGGATAGACCAAGATGGTCAAGAAACGTGTTCTCCTCTGGGACTACACCAACACTCGTGATGTGAAGTGGGCTATGGACAAAATCAACTTCAAAGGCCCACTTCACTCATGCAGCAACTGGAACACCTGGTACCCTGATGAACTGAAGCATCGCCTACCCTTCCGCCCCATGATTCATGGGAAGAATAACCTGACCGGCGGAGAGTGGCAAAATATCTTGAAGACCAATGAAGAAGTGATTCACTTTTTCAACGAGCCCGAGCGCGCAGGTATCTCACCAGAAGAGGCAGCCAAGATCTGGAACGACCAGGTTCTTGCTCTTCGTACTTCCCATCACAAAAGACTGGTCAGTCCCTCATGTGCTTCTGACCCAGCCGGTATCGCTTGGATCAAGAAGTGGATGAATCTGGTTGCCAAGAACCCTCCAGACTACCTTGGGCTGCACTGGTATGGCACCAAAGGCGACGAGATGATCCGGTATCTCGAGAGCATGCACAAGGAACATCCACATCAACCCATCATCGTCTCAGAATGGGCATCGACTTCCCGAAGCTACCCCGATGTCTTAGGGCTGACGGTGCAGCTTGCGAACTGGATGGACAGTACGCCTTGGGTCGCCGAATATGCGCTTTTCGGGTGTATGAGACAGATGGCTGATGACTTTGTCTCCCCTGAGGCGCAGTTGATGAACAAAGATGGAAGCTTCACTGATTTGATGTGGAAGTATATGTCGGACCAACCTATGCATATCTAGGTAGGGCAGATTCTTTTGCCAATTGAGGGCAGCCCGTTGTACTGTTAATACTCCCTATTCGTCCCAAAGTGCCGTGTTAAGTGCCGTCAGAAAGGATGCCAAACTCTTGTCGCGGTTGGACTTACGTTTTGATTGGAGAAACCATTGTATCTACGGGTTACTGAGTCGTTGAGATTATATTCATATGCTCGACATGGCTGAAAATGACGTTCTCACATTAACTCCATTGTATATGTGCATTACTCAAGGGGAAGATCGTAAGTCGCATGCTTCGAAAGCGACCAGGCCGTGTTGCCGTTTCCGGTGTTAAGCTGCTTGCATGCGCTTTGTTGGATCTCGAATCATGTCCAACACACGTCCGACGATCAATGCAGATGACGGCTTGTCTGCATGATAAGACTTCCTGACCAATCGTGATCTTTGAGAAGGCAACTAAGGCAGTTTCCAAAGCCCACACTACCCAAAGACTGCTGCAGCTGCATGTCGAAGCCTCGTTGGGTCGCAATGCGCGGTCACAAGCTAGAATGAATATACAAAATGCCAGATTTCGATTATATGCCGGTACACGCAGATCGCTTCCAGTCTCTCGGGACCACTGACCAGGAGGCCATTGCTATGGAACATCTTGTCGCTTGTATGAATGGTTCACCGATATCTGCATACGTAGACTGACGTCTTTGAAGCCCTGAACGACCATACAAATGGTCCCAGTCCACATAACGACGACCCTACAATCATCTCAACCGTCAACGACCTTGAATTCGAGCGAGAAACATCGGGACAGACATCGATGGCGCTAGTCGCAACCTCAAGAGACCCGCGAAAGTCGATACCCAGATCAATCTTGTCCATCATCAGGTCCTGGTGGCGGGAAGTCATTGCCATGCTCATTAGCATAGCCGCGCTGGTCGCCATATGCGGAATTCTGTTTGCTTATCAGAACCAGCCACTTTCTGCGTGGCGCTTTCGGTATCTCCCAAATTCTATCGTTTCGCAACTGATGACCATTTCGAGGAGTGCTCTCATGTTCTCTACGGCCAGCAATATCAGTCAAGCCCTCTGGGATTACGTGCCACAAGAGCCCTGGGCCTTGATTGAGGTTCAATCCTTCGACGATGCAAGCAGGGGACCATATGGTGCAGCTCTGATGCTTGTATATGCAACTCGATACTGCTTCCCAGGTCTACTCGGATTGTTCATCACTGTCGCAACACTTCTAATGGGATCCTTTACGTAACAAGTCATGCAATATGCTTTGAGGATGGACCTGGGAGAGACAAACGGCACTTTTCCTTTGACACAACGTTTCGTTCATTTCCAGTACCAGCAATTTTGTAAGTCTTTATTCCTCTCATTGTAGTTTGGTAGTGGGGTAAAACACTGATAGAGGCTGACCCTGAGACAGCGGCTTCCGAGTTAGTCAATTAGTGCTGGGACTGGACAGACTGGACTTGGATATCCAGTGGATATCTAGTGGATATCTACCGGACTTGGACAGAGCCTTGTCCATCTAGATATCCAGTCCAACTGGATTATCTAGTGGATATCTACTGGATTTTTCGAGTCAGGGTTGTCCTTACAGCTAGCACATAGTTTGCAAAAGGTATATAACATATTATGCTAACATAACCTTATGTCAGCATAACTATACAGCGTTCCGCTTGCTACACCTAATTACCTATGCTTGGCAACTAATCCACTAGATCCCACAGATCTAAACTAGATATCTAGTACAACTGGATTTCCACTGGATTGATCTAGTTGGACTGGATTAATGGACTTAGACAGAGGGGTGTCCAAGTCCAGTCTACTGAGTCTTACCACTGCAGTCAATTCTAGTATTTAAGCCCACATTGTCGACAGCATACTTGAGAATCCTCCTAGCGACGCTTTCGTGTGTCCTTCTGACTCTTGTGCCTGGGGACTCGCTTCGACCCTGGGCATATATTCGACTTGCAAAGACGTTAGTTCGATGACCCAGGCCAACTGCTCCCACAAACCACCGAATCATGTCTGCAGCTACACAACTCCGAGCGGATTCTTTTTGCAAACTTACGATCTGGATATGGCCAAGTATACGTCAATCAACACATCGACCGACTACGGCCCTGATACAAAGAATCCCACCCTTATAGGCTTTGCCTCGCTGGTCTCGAACGGTATCTTCTATGACAAGCCCCCCAACATAACTGAATGTATGCTTTCATGGTGCGCCAAGACCTACGAGAACGCCACTTCGCGCAACGGAGTGTTTTCGGCTACAGTGAAAGATCACGATCTGGAATATTCGTATACTTGGGAGGATCCGGACTCACTAACACTTGTCTCTTGGGACGTCTTTGGAGTCAAAAGAAATGATCTTCCCGGAGGTCCAAACACAACGTTCATGATTCACAGAAGCAGTCTGCAATCGATGGGGGCTTTCATCGACACAGTGCTGCAGGCGGGAGTCTCGAACGGATACTATCAATTCCAAAGCGGAACGCTCGAGGCTGGGGTGTTCAACTTTGGTAACCTGATGCTCAACGATCCTACCATAAGTGACATGGGAGAGAGCCTGGCAAAAGGTCTAACCAACATCGTTCGCAACATGTCAACAACATACACCGAACAATTCCCTGGTGTATCCCACGTCTTTGCAGGGCTGGAGTGATGAGGACTTGAATAAAGATGGCAGGAGTGAGATGATGGAATCTGCAAAGTCCATGCGAGGACAATTGGTGTATGCCGAAAATACTGGCTATAGAATTGTTCGGAGATCAGTGCTGTCAAACAGGTCACTGGATAGATAGCAGCAGCAGCAAGATAGACCAGATCTTTCGTCGCGCGAAGTGGATTCAGATTTCTTCCCAAGCACCGCTGCTTATGAGAAAGCTCGTGTTGTCGTCTACGAGCTGACATCGATCCGTTGTTCATCTCATAGGCGTATATGACCTTTCCTCAAACAGTATGGCCCGACAATCCAGCCGAAATCTTGACTGGGCGAAATGGAATGAGTGGACTTGATTGCGGAGTCTAATACCGCCGAGCGCTATTGGTATTCTCGGAGCAGGTGTGCGAGTTCCGCACCCAAGTAAAGAACAGTTTAATTCATGTTTGATATTATTGTTGATTCGTTCCAACTGATCTTACTGTACATCAGTCCAAATTAGTCAAGGCCATTAATGGCCGACTTTTGCTCTTTCCAAGTCAATATCCAAAGTTTCCATCGGATAATCCCAATTTATTTGGGAGCCTTGTTTCTCTGCAAGCGCAAGCAAGTAGCGATGTTGTAGAAGATGTCGACGTTGTTGTAGACACCTCCGAAAGCGCTCTGGCAGGGTCCTTGAGCGAAGACGGGAACATCGGTGAGCGAATGCACACCTTGGTCGGCAGAGACAGGAAGCGTTCCGTTGACCAAAAACCCACTTACTGCGTCGATATAGTTGACATAAAAGTCGTTGCTGCTGAAACCAGTGACATTGAGTGCAGGGATGCGAGGTCCCTTCTTGTGGACGCGGTAGTTCTCGCGGTGGTCGGGGAACGTCGCGAGACCAGACTGCAGAGTGTAGCGAGGGTCCCAGTTGACAGGGAAGTCGACACCGGCGGAATATACGAGGTTCTGGTCGCTGCCAATGGGGGCAGACCGGTTAGCGACCATATACTGACTCAATCCGCTTTGCTCGTAGGTTCCAACGGCGTCTCTCTTCTTTCTATCGCTTGTCTGGGCATCCATATACTTTGTGTCAACGCCGCCGGTGACGTCGAAACCATGCCCGTGGTCCGCGGTCACTATAATTAGAGTGTTCTCGAGTTCACCGATTTCCTCAAGGTGCTTCTTGGTCGCCTTGATGGTATCATCCAACTCGAGCAATTCACCAAGAGCTCTATCGTAGTCAAGTACGTGCATCATCTTGTCTGATGGTGTTGTCAGTGTTGAAGGTCACACGGGGCAGTCGAAAATGGATGAAACTGACCAATAGAAGCGGCCTCGGACATAAGGAAGAAACCCTTGTCGGGGTTACGCTTGTGCAGGATGTCAATAGCCTTGAGAGTCATCTCTTTGAGACCGGGTTGGTCAGTCGCAGCTGCACTGCTGCCATCGGGAGCAGTCTTGGGGATCTGGGTGTTGTTCTTGTAGACATTTCTGTCCAGCCACTTGGCCATGTTGGAGACGGAGAAGATACCCAGAGTGCGCTCGGTGTTGGAAGCATTCTTGAGAGCGGTGTTGTTTTGGACCACGTTGTAGCCCTTGTTGCGGAATTGTTGATAGTAATCCAAGCCTTGGAAGGATTTGCTGCTGGGTATGAACTGCTCGGCACCACCACCGAAGAGAACATCAGGTCCATCGAACTCTGGCCATGTGTAGTTCTTGATACCGTTGAGGAATGAGTCAACGACGTTGCCGTACTGGCCGCGATTGCGCGTATGGGCTTGGAGATGTTAGCGATCTCCATATGGACGAATCGAGATTGGTAAGCTTACCCGTCAAAGCACCAGGAGTTGCGTCGGCGATGAAGGCAGTAGAGACGATACCAACGCCACCACCACGGACTTCATGGAACAGCTCGCCAATTGATTGAATCTTCGGGTCGTCTAGCGGATTAGGGGATGAGTCGGCATAGACACCAAGGGCATTGACTGAACTCTTGTGACCTGTGTAAAGGGCAGTGGCCGAGTTTGCAGAGTCAGTGATGAAAGAGTCAATCGAGTGGGTCATCCTGGAGACACAGTTAGTATGCCACTTGTGTAGGTGCGACAGTGGTATAGAGGACGCTGTGCCCTCGATAAACGTACTGGTGACCCAAGACTGGGAAGCTGTCCATAGCCATTTTACTTTGGTACTTTCCGTTGACGCTCTGGTGCGCAATCAATCTAGCTGCTGTAATCATATTTGTAGTCATGCCGTCGCCGATAAACATGATAACGTTCTTTGCTTTTTGCGAAATTTTGGTGTCACGGACGGTCCAGTTGGCCTGGGTGACACTTCCGTTGCCGTAGGTAAGAGTAGCAATGTAATTTCCAGGCTCGTAAAGGGCAACCTTTCTGTAAGCCTTGGCCGCAACCTTGACCATTGAAGGTGTCTTTGCAGCCTGGGCGAACAGATCTTCGTACCAAGTGAAGTTCCATCTCTCAATGGCAGGTTCGGCGATCTTGAAGTAGGAAGCGGCGTTCTTGCAGTCCTTTTGCTGACCGTCCTTCGCGAGGGTGAAAGTAAAGTTCTCGTCGGGGGTGAGGTAGCCGGGTACGACCTCACTGCCGTTCTGAGGCGCGTGGGTCTCTAGACGGATGTCGAACCATTGACCGGGCAGGAAGTCAGACTGGTCAGGTGGAAACACACAGCCGAGGGTCGGGCATGCACCGAGACGCTGAAACGTCTGAGCGGATGCTTGACCAACAATGGCAGCAGTGCACACGACACAAGCGGTGCTGAAGCGCATTTTTTGAGGTGGGAAGTGAGAAATGAGTAAAGACGGTGACTGCACTTTTTCTACAAGAGCTCGGAGCTGCAGCTCCTTTATGCTGATCTGCTTCATCCTTCGGAACTCTGCCCTGACAGTCCATACACCAATCAATGCAATAAACAGTGCCATGCAGCTAAGAGTTCCTCCGCCCTTACAACAATCTCGCGTGGCGGGCGACGCGAGAAGGAACAGTCTACCGTCTTGCTGCGTGCGCCAAGTAGCGAGGCGTTCATAGCATGGTCTTGTCAATGAGAAAGTTTGAGAGATGAGGTTATGTTTTGGTGGAGGAAATGCGGTTGCGGCGAAGCTTCCAGGGTCTGCCAAGGCTTGGCGACCGCCGGCAACGACGGAGGCTTCATGGAGAGTTGCTTGTCGTTCCTTGCGTGAAGCGTTTCGAGCCAATCGTCCGCAGCACGTTGTGCGTGTCGCATATCAACGACCTTCCCTTCTGGAGAGACGGCTGGCACTCACGGCGTTGTGGCTGCAAGCTCAATGTAGAGCATGTCACTCATGCTTGCTTTGTCATGCGAGTATGCGTGCTTGTCGCTTATCTGCTCATTGGCTGCTTGTCTCGCCAAAAGAATATCTTCTCTGTTTCGGTGTTGCTGTTTGTTTGTCGAGTGGTCATTCGCGAAAGGGCGAATGAACTTTCGGCGCTGCGCCTTCCCCGCCCGGCCTTGGCTTCTGTCAATCTTGGCACCTGCTCTTGGAGCAGGGTCGTACTGTTTGCCATGGTTCTGATCAAGTCAACCGTTGATGATGCTTTGGAAAGAGGTTTTGGAAGACTTTGTGCATACAATTATGCTTATTACAACCTTTGCTTCCTGTCCCACATACTCTCTTGTTGGCAATAGACCTGTGTCACAATGTAATAGTGCCAGTAAGTTCGAACAAAATGTTCTGCTTCAAATTGCACCACATCTCGACACTGAGCACTTGCTCAACCTAAAAACACTGTGTAACCCGGACTACCTCAAGTCATCCTCGAGGTCAGTGATAGCACTGTCATCTACACGAAACATCTCCGTCTCACGGTGGTAGTCATTGCAGAGCAATCGGGGAGATGTCGCTCCAATGTCTCGATCGAGGTGCGGAAAATCGATTGCCGATGGTCTGTGCATCAGCTTATCCGCCACCGCCGCAACTTCTCCGCTTCCGTCTTCGTCTTGTTACCTTCTTGCTTACGAGCAACATCTCCGACCAACACCGGACAGACTGTATTGCAGCAGTGGTATGGCAGACTCGACCAATGGAACATCACCATCAACCAGCAGTTCGCGTCTTCAATCAGAGCACCATGGCCCGCGCAAACGTCAGAAAGTCACGCGAGCTTGCGATGGGTGTAAATCAAAAAAGAAGAGGTGTACCGGCGAGCAACCTTGTATGCCATGTCTGAAGCTGAGTTCGAAATGTACATACGAGGCGCAGTATAATAGAGGTACGTGAGAGGTAGTTCAAGCTTCGAGGTGTGACTGGCAACACGCGTAACGTCAAGAGCGCGCGGAAAAGCAGTACTCCCTGAGAACCCCCTTGTTCCTATCCCTAATCAATCCGCCACGTGATATTGTCATGATACGCCCGGACTGACATACGTGGAAGGTGTTGCTGTAGCTCCATCTCCAGCACCCACAGCAGGCTTACAACATCGGGCACAAAGATTCCTTAGCCCTGTAGCATCTGTATCTCGAGGCCCCATCTCTCATCGCCTCACAATTGGCCATGTCCATTCGGAAAATGGTGCAAGAAGTACGCCGCAGGAGACTCGAGAGACTCCGCCACTACGCATCGGAATTGACCGTGATGTAGCTCAAACTCCATGCCTACCAGCATATGGGCTCTTCTCGGACACGATTGATGGAGTCGCGAGACCAGGTTCCGCAAGACAGACACCAGAGATAGACGAAGCCATCGATGGACAGTATCTTGGACCTTCCAGTGCTCAATCTTTCTTGGGCAAAGCACTGCGGCGCCTCGATCGCGAATCAGTGCAAACTCCTGCCGCGAGGCAGGGAAAACACATCGAGACTGAGACGTCAACTCTATCGTTCGGTGATGCCAAAGTGAAACAACCAGATATCGCACAGTTCTCTTGGCCTGAATATAGAACTGCCACCAGGCTTCTTGAACGATTCTTCGAGTTTGCATCACCCACTTACAGATACTTTCATGAGCCCTCCGTATCGGAGTGGCTAGAACGGATCTATAACAAGAGCGATGTTCCTGTCGTCGCTCAAGCATGTATCCTATTCATGTTCGCCTCGGCGAGTGTGTTCGCTGTCGACCGCTCAGGCGATACGGTCGATGCCAATTCGCAAGGCTGGGAGTCAAGTGAGATATACTACCAAAAGGCGGAAGCTTTGCTGGCAGAAGAAACTGGTCCGCCGCGACTTGAGTCCGTGCAAGCGAGATTCGCCGCCGTTCAGTACCTGCTGTCAAGTTCGAGACCTACCAGGGCTTTGTACGCGTTCGGCACTACGGTGCAGATTATGCAAGCAGTAGGGCTACATCGAAAGCGAAGTGAAAGAGCTGGAAGACAAGGACTCGACATGATCGCAGTGGAAGTTCAAAGACGTCTGTTCTGGTGCGTTTTCACCTTGGACAAGTACTTGAGTATTGTCATGGGCCGCATACCGCTTCTCCGTGTCGATGACACAAATCAAGCACTTCCGATAGTAGTCAACGATGAGGACCTTGCACCAGAGGGCATTGAACAGCACGCATCCGGACCGGGCCGAGATTCCTTGCTCCTTGCTACCCGCGCCCACGTCGAAATTGGCCTCATCCTAGCTAGAGCCTCGCAAGAGCAGAATCGTCTGCCCGCTATCACGGGACGCACTCATGTCGAAGCAGCTGTTCGAGGGACTGAAGAGATCCGCGACTGGAAGTCTAAGTTGCCACCAATGATGTCGGGCGTCATACATCCTGAGAGTCTGATACCCTGTTTCCGCCGCCAGCACTCCATTCTCACCTTGGCGCGATTGCATGCAGTCATCTTTGTCACACGTCCACTTCTCCTGCGGAATCTATCCAACGAGTTGCCAGAATTGGAACGTCGACAGTATCGTGAGCAACTTCGTTCTTGCGTTCAAGCTGCGAGAGAGGCTATCGAAAATATCAATGGCTCAGCACGGTACCAAGTGCTATATCCCGCTTTTTGGTTCTCGCAGTATGTCGCTTTTTCCGCCATATCGATCATCCATATCTACATTATTCAGATGAGCCGCTATCGCGTTCCTACCAACTTATTCGGTCCTTCGTTTGAAGAGGCGAGTCTAATGCAGCTCAAGACTCTATACGAGCTAGCACTGGTGGGCCAAAGTCGCCTCGCCGAAGCGGGAGTCAACAGTGCACCAGTCTGGCGCTACCGTCCCATACTCGAGACTTTGTCCGCGCAAACCAGCAGGTGTATCACGTCTCGGATGGGTGACTTGGGGACCAACACAGAATCATCAACGCAGCCGACGCTCTTGCCAACCAATAGCGAAGTCGAACGAATTGCAGGCCAAGAACACCAAATAACTACAAACATTCTAGGGGAGCATACCATTCCGCCGTTCGAGACAAACGCAAGTTGGACAAGCGAGTATGAGAATATTTGGGATGATCTGATAGCAGGAAATCTTGAGAACGATGGCTTGACTATGGACTTTTGGCCGCAGTTTGATAATCTGCCAACTGGTATGTCATGAGACTTGCGAGTTTTCTAGATTGTCACGCTTACCGTCGATTTCTAGGCTTCAATATTCAATGAGCATGTACAAAGAAGATGGCTGTAAAATGCGGTCATACCCATCAGCTTGCTCTCTGCAACCTCGAATCTCGTCTTTCCAGCTAATCACATCTGAGAAACCCACCCTTTCTGTGAATGCTTGTGTCCGCTAGATTGTACCTTCGCCAATATCATCACCGTAGGATGAGACAATGACGTCCAAATATATCTCACAGTAGCTGTCCAACTGGTCCTCGACGTCTTCAAAAATCTCCGGCGGCTCTTCGTAACCGGCGCGGAGTGCCCACCTCCAGCTCCAATCTCCTTCCAATTCCTTGCCGCCAACATAACCAGCACCCACTCCCAATTGCCAGTTCGATACCTCTCATAGACAGCATGATACTTGGCGTGTGATTTGGATCCTCAAGACCAAAGATATCTGCTCTCTCTCATCGTTTCCATTCAGGTATTCACGCCCCATCAGTGGATCGTGTAAGTCGTCGAATGCGTCTGGGATACATGAGCTGATCGATGGAAGGGCAGGTCCAGTAAACTTGTTTGTGAGTGCGCAGAATTGTTTGAAGTCGTCAGGAAGAGTCAGAGGATCAGTCTCCAAGGTAGCACGCTCTTTGAGGATTGCTTCAATCTCGACAAAGATCTTCAGACGTTCTTCTCTCGGTAGAGGCGGCTCAGTGCCGTCGTCAACCAGCGCATAGAGGTCGGCGCTGCTCTTGATGGGTGGAGGCAAGAATTTCCCACCGTAGGTAGGCCACTCATCGCGGTGGATAATATCGAGCTCCTGGAGATCAGTGGTGTCGGGTGGCATCTCGTGAATGTCGAACAGCTTGGCGAGGCATTTTCGTTTTCATGCGCAACACACGCAAGCGATGGAGCTCAGAGGAAGCACGCAGGTCGGCATTGACGGGGCCGCCCGATATATTCGGGTTTGCAGAGTGGCCACGAAGATGTTTTGGTTCAGGCTGAACACTTCAACTCTAATATCTATATAGCATCGGGAATGAATGTGATCTGCTGGTCTTGAGTAGTCGTTAGCGCGTGTGTCTGCCTGGGCGTGGGTAGAGTGAGTAGTATGTGTGCAGTGGACGAAGGATTAGTGAATCACAAGAATGGAACAACCAGGGATATGGCCAGTTTGTCGATAGAGAGGTGAGTAATCGAAGGCGTTGCCCATGAGGTTTAGCATTAAATCATTCCCAATACACCCAAAGAGCAATGCGGACTCTTCCGAACTTCGAAATGGCCAATGCTGCTTCTCAGGTAGGCGTGTTCTTTGTCCTTCAGCAAGCGACAGCTCTCAATCATCAGTGGTCTAACGATTTTGTTGCGATCTAGGACGCCGACGAAGAACCTTCTCCTTTGACTGGGGACCCCGCTACCGCTCCTCAGGTCGCTCAAGCCTCTCAGACCACTCAAAGCGACAACCGCCCTGCAGACCTCACCAGCAACCCAGAACCTCTTCCTCCCGGCCACGGCCTTGACAACTACTCGGACATGTACAAGACCATTGACTTCATTGCAAACGCTGACCGTATCTGGGAACCCATCTGCCAAGGCGGAAAAGACGAATTCGTAGCAGGCGACCGTAAAGCTGACCGGGGTATAGCTTTCGAAGTCCTTCTCCGGGACAACGTACCACACACAGTCCGCGCCCGGATGCACATTGTAAGCAGTTCTTTTGGAAACTCTGGTTGCACCGATCTGTGGGGCTAATGAGAGGTAGATCATAGCATGCGCACCCGGTCAGAGACTCCATCATGCCCAACAAGCTGTTGAAGAAGCTCGACAGGGCATCAGGTTTCATAATGCCGAGGTCGAGGTAGACAAGGCCTTAGATGTACTTCGCAGAGCCGAGCAGACCCTCAATATCATCTTGGACTGGGGCGTGCATGACGATACGCCAAGTGCCTAAGAGGGAAACAGCGACAACAACTCTGGAAACACTAATCAGGAGAACAACAATCTACAAAATATCGACGACGGAGACATTCATGATGCATGGAGGTTATCGCAGGCAGTCAGAGGAGTCTTGGGGGAGGTGCATTACGCATCGCTTTCGAACTGTGCTACTGGCTTCGTCAAGTAGGATAAGACAATGAACACACTGTCTCTCGTTTTGAGCAGAGGTATAAATCGGTTCATAGTATGGTAGTCAAGATGCTTGTTGACCAGGGTATAAGTAGCACATGCCCCTCGAGGTGAATCAGGCCATCATACATTCTGAGAATCACAAGTCGAGTTGCAAGCCGAACATCTCTTTGGAAGTAGCGTCGACCGTCTTCCTTCTGATACCGGATCATGTTGTGCAGTCACTCACTTGAAAGAGTTGCGGCACCCGATCTCCGCGTCGCAACACGAACTCGATTCTCTCAGCTTTCCCTCACAACGCAAACCCTTCTCATCAAGCGCAAACTTTTGTTGTCAAACACAACTCTCCTCAAATACATATCATCATGTCTACTCCTCAAGACGAAAAGATGACCGCTGCTGGCGCCAACACCGTGTCCTCTTCGCAGGTAAGCAACATTTCGATATCCAGACTTGCGAAAGTCATTCTATTCAACAGTACTCTGACCATCCTCTCATAATGTAGGACGCCGGTGACAATGTCTCTCCTCCCGCTCGAGACCGCCCCGCTGCTTCTCAGGTCTCTCAGACCAATCCCAATGATCCCATCGGCAATCCCGATCCCATCCCCCTTGGCTATAGCCTCGACTCAGACGCCCCACCCGGCACCTACGATCACCTGGACATGGATCCCGGTATCAACCTTGATGAGAACATGGAGAACATGTTCAAGGACTCCTACGAAGAAATGCTCGGCCACTTCGGGCAAGGCAATGATGAAGCCGCCGAGGCCATCGCTGCTGAATTGCTCCTCTGGAGTAATTTGCCCGTGCTCTATCGAGCTTACGCACACATTGTAAGTCTTTTCTTCGTGTCATAATGATTATGAGGCCTAATCATAGGCAGGTGCTTGCGTACGGTCCCGTCAATGGACTCAGCCATGCCCGCAAGGCCGTCGAAGATGCCCGCCGGGGTCTCGAGAACTTCGGCGACCGATCTGTTGGCGAGAAGCTGCTCGCCATCGCCGAGGAGACATTGCAGGATGTTACAGAACAGCTGGAAGTCAATGAAGCGCAGACAGCCACTGCCGATGAAGAGGAGGCCGAATAAGATGTTGATGCGAGTGTATTGTGCGATGCCTAGCAAAACTGTAACACGAAGCACTATGGGGCTGTGCTTCTCGCTCTATCAAGTAGAATGGAATGCTGGATGATCTGTCCCATAACATCTTACCCTGGACTCTCGTTTTGCCTTTTGCGAGCCGGATCTACCTCCGAGATGAACAGATACCAGAGTCATGGCTTTAAGTTAGATGAGAGGAGCTATTAAACCAATACTAGATATTTTGGGCGGTGAGTGTATAGAATCCAGTGTTGATAAGACATCGTCTGCGGCATTGCGCGATGGAGAATCGGTATCTTGCCGGTGCAACAGCGTCCAAACAAAGCCATCGCGACCTTTGCGCCTGACGCAGAATCATAACATCAACCTTTCTCTCTCAGCACGAGTCCTCCATCACAGACGCATCACAACATGTCTACTTCCCAAGACATCGCTGCCACTGATACCGGCACCATGTTGCAAGTAAGCTACTCCTAACCCTCGCACGCGATTTGTCAACTCATTCATGATCTAACAAACCTACCACTATCTAGGGCGACAGTGACAGAGATGCGTCCTGGTCGTCCGATCGCGCCTCCTGCCCTCAGGTTCCCCAGACCGACCAAGAACTCGACAAACCCCCTGTTCTCCTGAACTACACTCTGGACCCTGAAGACATGCTCGACAACTTCCAGTAAGACAAGTTTGAAGTCGCTGAAGCCATGGCTATTGAGCTGCTTCACAGGGGTAATCTATCTCTTCTCTACCGTGCTCTTGCGCACTTGGTAAGTGTTCCCCTTTGTTCGAAACCCATCCACTCTCCTCTCGTTTGCACAGCTTCGTGAAGCTATCGAAACGCATAATCTGCTCGAAAAATATCGCGCCCATCGAGATGCGGTGTCTCCGAGGCTCTCTTTGGATAGCGTCTCCGACTCCTAGATCGTTGTGCGTTCTTATAGCCTTTACATACTCACGGGAGAGAGTTTGGGATACAAGATCAATCAGAGCGAGTCCAAGGCTAACGACGAAACAGGTCCTCGCCCACGGAACAGTCGACGCCCTCTACCACGCCTTCCGCGCCGTCGCAACCGCCCGTAAGGGCACTCAAAACTCCAGCAATCAATCCGATCACGAGGAGATTGTCGAAGTACTTGCTCTCGCAGAGGAGATCGTCCAGGAAATGCTAGATCGTGGCTTCGGACAAGCTGCTGCTCAGACCGTCAATGTCACTCAGACTTGCATCATCAAGTATGATCCAGTCCGCGATGTACCTGAGGTATGAGTACCCCAGCCGCTTCGTGCAAGAGTACACGAGTTGAAAGCTGACAGGTTTTCTCAAGTCGCAGATACCTCGTACACCCCGCAGATCGCTGCGCCCCAGAGGCCCGACGGCTCCCAAGTTCTCCAAACAGAAGTCTCCCCAGAAGGCTACCTCGCCTCAGAAGAACAGATCTCCCCGCAGGAACCAAGCACCTCAAAAGCGCAAAGTCGCCGCCGCCTATGATGTGCCCAAGGATCTCTACTACACTATCCGTGGCATTCTAGATGAACACGAGACTGGCTATCTCGTTGATTGGGAAAACATCGGCTCGCAGTCCTTCTCGCCTACTTGGGAGCCCAAGGGCAACGTCACCGACCTCGCCATCGGAGTCTGGGAAGAAGAGAAGAAGAAGATTAAGAACAGATGAGGACGTGGAGAAAAACGACGCTATTCACATTATGGGGGGGTCCGAGGAAAGGAGGAATTGGCAGCGCTGCTGAACAGTGCTACTCAAGAAACGATGAGGGACTCTTTGTGCTTGTCATCACACTTTTTGCCCTGTCCTTTGTCTCCCATACGTCATTTCTCATGAATCAATTAACACGATCTCATCATCGTCTCCGTTATAGAGCGTTGTAATCAAAGTTGTTGATGGTCATCAAGCTATCCGCATTAACAAACGCTGTGATTCAAGTCACGTTCATGCCTCCATAGCATATCAAATTGGTGAAAATAAGGTGATGATGGTTAATCAAGGACAAACAAACAATGAAAGTGTTAAAATGTGAGAAAGATTAAAGAAAGTGCGAAACAACTCGCCCTCACAACGGATTGAACCCAAGCTCTAACAATCCACCGTATTATACACCAAAACAAAGTGTTCAACTTTGTTTACTTTACGTCGACCTCTTTTTGCACTTTTTGCAACACCTGCTATACCAGCACTACGACACACGCTACGATAGCAAAGAGAGGCGCAAAAATACCCAAAAAGGAGCGGATATGCCTTGCGGCGCGGACATGGCTTACTGGGGCCCTAACTTCCTCCCGAAGGGAAGCCCCCCAAGCATACCGTAAGGTTGCTCAGTTTAGTACGGGTTAACCACTTACACTATCCTTCCCGCCCACTGGGTGAGGGGGACCTAGACTTTTTGGACTATATAGTCTCACCCTCATATGTTGTTTCCCTTCACTCCACAAAAAAAAAGCTTATGGCGGCTTTGTTTGTGGCAGTAAACTTATTTCGCCGCAGTGTTTGTTGATGGCTACCTTGTACCGATAACTCCAGTGCGACCTTTCCAGAAGTTGGTCTTGTCCGCGAATGATCCACATCGGAAAGGCCGATCATACTCGCGCGCCGATCAATTGGAGTTGAACATAGGCTGAACACCTATGTGCTGCCTCATTCAGTCTTGCACATTGACGGTCGGCCAGCTCGCTGGTATCGCTTCAAAAAGCTATAGCCAGAGGAACCAGTATTGTAATGAACGTGTACAACGCAGGCCGTCACTGTTCCTTAGTCCAGGAGACTGGTCAAGTATCTCATCCCAAACGCACCTCTGTACGACGCAGAACATACAGATGATGCATGACCGGAGGTCTGTGAACAGTGTCGTTTGGATCAGGCGGCTGCTCAATCTTCTCGTGCCTTTCCAGATTCCAGAGCTCACCAGGTCGAGGCAGTCCTTCAGTGGCAACCTCGTCTTTCAGATATGAAAAGCGGGAGGCGGAGTAGCTGAGTACAATCCATGAACAACCAGGTCTTGCGAGGTAAGCCAGGTGGACGGCCAGGATATCCAGTGGATAGACAGTCACTTCCGTTTGGTGAGAGATTCGACCGGAACTGATGGCGTTGACGCAGTATGGCAATCTGACTGACACGTCTGCAGCACACGATATGGCGTCTGACGTGGACTTGTCGATGATCACATCGTACTCAGGACCCCCAAAGTCCAGGATCTGCGAAACCGACAGTAAATCCAAGTTTGACCAGCGACACGGCTCGCTTTGAACTCCCAAAGAGCGAAGCATTTCATTCTCGCGTTGACGATTTCTCTCAATCACCACGTCCGAGTAATCCACATTATGGATTTGCGTTGGCGAGTCCACCAGATCTCGTACTTGCAGCGATAAAGCAGAAGATCCGCATCCAATGTGCAATACTTGCGGCCTGCTTTTGCATCCAGATCTCTCAGCGATAGCTTGCTTCAACCAAGGTTCCAGAACAGCAAAATCGGCCAGCCACTCGAATGTGTCCTCTTTGGTGAAGCGAGTGTTCCAGTACTCGAGGTCACCAAACGATGGGGTTGAGGTTGGCATTTTCTGTGGCTTGAGAAAACTCGTCATCAGGCTTCGCGAAGGTTCTGGTAGAAGCTGCTCCGAAGGGCGATGGTATTGACCAGCTCTGTGGCTGGCCAAAAGTATTGGCCACTCATCCATCACTCCTTTCTATGTCCGCTACTAATCGATTGCGATACTATTTAACCGCTTACTATCATGGACGAGCATTCAGGTGCATTGATGAGGAAGATTACGAGTTTATCTAGCGAAACGTGCTGCTGAAGGTCGCTGGGTGGGAGACATCTTGCATATCACGATAGCGGGACAATTGCCCTGGTCAATCCGTACATTGTTACATCAGCCAACCTGATATAGACATTGAACTCGCTTCGTCCTCATGATAAGAATCGTTCGCAGTCGGTAACGCAATCAAGAATATCGACCTCAAAAGACCATACATCGTCAAAATGATCAGAAAATGATGGTCGTGAGGGCAGCCCTGACTTCCAGAGCAGAAAGCGCGAATCCGGCGCCGGAGAAACAAAACTCCACCGACACCACTTCTGTTCAGAAAGCGACATTCCATCTGATGAACCTTTGAACCATATTCCAACCCATGGTCATACATATCTCTGCGGCTTTATTGAATGATATCAGTAGCGCTGTTCAAGCTCACCCGAAGTAATGAGTCACTTCTCGCAAATCGCATGCGAAGTATGTCGTACGAAGAAGAGGAAGGTAGGTGTGCAAAATCCTCTGTCTTTGGTCATCAACGTCACTCGTTCTTATATCTCTATTCCAGTGTGATAGGAAGATGTGAGTTGAGACACGAACTGCAAGCGATATTTGCAAGGTTGACCAATCTCGCAAAGTCCAACCTGTTCTCAATGCGTCCATGCCAGCCAGACTTGTACTTATCCAGGCACCAACAAGAGGTATATTCCTACCCCTCTGTTTCAAATGAAGCGAGATCAGTGACTGATAGTGCAATACAGGGGTCTACCATCCGGCTACCTGGCCAACATTGAAGAAAGACTTGCCCAAACAGAAAACGCATTGTTACAAGCTCTATCTATCATTCACGGATCAGAATCTCGACAAGATTCAAGTCAACCACATCCGGAAGTATCGCTCGCACGAACTGAGAGGCCTCGGGAGCTTGAGTTCAACGAAGTTCGGATTGCCAGAGTTGAAGAGTGGCAAAATTTCCCACTCGAAACGCTGGAACAACAACAGCACTGGATGCATAATAGACTGGCACCGAACGGAGCACCGACTGCATCAGACTCAATCGAGCGCCAACGAGAGACCTTGAATATGACGAGCGAAGCGGGCAAACGACAACGCAACCAAGACAAAACTTCGGCAAGAAAAAGACAGAGGTCTGTGTCCGGACTGCGAAACACACCAGATCTCAAAGCAGGCCATAGGTTCCAGTCTACCACACCGACAGAATCTGACATGCTGTCTACATACCTCGGGACCGCTGCTTCGAGCCCGCAACGCCAGCAAGCAAACGTTACCTGTCCAGCACTACACCTTACATCAAGTATACCTCAAACCAGAGTCTCAGAACATCCAGGTCCAGGGTCAGAAAATCCACCGGAGCAGTCCAAAGCCAAGAAACTCGCAACTCTACACTCGCGGAAGTATTTTTGAGTGTTTACGACCATCAGCCGAATAGAAAGATATTTCACCCGTATAAGGACTCTGGTATAAGAAGGCCAAGAACAATATTACCCGAACTAATGATGGTGATATTATACGCCCTGCCGATCATCTAGGGCAAGTTCGGCGGACTGTGGGGATCTCGGCGCGGGGCCCCTCGAAATGGATTGTCTTCACCCGTGTCGATCTTTCAGACACAACAGAAGGCAGTAAAAGGTCTTTGCTGCGATGCACAGATATATAACAACTCCCTCTTCTCAACCTTATGAGACATACTTCACTATCCACCTCCAAATCTTCGACAATGCATTTCCTCACCTCCATCATACGAATCAGTCTCCTCGCCGCAATCACCATTCCAAGCACATTGGCAGCACCAACCCCATCGTCTCTACAAACTCGTGCCGAGACCTACGTCGGCTACCTCGTCTCTACATTCTCAGACGTCACGCCAGCCGTCCAATTTCATCTCTCCAAAGGCAATGATGCAGGAAGCTATACTTTCTTGAACAAGGGACAACCCGTGCTCAAATCGACCGTCGGCACCAAGGGCGTCAGAGATATCTTCTTGGCTCATGATGGTGCCAGGACAAAGTATTACATGATTGCTACTGGTAAGTTTCGTGTTTGGGTCTGCGGTAGTATTGGTCATGGGAGCTAACGAAAATAGATCTCGACATCAATGCCGCTGGGTTCAGTTGGGATGCTGCTACAAGGACTGGAAGCCGTGGTATTGTGGTTTGGAGCTCGACAGATCTGGTCAGTTGGTCTGCATCCACTCTTAGAACGTAAGTGACATCTTCGTCCAAGACTTTCTGTCGCTCTGAACTGACACAACGGCAAAAGTGTCGAGAATGCCAATGCTGGCATGGTATGGGCACCATCAGCTGTCTGGGACGACGCAACCTCCCAATTCTACGTCTTCTGGTCCTCTCGCCTATACGCGAGTTCAGATTCCAAACACACAGGCACCGCAACTCTCGACAGGATCCGCTACACCACAACAAAGGATTTCGTCACCTTCGCCACAGCAAAGGATTACGTGGCACTCGCCGATACACCATTGATTGATCAAGAATTCCAGTATCTGGGCAAGACCGGAAACTTTGCTCGCTTCCTGAAGAACGAAACTGTGAATCAAGTCTATGTTGAGACTACCACAGGAGGCTTATTCGGCAAGTGGACTCGCACACCAGGATATGTTAGACCGGAGAGTCCGCGAGAAGGTCCTGCGTCGTTTGCAGACAATGTCACACCGGGATTGTATCATTTGCTGTTGGACGATTACACGCAGTATGTGCCATATCAGTCGACTGACCCGGCAAAGAGTGGAACTTGGGCTGCATCGAGCTACCCCAACTTCCCTCAAGGCCTGAAACATGGATCTGTCACGCCATTGACACAGAAAGAGTACAATGCTGTTGCGGCAAGGTATCCTGCTTGATAGTTTGAAGAAAATATACTCAATCTTGTTTCCAGAATCTTGTGCAGGTCAGAGATCGAAGTCTAGGAGAGATGTGTATTGATCGTCGCCCATCCAGAAAGGGATATCGAATTGCTCAAAGATGTTGTCGGTAGTTGTGGCAGCTGCGTCGATGCCGGATAACCAAGGAATAGACAACTGTGGGTCAAGTGCCAGGGGGATTGAATCAGTCATACTCATGGTTGGATTCGGGAAGTCACTTCCTACACCGAGCGTGCGAGTCTCGGCGCATGGACGGCCGCCGTTCTGGAGATCTGTCCCACCTCGATGAATCAAATTCGAGCCTGGATTCTGTGAGGAAACCACGTTGTGTCCCTGATCTGAAACGTTCGTGTCGATTGTTGGTGACTGTGGTGTCGCGACAGTAGAATCTTGCAGCAGTCTGAGGAATAAATCATTGATAGCAACCGCGCATACGTTCGGCCAAACACTTCCCCGAAGTGCGAGATGCCTGAGAATCTCTACACTGTCGTCTGCAAGCCTCCTTGCAATGTGCTTTGGCATCTCTCCTTCTAGTGCGGCGTGGAGCACGATGAATGAGCTCTGCCATACACACCATGTAAGCGATGGCCATAGTAAGGGTGCTCTAGATATTTCCGAATGTTCTTGGGAGACTTGGGTACGGAGGCACTGATAGAGAATGGATATGATGGCTCTGGAAGCACGAATGCATGTCTGTAAAGCTGCCATGTACTCATTCGATTGCTTCTCCAACGTCAACAAAGGTCGATTGAGCGAGATGACCAATTCATGTTGCGAGACGAGCAGAACAGTCTCGTGCAGTATGTTGAACCGGTCTGATGCAGCAGGATCGATAGCGTACTGGAGATCGTTGCCAAATTTTTCAATCCTTGCTCCGATCAGGGTAGCAAGATCTCGGTTGGTAGTTCTCTGATGAATGGACTTGTTGCGGAGCTCCATGATTTGACCCTTCATCGAAGCATGCCTAGCTAGAAAGTTGAGTGTCTTGAGTCGGGCATCCATTGTTGTTCGTTGATGCCCATTGAGAGTATGTTTCTCTTCGTCGAAGTGACAGACGTCCACGTCATCGTCGCGGATACTCAGGGGTAGTCCGAGAGACTGACAAAGATAGCGATCTATACAGTATATGGACCAGAATAACCGACGGCGAAGCTCAGCTTGTCCAGTATCGAAACCTGCATATCTCGTGGGGCACCTGTGCAGACCGAGTTGGTAGGCCATGCGAATGATCATGCCGCCTAGTCTGGAGGCTCCATTGAGACGTAGCATCGATACAAGGAAGAGCTGTACGGCGACCACTGCTTGCAGTGCATCAAGAGAAGATGGCAGGAAGAGCATGTCTTGCACACTCTTCATGGCTTCCTCAAAGGATTTGAACACCAGGCATGCAGGAACCGGTTTTCCTGACGAATGCCCTGATTGTCTTCGGTCTGCAAGGGAGATAGACATGATTGAGCGGAGGATTGTAAAGCTCGGTGTTCGACGTTTGCGCAACTCGGGAAGAGTAGCTGGTCGAACATGCTGCTCAAAGTACTCGAGTATGGCAGGTGCCGAGATGAAAGGGTAGGCAGTGTGCCAATTCTCGAAATAACTTCCACTCCATACCTGCAAGTCTTCGAAGTCGAAGTTTGGAGATCCATTGGTGATGACCTCAACTTCATCGGATGACCAGGGATTCTTGGAGCTGTAAGGAACTGCTCCATCCAACATGTCCTCTTCGCCGGGTACGATGCTCTGATCCGGTGTCTGAGGCGGCAATTGCACGCGAGACTTGGCCAACGCATTATATACCGATCGCACGAAATGAATGCCACTCGAGCTTCCTACAAAGCTTTGTGCATTTGCGTCACTTTGTCGCATCAGCCCAATCTCGCGCCGCTGCCGATCCTCTGGCTCGCGTCGGCGGCGCTTGGAAAGTTGTCCATCACCACTTGCATCGGGCAATTCTGAGGCTGTTCGTTCATTGTTCATGTGGTCCGAGACATTTGGCATTGATCGTTGATAGAAGAGCAATGGAAGTCTGGGAACAAAGAACGGAATTGTCAGGGCTCGAAGACGGCGTTGTTCGGGAAAGTGTTTGCCCGCCGGTCGTTGCCGTTGTGTTTGCAACACGTCTGGAACTTCTCTCAATTTGCAAGACAAATTCAACACCTTCGTCAGGCTTCCTACTCGAAGACCAGTAATCTCGACAGCCACATTTTTGCAGAGGCAATCTACATCATGTCACCCTCCACGGATATATCACGCGAAGAGCTTCACACCAGGACATACATCATACTCGGGGTTGTGTACCTCTTCGTAGCTGGCGCGACTACTGTGAATCGAAACATCGATTTCGATTATCGTATGTCCAGCTTAGGCGCCTTCACTTATGTCTTCGCTGAGGGAGCCTACCATATGCGTGAAACCGCGAGGATCTATCAGCTCCGTCCGGAGGGGCGCAGGTGGTCCCATCCCGACTTTGTATACCATTCCATAAAGGCGATCTCTGGTTCCTACTTCTTCGGCGCCATCTTCGGATTCACAGAACTCATGTCCGCTGTGCAAGTCGTGGGCGAGATGTTCGCTATAGTTGGTCGCTCGATTTTTGTACCGCCTTCTTAGTCTTTCAAGGCCAACAAATACGCGTCAAGACAAGAGATCTATTCACTGTGCTCGACGAGTCAACATTCGGGATGGCAATTCTTTCCATTTATCCTCTTGTTCAGCTCTGAACACGTCTCACGTGTCCAGGATCCCTGCTGCTCCCTGACGGTACATGTTCTTGTGGATTATAACGGTCAAGCCGAGCTGTGCCGAGGTATTGGCTTCAAGTATTATGGAGGGGTCTAGCTGACAGCTATCGAGCGGAGATGAAACTCTAAATGCTGGAACCATGGAGCTCTTAATGTGAGCAGAGTCCGCGTATGCAACAAGCCTCGAGTCGTTGGCAGGAGAGTATTGATGACAAACATCTACCAAAACCCCAACATCAAACATGGCATCGACATTCAACCCAAACACAAGCGTTAGACCGTCATCTTGGCTGGACAAGCTGCAATGCCTCGTGCTGCTCCCTCTTCTACCTTTGACATGTCTTCAAGTGTCGCTGCAAAGACTCGTCGGGCCCACAAAGGATCTCAGCTTCAAAGCCGACTTCGTATGCTCATTTCTTCGCGCGTGGGTACAACTCAGACCACAAAACATGTCCGACCGCTGACAAAATGTATAGAGCACAGCCATACCTACCAATTAGCATACTTCGAGACCTGACCAACAGTCCCGAATCCAGTTTCCCGAAAGCCAAACGCTTCGCCAGCAGTAGATCTGAGCTTTATCAACAAGTATCTGGAAACGATTTCTCTGGCCATTGGATCTGCAAAGGCTGTCCGGGAAAGCCAACCAAAGCGTCCGCTGCCGACTTGGTAATCTACTATCTCCATGGCGGAGCTTATCAAATCGGTCATCCAGCGTCTGCAATTGCACCATTCTTACGCATCGCCGAACTTGCAGACAAACAAGGAATCTCAGTTGCTGTGTTTGCACTGGACTACTCTCTTGCTCCCGAAGCACAGTATCCCACTCAAGTCAATCAAGCGAGAGCTGCATATCGCTACTTGCTGAACGATCAAAACGTCGATCCTTCCAAGCTTGCCATAGTCGGCGATTCAGCAGGCGCGCATCTAATACTCAATCTACTTTCTGTCTTGGCAGATGAGAAGGCACTTTCAAAGCCCGGCGCTGGTGCATTCCTGATCGCTCCTTGGATCGACATACGCTGTGCGAAAGACGGCTCCTACGTTCGCAACAAGGACAACGATTACTTACTCCGCGATCGGCTCATCAAGGCTGGTGAGCAAGTCATGCCACGCAAACATGACGCGACAGCATCACACATTATCAACTTCTCTCTACCACGGCCAAAGCAGTCTTGGGCAGATATCCTACCCAGCAAAGTATGGGTAGGTATAGGATCCAATGATGTACTTCTAGACGATGCTGTGGCTTTTGTCAAGCAGGCAAAAGCTGATGGGGTCGATGTGGAGCTTGATATTGACGAGGGCAAAGTCCATGATTGGCAGATTGTTGAGGATATCTTTGACACGGACAATTATTTTGCGACCATTGGTGAGCTGCCAAAAGGGATGATGAAAGGCGCTGCGGAGATTGCTAGGGCTATCTTCTCGGAGGCGTCTCGTTGATGAAGATTCGTGTCTGTCGTCGTCAAGCTGGTCTCTAGTCGTCCTTCCAATACTGTAATCTCGCAAGTTGAATAACGAGAATGATTATCCGCATGCAGGCAGCTTCCAGGTGGAAAGCTAGAAGACTGCACAATATTCCCTAGAGGATAAACAGTGTCCATCGAGACGCGGCAATCTCTCGGCTCTCCTCGGATGCTTTGTTGCCGTGAGACTTCTGTGCTTGTTTTAAACAAAAGGAAGAAATAGACGGTCCGAACATTTGCTTTTGGGAGTTGGTCTCAAGAAGCTGATCACGAAATCTTTGCGCTTTGAGACTGGCCTGCACTGAGAGAGGCACTGAGGAGAATTTCTCGCTCGAGTTCACAAAGAAATCATGCATTGAGAATATCTCACAGCATCATCATGGTACTGTTGAAGAGGAGCAGAATCGTGACCGAAGTATCACGTGTCAAAAGACTTGTCAGATTCGCAAAAGAAGAAAAATCAACGAAAAACTTCTCCTGCATCACTGCACCACCACCATAACCACTATTACCGCTGTGACACAACCTCAAACAGCCTTAGCATCAACACCTCTATCCTGACAATACTTCTCAACCTCCTTTGCCAACTTTGTCTTCTGATCCACCGTATTGTCCATGATATCCTTGATCAACTCGAACTCCTTCTTGGTCAAGGATCCCTCGGCACCGCCACCGTTCCAGACACCCTCGGCGAGAATAGCCCACAGGCCAGAGCCCTTGCAAACATCTTCCATCAGTTGCATGACTGCGGCAAGCTGGTTGGGCAACCAGGTGATGATGGGAGACCCGCCAGTCGCCACGGGGTGAGAAGTACGCTTGATGATGTACTCGCGAGTGAACTGCCAATGTCTCCAACGGAAACTGCGGATGTGGTCTAGGACGCGGAGGTAGAGAACTACAGCGCCCAAGTCGCCGGAGTGGGTGAGGTAGTCACGGACGCCGACATCAGCGGCTTTTTCGCGGATCGAAGTGAGGAACTCGCGATGAGGCTTGGGTCTGTATTGTCTGAATTCGCGCAAGATCTGAGTAAGAGGGTTCTCAGGCATGGGGATCTCGCAAAGGTGGTCGAGCAGAGGAATAATGCTATCGTTGGCGCCAGACTCGCCGCGGAAGAATTGAGGCTTTTCTTCGTATTGACCCTCGTAGATGACACCGTCAGGGAACATGGATTGATTGGTGATACCGTAGATGAAGGTGCGGTAGGTCATGTAATCTTTGGGCAAAGAGTTGGCCCACATCTTCTCCATGTTGGCTTCAATGACGGTCATGGCTTGAAGGATCGATGTGAGGCCGACTTTGGCGTCTGCAATGGCGTGTTCGTCTTTCTGCTCGGTGCGAGCGGCAGAGACGGCTTCGACGACAGCAGCGGAACCTTCGATCAGCTTGCCGGTTTGAGCGACCATGTGGATGTGAGTGAGGATGAAGCCTGCTTCAGAGGACTTCGGGTCGAGGCCCTTCACGAAAGCACGGATCAGGCGGAGGTTAGCGTAGTCGTCGTGACCCTTGGAGGGGTCGACAAGGTAGTAGTTGTACAAAGCATAGGATGCAGCGTATGACATGAAGGCAGGGATGTCGAGGCTATATTCTGTTAGCATGAAGAACGTTGTGAGATATAAGAGCAACTTACATCTCGGCACACTTGACAAGAGGCCCAGCGATACACTTAGGAAGGACCTGACGACCAAGTCCATATCCGTCATTAGGATTGTTGCTGTACACCTTCCAGCAGGGTTCAAGCAGGTAAGACGAAGCAACAAAGCTATGGATATCAGTCAACACCATCTCTACTCATAGCAACGAAGCTTCACTCACGAGTAGTCGCGGAAAGCGGCAGTAATAGCAGGCATGTCAACCTCGCCAGTGCCAGCGATGACAAGGTTATCGATCTCGGAAGTGAGGTCAGGCAGGGCTCCAGAGTCGATAAGAGGACCAAGCTTAAAGGTAGCAAGCAAGCCAGCAGTACCATCCTCCTTAAGGATGGGCATGTCATCGAGGATGTCACTCAATGCGTCAAAGGCTGCAGGAAGTCTGCGGAGAGGCAGCTGAGTGGGAAGATAGCCATTCTGAGCTGTAATGAGGAAAGGGTCGGAGCCAACAGGCAGCTCAGAGGGACCATGAGGGATAGCAAGAGAAGTCGGCTGAGGAATAATGCCGGGCATGATTGGTAGCGGAAAAATTGCAGGAATTCAGGCTTTGTCTTTTGAGTGATGAGAAAGGATTTTGGAAGATGTGGGCGAGGCGACGCTGTTTTATTCTTGTGGCTGGAAGTATTCCTCTTTCTTCTTACTGATAAGGATAGAGTGCGACAGAGGCCGGATGCATGCCGGCCTCAGGACCCACATACTGAAGGGTCGGTGGACGACGAGGTCGAGGTGGTGTAGAATAGCAACGAAAGGCATACATAGCGGCGTTTTCGCGACAACCTCCAATTGTCATACTGAGGAGCGTCCCGGGATACTCTTGACTTCTGACCTCCGTCGTGTGGCCTACCGTGATCATATTACCTGTTCCTAACCGTCCAGAACAGGCCGGAATCATTCCTCTCTGTTCCGGCCATGGGGTCGACGACAGGTATTTCTGGCGACGTGGGCGGTGGGCACGTGACCCTTGGCAACCTCGAGACGAAACTTTGTTGTGTGCCCTAACGTATCGCAAGCTGTGAGTAGATAAGCAGGCCGGGCAGCAACCACAGCAAAAAACTTGTCACTGCTACCCGACCCGCCTCCAAGTCAACAATCAAGCAGCCTGGTGAAGCCACCGTGCATCTCTATGGCTGTCTGGGTGGTATATCTTTCTGGACGGGATGAAGCCTGCTCGAGGCACAGCTCGACGCTGAGTGACGTTAACGCCCCCACGTGAAGTCCGTCACATCTCCTGGATGCAGTACAATCAAGCCACAGCACCGCCAACGCTGTAGAACCTCTCGTACAGCAAGATCGTGGGATCTCTTCTGGGAAGATGAAGCCTCTAGCAACAGCGTGATTGCTTGGATGCCGAAAACCAACGAAGGGCAATGCAAGAGGTTAGAGAAGACAAAAGGAAAGACGAGAGACAGACAGAAAGAGTGAAGAGAAAGAGAAGGAGGTAGACACAGTATTGGTGGAGGAGATACACTCAGTCGAGGCGCTATGCCAGAAGAAAGAGAAGCACACACAAAGAGCATGCGCAGAACACAAACGAGCGGAACGTGTAAATGGAACAGTCGCTCACTTCGCGCGGGACAGCGTGTATGTCCGGGAGAGCACGAGGCAGATCAATATGAGAGCTAAGTCAAGCTGGCTACAGCTGTGGTCCTGCACAGGTGGTCTTGTGTCCGATTGCATTAGTGAGGGCGTAAGATAACCGCAATCTCACTCGTTAATTGAGAAGTTGGCAATCTCAGGCAAGCAAGCTGCTGTACAGCGCAAGTCCGTAAAGTCTGTATATAGCGAAACCAGTCCCTTGTAGTGCTACGCGCACATCACCGCATCTTGGCGTCGGGAGTTTGTGAACCAAAGCGAGACGCCCGCGCGCCGACCCGCTTCCTTTCCTGGCGCACCTGGTGTTGAGCAACGAACCTACAATCATGTATCGTATCTTTGCACCACACCAGGTCTTTCAGCGTTGTTCGCGAAATATTGCGCGCCATCAACGAGCGACATTCACCATGATAGCTGTCAGGCTAGATCCCTTGACGCCTATCGAGGAAGAGACTCTCCTTGGCTACAAGGCAGAACGGTTTCTGCCCATCAGGACTGGCCAAGTCTTCAACGATCGATATGAAACCATTGGTAAATTGGGTTACGGATCAGCATCGACTGTGTGGTTCTGCCGCGATCTTCTTACAACCAACAAATATGCCGCCTTGAAAGTTTATGTCCACAGCTCGAAGAAACATCGCGAGCTTGCAATATATGAGCATATCAAAGCGCTGTCTTCCGATCACCATGGCCGCCACCGCATCAGGTCACTCCTCGACTCTTTCGAAATCCAAGGACCTCATGGCAGACATATCTGCCTTGTTCATGAACCACTTGGGATCAGCTTCGAAGAATTGAGAGATCTCACAGCTGACCGAGTGTTCGATGAAGACTTGATACGGCAGACATTTCGTCCCATACTGCAAGGTTTCGAGTTCTTACACGAAGAAGCCCAGGTGATCCATACAGGTAGAGTATCCATGTACGGAGTGGTACAGTGTTTGCTTACGACGCTTCAGATTTCCAACCCAACAACGTGCTTGTAGGCATTCATGATGGCTCAGTTCTTGATCAATTCGCGGCAATGGCAAATAAAAATCCTCCCCCGAAAAAAGAGCTCCCAGATCGTATAATCTATGCCTCCCAACCAATGCCGTTGACAAAAGGATTACCGTTCTTGACCGATTTCAGCGAAGCTCGATTCGGGAGCTCTATGCACACTGGCATCATCATGCCGAACGTATATCGTGCGCCAGAGGTTATCTTAGGAATGGAATGGAGTTATCCGGTCGACATCTGGAGCTTTGCAATGACTGTGAGTCCTGCATCGAAATGGTCTTACAACGTTCTGTTACGTGACTACTGACGGCTCAACAGCTCTGGGATCTTTTCCAACCAGAAAGGCTGTTCACTGCCAAGAGTTGCGATGGTCAGTACTCTGAGAGCCATCATCTTGCTCAGATGGTGGCAGTTCTAGGTAATCCCCCTCCTGAATTTCTTGCGGCTTCCAAACAATCCAGCAAATACTGGGACCAGAGCGGTGAGCTACGCATGCATTCACAATGCGCGACCCAAGCATCTTCTGATCATTCCACACAGGTAATTGGATACATGAAGTAGCCATACCGGCAATCAGCCTCGAGAGCTGCGAACGACGTCTTTCGGACGAGAACAAGAAGAACTTCCTGACGTTTATAAGGAAAATGCTCCGGTGGAAGCCTGAGGATCGTAGTGGTTGGCACGATATATTCTTTGACGAATGGCTACTCGCGGACTTGATCGAATCTGGCGAGATAGTCAGGGACGATTGAAAAAATCCTGCAAGTACAACGACCATCGTTTTCACCTCGGCCTCATTATCGCGCAAACAATTGGCGTTGTACCACAGGAAAAGGGGCTGACGCACAAGCCCAGTCACGTCTCAGAGAGTTTCTAACTCAGATCGGCTTCTGCATCCTTGCGATCACAGTCTCTTTCGATCGCTCGTGGTTGATGGTCGATATCGTCTGACGAATGAGAGTACAGTGGAGATTATTAATCGTGTCAGGCAGGACTCGCCAACAGCAGCGTTCCCGCAGAGTGTTCGGCGCATGATCAAACACTGGTACCTTAGTGGCCCGACAACGCCGGCTGGAGCTGTTCTCCAATCTCGAGATTTTGCTAAGCGCCTGAACAAGTCGCTGGTCTTTTGTTGACTATTGAGTTTCGAAGAGCACCGAAGGTTTAAAAAGCACAGTGTACCCAGTGGCCTCCCTCTCAGTCGACACAACATTTGGAAACATCCTCTATCTTTGGCAGAAGATCTCTGTACTTCCAGCAACGGACCGAGAATATCTTCTGCTGGCACACGAGCATTCAGTACTAGCGGAAAGAGGGCGTTGGAGTGGGCAGGAGCGACTAAGAACGACATCATCAACCAGAACCCAGGCAAGGACGGCGCTGGCGTTATCAAGGCCATCGAGAAACTCGAGATTGAGGCTGAGAAAAAAGTAAGTGTGTATGGCATCGATCCCATGCAGTGCAATTTTGATAATCGACGTTTCGCAGTACGGTGGTAAAGCTCAAGTCCGTCGTATTCAGTGAGTCTGGAGCGCCCATGACATCTAGCTCAAGCTGACCAGTATACCGGGGCGCGAAATTGCACAAGTCTACCAAGGATCCCAACGATACGAAAGAGGTTGTCACCATATCCGTACACACTCAGGGCGGTACTCGTCTCGAGTCGGGCCATGCGCACGAGGATGGTACCACTACAAGCCACGTCTCCCGGGCAGGCGGAAGCAAGTGAATTGAGTCTCGAGTTGACTGGGTGGAAAGGGCCAACAATTAGTCGACGAAGCTACAGGGGACGAGCAACAAAGTGCTCAGACGGTAGCTGCGAACATCTATAAGACTTGTTCCGGCAAGCGAGCCAACATCACGGGTGCCATGTCCTCTACACTTTGCTCACATCTGTGTGCTAGTCAACCGATGTGAGCAAAGTCTATTCCTTTCGCACACGCTTTTCAAGATAACATACTGCATTCGATTCGTTGACTTGCTATGCACTCCGTCATCTACCGTCCCATGTGATACATTGTTCTTATTCTCCGTACCATTCACCTATACATATCTGTGACCCCCAGTCTCCTACAGGCCTCACCTGGGATTCAAGACTAGAGATCAACGACGATCCGGATCAGAGAAGAGAAGGAGGTGGAAATGGAAAGAGAGGAGATTCAGAGGAGGAGATACCAGTCATCAAGAGCAGAACAAGATGGCGAAAAGTTGTAACTCGTCCTGATGTTATAACTTCGGGTTACGTTCCGTCTCATCTTCGAAGAGACAGGGTGATGAAGGATGGCTTCAGACCATACGCAGTGACTCTAGAGTCAGATGGAGAGAAGACGATGAGCAGATCAAGAGAGTGGCTATGCGTGCACCACTACGATCAAGAAGAGAGAATTTTCCGAAAATACGGATTCGTCGAGGAGAAAAAAGCCTGCCAAATCCCTGCATATTTGGCAGCTAGGTATCGGGAGATAATCGATGACTTAGTATGATTTGAGGTTTGGAGGACTCCAGATCTAGAGTGACACCCGAGACCGCAAAGTCTTTTGGGCTTTCGATGGACAGTGGCCTTTTGTCTGATAGCCTTGTGCATTTCCGCAGCTACTGCGTAATGCTTTCGCTGTGGAGACCAAGGCCTCACCACCGACTAGATCGTGAGCCTCGAACGCCAGCGGAAAGAACATGACCGTCTCCGCCCTCGAGTCGAGCAGGTATACTGCAGGACAGGCTTTAAAAAGGCACAGTGATTTTGAGATGAGGAATCATTCAGAGAGAGCCTGCAGGACACTGTAGCTCAATGAAGATCATCAAATTCTGGAGAACTTTGTGTATTGCTGAGCCAACGAGTCGCATCATCCTCCGAGCGAGAGCGTCCCGCTCTGAAGGTTGGAACACGGAACCGGAGTTGGGCTTGATCTAAACGAAGTCAGGCTTGATTCGCTCTGGGACCCACTCCTGCACCACGAACACCGGACGAAGTTTGCATACCTAAATGACTTGCAGACAAGCTTGCCAATCGCCCGGACGTCTCGACTTCCAGGAGCTGGACACAAGAATACACTAAGTGCGAAAGAGGGTAACACAACTGAAAACAGACCTGTTCAGCATGCGCACAGCTATGGAAGATGCACTGAGTCTTGAGTTGATTGTGCCCTGCGATATAATATGAACCTGTAATGGTCTATTTGACAAGCTCGACACCCTCTGAGATTACTTCCCTTCCATGCCTCAGTCACCAACTCCTTAACCATTTTGGTCTTGATATCAGGCAAATGGTCATGCAGAGACTTCTCGGGACAGAAATCGAGACCACTTTGCTCAAACAAGATCAGCCATCATGCTCTAGATGCACAACTCTCGAGGCAGAACACGTCTTCACATTTCGACAACACGAAATCATATTGCCTCCATACAAAGTCGGATATCCATCTGGCCCGAGACATTACCGGAAAACTGTCGTCCGGAAGGCACAGATATGGGTCTGGATCTTTGGACCGACCTCACATCGAATGTGCTGGCTCACCCTGATTCGGAGCATGCATGGCGAACGTCAAAGCAATTAGCTCCTTCATGCGCTTCTTAAAGACTCTCAAGTACGATAAAGGCTGCGATGTCACATCTCTCCTAAATGGTTGCATCATCATGGAGAAAGCAGCAAAGAGCTTTATACTTGGGGAGTCAGGTGCACACGTTGTGGCTATTCAGGATGGTCCAGTATTCACACTGCTTCTCGTTATCGCTAATTTTAGCCAGTCACTTTTAATATGACCTCCAGTACACAGACTCCTTACACAGGCGCTCATAACCAACCTTCTCAAGCTAGATGCGGCGTGTCAAGCTGCAGCTATCAACGTTTTTGCTAAGCCGGAACAACACTCATCAAATCGTCCATTGCTATCCTCAGACTGTCTCATGCCAAGCACGTACAATTTTGGGGCTGATTCTTCTAATGAGGTTCGGGTTGTTGACATCATGCGCGCGCTCCAGAGCGATGTAAAGATATGAGGTCCAGGGAACAATGAGGTGCATGTAGCTGGGATCGAGCACCTCGACATCCTCCTTGCCAGAAGACACAATAATGTCGAGACAATGAATGTGTCCTGCGAGATCCGAGTGGTCGTTGGCTCTCGACGGATGAGATGTTGTTTGCCGTAGGCATCGTGCGTTTCTGCAGCCATCACGTATCACACGTATGTGTCTAGGGCATCACAGCTGTTACCATGCTTTCAGTTGTCATTAATTTCTTGTCAAATCAAGCGCGTAAAAAGGAAAGACATGCTCCGGACTCCGGAGGTTGTTATCGAAAACTCCGGGTAACTCGGCAAGGCGATAACGCGTGTGCAGATAAGCAGCATTCATAACCAGTCATATCATCCAGTGGCGTCGAAGAATATTGACAACCTTCCGTGGATGGCAAAACTAACCTTATATTCGACATACGACACTCGGTACCGTCAAAATGCGGGAAACGACACGCGACCTAGATAACGGTGAGCCCCGATAACAGAGAAATCATACACTCAAACCTGACCAGCTGTCTCGTACATATAACATGTCTGCGCACCTGCATGCCAAGTTCCACACCTTCCATACCAAGAGTTCTAGAAGACCGGCAGGATGAAGGTCATTTCCCTTTGTATTTCGAGTCTCTTCGCTGTCAATGCTCTGGCTTCGTCCTTTGCTCGCACTTCCACTAAGCCAAAGCATCGTTCGGTATCGACCAGCCCTGTTCGTCGCAATGCATTGATGAAAAGAGATGCGTCGTCGCTCTGCTCTTCTGCGGCGCCTGTCAAGCCCAAGATCTTCATCATCAGCATGGTAGGTTTCGCTATCACGTGCACATTTAGATACAGAATGCTGACGTCTCACCAGTTTTCGTCCGAGGCCGATGTCTGGTACGAGGACACTACTCTCAACCTTTACGCAAACAATGTGACCGTGCCTGGTTTCTCGCCCCTCTTCCCAGACGCACATTGTACTGCGTCTGGAGAAGTCTGCCAGTTGACCACTGGAGAAGGAGAAATCAATGCCGCTGGTACACTCCTTGCTCTGTGGTCGTCGGGATGCTTTGATTTGACTTCCACCTACTTTATGATTGCTGGTATCTCTGGTGGAAACCCTCATCTGGTAACCACCGGATCTGTGACTTTCGCCAAGTACGCTGTACAAGTTGGCCTGCAAGAGGAATTTGACCAGTCACAAGTCCCCGCCAACGCTACATCTGGGTACTATCCCCAAGGCGCCTACTACCCCGACGAGGCCAATCCAATCGATTATCCGGGATCGCTCTATGGTACCGAAGTCTTTGAAGTCAATGAGAACCTTCTTGATCGTGCCTATTACCTCGCATCCTTGGCCACTCTCAACGACACCGATGCCGCGGCTGCATACCGCGCGACCTATGGATACTCTCCGGCCAATCAGCCTCCTAGTGTCGTCAAGTGCGACAGCGCCACCTCTGATCAGTACTGGTCCGGTTCAGTCCTGGGCAATGCCTTCAGCAACTACACCGCGCTGCTTACCAATGGCTCTGGAGTCTACTGCGGTACCCAGCAAGAAGACAACGCAACCCTCGAGTCGCTGATCCGCGGTGCCATTATTGGCAAGCTGGAATTCAGTCGCATTATCATCATGAGAACCATCAGCGACTTTGATCGTGCGCCGCCCGGCGAGACTGAGGTCTACCATCTGCTTTATGCCGAGCAGGAGGGCTTTGAGATCAGTATTCAGAACATTTACCTTGCGGGTATCGAGATTGTCAAGGATGTTTTGATGTACTGGAATGGTACATATGACAAGGGTCTGAAGCCAGGCAATTACATTGGTGATGTGTTCAACAGCCTGCCTGGACCTATCGCGCCTGATATCGGTGATGAGGCCAACTACATCAACGCTTGAAGGCATGGGAGATATCGGTAACGGAAGATAAACTCAGGTACAAGGAAAGCAACGAAGGGGTTTATCCAGAATGCTGAGCTTTGTTCCCTCCCCATGTGCCAGAGTATGCAACGCGGGTAATCGTAAAAATGCACAGTAGTTTCGGAAATCACACAGTACCCAAGAAGAAACCATGTACTCCAGACGCTCTTCGGTATCGTCGCTGATCTAGAAACCTTTGTGCCTTTCAATAGCCGGATCGATCTAACAACTCCCGTAGGAGAAGTGCGAGAGAAACCTGCGAGTTACGGACTCCGCCAGCAACTCGGCTAATCCTTCCGTTCCGCATCATGGATCACGCCCTTCTTGACATCGAACAACGACTTTTGTCCACGCCCTGATCGACATCTCCGCCTGTGCCTCGAGTGACATCTACCACTACGCCCTGCTTGACATCGCCTCCTACGCATAACCAAGTGCAGAGTTCCCCCGACCAATGCAGCCGTCTATAAAATGCACGCATCCCAGCAAAATGGGTTGGTCAATTCACCAGTCCACCTCGATTCCCTATGTCTGTGATGCACGAACAGGAAATCATAATCCGTGTGGACAAACCAGCCGGGGTCTATCGAGATATTCATGACTCAACCATGCCTGCGACAGATGCAAGCGGATCTACTTATCCTCCTCAAGATGGCGGAGAAGGAGCTTGGCTGTTCTTGCTCGGAGCATGTATAATCGAGGTCACCGCATGGGGTATGTACAGTACTATTATCACGACTTGTACCGGAAGAGTTCTCGTCTGACAACTTTGGAACAGGTTTCCCCTACTGTTATGGCGTCTTTGAGGCATACTTCAATACCCACCCACCATTCCAAGGTCAGAATCTTGTGTCAACCGGTGGAGTTCTGTCGAACGGAGTTTTGCAGCTGTCATTGCCTCCAGTCATGTACTATGTCAACAATTTCCCCAAGCACCGTATTCCAATTATGTGGCTGGGTTGTTCGATCTGTGCCTTTTCTGCCATTGGTGCAGGCTTTGCCAGAACAGTATGTAAGAATTCACATCATGCAGAGTACATTTGTGAGCTGACTTCTGCTCCAGCCATTGCAACTCATCATGACAATTGGTCTGCTTTACGGCATGGGAGCGGGCATGCTGTTCGGTCCGTCCATCCATCTGATGGCGGAATGGTTCAAGGTGAAGAAGAGTTTGGCATATGGTTTTATGTGTGTCTTTTGCACTTGAATACAGTTTTTGATGTCACTGCTGACCCTATCATAGATGCGCGGCAGGTGCAGCCGCGGGAGCAGGCTTGCCTCCAGTCTACACAGCTTGTCTGAATCGCTACGGCTACAAAGCCACTTTGATCGGCTGGGGCATCATCACATTCATCGTAACGTCTCTTGGATTGCTATGCATACGCCCTCGATTGCCTGTATCAGCTAAACCGCCGTCTCCATCGAGGAAAGACTTTGAATTTGCAAAGAAACCACTCTTTCTCATCATGCTCATCGCAACCATGATCCAAGCGGCCGCTCATTACGGACCAAGTCTTTATCTGCCTTCGTTTGGTGCCGATTTTGCACTCTCCCCTGCGGAAGCGGCTATGCTGGCAAGTCTTCTGAATCTGGCTCAGGCTATTGGACAGCCATTACAAGGATGGCTTGCGTGAGTACCTCTGGGGTTCCCACTACACGAGCTCGCTTATACTGATTCAGTACACAGTGATTGGCGCAAATCATATTACATCCCAATGCTCATCAGCACCGTTGGCGCAAGTCTTGAAGCTCTACTCATATGGGGCTTTGCTCGAAACCTCTGGTCACTGTCCGTATTCGCAGTGGCATTTGGCAGTACAGCAGGTGGTTTTGCAGTGCTGCGGCCTCGATTCGCAGCTGAGATTGTAGGCGATCAAGAAGAACAGGATAATCAGAGTTTGCTTGTTTTTGCTATCCTGACAGCAAGTCGAGGATCTGCGATCATTGGCTCTGGCTTCATCATGAAGAGCCTGGTACATGAAGGCTGGTCGACAAAAGGCTGGGGCGGTGGCCCGGCTTGGTCGAATCTTGTCATTTATACTGGCGCTATCATGTTTGCTGCGAGTTTCGGTGCCGTGGGTATGTTTGTGGGTCCTGCGAGGGGATACGGCAGAGCGAAGAAACAGACGCCGCTCGGCGACGCATAATCGGGAGTCAGCGATGTTGTTAGGGGTGGCGAGTATGCCTGAGAGGGAAGTTCGACTCCTCGCTGGCACTAGCAGTGTGAAACTAAGCTATTCGACCCTCGACCTCAGTGTAAGAAAGAACGCGTACAGCTGATGTTGTTACGATTACGAGAAAACTCCTGTGTGTAGGTAGTATCTCGAAAATTCATGTATATGCCTAATTGTCTGAGGGGAATTGCAACTACCATGGTCTCGAGCGAACAACTTGGGAGCCGCACAAGAAGCTTTGTCACAATCGCAAGATCCTTTCGGAACTATTCTGACTCTATCATTGTGATCTCACCTTCCTGTTTCCAGATGTTCGTAACGCATACAGCTGTAAAAATGCCCAGGGATCTCCGAAGAACAAATGGTTGCCACTGAGGATCAACATTTAGACATCTCTTTGAATATGTCGCTTTTCCAGAGCGTATTGTGCATTTTTATGGTGAGAATCACGCTTTCTCCCTTCTAAGAAGAAGTATGACTAGATTCTGTGCCAACGCCTGTTTCTATTCAGTTCCAATTGGCGTCCGTCACTCCCAAAACAACGTCAACTTCTCAACCTCTTCCACCACACTCATCATTGTACACCGCACACAATGTCGCATCCCGCCATCAGCGTCAACATCGCCTTGGAGCCTGCGGCTGCCACAATCGGCGCGCCTTGCTCAATCACTCTATCTGTCACCCTCTCGCACCCGACTCCAATCACAATCCACACGTGGCATACCGTGTTCAACTACGCTCGGTCCAAAGTTCGTAGGAACTTCTGGTGCATCGATCTCTCCGACAATGACAAGCCTGTTCAGCTCGAGACAGTCAAATGCGGCATGAGATCAGGCTACATCTGCCGCGAGCTGGGCGGTCTCGATGATCAGTACTTTGTGACTCTGGAACCTGGAAAGGTTGTGGAGTTCACTGCTCCGTTCATCTTGGCCCATCGGGTGGACAATAGATTGGTGGTTGGACATCGCTATCGCTTTGGGTTGAGCGAGAGAGAATGCGTGCAGTACTGGATGCATGGCACCCGCGAAGAGATCATGTTGCCTCCTGGACAGCACGCGCCGATCGAGAATGCAGGACCCGCGATCATGCTTGACGCCGGATCGCCGGTCGAGTTCGAAGTCTTGGACCCTGAGCCCCTGGAGCAAGAACCTCAACAAGTCTCCACATCGACTCAAAGTAGGTTAATGCGCGAGGCAAAGCGATCTTTTCGGGATAGTCACTGACTATTGTTTTGCAGACTAGTCACTCCATTCAGCACTACGAATGCTTTCTCAATCACGACCAGATTCACTCGATTATAACGAATCCTTTCTCAAACACCACCAGACTCACTCAGCCATAACGAGGCTCTTTTTCAACAACGGCCGAAACGACTCAGCGATAATGAAGCTCTCAAGAACGGACACGATATCGTCAAAGCTTCATTTCTCAGTTTGATTGCATGCGGAACATTCATAGGTAGTCTTTTCTCACCGGGTATTCCAAGTTTACCATCGAACGACAAAGTTTCATATCTCTCATTCGCCCGTGTCCGTGTGGAAAAATTTGTAATGCACGTGAAAGTGGAGATCCCCAATGCTTTCGAGAGATAGGTAATAAACAATCGGGATGCGATGTACTCTAAACTTCTCATCACCTGGGAGTGATCCCATCACAACTTCGCCGTGGTTTCAGTGCAGATGTGGTGATCAGTGATTTGTGTAGACAGGGATTAGCAGCACCTTGCTCTGCTGTTCAATTTAAGCTCTCCACAGCTTCAGCATTCTTCGCACGATATTCCTTGAGAACCTTCCCAAGGCAGCAGTAGATCATTGAACAACACCTCCTCATTCTCCTCATCCTCAGTCCACGGCCATGCGCTTACAGATCCTGGTGCAAGAGACGAGAAACTCAACTGCACCCCCAGCGTCTTCCGAAACACCCACTCAGCAACAATCAAAGTATCCCCCAAATGCCCAGCAGCAGGCCACGGCGCAGCAATGGTTTCAAACGGCAAGGCTTTATGCAGCGGGACCCGTAAAGCCGAAAACCGCAAATAAGCCTTCGGGACAGGCCCCTCACTTTGGAACAGTGCAAAAAGTGCAGAAGTATGTTGTTCCTGCGATAAAGCCGGCATTGAGATACCAAGGTCATGGTAGACTTCGAGGTCTGCGGCTGTTTGAGATGCGGAGGTTTCGGTGAGAGATGTCAGGATATCGAGACTGTATGCTTTTTTGAAGAGGTCGAGCCATTCGGAGTTGTTGGCTGCGGTGTTGTGATTGGTGCTTGTGGATCCGTAGGTGAGAAGTCGAGCTTCGGATTGCAGTTCTTGGTCCGACACAGGACGGTTTTGCATCACTCTTTGCTTTATCAAACGATGCAGTCCCGCAACAAGAAACTCCCATGATCTGTTCAGAGGTAAACCTCGACGCTTTGCATCGGATGCACTAAATGGAAATGGGCGTAGTCGTTCCAAGCCAATGAGAAATGGCGGCATGGCTGCATTGACTTGGGCGGAAACCGCACAATCAAGCCCTCTACATCCTTTCCACATGCTCATGTCGTAACCACTTTTGAAGTGATCTGCGATGTGTTCATTCCTCTCACTCCACACCGTAAAGCGCTGCCCGCAGAAACCACATCGGCTATTGACCCACACGGCCTCCAAAAGCCAGTGATCCATGTGAGGAAGTATATCGCACTCGTGTACAGAGCGCAGATGCTGACGAAGATGATCTTTGCGGAGGAAAATTCTAGCGTCAGGTTCCCTCGATTGACAGTATTGGTGGTTATGAGAAGCAGTGTGTTCTGAGGTGGGGAATGCAAGGCCGCAATATGCACAGATCTGTTTTCCGGTACTTGGACATTGCTGCACAGCAGAGATAGGGCAACAGATGTAGCGTTTCAGCGGCAGATGGAGGGAGATTTCGTGTCTGGTCCAGTCGTATTTTGTGGCGAATGTGTCGGTGCAGAAAGTGCATTGGAATCTCCTCTGCTGCGATGATAGAGATGCACCTTTCTCAGCAAGACTGGCGTTATCAGCTTCTGCGTCCAACCTGCCGTATACTAAGCCAGTCGTGAGTCGGGATGTAGAATTTGGCGCATCCTGGGTTGGGCGACTAGCTTGCTTCCTCCGACGATAATTCGCAAACCAAGTATTGAGTTGCCGCGCGTTCAAGCCTGTGACTTCTTGCAAGGCGACCTTCTCTACGGCATCCGGATATGGGTTAGTCTGGTGCGTATGAATCCACTCAGTCAACAATTCGGACACGGCACTGGGAAAGCGGAGCAGATGACGAGCGGTGTCGTGATGCTTGTCATTCTTGCCGACTTTTACGCAGTCTCTACACATTGTGACTAGCTTCAGCCACCGCTACTCAAGCAATTTGATGGGTATCGCTTTGAATCGTCCATTGGAAGTAAAAACAAAAGAGTAGTAGATTATTCGCATCCAGGGAGGAACGTTGGCGCTTTGTTTAGCCGCCGGCTTGGAAATTATAAGATGAAATTACGAATAACTCGCCGGAGGAAGGCGAGCTGATGGCCCGGGCGCAGGCTTCTTGCATCCCGGCGAGCCCGGAACAATTCTCATTCTCTCGAATACTCGAACCACGAGTACAGATACACTATCAATCATCATAGCCGTTCGCATCACTCAAGGCTTCTGCAGCCTCAGCACCCTTTCCAAACATGTTCTTGAGATCTCTAGCCACGTGCTCTGGCTTCTCCCAAGCAGCAAAGTGACCGCCGCTATCGTTATCGCTCTCGAAGACCACGTCTCCCATCTTCCTCACCCAAGCCTTCGGAGACGTCTCCATATCCTTCCAGTTGTACATGACACCGAGCTTGACATGTGGTACATGACCAGTAGCCACCTTCATCATCTCCATATCATCGTCGCCTGATGCATTGTGCTTCGCCTCGTAATAGATGCGTACATTGGCTGCAGGGCCAGCAGTAGAGAACCAATACATACTCACCCAAGTCAGAATCTCGTCGGCAGTCCAGGGATAATCATCGGACCAATCGTGGAGTTTCTCAAAGATCCAGGAGAGTAAAAGGACTGGAGAGTCATGGAGTCCGTAACCGATGGTTTGGGGTCGAGTGCATTGTTCGGTACTATAACCCGCGCCGTCTGAGCGGAACTTGGCTAGACGTTGCAATGATTCGTGCTCCTGCTTGGTAAACGAGGACTTGTCGTTGAGAGCAGCTGTGAGGTTGGTATCCATGGCTGGTGGGGTCATGTTGACGTGGGAAGCTTTGCATGCTTCTGGGTAAAGATGACCCATCGTTCTTGTGACCCAGAAGCCCCAGTCGCCGCCTTGAGTTGCTGCATGGAATCAATGGCATGTATGGTCTCCCAAAGTCACGACGAAGCTTACCGTACTGCTTGTAACCCAGCTTCAACATCAGCTTGTGGCAGACTTCGGCATATTGCGCAATGCCAAAGCCTCGCTTCTTGACTCCTTGCGAGAAAGCAAAGTTTGGAAGCGAAGGTGCTACGACGTTGAAAGCAGGTGCGCCATCCTTGGTGTCAGCCAGCAAAGGCAACACCTTGCTCACCTCGGTGAAGTTTCCTGGCCCTACACATCATCAGCAATTCTGTTCCTGCAATACATAGCTGAAGCATACTGACATCCGTGGCAGAACAGTAGAGGCACGGCGTTCTTGACCGAGCTCTCTTGATGGATGAAATGAATTTGCAATTCGCCAAACCCAACGACCTCAATGCCAGTGGTGCAGTTTGGTAGTTCGTTCAGCTTTGCTTCATGTTTGCGCCAGTCGTAGTCATTCTGCCAGTAAGTGATCAATCTCTTGACTTCGGGCAGAGATGCGCCGTAATCCCAGCCTGCGTCATCGAGCTCGTCAGGGAAATCGATTAGAGCGAGCTTCTGCTGCAACCGATCGATTGCTGTCTGTTGGACTGAGATATCGTAAGGTTTGATGTTGGACATTCTGCTCGAATCGTGCGATTGATAGGATTTGGATGCTTTGGATTGAGTAGGTGTGATGGGTGTTTATATGTTTCGGCTTCATGTTTGTGTCACTGAAAGCTTGTGGGAGGTGAGATGCGGGGCACTTGTCTTGGTTGCCCTTCAACTCACTCTCCATACATCATTCCTATGTATTGCTTACAAAGATTACAAAGCAATCAGGCAGCAACCACTCTACGCGTAGATCTTCTTGATCTCCTCGCATACTGCATCTGTCACTTCTTTGGTGTTCGCGCTGCCACCTAGATCACGCGTCGAAACACCATTTCCACTGACGATCTCCACAGCCTCAAGCAGTTTGTCTGCAGCGGTCTCTTCACCCAACCAACGCAGCATTTCTGCTGCAGTCCAGAATGTTCCCACAGGATTGGCAATACCTTTTCCTGTAATATCGAAAGCAGATCCGTGGATTGGCTCAAACATGCTGGGATTTTGACGTGTCGGGTCGAGATTGGAGGTTGGTGCGATACCGATGCTGCCTGCTAAAGCTGCAGCTAGGTCCGACAGGATATCTGCGTGAAGATTCGTGGCGACAATAGTGTCCAGCGATCCTGGTTGCAATACCATGCGACATGTCATGGCATCCACAAGCATCTTCTCAACCTTGACATCAGGGAAGTCCTTTGCGACTTCCGAAGCAATCTCGTCCCACATGACCATGCCATTTCTTTGTGCGTTGCTTTTTGTCACAACAGTAATGTGTTTCTTGTCTCTTTTCTGCGCGACCTCAAAGGCGAATTTGATGAGTCTGGTCACGGCATGGCGAGTGAAGATGCTGACTTCGGTCGCAATCTCCCACGGCTGGCCTTTGTGACTGCGACCTCCTTGGCCTGCGTACTCGCCCTCACTGTTTTCGCGGATGATGACCCAGTCGAGATCACCGGTCGATGCTTTGCGGAGAGGCGACTCTATACCACGGAGGATCTTTGTCGGACGGACGTTTGCGTATTGCTGAAATCCCTGGCAGATAGCCAGACGAAGACTCCATAGCGAGACGTGATCGGGCACATCTGTTTCTCTGTATCAGTCTTGGTCTGTTCCCAACCCTCAAATGCACAGAACTTACCCGGTGCTCCGACGGCCCCAAAGAAGATTGCGTCGTGCTTTTTCAATTCTTCGAGGCCATTGCCAGGAATGTATTTGCCAGTCTTCTTGTATGTTTCAGAACTCCAATCGTAGTGTTCGAAATCCAGAGTGAACGATTTGCTGGCTGAGCTGAGCGCTCCGAGCACTTTCACTCCTGCGTCGATAACCTCCGGACCGATGCCATCTGCGGGAATGCAGGCGATTTTGTAATTTTTGCTGGACATGTTTCTGTAAGTCTAAGAGTAGTGGAAATGGCCAAAACACCAGCGGAAGTGTTTGCATTTATCTTCGATCATTTTGGAGGGGTTCAGCGGACTTGTCTTGTTCCGACGGACTTGCCTTTCTCCCAATGAGGGGTAAATTCTCTCCAAGCTATTCTATTCTTCGTCAATCGGCAAGAAGTCCGCTCGGGATACGACTTTGTTTGGAGCATGCAATTTTTGACAAGCATTGCGTTAAGATTTGGTATAGCCTTCCAATGGACCTACTGTGATCGTGTCAGGTCTGCGTGAGCGTCTTTGGCATATTTTCGGTGGCGCCCTGCTCGCTGCTCCGCGAACGACGCTTTTGAAGAATTGCCGAGTAGATGAAAAGCTCAAAGCTCAACCAGATCTTTGAAGGCGTACGCTGTCGCCGCAAAGACAGTCTCACTGATGGCGAGAGAGGGGCTGTTGGTCCACATGAGCCTTGTGAGCGTCGAGGAAAGTGCTCAGCAAGTCTGTTCGCTACTCCAGCGCTTCATTGCAGCAACGTATGATGCAGAGCGTCAGGAGTAACGGTCAACATACTCGGTGTACAGAAGGCGTTCAACGCAAAGACCTTGATGCAATGCGAGTACTCAGCACAAGCAGCAATGCAACTTTGTCGTATCCAGGCAGACGCTTGATCACACCATCTCTCTGCCGCCAAACGTCACGTCGCTTCCTTTCACCTCAATGGTCTCGAGATGACAGCTACATCTGTTGATGTGTTCATCTTACAAAGACAATTGCATCTTCCATCGCCAATGTGTCTCTCCACTGCGCCTATCCTGTCGATAGTCAACAGATCGACCCGAGTGCATGATGTCAAACCCATAATACCGCTTCGCGTTCACAGCCCCTGCAGGAAGCATTTACCACGCAATCTACATCACGAGTGTGGTTCTTCTCCTCGATCAAGGGACACTAGACCGCAAACTGCATGTTCATCGTAACCATGCGGCTGAAGGAAGCGATTGAGTTCGAACGGTTCAATGAGCTCTCTCCACAACTCGCAAGCGATCCAGAAAACGATGGAAACATGTGAGGCTCGTGCCATGTTGACATCTTTTCAGATCGCGAGAAGCGCGTCATCATATCGCGTCGAGCCGTGTCTCGAAGACCACTTTACGCTCGATTCGGATAGAGGATGTCGTCGTTCGCCACGACGCTACAAATAAACCCCATGGCGACATTGCGATCGTTGCCGATGAGATTTTCACTGATCATCAATATACGACTCTCCATACCTCCCAAGAGACACTGACAGTATGCATTGGCGCCACTGAGAGTGATTCTTCCATTCCCTGCGTTCAAAATGAGCCGCAGCTTGCTACAGAAGATCAATTTCAGGCTGTCAACAAAGGAGCCCGCTCCATGCGTTGAACGCGGAGCGCTTCACGTTGATGACGCGCTTTAGGGGATCAATCAAAGCCGCATTCGGAACAAGATCTGCTGTATAAGCGTCATCTTGCACCACCAGATCTCGATTCCACTCAGGTACGAGCTAGAGAAGCACGATCTGTGGGGAAAGCTATCCCGTTGCACCTGCATGTTCCACCGGCTCACGGGGCCTGCAATCTACTCCACTTTTACACTTTTTGCATCATCGTCAGCTCATCTTACTGAATTCCCAAGTCAGCCAGACACTTGTTTGTGCATGGCTGAGACGACCCAGCTAACCGACCGCTTGACGAAACGATGGGAGAAAGACGTATAAGTACCTCGTCCTCTGCTGCTTCTACCTCTCCTTCTTCATCCAACAAATCCAAAGCATCAAGATCCTACAGCTTCTCTCACAACCTCACCACACACCGCACCACTTCAGAACAAAGTCTTTACTTTATCCAATCCATCAACATGTCTGGAACCTACAAGCCCACTGGTATGCATATTCTCCCGGCTTTCTTCGGCAAGAGGAGCACTTTGCTGATATGATTGCAGAGCACGGCGGTCTCAAGGAGGACGGTACCCCCGACAAGCGTGTCGGTACCGGTCAGTTCGCTCAGGGTCAGGTTGACCCCCATGAGGCTGGCAAGCAGGGCGGTCAGTCCTCTGGTGGCAGCACCGAGTCTACCGGCTCTTCCGGTGGTTCTTCCGGCGGCAACGGTCGTGAGTTTTCCTCATCTTTTTCACACACACACAACAGTGACTGACGAGGATCACAGAGTTCGCTGGCGGCAAGGTTGACCCCGTCGAGGCCGGCCGCAAGGGCGGTCAGTCCTCCAACTAAGCGCGCTCCTCACTCAGAGTCGCTTTATGAACGATATCATGCCACAATGTATCAACACCATATCATGACATAATTATACCACAATCTATATCAGATTTATAAACTTTCTATACCGCTCCTCTTGATATGAAATTTCCTTGCTGTCTTCCATACGCCTTTCTACAATTTTGCTCATGTCCTTCAGCTGCTTCAATCTTCCCGCAATCCGCAATACAATGCCAGCCTGCACAAGCTCGAATCTGCGCGTGCCTTCAGCACTGGCGCTTGTGGACCTGTTCGTCCAGCACTCTCGCTTCGGGAAACTTACCGGCCATGCCCGCGGGCAACAAAGCCTTACTCGCTCCTCTAGCAAAGTTGGAGAACTGCAGCACAAAAGTGTCGACGAGCTCAACAGCCCTCGCTCCCTCCATCGTACCCAAAAGCTCGCCAATCTCGGCGCTCACATTACCTGTAAGCCCCAGAGTATTCGCCAACAGAGGCAAGTCGGTGTAAGATCCATGTTGGGTGCCATTTAGCGTGACAGCAAGCTTTGTGCCCATTGCATTGCTCCAAGCTTGGATCCACGAAACATCAGTGCTGAGATTCTTGCCTTGGTGGCTCACGATCATGAAAGGCGATGTGAAGTTCTTGTGCAGAATATCGCCGAAGAGAGTGCCATCGAGGTTTACGGCTGCAGCAACGCGGGTATCTGCGAGCATTGCAGCTGCAGCGGTTGCACCGCCTAGAGAGTGGCCAGCCATGAGAATTTTGTCGAGAGATCTGGTGTCTGCGATATTGTGAAAGAGCTGTTGTCTGATGGAGCAATCGTGCAGTTGATCAATCAGGAATGAAACATCGTGTTGGCGAACCATCACGTCTGCTTCAATCTGCTCATTAGATTCGATATTCACAGCAATTGCGACGGTCTTGTCAGGATACTCGACGATAGCGGCATCGTAGGCATGGTCCAGAGTGATGACCACAAAGCCATGGCTAGCCAGTGATTGAGCCATCGCACCGTACATCAAGCGGGAATTACCCAAGCCGGGCGAGAACAGAGCAACTGGAAAGCCGTTGGACTTTCTGCTGCGATCCTTGCGAGGGAAAGCACAAGTAGACAATTCAAAGGATGCAAAAGTGCCATTGGGGATACCGAGGGGTGCGTACATCTGATCGTAGACGGCTGCGGTTGCGGGGGTCATGTATGGGACAATGACGGGTTGACATTTCTTGAGGGAAGTTGCTGGGTAGTAGGTGGAGACCATGATACGGCGATGTTCTGATAAAGGTGCGTAGGTGTCGTTCCTCGAGGTGTCGACGAGCTCCATGGTAGAGGATGCGACACCGTAGTCTCCAGGTGGGGGCTGGATGATTGTGGCAGTTGTCAGAGCTGCATAGGTCAAGAAGAGAGAGGTCTTCATGCTGAAGTAGGAGATGACAATTGGTGATGCGAATGCAAGATGAGTGAAGGTTGGATGATGATTGTTGCAATGTCGCGTCGCAAGTGATACCTTTATACTTGGATTGAACATTCAGTGGAGCCTACCTGGGCCGGCGCAGAGTTCTGTCGCTCGAAGACTTCCCGTTTTGGACTGGTTTGAGCGAACACCTTGGCAGAACGCTATTGCTCTTGCACTCCCTAAAGGTTCATTCACGGAGTCTCAAACCGACGTGATCGCATAGAAAGGCATAAGAGTATCCGGATCGTAAGTGTGTCCACGGAGAGTCGGATCTCCATCAGTTATCGCTGTATATTATCTGGCCCCTCGGACGTACTGTGCATCGCTATAGCTACGCGCGATACAGTTTGTATACGAAGTTGGGTGATGAAAAAGACCGGAAGAAGTTAACGACAAGGAAGAAGGAAGCTCCTCCGCAGTCCGTGCGCCTCATTCCGCGCGAACACTTCTCGATCAGGTATAGTCAGCTTGGCCGTGCTCATCTGTCGGCGGCGACCTCGCCCAACTGTTCTTCACGCAACTCACATATAACTTCGCGCCGACTAGCTTCGCTCAATCATGTCTCTTTTTGGATATTTTCGTGCGACAGGATGCGTCTTGGACCCTTAGACCGTCGACTTGAGCGTTCAAGATGTCTGAGATGTGCGAAAAGCCATTTGAAGGTGAGTTTGCCATATGTGTTGGCCGGTCATCATTTGCTGAGCATTTGTACCATTGTAGTGTTCTGGTGGCACACCATGCACTGGTTGTTCCAAGCGGAATCAGAAATGCGTATATCCTGCAAAGACGACGACAATTGCAAAATTCCAACTCGTCAATCGACATACTATCCAGAATAGTGCCTTGGCTCGCTCGAAGATACCACAAAAGCCGAGCCTGGAGCATAGTAACAACGTCTTGAACATCTTTTTGACCAGGTTTGTGGGCGAAAACAGTTTTACTGGTTGCTCCTCGACATGGTTTGCAGATATCCAGACATACTTCGCTTCGGACAAAGCTGTGCATCATGCACTGAAGGCATTGAGCCAGTTGTATGCTTATCGTGAGAGCAATTCAGATCAGACACGGAACAAGAGACTGGCCTTGGAATCTTACCAGACTGCGGTACTCTCGGTGAGGCAAGTCGTCGATGCAGAGCATGCAAAGATTCCACAATCACTGGTGTCGAGTACATTCCTGCTCGGATTGTTTGAGGTACTTTTTCTCACCATGTCTTCCTGATCCCTGTCACTGATAATCGACAGCTAATGTATGATCCTACTGGAGAAGGCTGGATCAAGCATACGATGTTTGGAACCTCTAGGATACTCCAGCATCTGGGACCAGAAGCATTCCGCTCAGGTCTGGGGCTAAGCTTCTTCAATCAGATGAGAATGTTCGAAGTTTCACGCTCTCTGCTCTTTTCGGAATCATCCTTTCTCGTTCAAAGTCCTTGGATGAACCTGATGGATACCGATATTAATACGGTAAATGATGTTCATCCTATGAACGATCTGCTCAACCTGATGATCAAATGCTCAGATCATTGTGCGAGAGCGTTGTCATATCTGGAAGGCGTAGACAAGAGCAGCTTATCACTTCATGAAGTACAGCATCTACGAGGTTTGGCCGTGGAGGGATTCGATCTGAGGCTTTCTCTGTGTGAGATGGACACTCGCCTCTCGACACTGAACAAGCAAGTCGCCAAAGACAACCGTACCACCATTGCGAAGATATACCTGGCGGCGACCTCAATCTTCTTATCTGGGGTCTACGACTACAGGTCTATCTGGTTGGAAACCATCGAAGCCACACCAGCACTCTCACATGTCTTCGTTGAACAACACGTAAACACGATGCTCGACTTGACAGAATATGCCATGCAGGAAACAAATCTGTCCAAACTCTTGTTTCTCTATCCACTCAGAGTCGCTTGCTCAAGAGTATGGACGTGTGAGCCAAAAGATCGTCTCAGAAGTCTGTTTGGCACGATCCGAAAATCATTCGCTGTTGCGCATGTATTTGTGGCTGAAATTGAGGAGCTTTGGGAAACACCAATGTCTGATCGTTCTGATTGAATGTCTGCGCTTTCTTCAACCCAGCCAAGCATAAGCCCAAGGAAAGAAATGATACAGCAATCCCTTCACCAGCGACGGCACATTCTGCCACGGAAATGCCACATCGCTCGCAACCGGATTCACAGAAACCGCCTTCCACTCATACTCATCCCCAGCATCAGCCACTTCCACCATTGCAGCCGCTAGATCCATAAACGACACCACGCCTCTCGGGGCTTGCATTGTAAGCTTGTGTCCTTTCTGCACATCGATGGTCAAGGCACCGGGCTTGACGAAAGTCACTGAGAGCCATGATTGTTCGTTGCGGAGGAGGCGTTCAGCGGCAATGAGATCGTTGTAGATGTTCGACTCTGCGCATAAGAGGAGGTTGAGAGCTAGTCTGGGTATGTCTTTGCTGAAGACTGAGTCAATCGCCGCCGACGACAAAACAATCAGCTTGGGTAGTTTGATAGTCGTATCTGTATCTCGAAGCTCTCTCATAGCGGCAATAACTACGCGTGCGGTATCCTGCGCGATAGTGTTGCCGGGTACATTTCCGCTGACCGCCACAGCGAGAAATACGGCATGAGTGTCTTTGATGCAGTCGCGGATGACTTTTGTGTCGTTAAGGCCGCCTTCGAAGACCTTCACGTTCGGATTTGCGATGGCATCGGGTTGTAGCCTCCCGAGTTTTGCTGCAGAGCGGCAGTAGGCGTGGATTTTGTTGGCGGGTGTCTGGGTTAGGACTTTGAGAAGGGATTGACCTGTGTTGCCTGTTGCTCCGAGTACTGCGTAGGTTGGCATGATTGAAGATGAGATTGGAGTTAACTTGACAGGTATCGATTACGCGATAAACCCAATGATTGAAGATGTTTGTATGGTGGACTCGCGTGAGTCTTTGACAATGGCAGCTCCTGTTATACCTTGTGAATACGGTGCGGAAGTGTTGTTTTCAGAATCCGAGCATGGCTCGGCGAACCTACTGATATGACGTGCGGTGGCAAGGCAATTTACGCTACAGATCAATCTTACTGTGATCTTTGACCTAGTGTTAGAGCTCGGATGAGCTACTTTTGACGTGCTTGAGCGATGAATGATATGAGCAAGTGAAGTCGTGGATGTGGAAGAATCGAAGCGCCAGGCCAAAATGTGCTTCGTCCAGGGCCATAAGTCTTGGTAGATCTTGTCGTGGGGACCACCCTGTTCAGTCAACGCAGTCGTTTTCCAACCCTTCCCATAGCTCCCAGCCATGTCTCCGTGATTCATGCAAGAAACTCGGCAGTTAGTGTACACAGCAAAATGTTGATCCAGGGACATACAGCGAAACTGGATCACTGGTGATCAGAATCGCCCATCATTCGTGCAACTGGAGGACATCTAGGAAATCTGGGGTATGAGCACGCGAAGAAACAGAGCACTGCTCGATGGAAAGCAAACAAATGACTAAGGAGATATGCTATCATTACGGACACTTGTGCACGATGCTGATAGACAGCATGAAAGCAAGAGTGGCCTCGCCAATTGAGCATGTCTCACGTTCGCAGCCACCGAGGAGGTCTACATGGAGAAAGCTCCTACCTTGATGGCAACAGGCCAACATTGCCGCTCAGTAAAGCTTTGGTACTAGGGCACTGCCCTTTACAGGCTGATTCAGAGATGAATGGAAGGTCAGAGAGCTTCAGATGGCACCCGCGTTGCTTTCTTCCACTTCTGTTTCAAAGCGCTGCAAGGTTAATCATCAGCCGGCAGGCGACGGTGAGAAGGACGGGACTGTGGCAACCACCGCAACGAAGAAGATCTCGGGGAAAGGCAAGACCGGCAGATTGCAGTGCAAGAACAGAGAGGTGGACGGAGATACATATGTGGCATCCGGCACGGGCAGGAGTGCATGACGTTTTGTCGGGTAAAATGGCGTGTCGCAGTCGGTTGAACCCCATATTACCCCACCGGGCCAAATATATGAAAGCCCCTCCGAACCCCTCGTCCTCGACATTTCTTGTCTACACAATCTCCCTTTCTCTCTACAACTCCAATCCATCCTCATATCACACATCATGTCTCTCGGACGCACTGTCAAGCTCAACACCGGCGCCTCTATCCCGTAAGTCTCCCTCCAATAGCAGCTGACACGTTCGCGTCGAAACTAACAGTGCATCGCAGTCAATTGGGATTCGGCACATGGCAGGCTGAGCCCGGCCAAGTCGAGGCCGCCGTCTACGAGGCCCTCAAGGCCGGCTACAAGCACATCGATCTGGCCAAGGTCTACGGCAACCAGAAGGAGATTGCCAACGCCTTCAAGAGAGCTTTCAGCGAGGGCATCAAGCGTGAGGACATCTTCATCACCTCCAAGCTCTGGAACTCGCAGCACAGACCCAACGACGTCGCCCCCGCCCTTGACGACTGCCTTGCTGAGCTCGGCCTCGACTACCTCGACCTGTACCTCGTCCACTTCCCCGTCGCTTTCGACGAGTCGGGCGATGTCCACCAGAACCTGTTCCCTCTCAGCGACAACGGCGACGTCAAGATGCTCGACAGCGTCTCAATCGTTGACACCTGGACTGCCATGACCAAGCTCGACAAGAAGAAGGCCCGCGCCGTCGGTGTCTCCAACCACACCCAGGAGCACCTTCAGGCCCTGATTGACGCCACCGGTGTCACCCCCGCCGCCAACCAGATCGAGCGCCACCCCCGCCTCCTCCAGACCGACTTCATCAAGTGGTGCGGCGAGAAGGGCATCCACATCACCGAGTACTCGACCTTCGGCAACAACATGGTCGGCGAGCCCCTCCTCATCCAGCACAAGACCGTCAAGGAGATTGCCGACCGTCTCAACGCCTCCCCCGCACAAGTCATCCTCGCCTGGGCACAGGTCGGCGGCCACTCGGTCATCCCCAAGTCCGTCACTGCTTCGCGCATCCGTGACAACTTCAAGGAGATTGAGCTGCCCAAGGAGGACTTTGAGAAGATTGAAAAGATTGGTGCCGAGGAGCGTCGTCGTTACAACATCCCCTACACTGCCAACAAGCCCCGCTGGCCCGTCAACATCTTCGGCGAGCCCGAGGAGAAGGATGCTCCCCACAAGGTCGTCGTTTGAGACGTTTGTCTTGTGACCAAAAACAAAATAACGTAGATACCCTTCACGAAATTAGCAATAATCAAAAGTCATTGAACATAATTTCACTCTCTTGTATTGTGCTTGGGACGTGTAGCATTGGATTCAAGTCACAGATGAAGCTCCAACATTACCCTCCCCATGTGCTAGAATTTGTGACTCCCACTCCGTCGTTGTCTTGTCGTCTCTCTGTGGACTTGACTGATCTATCAACACAAACTATGCATGTCGATAGTACAAATCATGGTATAAGTAGGATGAAACAAACTTCTCCTACGAAGGTCTGGAGCATGAACAGTACTATAGAAATGCACAATGATCTCTAACAGATGGAAAGTCCCACAGAGAGCCATAGTTTTCACAAATCTCAGTGGATCCTTTTGGAATCTCGAAGCTACTGTGCATCACTACAACTGTAGGCGTTACAGATTTAAGCGCATGGGGATGAGGCAGCATCGGGTGGTCATAAGTCTTGTACGTAAGCGACTATCTCGGACGTGTCCGGGGCTTGCTCAAGCCTACGTGACTACTCAATGTGATGGACAACATCGTACCTGCCTCGTACAAGGCCTGTAGTCATTGCTACAGCCGCAAAGTCAAGGTGATACCATCACTTGACCTCGACCAGACGTCGAAAACTCGCTCATCAAGTACCAGTGCGACGGCGTACTACCTCGATGTGGAAAATGCAATGACGCTCAACATGATTGCGACATTACAAGTCGCGTCTTCTATTCCTACGAAGTGGTCAAAGACCTCATTGATAGAGTCCAAGACCTGGAAGCACGACTTGAAGCCTCGCAATCGCGCTCTACTGGACCTACTCGTGTCGAGTTTGATGACGCACACAGATTTGATGTCAACGTTCAACTGCAGCAGTCAGGTCTTGCTTGGGAGAACGACCAACGAAATGCGCGTCCGATAGATCAGATATCTCAGGAGCTGGGTGCGTTGAGTCTCGGTCATGCCGATGTGATGGCACAATACTACGGTGAGCGGCCAACTATTCGACTTCTACCCTGAGGCTGACGGAATATCAGTGGGCAATGCTGCAGGTGCAAGATTCGCAAAGATCTTTTTCAGCAGCTTGAATTTGAATCTCGCTCTTGCTATCCCCACCTCTCAGGCATCGCCTCAACATCATCTGCTCGAGCTCGGCCAGTCTTGTGCTTCGCTGCCACCCAAGCATGTGGCGGACTTTGCCATATCCGTGTACATGAAGCGAGTGCATATCTGGTGGCCAGTCGCGACATACCCAGCACTGCGCTCGATTTACAGTAGCGTTTATGAGCATGGAAGTACTTGCAGCCAATTCCAGCGCTTTGTGGTATTCATCACTCTTGCAACTGGCACGAAAGAGGCTCAGAATACTGGCTGTGGAGCAGAGCTGAAGTCAATGTTTGCTCCTGAGGAGTACTACAGGACTGCGCTGCAATTTTTTGATTCTTTCTCTGGACTGGACAGAATCACTGCATTGATACTGTTGATTGTCTGGTCTATGCGCAGTCCGCTTGCTTCCGATCATCTCAATCTTTGGCAGCTGGTGCGCCAAGCGATGAGTCTTGCAACAGAGATGGGCCTTCATCGCAATGGACTGGCGTGGAAGTATGCACCGTCTGAACTCGAAGCGAGAAATCGTTGCTGGTGGTGCATCTACGGTCTGGAAAGGTAATCAAGGCCCAACGATACTGGTTGGACACGAATGCTGACCTCCTAACTAGAAAGATAGCCGTTGGCCTAGGAAGAACGCTGTCGATTCGCAATCAAGCCATAGACGCCATGTTTCCCAAACACACTGAAGAAGACGATAGTTTACCGACATCAGCTGTTTCAGACGCGCCCCTCATGACCTTTGGTGTCGGTCCAGCCGTACATCTCATCAAGCTTTGGGCTATATCTGGAGACATTCTCGAGTCTGTTTACATTGCTCGACCAGCAACATCGCTCAGCCCGGCGATTCTACAGCGCCTTGTCAACAGTCTCCGACAGAGGTTGAGCCAATGGAGAGGGTCACTTGAGGAATATCCTACGTCACAAAACTCCGTCTATCTGCAGATGAAGGTTCAATACGCCATTGTGGTCATGATGCTCAACCGGCCTTCACCAAGTTTCCCTGTTCCAGACCAAGAGATGACGAGATCTTGTCATGAGGCCGCCAAATCTGCGATAGAAACTTGGAACCTGCTACGAGAGCGTAACGAGATATTGCTTGACTGGAAGACTTTGCACGATGTTCTCATGGCCGGACTTGCTTGGCTGTATACATGTTGGTAAGTCAAAGTCTGACAGCCTCTGTGACCCGACCGTTGGCATCAGATCGACTGACAAGATAATGAGCAGGAGTCTACCAAGCATTGACTTGCCCACTGTCTCCGCCATATCATCCACCTACAGCTCTGTCCTGCATTATCTCGAGATGGTCGATCCGAAGAGGACTGCTTACTCGGAGTTCTTCGAGAGTCTTCTGGAGCAGGTTCTCGCAAGGAGAAACCAGGACAGGGCCCAAGAGACGACATCACCAAACAATCATGACATATCGACGGACTGGATGGAGGCCAACTTTGAGCAGGCAGTTCTTGACGCAAGTTGCTCTTTTGATCTGGCAGATCTTGACAATTTCATGCTTGACTACCCCTACCTGATTGATCATGATCAGAATGTCGGGTGGTGAGCGCCGAATGCTCAAGAATATTGACTCAATGTGAACTGCAACAACGATTGATCACAGGCTTGCGGATCTCATCAGTATACATATCGGAAGGACTTCTCCACCTCAAAGTCTGTCAAGTCTTCAACCTGTAAGGATTCGTCAAGCTCAATTTGAGAGTCCGACTGGCCGTATCTCTGGTCTCTTTTTTTTGTTCTCCATTACACACAGAAGTCTTGAGAAGTTGTTAGTCTCACGACAGAGTCAGGAGGCATCTCTGTCAAACTCACCCATACACGACACCGGTCGCAGCCATTATGGCAAAGCAGCAAAGCATTGCACCTATGCCCAAGCCATACTTAGGAGCTTGTGATGATCTGAAGAATTGCGGCCCAATGATGTTGCCCACAGCTAGTACGCACGAACGAGTCAGTGTTCTGCCTACGTACATAAAGTCGAGTGCTTTGAGACACATACCATAGAAGATGGCAACCGAGACCGAGACGAAGCTCTTTCTGGTCGCGCTTGCTGTGTTGGAAGACTGGAGACTGAGCATGAGAACCCACGGGACGTTGTAAAAGCCCATGAGATATACGCCCGCAAGGGAAGCATCTCTCTCCGATGCGGCGTTGAGCACTGAAAAAAGTCAGCTCTGGGTCGTCTGTTGTCGAACATCAGCTTACTATGGATCATGATGGCACCCGCCAGTGCTGGCGGGGAAGACAGCGTCCACAGAACACAGCGAATGTTTGGTACGAAGTAAGCAAGGGCCGTACAGACGACTTGAGCTACGAAAGCAACGCCAGCTTGTGGTGTCGCCATCAGAGTGGTTTTGCTTTTCGAAAAGCCGTAATCAGCGATGATCAGTGGATTGAACTGCGGAGTCAGCATCGACTTCCAACGAGCAGAACTTCATTGGATCCTCACATCTGTTATTCCTGCATTGGTGATGGACTGCGCAATGACGAACACTGCCACACACCAGTACTTTGGGTCGGCGATAGCTTCCCGGTTCTGGTAAAATTTCCACTTCTACGATGGACAGTTAGCATATATTTGACTCGTGGCTCATCACTTACAACAAACCTTATCACGAGTCGCTGCTCGAGTTTTGGACACTCTGATCCGAGCGAGATCTTTCTCATCTTTGGTAGAGAACCATGCATGTCCCGGATCATCCGGCAAAGCAAAGAAAACCAAAATACCAGCAGCCATCGTCACCGAGCCATAGATCAGGAAGATATACTGCCTCCGGGTCAGTCCTCTTACCTATCAGCACAGCACAGCGATCTTCATACCTTCCAAGTGGACAGTGGACCATCGATCTTGCCGACTGCAAAATTGAGGATGCCGCCAAAGATCTTCCATAATGTCAGCACGTCATTCTTACACGAGCAAATCAACCAAACTTACTCCTGCAAAAGTGTTGTACCACAACGCCGTCCTCAACAGTTGCTCCCTCTTGGTGTACCACAGCGAATTGACAAGCAACAATGCTGGAAGTATGCCTGCCTCGAAGACTCCGAGGAGGAAGCGTACCGTGGCGAGACCTGCAAAGTTGCTGCACGCAGCCATACAACAGACAACCCCTCCCCATGTAAACAAAGTCCCGCTAATATAGCTACCCAGTGGCACTTTTGTCAGCAGCCATACAGTGGGCATCTCCATCACTAAGTAGCCCAGGTAAAAGATGGCCCGAGCCAGCTGTACTGTTGAACATGGAGGTCTGTTTCTTTCCTCATCTCATAGACAGCCGCGTAAGCCATGCCGTTCTGGTAACTATTAGCTGGGCTCTGGTCATATTCTGGGACTGCCACCACTTGCCTTGTCGAGAAATGCCAAAGTTGAGGTCAATACGATCAGCGGCAGAACGACAGCGTCGGTCTTCATCAGCAATCTCCGTTCAATGCTCTTCTGGTCCACGACATCTCCAATGCGTTGTTCATGAACGTTAGTTGACGACTGAACTATCTTCATGTCCATGGTAGTTGTCAATAATAACTACGAGTTTCTGGCGGACGGAGCATTGCACTTGATAGCTATAATATAGCTTTAGTACCTGGCAACCTGCAATCACGACATCTACAAACTCACGGACAAGTCCGAAAGTCAATGTATATTTTACCTCGGACCGGTCCGGCCAAGCGATATTGCGTGCTCGAATTTCTCCAGCTCCAACCCCACGATGTTGAGCGATAAGACGATTGAAGATAAGCACGGGTTGGTCCGAAATGTTCGACGACTCACTTCACGGACGTGTCCGAGGTACACTGCAAACCTCAACACAAAGTCATGGCATTGAAGTAATCGATATTCCCAGCTTCTAGCACATCTTCCAGCATTGGTCTTGCGTGATTTTCGATTTAGGGGACTTCTACAAAGAAATATTTACATCTGTCACAAGTCGACTGCATCACAAGATGACACCCGTCGGATCAGGGGCTACTCATGCAGTAGTACCAAACAACAAGAATGACTCTATACTGGTGGGTACTGCTTTGTCTTCGTGTCGATCATCGACTGACGACTGTTCCCTAGATTGGAATGAGAGATGGCGTTACGGGGGACTTCAGTCTGCGCTCACGAAAGGAGGCAACAGTCTCTGTATTCGACTCGAACTTCCTCGTTGGTGATGGTATCTGGGTGAGTCAATGTCCATCAACACATTCTCGGCTGGATGTTGACAAGGACTAGGAGGGCATGCGAGTTGTCCAGGGCCGTGTTCAGTTTGCAAAGGAACACATCGACCGCCTGTTCCAGTCGGCAAAGGCAATGTACATGGACTTGGGACTCACCAAACAAGAATTACTGGGTCTGATACACCAAACGATTGACAAGAATAACATGCAACAAGCAAAAGACATCCACATCCGTCTTGTCATAAGCCGAGGACTGAAATCAACACCCTACCAAAACCCAAGCGTCAACATCGGATTACCTCTCATCGTCATCATCCCAGAATACAAATCTGCGGACCCCAGCGTCAAGTCCAAAGGCCTTAAACTCATCACCTCACACATCCGCCGCGGCCAACCAGACGTCAAAGATGAGATGTGGAACCATATCTCTAAAGCTACTGACATCCAAGCCTGCATTGGAGCCAATGTGGTCGGCGCAGACGAAGCACTCATGCTTGACCCTCACGGCTTCGTCAAGACCTGCAACTCGACAAATTTCTTCATTGTCCGTGGAGGCGAGGTCTGGGTGCCAACACGCGCATACCAGATGCAAGGTATCACCCGCGCCAAAACCATTGAAATCTGCCAAGCGAATGGTATTCCGGTGGTCGAGCAAGACTTTACGTTGACAGAAACGTATGGTGCCGATGAGGCTTTTTGCACTGGCACGTTTCCTTCGCATATCCCTGTGAGGGAGATTGATGGGAGAGTCATTGGTTATGGGACTATGGGACTAGTCACTAAGCGATTGAATGAACTGTATAAGAAGGCCGTTGAGGAAGATGTGAGGAGGCAGAGGTCGGAGATCCTTGCTAAGCTTTAAGTAAAGGTTCAGGAGATATACGGTAGAGCTGGGTCTTACTTGGGCTGCTTGTCTACGACCGTCAGATGGGCCGCGGTATGGAGAATATTCGACTATGACAAGCACGAAAAAGCTCCACAGGTCAGAACATCAACGATTCTACACTGTACAAGCGACCGGGGAAGAAAGTAGAGTGGCAGTGCGAGCGCACAGCCATATCAAAGAACACAAAGCTCATTATCGAACTCGAACTTCAACGTCAAAACCATGCCAGACAAGAAGAAGGATGTCATACGGTTCTCGACCCTGTAATCCTACAGTCTTGTCAACCGTCATATTCGAACAGGAACGCCATATGGACATACCTAGAGCCTCTCTCTCCCTCACAGACCTCCAAAGCCAAACACCGCAATCCCCAAAGCACACACAAGCAACACCACCGAAGCACCCCCCAAACCAGCCGCATCCCCCGTCTCCCCAGCATCGCAACTACCAGTATAATTCCCACTCTTCGCTTGCGTACTATTGGCAGGATTACAGCTCACAGCCACCGCAGCCTGCCTATCCGTCCCTATCTCAGCGATCGTGCCAGATAGTTCTCCAGCTTGAGGGTACGGCGTACACGCCTCCACAAACGCGCCCTCGACCGCAGCATCATCGCAGCCCGACAACTGACCAGCAGTGCAGCGGTGATTGGCGGTCCAACCTACATACCCCGCTGTCCCATTGGGAATGGGCCAGGTCAGTGGATGCGCGATATCAGGGTTTCCGGCGACAAAGTCCGTTACGGTGGTGTTGAAGGTAAAGTCTACTTGGTTGCCGATGGTCTTGTACAGGTCTTCTGGGTCAGAGACACTGAGGTTGAGGGATCGTCCATCTGAGACGTAGCCACCGACGTCTACGCGGCAGGGTGTGGTGGTGGAGTCGCAGACGACGCCTTTGCTGATGATGAAGGTGCGGAGGGCTGGTTGAGAGTAGGGGTCTTTTGAGGGCGTGTAGGATGAACAGGAAGTTGCTGAAACTAACTTGCTGAGGGAAGCAATTGCGATGAAGGTGGAAGTGGAAAAGTGCATGGTTGGTGTTTCCTTGATGATTGTTACAGAAGACTGCTTGCTCGAGCTGGGCTCACGGCTTGGGTTTTGTAGGAAACTGAGTATATGACGTGGGTATCGTTGTTCAGTGATGTTGCATGCGATCGTTACTTGCGTGGGACTGCTTTACTGCTGCTCTCGTCGATCCTACTCGATAAATCTGCCTATTGCATTAATCCTTCCTCCTTGGCAGTAGCTTTGGAATCAACCTAAGTGGAGTCGTTCTTGGGTACGGCTGTGCATCTGTGCGATTTGGTCCCGGATATGCGGTACTGGCGTGCAGTTGTTGCCGTTCTAGTTGATCAGTGAATCCTTCGTCCTTGGCAAGTGGATATGCATCAACACTCCCAGCGTTGTACGGCCGTAGCATTGCATGACTCGGTCCATTTTGTTAGAGCAATAGAGTAAGAGGCATAAGAGGGTGACTGAGTACTAAGCAAGATCATACAGCTTTGATGCAGAGCCGCAAGCGCGGCAATCCATATAAGCTTCAACAGTGTTGGTCGCAGACAAAAGCTCATAGACCAGATATCTTACAGCTCCTATACCACAATCTCCAAAACTTAGCAAGAATCTCCGATTTCTGTTTCCTTACATCTTTTTCACTGAAGATCCAGTCAGATATCCATGGACTGATCAGACATACAGGGCTATGCCGCGGAGGTGAGGAAGCGGAAAAGGAGTACGCTTGTCTTGTCTTGATTCATGCCACGAGCTATTGTGATGCTAAGCAAGTCCCCCTGCGCTCCCCGTATGATATACACAGCTAAAATGGAAACAGCAATCTCGTGCAGAAACAGCTGGCCGTAGGAAAAGTCCTCACTCAACGCCCTCGTAACTCCGATGCAGAACACTCATCCATCATCTCCGACACTCGCCATTAGAATAAACACTCACTCACTTTTTAGCCCTGGGCTTGGCTGGCGCCTTCTTTCTAGCAGCAGGCTTTGGTTTCTCCTCTTCCTCGTCATCTTCATCTCCACTGTCTGCCTTCTTCTTGCCCTTGCCCTTTGCAGCTGCCTTGGCGGGTGCCTTCTTCTTCTTGGGCTTTGCGACGTACTTGTCCTTTGAGATGTCCATGTCTTCTTCTTCCTCAGCATCGTCTTCAGCTGCGTCTTTGAGAAGTGCTTCGTCTTCAGAGTCGTCCATGGCTTCTTCGAGATCGGGCTTTTCTTTTGCGATCTTCTTGGAAGGGTTGACGACGCTGGAGGCTTTCATGAATGGCAGAGGGTGAGATTGTGCATTGTACCTGAAGGGAAATCGAGTCAGTATGTGTCTGGTAGCAACAAAAAGGGATGACTTACATCCTCGTGAAGGTGGCCTTGGTCTGTGACTCCAACTTGACATCCTCTTGCTTCATGGGTCCTACGCCGAGCTCCAAGATGGCATCGAAATCATCCTTGGTGAGGAAGTACTGATCCATAAGCTCAATAACTTCAGGCACTGCTTCTTTGCCTTCAGACTCCAGCTTCTTGACAAGATTCTGCCAAAGAGTAGGCATGTACTGCTGTCTGATTTCGTGTCTGTCGCCGGATGTACGCAAGCGCATGTGACCTTGAATCTCCTTGACTTGACGGCTGAGCTTGCCGTAAGAGCTGTTCTTGCCCAACCATGTGGTGAAGCGGGTCTGAGAACCAGCCTGAGAGCCTGCAACAAAGGAAGCTGGACGAACAAAACTCATGATGGCGTGTGTAGGCATCAAGCTCCACTGCTGCTGAGAGCCGTGAACCATTCTGTCGACGAGATCACCGTCTGAGATACTGTCCGCCGCTTGACTGGATAGCTTGAGTGTCTCGAGGTTGGCCATCTTTGCGTTGGGAGCATCTGCAGCCAGAATTGGCTTCGTGCCGAGATAATTCTCTTGCAACATGAGAGGACTGAATTCGTGGTCGTTGAAGTAAAGCTCAATCTTGTCGTTGAGCGTAGATTTGCTGGCTGCTTGGAACATGCCTCCACCAAGGATTTTGCTGGTGATGTCCCATGGCTTCAAGACAACATGCTTCTCCCAAGCCTTTGACATCTCCTTGCCCTTGTTAAAGTCCATGGCAGATTGGTCAAGCTTTGCAGTAGAGATCATGTTGACTACCTGGCGAATATCTGCTCCTGTACCTTCAATCAAAGCGTTCATAACGTTTGGAGGCATCTTGAGACCTTCGCGGTGGGCAATAGTTGCGATACGAGCACGAATCATGTCGTTTGTTGGGCGGCGGAAAGGCAGATCGAATGTGACAAAGTCGAAAGGCTTCATCTTGGGCAGCTTGCGGTCGTTGCAGATGAGGATCATGGGAACTTGAGTCTTCTTGCAGACAGCAGCGAGAGCACCGACACCACCACGATCACCAGCGGACATACCATCCACCTCATCCATGATCAAGCACATCTTCTTCTTGTTTGTGTCGACCTCTCCAGAGGCGAAGTAGCCATTGAGGGAAGTGGTACTCAAAACTCCCTTAAGGCCGTTCTCGACCAACTTCTTGCTGCGAGTGTCACTGGCATTGCTTTCGACGATATCGAAACCTTCGAGTTTTGCGACGAGATGTGCTGCAGTAGTCTTGCCAATACCAGGAGGACCGTGGATCATGACAGCTCTGTAGGTACCACTGCCATCTTTGCCAGCCAGTTTGAAGTCTTTGCGAGCGTTCTTGTGAAAGTTGCGCAACCAGGTGCCGAGTTTCTCCACCTGGCCTTTGTTGCCACAAATCTGACCAAGTTGGGTGGGGGCATACTTGACGGTCCACAGTCTGTTGTCAGTACCATCGGCAGCGATGCCCTTAGGTTGGGCCACAGGGCCAGCAGCAGCCTTTTCACGTTCGACTCTCTCGAGTTCCTCGGCCTCTTTCCTGATCTTCCCAGCTTCCTTCTTCTGTTGCTCTGCAAACTTTGCGCCGGCTACACTATTGCCGCCGTTGGCTGGGAGCTTTGCGATGAGAGCGCAGAGGCCCTCTTCGTTGATGGTCTTGATGCCGAACTGTTTGATGGTTGCGAGCTTTTTGGGACCAGCTTCGGCGCCAAGGACAACGTAATCAGTCTTCTTGCTTGGGGCAGTTGTGCACTTGCCACCGTAACGCTTGACCAGATTCTGGCCGTCTTCTCTGGACAGGTAGGTGAGCTGACCAGTAAAGACAAAAGTCAGACCAGCAAGGCAGTTGTCAGCGCCGTCAGGAATATCGAGACTACCGGCTCCAGGGGCGGGATTACTGTCCTTGGGTCTGTTATACCACTTGGGCTTGTCCGCTCCTTCGTTGTCACTGGGAGGGTCAGGAGCCTGGATCAAGGGAATGTCATCGAGAATGGCTTTGAGTTCTGCAGGGTCTTCAACAGGAGGGTCCTTCTCCTTCTTCTTGGGCGCAGCACGAGGTTTCTTCGGCTTGGGCTTCTCTTCCTCGTCGGTGTCTAGATCCTTGGACTTTCTCTTTGTGCTGGCCTTGGGCTTTGGTTTTGCTTTGGTAGGTTTCTCAATCTCCATGTCGTCATGCTCGTCTGGAATGACAAAGTCATCATCGGCGTTGGTGTCTTCCATTTCAACGTCGTAGTCTTCGTCTTTGACTTTCTTGGCCTTGGTGGCGGCAGCACGCTTCTTGGGAGGCATGTCGGTGGGCTGCTCTGCGGGGGGATTTTCTCTCTTGTACTCGGTCGTGAAAGCGTCGTCAAAGTCGTCGTCAGGGAAGTCTTCGGGATTCAAGTCATCTGTAGAAGGCGGAGGGGAGTTTTCTGACTTGACAGGCTTGGCTGGTGATTTTGTGGAAGGGGCAGGTTTGGCGGGCGACTTTGTGGTAGCGGTAGATTTGGTTGTGGCAGCTGCTGGCTTGGGTTTGTTCTTTGTGGCGAAGTAGGCGGCAGTTGTGGTTTCTTCGCCTTGTGGTGACGGCTCGCGTTTTCTGAGAAGCATGTCAATTGGGGAAGGAACAGGCAGCGAAATCAGGCAGACACGCTTACACTGCCGCTGTCCTCGTCGTCGTCTTCTTTGGGGCAATTCTATCGAGCTATCAGCATGTGATTGACACAAAGCGATTGTCATGTCACGAACTCTGGCTCGTCGTCGCTGTCGTCAACAACCTTTCTAGCTCTTCCCTTTTTGGCAGGAGCCTTCTTCTCTTCCTTTGCCGGAGGAGTCGCAGAAGACGGCTTTCCACCGAAAAAGCTACGGATATCTGCAGGCATGGTCTATCTCTGTGTTCAAGCTAGATAGATAGATGCTCGCAAATACGAAACGATTATTCGATGCAGTCAATTGCAGCTCTCACACAAGACGCGCTGGATTGTCGCGATGGCCTCGAAAGCGCGTCATCAATCTATCCCGATCAGGCTGCACTCCCGCGGCAAACGCCGTGTTGGACTTGGAGAAAGTCCAAGGGTCAGATGAACGAGAGCAGCAATTGAAGATAGACACTCAATCACATCAACCATGTCAGCACTACGGATCCGCGCAAGCCTTGCTTCGCATCGCAACACCCTCTTCTCCTTTGCGCAATCTTGCAGTACGCCATCCTACCAGATCTTCCACTCGCGCATCCAAGACTAAACCCAGCTCCAGCACGGCCACAACTCCTCCCGAACCAAACATCGCCAATCCTCTCCTCCCTCTCGCGCGCATTCTCTTCCACACCCTCAACCCAATCTTGGCTTCTTCCTAAGAAAGGTGCCAACAAGAAGGACCGCAAAGGACGACCTCGCGTCCCCACTGGTGGCAGTACTCGCGGCACAACCGTCGTTTGGGGCGACTATGGACTCCGTCTGCTCGATCACGACCGTCGCATCAGTGCTGCACAACTCAAGATTGGCGAGGATGTCATCCGTAAGCGCCTGCGTGGAATGAAGTACCGCCTCTACACACGCATCTCGGCCAACATCGGTGTCTACACTTCCGGAAACGAATCGCGTATGGGGAAGGGAAAGGGTAGTTTCGATTACTGGGCTTCGCGTGTTGCCGTCAGCAAGATCATTTTCGAACTCAAGGGAGAGTTGCACGAGCAGGTTGTCAAGGATGCTTTCAGATTGGCAGGCGCCAAGTTGCCTGGACTTTATGAGTTCGTGCGTGCTGGAGACCCGCCAGTCATGGGCATCACCAAGCTTGGAGACGGTGTCACCGAGGAGTCGCTGAGGAGGCCAAGACGTGAGCTGCCCCCTGCCAGTCTTGATCAGTCTGCCAATCGCATGCCCGAATCGCCTTCGCCGTAAGAGCTGAAGAGATAATCACTTGCTTTGCTTTTCGCTGCTTGTATATGATATTGGGGACTCATACAGTCCAGCCATCTTCCATCGGCGTTTCTCATCGGTTTGTACGATACTCAAAAGATCACTTTTACGAATTACCTTTGGTCCACACTTGCCATACTCAAGCCACCCGTTCTATTCGATATGAGCCGTGGGCTTCTGCAAGTGCGCGACTTCAAGTCTGAGAACTTTGCGACATGTCGTCGACAGAACATGCAGGTACGGCACAGGCGCATTTCTGCCGGCCGGAGTCCACACAGTCCGAAAGTAACAAGGATGACAGAGAAGATGTGCCGTCGCCAAATCTCCATCTCCAACCTATCATACCTCGCTATCAAGAACATGGCTGAGAAGGTACCTGACTTGACGTGCAGTAGTTCTCTCATCCCAGTCGTGCCCCATCTGCACACATCTTGCGTGGTATGCGTGAAGCCGTGAAAGAGGCTGGGAAGGTTCTCCGGCGCATTGCTTTTGACCACTTCTGCAATAGATTGTCTGCTTCGATCACCGCGAGCTCGGTGGAGCAACCATGTAGTGTTGATGTTGTGAATCTAGCAAGGCACTGTCGTCGGCATCGCATTCATGTTCGATGTCCAGACTTTTACAGTTTGCATCTCTTCGGTTGTTCAAGCCCAATTGCAGCGGCTGCAAAACGGCGGTCACCACGGCTATCGATGAACGTATCTCCTACATATCAGACTAGTCACATACTTGTATGCGAGTACCCGAAGACTAGTATTGCGGCATCGCAGTGCATATGGCAGTCGTTGGCTGTCAAGAAGAGATGGCAGAGAGCCGCAATTTTGCTTGCCGGAGATCCCCGCTTGTTTCTGTCCAACCACGTCTCGATTTCAAACCTCTGCCCTTGTTCGACGAAACTTGCATGACACTTGACCATCACGAAAGAGGCGCACGTCACCGGTCTGTATGTGCCTCTGAGGCTTGTTCTAACGGATGGTTGTATCCGTAGGGCTCTACAAGTCTGTTCAGTCCGTTTGAGAGTCGCGTCGACGGAACAACAAGACCGTTGGCCAGAAATCAACCGTTGGACACAAGCCGAACCCAGCCCCTCCACCACAAGCAAGGGATATCCTGGAAATCGAACCGCTCCCATCGTCTTTGATGCCAATAACTGCCGTTGTAGCTCAGGGCAACATTTTGAAAAATCATCCAGCACCTTTATCGTATTTGTTCCATACCGATGGTTCTATCAAAGCCCATCCAGGTTGAGACGGTCATGATCTGGACTGGCTTTCCCCCTTCTGCGAAGCACCCCCTTTTACGCGTTCTACAACGCGCCTGCATGGACAATTCTTCACGAGCACCTGTCAGTCGCGACCGCGAACAAAGACATACCGATCGTGACTTGGATACCTGTCATCGCAGGGTCGTCCGTGCACTTCTCCCGGGTTACACTATCTTCCTATCGTAGAACGTTGACCTCTATCACGCCCTCCTACGCAACCACATGTCGGTTTCTTGACGTCTAGGGAATCCGAGTAGCTGTCCGTGAATGGTATAAGATGATGTATGCCTCCTTGCTTTCATTGTTCTCTCACGCGCACCAATTAATCATTCGTGACACACATCCCGGCAACCAGGTTAATGCAGCTGTAAAGGTAAAAAAAATCTTCGTTTGACCTCACTAACCCCTCCAGCCCCTTTACAGAAGCAGTCCATCCCAGGTTTTCCGTGAACGCCACACAGGCTAAGTATTCCACCCCCCTCTTGATCCCTACACTACCTTAATCCGTGCTTGCTGCAGCCAACCCTGCTTCCCGACAGCCTAAGCTGTTCGCGTCTGCACTGATATATATCCAGGTCCCTGTTTGCGCATTTTTACAGAACCAGGTTTACCACTCTCTTTCACAAACCCACACCTCACCACACTCTTTACGATGCGCGTTACTCAGGTTATCGCTACTCTTGCGCCTATCGGCCTTGTCGCCGCCGGTCCACTACACGGTCATCGCGGCCATTCGCATCTCCATCATCTCCACCATCGCTCTGTCAACAGCACTCTTTCCAACTCTACCACGACAGATTCTGCCAATTCTACGATCTACGCTGATCACGTTTCATACGAGACTTCTACAGTCAATGTCGTTGCTAACTTTGCAGATGGTACTGATGCCAACTTTGCAAGCTCAGAAGTAGCATCAAGCACCATCTCAGAACCAACTTCCTCCACAACTGCGCAGTCAGAAACTGCTTACTCAACATTGTCATTCACTTCCGATGGTTCGTATGCGAGCGGGTCTCCTTCGAACACATCATTGGCCTTGACCGTTTCAAGTGCTATTCCTTCCGACGCATCTATTGCCATCCTACGTGCTGTCGTAGCCACAACTCCTACCGCTGTCGGCGCACTCTCCCAGACTGTTGATACCACCACCAGTGTTTCTGTCGACACTGTCTACAACACTATCACTGGAGCCAACGGAGCTGTCACCACCGCATCTGCAAGCGAGAAGACTGTCACCGTCACGGACGTGGTTACCAACTATGTCACCGCCACCTTCTCGGCATTGGCACCTTTCAAGGCTCCTGCCATCAAGGTCGCTGCCCTCTCTTCTGGATCCTCTTGTGCTGCCATCAAGACTAGCATCGTCTACCTTCCCGCCAGCCAGTCGCCAACTCTTGTCGCTGGAGGTACTGCTTCCAGCAAAGTGTCTTCTGCTACCTCCAAGGCTACCAGCCAAACCACAGTCAGGTATGTGTCTCAGTCTGCTTTGAAGTCAAGTTCTTCCTCCCTAAAAAAGTCGAGTACATCTTCCAAAAAGACGAGCACCACTTCCAAAAAGCCTAGCACTACATCAAAGAAAGCGAGCAGCACCTCCACAAAATTGAGTACTCCTGCCGTGATTTCTTTGGCTACCAAGAAAGTTTCAACCACAAGCAAGAAATCGAGCACATCTTCCAAGAAGACCACTGTTTCCTCTGCTAAACAGGTCACCAGCACTGCATCTACCAAGAAGGCTACAACTTCTTCGACCAAGCAAGCCACGACGTCGACCAAGAAGGCCACAACTTCATCCACTAAGCAGGCCACTACTCTGATCTCCTTGACTTCTCTGGCTCAGAAGGGTGTTACCACCAAGAGCGTTGTCACGACTTCCAGCATTCCTGCCCACGTATCGAGCAACGTTTACCAGACCACTTCATCTGCCAAGTCATCGACCAAGAGTGCCGCTTCTTCTTCGAAGGCCAGCTCTTCCAAGGCCAGCGCATCTTCTTGCGCTGCTGTGGCACCTCCTGCCTCGACTCAAACTGGTATTGTCTCTGGTTGTACCAAGTGGTATACTGCCAAGTCTGGTGATTACTGCTATGCCATTGCTTCTGCAAATGGCATCTCTACCGACACCTTTATGTCTTGGAACCCTGCTGTGAATGCACCCTCTTGCAACAACATCCAGTAAGTGCATCACGAACTGTCCACAAGACTCTTTCAATGCTAACACATCTCAGAATCGGATACGCATACTGTGTCGCAGCTGGCTGCAGTTCTTCGGCCACATCTCCAGCAGTACAGTCCTCCGCCGCAGCAACATCCAAGACATCTTCCCAAGCCTCGAGCGCTGTCACCACAGCTCAATCTCAAACCTCTGCCGCAGGCACCTCTTCACCATCCTCCACCGCCATCGCCTCCACATCCTACAAGATGTACTCTGGCAACGGCACCGTCGCTGCCGGCTGGCCCGCTCAAAACGCTTGGGTTGACTTCAATTCGATGTTCACCGCCAACATCCCCATCATGCAACAATCGTGCGCCAACAATGGCTGGGGTGCCAACAACTCTCCCGATGAAATCGCCGATATCAAGAGCTCCATTCTCAAGGTTTCTGCTTCGTCGGGAGTAGATGCACGTTTCATTCTTGCTATTGTCATGCAAGAGTCCAACGGCTGTGTTCGCGTGGTGACGACCAGCTGGTCAGTCGCTAACCCCGGTCTCATGCAAGATCATGCTGGCAGCGGTACTTGCAATTCAGGCGGTGTTGTCCAAAACCCATGCCCTGCATCTGAAATCGAGCAAATGATTGTTGACGGCACTACTGGCACTGCGTCTGGTGATGGCCTTGTGCAGTGTCTGAAGCAAGCTGCCGTGAGCGATGTCTCGCAATATTACCGTGCTGCCCGCATCTACAATGGTGGATACTCTGGCTACCATGCTGATGATTTGGGCACTGGTTGCTGTACACTTTGTTACGCTTCAGATGTGGCCAACAGATTGACCGGATGGAGCTCGGGACCCAGTCAGTGTCATTTGTAAGCCCTCGCAGCGAAGCGAGGACACCCTGCAGGAAACAGGGATATCGATCAAGGACGCTGGTTTTTCGTTCTTAGATGGCGTTACACAATAAGAGATGGGATACCAAGGATACAAAGGAATTGGATTGCAAAAGAAGGACTAAACACATCAATGACTACCCTGTTTTTCTTTTGTTTATATAGCTGGACAACACAAATGCAATCGTATTGCCAACTTCACCATCTGTTTTGATCGTTTTTTCGTCGTCCCAATTGTCTTTTTGTTCCTACGTCTCTTTTTGGTCAGTGTTCACTGGGCTTGTCCATTGGATTACTTCGTGATGCTTCTGCTATCATGAATCAATATATTGTCCAGTTGCCTTAACCCTCCTACCCTGTTGCCAGTCACGCTTTGACCGGTTTGAGCTGGTCTGAATCCTTGGCGACAAGCACATAACCTCGCACTACCCCGAGCGTTCTTCTTGTCCACATCCACCAAGCGCTCTTCCATCTGTTCCAAACACCGACAGAAATTTATTGTCGCGTGTCGTCCAGATCGTCATGTGGGTAGTCTGTTGCGCAGCGCCAATCACCGTTGAGGTACCCATCATGCACTCTGCCTCGTAGCAACGAAACAAGAATTTAGCAAAGCTTGAAGTTGAAAGATCGAATCATACCGCAGCAAGACTATGGTGGAAATCCAGACCCCCGTGTCCCTTTGGCATCGTCTTCATAGACTCCTTGGCACGTGACTATCAATCGCTGCTACAAAGAAGAACAGCCTAGATCGGAGAAAAGCGACAGCCAACAGCGAATTTCCTGGGATCTGAAAAACACATAAAAAAAACAGGAAGCGAAGAAAGAGATCAGAACCCGCGTGGAGCATATCTTGGAGAATACTTTGCCTGAATGAGGACTTGAGAAATCAAGGTGTTGGTAGACATCCTTATGGACTTGGCAGGATCACGCAAGATCTTCGATTCTGTACTGTTTTCCAGGTGACTTGCATCACTACACAGCACTTCCCTCGATTCCGAGGCTTCAGGGCTCATCTACGCAACAAGAAGTCCGCCATACAGCGCCTGGGAAGTGAGTCTGTTCATTGAATGGAAGAGATAGAGGTTTGATAGAATACGAAGGACAGAGAGAGGAGATAGAAGGATCGTGTCTGTGAACTTGATGTCTATGGCAAATCATTCGTCTTAGTGGCTGGTAGAGCACAATGAGATGTGTCATTGGGCGATAGTGAGGTAATCTAGCAGTTCATCGACCTCACGTCTTTCCCTCATGCGAGCATAAGTTCCTGCCTCAAACGTTGTCAATACCAAGGCACTGATGTATGGGTCATTGGAGAAAGTAACCAGGTCCATAGACCATACATTCCTCACAGCACTCCAGCTCCCGAACACACTATTGAGCGTGGAGAGTGTCATTGACAAATCTATATCATGGACCTTGATCGTTTCGTCTACCTGCTTCCTCAGCGGTAACCTCCCATTTCCATCAATGTAGTACCATCGTACATGTCGTGACAAAGATAGATGACATGTAGAGCGTATCCCCTGCGACAGACCCATCAGCGATTGATGTCTTTGTTTGATAAGGGAGTAAGCCTGGATTTTATATGCGAAATCTATCGTGAAACATTTGGCCATTGCATGAGTAGAGGAAAAGTAGCGCAAGAGCCATCAGTAAGCTCACATTAAATGGAAAGTCTCCAGGAAGGGACTAAAGCGTTGACCGTCAGAAGGCCTCAGACAAAAGAAATGGAGAGAACAAAGTCAAAAGAACAAAAAAAGAAAAAAAAAGACATTAATAGAAGAGAGCAAAGAGTGGAGCTAGCAGGAGTGGGATGGGAAAGACGTAGGAAAGCAACGAGTAGAAACAATACCGCTTTTCTATGAAGTATAGACAGTCGACTATGCAAAAATGCTGCCAAGGAGAAAAAGAACAAGCGACCGCTGGCTGGGAAAACACAAGACAACTCGTCCTCGCCGAGACGACGGAAACAATAAACCCAGAATACCTCTTGCACCTCTATCGTTCACCTCGTAAACACGTTCAGATCAACTTCCCCTCCTTCGTCTTCCCACTCTTGGCATCTTTCTCTGCATCCTTCAACTTCTGCATTTCCAAATCCCGTCTATCCTTCTTCTCCATCTCGACCAACTCTTGCCTCACAGCCTCAACACAAACATCCATAACATCACTCCCTACTCTCCACGTCCTCAACACCACACCCTCTCTCTCCATGATGCTTTTCGCTTTAGCCCATCGCCTTTTCCACAACTCTTCTTTTTTGCTGAGGATGGGTCCGCCTTCAGGATCAAGGGGTTCGTGGAAGGAAGAGTCGTTCCAGGCGCCGCTGAGACGGTTGGTGGCGTAAGAGGCGGCTGCGGCGGGGTAGTGGGAGATGTTGCGGCGGGGAGGTGGGGGTTTGGGTCGTGTGGTTGTGAGTGAGGTTTGAGTAGTAGAAGGGGCGGCCGGGGGACCACGCAAATTTTCCATTGAGCGTGTGGCTGCTGAGGAGGTCAAAGTACGTGATTCGCCGGGGGTGGATGTACCGCTGCTTTCTGATCCCCAAGTGGGACTACGTTTGGTGGACGAAAAGTAAGCGGTTGTGGGGGATAATTTTGACTTTGCAGAGGCCAGGTAGTGACGTTTTGGTAGCGGAGGTGGTGCGGTGGTTGCGGGTGAGGGTTCAATTACTTGAGAGAGTGGCGAGGGCACGTTTGTGGTATTGACAGTGGTGCTGGGTTTGCGCGGTTTCGGTGGTACTGGTGCTGCAGACTTTTCTGGAGCTACAGTCGCAAAGTTTTTGCCTTCTCCTGAGGGCGAACGCAAGGCAAGAGGTTTTGGGGGAGGTGGAGGGGTAGCGCGCTTAGCGGGAGCATCAGTGTGAGCAGAGCGAATAGCCGGTCTTCTGGCAAGTGATGTGCTGTAGGCTCTCTTTTGGGACTTCTGGGGCTCATTCGATAATGGAGAGGTGCCCTCGTCATCACTAAAGTCGATGAGGTTGTCTTCGAGTTGCGATGCTTGTGGCGCAGGAGGGTCTGTAGGACGTCTAGGTGGTAGATTAGGTCGTTTCGTCGGCTCGACATCTGCACCAAACAATGATCTCCTATCTGGTTCGGTGTCTTTGAGAGATTCAGCTATCGCTCTGCGAAGCTCCTCGTCGTCATCTTGGATGTCCGAGGGTCGGTTGAGTCTCTTGGCTCCGACCAAGCTATCGGTCGACATGTTACGATTATGACCTTTGGAGCCACTGAGAGGTCCCATGGATGGGTCAAAGAAGCCTTTGTCAGGTTTCGACGTGACATCACGGATGAAAATGGCAACCACACGGCCAGGGTACTCCAAAACGACGTCAGTGTAGACCTCCAAGTCTGCCTCACCGCTGTCACCGACCAAAACAAACTTGCGCTCTGGAAAGTCACGGAACAGACGGTCAAGGGTAGCTTTCTTACGTTCAGCAACCGGCTCAAAGATACCCTGGAGCATGCCGCTGTATTGCTTCAGATGGAAAGATCCGAGTGGTAGACCAGCAGCCTTGAAGAAACCAGTAATGACAGGATAGAGTTGCCAAGGTGAGTTGGAGACGTAGTGCATCTGCACGCCCATGTCGGAAAGCTTGCAATACCATTGTCTGACGCCCTCGATGGTCAAGTCACCAAGATCACGGATGAAAGCATTGCGGAAGATTTCTCTCGCACCACTGGTGATGGCACTGTGCTTGATGGTGTCATCAATATCACTGATCAAGCTGACACCTCTGACGGGAGTCACTTTGACTTCTTCGGTAGCAGACAGATCCTCAGATGCGAGGATACGCACGTGGGTGGGTACAAAATCGAGAGCGGCACGCAGATGGAAGTGGCCAGCAGCGTTTGTTTGTACAGTCCTCTGACGGGAGATCTTGTCGTTATAAAAGAAGGCGCTCACGGAAGCGTTGGCCAGAGGGTTGGCCATGAAAGGTCTCAGACGAGCCATAAGATGGTTGTTCGCTTGGAGGAGTTGCTCAGACGACATGGTGGCTGGAGTGGGCCATGATGAGCGCTTCTGCACAGGATCTATAAAGTCGGATCCTGCAGTATTGGACCGTGAAGGGGTGAGGAAGTCGTCGAACGTGGGACCTTCTTTCGCGCTCGGAGCAGGCGAGGGCTCTCGAGAGCGAGTACTTTCGGCATAGCGACTGGGACGCTCGCTGAAGCCGCCTCTTCCGGCAATCTCGGCCTCCTTCTCGCCCTTCTTGAGGATCTCGGCTGCTTGTTGTTGAATTGCCTCCTCCTCTTGTCTGGTCGTTGAATTTCTGTGACCGACAGGGCTGGACGAGCGACTGCTGGCGCGACTGTTGGCAGAACTTGATCTGCCCGAGGGAGCCTGGATGCCGACGAGCTGTCTCGCGAGACCGACCATGAGACGATGCTTGCGACTGAGTTGACCCTGGTGCGGAGTGTATAGCCAGCCGCGCACGTCGACGTCGACGATTGCCTTGTCTTGTTCGTACTCTTCCCATTGTGACTTCCAGAATTCGGCGTCTCCAGCGCCTACCGTATCTCTGTAGTCTCGACCGGTGCCGCCAGCCTGCTGGATTGTGCCTGGTTGGGCGCGGGGTTTTGCTCGAATGTGCTTTGTGGCGTAACTGGGAAAGATGATCATCTCCTCTTGGCCACTGCGGACGACATCGGCACCAGGAAAGATGCCAGGCTGCTCTTCGCTGTCTTGAGCAAAGTCTCTGGATTGAGACCATGATGAAGCGTAGGACTGTCTCAGATCGTTCGCGGCCTTCAGGTAACCAGCCAGCTTCTTACGACGGCCGCCCGACTCGCGAGGGGCATCGTCTGGGTATGCTCGGTATGACATGATTCGCCCAGGAGCATGTTTCTCGTCGCGTGATGTCAGGAATGCCGGGCTGCGCTGACGCAGGTAGGCGAGGATGCCCTTAGCCTTGGGCTGCTGCTTCTTGACTTGGCGGTTGACAAGGAAGCGATATATACGGGACTGAGCCGAGTGGCCGAGTTTAGGGAGCGTGTCGAAACGGAGGTTGCGGAGCGAGATTCGAGCCTTGCGGCGGCTGTCAGGGAGCAGGTAGCTGAGAACGGGCTTCGACTTGACCACTTTGCCTCGGGCCTTGAGGTTGCGCAGGAAGTTGGGAGCCACTTTGATGCCTCGTCCTCCCTCTGTGCGAGGTGCCACGTCGTCTAATTAGCAAGATATTCTATCTATCGCCCTCCGAGGACCTGGCTGGTCAACAGTCCAGCCTGCGTCATGCCCCCACCCAATGTCTGTGCGACAAAAAAAGCGGCTCTATGGATCGCTGTGTCCCTGACTATCGCCTTCCTATTTGTCTAGCTTGTCGATTCCAAGTCTAATAAACAAGACTTTTCAAATACGTGATTGGCTCTGCCCCTTGTTCTTCGACAAAATATCGCTATGCAGATGTGTGTTCCTGATTGTTCCTGTCGGATGTTCGGATCACAGTGTTTAAAATACGCACGCTCAGGCACCAACTTCGCTGTCTCGACAGCGTCTTCTTTGTTGCTCAGCCCCAACTCGCTCACGATTGTTGTCTTGTGTCCAGCGTTTCGGAACAATGGCCTTGTTGTTTTCACATCTTGGAGTGACATTAAGAGCCACGCGCGCTTGATCCTCGTGTCCAGAACAAGCATCTCCTCCGCTGACCAGGGTGATCCCCTCTACAACCCCTGAACAATCAAGCTTCAACGTCAAACTTTATTCGGCTATAGCTACCGAAATGTGTCACTCATCTTTCTCGACATAACAAAATCTAGTGCATCGACAATGCCCGACAGAGAGTCCTCCGGACCTGCACTCTGAGTCAATATGGCCTTCGAGTCTCCGGCTGACTCGATAACCCGGAACACGACAGTGATGGATAAAGCAAGTCAAAAATTGTGGCACGCTCAAAACGACATACACCAAACACATCCGCGCAGATTTGTGTGTTCAGCACATAGTGTCGCAACATGCAGAACGACTGCAAGTCCAGAGTTGCCAAACCATAGTTCGCAGCCTGAGTATCTTCAAACATCCACATATTACCAGCCGTGAGTGCAGCGCACCCAGCGTAATCGTGTCGTGCAGATTCGGCATCTTCAACCGATGTCATCTCAACGACATTCAACACGAAGGAGATCACATGATTCCAATCATACAACATGCCCGATGGGACAAATGCGATAATGTCATGCAGACCATCCAGGCCGTAAAGCTAGGGCGTTGGGCCTTGAGAAAAGCTGGTGACATGCTGCCAGCTTACTGTGACTCAAGCATGGTGCGATGTCGGTCAAGCACGACTGTTGGGATTCTTGGTATATCCGATCCAAAGTCGTACAGACTGATTGACTTGACGCGCTCGACCAGACTCTATCATACAATCACAGAGAGAAACTCGTCAATATGCACAAGCATGAACCGCAAGTTCATGTATTTTCGAAAAGACACATCAGCCTCTGCGAGAACAGGTGGCCTAAACACCTTGATGATATAGCCGGTATAGGTAAAGTCGGTCCTATATGATGATCCCCCTCATTTGTCCCGCTCGTAACTGCACGACACCTATAGAGGTAGGTATCCCGAGCACAACCTATAAATGCCTCAGTTGTTCCTTCCCCTCTCTCATTTCTCTCTTCACTCTCAACAAGAACTACACAATACAACGCATCAATTCTGGTACGAGTCTTTGCAAAGACAGAAGCCACTCGACATGGATCTATCTACGTATCAAGCAAGGGAGAGCTCAGGTAACGTCTCATATCACACAAAAACATGTATATTGCAGACGGGTGTTCAACCACACCGATCCCTCATTTGCTCCTACGCAAGTGTCTGGTCGTTGTGGTTGATCTGAGAAATACCGTAATGTTAGGATCTGGAAGCGATGTATTGCGTCAAAGTCAATGCATTGCTTCCTTTTCCAAAGCATAGAACTTGATCTGGGTAATTCCAGCGAAAGGACTGCCTTCTGTTTATCCTTCTCTTCACAGAGGATGGAGTTTACTGACGTGACTAAGCTTGCTTGCTTCCCTGATCGATATTCAAGATGTCCACCGAAAAGATCACCTTCTTGTCCAACTGGTCTGTGGCTCTTGTGCTCTTCACCATGGCGGAAGTCTGGCAATCATACTAACCGTTCACAGGCATGCCACCCCCTACCATGCCCCCGTCTACCTTGCTCAAGCCAAGGGCTTCTTTGCCAACGAAGGCCTCAAGGTTGCTCTCCTCGAGCCCAACGACCCCAGCGTGCGTTCTTCCCTTCCTTCCTCCATTCTACCTCATCCTGAACACTAACACAGCTCAGGATGTCACCGAAATCATCGGAAGCGGCAAAGTAGACCTAGGCTTCAAAGCCATGATCCACACTCTCGCCGGCAAAGCCCGCGGCTTTCCCATCCTCTCCGTGGGCTCCCTCCTCGACGAACCCTTCACCGGAGTCGTATACCTCAAGTCCTCAGGCATCACCACCGACTTCCGCTCCTTGAAGGGCAAACGCATCGGCTACGTCGGCGAATTTGGTAAAATCCAAATCGACGAGTTGACTTCGCACTATGGCATGAAGCCAGACGATTACACTGCTGTGCGCTGCGGCATGAATGTCACTAAGGCAATCATCGATGGCAGCATTGACGCAGGTATTGGTCTTGAGAACGTGCAGATGGTTGAACTTGCCGAGTGGCTTGCTTCCCAGGGTAAACCACGCAGCGATGTGCAGATGCTGCGTATCGACGAACTCGCCGAGCTGGGCTGCTGCTGTTTCTGCTCGATCCTCTACATTGGCAATGAAACCTTTATTGCTGAGAATCCCGCCAAAGTCAAGGCTTTCCTGCGCGCTTGCAAGAGAGCTACTGACTATATTCTTGCTTCTCCCGCTGCTGCTTACGAAGAGTATGTGGCTTTCAAGCCTGCTATGGGAACTGCACTCAACCGCAAGATCTTTGAGAGAAGTTTTGCGTATTTCTCCAAGGACATGAAGAATGTGAGCAGAGATTGGGAGAAGGTTACCCGCTATGGAAAGAGATTGGGTGTTTTGCCTGAGGAGTATACTCCCAACTACACCAACGAATACCTGGACTGGACTTTTGAGGATGAGTCCAAGGACCCTACTGGCGATCAGAAGAAAATGGTGGTGTTGCAGGAGAAGGTTGCTGAGCAGGGAGGTTTCCACCGTCTTGGCGAGAACAAGGCGGCTCCGTTGGTCGATGCTGCTAGTGCTTGTTTGATCTGAGCGCAGTGCTGGAGGATATTGGGGATTGTGGGAAGTGATGTCTGTCATTCATTCCTTTTTATGCTGTCTGTTTTGATGTGCATGACAACTAGCAGATATCTTTTCCGTACAAGGGAACAATCACATGAATGTAACCTCCCGTTCCATCAACTACCGGATACAAGTAGCAAAGAGCTCGTCTTGAGAGATGGCACCGCCAGACCGTCGAAGCCGATGCTAGGCTCCGAGGCGCTCAGGACACCACGCAAGTAGAGACAGAGAAGAGATGAGACTGTCCGAGTCGCACATCGCGGATCAAGCATAGCACACAAAACAACCAGGTCCATGAACTCTGTTCACAACGCTGCTTCTTCCAATATCACCCCTTCGCGGATCTGGAAAGTTGGTGAGGCTCTGGAAACAATTCGGCAGGTTGGAGAGTCAGTGACCCGTCATCTTCTTCTTGATGCCATTGCTGGGTAGCAAGAACATTGGTGTAAGGTTGGAAGATTGCGATGCCCAGGCAATTCAATGGTTTGAAGCTCAGCGGATCTATTGGGTCGGGGTGGAATCCTCGATCACTAATTCGTGATAGCGTACAATTCAAGCTTAGAAGACTCAGTGGTCGCGTTGTTGTGGAGGCAAGCATGTCGAGACTGAAGAAGTTGTAGAGATCCAGCTGAGACCCGGCGATGTTATAGCCGTTCTTGTTGATTCATTCGGCAGCGGCAGTGAGACCGACTCTACTTCTGTTTCCTTTTTTTTTGCAATTACAATAAACCCATCTCCACAGAATATGGGCCAGTCTATATGACCTGTGATGTGATGGGTAAAGAGAAGCGAGAATGCGATCGGTTTCGTCTCCGTTTCACATTCTATAGATATAGCACGATTAGGATACATATATTTGCTTCTGCGGTAAGGGTAATGAAGAGAGGTGTCTATCTTGCCTCTTGGAGATCTAAGGTGATGCGACTGGATGAGATGTTGTTTGGCAATACTGCTGCGTCGCCGAGAATTTGTAGCAGATAGCCATTTGTAGATTTCACTTTAGTGGTTCCCATCGAATTAACTCGAGCAGTACTCTTTCCAGATGATGTTACTCGAGGACTTTTGCAAATCGGACCTATTCATACTCATCATCTTCGATATAGTTTTCGCAACTCTCCGTGCCATGGCTGTGTGGTGGCCTGCCATACCATGACAATTCGTAGCGTGCACGTATCAATCTGATGATAGAAGTAGAGAGACAAAACAACCAGGTCTGTGATGCAGATATCAAGGCAGTGCTTTGACAATTACGGTGCACCGGGATTTGGAGGGGTTACAAGGGTATCATGGTTCATAGATCTGACCGCCTTCTTCCTTGTCTTGTACTTCTCTGAAATGTATACGATGAGTCGTGCAGAAATTGTGCAAAGAAATTGTGCAGAAGAGTTGAGAGCATGCTTGGCAGGAGCAAACGTCCACCTGAGGTCCGCGCCTGCCCGGACCTCAATCACTTCGCGCGTTGTTGTCGCGTTCAACCACCACAGTACCTAGTAGTCTCTATTGGAACGGCAAGTCAAAGCATTGCATGTCTGAGTCACTGTTGATCCTCGCGTGCTGTGTCTTTGTCGAAGAGCGATTCCGACAAGCGTAAATTTGGCCTGTAGCGGATTGGGCAAGAACAGTCTTCGTTTGTATATGTAGGAAACCACATCACCGGATGGTTGCTTCCATGCAGACGCCAGCGTCCTTCACTCCATCCTTCGTTTGTTTTCTTCACTTCCTGTTTCCATTGATTCTTGCTTCCACTTGTCCTCTACCTCCACTCAATTGCCTCCCATCCCACCACTACTTGAGTCTCGACCTCCGGCTGATGAGAAGCACCTTTCCATTCTCATCGACTATCACCAATGAAGATCGACCTCGCAATCGCCGACACAATGGCGCAGAAGCGTGGCCTAGACCAACTTGTGGCGTCGAGAAAGGGCAAGCAGCGTGCTGACTTTCCTCAATTCCACCGCACTCGCAAAGGGATGCTTGCGAACTTTACGGCGACAGCGGTACGCCGTCACAAATCGCCCACTCGCTCATTCGGATTGTTGCTCATGACTGTGGCAGAATGCAGAGAGATTGAAGACGCCAGGCACTGTGCAAGCCATCCTAGCCGAAGCATATCCGCCTTGCACCGTTGCGGTGGTCAACCTTGAGAAGGTGGGTTCGATGCTCCAAAAAAATCGAGCTGACAGTGACTTCCAACAGATGCACATACGTGACCTGCTCGTCGATGTGCCCCAAAACGACAAGTACCTTATCCTGCGCACTTTTGCCCACGCCCTAGAGGTCTCCGACATGCAAGTCGCCATTCCTGTCGAGGATGAGAAGGGTGATGTTGAGCAACTCAGCATCTACCACTACGACTATACTCGCTGGCATGACAAAAAAGTGTGTGCCGGAATGGTCCTAGCCGTCAAGAACCCGTACTTAAGATCTGTCATCTCCAATGGCGGCATCAGTCTTTGTACTTTCCATCCTTCGGACGTTGTCGTGCTTGACCAAGATCACGAGTTGTTTCCGACCAAGTGGAAGACTGCACAGCATAGGCTTGCCAGAGACGCAGCTCAATGGAAAGAACACGGCAATGCAGCTTTGAAGGAAAAGAACTTTCAGAAGGCAAACTACTCATACAGCAAAGGTCTCTCTGCATCTGGTTTGAATGACATTCTCAGGAGCGACTTGCACAGAAACAAAGCTTGCGCCGAAGTGTTCCTAGGCTTGTACGATGCGGCCAAGACTGATGCTCTGGCGTCCATTCTCAATCAACCCGACGAAAGATCGAGAGAGCTGGATTCCAAAGCGTTCTATCGTGCCGGCAGTGCCCTATACGAGCTCGCAGATTATCCGGCAGCTAAGATCATGTTCGATCGATGCTTGCGATTGACACCTCAAGATGTAGATGGGCTGAGAGAGCTCAAGCGCACTGTCTCTCGCATCAGTGAAGAGCAGAATGGATACTTCGACTTCTTGGCCATGTCGGAGAACATCACATACACCAAAAACTTCCGAGCCAAGCAGGCCAGTTATGTTCGCCGCACCGAAGTCAGACAAACAAAAGACCGTGGCAAAGGTCTGTTCGCCACGCAACCCATCGCTTGCGGTGAGATTGTACTCTGCGAAAAGGCCTTTGTTGCCGCAGACCCGCCTTGGCTCGAGCCGCAGAAGCAGCATAACTTCATTCTCAGTCCTTCTTCCAAGCACGTCTTTTGGGGTTACCACGCCGAGACCTGGTTCGCCGCCGTGAAGAAAGTCTTCAACAACCCCTCACTGGCCAGCCACCTACTCGACCTCTGCGCTCATTCCGATTATATCAGCCGACTTGAACGCCAACAAGACACGCCTGTGCCTATCGTCGACGGCTTGCCCATCATCGACGTCTTCGTCATCCTCGACCTTCTCGAAAACAACGGTCTCGGGTTCATGGCCCGTCCAGACCAGTCTCAAGCCTATCCGAACATCCCACGCCCGCAACTCGATAGCCACTACGACTGCCTCGGTATTTGGTCAGTCGCTTCTCGCGCCAACCACTCTTGTCTTCCGAATGTTCAGTACAGCTTCCTCGATGACTATATGCTCATTCGCGCCAACAAGGACATCACTAATGGCGAGGAGATCACCATATCCTACGCTCCAGCCTTCGGCAAGTTCGAGCAGCAGAAGATGGCTCTGAGAGGCTGGAATTTCAAGTGCCAGTGTAGATTATGCTGCGCTGAGACCGCGTAGGACGGTGCGCGCTCAAATCGCTTGGGTGCCGCAGACTCGTACGAAGAGCTGGAGCCGCCTGTCGCCATCCCTGGAAAACAAATCCTGGATCTCGACATTCGGACTGAGCCCGCGGCTGATCTCATCAACGTGGTCAAACTGTACGTGGACCAGATTCAAGAAACGTACCCTACAGCCTTGTTCTCTGATCCTCCAACCATCGGACTCGCGAAACGTCATGCCTGGTTGATGAGAGCCTATGCTGTCGGCGCTGGGAAGCATTTTGGCTCGACCTTCGCTGTATCGCAAAACGCGGCGATGATGTATGCTCAAGCTGTCATCCGCGACCATGGCTATTTGCCTGTCCTCGATGTCCCTGGAGAGATAGTCTCTTTCAACAGAGAAAATGTCCTCATGACTACAGACTTGGTTGACGCGTTCGAGTATCTGGGTCACTACTACAAGAGAAAAGGAAAGGCGGGTCTGGCGAAGTGTATGAGGGAGTTCGGAAAGCAGAGCTATGTCACCATTAATGGCTCTGATGTCGGCTATGACGTGCTCTATCAGTGAATGAGTCGGTATGCATGGATTCATTGTAGCTAGTGCCATATGTAGACTGTGACAGATAACACTACCGTCGGACGACCGATTGACCAATACGCTTCAGGAATTCTGCCGGCATACCAATTTACCAAGTCATCATTGAAACCTGCTAGAAGTGTATTCCATCTCCAATACTTGCGTCGGGTCTTTGAAGAAGCAACGCAACATCTTTTATTCGCTGTGTTCCTCGCAATGTAACCTTGGACACTATCACTTGGTCCCTCATCTCTCACTGGTGTTGTCCAAATTCTCCCCACCGAAGGTGGGTTTCTCTGCTGGTGCCCCCCAAGGAGCTTTTGGCCAAACTCATGACATAAAGTTTCGCCTCCATCCAAAGAGATTGTTATGTATTGAGATCTCAGCTACACGCGTTTCGAACGACTACCCCTTGAATCCACGGAGAAGTGAGTATCAAGACTCGGACAAGCAAAGCGAGTTCATGAGCCCCAATCCTCGGATGTATATCCTGAGTCCCTCAACAAGCAGAGGACTCGAGAGAAATCTCGAGACGAAACCTCTTTCGTGAACCCGATACCGAGGACTTGATGTGGGTAGTGGGGGTCCAAGGCCCTGATTGACTGACTCGCATCTGAGTTTGCCACTGCTCAACGGAGAAGAAGAAGATGTCACGGCATACTTTGAGGCTTGGAGTATGGTGATTCAGCTCATGGCAGTGGAGAGAAGGGAGGCTTCGATTATAAAACACATCGGGATAAAACACATCGGGATCAAAGAGCAAGTCTAGAGGATTTGGTATCAGGCTCAGGTGTCGATGTACCATAGTATGGTTGAGCCGTAGCACGGACAATCTGCCAACAGACACGAAGCTTTACTGGGACCGGCGCCATAAATGCGTGTTGAAGCTGAAGGCCTGTCCCAGGTGGTATTCCCTTTTCCAAGAAGAAATTTTTGCTGTGTATCCTTGAGCATACGTCGACCAAAAAGCTTGGAAAGACATCAAGAAGTTAATAGGTGAGATCCGTCAAACTAGGACATGGTTCGAGAAAAGAAGAACCACCACGATGCCCAAGACTTCTTCTCCATCTTGATTGAGCTTTATTGTAGATGGTGTTGTACCTCGAAGCCATGCTTCTTATGACATCCGTTTCTGCGACCTCTTGCGTCGGGCTCTCTTATCATGGGCTCTTGTACGTTGCAAACAACTAAGGGACTATTATATTCACTCCCCAATCTCTAGTTCATCAAACATCTGTATTTCTCAGCCTTAACCCTACTCATATCTCGCTCTATCGAATCTGCTGAATCGTCTCGATCAACGGATAGATATACGATCCATTCGTCATCGCATCCTCGGGGGCATACCATCTCACTGTCCACTCATCATTACATTGCCCTTTCCAGGTACAAGATAAACTCACCGATAAACGAAAAAGCCTGAGCGCCAGGCAACCAATTCCCAGTCCAATTAGCCGGGGGAGTAACATTCGCATTCTGGATCAACACCTGGAAAGGCCCATCATATGCAGTACCATTACCATTTACTTTCTCGCCAGTACCCTGATAAGTCAGATTAGTACTCCTATCACTTACCGAAAAGCGCGACAGCGAATTCTTGATCAGATATTGATCGGCGCCATAAATGGACAGTGACCAGAATCCACTGGGTTTGAGAACTGGCTTTTTACTAAAAGTCAGGAGAAGAGATTGATTGGCTTCGAGTGCAAAGTTGGACGAGAAGCCAATGTTTTTGTAACCGGGATAGAGGGTTTGGAGAATTGTTTGTTGCTGGTATCCGTTTATGGCAATGTAAGCGCGCGGAGCGTAGTTTTGGCCGTAGTTGCCTTGATAAGAAGGAATGGACAGTTCCCAGCCATTGGTGAAATTGCGGATGTGTGAGGGATTGTTGATGTCGGCTGTGATTGAGGCGTTTGCGACAACGGCGGCTTGAGTCAAGTTTACGGACGACGAGGGATGGTAAGCTTCATCGTAGACGCCTGCTGCACCTAGAATGCCCGCTACCATTACGCGATCAGTGTAGTTTTCGGGCTGATTGTAAGGTGTGAAGCTGGCTGCGAATTGGAGCAGCTTTTCTAGGGTAGAGATGCCGAGGAGACTGCCATTAGGTCCTAGTGATGTGATGTTGCCAGTAGGACTAGCGGCGCGGGTGACCGACCGAGGAACTTCGACAAGAGAAGATGCATTCTGGTATCCGTGCAAGATATTAAGATCCTCGGTTGTGTTTTGCTTGACAAATAGACGGATGAGCATGGTGCCGTAGGTGGTTGGCAGATTGACATATCCTTGGTATGGAGATACAACATCACCGCCATCCTTTGCCAGTACCACTCCAGGTTCGGCAAGAACATCGTCGGCGCGACGGATGAGGTACTGTCCAGGCAAAACGTTGTTCAAATTCCCAAGCTCGGCAATGATATTACCGAATCTACACTTGTTAGCATTCGGACCATCGTCTAGTCAAGTTGCTTAACTCACGAGTCAATGACCGGATAATTCCAGTAACGTCCATCAGTGATGTTGGGAATGGTCAACACAACATCCTTTTGCGAAAGGTCCAGAACAACTCGAGAGTACAAAGTATCGATATTAGGCTTGATGACTCCCGGGCTGTCGACGGATGCAAGATTGCGCTGGTTGAATATGGTATTGACGCCAACACTCTTGAGGACATTGCCGGCAAAGTTGCCGAAGATGAATAGAGGATATGAGTACTATTTTCCATGTCAGTCTCCAAGGAACGTCTGGTTAGATCGATAGAGATGGGGTTGCGCGACTCACTATCAGAGCCCAGACTGTAGCATTGAATGCGCCATCAACAGAATTTGCTGTATTTATGGTTGTCACATTGGAGGTTGAGGCTGCGGAGGCTGCTGATGCTATCGATGTTGCGATCGACTGTGCCGCGGCGGCAATGCCGAATACGGTTGGGATAATGGTACGTACGCGCATGGTATTTTGAAGCTTTCGCTGTACTGTAAAAGGAAGAGAATGGAATCATGGATAAAGCTGGATTTCACGTCCATTTTATATCAGCCCGAGATCAATATCCTGCCTTCCGTCGTGTTTGACATGTTAATGGTATAACAAAGTCAGTTTATGGCGACATTGAGGATTGACGTCAGGCGGCATGCGGTCTTCGATGCGACTTTCTTATGAGGCTTCATGGCACATCGACAATCCCTGATAAATCTCACGAAGTCACGATATTTTACTCCGGGGCCTTTTGAGGATAGTTGTTCGTTCACTATGGCCAACCCATCGGAAGAGATGGGAGATTCCAAAGCCCAGAGCCAGAGTGGTTGTTCAACTCTTCTGATTGCTATACACACTCTGCCCATATCATCCCCACAACCTCGCACAGAAACACCACCACGCATATCCAAAGTTCTGCAGCATCAAGCACCGTCAACGCCAAAGATATCAGATCACCGCCATAAAGAGCGGCAAGCCCCACATCAGCAACTTCATCCATCCAACCACTGCTCGCCTAACCACCAACATCAGCGCCAGAAATACTCGTTCCTTCATCTCCTCAGTCTCATTCACTCTCGGAAACCCCACTTTCGGCACATCTTTGCCTAAGAAATCACACAGCGGTTGCCATCCTGATCCTAGCTTATACACCAAAAGCCTTTCCTTTGACACTATTGCCTTGATCATCTCGCTGTGTTCTGCATAAATACTCTTTGCATTGGCCCTCCACTCAGCAAAAGAGGACGCTTGCCATTGTCCTTGCATAACCAGTTGACCCAGTCGTCCTTGCTTTCCCACAAATCCAGGGTCGAGTAGGCAAACCAGACGAGTCAAAGGTGAGGAAAAGGAACAAATGACATTTTTTTCGAAGCTGGTGTACCACGGTGAAACGTCGCGTTCAACGAGTATCACTTTGGCAGAGGGATATGCAGAGATGAGTTCAGCGGTGAAGGCATTGGCTGGCGAGTCAGTCACTGCAGAGACGCGGCCGAGGAGGGCGTCAAGATCTGCAAGAGTTGGAGATTCGCCGGTGGTGGTGGTGGTGGTGGTGGTGGTAGAAGAGTAAGTGGAAGCAGAGGGATATTTCTTCTCCAGCAACTCTAGCCAAGCATCAATGTCGGGTGGATTCTCCATCATGGACACGTAGTGATAAGTAGGGTTTCCCAAGATCTCAAAGGCTGCTTTCATTGCTAATATGGTGTGTGTTTTGTCAGTTCAATATGTGTCAAGGGTGTAGCTGACTTGGTATAGCTAGATGCAGTTAAGGAAACAAAACATAATGAAGAAAAGGAAATCTAGACAAGATGGAAATGATCCACAAAATCCAAAATCCAAAAGGTCTTTTGTCTGAGGGTGCGAACTGATTATGAGATTTGTTCGCATGTGGTATACTGTGCCCACAGATGACAAATGCTTGAATTTCCAACTCTTGCTGTTCTTTTGCTCGAAAGCGCTCACATGAACCCTTCTTCCTCTTCCTTTTTCCCCCTATAAACGAGAGTGGAGAAAAGACAGGAAGCAAGACTTACACATCGTTCCCGTCCTACCCATGCCCAATGACAAGATCTCCATAGCGACAACTCTTTCACATCCCCTTCGATCTATATTCGTTTAAGCATAGATTTCTGGGTATTTTTCCTTGAGCGATAACTTTTTCGTGGGTGATGGTGCTGTTTGCGCTGCGCTCTTAGACGAGGTTGCCATTGCTTGAACTACAAAAACATCAGGGGGGTTTCTCTCTGTGCAAAGAGTGTATGACGCGAGCAGAGAGTGCGCGAGACGGGGTGAGACTGTTGTGGCCCTGGACAACGTCAGACAATCGAAACCAGGGAGGCCCTGCGTGAAAGAAAACCAACTCGAGATTCTTCCGAGCGAGGTTAGGACAGCTTTCTGTGGGACAAGAGTCTCTAGAGATGATGGGAATGGCTGTTGGTATTCGAGGATCTTGTGATAGTTCAAGGCTCTGACAAGAAAACCTGACATGCAAAGGAATAGAGGATGAGGTTGAGAGGACAACCGTAGACGAAAGATAGGCATGCAAGGATTCGTAGGATTTGCATGACTGCGCATGTGCGAACCCCTCACTGTATAGTGCAGTAGAATGGAAGGATTCCTGCAGGCTGCAGCAACAAGATTGTAGCGACACACATGCGTATGTCTTGCAAACCGATAAGATTTTAGTGTAAAGCAGTAAAAGTTGGGCAAACTTGAATTCGACGTCGGATCCAAGTTTCTTCGCAGTGTGAACAATCGTCGTTTGTCGGAATGGCTCCCGAATCCCATGCCTGGATAGATGTTGTTGAAAGGATCGATCATTGTGAATTTCATGATGTTCGACTGGCCTATAAGATCGGCAATCTTTGTTCTTCCGATCGTTCGTCGCTCTGCATGTAGGTGAAGGGGACATGTGATATCCGCCTGCTCACTCTCTAGTCGAGTGGTGAATCGCCGTCTTGGGGAGGTGCTAGAGATATAAGAACAAATTGTTGGGGTGAGATGGATATGGAAAACAATGCAAGCGAACAGTGTGGCAAAGGTATAAACGTTATATGCTTGCGGGGAACAAGTAAGGTAAGTCATTTACAGCAGAAGTAAAAGTAGCTAGAGCAAGCAGCCTCCGAGGCAAGAAGTGCCAGTGACCGGCCAAAGACGGTTACTGTATAGGTAGAAAATTGCCCACAATAACCGAAGGACTGCAAACATCACATCTTGTCAGCAGAATTCTCCTCGTAGATGAAAATCTCCTCTCAGCACTCATCCATCCCCTCATCTCTCCTCATCTCAGTCATAAGGTAGGGGAGCCACTCACATATTATGTATATCCCTCCTGATCGTAAATGAGAAGCAACATTTGGTCAACACGCCCACTGCTTTCCTCTTTGCGTTCTTCCCTTCCTCTACTCCATTCTTCTCTTTATCCTTGTCCACATCATCGTCATGAGGGTTCTTCAAAGTGCAGGAAGTCAAGATGGCTTTTTGAGATTGGTCGAAGGCGATGGCACCAAATTTTTCCCAGTATGAGACTAGAGAGTCTTCGGCCATGATCTCGTGGAGAGCGAGTTTACCCTATGGTAGAACCTTTGTGTTAGCGAGAAACAGACGGGTCGGGAGAGGAAAAGGGAAAGGGAAGGCAAGGAAGAGAGCTAGAGACATACATCTCTCAATTCCTCCATGGGCACTCTGATCAACTCAGCCATCTCCTTGTTGCCCCGAAAAATCTCTCCCGTACGACGCCAACAGCACGCGGGGATGGCCATACTAGCAAACACACGATCATATTCCATCAACGTACTCTCCCACCACATCTCGACCCTGATAAGCTGAATATCAGTCAAGTTATGCATAGCCTCCCTGAACTTGGGTCGAAACTTTTCTAGTTGCCTTAAAATCTTTTGGCGCAGGGGAGGCCGCATGTGTGACTCCATATAAGTGTTCAGACGCGAGTAGCCGCGGACGTAGTTAAAGGGCCGCAGCATACCGGCGTCGTATTTTGCTTGTAGGAGCTTCAGCATGCGGGCTTCGGGGGTGTCGTTGCCGGCAGGGTCAGCAGCGGTCATGTAAAATTTATCGCGGGCTTTTGCATCGACAGGCATAACTGAGGAAGGGCGAGTAATGTCGTTGCCGGCGGTTATCTGAGGGTCTTGGGGTTGTTGTAGGGCGTTGGCTGCTGATGTGGAAGGGTTGGGTTGTTGGATGCCGGAGAAGAGATTCATGTTGTTTGCGTAGGTGGACAGGGAGCCGGTTGCAAGTAGGGGGTCGTTGAATATGGTATTGGAGTCGTCGGGATTATAGGTTGCGCCGTCGTCGAGGAGGGAGTTATTGAGGAAGTCGCCGAGGAAGTTGTACTCGTCGGTGACCTCAGACGTGTTGAAGGTGTAGTTTGGATGTAGATTGCGCATGTCGTGTAGTTGATTCGTCGTGGTGCCAAAGTTCCAGTCGTTGACAGAGAAGGGACGCTGGTCGTTGGTAGGCTGGTTCTGCTGCTTCAATTGAGCAGGCGACATTGGTTTTGGGTGTTGGATCGAGGGAGCTTCCATCCTCAAGCTGCTTCTGCGTTCATCGTCGACGGGATTCGTGTCGGCGGGAGGCGTGTCGGTATCTGGCTTCTTGGGCTTGGTGGGCTCTCTGGGCTCGTCGTGGCAGAGGTGGGCAATGTCGCGTTTGACGCATCTAGCGCATGGTCGTTCCAGGTCGCATGTCATATGCGATCGCCTGCAGTATACACAGGCATGGTTGACCTTTCTCCGCTTTTTTCTCGGTGGGCTCGAGGGACTGTCTATGATAGCCGTGCTCTTGGATCTCTCTTGTGACTTTGGTGTGTCGGTCGTTGTTGCATTGTGGGTGACTTGCTGCTGCTGCTGCTGCTGCGGCTTGCTGTTGGATTTGGTGTCGTTCATGGTTGTGTTGCGATCATGCTTCGTCTCGTTGTTTGTCGTGTCCAGCCAAGGTCCTTGTTAGAACTATTGCGACGCCGGATCAATGCTCCTTGAGTCGTTGAGCTGTGGTATACGCGTAGGCCGAGGTGTAGCAGGCCATAGCGGGACGCATCCCGTCGGCCCGCTGCCAAGCCCCCGTCTGTTCAAGCAAATGCATCCTTCGTCCATCGACTCTGAAATATTGTGCTTCTGTCGTCTTGTCCAGTCATTGGGCTGCCTCTTGCTGTGTCCAGCTTTTGTTCAGTCCGACATTCTGGTGACAGGACTATTATTCTCTCTGCCGTCATCTGCAAGAGCGAGCACGGCCCGAACGAGTCCGTTCATCACTCCACTGTCTACCGAACACGCCCGTCCCGAACACCTGACGACTGCATGCTTCTGTTACGGCCTGCACCAGAATTTGTAGATTCCAATGTTTCAGATCCATCACATCTCGGTAGGTAGACAGAACGGCAAAAATAGATACTCGCTCAATGTATGCAACCTCGCTCCTTGACCCACGACCATCGAGCCACAACCGGAAAGTCCTTCTTCGAGCAAGCTCGTCTTCCACAGACGATAGAATTGAATCGCGTACCTCAAGGAATGTATTGGGTACACTTATAAATGCTTGCTAACCCCGGGTTGGAAGATGCCACTTGACCAATTCCCAAAACTCCTTTGCATAGTCACCTCTTGGGACTGCGTATGCTGATGTCTCTAGACAAGAGTCGAGTATCATCTAGTACGATCGACTGTCACATAGTCCTGTCCCTGGCCGTAGTGTGGTGTGGGTGTCTGGGGCATAGCACCAGGAATGTGAGGTCGGAACGACTCTTCTCTGTTGTTTGGTGGTCTCGCTTGGTACTGTTGTTCGGGGTATGATTGGTAACCAGAGACTTGTCTAGGGACCGCGTCTCTTGAGGTATAAGATGGCTGGGCGCCAGGTGCAGCTTGATGGGATGTGGGTTCGCGGTCGGGACTGTTGGCAGCTCGTGCTAGGCGTTGCTCTGTTTCGCGAAGACGGGCTTCAATCGCTGCGAGTTCTTCTTCTCGGGTCGACACTGTACGCTTCCTGCATCTTGTCAGCTTGAGTTCAAGCTGTGGTTGACGCCTCGTCATAGACAGTCGATATCGAGACGGATTACTGACTTCTCCTCAACGGTGAATGATAGGTTGCCGAGAGTCGTGCCCGAGTTCAAGCCAAACAAAGAGTCCAGATCATCAGAAAAGTTGCGAGCAGCAATGCTATGCGGGTGTAAGCGGATGGTAGATAGCCCTATCGATAAAGTGTAGCTCACGACTCGGGTCTGGCTCGCTGCTGAGGTGTATGCTCCATGACGTTGTAGAGGGATGACGAGCAGTTGACAGAAATGTGTAACAGTCGAAGCCGAGGACGATGGCAGAGCAATGGGCAGGAACAACAGTTGGAAAGCAGGTGGAAGGCGGGGAGAGAGATGAACAGAAATAGAAATGGAATTATCCCAATGATAAAAGGAGGATCGTCTCTCTCATATGCAAGCTGCGTAATGACCACTTGTCGGTGCGTACTCGACTCAGGCAGCATATGCCGCCAAGCCTTGTTAGTCCCCAGCGACATCAAAGCAGACCGAGGAATGTATATCTGTACGTACTCTGCGAAGTATATCCTATCAGAAAAGTGCCTCATGGCGACTTGTGTATCGCGTCAGAAGGCTGTGTGATCAGTGTTGATGTCGAAGACACAGCTGGCAGATCAAAGTTGTGATCTGCCTTGTCATAGCCGGTCAAATTGCTCGTTCCGCCATGTCAGGCAGAGAGACCCGCAGATAGCATTCGGGCAGAAATCAAGACGTCTCTTTGGAAGGCCATCAGCATGTGAAGACAGTATAGCATTCGAAGATAGACGTTAAGGCAGATCAATGGCGACCAAAAGGCTGGCCAAGCAACGGTCGGTCGGCGGCAGGGCGGAAGAGGCGCCGCGCTGCAATCCGCGACCAAATCCCATGTGCCAGCGAGTTGTGAGAGATCAAGCACAAGGCCATCACAAGACGCTCGAATTCGTCTCTCAAGCCATCACAAATCTCACAATAAACTCACCATGAGCCACAACGCGTGATTTGATCGCCAGACAAGCATGAACTGTAATCTCCGACATTTCTGGCCCGAAGACATCTCGACACGCTACTCTGGTCGACGACGCCGTGAACACTTTGCGACAAGTCGACTCTGTAATGACTAGTCTGGCTCAGCATACTCCGCTCGAGTCGCTTCTGCTCTTGCACGCCTTGCGCAGCGATGGCCTGACTACCACTCGTTTCGACCAAATTTCAGAGCAACTAAAGAGCATACCACTTATTCGCAACGACCCTTCCTACGACAGTGCTCGATTGAACCAAGACGCCCTGAAGCACTTGTGTCTGCAATTGCTCAAGGATGAAGCCCGCAGTAGCTCGGACCAGCACGAAGACAGAAAGAGAAGACAACTTAGCCCGACCATACCCACCGTTGAAGAAGCCGCGAAACACTCGCATCTAATCCCTCGCCTCGTTCATCGTCTGTACGCTCGATACAGGGAGGGCATTGTCGCTGAGATCAGGAATGAAGAGGAAAGATATGACACGTTGACGCGCGAGATCGTCGAGATTGAGAGTGGACAATGGGACGACCGTCTTCGAAGTGACCAGGCTGCCAGTGTCGCGCCTACGCGACCTTCGCCAATCGATGCCACATCCAGATCACCGGCAGCAAATGCAGATTCTCAGATCAACGGAGCTGTCGCTGCCACATCTGTAGAGGATGCATTGCAGCAGTCCAAGGAGCCAGCACGATTGGACCGCACAAAGATTGACGCCGTCATCAACCATGAACCCGTGGCTGCTCGTCAGACCATCTCGCCTACCCCTCCGTTGTCCACCTCTTCGCAGACCCAGTATGCTCCGCCTGCAGTGCCTCACAGACTCTCGACCACCTCTCTGCCACCACTGTCCGAAATGGCCCCAGAGTCTCCTCACCCGCAGCAAATACACTCTGGGCAGCCCTCTCCACAGCTCCCACCCCTGCAAGCAGCTCCTGGCTACCGTCTATCTCCAAGCCTACAGCAGAACGGCTTTCCGCCTCAATTTGCTCGGCCCCAGCAAAGTCCTCGTCACAGTCCAGCCCCAGGCTCGCCTCGAGTGCTGCCCCTTCCTCCTGGTATGAGTATGCCGCCTCGTCCACACTCTCCCGCTGTCTCAACTCGTGCTGGTCCCGCCCAGTATCCCCCGCCTAATCAGCGTCTGCCCCCAGTACCTCTCCAGCCCGCACCGAGACCACCCCATATGCAAACTCCTCCAGCATACCCCAACCAATACTCTCAATACCCTCAACAGCAAGGATATCCTCCTCAGCAACAACCCCAGGCAGTATACCCACCCCGCCCGCCACACCAGGGAGGATATCAGCTGCCACCTTTCCAGGTTGCTGCTCAAGACCCCAACAGGATGCACCAACAACATCTGGCTCAGCAGCAGGTCGCCACTCAAGATGGACGTCATCCGCCTACGCCAGTTCGTCAAAACGTCGCCGCTCCTTACTCGCCGCATACACCATACGCATACCCAGCGCCTTCAGACCCTCGCCGGCCCGGATCGGTTAATCCTTTGGACATCTTGAGCAGTCTGAGAAAGACCCCTCGATCAACGCTTTCTCGTTCCATGACTCCTCGTTCAGCTTCTCGTGCAGCAACGTGGAAACGCGAAAGACCGTCGATGTTATCACGACCATTCATTGACGGTGTGGAGAGTCCTGCTCCAGAACGTGCCAGCCCGTCTCCGTCATCGCGCGAGGCCTCACCTGCTCACACTGCCAAGGACGTTCCTCTCGAATCCAAGGTTGTGGAAGAAGAACTCACCAATGTCGAGCCAGAAGAAAAGGAAGAAAAAGAATCTACTCCGAAACCTGCCAAGTCAAGCCGCAAATCTACCAGACGCAATCGAGCCAATAGTAATGCCTCTTCTGCGATCGCTAGTTCTGTACATGCCAGGACGAGGAGTCAGTCCGTTCTGTCCCAGGCCGGGGAGCAAACCGCAACCACAGAGCCATCGGCCATCTCACGTATCGTTAAGGACGAGCCAATGACACCCGCCGAGCTGCTCCAAGAAGAGATCCTTCAAGCCGAAACTTCGGATCCTCCTTCCCAGCTCAGATCAAAACGCAGCCGCACATCAACCAATAAACGCAAGCGAGCCCGCTCAGCGACACCCATCCCATCCTCTGAACCTCCCATTCCAGAGTCCTCTGAGCCCGAGAACGCAAGTGCTGCCTACGGACCTCCTCTCAAGAACAAAGTCCAAGCTCACCGCAACTTCGCCCGCATTTCAAACGTAATCATCAACGACATTACACAGCACAAACACGCAGGACCGTTCCAGAAGCCCGTCCGCGAAAAAGACGCCGAGGGTTATACTTCTATCATCAAACGCCCACAAGACCTGAAGTCCATCAAAGCAGCCATCACCTATGGGTCCCGCGCCATCAATGCCGCTACCGCTTCCCTAGACTCTCCAGCCACTACCCCCTCTGCCTCTACCTCTGCATCTCTGGTTCTCCTCGACAAGACTGCAGATCTTATTCCTCCGAGGGCAATAGTCAATTCTAGTCAGCTTGAGAAGGAAATCATGAGGATGTTTGCGAATGCGGTCATGTTCAATCCTGGTAGCACTGAGGGTATGGTGTTGGATGCGAGGGAGATGGCAGATGATGTAGAAGCCAAAGTCAGGGATTGGAGGCAAGTTGAGGGTGCGGCGGCGAACGTACGTGCTGCGAACACTGATAAAGATGACGAGGAGGATGGCGCTGTGGGTGGGGATAAGAAGAGGAGGAAGGTGTAAAAAGTCATATCTGATATTCTGTGTTTCGAATGAACTTGCTTTCTGTTCTTCTTGTCGATTGCTAGGTGTTATGCCAAGAGACTGAAGGTCGGTCGGTTCCAATGTCCAGTTTCTTGACGACTTTCAGCTCTTTCAGCTTCCCCGTTTCCATGCACTTCATCTCCACGATCTGCCGATTGTTCGTGGTCTCAGATCTGTCTCTCAGCTCTGGTTGCATCCCACACGAGTAAGAAAAATAACGCCACAGAGGTAGTATTTGTAGTCGCTCCCTTGCTCATCTCCGTCGACTTGCGCTGACTCGATGGTATGCTTCACTACCCGGCCCATACATCCTGTGTCTGTATCTGTGTCTCGGTCATTCATTTGCGTGTCTTTCCAAGTTGGTCCAAGCTACAAGTCTTTACGCCATGACATCGGAGAATTATGTTGCCATGCGACTTGCGTGCATGAGGGGACTTGCATGCGCATGGCGTCCTTTTGCGCTTTGCGTTAAACACAAAAAAAAAGCCACAAAGTGTTTTGTGCCGGTTTTACGCTGTCCCCTCCATCCCGCACCGAGACATTCGTTCCCGTTTGACTTGCCGCGATCGCGGGTTGTTCGCAGGACATATGATACGTCGCAAAGACATTATTATGCGCGGCAGAGATGAGAGTAGAGTTCAAGGGGTTTTGCTTGCAGACAATGCAAAGGGCTGGGTTAGAGAAGCAGTTGAGTAGCGGGGGAATTATTGGTATGCATGCATGAGCGAACACGAACGCTTGGCCTTTGGGGAGGAGCACTCTAACGGAGAATTATGTCATGCAACATGACGTGCCTTTGTTCTCTCTTTATGCAGCGACTGCTTTTCAGTGCCTTGGAGGGGCCGTGGAAGGGAGTTCTTGTTCCTCGCTCATCCTTGTGCTCGCTGCTGAGGGGCTCGGTGACGCAGGCAGTGGATATCATCCTCCTCGCGCCGCAGAGATCCGGAAGTGTTGAGCACAAGGAACAGCGATGTCATAGATAGCTTGCACGAACGCATCATTGCCTACGCAACCTCTCCACTGAACCGTTTGCTCTCCATGGACAGAAAGCAAAACAGGGCAATTCATTGTGACAGTGAGGGGGAAAAACAGATATGCATGCATCGCACGCCGAGAAAAGGGATCCCCTTGTGGCTTTTGTCAAGCGCGAGAATACTCCGGAGGGGCGTGTGTGGCTCTCGTTCCTGAGCCGGGCGGCGGCAGCGGTCTTGTGATCTAGATGCGCGTTTTGTCTCATGCTTAACCACAAAAATACAACATTCATCACGGGTGAGTCGCTATTTCGAAGAAGGTTGGCAAAGGGAAAAAAGCCACAGCAAATTTCCTGCAGAAATGCTCACGAGGCGAGGACAGGAAGGAAATACAAGCGTTGGTCGCAGAGTGAGCACGCTGACACGCAGATCGGACTGGCAAGTCATGTTGTCGATCTGGGGTACGCTGGTCTTGCCCTGACTGGGAAACGATTCTTGGTATGGCGTTTTTTCTGCTCTTCCTTCTCGAGAGGTTATGCCCTCGTGAGTCGCTGCGAAGGGTCTAGTAGGACCTGCCGCACCACGCGATGCCCATGCCGGACTGCCCCTCGTAGTAGCTCGTACCTCTTTTCGACAGAAGCCTAAAAGTCTCACGCCAAAGGAAACACTTCCGCTAATACACTGGCGGCAGCCCCTGCTGGTGCTTTCTTGACTCCGAGGCGTGCGTGTGATCATAAAAGGGAAGCGAGACGTAGGTTGTATAAAGGATCCCGGACGTCGGCGGACGCTCCAAGTGGATCTCTTCCTTCTTGCTCTTCTTCTCTCCTCGGCGCCTTTTTGTAATCCCTGGCTTTGCTTCTTCTGATTTTACGCTTTTCCCTGCTTACGACTCGTATGCCAATCCCGCATCACCAACAGAACCTCTGACGTTGTCGTTCGGTGCTATTTCTCTACGTGTTTGGCCGTTGCGACAAAAGGTAAAACGGCCTAGGTTGGACCCTTCGACATATATCCATCCATACTACCGCGCATTATTGAGCATCCTCGACCTTTTTGCAAATCCTCCCAGAAAGAACAAACACCTATGGCTGTGATAGCAAGAATGGCACAAACCAGCACCTCCCAGCCTAACCTTTGGAAGCCTCGGTATGCGGCCAAGGCACACCAGGAAAAACCACAGCCTGTACAGCAGTTCACACGGTCGAGATCGTTGAGGGAACCCTTTGACGCAGCTGAGCTTACCCGAAAACTGGAAAACTACCGTCAAGAACTCAAGCTGGAAAAGGCACGGCGCGAGCTGGCAAACAAAAAGACTCTGGAGATGGCAGCAACACAACCACAGCCTGCACGAAAAGAAGTTAGCACAGCAGCACGGGAAGAAAAACCGACCTCTGGAATCAAGCGAGCACAATCCGTCTCTGTGCCAAAAACTCTCGCAATCGGCGAACAACCGGAACGCAGGAGATCGATCATGCACCGCAGCCGCAAGCAATCAGCCCAAGAAGACACTCCCACCGAACCCGCCAAACCCTTCATCCCCCGCGTAGCAGCCAAACAATTCGCCAACACCACAACCCCATTCAAAGCCAAGAACGACGCAGCAGCAGCACAAACATCCTCACACCAAGTCCCAGAGCCGCAGCCCAAAGACGCAAAAGCAAAAGACACATCCAACAAACACATCCTCGACTGGAGCGAACCCGTCATCCAGCCAAAGTCTTCCTCACCACCTCTACCCTCGACCTCCGATTTCCCCGATGCAGAAACAACGCGATCACGCATACAGGCCCTGCACGCCTTCCGCGATACCTCCAAAACCAGCCGTCCGAGACCCCTCAGCACAGCCCTAGAAAACATGCGCGAATGGGACGCTGTAGATAACGTCTACTCTAAACCAACTGCCGTCCTTGCCGAGGAAGCACCCATCGCCTCCTCTGGCTACATATCAGCTTTGAACCGCCCTGTTTTGCGTGAAGTCAAGGACCGCCATGACTGGGCTCAGGGCAGTCAGTGTGGTGACAGTGCAAGGCAATCGTTGCATTTGTTCCGCAAAAAGGATTCGGCACATGAAGAGGCGGAGATGGCTGGCCTCAGAGCGAGTATGAGACCGGCTGCGAAGCCGAGACAAAAGAGTCATGGGGATGCGACAGATAGGCTGATTAATGATGCTGTCAAGCAGATCAGAGAGGAAAAGAGGAGGAGCAGTTTGTTCAACATTTTCAAGAGACATTGAGGACATTTGCTGATGATTGTTTCTACTTTTGTCTATCTGGAGGGTTTATTTCTTGGCATCTTCGTGTGTATATCTTCTCTTTCCTTTTCTTCCCTTCGTTGTTTTGAGATCAACAGACTCAAATACCCTTTTGTTTTTAGACATCACTTGATGTCTCTTCTTTTCTGTCTTCTCGAGCACTGTGCTTGGTCTTCTACAAACTAGACATCCTTGTTTGTTCACATGTTTCATCTGTCTTGCAGTCCACTCTTGCACACAAAAAGAACTTCTTCGTTTCCCTTACACCGCGTGGCCATGTGTATTAGCTTGGATTTCTGAGTCAGGCAATCTTTTTTTTTTGCTAATGTATATATTCTTTTCACACTTATTAACACTTAGTCATTTCTGCTTTCTTTGATAACGTTCTTTTTCTCAGGGACAGAAAGAAACCAATAATATCATGTTTGCCTTCGGCAGTCGCGCTGTTTGTCCGAGCTGCAAGAGGCCGCTTAGGCGGTGTCTGTGTCGTTTGCCATACATTCTGCTGCTCAATTGGACTTCTTCCAACGATGATACCAATGCGACGTTTGCTGACCTCAGGAAATCTGAAGCTGAAAATTTACTTGACCTCAAAGGCTTGAAAGAAAGGATTCGCAAGAAAGAGAGGTTGCTGAATTGCTGGATCTTGGGGCTGGAAGCGTTCCATTTGCATGGTTTGTTGCGCTTGAGAGGGAAATCTCAAGATCTGAGATTACCTAGCATTCGAGGTCTGCTATCCTGGACCTCCAGAGCTGACGGTCGGGAACCTTTGAGCAACCGCATGGAGGACAAGGCTGATGGGAAGACAGAATTACTTTGAGATTGACAGAGCTGTTCGCTGAAGGGCGCCGACATACTCCCTCCTACCGATTTTAACAACTGGCTTCACTCTGCTCATTCGACCATCCAAGATACACGTCCATGAGCTGAAGCAGACTTTCAGCTTCACACGCCTCACCTTTCTCTTTTTGCTGGAAAAGCTTGACATAGCCAGCGCGAAGCAACTTGACAACCTTCCGCTCTACACTCACATCCTCACTGACTATCACCACCAATCCGCTTCGAATCTTGATCTCTCACCCCTTTTGATTTATTTCCGCTTTCACTCCAGGCATCTTCCGCAGGCTCTTGCCATACATCTGGTTAGATAAACCTTACGAACCTCTGGAAACCTCTCAACTTCTTAGGCGACTGATTCGACACCGGCGACGTCGATCAGTCACTCAAACCACAGCTACAAAGAAGCCCACCAACATGGATCTTCGGCAGTATCTCATAGCACCGCACGAGCGGCCTACAGAGCAGCCAGCTCGTCATGACACTCCAGATCTTCATTCTCAGTACCAACCAACTACCAACACCCTCGATCCACGCCTGGCACATCGTACACGAACGAATGCAGCTGCCAACTTCAGTCAAGATCAACCAGTTATCACTGCCAACCATGCACGTACTGAGATCGGCGATTACAAAGAAAGAATTCGACAACTACAACTGCAACAACTGCAACTCCAACAGCGATTACAGCTGCAGCAACAGCCACAGCAGCAGTCGCGAAATGGAACCATCACCCGTGAGCAAGTTATCAATGGCTTGACCGCATATCCAGACATCCTCGCCGCGATCCTTCGAAGCGGACATGTCCCCATCCAGACGCACAACGATTCCAGGGCATCGAGACAGCATGCCGACACTCCTCCCCTGTCTTCTCAGCCAACAACCATGACTATGGCTCAGCGCACCACCATACCACCATCTCACCAGATCATCGCAGAGCTTATGCCAACTTCGACCACCCCATCTTCACCAGTTCCACCCACAAACCAAGCCCCTTCATCAGTCCCGACAGTAGCTAAAACAGGCAGAGTCTGCTTCTGGTACTATCACCATGGTAACTGTACCAACGATTCTTCGTCACCCACGTACAAGCCCTCTGACCGCGCATGTCGATACCTGCATTCCATTGATGATACGCAAGAGATCCAAGTGCAGCAAGGTCAAGGATATTGGCATAGAGGTATGGGCGATTGTGGCCTTGAGTTGTGCAAGTTCAGCAGCAACTACAAATATGCGGATGGAAATGATGCAAAGACGCAGCGTAAAGGAGAGAAGAAAGGAAAGAAGCAGGTTGAGGCTGCTCCTTCTGCTGATGCGGCGGAGGACGAGGAGAATGTGGATGAGAATGACAGCGTTTTTGAAAGCAAAGCTGAAGATCCGGATGCCGTTGATTCGACTTCTCAGTCCATCCTCGAATCCGAGGAGCGAGAAAATCAAGACACTGTTCCTACCTCTCTTGATCCGGTCACGCTCTCCATACCCACCTCTCCTCGGGCAGGACGGTACGCCAAAGGAAGCCGACGCCAACAACCGCCTACATCCTCGCCTACTCTGCCGACACTAAAACGTAAAGCCAATGCTTCTTCGCAAAACACACCCACGCCTGCTCCGAAAAGGCCCAAGACAACAGCTCCGATCCCATCGACCCAGACGACAGATCCTACCGCTGTCACCACTCCACTGAGCAAAAAAGCACTCAAACGTCTCAAACGCCTAAACAAAAAGGCCCAAGCCCTCATCACTGGCACCGTTGTCCCTCCACCTTCCACCACTGTCTCCACCAACCCCACGCCCACACCAAAAGCCTGCGAAATCATCCCCTCCTCATTGCCCTCCTCCCATCCCTCCTCCCTCCACCAGCCAGCTTCCAGCCGTCCCTCCCTCACCAACAAGTCTTTCATGGTCAAACGCATAGATCACAATAAACCCCACCACACGACTTGCTTTGCCTGGTACCACGGCTCCTCGTGCACCAAAAAGGGCAGAAACTGCAAGGAACTGCATGCACTGACCCAACCACCGAGTTTTGTGGTTGCGCCCGTGGGATTTGTGCATGAAGGTGGTGTTTGTGGGTTGGAGTGGTGTAGTGGGGATTGGAGAGGCGTCGAGGAGGGGGAGGAGGGGGAGGAGGGGGAGGAGGAGGAGAAAGGAGAGGGGTATGCGAAGGAGAAGGGAGATGGGGATGTAAAGGACAAGAGGGAGTTTGCAGATGGGATCGTCGAGCAAGATGATGATGCAGAGATGCGAGATGAGCAAGTCGACGATGAGGATGATCAAGATGTCGATAGTGAAGACTTTGACGCTCAGGAAAGCGCTGATGAGATGGTTGACTGAGGCCGGGTAGTGCATCGACGGAAGGGAAAAATCCACGAAATGCACAAGGATGGGGACTTGGGACGGGACAGATCAAGCATTGCTTACGCGAGGAACGACAACGGCGAATCTTGGAGAAGAAAAACCGATCATCATTTGGCGAAAACTAGAATATAGAGATTAGATACAGAAGATGGGGGTTTTTGCTGGAAAGACCACGACATCCACAGAAGATCCGCCACGATACTCACTGCCCCTGGGAGCCCCCGAGGCAAAGGAGTAAAAGGTAATCTGACATCTAGGTCACGTTTTTCATCGTGGTATAGAGGACACTTTGTATGCGATAAAGTACAAATCACCGATAGCTAGATCTAATCAACTTTCTGTGGTCGGAATGGCGATCCAAAACCACCGTTCTAAAGCCATGTTTGCATTCAATTCTCCTACGTAGTGCTAGTCTTCGTGATTGGAGTATTTGGGCAAAGATCTCATAACAATGCCATCGTTTCATCGCCTCAATCTCTCGTCTCTATACAACTAAGACTTCCAGATCTGAGGCACAAACCCACCTTGAACACCACCAGTAGCACTAGCACTCGCAGTCGACGTAGGAGGCAACGCCACAAACGACTCCGTGTGCGTGGCATTGGGCCCACCCACACTCGTCAAATTCGCCGTCACCATCTCGGTGCCATCAGCGATGTTCCAGTGATTGAGAGTGCGGTTGAACATGGCGAGCGCGGCTTGGGGTTGGTAGTAAGGTACCTCGTGACCGGCCTCGTAGATGCGGAGGAAGCTGAGATTGCCGTATTGGCGCACTTCGCCGTACTCGGTGCCGTCGACGGTGAAGGGTTCGTAGCCGGCGGCGGCGAATTCGGCGCTGTGGGTGTAGTTGAGAGCCAGAGAGATTGCTTGGCCGCCGAACCAGTTGCAGATGTAGTCGGCGTCGCTGGGTGTTTTGTTTAGCAGAAGCGGATGGTGAGAGAGTGGGGAAAAGAAACTTACCCGTAGTACAAACTGATGCGAAGACCTTGGGCAAGAAGATCCTCAAGATCCTTGAGGAAACTGTTGTAGACGAAATCTCCCGTGGCTTGGAAAGCATAGTAAATGTCGTTGTTGGATTCGGTGTAGTTGACACTGACACCCAGAGCGTTCTGAACTTCGGCCATGTTGAGGAAGTCGGGGAAGTACTCGGGGGGAGTAGGGTCATCGCTGGGATGTCTGATATCGTAGGTTCCCCTGCCAGAGTATTGGTAGTAAGGTCCTTCGACATTGTCTCTGCACATGTCCTGGGCTTCGGAGCAGAGGGTCTGGGTGGCGAGGTTATCTTGGCCAGTCTCTCTGGCTTCGCGGCAGTACTCGATGTATTCCAGGCATCCACCGTGCATGTTCAAGGCGAACTTCATGTAGTTGTAGACGGTATCGTTGACTGCCTTGATGCCATAGGTGTTGTTGACGGCAAACTCGGGGTAGTGGGGAGCCTGGACAGCCTCGTCGATGATACCGTTTCCAATACCGAGGGTGTTGAAGTCGAGCTTGACGCCAGGAATGGTTCCGTTGGAGATGAGCTTGTTCTGGTTGTCAAAGTAATTGAAGAACGAAGGTCCTGTGATTACGGCATGTCAGCAGACTGATTTCGATCGCAAAAGAGCTCAGCACAAACCGTAGTGGCCGCCTGCGATTATGACACGTTAGTGATGTATCTCAAAGGTCAAAGATCTCAGCACATACCGTAAGATTCAGTCCAGAGGTTGAATTCCTTGTTGCTGCCAATCTCGCAATCAAGCTGGGGCAGAGCGCTGAGGAAACCCTGCAATACATGCCATGCAGCAACAGCGGCAAGATCGGTGGTATCGATCTCGGTGGCGTTGATAACGGGATAAGTGCCAGTAGCATTGGCCTGTGTTGCGTTCATGAAAGATCCAGTAACAGGGTTGAAGGATCCTTTTTCTTCCTCCTGGTAACTGAAACCGACTCCGAACGGCTGGGAGAGGAACAGCATGTTGGAAACCTCACTCCAACTGTAGGGATTGACCTGGGTTGTGAGGTTGGCGGTGACGTTACAAGGGCCAAGTTCTGATTGTGTCAGTGGGGGGCTAAGGAATGGACGCGAATACAGCAGCGCAAACACATCAAGTTGACTTTCTGTGACAACAGGGTATCGCGAAGCACAACCTGCCGCAGGGTATCTCTCCACGATACATCAGGAGATAACGACTCCTACAGGCTCATACGTCTTCCTGATCTGCGCGTATAGTGAAAAGAAGAGAGTAATTACCTTGGAACAAGCCAATCAATGAGTCACTTCCTGGACCTCCATTAAGCCAGAGTGTAATGGGGTCATTTGCAGGATCATTCCTCGACTCGAAGAACCAGAAGAAAGTGTGCATGTCCGGAGCCAGATCGATGTATCCAGAGTATGAGTTTACACCAGTAGTGGTCTCACAGATGCCGGCCTTGCCAGGCTCCTTGTAACGAATGGTCACATTGGTGGGAGTCTATAATTAGAGTCAGTCGTAGTCAACGAGTAGTGTTATTGCTCACCCACAGTGATGGTCTTGAGATCGGTGGCATTGGCGGGAAAGTATTGTCTCTTGTCAAGAACTGGAACAAGAGCAGACACTCCAGTAGCTGAGAGCAGAGCAGCAGCGCTGCTGAGCATCATGGTTCCTCCGATCATCTTGATAGTGGTGGAAGGAGGGAGGAGAATACACACGCGACACGAAGACTCAGTGCCTCAATTTATACTTCCACTCTCCATACCTTGGAAGTTGTGGCAGCCTACAGAGTCCTAGCCATGCCCCAACAATGACCTAGTCTGCATGATGAACACGAGATGATTGGCAGAGACAAATATGAAAACCCTCGCAGCTAAACTCCAACAAGCAGCTCGAAAGTCGGCAGGAAGGATATGCCATAGAACCATGGCAGCTAACTCGTTTGCTGGGACTTGATGACGTTTTCACCGCGGTGATAAGAGATAGAAACGATACCAAGACCGTCTCGAAGAGATGATCGCGGAGCTTGTTGAAGCTTGATTTTGTGGAGGAATTACAGTTGCTATCAGAGCAACTTTTGTGCACACTCTTTGTTCGACCGTCGAATCTCGCGCTCTGGTGCCATGGACGCAGCTCTGTTAATTGAACGTACTCAGTAATTCAAGTGCAACTTCATGAGCGGTGTACAGCAGCGTGCTGTTCGTGAATCCAGAAGCAAGAAATAGTATAGTAGTTGATAGCGAGCTGCCTCTTTCGGATGGAATCCTGACGATCATTTCATTCGGAAGGCGCACTCGAGATAGACACACATGGTTTCTCGAAGTCGACGAAGAATCTCGAGCAGAAGGCCAACTCAACATGATGAACTCAAACCAGACAATTGTTTTAAATGTTGCAGAGAAATTTGTGTAGCCGGGATGCGTGCCTGTCAGGCCTCAGAGATACGGTTTGCGACATGTTGTAGCGCATGCCATCTGAGGAAGTGATCGGACGCCTGTCTCCAGATGCGATACCGAAGCGGAGTGCATATAGACTCCGTCATGAATCATTTCTCTGATCGACTATGAGAAGAAGTAGTCATCCTGAAAATGTCGCAGAAGGGCTTCGTTGGTGTGGGAGCGCTTTCCCACTCCGAGATGGCTGGCGATGGCTGACATTGAACATGGATATCGGATGTCCATCGCAATCAGCACCTCCGACCTGTCCGATGGCCAAATCCTCATCACACAGCATGAATCTCGGACAGACGTCGCGGTACTCATTCTTGTAACAAGAGCGATGACAGCATAGCCTAACCAACATGTATGCAGTGGCGCTCGTACAAACCCTACAATGAAGGACGTCTCTCTTCACAGGCTAAATACATTGAAGAGGTACAGGACTTGGCTCCTCGTAATATGGCTACCCGGGCGTACGTTGGGCAAAAGTGTCTCACTGCCTCTGATGCACGACACCTCGTCTCACTGCAGTTTGCACGACGATGCTAAGGTTTCGCAGGATTCACTGCCGTCAACCGTGGTGTATGTCGGTATGCGGTGATGCGATGCAAGCACGGCCACCTCAATCAAAACGTCCCATGTATCTACAATACCGTGCGCTGTCGTTGTATATCGGCAGCATGGTATGCACGTACAAGGCACTCAACTCCGTGTCCACTCGGATCGCACCGATCCATGCGTCGAGACATGAGCGAACCTTGTCGTCGACTGATCTGTTCACCCATCTGATTTGTATCGTATATCAACAAGATCCCGAATACGCACCTCAAACCCTCAAGCCTAAATCTCGTATAATGCTGTAACGCTGGTTCTCGCCCTCAAACTGCCAGGAACCTGGCGTTGCAGGTGAAACTCTACAAACGAGAGGGCTGAAATTGAAGAATCACGCAAGCGGACAAAACACATAAGAGATGAAGCGCTTTGTTACGAACATTAGAAACAGGCGCTTCTTCGCGATTGAAATGATGATTCACGAAGCGCTGCGAGATCCTCGATGAGTCTCTCTCCATCAGCGATGCGCGCGTGCGATCAGCATCAACTGTGATTGAAAGGGTTGGCAAGTAAGACAGTTGTGGCTCTCCGTCTGCCAGAGTCATGTCTGTCACGAGAAAAGAACGCTTGAATCAGTAGGAAAAACTGTCGCCAGGTGGTGAGTCCCTGATGGAAAGACGTCGGCGATGTTGCTGCTCTTGATAAGCTCAGTAGCAAGCTCTTCGATTACGGGACACTTTTGAACAGAGCTCTTCATCTCCTTTGACGTGTCGAAATCGATTCACAGACACCCCAGACAATTGCGTTTGCTTGGAAAGCGGCTTTCTCACGGCCCACAACTTCGAACCGTCGGTAGGCGCTCGGGCTTGGTTAGCGATAGCGAAGCCATTTAAACTCTAGACTTTCGTATTTCTGTGGCTGCCACGAGCTCCACCTCTCTAGATTGGGAAATTTGATGCCGGGAGAACAGCATCAAACTTCAAAGACTCGCAGCGGAAGTTGGTCGAACCAAAGAAACAAGGAGACAAAAGGGGTTTTGATAGCAGAACGGTTGGTCCCTCTGGACAAACAGAAGGAGCAGGAATACGATATTGGCAGGTGCAGGTGAAAAGAAGAAGGGCTTCGAATGTCGGCTCCCCACAAATCACGTATACTGAGTCGCATACTTTCTCTACAGCGATGCAGAGAACGGCCGTAGTGCTGCAAAGGCACGGGAGGTGTTTTGTTCTTTGCCCTTGCGACAAGGGGGGGGGAGCCGGATGCATGTATAAGCAGGGAGTGGGTTACGTATCTGAAGTCGGTGTAGTTTGTGAGGCGCCACGCCGGAGCAGAAAGTCGCGGCGGACATGCGCCTTCGATCCACGTCGCCATATATACTCAGCCCGGTCGATGTCGTGGGTCAGGGGGAGGCTCTTGAATGGCGCGATCTCGAGACGCGGCCTTCCAGACATGCAGACACGGTTTTGGTGGAAGCAAAGAGTAGCGTTTCAGAATCTTGTGCATATACAGACCGGGCGAGAAGAGGAGCTGCAGCAGCAGGACGGCACAGGTTCTATTGGATGCAGGTTCGCAAAAAGTGGTTCTGGCCACTGATTCGTGAGATGGCGTCTAATCCTGGCCGTTTGGATCGTGACGGAGGGGGTCCAAAATGACAGGCGGGGCTTACTTTCCTGAAATAGCAACACGAGGAGATCAAAGCGCGTACGGGAAGAACCGCGCAAAGTGAACCAGCGCAGGAGAGTGGTTGGTGGGAAGAGGGCTGCTTTGCAAGATAGAGAGCGAAAGACGATGCATGGGCAAGATCGGCTTCGTTTAGAATTGCTTCGACAGGATGAGATTTTTTCCTTTTCTTTGGCGCCCGCTCTGCCGGTTGTGGTGGTTTACAAGGGCCATGGTTCCCGACCCAAAGGTCGTTGCGACTTCTTGATTCCTAGAGGCCCGCTGTATTCGTTCCTGACACTTTTCTCTCACACGAACCCCTACGGCGCCAGTGTACCAGAACGGCCAGTGTGTCAGGTCGTCTTCTGGCAGATCCACCAGTGGCATTGACACTTGCGAGTGGAGAGAGTGACTCCAAGTATAGAAGAGGCACAAGCATCCTACACGCGCGTCATCCGACACTTGTTGTCGTCCACACCCTCTGGCCGCCCCTCTCTGGACCTGCTGACTTGGTTGGATGTTTACGACAGCCTGTGTGGCGATGAGCGGCTAGATCAGCCAACACGTTTGCTCCCATCATCCCGCATCTCAGTATATTATCGTCGACGCCCGCGTGATGCTGGCACTCATGCCCGTGGATACAATGTCACTCGCCATACTACCTTCGCATACTCCCGTCTCTCGGCCCACTGCTCCGACTAAACGACCCAAACTCTCTCTCAACACTGCTTCTCTTCCTTCGACCTTCGGCAAGAGCACTACCGGACTCAGACTGGATGCTCCCTCAATAGCCTCGCCTACAGCTAGGAACACTTTCAGCAATGCATACGGACCACATCACGTCACGAGCCCTGAGGCCATGACTCCTCACCACCATCTACGACCAAAGTCCCGACTGTGTCTGGACACTTCGGTGACACCTACCCACCACCACTCTACGCGCTCTTCCTCCACCGACAGCTGCATGTCAGCCACTTCTGCCACCTCGGCCTCGACCGACTCCTCCATCTCCTCAACATCCACCACCGACGCCTTCGACAAACCCATCCCATACCGTCTCCCATTCAACCACCACTCCATCCTGACCAACGGCCCTCACGGCTGCCTTCGCCGTCGCAAATCCTTCTCAAGTACCCGACCAATGTTTCCTTCGCCCAAAAAAGTGTCTTTCCGTGCACCTTTGACAGAAGACATCCACAACAACATCTACACACTCGCACAATCCGACATCGACTTCACATCCTCCTCTGCATCAGCCCTAGAAACATTACCCTCGGGACACGGTCACTATGTCCAACAACAACAACAACAACAAAAGCACAAACGAGCAGCAGCGGCCGCACTGCCAATCAGAACATCCACAACACCCTCATGCGGAGACAAACGCGACTCGTCCTCTGAAGACGACTCAGACAGCGATATCTGCCCTTCAACGCCCGTCACGCGAAAGAGCAAGAAACCCCGGGAATGGGTGTGGACGCTAGGTCCGATCAACCAAATCACCCCGCCGCCTTCTTCAAGTCCTGTCGAGGATGACAGTCTATCATGACCTCTACCTCTCTTGTCGAAAGTGTTTTTGAAACACATCAACCATCACGACTTAGCTACGAAAGACCGAAAATCATGCTTCTTTGCATCAGCGATGGATGGGGCATGGCTTTTTACTTCTGTTCCCGTTTTCTCTTCTTCTATCTTCTTTTTCTGTCTATGAGAGACTCACTACCATGGCGTCTTGTGACTCCTAGCATTCTTCCTCTTCTCTTCTACTTTGGGATTACCATTTTCTCTTCTTCATTGCTTTTGCCCGAAGCATCGATACCCGCATTTATGTAATGCTCGATCTTATTTCATCTTAGTTCGTTATTCCCTTCTTACTCGAGTATACTTTTATAGCCCCTTTACCTTCTATCTCCGTTGACTGGTTATGGTATGAGTTGTTCGTAGTCAAGCCAAACTTCGCAAGCCAACTGCGCCAAATACGCAAAATCCATCTCATCGTACCTTCTCAACATTTCGATTTTCTGATTTCAAATCTAAATCTACACCACGCGGACCTGCTCGTTTGTCGAGAGTTTGTCACGGCTATACATTAATGGATGATGCTATCCTCGCCTCAAAAGTTGTCCATGGTGCTTTCTCCTATGTAGTCTCGATCTTAGACTGCTTTATGCTGTGTAACCATCCGTTGTCCTTTTTCTCGGTGTGTGTCACTACGTGTCGCGTTTCTTGTGAGCACGCATTGTGACCGACTGGTTTGCCCCTTGGTCAGCGAAGACTATGAACTAAAGACAGATGAGAAACAGCGAGGATAACCAAAGGGGGAAAACAGAGGACAACAGCAGGACTCAAGGCAAGGGAAGCAGAGAAGAAAGATTCAAGACATCGGTAGGGAATTCGAGAGATGGAAGAGTTTGAGATATGGCAAGAGGTCGGGGTATAAACAGGAAGGGCCACCCTGGCTTGACACGAAATCTTTTTTCCCTCCCCCCGACAGGCGTGGTATATTGAGATACTATAGACGCCGACTCTGAAAAAGCAATGGAAGAAGTGGTTCAATTTTCACTATATGTTTTACCCTGCAAAAACGCTACTTGGCTCGTTCGTCAGCGATCCAAAATGGTAAACTTGGATTTTACGTCTGATCGCTTGCTCATCCTCACATGAACTCATCCCATGCAATTTACTCTCGCGTACAACAAGCTGTCCGTTCTCGCCTTACCACAACACTACACGTTGCCGTACGAGGAAAACTTTACAGGTCTGACACACACGAAGTCAAGGAGAACAGAGAAGTTATGAAATAAAGTAGAGGCATTCGCAGTTTTTGCTATAGCGAGAAAAGAAAATCAACTGCCACTATATTCACCTCTCCTTTTGCTTTATCAAGCACCATAAGACCCCTTCCCTGAGTGTTTGAAAGGAAGACTCAAGTCCATCAACCTGCACGTCGATGTCCTTTGTACTTTTTCCTCCACTCAGAGTCTGAGAGCCCTAGACGAGTGACAGCCAAGGCGAAAAGAGTAGGCAAAGCAGCAATAACGAAAAAAAACTCCTGTCGCAGAAAAAAACAGAAAAAGGAGAAGAGAAACAACAAACGCCTTTGGAAAATGCGGAAAGTATCATGGGTGGGTGGGTTTTTGTTGCGGCTGTATGCGGGCATCGAAGGTCCTCTAGGCGAAGCCAAAGTATTCGCTTCCTTGCGTCATGGCAGTGTACATTTGATGTCTCAACTGCTCATAAGTCTCGTATTCGGGAAGATCAAGCTCTGCAATTCCTTGTTAGCATTCGTCCTTTACTCATCTCTTGAACTTGGGCAGAACTTACGGTTGAAGCAAGTGTGACTGCTAGGCAAACGATCCTTGCTGCCATAATCACGATGGATATTGAACTTGGTAAAGCCGTTCATGCCCTCAAGCTCTTTGAAGCCATTAAGAGGAACCTTGGAAGTTCCAGTGACGAATTGCAAGAGCTTGGCTTTCTCTTCCTTGTCGAAGCTGCGGACCGCGCGCCAGAACCACTGGATTTGGGGTGAGGTCTGCTGGTAGTTGTGGTATTCGGCGTTGTTCTTCCAGTCGTCGACGTCGATGTCGGGAAGACCTGAGATGAGAAGTTCGAGTTCTTGTTCGTTGAAGATTGAGACGAGCTCGGCGGGGATGATCTCGTGGAAGCCTATGAACTCGGGTTAGTAAGACATGACAGAAGATATAGTGGAGGTGACTTACCCTTCAGGAAATGCTCGAGCTGTTCCTCGACTGACTTGATCAGACGATGCTCAACAACCAGACGCACATACTCCTGCTTGTTCTCCTCGGTGACAGGAATGTCGCGACCATTCTCGATCAGATCAACAGTCTCAGTCTCTCCGAACCTATCAACCTCTACCGAGAAAGTCTCGAAAGTGACATCAGTAATGTCGTTCTCAAGAATCCAGCAGAGTGACTTGTAGTAGTCCAGATCCAGAGTCTCCATATCCTTGAGTGATACTGGCTTGCCAAGGATACGTCTGTAGACGGCTCTGCTGAAATGGCAGTCCAAGACACGGCCCTCATACATGGCCTTGCCAATGATGCGACCAACAAACTTGAAGAAGGTGAGATGCTCATCGTTGATGCCACTCATGGGGTTGGGATGGAAGGTTGTTCTGTCGGAAGCGACGGGGTTGAAGAGAGCATAGTCGGGGTTGAACATCTGTCTTGAGAGAGCTGCGAACCACTCTCTAGTCACACCACCAGCGTCAACACCCTCCTCGCCGTGGAAGCGAATGTTGAGCTTGCCGTATTTGATCTCGTTGGGAGTCTTGAAGTACAGGTTCTTGAAAGAGTCCAAGAAGATCTGTTCACGACGAATGTTGAGCTGAACCGAAGGATGAGCAATGCGCTCCTCAGCATTGCGAGTGTGCATTCTACGAGTGAAGTAGTTGCGCTTGTTGTCAAATTCGAGCACCTTGGAGTTCTTAGCTAGTACATCGAATGTGCCGTTGAGAAGCTTGGGGTTGTTGCGAACAAGATCATTGAGGATCTTGCGGTGCTCCTCGGTGAAGGAGAAGAAGAGCTTCTCAATGCGCGAGTCCGGTTGAGGAGTACCAATTGACAGCTCCTGCGAAGCAGCAAGGTTGGCCTCCTTCGAAGTTGTGTTCTTGCAGACAACCATGAACGACTCGATCAGGGGCTGAAGAATGGTAGCCACATTGTTCATGCTACCGCGTTCGCGAATAGCAGTCAGGCAGTCACTCAAGTTGGACCAGAGCTTGGCAAATGTCGAGGTCTCGTAAAGTGTTGACAGCAGATCCTGGCGAGCTTTTGAAGGCAAAGCATCAGCTGAGGTGGATGCTTGTCTGTCGTGAGATCCCGAGCGCTTGGGGTCAAAGAGGTAGTCGAGCGCGAGCAGAACACGCAACAGCTTGCTTTGATGAGAGCTTGCAGGGGAGAAGTTAGCCAAAGCAATGCCTTGAATGTCAGTACTAGTCTTGGCATTTTGAATCTGAGGAGCCAATTGTTGCAGATCAACAAGAACAGCATCGCCCAAGTCCTGAGCACGGTGTACCAACTCCTTGCCGAAAGTGTCCTTGGCACCAGGAATGGCTGACAGGTGGTTGATGATATCGAGAGTACTCTGGAAGGTCTTTGCGTTGCACTCGCGTGCAGCGATGATGTTGACGACCAAGCGGAGGTTCTCTTCCGGAACTTCAGGAGGAGTGAGATCCCTGTGTTTCTTCTTCTCTTCAGTCTTGGCGACAGGCTCTTGTGGTTTGTCGGCTTCAACAGGGGCCTCAGAAGCAACCGTAGTTTCGCCCTCAGTCATGGCCACGTCGGTAGATGCACTGGCAACTGTCTCAGTAGCCTTACCCTTCTCCTTCTCAGCATCTTTTGCCTTTCTGAGAAGAATCTTCAAAGGCTCGGTAACGCGAATGAGCAAGGAGGCCAAAGCTTCCATAACAGACGAGTTCTCGATGATTGACTTGCGGTCAAGAAGAGTGAGCAACGCGTTGAGAGGGTACTTGGCAGCCTTGCTCTCCTTGCCCTTGCCCTTCTTCAACGACTTGGCTCTCTGGCTGATGCTGGTCTCATGCTCAGAAAGGAAGAATGAACTGACTCGAGGGTTCTCGTTGGCCAGATGGGTAAGAGTTGAAAGACATTGCTGTACAATCATGAGAGGTGAGACGTCTGTACTAGGTGCTGTGAACTGCGAACCAGTCAGACTGCGCTTGAGAGGCTGTGGTGTCTTCTGTCCAGACATCTGCTTGGCGCGAAGGGTGAGGTGAGCAAAGCTCTTCTCCAAAGCATTGGCGTCGGAGCTTCCATCTTGGAGAATGGAAAGGAGAACGCTGATAACCTCGGCGCGGTTCTGGGTGTTCTTGCAAATGTCTGACAAGATTGCCTGCATTGTGGTACGTGCGCTGTCCTGCATGGCGACGAACATCAATCTCAGGAGGGTGGCCACGCCGGATTTATCGAGCATCTGGATGACAGGCCTGCGGACGCGCTGCCCCTCAGGCTCGGGAGCTTCCTGTTCATCCTGAAGGCGGTTGCTCTCGCGTCTGTCACGACCGCCACCACGATGACGTTCGATTCTGCCGATAAGGTTGCGAGCTTCGGCTTGGAACTCCGCAGGCATGTTGGCAAGTGTGGGAGCGTCAGCGTCCATAAGGACCTGCTGGCGAAGAGCCGGATTCAGGGTCGCGAAGAAGTCCGCCATATCCATATCACCAGCCTGGGGTAGAGCGTTGCCACTGGCGGCAGCTCTGCGGCGCTGCTCATCGCGTTCACGACGGCGACGGTCAGCTGCCTCGGAAGCAAGCAGCTCGGCTTGGATATCCGGTGGTAGTGCATCAAGGAACTCACGGTTGATCTCGCTGGATCTGCTAGGCTGCCCAGTGGTGGTGTCTTGAGTGCGTTCCTGAGAACGTTGCTCTTGGAATTGCTGCATGATGACTTCCTCACGCATGTCGTCGGGAAGTGCGTCCAGGTATTCCAGATCGATGCCGAGGTGAGTGATGTCGATCTCTCTACCACGAATGTTGGTCATGACTCTGGGTGCAGCTTCGGCGGCATCTTCTCCCGCAGGCTGTTCAACGCCTTCCATGCTCTCAGTACCTTCTGTGGTCTCACCACGCTCGGCGGCCTCGCGAGCACGAGCGGCAGCCTCTTCGGCCTCTTTGGCCTCACGTTCTTCACGCTCACGCTGCTCTTGAGCCTCGCGCTCAAGACGCTCTGCCTCTTCCTTCTGGCGCTGCTCCTCACGAGCCTTCTCTTCCGCAGCTCTGCGTTCGGCGTCAGCCTTGTCTTTCTGACGCTTAGCCTCCATGGCAGGAGGGACGAGAAGGCGCAGCAGGGAGTCGACAAGTTTCATCGCCCTCTCGAGGTGATGGTGACCGAACAGCAGGCGAGCCTCTTCTTGCCAGCGGAGAGTTGTAAGAGTGGGTGTGAAGGAAACTGCTGCACCGGGATCGGTAGAGGAAGCTCTTCCGTTTGATGGTGCATCACGACCAGTAAGGTTTCTGGTGATGCGCTGGAGAGCACGGAGATCAGGGAGTCCGAATCTGCTCGGGCTTCCTGTAATGTGGAAGACAGCAGGCCCCATAGCACCAGCACCACCAGCCAAAGCGACAGGCGGGAAGGTAAGACCACCGGAGCCGTCAACGACGCTGATTCTAGCTCCCGAAGGTCCAGTCATGTTCATAAGATCGTTGATAAAGGAGAGTCCATCTTGGCCACCGAGTCGAGGAGGGTGCTGGTGAAGCCAATGAGGCATTTCGGGACGAGTTGGAGCACCTGTAGTAGGCCTGCGGTCTGATCGCTGGAGAAGAGGGTTGGTACCATCTTGATCTCCACCACCTGCAGCGCCTCCACGATGCGAGCGAGGAAGTCCAAGAGGTGAGTCGTCCATAGTATAGAAGGGACCACCAGGACGGCGCCATCCATGATGTGTTGAAGGCATAGCGGCGGTCTCCCAGCCCCACTCCATCTCGTCGTTCTCGGGGTCGTCATGTTCGGGTTCGTAGCCGAGGACTTCTTCATCTTCATCCTCTTCGTTGTCTTCGTCATCTTCGGCCATCTCGTCCTCGAAGTATTGCTCGGGCCCGCCCATGTCCAGAGTCATGATAGGATCATCGCCTTCCAGCTGATCCATGACATCTGAGCGGTCGTCTTCAAGGACGACAGCACCGCCGAATGGACCGCCATGGCCAGGCACGAGAGCGTCCACGGGAAGAGCGCCATGGTAAGGATCGTCACCATCATCATCGTCGTCGTCCCAGTCTTCCTCATCGTCGTCTTCGTCGTCGTCATCATCATCTTCTTCCATACTAGCATTCTCATCGTCGCCAGTAATTTCGTCGATGATTTCAATGTCATCACCTTCATCTGAGTCGGCTTCGTCCATGTCGGAGTCGTCGTCATCATCGCCGCTCTCGTCTTCGTCCATGTCAACTTCAACGTCGATGTCGCCAGGAAGGCCTTCGATGGGTCCCATGCCGTCGATGTCATCATCTTCATCACTGACTACATCTCCTTCATGCATACCAGGACCGCCTTCCTCGTACTCGTCGTAGTCCATCTCCTCGCCGTACTCGTCGCCCTCGTAGTACTCTTCGGCTTCGTCGGAGCCGGACTCATCCTCATCGTCGTCGCTGTTTGCGGTTTCGAACATGCCGAGGGTAGAGTTGCGGAACAAGTCAGGAGTCTCTTCGCGTTCATTGTCATCATCAGAAACGGAAGTGGCGGAAGAGATCTCGTCGTCTTCAGTAGTGCCAGGCGCAGAGACGTCTCCAGAGATACTCAGAGTAACACCGATATCGGTCAGCAACTTGAGAGGCCGAAGAATGTACTTGACTGCACGCTTTGCGCCAGGGAAGTTGAGGTCAAGTTCGGCGATAGAGGATGTCAATGCGGTGATGAAGTTCTTCTCGTACATGAAGCGACCGAGTTGCTTCTGAGAAACGGTGACCATCTCGAGCATGGAGTGGTTGATACCAGATTGTTGCTTTCCAGTCAACATGCGGTAGAAGAGGTTGCCCAGGCTGAGAAGACGTGCGTACTTCTGATCGAGAGGCTCTGAAGAGGCCATTGCATCCTTGTAGGCCTTGAGAGCATGTTCCAAGACGAACTTGCGAACATAAGCAAGGTCAGACTCTTCCTCGCTGGTCGAGATCTTCAAACCGATCATGCGCTCACTTGTCTTCGAGCAGAGAGAAACAATGGTGTTGATAGCCCAATTGGCAGTGGCGGCCTGCTTCCTTGATGGAATGTCTTCAGGGTGATTCAAAGACCCAATCGGAATCAAGCTGGTAAGGAAGTAGTTTAGAAGACCAGAGCGAGGTTTGGATGGTGTTGATGCTTGGTGCTCGGCCTTGCGCGAGAAGTTGATGAACTCAACCTTGGTTCTGTTATACGAGCCGAGGAGTTCAACCAGACAGTGCAAGATGAAACAGCGATAGGCAAAAATCGGGTGCTGGTCAGCCTTGAACACTGGCTTGTTGTCAGACTGATTGGCCGCAGAGTCTATCGAAGGAGTTTCGGCCACTGGAGTAGAAGTTGGATCTGACATTTCTACATCTGAAGGGGTGGCAGCCGCCGGAGCATCCGGAGAAGTAGGTTTGGGAGGTTGCACTTCCTTATCTTCGACATCTTTGTAAGAAGAGAGCTCCTTGAGCAAGAACTGAATGACACCATCGGGATTCTCAATTGATGGAGGCTTGAGGTCACCGGTCTTGGTGCGTTCAATAGTTGGTCGTTCAGGAGCGGCGCTGGCGTCGCCCTCAAGAGACTCTTCTGTCTTCCTAGTCTCTTCAGGCTTGTCAATCTTCTTCAACATGAGCGGCTGTGCACCGCCAGGACGGTTTTGATCCCATCTTGAGAGTTGCACCTTCTCGTTGGTGACTTGGACGAAGATTTCGGGACTGCGCAACGCGAGATGGTACAAAGTTCTGGTGTACAATGTCGTGTCGTAGCCTCTGGCCGTTCCCTTGCTCTCGAACGTAGATTGAATCTCAGTACGCATGATCTGTCGGATAGTCTCATCATCTTCGATAATGTGACGAAGAAGAATGAGGAATGTGCTCTGAAGACGTTCACCTGCAACGCCTGCAAGCTGCTTCATCATGACAAAGAGTCTCGAGATCGACAGCTTCTCGCCAAGCTTCTTTGCAAGAGCGCGACGACGAGTCAAGATCACGAGCGTACGGGTGACAGATAGTGCAAGAGTTTCATCCTTACCAATCTTGGGCAGTATCTCGACTAGAGCATCGAAGACTGTGATTTTCTCCTCGTCAGGAACGATCGGAGGCTTGAGCTCGGCAATATCTTGCTCCTTGTAGGGATCTTCAAATGGTGGCATTGTCCATTGAATTTGCTGGGGCTTCTCATCCTCAGCTAGAACGCGTTCAATGATGAGAAGCATATTGCTGACCCAAGGCGAGGTCTCCTCCAGCTTTTGACCTTGGAACATCCTGATGAAACCGCCAAAGTATTCGAAGTTTTCTGTCAAGGTATCGAGAGAGGCATTGAAGAAATCGCGGTCCTGCATAACAAGTGCGAGCAGATGAGCATATGATGCAATCTTCTTGCCGTCCAGCGGAGTACCCTCCTCGGGTCTGAGAGACATGAGAGAGTTGACCAAAGTCTCGCCAATCTCCACCTTCGATGACTGATCTTGACCGGCCTTCGTGACTGCAGCTGTGATGAGGTCTGCAAGCTCGAAAGTAACGTCTGTGTGGGTGTTGAGAACATCGAGACACCTATCGATAAGTCCATCTCTGACGTCCTTGCGCTTGTCGTCGAGATCATCAACGGTAACGAAGCTCTCTTCAGTAACAACATCAGCGGGTCTCTGAGCCTCATCTGATGGTCGTCTGTGAACTGGAAGAGCACGCATTAGTTCTTCTCCGCCGCCAAGAGCGTTTGAAAGAACTTCTGCAAGGCCACCGTTGAGCATATCTGGGGGTAACACCAAGCGACGATTACCACTACCGAGAAGAAGGTCGGCTTCTGAGCGATCGCCATCGGTGTCTTGTGTGCTTGATCCAGCTTCGTCCGCGTCCTGCATCTCGACCGAGGGTACACTGCCAGATGCAGCCGGCTGTTCGGTGGTGTCGTTGGAAGCTTCCTGAGCAGGAGGCTCGACCTCATCATGTGACGGAAGAGGGAAAAGAGGAATGTGACTGTCGGGGTTGTCTCTTCGCAATACGTAATACTCCTTGGCAGCTGCCACGTTGTTATTACAACGGTACAGTGCTTCGATGCATAGTTCTTCGTCTTCGTGACCTTCCGCCTGCAAAGCGTCCTTGGAGTCTGAGCGAACCTTGAATTTGCGAGGTTCGGCTGCAACACGACGCTTCAAGTTCTCGCTGCGTTTGACAGCGTTAGACTCGCCTTCACCTTCAAGAATAAGTTTGAGCAAGTCGACAATGGACTTGACGCTGTGCGCAGGAAGAGCCTCCATCACGGATGATTTCCACATCTGACTAATTTGTGGAAGGATAGCATTACGAAGCTCCACCACGAATTGAGCACCCAAGAAGAAGTCGCTCTTTTGACGCTCTCGGACAGCCATAACGTTAGTCTGCTGGGCGTCGGTGATGTTCTTGGAGTGACTGATCTTGTTGTAGAAGTCGAGTATCTTATCGATACCAGCGAGTGCCAAAACATGGATATGCTTGGATGAAGAGACTTGTTCGGAAGTGGAAGTGTCTTGGGAAGCTTCCTTGTGTTGTTCAACAAGCTTGCCGAATTGCTGCAGGCGCTTCTCCAACTCTTTGAAACCACCCTTTTGATAAAACGCAAGTAGCACCAGGGAGAAGACCTCACGATGAGTACCGCCAGTACGGGTAGTCTTTCGCTCGTCAACCAAAGTCTGTAGCGTCGAAGTGAGAACGACAATGTCGTAGGAGACACTGTCAACCTCCGAAATTGTTGATGGCCGGGCTGTTGAGATGTGGCTTGTCAAAGCGCGTGCCAAGTGATCCGCTATCTTGGTTGCATTCTGCCTCTGGTAGTCGCTGAGGATGGTGCGCGAAGAGTGTTTCCACAGCAATGATTTACCAATCGCCTGGAAGAAAGAGAGAATGCCGGTAGACACTTGGTTGGTGAGCGACGCGAGAATCTGGCAGTTCTTGAATTGGGCACTGTTACGAGCCTCGGTCTTCTTAGCCTCGCCATCCTGCTGTCCTTGTGATGCGGCTCCAGCCTCGGCATTGGTGGACTGAGAATTGCTCGAGGCAGATAAACCCATGACGTTGTCGGCCTCGCTATGGTCGAAGCTCATGCCAGTGATGTTGATTTGCTTCTTCCAGTCTTCGGGCATATTGTGGCGCATTGCGATGGCCTCCCAGACACACGAAGAGTACAGTTGACCCAGATCGTCAATCAAGTCAGTGTAGATGTCTGTGAGGTTAACCTGACCGAAGAAGTGATGGGGCACAGTACGACCAGCGTGGTAAACGTGCATGGAGAAGACCTGAGAGAAAACATGGCAGAGGAATTGGGCTTGCACCATGGCCTTGGCTGTGTATGTTGCGTTCGAGACCACGAGGTTGTTGTGAGAGCTCTGGTCTGCTGTCGATTCTGTCAGATCACTAAAGTAAGGCTTGCCAGGCTGGTGCTCTGCCAATGGCCTGAGCTGGAAGTAGGCTAGTTGTATGCGTCGAGCAAGAGATGGGAGAATCAAATGAGCTTTGTGTTCGACCAACTGCTGGAGCACTCGAATGAGTTCCTGCTGAGCAAGCGTCTCATGGAAATTGTACGGGTTGCAAGCAGCAGTGGCCATATCAAGCAAAATTTCAGCACCTGCAGCCTCACAGAAGGCCGTGGCCATGCTATGGTTACTCAAGAAGCCACCAAGGAACCTGCAGACCATAGCGATGAAGTCCGAGCTAGACTGACCACCACCACGGCCTTTGACGAGGGCATCGTTCTCAAGCTCGGATTCTGTGACCGGTGGCGAAGACTCAGCGCGAGCAGAGAAGTTGGTATCATCAGCATCATAAGCGTTCTCGACCTGTGCGTCAGTCATACCGCTCAGAGCGTCACGCCCTCCGGCTACTTGCAAGCCCTGATCATCCTGAAGCCACAGTTTGGCACCAACACCCTTGGTCTCGGCGCGACGTTGACAGATGGTCATGACTCTACGAACCATGCCGACGACCGCATTGGAAGTTCTCTCCTTCAGCTGTGGGTGATGGCGGACAAGTTCGTCAAAGGCAGTGCCGATGTACTGAGGGACCTCGGCATCTTCTTCCATAGCCTTGATATGCTCAGGGCTCTCGAAAATCTCCAGGAACTTCTCCAAAGCTTGCGATGCCTGAAACATACGCATACCATTCTCGTTGAGACAGATAGCACCGAAAGCTGTAGGAATTTCGCGCATGGTTTCTCCAACAGGAAGAATGCCCAATGCCTTGGGTGTGTCAACGGAAGAAACTTTCATATTCGAGTCTTCCGTAGCGGTCGGCATCTCGGTAGTGTCTACGTCAGGTTTATTCTCAGAGGTGTCTTCGTCATCCTTATCTGCATTCTCGACGACCACGTCAGAGACCGTGATCGGCTGCTGAGTCACAGCTTCGAGGAAACCCTTGCTCAATCCTGCTTCAGCGATGACTTGGTAGCTGGTAGGTTCGTTGTGGATGAAGCTGCTGAGGATGTTCATGGCTCCGCTCCAGACGTTTGAACCAAAGACGGGCGCATTGTCGAAGATGGTGCGAAGTGCTCCAAGAAGTTGTGGGGAGTCAACAAAGTTGCGTAGCAAGCGATCGTCCGTACCGACATTGTGATGATACATATGGGCGACGAATTTGAGAAGCTGACGCAGGGTCTGCTGAGAGTTGAAGGGGATCTGGAAGTCAGTGATCTTGGTTTTGTACTCAATGGGCAAGCCTTCTTGTTTATGAGCGGCCTCAAGCGAGCGTTGAACTTCGAAGGCAGTGAGATCGGCAAGTACATCCAGACCTTTGGCGTTAACAATGGCCTGGAACGCATCTCGCACTCCGTTGTGGATGAAGTTATCGAAGAAGCCAAGAGCGATAGGGAAGTAGATCTCGGCTTGCGTCGTGCGAAGCTTGAGGATATCGACCAAGATGCCTACGAAGCCAGCCGCCACGAGAACGTCCGCGTTCCGTTGCGGGTGCGGTGCAGCTGGGGTGAGGGTCATGACCAGTTCAAAGACATCCTTGCACCATTCGTGGTCTTGGCCATTGGCTTCTTCATCACCGAGAGTGGCAAGAATCTTTCTGAGAACATAGAAGAGGACACCATGGCTGACAGTGATGTTGAGAGCATTGGCAATTTCGCTGGTCTTGGATTTGCACTTGGCCAAAGCCTCCAGAGCTTGAATAACAATCACCATCATCTCACGAGAGATCTCTTCCTGACCAGAACTGGGAGGCTGGAGCATGTCTGTAAGTTGCTGAGCCAGTTGAGTTCGGCGAGGCTCCTCAGAATCAGGCTGACCAATACGCTGATGAAATGTTGTCTCGCCATAGACATAGGACAGGTTGGAAATGGCCAGAATCCTGACGGCAACCAGATCGTGAACAGCTTCTCTTGAAGTCTGGAACGCAGAAGCCACACGGACCCTCTGAAGCAGGTCGAACTGGTTGTCCTCGGGCACCTTTGTCACGTTCTCCTCCATGATTTTCCAGGCCTCCTTGGAACCAATTTGAGCGGAAGAAAGCTCAAAAGTCTTGGGACCTGTCGAAGAATTCTCTGGCTGCTGGGCACGTACTGGCGTCTCGGGGGCGTCGGTGTTGTTGATCACGCGTTCACTGCGTGCTGAGCCGGGGCCTAGGTTCGAAGTGCGACGCACAGGGGTGGGTGTGACGGGAGGCATTGGCGAGCCAGGTGTGTTGGGGGCGCGAGCCTCGATAGATGATGCAGGTGCAGATGCATCAGTCTTGTCGTAGTAGGTCAAGCGTACGCTAGAAAGCTCCTCCTTGTACGATGATGGAACATCCTTAGCCTTGACCAAAGACTCAATATCGGCTGTGTTGACGCCAGGCTTGAGGGCATCCTCCTTCTCCTTGTTCTTGGACGGGGTCTGTCCAAAGATGGGGGCAGCCACGGGCTTCTTGGGAAAGGGGACGGCAAGTTTCTGGATACGGTCCAGGTTGATACTGTAGTGGCCAGCCAGCAAAGCATTGAGCGAATGTGGCGAGGCAACGCGCATTCGCGAAGTGTGATATCTCTGAGCCAGGCGCAAACTGACACGAAGGGTAATCTTGAGTAGGCTGAGGGAGACAGTGTTGAGTAGGTGGTTGAGATGTGCGCTGCTAGCATACAGACTGCGGTTGCCACAACGCTCAAGCAGGATACGAGTAAAGTTGAGGACACTCTCCACGAGCTCGCGATCTCCATCAGCTGAATATCCGCATGCCTCGAGCTCTTGCACCGACACTTCGGTCACCGAACCATCCTCAGCGTCGCCCTTCTGCAATAGCCGTAGCTCGAATGGTTGCGTTTGTGGGCCTTTGTCCAGAGCATACACGGTTGTGAAACCCTCAAGAATGCGATCGAAGCGATTTAATGGGGCGATCCAGTGGTACAGGTCGCCTCTGGGGAACGGCCAGTTGTGTGGAAAGGAAGCAATGTGCTCGGGCACCTTGTGCAGAGGTAGCTCGACCAAAGTCTTGATAAAGTTGGTGATGTAGGGAGACTATGGCAAAGGTTAGTCTGACGAAGTATGCGAATGTGAATGGGTAGACTCACGATGGTCGCCTCATGACGCTCGGTAGCGGTCTTCTTGATCCTCCCCATGGCGTGCCGGGACGCGAGCGCAAGTCTTGCGCTTCACCGGGTTATGTGCTGTGTCTGGCTATGGTTGCGACTGATCCGATGGTTGTAGAAGGTTGCTGCGGCGGCAAAAGACTGCAAGAAGCGAAGGTTTGCGGGTGTCGCGGGTGTGGATGGGATGAGTAGTGCAAACAGATGCGCGGGCAGCTGCAGATGGTAGGGCGTGAAAGAGAAACGTCACGATGGCTACAATTTGCTCGGTGAGATGCGGGTCGACTAGAATCTCGCTGGTCGAAGCGTTGCGGAGTATATTGAAGATGGAGTTGGGCGGAAGACTGGGCAAGTAAGTGACAGCAAATCTTTCCGCGAGCGCAGCGCTTCAAAGATCTTGTCGTGTTGCAAGGTTCACAATGTGCGCGAGTGAAACTTCTAGAGATCCGAGAATGCCTTCCTCGTTCGTCTGGATAGCTCCTACTTGATACCGTTCGGCAATAGCCGTTTGCTTTCCCGGCCGCTGTCATGAACTCACGGACCAACCACGTCAGACTTTTAATCTATTCCCACTCGCACTGGGGATACTTGGAGATTATTCTGGATATCACAGCACTACGACCATCTACTATGCTCTCGACTGACTGGCTATGACTCTTCAGAGTTGGATGCGTCTGTCGGCTCAGCAAAGCATGGTCAGAGTATTCCTATGCACGATAAAGCTGATCAAGGTGGACCCTGAAGCCTTCTGATAATGCACTCAACTGCACTTCGACCAGGTGAGACATGGAAGCTGTCAATTGCTTTCGCTCTACGTGTACAATGAATGTTTGGGCATCAGACATTTGTGCGTTATCTGTCCTGTGTCCAAGCTGTGCTGTCTTTCCTGAAGAAGGAAGAGCCGGTACCTGCATTCACCTCCATCTCCGCAACACCGGTACTGCCCGCATGCAAGAATATCTATTTGGTCGGTTTTCCATTCACCTCAATATCGACCGTCCCTTGACCAGGACCAGGATCTTCATGCTGAGCTTTCGATCCCTTACCACGCCAGGTGCTCACTGCAGGGATCTTGGCCGAGTATCTCTCTTCTTGTGTACCGTATGCTCTGGGTGAGAGCTTGATCAGAGTGTGTAGAGGAACCTCCATCCAGGGGCTCTTCGCCTGGTCGACGCCCATGAAGTAGGCGTAGATGCATCTCAACACTGCCTGATGTGTTACAATCAGGATGTTCTCGCTGCGCTCCAGCTCCATGATGATGGGCTCGAGACGAATGACCACATCCCTGTAACTCTCACCACCCAAGTAGCGGTAGTTGTATTTGTCATCGTCGCGAGCCTTGAAGTCTGCTGGGTATCGTTCCTCGATCTCTGCATACGTCAAGCTGTCGCAAACACCAGAGTCCAGTTCGTCCAGAGCCTTCCACGAAAGCTTCTCGAATGGTAGGTATTTTGAGGTCTGAATTGTTCTCTTCAGTGTCGAAGTCCAGACTGTGAGTTCGAGGTCACCAGCAGATTGCTTTACAATTTCTGGCAGCTTCTTGGCGTACATCTGACCTCTTTCGCTGATGTTTGCGTCACCGCCGATCTTGCCTGACAGATTGTACTCGGACTCTCCGTGCTGTGAAAATTAGCAGTGTTCCTTGGGGGTATGATGTTCATGGCAGGGAGCTTACTCGCGACAGCCAGATAGAACGTGGTTTGATGTGCAGGTTCATCAGGTAGTAAACTACTCTGGACTGCAGATAGTCCTGGATCTTGTTGATGATGACTTGATGTCCAACATCAATCAGCTTACAATACGTAAGATCGGCCTCATCCTCATCCAATGTCTCGTACACCTTCTCGTAGTTCCTGATTCTCTTTCTGAAATCCTGTGCAGCAACTTCGGGGTCTTGTCCTAGGTAATCAGGTGATGTGGTCTTGACCTCCTTGATGTTGGACATGACGAGCTCTTCGTCATCACACTTTGACTCGACAAACATGGTCTGTACATTGGCAGCGTCGCATCGATCTTGGATCCAACGTCTTCGTGCTTTCGTCGAGTTGGTAGCATCGAGGATGGCAACAAGGCCCTCGCCGTTGTCGAACCACTTAATCATATCGGTCACAGCAGCCTCAGCAGCAGCTTTGCGCATTCTTTCTCCCTCTGCATTGCTTGTATCGAAGAACTCGGCGGAAGGGTTGGGAGTGGTGGTACGGCGATATTGGCCCACGTTAAAGGTCTTTGCGTCTACCGAGAGCCAGCGAAGGTAGCGAACAACTGCAAGCATGTCAGTACGATTCAAAGAGCAAGAGCTGGACGATATGACCTTTCTGAGCTATCAGACTCTTTCCTCTGGCTGGCAGACCAACCATAACAACACAGATCCTGGTTTCCGGGGCCTGGATGCCGCTGCCGTTAGTCTTCCTGTTTGGACGCATCATCTGGCCGTCGGGCACTTTGCGCATCTCAGGTTTATACTGCTGGCTCGTTTCCGAGGGGGGTTGATCCAGAGCCATAGTTGTTGTTATGAGAGAGGGTATTGATAGAAAAGTAAATAGGAAGGAGAGTCCAGTGGTTAATGGTTTGCCGTGACGATGTTCCGAGCCAGCGGCTTGTAGCGGCTTGAGAAGAAGCAAGTAGAGTTTTTGCGACTCGATGAAAAGAGGGCAAGAATGGAAGAACAAAGGTACAGTAAGCTTGACGAGGAAGCCCTGAAGTTTTGCAGCTGCTACGTGACTACCGCTGAGTTGGTAGTTTCCGTTGTAGATGGAGATGGCGGGGTTATCTTTCAAGTCCCTCCCCGCGCCCGATTTGGTCCGCAGCTTCAATTGATGTGCAACCGGGTAATTCTTCGAGACACAGCGACGTCTTCGAGTGTGGCGTAAGATGTGTTGCGTTTGGATGTGTGACTTCTCGAACAGAACGGACACTGTACCGAGGATGGACAAGGGTCAGGAGACGAGAGATTAAGGCCGTCATTTGGGTACGAGTGCATGACGCCGATACGGCCAACCTCGGGTCTTCTCGGCGACATTTCGACCGCGCGGTTGCTCTCTTCCTTACCTCCTTTTTATCCAGCTTCTCCAGAGTCCAGAGTCCAGAGTTTGCCACAGTACGGTACTGGAGAGCGGCATGTCCAGATGCCCAACGCAAAGAGAGATGACTTACTGTAAACACATTGTCTGACAGAGTGCTTGCACGAGGCCGAGTGCCTGCCATAACCCCCTTCATCCTCCTGCTTGCCGTCTCTGAAATTATTGCTGCCTAAGAAGTAGGTACTGATAGAATGAAAGTCGGCACTCTCTCATGGTATCGATGCCAGCAGATATAAGCTTGAGCACGAGGCCTTTATATTCTCAACAAAGAGCTCATCATCGTGACATTCCCAGCGATAAGGGCTGATAAGGGGGGTTGAGCAAGCGTGGGACGGCACAAGATTCGTACCACGGTCGACCTTTATGGTACACCCTTGAGGAAACTTCAACGCGCTCAAGACTATGCCTGGACTTTGGACGCGAACATGATCCACTGATCAAGCATATGGTCCTGTTGTTCTCAACGAATCCCAAGGCTTGCGATTTGGGCGATTAAGGTTACCCTCTCGACTACCATCGTGTTCGCCGGCATCAGAAACATGTGTACTACTCATTGGTGGTCTCGATCCGGATGTATATAAGACGCGCCATTCTGCTCGGCCGCCGGCTATCTTTCTCAGACGACAACAACAATATTTTGTCTAGACTTCATCATGTCAGAGAAGTGCTTCGATTCTCGACAACTTGACAAGATGGGAAGTGACAATTGAACCGATGAACGAGGAAAGCACGAGTGGTCGACACTGCCTCGCCCAACTTCTGAATATCTGACACTCCCCCAAAGCTGAACATTCATCCTACTTCCTAAGCCGCCATCGATACAAAGCATCTCTCCAGTCAGCAGAGTACACGCCATTGATACTTGCCAGCAGGGTAAAACACTAGCATATCGCTACCAACGCATTCAAGATGGGCGGCAACAACTCCAGACCGAAGCCAGCAGCTCCCGCAGACAATGGAAGATTGCAACGAGAACTTGTTCAGCCAGGTACACAACCGGTCGCCAAACCACAGCATATGACTACATCTGGCATACCCGTAGTTCCCAGAACCCAGCCAACTCCCGTTGTCGCTCCAGATCCCGTGCTTCAAGAATTCAGGGCGGCCTACGTTGAGCCGAATCAGCACGGAAGTGAGATGGGAAGCATGTAAGTCATGGATGCTTCGCTCTGATCGGTACGAAAGGCCAGCTTTCTTTCCGAAGTTTTCATCACTGCGCTTGCTCGCTGAATAAGTATCTGCCCGTTGGCAGACCCTAGCCTGCTACTTGATCCCGTTTTCTCCCACATACATGTTAGAAGAGATGCTGATCACCACCAGAGCGTCTCAAGTAGTTCCATTGCCAAGACATCCTACCTGGTTCATGCGAATTGTCGAAAACCATCACTCAAGGAGTCTCATCGAGCAACTCGTCTTGGAGACCAACCCGCGATGCAGGTTGAACCGCTTACAGCGTCTGCGCAAGATCTATACAAACCCCATCGTGCGACTGTCCGCAGCAAATCGACAACGCATCAAAGTCATTGATGCCCAGATCGAGGAACTCAAATTCTTGATGACGAACGACGATGGCAAACCCTTTGCACGGTATCGTACCGAGGCCGGTGAAGATCCCTCACCACCATCCACTCAGCTCAGCGGGAGTTTGGAAGAGCAGCGCCCTGTACCCATGATCGCCCAGCTCGCAGACCAACAAGCGTCTGAATCCTCGGATCCTGGCTCTGGCATCCGGATGATACCATACAACAGGTCCATGAAGCGATACATGCAGGAGAGTCCTCGTTTACCTCCCCGTCATGCCAGCAGCTCTTCCCACATACGGACCGGCAGTATCAGGCTGCCAAGTGTCGCTGCCGAAGGTCAAGATTGGGCAGAACCACGGAATCACCTACGGCACAGCAACGATTTGTGGCGTGTATCGGAAGAGACCTCCACAGCTATGGTCAGACCATCAAGGCACAGGACTTCGGGACACAACCAATCTGCGCCACCCCCATCTGTTGGACCTGCAGTCGTTCTCGAACGCGACCCTTACAACAAAAGCCTGTTGGTACCCACAGAGTCGGCACGGAAATCAACTTCACGCTCGAAAACTTCAAAGGACCCTTCCAGACGCTCCAAAACTACTGGAAGGGTATCACACAAGACGGCCAGTAGTTATTCCGAGCAGATTGACGTCAGACCAGAAAGCAGGGATCCGGGTATGGTCTACGTTGCTGGGATGGGCAGGATTTGAAGAAGCTTTTGACCTTTGCATTGTTGCCGTCAAGCCAGATATTAAGTCTTCTATACAACTAGTCTTATTTCTTCGGACTTTCCTGAGTTACTGCACTTATGAAGCTGTCAGACTGCCATATTCTCAGCAAGGACGACTAACATTGAGTATTCCGCATTCGATTGCTGCATCTGTATATGATCGTACATTCTCACGTCTAAGACCAGTTACCGTGTGTTCCAATCATCGATTCTAGCCACATCACAAACAGTTGGAGAGGCAGAAATCGTATAAGTATGTCTGTCTGGCTAGCTAGCCGACCGTGTTGTCTGACCGTCATATCTGGGTAGCATGAATCAGATGCTCAGCTCCTCATCTCAAGCCCGAGTATGGCAAAGATTATTTTCTCCTTCCCTTGCTTCATTTCTGCGTCTTCCTCCCCTCCCAGAGTCTTCCTCTCTGTTTTCTCTTCTTCCTTCTCTCCTCTCATGTTCCTCTTATACTTTTTTTTCTCCTCCTTGCTCTCTCTCCCGCTGCAGTTGCATTTACATTCAGGCCTTCTTCCTAGCCATCCTGCTCAAAAACTTCCACAACTCACCTCCTTTCCTCAAAACTTCCACATCGGCCCTGAGTCCCTGTGGATACTCTGCAGTAACTTCATCTGTCATGGTATCCAGCAAAGCACTTAGATTGCCCTCGTGCTCTCCATATACTTTTCCAGAGCAGGTATCGCAGAAGTTTGCCCCGCAGGAGGTCTCGCAGGTGTAGGTCGATGGTGCTGCGCAGATTGTGCACGAGATCTGTGGCGATCGGGCTTCAGTTGGAGATGAGGAATCCGAGGGAGGTGAGGAAGTTGAGGCGGGTTGAGATGGAGAGGCAATGATGGGACTGATATCGTGAGTGCTGCACATCAAAATCTTCATATACCTCGTCGTGCAACTTAGACACAACTGCGTCTGCTCTGGTTTCTTTGCCTTTGCAGAGACCACTGCACTCCCAGCTTCATTTTCATCAGGAATTTCCTGACTACCTTGTCCAAAGTCGTAAATTTTGATCTTGCGAGGTGTGGGTGAACAACCTTTGGTTGCGTAGGAGGAACTCTTGCAGATGGAGCTAGAAGCAGCGGGGCAGTTGAATGTAATGGGATAGCACAGTCTTGTAGTGTGCGGTTTTGCGAGCCGCTGCAGCATTTGGACGATTGTTTGATCTGGTGTCGTGGTTGAGGAGGGCTTTTTAGTAGCTGGCTTTCTGGTAGATGCCTTTAGGACGGGTGTGGAGGCTTGTTCGTCAATTCGGACGTCTTCTTCGTCGCTCTGAGTTGCACGGATAATGGCGGTGCCATTGTTATTCTTACTCTTCTTGCTGGCTTTGGAGGACTTTGTCTTTGTCTTCTTGCGCTTCTTGTTCTTCTTGGTACGTGACTCGTCTGATGAGGATGACTCTTCTCCGAATGACATCTTGTCCCTGATCAGAGTGTCGGTGTGGTTGAAGGGTATTGTTTTGAATCTGCCGTTTGGGTCAGTGGGACCAGTAGGCAAGCCGCCGCTCATGACACGATCTTCCTCTCCGTCATTGTTGCTCTCTTCGTCTTCGTCGAGGTCTTCAATGGCCACTTTCTGTGCTGATGGGTAGTATTTCTGCTCATCGGTGTAGGTTCCCGATGGGTCGTTATCGTAGACGAGATTGTTGATGTAGACGCAATGTTCCTTTCTTGGTTCCTTGCGTAGGTTGAAAGCTATGATCACACGATGTCCGCAATGTGGTTGTTCGCAGTTGCAAGGCGGCTGTTCTCCAGGCAACTCTGGGACGATATGACCAGGATTTCTTTCAAGACTGGCATAAGCTTCGGGAGTCTCCTGAATATCAGCGGCTACATTGTAAGGATCATCCAGATTGAGCCCAAGTATACTTTGGACTTCCGACTCGTAACTCTTGTGTGTCGCATGCGAGTTGTTCGAAGTAGTATGCGAGTAAGCCGGAGACGTAGGAATCCAGGTGTAGTTTGGTGACGTGGGATCGTGCGATGGCTCCACATCAGGCTTCGGGTCTTGATCAGAACTTGTTGGTTGTTCGAGAACATCCTCCTGCTCAGCTCCTGCCTCTGCCCCAAGCTCGGCATCTTGTTCGGTGTTGCTGTTCGTAAAGTGAAACGAATTTATGTCAAGCCCGGAGTCTTCTGGGAAGACATTGTTTCCCGAAGTCACTTCTTCTGGGAAGAGCTCCTCGAAACCTTTGAGTGTCTCAGTCTGTACAAATGTCCGGCCCTCTGAGATCTTGGGAGTATCTGTATGTAACGGGATCTGTGGACCTGCTGGACCGCCAAACAGGGATCCCTTAGGCTTAGTTTGGTCCTCTCCAGACGAATCATATGCAGCGGTAAGTCTTCTTATTTCTGCACATGTATCATCAGAATTTCCGGCCTCTGAGTTTGACTCTGTAGCTCGGGAAGGATCGTTATCCGGGCTGACGACTTCGGACGCGATTTTGTCAAGGGCAAGTCTATATTGTTCTTGCGTGTTCTCTACAGCGAGTGTGCTGGGCTTGGAACTCTCCGGGCAGCTGTTCGTTCTTTCACCGACAAGTAGGTTAACAGTGCTCGAATCCTTCTGCTCAGAAGCCACGGCCTTGGTAAGTTTGAGATCTGGAGCTGCGGTATCATCGGTCGTAGATTCAGTGTCGATAGCCTCAGAAACCTCGCGTCTGATGATGACAGGATTGTGTGCCTCAATGGTTATGACCTCTTCGGCATGCGGAGCATCATTGATGGCTTTGACGGACGTATCCTTTTTAGCAGCTTCGTGGACCGTCACATCTGATCTAGTAGTGGCATCTTCAACTGACGCTGGAGTTGTGTAGTTGTCGTCTGGACCTTCCGCCTGAGATAAAGAGGCTGGGGCGACCTCTTCAACAACCTCGGGATTTGCCTCTGCAGCCGTGACAGTCTTGTCTGTGCCGATATCCATTTGCACCTCGACAGATGCTGTTTCGGCTTCAGCTACAGCCCCGAAAGGGATTTGGGCGTTGGTCTCGAGGGCAGTCGTATGTGTATGGATGCTGAGTTGCATTGGTATGGAGTCCATTCCAGCCGTGTCAAGAGTAGGGGATGCGGCGGTGTTTGAGATGTCGTGTGCAAGGTTCTTGGGGTCTTCGTCCAGATAGATTTCGGTGGGTGTTGGGTCGCGTGGTGGCATGACCGAAACTTGGTGAGTTGCCATCGGGTCAAGTATCATGCTATCATCCATACCGGACCTTTCAAGTAGTGTCAGTCAGGAGGAAGTAGTGAAGTGAAGTAGATGACTTACTGAGCTTTAGAAGTTGTTGGGTGGTGGAGTTCGTCCTTCAAGCGTGGCAAAGGCGGTTCCCCGGGACGGAACCCTTGCTGTGAAGTTATGTATCAAGGAAGCAGATATCAGATATGATGAAGTAGATGGTGTGAAATTGAATTAGGTGGTGAGTCAGATTGAAGAGTCTTTTACCATGGGCCGGCGGTGTATCGCTACTGTTTCGTGCTAGTGGAAAGGAATTTCAAGACTCGACTTCGTGGTCACGATGCGCCCCGAGCAGGGATCGATGACGGTGAACAGTCGTTGTTGCGACTACCAATATCAAGTGGGTTGAAGACTGTAGAACGTGCGAAGATGCAGATGTCCACTTTTGGTTGCAAATAGTAGAGACGAAAGTGGAGAAAAAGGATGAGGAAAGATAGAGGCTGTGGAGAAGAGCATGGATCTTTGGACGAGATGATGGATGGACAATGTAGTCGCAATTTGGAGAGGTAAAAATAGTTGGAGTTGAAGTGGTCGAGGATGATGAAAGTAGTTATAGGTGATAAGATGGGGGTGAAGGGGCTGGACAAGCTACACATGACTGAAGTGGTAGAGTTAATGAGAACAGTTGAGATTTCTACGTCGACGGTGCGTCTGTATTTCTGTAAAGAAAATGAAGAATTTGGTATTGAGGGACAACCATCGGCAAAAAGATCGACGCTTTCGATGGAGAGCCATGTCAAGAAGCAAACCCTGCAATCAGGGAGCAGTTGAGGGGACTGTCCAAGATTGAAGCAGTCAGAAAGAGGACTGAGACCAAACAAAGAGAAAGAGCGACCCATGTGGCCAAGTCATGCATAGACATTCCAGAATTGTGTGAAAGACATAGAAATGATCTTTAGCGGTACGAACATCACGCCGTTGGAACAGAAGTTGCGAGTAGCTTCGTGTTGATTACCTGGTAGTGAGGATACACCTGGTAGGTGAGAGGAAAACCAGATGGATGTTGCATCTTCGCTTTCTCAGGCAAGAGTCATGCTGATTGACTTTCTCCTTGTACGAGATTGGTCGAGACAGTTTGACTGACAGTATTGCACTTGCTCAGACCCACATCTACCTCTCTGCTTGTTCCAAGGCCGGATAATATGTTGGAAGTCGGAGGGGATGAAGTCGGTAGCGTAGAATTGCAAGCTCCGGCGATGTCGGGCACTGGCCACCACAGATGATTTCAACCCCCCAACGCTCCTTGTCGAAACATCATCTCTTCCCATCTCACACATGGCCAACAATTCGAGTGTGCTCAATGCGCCTCTTCCTGATTCGCCATGGCGAGTCGGTTGACAATGTGGCCGGAATACTGTGAGTCGTTGTATATGCTGGCGAAAGTTCGACCATTCTGACTGACCTTTGACAGTGCTGGTAGAAGAGACTCCGCCCTCACAAACCATGGAGCCGAACAAGCCCGTCGTCTGAGCAAATACCTGGCAGAGAATAGACCACACTTGACGCGTGTCTTCTCTTCGTCCTTGCAGCGCGCTTATACCACTGCTGGTATTGTGGCAGCCGAACAGTCGACCAAGGGCCTGACTGTCAGCACCGTGCCTTATCTGATCGAGCGCGACTTTGGCTACTACGAGGGCAAGACCAATCGCGTTCGAAAAGGTCCGGATCGCGAGAAACACAAGCAAGAGCCTGGCTTTGTCGACGTTGAGTCCAAGGATAGTCTCGCCTTTCGCGCAGACCTCTTCCTGGATCATCATCTCTGGCCTATGCTGAACGATGAGGCCGACTTTGGAGGCGCTGCTGAACACGTCGTCGCTATTGTATCACATGGTATCTTGCTGTCGAGTCTTTGGCGAAGACTGTTGCTCCGTCTAGGTCCCAAGAGCGTGACATTCTCACGTGAAGTCATCGCATCTCTCGGTGAAGTCGTGCTTTCGCATCTGGGCGGATGGAGTAATACCGGCTTTCTTGAACTGTCTATCCAGGATATGAATCCCCCGGACGACGAGCTCGAGATCACTTTACCTACCGTGGTTCCATCTCCACATGCCATAGCAGTCACTGCTGACTCGTCATACCGAAAGGAAATAATTGCCACTTCACCTCCTCCCCACCTGACGACTGAGTCTTCCGAGCCAGAGATGCCGACAAATGAGGATGTTGTTGGCGATGTAAGTGTCCCAAAGGATGCTATTGACCCTGAGTCAGGCGAGAAGGAAATTTCGAGAATCCTTGATGGCTACCGTACTACTATCCTTACCGTCGATGGCCAGCAGCATCTCCAGGGTTTGAAGCGGCAACGAGGTGGGATTGGTCGAGCTCAACATGATGACAAACAGCAAAGCATGACGGCCTTTTTCAAGAAAGCAAGAAAGGATTGATTTCCTTGTCTGCCTGTGTCTGGCGTCTCAGACTCAAGAGATGCTTGCGCATAGGCACTCACTAGCATGGTAAGCTCCCACTTTTCTTCTTCTCCCACTCTCTATCATGATGAAAAAGCAATATCTCACAGACCTGATCGGAAATCACTATGTCGATTCTATACTTGTTGTCCAACTGCTGTCTGACAATCATACCACACCTCACACTCTGTTTCAAACTTGACTTTTTTGAATCAAAAGCTAACTTGAACAAGACAGGTCTAAGTTCTCTTCAAATCAGCTCGTCGCACGTCGGCACGTCTGGTTATCATTGCGTCTCATTGATATGATGATTCAATGCTGCAACAGTATTCGTGATACCCTCTTGGCCTTGTATGCATTCTTCAGACATCGGCACGTTGCTCCCACGCTACATCTAGTCTTGTATAGCGCAGTCATTTCATATACTTCCTGAGATCAAGATTCTTCTCTTGCTACATACATGTCTTTGTGCCATCTGAATTTCTATGAGCCAATGAACATAGTCCTTTGCCTAGGCCTCGCGCACTATGCCACCTTGTGAATCTTGTTTTCCGTTGTGCCGATCGTCAAGCATGGTTGATGCGAACTTGCCAGCCACGCGCCCCGCTCTCCAACCTCACACGGTCACACCGACTCGACTGGCAAAAAATCAAGCTTTTTACACACACCTCGACCTCTGAATAACAAGAATAAACGTGACTGTTGTAAGTAATATGTGGAAGTAGCTGGACTTGACAGGGTTCGCAGTCTGTGTGTCTTTGACTCGAGGCATGAATGCTGGCAATTGTGCCACGACAGATGTTATCCCCCACTTGCACTACTTCATCTATCAAGCTTTGTGCTTTTCTACAGTTCAGAGGTATACTGCTTTTGCCAGCGAAGAGATGATGATAGAATTTCAGCTGTGTCACACATCAAGGACAAATGACACGTATAAAGGTAAACCAAAACACAAGATGCAGATATCTCATCTTTGGTCTTTACCAGCCACCTCAGACGCCCCTTCGAGATCCACCTCTGCCCACTCCCAGCCATCTCAACCGAGCACCTGAATTCATCGTCTCCAATATCATCTTTGTATCTTCTCTCCCCAGCTTTTCTGTCTGAGATCCCCTGCAAATCTTCGTTTTCATCGTTGTCCTAATACCCGTCTTTTTGTTCTTCGTTGGAAATCAAACGTCTCGCTTATACGACTAATATCAAATACCATAATCATGAAGACTACCTCGGCGTTACTCGCAGTGCTACCTGCGTTGGTCTTGGGACAGGAGAATGTCACTGGTATATCTCTTGCTTCTCTATGCCCTATGATTTGACTGACTCTTCGCAACAGCGACAGTCTCAATCCCTCCCTCCCTGACCTTAGCAGTAATCATTCCCATCCAAACAACCGCAACGACGCAATTCACCACCATAACTACTTTGCCATCAACCGAAGCAGCACCAGAAACCACCAATGCATTATCTGTGCTTTCGTCGGCTTTGGCTACATTTCCTTCGAGTTTGATTCCGAAGACTACGTATTCGTTTTCGTTTACGCCGCTGCCGACAACGATGAGTGCGCAGACGACGGTGGCTAGTGGAAGCGGAGCGCAGAGTACAGTCACAGCTTCAACAGTGGTGGTCAGTGGACTATCCACCGTGACGCTGTTGAGTAGTGGCGGCAGTTTGATTTCGTTATCTGCTGCTTCTTCTTCTACCGATGTTGGTTCCGTGGCTTCTTCTGCTGTCAACTCGATATCAACTTCCATTGCCTCGGTGTCTTCTGCTGCGTCCTCTGTTGCTTCCTCGGCTGTCAGCTCCATGTCTTCGTCCGCTGTATCTTCTGCTTCTTCAGCGATGCAGACGACGGGCACGACACAAACGACACTCACAACCATCACAACCTCCTCTGGCTCTACCTCTCCATCTGACCCATCACAATCATCGTCGACATCAACATCCCAAGCGATCGAGTCCAGCACAACAACATCGACATCGACACAAATACCGGCTTCGAGAACGACATCGGCGTCAAGTGGAACTCGCTCGATAACTCCTGCTACCACCACTGCTGCACCACCGATTAATGCGGCTGTTGGTGTTGAAGTTGCAGGGTCGATGTGGATGGTTTTGGGATTGATGGCTTGTGGTTCGTTTGTTTGATGGTTGTGATGGTCGGAACTTGGTTGGAGGTCAGAGAAGCTGTTGAATTGGAGATATGTAGGGTATCATTTTTGGTTGGTGGGAGCAGAGATGAGGGATATGCGTGTGAAACTGCTGATGATTGTATATGATGGCAGTGAAAGGGACTAATGTATATGGCAGGGACTGGAAGAGGCTTTGATGTATATGGAAGGAAAACGGAAGGGGTTCTTGTGATGATGCAAGGGACGATTTTATGATTGTATGTTTGAGGGAAAGGGGATGAAGGGCGATACTTGATATCTAATACTTTTTACGGAAGGCTCTTCTTTAAATCTTTCGATGGGCAAGGTTTTGGATGCACGGCGTGTACAGATCAAGTTGATCAATCACAGATGTCCGACCATAAGATGCAGTCTGGAAGATCATACAACAAACAGTCACAAGTTTAGGCAATAAGTAGAGAGGTGTGTTTTTCCAAGGTTTCCCGTAGGAAGGACCGTATTTGATTCATTTTTGTTTTTTGCAAAGAAGGACTTGCAATGGTGTTTTGAGCATAGAGAAGCAGCTTCCCCTTCGACAGATCACCGTCGTCATCCGCGCGTCCAATAGTCATAGACTCTCGCCCGACCATATCAAGACAGATGACCATCCAGCATATCCTCCAGGACAACCCTTCCTCTCTGCAAACACCACTTCACAATCCAATCTCACACCATCCTCCAGACATTCAGGACAAGATAGTCAAGTCTGCATTTAAGAGGAAGGAGCAGGGGCGGCAGCACCGCGGCCACGGCCGAAGCCACCACGGAACTGGGGGTTGAACTCGCCGGGGGCGGCGCCCTCCTTGCCCTCGCCAGCTTCACGGCGACGGTATCCACCCTCACGGTCACCACGGGGACCACCACGGCCGCCACGGGGACGCTCCTCGCCGCCGAGCATACCGCGGGGGGGAGCGTGGGAGCGCTGCTGCTTGATGTGGGTCTGGGGGACAATCTCGGCGGGGAGGTGGAGCCACTCGCGGAGGTAGTCGAGGCCCTCGGCGGTGAGGCTGTGATGGAGAGTCAGTATGTGGTGGCGGCCGAGTTGGAGAGGGATCAAACGTACGTGTAGTAGTACCACTGCCAGGAGAACTGGGTCTTGAGGTAACCGCGCGAGGTCAGGGACTGGCAGGCCTTGATGACATAGAGGTTCTTGGTGTCAATGTCGCCGTGCTTGGGCTGGTTGAAGTCCTTCTTTGCGACGAGAACACCCTCTGCGTGGGATCAGTATGGCTGTGCGTATGGTATGGCTGCTCCAGGACTTTGAAGTCTGTGGAGGATAGAAGAGCAAGACCTACCGCGGAAGAGGTACTCGTGAATGAGCTTACGGTCGGCCTTGGGAATCAGCATCTTGACGATTGATGTATTTGGATCAACGTGGGGCTTGGGCGATGTTGATGTACCGACGTGGTTTGGGAGAAAAAAGTCGTCGGTCGCGGGCGCGCGAATCTCCAAAATGCATCGTGGTCGGCGTGCGCTGGCTTGACTCGTGTCACTTGGCGTTGCACAGCTTACACGACTCGTGCGTGACTTCCTCTTTCTCCGCATTCCGCTCACTTTCACATCCGCATCTTCAAACGCGCCACCATCACCACCACCACTTTCTTTCCATCACACTTCATATTAGAACTTCCAAAATGGACACAATCAACGTCTTGGTCTCGTCCTTTGCCGGACTGTCGCTGCCTCGCACACTGGCTCTCCCTGTGCCCGCCGACACCTCGATCGCAACCTTCACATCACTTCTCTCGACTTACCTACCACCCCACGCCGACAACCTCCTCCTCTCAACCACAACCCATCGCATTGACACAACATCAACCTCATCACTCCAATCTCTCCTCTCCGACAATGACTGCTCCACCCTTCTTCCTCTACACCTCAGCGCACGCCTCCTCGGCGGGAAAGGCGGTTTCGGCTCCCAACTCCGTGCAGCAGGCGGCCGCATGTCCTCACGCAAAAACCGCAATCGCAATCCGGACCAAATAAACGGCAGCAATCGCAATCTCGACGGTCGCCGTCTGCGCACAATCACCGAAGCCAAGAGCCTAGCCGAGTACCTCGCTCTCAAGCCAGAAATGGACAAAAAAGAAAGGGAAGAGAGAAGGCAACGCTGGGAAGCTGTCGTGGAAGCTGCAGAACGCAAAGAGGAAGAGTTGAAGAAGGGAAACAGGAATGCGAGGTTGGATGGGGAGTGGGTTGAGGCGAAAGAGGAGGCTGAGCAAAAGACTAGGGATGCTGTGTTGGCGGCTATGAAGGCTGGTTTGATTGAGGCTGATACGCCCGTGCTTGTGAGAACTGGCAGTGAGAGCTCGGCGGCTGAGGGTGAAGGCAGTGATGCTCAGCCCGAGGCTTCCAGCTCTGCATCAAGCGACAACGATGATGTGCAAGCTGCTAAGCCTACCCCTGCTGCCTCTCGTACCTTCCACGGCTGGGACGACGAGGATGACGAGTTCATGAGCGACGAAGAAGAGGACGAAGACGCTCCTGTCGAGTACGAGGGCAAAGGCAAGGCCAAGGCATGATTTTGATCGACCTTGATTTTTTCCCATTCTGTGTTCTTGCATCTGGGTATAGGTAATGGGTTTTTACTCTGGTTGTTTTCCTCCTTTCGAGCGAGCGAGTTTTGGCGTTTTGTCTTTAGATTGCACGCAATATTCTTCATTGCTATCTTCCAGATCAATCACAGCATCCAAGTTATGTTCATATAAAATTTTCGATTGGATCTCCCCGCTTTAGACGACCAGTGTTCAACCTTCAGCCTGCGCACTACAAGAAAACTTCCAAGTCTAGAGTATGAACAGTTGGATTACCCACACACAGCAGGAGCGATATCCGATAGTCAAAGGAAAAGACAAGAGATCTTGCGAACCCAGACCCATGATGGCTTTTTCATTCAGCCCAACTCTCAAACAGATAGATTGCTAGTCTGCAGATTCTTCCCATGCTGCCGACGGCTGATCACTGTCCACTTGATCACCTTGTTCTTCCGATATTGAGATGGGTGCAATCACGTCCTAGCTATCCATGCCGAGCCTCACAACAAATCAAAAACTACTGCAACACATACTTGCACGATTGAGCACCTTGAACCCCAGCAAAGAAGACATAAAAGGTCAAAGAAGCTAGCAGAATAATTACTGCAAGTCAGCTAGCCCCTGGATTAAATAAACAATGGACCTTTTCGAGCAAGATGAACAGCGCAAAAGTCAAGAACCAAGCACTGTTCCACTAAGGCAGCCGCACGATTCCTGCGTACACTAGGTAGGGCAACCAGAGATGGAAATGTGATTGATCCCGAGAGAAAGAGACCTGATTTGAGTGGTATGCAATCCAATGCAAGAGACTGTCTTGAGTGGTATACATTCCAATGCGAGAGTGAAGGTTGGTGGTGATTTGTTTGTATGTGTCTTGTTTGATGTTGAAGGTTGGTAGGTACCTGATTTTCCTAGACGTGTGACTATTCCACGCAGTTCGACTCTGGGTCTCCCACACACTCGCCGAGATCCTTGCTACCTGCACTCATATCCTCCACGCACAAATCTTCGACTCATTCTGCCCTTCTCGCTGCAAAACTCCCTGCCTTCTCCTTCTCCTCTTCATTGCCACCAACTGCTCCAATACACTCAAACCTTGCCCTCAGCTCTACGTATATCATATCTCAATACCGCTTGCATCAAGACCTGCGCTCCCATAGCACAATCCTCTGGTCTCGTATACTCAACCGGATTATGACTCACTCCATCCCTACTGGGTACGAAGATCATGGTCGTAGGCACTCTTTTGCTGGTGTATACGCTATCGTGTCCAGCTCCCGATGTCATTGGCTTTGTCAATGCCTCTGTGTCGTTGCCAAAGAGCGATGAAGCGGCGGATTCAACGCAGGAGATGCAGTCAGGATGGAATTTCGTGGCTGGGGAATGGGTGTCAAGGATCCAGCTCACTTCACAGGACTTCGAAGATGGAGTAAAGTGATCGTTGAGACCGTCGATGTTGTCGCCGGCTGCGAGGGCGGCAAATGCAACTCTGCAATCCTTTTCTACTTCCTCGACAATGTGGTCGTCTGGGCTGCGTATATCCAGTGAAAAGTCCACGCTTCCGGGCACTGTATTCGTGCTTCCCGGTTTCAGCTGCAAGATTCCTGTACTGGCCAATGCACCTCGTTTTGCCGCCGCACGATGCGAGTACACGATCATTTTGGCAGCGGCCAACATGGCATCAGCGCGGTGTGAAAAGCTTGTTGTGCCAGTGTGGCAATCGGCTCCTCTGACTTTGACAGTGAACCATTTGTAAGCTTGCACACCCTGCACGATACCGATCTTCCTTTCTTCAGCTTCCAGAATGGGACCTTGTTCAATGTGGAGTTCGAAGTGAGCGGCTAGAGGCACGGTTTCATGGTTGCAGTCTACCTCTCCAAGATATCCGATTCGTTGAAGCTCTGATTTCATAGTTGCAGTGCCAGTGCCAACTTCCTTGAGATCGTGTGCGTGACTGAGTGGAATGCAGCCAGCCCAAACGCCAGACGAAACCATAGAAATGGGGAATCTTGCTCCTTCTTCGTTGGTCCAGTTTACCACTCCTACCGGGAAGGAAGTGGTGATGTCGTTGTCGTGCAGTGTTCGCAGCATCTCTATACCAGCGGTGACGCCTAGGATTCCATCGTAGCGTCCGCCTGTGGGTTGGGTGTCCAAGTGGCTGCCTGCGACTGTGGGAGGACCGTCTTTGGTGCCTGGGCGGATGGCGAATTGGTTACCCATGAAGTCGGTAGTGACAACACATCCCAAGCTCTCTGTAGTTTGAGCGAACCAATCTCGGGCTTTTTTGTCGGCATCTGATAGGGAGAGGCGTGACATGCCTGTCTCGGTGGGTGCGCTATGATTATTTGGGTTAGCTCAAGTGAGACAGGCTACCAGAATGGAAATCCAAAGGCGGTTCCAGAAGAAAGAGAGAAAGAAAGAAATGGAACACGAAAAACTATATACGAAAGTCCAGCTGGGGACGAGAAGATGCAGATGCTGGTGGATCCCAATCTCTCCTCAGGGTAGTCGTTTTCGAGCATTGATGGTAGAATCAAGCCGACTTGCGTCCGTGACTTCTAAACAATGCTCCAGTCGTAGGCATATTCCTCTTCCTCATGGGAAAATGAACTGGATCTTCCTCGTACGGTACTGTTTCCTTGTTGTTTCTTTCTTTCTTTTTTCTTTGGTCCCCTTCCACTTCTTCCTCTCTATATTTTCTTCCTCCTCACCTCCCTTACCCTCTTCAACATCACTTAACCCTACTCTTTCCATTTCCCACGGGTAAACCTCAAGTACAGCAAAATACCATACAACATAAAAACACATGCGAACAAAGCAAAAACAAACAAAGAAATGATCAAAAGAACTCACCTTCCCCATCTCTCTCCCTTCCCCCACTCACACGTCTCATGCAAGTCCCGCATCAATCTATCCTCTTTGACTTTCAATCCTGAAACTTCTTCTTCGGACATTTCGCTCAGTTCCTTGGTCCTTTTGGCTGAAGTGGAAGAGTTTCTCGAGTTTTCGATATTGTTGGCTTTGGTGATGTTTATGTTGGCGGTATTGATGTTGCCGGTGTTGAAGGTGTTGCTGGAGGTGTTGTACAAAACGCCACTGTTGATGTTACGAGTACTGAAGTTTTTCGATAAATATACAGTCGAAGCAACAGTAACACGGTGGATCCTGTGCAGAGCTCCACGGCCAGAGGCCCGTTGGAGTAATGCTCGTGAAGCCATTCTTGTCTTTCCTCTCTCGCAACGATGCTTGGTGTGATGGGCGCTCAAGCTTCAACCTGTGGTTTTGATTATCTCAAGAGAATGGACAGTGATAGTAAACGTAAACGAAATGACCTTGAATGCCAGATGGTCCGGCTAATGAATACATATACCTATCATGTTGCCCGCACCGGCTATCATGTCAGATCCACCTGCCTGATGTGGTGCACCGCTCTACCGAAAATTTGTCGGCCCGAGATGAAGTGGCCGAGAGTATCACCCTGGTCATCAAGTCAACCTTCGAACAATCATCGTTGACTAGCAACATGTCTATATCTCTATCACGTATAGATAGAGGAACTAGTAGCGGACACTTCGAACACTTTCAGATGGGAATCAAGCACATGTGGTTGGGCCGAAGATAGATATAGTGTGAGTAGTGCGTTAGCGCTTGACGTCGGGCCACATTGACACTAACCGTTTCCCTCTATTGGCACACTCGAGACACCACAGAACATATTGAGGAGACAATTCATAGGTACGGAACTGTTCATTATGTAATATCAGGAATCTAGGAGTCTTTTCACACCGCAGGTTTCCGATCCTGCTGTTAATGCCTTATTCAGAACAATAAACCCACTCACACCAACGCCGCAACTGCCAATGCCATGCTCGTTTACTCAATCTCATCCTCGTACTGCTCAGGACCATTCGGTGTCATGAGACGCTTGAGCTGATCTTGAACGTACTTGTGGACGTGGTCGTCTGCGCTTTCCCTCTCCTTGTTGCGAGAATCGGCATTACCGTCCTCCTTGTAGATCGTCCAAGCACGTCCGTTAGACCTCGTGTCATCGCCCTCTTCAGCTTCAGCTTCATGGTCGCCATCATCACTAGGAGGGGCAGACTTCCAGTAGTCGCTGCGAGCACCAATGCTACGGCTGGTCGACGAACGACGGAGGTTGCCAGGCTTCTTGGTCTGAGAGTTTCTGCGTTGACGAGTGAAGACGTCATCGAAGTAGTGGGATGCGGCAGCGGTAGGAGTTCTGGGAGTCTGGGGAAGACGGCAGTTGACACCAGTGTCGTGGATCATCTTGGCCATGAGGCCAGTCCAACCACATTGATGACTGGCACCAAGACCTCTACCACTGTCTCCGTCGAAGAACTCGTAGAACCAGAGGTAGTCCTTCCAGTGAGGATCAAAGTCGAGCATGTCGTTGCCGTCGTTGATGGCACGTCTTCCGTCATCACCACGGGCCATGAGATGTTGAAGACGGTGCTGGATCTCTTCAGCTACATGTCCAAGGTGCATCATGTCGCCGGAACCCTTAGGACACTCGACCTTGAGCGTGTTGCCGTAGAACATGTAGAATCTGAGCAGTGACTCAACCAGCAAGAAGTTGACGGCAATCCAAACGGGACCACGCCAGTTGCTGTTTCCACCGAAGAGACCACTGTCTGAATCGCCAGGAACGTAGCCAACGGAGAAGGTTTGACCATTGACGTCCATGGAGTAAGGGTGCTTCTCGTGGTATTTCGACAATGAACGAATACCGCCCTTGGACAAGAACTCAGTCTCGTCCAGCATGCGCTCCAAGATCTTCTTGAGTCTGTCCTCGTTGACCAAGGAAAGCAGAAGACGGTTGTCCTTTCCACGACGCTTCATACTGGCAATGTTGCGCTCAAAGACGTCGTGCTTGTTCTCAATGAACCACTCCATGCGCTTCTTGAATTGAGGAAGCTTGTTAATAACCTGCGGCTCAAGAGTCAAACAGGCGTACATGGGAATCAAACCAACAAGAGAGCGGACAGGCATCTGCTGAGTCCATGGGCCACCCCACGAGATTGCGTCGTAGTAGAAGCCGTCCTCCTCGTTCCAGAGGGACTTTGCCTCACTACCGGCGCGGTACTGCATGGCATCACTGATGAGGACGAAATGCTCAAAGAACTTGGATGCAATGTCTTCGTAGGTGCGGCGGTGCTTGGCGAGCTCGAGAGCAATGTTCAACATGCACAAGCAGTAGAAAGCCATCCAACCAGTGGAATCAGCTTGCTCGAGAACACCACCAGTAGGAAGAGGGTCGGAACGGTTGAACAGACCGATGTTGTCCAGACCCAAGAAACCACCTTCGAAGACGTTCTTGCCCTCAGCATCTTTGCGGTTGACCCACCAGGTGAAGTTGAGCAGCAACTTTTGGAAGACACGCTCGAGGAAGTCAATGTCCTCACGGCCGTACATCTTGCGCTCCATCTTGAAGGTTCTGAAAGTAGCCCAGGCGTGGACGGGAGGGTTGACGTCACCAAAGTTCCATTCGTAGGCGGGCAATTGTCCGTTGGGGTGCATGTACCATTCACGGGTGAAGAGGTCGAGCTGCTTCTTGGCGAACTCAGGATCGATCATGGTGAGCGGGATACAGTGGAAGGCCGAATCCCAAGCGGCAAAGAAGGGGTACTCCCACGAATCAGGCATAGACAAGATGTCGTCGAGATGCATGTGCTTCCACTGAGCGTTGCGAATGGCCTTTCTGCCAGGAGGAGGTGGAGGCATACCAGGATCACCGTTGGCCCACTGATCCCAGACAAAGTGGTAGTACTGTTTGCACCACATCATACCCGACAAAGCCTGACGCTGGATGTTGCGAAGGTCGTCATTCATGGGCATAGGGCTGATACGGTAGTAGAACTCGTCGGCTTCTTGGAGTCTCTGGTCCATAACATCGTCGAAAAGCTCTTCATCGATATAGCCTTCGGCAAGCTTCTTGGAGATGCGGAAACGAACGACGGCGCACTCACCGGGAGGTACACCCTCGCCCTGATCGAATGCATACCAGGCTGCGCTCTTGGTTCCTGTCTGGGCCGGGTTGATGGCGCCCTTCTCCTTGTTGACAATGTGTCTGTGGAAAGCGTCCTTGGTGAACTTGGTCTTGTTCTTCTGGTCCTCGCCCCAGATGGCCTTGAAGTTGGTATCGTTGTCGGTGAAGAGGAACTCGGGGTGAACATCCTCCTCAATGCCGCCAACGTTGGGTGAAGGAGAGCACTGGAAGTAGCGCTTGCCGATCTTCTTGTGGTTGGTCTCGCAAGCGAATTCACTAACCTGCTTGCTCTCGGGCTTCTCATCGTCGTAACCCCAGGCCCAGGTGTTGCGGAACCAGACATGGGGGATGATGTGCAACTTGGCAGCCTCAGGACCACGGTTGTAGGCTGTCACACGGAACAAAAGCTCATCCGGGTCGTCCGACTCTTTTGCGGTTTCGATGAAGATGTCCCAGTACTTGTTGTCTTTGAAGGCATCGGTGTCGATCAGGTTGTACTCGCGCTCGGTCTTGTTGCGGCTGGCGTTCTCCTTGATGAGGTGCTCGTAGGGGAACTCCTCTTGAGGGTACTTGTAGAGGAATTTCATGTACGAGTGCTGTAGATCTGAGGTCAGCATGGTGCAAGCATGGATCAAGCTTCAGAGGTACATACAGTAGGAGTGTTGTCGAGATGGAAATGGCACTCCTTGATACTCTCGCCGTGAACACCCTGAGGGTTGGACAGACCGAAGAGACGCTCCTTGAGGAAGGGACTGGAAGCTGTGTCAGAGGATGAAAGTGATGCAGCGTTGTGTGTGGAGCCTACTCTTTTCCGTTCCAGAAAGCAAAGGCAATGTTCTGGAGACCGTGAGTGTCAGAGACACCAGCGATACCATCCTCGCCCCAACGGTAGGCTCGCTTGCGTGACATGTCGTGAGAGAAATCTGGCGTCGGAGTTAACTTTGTATGGTGCACCAATGGAGGGTCAATGGACAAGACTTACGGCTCCAAGCATCTCCATCAGCGCTGACTGTGTGTTAGTGGTTGTTCAGAAGCTTCAAGACGGGTGCCGGGTAGCTTACGAGTAATCCTCTCTCACTGTGAGGCGTCAGTCAGCATTGTGCAATGAGGCGGTGAAGTGTATGAGTATCGACTTACCAGTGGCCCACTGTCTCTCTGAGACGTAAGAACCCCATTTCTTCCAATACTTGGTTCTCTCGCGGTCCTCTTGCAGACGCTTCTCCTCCTCACAGAGGACCTCTGTGTTGTCGATGTAGACCATGGCGATGCGGTGTGTCCTGGATGCAACAGATGGACAAGGAGCCGCAGAGCTGGCTAGTGATGGTGGTGAAAGTTAGGCCGGGCAAAGAACGACGGGTGGTGGTAAAGATTGGCTAAGATGTTAAGTGTGATGGATGCGAGGTTAAAGAAAGAAACAATGCAAGGCAGCCGAACCGAGACAAGTTTCAGGAACTGGACGCGACTGGTAGCGGGAAGGAGGAAAAAAGAGAGCAGCAGCAGCTTCGATACACTCCAGATCTACGGACCGCGCACCAAGTGGAAGGTCCACTGGGGAACGCGGGAAACGCAGCCGCTCAAATCCACCTTCGTCATCCCGCAAGTCGCTACGCCCTCCCAACAATTCGCTGCTTATCGACTTTTTCTAAGCATCGGACTGTCCATGCAGCACTGTTGGACAAGCATACCAAAGCCCTCGTGGCACTCTGCAATCTCAGAGTATAGCCACCTTCATCAACCGTGTCTCCCAGTGGAAATGTTCGCGTCCATTTCATTCAGAAACAGCTGTCGAGTCTCCAGATCAATCTCCCCCAGGCCACTTCAACCACCTGGAGACTCCGCTGGGCTCCACACGCACTGTTCAATCCCGATTGTCAATTCACCGAAACCTTTTGTTCCCCACCACCAACATTTTCTTGTTGGCTGAACAAGCGCCATACAACGCTTATAGTACATTGCTAAGTACCATCCTTGTTAATGCTGTCTCGTCTCCTATTCTCACCAAACATGACGTTATTCTTGTATAATGAATGGGCTTCCGAGGCTGTGTTTGAAAACGATCACAAACCGGTAGGGTTAGTTGGCAGCTGGACATGCAGGAGAGCCTCTATCTGTTCGGCTATCTTCGCAACTGTGTTGCATGGTGGATCCTGCGTTTTTCGTACGGAGATTGATGGTACTAAAACTTGTCAAGATATTTGTGTGTCGTGGTATCTCAAAAAATGGTTGTGGTTATAACATTGGTATCCTTCGCGAGCAGAAAAAAGAGCCCCATATAATGTACAAGAAACCGGGCTATGCAACAAGGAGTAAGATATAAGTATCATCTACTCGACAGTGTCGAGCGAGCCCTTGCCGACAGTGGCAGCAGGCACCTCGCCCTTTTGTGCCTTCAGCTTTTCCTCGAACTTGGCAAACTCACGAAGAGCGACCTCCTCTTCCTCGTCCAGCACTTGTTGAACACCCTGGACCTCATCTGTTTACACTGTTAGCCTGGAATCCGAGTACGATGCGGCAAGGAGATACGAACCGATGTAATGCATAAGCATGCTCTCAATGCCGGTCTTGAGAGTGACTGTGCTCGAGTCGCAAGTTCTGCAAGCACCGCGCAGCTTCAGAAGAACCTGGCCATCCACAAAGCCTCTGAATTCAATATCACCACCGTCTTCCTGGATAGCCGGACGAATGCGCGTCTCGAGCAGCTCCTTGATCATGCTGACGACCTCGCTGTCGTTCTCATCGTACTCCAAAGAGTCCTTCTCGACTGCCTGCTGTTCACCGCTCTTTCCGGTTACCGTATTTACAAGAGGCTGTCCGGATGTCACAGCCTCGGTGATCAGAGCAAAGACTTCGGGTTTGACGTGTGGCCATGGAGTGGCGGAGTCCTTGGTGACAGTGATGTAGTCGGGACCGTAGAAGACTGATGAGACACCGTCGACGTTCAGCAGCTGAGCAGCGAGAGGCGAAGGGTGGGGTGGCGCAAGCGTCGAGCGAGGCGAGAGGTATTCAAGGAAGGTTGTTTGGAAGTTCTCAGGCAAGATGCGAGAGTTGGGAATGAACTTCAGAGCGTCGGCATTGGGTGTGTCCTCGGTCTGGATGAAGATTGAGCGAGTACCGGTGGGGAAACAAGAATGAGCGGGCTTGAGCGAAGGCGCACTCGGACGGTATCTGGTGGCGGTTGATGTGAGAGATGAAGGTGTCGACAAGCGATGTAGGCTTCTGCGAATTGGTGCTGTGGCAATTGTCCTTGATGCGCTCGAGCGGGCGACGTTTCTGCAGGTGGATGTGAACATGGTGGATTTGGCAGGCATGATGCGGAGTAGTATGAGTATCGTAGGAATGGCGCAAGGTGTTGTGATTCAGATCGCAAAGGATTAACAATTATCTGACCCTCGAATGACGCAGAAGCCTTCCGCCGCCGCTCTCGGAACCGCGGCAGAATTGGTAAGCTTGGAGTGCCTTCCTCCGATTCGTTGATCTGCCTCCTACAACACCATCAGGCGCAAAGGTCTGTAAATGTTGACTACGCATTCGTAGTAAACAAGGCCGTCTGAATGCCCAGTTGTCTCCAAACAGTCGTAGGTTCATGGAGAACGAATGATATCCCACCTCTCACGTAGTCTCCTCATTTACCAAAGAAACCACACGAGTGGACACCTATACACCTTGTCAGCAGAGAGAGCCTGGTGCTATAGAACTGTCAGATCAAGGCTAGATCTAGACATGGTTTTGCTTTGTCCAAAAAGTTCGGTAAGATAGTTGTAAGTAGACTAGGCATGTCCACGTGGGTAGGAGGGCGAGTGGTCGTGCTTGCCTGACTTGAATACTACACTCGCCACTTCGATCTCATCATCCTGCGCACAATTTCCCTTTGTTTCCTTGCACAATCAAACATGGCGACAAACAGCAAACCAGAGGTCGATCCAAAGATAACAGCATACCTTGGTATGACTCGCTCTTCGACTCGGAAACCACCGCACTAATTCTAGAATGGCAGATTTTGTTGCGCAATTGATCAGGCGTCTAGACTCAGGCAATGTAAACGCTGTTACCATGAAAGAGCTCGATGCCACTCTCAAGGTCAAGTGTCCTCGTTCGCCAGCAGCAAGAGCAGCAGACTTCGATCGTCTTGGAACACAGATCTGGAATGCTTCCATCCGCCTCAAAGATCAGTCCTCGCCAACGCTGGAGACCTGGCCCCAACTCGAACCTCAGCTACGTGTGCTCGCATACTTCCTTCTGGATACAGCACAAAGATCCTACGTCAAGCATGGCAGTAAGAAGTCGTCCCAGAACCTGGTCCGCATTCTCAAGACGGCTTTGAAAGCAGCCCGGATATGTATTGCTTCAGATGCCTTGGACCTTTGCACCATGCTCTTCGAGAAGATGGCCGATCATGTCGAGCACAAACAAGATCCACCTCCAGAGTTCAAGAAAGATAAACAGGAGAGCGAGGCTCAGGAATTGATCAAAGAGTTGACGGCTGACTATTATCTCTTGCGAGCAACCACATCGTGGAAACAGAATAAGCCCGATACTGTGAGCTACTGGCTTGCGAGGGTCCTTTTGGTACCCAGCAGATCAGACATGCTGCACCTGGCCGAAAAGAAGGCAGACTTGACGTACGAAGTTGGCAAATCAGCTCTCCAGAAGAAGCAGTTCGCTACCGCTGTCAGGTGGCTAGAGCAAAGCTATCAAATCTTCGAAGACGTTGATCCGGAAATGTTGTCATCGGACTTCTGCGACCTTCGTCTAGTGGTAATGCTTGATTATGGTGAGTTTTGTGAAAAGAATATATGTGCCAGTGTTCTTACCATTTGTAGCTCGTGCGTTAGTCGGTGCCGGTGATGCTATATCGTTAGACAAAGCGTCTAGCCTCCTTGTGACACTCGACCAGGTTTGGAGCACCCGAGTTGAGATCATATATCAGCTAACAAAGAGTAGGAGCATGGTTTCAAGGCCGAGGTCCACCTTCTGAGGCTTGATGCCATCTATGCTCAAAAGCCATTCGAAGCTGATCAGTTTTGCGGAGGTAGGCGAATACTTGATCATCCACAAGTTTTCTGCAGCTGACCATCTACGAGTCTTGAATCAGATTGTTCGAGGAGCTATCCTTTCGGACGGTACTTTCAGATCGTATGGATGCTATCAAACTTCTACAATATACCATGAGCTGAAAGTATCCAGGATCATGTGTCAAATCCAGAAATTGAACCTCTACAATCCGGAAAGAGCCGGTGCAAAGATTCAGGCTGCCATGACTGATTCGACTCCTGGTCCCCATTCGCATTTAGCATGCCAGACCTCGGATTTACTACTGTCGAGACTGCTTGCACAGTCTCCCATCGTGCAGACATGGATCGAAAAGATTGTGGTAACCAGAGTTTGGATCAGTTCGCTCTCTTTGGATGTGCAAGATCACCCTTCCAGACTCGGAAATCTGTTCGACGACATTGCTCATGCAAATGGAATAAAATTGAGTGCAGAGGCGACACACGCTTCTCAGTCTGTAAGTAGATTGGAGCATACATTCCAAACTGGAAGTTTCACCCTGACAGTGAATTAGCTTATATGGAAAGCTGCCACTGCTCTGCAGCAATTACAGAATGAGGATGAAGCTGCTAAATGGTGTGATTTGGCAAGCCACGATATATTTGCCAGCTCTGGAGATCTGAACAAAGCCAAGTTGTCACGGTAAGTGTTGACAACTGACCCCAGCATGCACGCAGACTGATTCTCCAGCAAATTGATGACAGTGGCTCTTTCAAAGGGTGATTTAACGGCTGCGCGAGCAGCTTACCATCAGATGTCAGAGAGTGGAAAATCAGCTGCAATGACACAATACCTGATGTACAAGATTGCCATACAGGAGAACGATGTTGAGCTTGGTAAGTACTCTGGACTTGTGAGATACCATCATACTTACCGTAATAGCTACACAATCTCTTGGGGGCGTCCTGAAGTCGTCCTCAAAAGGCACTGAGAAGTATCTTTATGGCTGCGCACTCGAAGCGCAACAGGCAGGTAACCGACAACAATTCATCGCAACAATGCACAAGGTCCTGGAATTCCACGAAAAACATCCATTAGATGATGTACGACTGCCAGTTCTTCTACGGTCCGTAACTTGGAGTTTACCTTTTCTTGCAGAGCTGACGTTATCCAGTTGTATTGCTGGTTCGATCGAGGCAGAGGTAAACAACCACGATATGCCTCTTGACGCAGGTCTGACCGAGTTATGCAAGGTCTTCGAAGCCGGTATATCCTCCATACACGATCCGCAATAGAGCACGAATCTAACACGACTAGCGATGAGACACGGAAGTAGTTCCAAAGATGTGGGTAATGATGAACCCCGGCTTGCTGAACTTCGATGGTTCGCTTGTCACTGTTACAACACAGCTTTGAGGTATTGCTCGGATATGCAGCCAGAACTACTGACGAGGTTCATGATGGCAAGTGTTGCTGTACATACTATCTTCCAAAGCGAGGCTCTGAGTGACTGCTGACATGAAACAGCTAATCGATCACCTCCGTACAGAAGGTGACAAAGACAATGGTCTGCTCAGTCGGCTTCTGCTGTGTCGCTTCCTGGCCACATCTGCTTTGGTTGTCCTCGCAAGATCAGAAGACAACATCGAGCGAGCCGTGAGTACCCAGAGCGTGCTATGGTAACAGTCTTTATGCTTACTCTGTAATAGCTACAGCTCTATCTTGATGCGAGACGCCAGATTGCAGCATTTCACCACAAATACCAAGAAGCCCTACAAAATGGATCGTTGCAACCAGACGCAACTTCAGACATCGAGGTCAAAGAGTTTGAGATGGTTCAGTTCGACCTCGAAGCATTGATGCGCCTCGAAAATTGGCACGACCTTGACAAAGTGTTATCGGTATATGGTCCTTGTGCTTGTAGTCCAGCATATACTGACATGCTTCACAGATGTGTCTCGAAGCCCGCCACTCGAATCGGCTCGAAAGCGCAGCGGATCTGATCCTCCACATACACACCCACATAATCTCTTCTTCGGTCCACCCTAACACATCGAATCTCCTTGCCAGGATCCCCTCTGTGATGGAGAAGATAATCAACACATGCTGGCGCAACAACAAAGACATCACGCGTGTAGCCCGCTGGATACGCTGCCTCTTTCAGATGACACTTACTACCGACTCGGCCGTTTCCCTTCGCTGTCTTGATCAAGCTTCTGCCATTGCATCCAAAGCAGCTACCCAACACATATCTGAGGCGTACCCATCAGAAGAGCTTGAGTGGCTAGCCAGTACGGCTTTCAACCATGCAGTCGATCTTTGGTTCGCGGGTGCTGAAGAAGAAGCATATATGCAGGAAGAAGGCAACGAGCAAGCGAGAGTGTGGGCTGAGAAAGCATTGATGCTGGCCGGAAGTGTTGGTGGAGTTGGAGATGGTATGCAGGGATTACACAAGGTCCTGCAGGATAAGTGGATGAAGCTGAAGGGAATCGGTCAAGATGGGGATCGATAAGTCGCAAGAGCTTAAAATCTTGTGAGAAATGGAGGAAGAAGTCGGATATTGCTGGCATGTTCCAAGATTGGGTGATGAGGGGCATGAAAGAAGCTTTGCCGCTTTGAGGAAAAAATATCGCTCGAATCGTTATAGCAATAGCTGGAGCCTATGTCGACATGGCTCACTCAACATGTGGAACAATGCGCGCTAGACAAAAAGCAGCTCGAAGCTCACCATGAAGGTCGTCCTTCTGTCCTCTTCGATGACCTACAAACAATATCAGTGTCAAGAAATTATCAGTAACGCCAGAAGTATCAGACAGATCTAGTGCCAAACAAATCTAGTCAAACATATCGAATAGAGCCAGAGGCTTCCAAGATCATTTTCGACTGTGAAAAGAGAGAAGGATGAAATGTCTTATATACCTCTGACCTCTTATCGCTTGTTATTTTTATGAGGTTTCCAGGCATAAAGACCCTCTTCATCGGCCACTTCCTTTTTGATCTGTGAAACTTTATCATTTCTATGTGAATCTATATCGTTCGAGACACCATTGTGCATTATGATGGCTTGTTCCTCTGCTGAAGTTCGATTCAGAAATACGGTATTGAGGATAGAAGCAAACAGACAAGTACACTTTTTTTCTCTCTGTCTCTGGTATGCAATATTTTGTAGTTTCATAGTTGAGACCCTATAGGTCGCTGATGCTGACTACCTCGCTCACTTCTTCTTCCAAGAATGTTTGTCTTCTTGGTTCTAGCGAGCTACATCCTTTCTTCGGCAGTTGTATAGTTTGGTAGAGTATATTGTGCATTGTTATGGCTCCTATGTCTTTTATGTCTACAGTAGAGAGCTGCGATATGTACCAGCAGAGCAGGTGTAACAGACAAGCACGCTGTTCTTTCGATCCTTTATCTGTTGCTAAGAATCGCATATCAGCATATATCTGACCCAGTAAAAGCTTACTGATCTCTGCGGCAGTTCTCCTAGATGATATACTTGTGTGCATCCATGAAGCAGAGAATACTCCAGTCCGCATTCATCTCTTCGGACACCAAAGTGCATGGAACACCTATTAGGTGACGTCGTTGGGTTTGGAAAAACCAACATCGGTTTCGGGAAGATCGAAGCAAGACCTTCTGCTCGCCTGAGCGGGAGACGGAGAGATGGGAAAATGGGCAGGTTCCATAACGACTCATCTCTCCAGGACACCCACTTCCAACACTCTTCCCCATGAAAAGTCACGGGAATCTCCCATTCTGCGAGGAAGACCGGAGAGATGCTACAGGTTTGCCGACCTGATGGTCTACTTGTTCCTCTCGCTGTGAATGGAGGCAGGAGATTCGAGTCAGAAAATCTGCTTCAAGGGGCCGGGTAAGGATGTTGATGATGTTGATCATCACCATGATGGTGGTGATGATGATGACGAGGTTGGTGAGAAGACTGATCTTTCCAAGGAGTAGAGAATATAGAGCACGAGTGGTACGCCATCCGGGAAAACTTGCATGAAGCGAGGTAGGTTGATTGACATGAATTCATTGGACGTTCAATTGGGAAATGTACTTCCCCTATCCTTCCCTTCTACCTACATCATGCAAAAAAATAAATGCAAACTAGAACCCTCCCTTACGCAGCCTCCAACTCCGCAATCCTCCTCTCCACCCCTTCAACTCCCCTTAACTTCTCCTCCAACTCCTCCCTCTCATCCTCCAACCTCAACCTCTTGTCCGCATCCAAAACCCCAAAGAACGCTCCTCCTCTCCCATCAAACTGCAATATTCTAGTATGATACTGCCACAAGCTTTTCCGATGGCTGACCGTCAACAAAGTGATGTTTCGCTTTTTGGCTTGTGTGTAGATGAGAGTTTCAACGCTGGGGGTGAGTGAGGAAGTGCATTCATCTAGGATGGCGTAGCAGGGGGAGTGATAGAAGAGGCGGGCGGCGGCGAGACGTTGTTGGGTTCCGGTGCTGAGGAGATCGGGCCAGGGGGCTGTGGTGTCGAGGCCTGATTGCGTCGATGTTTCGTTACCTGTGGTGTCTTTCGCGGGGAGGGAGAGCAGGTTATCGAGGTCGAGAGAGGTGATGATTGCGAGGAGATTCGCATCAGTGACGTTCTTCTCGTGCATTTCTGCCACGGTGTCTGGGTAGATGATTTGTGCTCGAAGGCTTCCGTGTGCCATCAGGTAAGGTCGTTGGGGAATGTAGAAAATATCTTCTGCAGATGGTTTTCTGACTTCACCACCGTAGACAGGCCAGAGTCCACCCAAAATGCGGAAAAGAGAAGACTTGCCACATCCATTGGGGCCGATGATGAGTAGATGATCTTGAGGGCGTATGTGGAAGGACAATGCAGAGACCAAGATGTCGCCGTTGGGGGATACGATAGGCACATCCTTGAACATGATATCAGATCCTTCGGTGATGGCTCCTCTGCCGGCAAGGACAGCTGCATTAGCATCCACGGATGCAGAACTGACCAACTGCTTTTCGAAGTGTCCAGCTTCGATATCCGCGATGACAGAAAGTAAAGTTGAGACTCGAGAAGTGTAACCAGCGAGTTGGGAGATCTCCTTGTATGAGAACATGAGTCTTCCGAAGGCATCAGAGGAACTAAGCAACAGTCGCCTATTTGTGACGAAAGCTTCTGTCGAATTCTTGGCTACGGTTCCTGCGTTCTTCGCAACAGGGAACTTGAAGAAGACGGGGATCGAGCAGAGCATAAGTCCTAGAGCGCCCCAGAAGTACTTGATCACAAAGTCCTCCATGATGCCATGGTAGAATCTTCTTCTCAAGATACGATTTACGTGCTTGATGAGGGTGAAGTAATTCTTGTCAAGGGCATCTTTCTCGGCTTCTTGACCATGATATAGAGCAATCTCTTCGCTGTAGTCAATCACACGCGAATGCTGGAAGCGAAACTCGCCCTCCAGTCGTGCTTCGTCCGCAACATACTTGCCAAATGGTGGTGTGAGAGCCCGCATGACAGAAGCAGAGAGTTGGACGAGCAAGCCCATAGCAAAGAGACCTTCACCGCCTACGCTTCGCGAGAGCGAGTAATTGTAAATGACCATATCCAAGACTGGTTTTGCCAAATTCCCGTACAACTCGGCAAGCGAGTTTGAGAACTTGCTGATATCGACAGTGACGAGCTGATCGGCGTTCTTGATTCGATCATCCAAAGCAGAGAGAGTGTAGAAGGTCATGTTGGACAGGTATTTGTTGTGGATGTGTTGGGTGAGGCGGGTGCGGTATTGGAGGGCGAGTCTGCATTGATGATAGCTGAGCATCGAGTTTGTAAATGTGGCAGGGATAGCGACGATCATCCACCACACCAGACCGCCGATAAAGTCCTTGCCTTTGCCTCGAACGAGAGCAGAGACAAGTTTTCCGTCCAGATCGGCGACATAAAGAGAGATGAGTGTTCGCAGGACAAGGAAGATGCTGTGACTGATGAGAAGACGCAGCTCTTTACTTTTCCAGCCGGGTATACAGATGCTCAGCAAGCGGATCAGGTTGCGGAAGAAGTCTCTGTTCAGCTCGACCTTCTTCCTGCCGCCAGTCGTGCTTCCCTCTCTTTCTCCATTCCGACCGGCTGCTCGTCGTTGTTGCTCGGCGGCTTTTTGTTCGTTGATGGCGTTGCGTATACGGTTCAGCAAGGTGACGAAGAGGCCAATGTAGATGGCGCGCGAGATGGGCGTGCGGTGCTTGACATATAGCGTTGTGAGGTCGGACACGGCCTTCTTCAGCGTGCCTTCTGACACGAGGCCGCCCGGCAGTGACAGCTTCGATTGTACTGCCATGTCTCGGTCACGTCCATCTGCCTGTGTTGTCGCTGAGATTGCGTCTTTGTGCAAGAGACTCGATCATACTCGTCTTCTACCCTTTGTCTTGCATGTGATGATGATGATGTTGACACCTGCCGAGGTATGCGGAGTCCGGGGTTGCTTCTCCACACGCGTGCTTGATTTGATTCCTCCCCGTGTGCAAAGGTTTGTAACGCTGCTACCTATCAAAATGTACAGTGTTCTTAAGAACCGGATCAAATCCATCGAAATACAGTGTTCTTTGATGCTCTCTTTGGATCCGTTTTCAATCTAGAGATCATTGTGCTTTTTTATAGAGAGCATTGTGTTCTACACCTTGATAGGAGAGAGGAGCGTAGGGAACTGAAGTTACAAAGTTTAGCACTCGGGGAGGTTACATCGGAAGAAGAAAAAAAGAAAGAAAAAAGATATTCAAGAAATGCATTATGGGGACGGAGGGCACTGGCCGTTATGTAGAACCACTATTGTCTGGATCAACGCTGGATGCAAGTCTGCTGGACTTTACTTGCAAGTATTGCCATTCACTCGTATTCCATCTCCCATGTCTCTCCAATGGCTTCAATCTCACGCTGCAGTTGTGCCAACTCTTGCTCTGCTCGAGAGCTAATCGCATACCCGCTACGACCTTTGAGCTGCTCGGCATCCTTTTGCAACTCTCTGCATCTACGCTGGAAATCGTCTTCTACATCCTTCCTGTCTCTTGCTTTCCTTGCGAGATATCTCATGTCGTTCGTGTCGACCGCATACCGAAATGCATCCCTCATGCGTCGTGAGTAGAGCTGGCATGACACTCCGTCTCTGCCTTCATTGCGAACAAGCTCTTTTTTTCGATTGAACCTCACAGCTACGTCGGAATTCGACCTCAACCACGGGAACACCACATCATGGTAGCACTCATCGCATACGGTCAAAGCAGGTGCCAGTGAGGGGACGTAGTACCAATCATGACCCTCGAGCTTGTCATCACGGATGCACTCGGGGAGTCTGGTCTTGTGTCGGACAAGTGATACAAACTCTGATGTGTTAGGCATCCGCTGACCAGACACTGCGTCTTCGTGGAGCTGGAACAAGCAATCGATATAGGCCGCATACCGATTGTTGTGTTCTGGTCGCAAAGAGCAGTAGCGCCCCATGATTTCTTCGTCCTTGTCGTCAGAGTACTTGCTCGGAAGTGGTACAAGCAGACCTCTGAACCCTGGGAAGAGTGTTTCAACTCTTTTGACGTCTGATGGACACACGATAAAGTCTCGTAGGAAATGGCCATCCCGGTCGCGAATTGAGTACCAACTGCACCATCCTCGCCCGGTCCCCGGACAGGGTTCTTCAGTCTCTTCGACATTGAAGACTGTCATCATCATGTTCAGGGTATTTTGTCGGTTGTTTGCAGTCAGAATCCATGCAAGGCGAATCCAAGCATTGCTAAACTCGCATTTTCTAGGCCTGGTTGGCGCGTTGCTAGGTAAGAGCTTGAAGGCCGTTCCTAGCTGGGTCCTGTCGAAAGCATACTTGAAGCAGCGCGGGCAAATGCTGAAACCAGGTTCTCCTTCGAGCATGTACCAATCATTGTACTTGGTTGTGTATGTAACCCGTTTGCATGTTGGTAGCCTTTCGGACTGAGGTTTCTTCGTACCAGCAGACAAATCCTCAGATTTGGATGCCTCTCGTCTTGATGCGCCAGATTTTGCAGATTTCTCAATTGGTCGCATCTTGCTGTTGTTGGACTGTGTCTGCTGTTTTGGAGTAGTCGCACGCGTGACTGGTTCACTGAATGGCGGAAGTAGACCGCTTGGCTGTTGTGGAAAGTATTGATGATCTCTTTCTGAAGGCATGGTCTCGAATGGGCGATCGTCATCCGGATAGGGAAGTGGCGAGTATGGACTAGATAAAGACCTCGATGCCTGGGGACGCGGTGAAACAGGCACAGTAGATTCGGCCAGACGAGAGGGCGGAGCTGCACGGCGGGCGGTGGTCGAGGCGGCCGAACCCATATTCCAAGGATATTCTGTAGGGTACAGTATGCGAGGAGAAGGCTGTGGTGAGGATGGAGTTGACCCTCCTCTGGACGTCGGTCTGGAGTTGGGGATGCTGGGAGGGTAGTTGTCCTTCAGCTTGTCTGAGCTTGAGTTGCGAGCCGGCGTGTAACTGTCTTGATGAGCGTAGCTTCCTTCACTCGATTGACGAGGATGGTACGTTGGGCGTGCTGATTGCTGTAGATTGACAACTTGAGGTGGCGCGGGTTTGCGCGCATAATCGTTTAGAAGTGGACAATCTTCTGTTGGACCCGACCGTCTCCTGGAAGAGTCACCTGTGGGTGGATTGAGAGGTGTTGTAGGCGAAGAGTGAGGATGATCTGGTTTGGTCCAAGAATAGCGTGCCGACGATCGTTGCGGAATATAGTCTTCTGCACTTCGAGTCGCTTCGGCAGTACTACGCCCTTCGTACACGTGCTGTGAAGTTGACCGTGGTGGAGTACCTTCCCTTGTTGGAGTTTGTTGTTGACGTCGGCTCGGATCTGACCAGTCGGAGCGAGGCGCGCTGGTTGGTGGTGGTCTGTCGAAAGTTGTAGATCGGGGAACAGCAGGTGGTGTGATTGCCTCGGGTGAAAGAAAGAGGTCTTCTGCTGTCTTGGGTGTTTGCGAAGACGGAGTCGGCTTTGCCCAAGCATATGGCGAAGCTTCTCTGCGCATCTCGGGTAATCCGGTCGTTTCTATCCGAGGACCTTTGCGCTTTTCGCGGCGTCTAGCTCGTTCGTCATCGCTTGAGGGAGGCGTAGAGTGTGCGTTGGCGGACTTGGTCGCCGAGGGGACCCAGACGAAGCGGCGATCGGGAGTATAGCCAGGTACATCGACAAGCAATTGCTCTTGTTCGACAGTGCCTCTTGAAGGGATGTCATCTTGGTGTGGGGATTCTGGCTTGTATTCCCTTCTTAACGAGACCTCCTCGTCTTCGACGGACGGTGAAGGGGGCCATCGGCGTGGCGGTCGACTGTGGTCTTTACTTTTGGGCGCGCGACTGCGGTTTCTCGTAGGTATGGAGGGGTATAAGAATGGTTGCGTGGAGTCGTGATAGGTGGGGTCGAGTCTGGTGGACTGTCAGTGGCCGAGACATGGATCGTCGGGATGGAGAAGATACGTCGAGTCGTTTCGTGAACGTCGTGGCTTGGTGTAAGAATCGTCGTAACGTGAGCGAGAAGTTTCGTAATTGTCCCAGGACGCCATGCCAGCTAGCTAGTCCGGGGGTGAAGGATGTAATGCGAAGGAAGGACGGAAGAGAGGGAGGTAGGAAAGAGGAAAGGAATTATTAGGGAAGAGACGAGAGCAGAAGGAAGGGAAGCGTAGGCCAGAGAGGTCATCTGCGTCGTCAACGAACAGGTGGATATATGCATCTCACCCCACATGCGAGTCGCCGGCGTGAGAAGTGTCAAGGCATGTCTGAGCGGACGCGCACGAGGAAGGAACTGACGATCGCCCTTCCTCGACCTGCTCCTTCACAGCCTCAGACCTACCGAACGGAACTGCGCTTTGCTAGCCGCGTCCAACATTGTCGACTTCAACTCGATACTATTGAATGTCTTTGAAAGTGTTCGACACCGCTCTTTGATCAATCCTGCAGTTGAGGAGAAGTCTAAAGCCGTTGCAGCATGACGTCCCTGTTTGACTGGTCGACTCTGTCTCTGTGTACCACCATTTGGTCCAGCCAATCCAGGCCACGACAAAGTCACCTCTTCTCAACACCTTTGGTCTCCTTTTTCTGCCTTTCATGCCACTGGGTCGGTGCGTGCATGTTCGGCACTCAGGACCGTCTTACAGCGGCTCTCGGCACCTGAGATCCAAGCATCACCGTAGGCTCTGGACTGTTTCACTAAAAATGCATCGGATGTGCCATCCCAGTTGCTTGCCATGCAATACTCGAGCACCATGCTACCTACGAACAATGGCCTTCATCGTACAATAATCACCTCACTTAATTTCCCGGTGACCATGATGCTCTAAGCCAAGCGATGGGCACTTTCTTGAAGTCATGTCAATCACGAGACATATCACCGAATATGTAATATGCATCTAGAGACTTTGAAGCCTAAGTCAAACATTCAACATTACATGTACTATTTGGCGACCAATGTGTCGGGCTTCTGTCCGAAAATCTCATAGCTTCCTGCCAGGTTCTTTGTTCTTCTCATCCCTTGATCACCAAGGCCGGGTCCTTGCAGAACTTTGCTTGCTGGTGGCCGCACACTAAGTATAACGAGCCATGCTGCTACCAAGGATATTGCTGCAAAAGTCAGAGAAGCGGCCAGGCACATCATCAAGATCACATACCTTGTTCTCCCAGGTCCAAAATGTTCCGCTATGCTGTATTCCTTTGCTCTCAATGACTTTGATCATCGCCGATACTGATTCCTGCGGTGTCATGATGCCGTCAACTTCCCAGCCGAGATCAATGTTTGCCATATCCCTGGTGTGGTTCGTTAGCAAATGACTCATCCCCATCACTCCAGAGGGTGTACATACGTGGCAACCTCTCCAGGATGGATTGCAATCAGAATGGTATCATCGTCTTTGCGCTTGAGCTCGGCAGCCATATGTCGCATTGCCTGATTCAATGCAGCTTTGGATGCTGAGTAAGCCGCGAACCTGAAGAAGCGGTGAGTAAGGATGCAAAATACTTGACAGAAGGTACCTACCCATCCTCCATCTCTAGAAACCGCTGTGCCGAACCAGAGTCACTGGACATGAAGACGATGGTGCCGATAGGTATCATGGTCTGGAGAAGTCTTTGGGCGGTAATGATTGGCCCAATCGTGTTGGTGTGCAAGTGGAAAGCAAACTCATCGAAAGAACTTGTTGGTCAGCCTGGTTCAGACTATGGTATAAACAATCTTGAGCTCACAATTCAGTCGCTCTCTGCAACAGTCAGTGATGGTAAGAATACAGAAACATGCAACAACTTACATTCGGGTATCTCAACACACCCGCATTGATAACAACATAGTCCAACTTCAGGTTTTGTATTGCGGCGAGCTGAGAAACGAAACTCTTTGCAACGCCATGTTAGCCATCACTATAAGAGATGTGCTGCGTGTATGCAGTCCACAAGACGAATGGGAAGAGCAGTATAAAATGGAAAGACAGGAACGACAGCGAGGAAAAGAAGGAATGGTAGGAAAGCAGGGTCGAATATACATTTATTGATTGTTCTGAAAGAACGTCGCAAATCAACATTTGACAGCGACCATGATCACCTCCCGCTTGCGCCCAAAGCCCAGATGCATGAACGGCGGCGGTGTCGCGGACAGTAGCAAGGATGCGGTCCTCGCGAGCGATCAATTGTCGTACAAACTCCAGACCTATACCTCTTGACGCACCAACGATACACCAAGTCTTCTGTCCGGTCTTGCCATACAGAATCTCGGGTATTTGGTTCATGTTTCGGAATAAAGTAGGGATATCGGCCCTAACGAAGAGGGTGCTTCAGCTACAGACACCTCGATAGCGAAAGCAACTATGGGCTTTTGCTGGAGGAGCCGCACAGAGGAAGCGTTGAGCCGTCTTCAGCCACAACGAACGAGGGAATACATGATGGATCGTGGATCATGATCATCTATCAGATCGAGATCTTGCGGCTGCTTTCAAGCTAAAGCAGTCGACATGTTGACGCGATTTTACCGACACGACGTCAAAACGCGTCAAGCCATGCATGCAATAGCGAAGACAAAGGCAATTTGTTTTGAATTGTGGCTTTGCTCACAGGTCATGAGCTCGCTGTGACACCAGACGAGCAAGGATAGGAAAGCATTTTGCTAGAGCTGCGAGTCTGGAATTGACAGTCCAAGGGTCTATGATACGTTGAGGTGAGCATCGCCACGCTGGTGAAGCAAAGGAACGACTCAAATCAAGAAATCTTTCCGAGGCATCCCGAGTTTCCAGCATTTTATTGACTTTCTGGCCTCTGGTGATTGGTTGGTGACGGTGGTCGGTGCACGACGCCTTTATCCTAGAAACTCCTTGGTCGCCGCGATCATCGAACAAAATTCCCGTCCGCCTTTCTTTCACTCTTCTCACCACCGCCACAACCTCTACATACCTTTAATCTTTCCACACATATCACATATTCTTCAAAATGGGCAAGGACAGCTTCGCACCTGGTAGGTTTCTTCATCCCCGGCACCGCACCTCGACCGCAACTCGGACACACGAGACGAATCACGAACGAGCAACATTCGATCGCCGCGCCTTGGACAGCTTCCAATTTCCGACACTGTCTTCGTCGAAAGAATGAGACTCGCGGACTCGTCTCTGTGTTTCCGCTTATCGCTGCCGATTTGCCGCCACCAATGGCTACCTGCAAAAGAACCTCCAACTAACAACAAACTCCAGGTGACTCCAAGAAGGGCGCCAACCTCTTCAAGACCCGTTGCGCTCAGTGCCACAACCTCAAGGAGGGTGAGGGTAACAAGATTGGGTACGTGTCCTCAAACACAGCATTTATAGTATGGTCTCGTACAGCGAACCGTACTCGAGATGTCCTCTACCTCTCTATTATACTCGGATGCTAACATCTCGCTAGACCTAACCTTCACGGTCTCTGGGGCAGAAAGACTGGTGAGGTCGAGGGTTACGCCTACTCCGACGCCAACAAGGGCAAGGGTATTCACTGGGGTGACGACACTCTCGTAAGTTACTCGTTACATGCTTCTCCACACAGTGGTTGCTGACCCTTCTCTAGTTCGAGTACCTCGAGAACCCCAAGAAGTACATTCCTGGTACCAAGATGGCCTTCGGTGGCTTGAAGAAGGCCAAGGACCGCAACGACCTTATCACCTTCCTCAAGGAAGAGACCGCTTAGATGTGCCAGACACCAACAATACCTCCATCCTGTACCAATATATCCTTTAGAGCGCAAAATTAGACCTGGTTGATGGGTTGTCTCAGCATGGCGATGCAAAATGTGGTGGGCTTCGGCTTCATATCTGCATGGGGTCTTGACGCTGAGGCCTGTATAATGAATCTTTCCTCTTTTCTCTTATGCTGCTGCAGCTGTTCTCTTGTGCAAATGTTCGAAACTTGTGCTGAAGATTTGGGCTCAGAATAGACCCGCCACAGCAACATGACAGATCATTTTTAAATGCCTTTCTGGTGGCTACTTGCATGGAATACGCAGGCACTTCTGCAAGGGACAGGTTATGTTCGTGTTTTGTCTCATGTGTACGGTGCTAATTCCAATATATAGTAACACCAAGCTTATGAACAAACCATGAAAGAGCAGAGCTATCACTGACAGGACATGGACTCTTGCTATATCGCCACAGACTACTCTACTGCTCTCACATTTCTCTGACTATCAACATTCAGATCTGGAACACTTGCGTGGGTCGGTTGGTAATATACCCTCAGCAACGACCCTTCAGCAGCCACAGGCTTCGATACTTCTATCTACTGAAAACGACAACTGACATCTTCAGCTGTCTACGCATCACCTCAGACTATGTGCTGGGTTGTCTTGACAATTTGACAGTCTTGTCTCAGCAACGCCGAGCAAACGACATTGGCAAACGGAGCATATTGTCGACCTTCGGATACCTCTAACCACCGACTTGCTTGTTTGTTCCTTGCTTGCGCAACGGGCAACAGCTCATCCTTCTTCCAAACCTTTTCGTCTTTTCCAATTCAACGATATCGCAACTTTTCGCCATCTTCATCCCGTGAGATATCCCTGTCTTACTGCCACGATCCTCCTTGCACTGCATATCTACCACCATCTCTTACATCCAACAATTCCATCTACCTGTGTATAGATTCACTAACTAACAGAATATTCAGAATCTTGGTTACCTTCAGGCAACATGGACGCAACTCCCAGGAACCTTCGCTCTTTACCCTCAAACTACAAAAATGCTCGCACTTTGCCTCCAAAGTACGCCCGTCACGGCACTATCTTCTGGCATACACTGACATCATGCAGAGTCTGGTGCAAGAGGTGTGAACGACTTCGACCTCTCGCTGCATTCGCCAACAACCGTCAGAAGGATGCCTCGTACTTGATGACCAACAGAGGCGCCAGATTGGGTGACGCCAAAGTCGTAGACAAGCTGATCTGCAACGACTGTTCTGGCGCACCCAAGACGGATCTCAGATGCACTGGATGTGGCAACAGTCGCCCTCTTGACCACTTCTCCACAACCCAGAGAAACGATCCAGACACTGCCATGTGTCGCAAGTGCATCAGCGAGATCGAGAACGTTATGCCTGGACAGCAGGAGCATGAGGAGGAAGGTTCTGATGAAAAGTACCTGGCGGTGAGTACATACCAACTGCATATTCCGAATGACGTTACTTACACTACAAAACCCAGAGCATGGGCGGCAGTGTCATCCCCTCTCATTCGTCCAGCAGTGGAGGTGTCTCTTTAGCTCCTAGCAACGGCTTCGAGCCAGTTCCTTCCACCACTCGTGGCTCTCATCTCACCACAAACACTGCACCTTCTGGTACATCGATCACTGGTCGCTCAAGCTGGTCTACTGCCAGCACAGTCACTACTACCAGTCACAGAATCAAAGCTAGTGGCTGGATCGATATCCCAAAGGTAAGCATGTTCTACTTCTCCTTCTTCGCCGTCATGACTGATAGCGATAAGGGTCCCCGCTTCGTTCCAGTCCCCGACCTCGAAGATGATTACGCTGTTGAAGATGATGGGAAGGATTATCAGATGTGAGGTGGAGTATTGCTTAGCCGTCAGGGTTGATGTGGTCATCGAGCCTAGAGAAGGGCTGAGTCAGCATGATGTTACATTCGCGTTCGATTTCAAGGTGTGGACGGAGGTGGAGGATGGAGGTTTGGAAACATAGTCTTTTCGTGACCAGTATTTCATACGCCATTGATATCATACCCTATCTCTTGGTTTGTTCATCCTCCTTCGCAAAATGACATCGCGACTTCTTCCTCGACCAGCCTCTGCTATGTTGGCTTCGTCGAATGTTCCTTCCACCCTTTTGATCATCGGGTACTAGTCTTGCTGCTTCTCCGTTGCAGAAGTAAGATTGAGGCGAAGCAGTAACATGATATACTAGTCGACAGCAAGAAGACAATATCAATCAGAATAGATCTATCGGTGATGAAGATGGGCAGGGTCGGATGGACATCGAAGAGCATACGGATGCTTGGCAGAAGACCCTTTCCAGCGGATCGCTGTAGTTTAACAGTCGACTACTGTAGTCTTTCCAGTCACGATTCGCCCTACCCTGTCGACTACGGACGGGATACCCGTGCGCTTATCGATAAAGAAAGTCGGTGATCAGAAAGTTCTCTCGAAGCCAGAGGCTGAAGCAGACCGACCAGTCTCTTGCTTGTACACACATCATGTCGACCATGTCGTTGAACGAGAGGCTCGACAAGATCCGGTCGCAGCCCAAGCTGTCGGGCATGCAGCAGGTGAGTAGTCTTATGCTTCTTCCAGAGTGCAGTAACTGACAAGGACCACAGACGGCTGTAGTGCTCGGCGCAGTCGAAGATACTCTGCGCTCGCAAAATGCAGAACAAACACCCACCGCCTACTTCGCCGCCCTCCTGTCGCTGCTGGCGCAGTTTGACATGGCCAACAAGGAAGTCGCTTATGCCGTTGTATACCTCCTCGACCTCGTCACCCCCCACGTACCCGCACCGCTTTTGCGCTCCAAATTCAGTCAGATCCTAGGCAGTCTCGCCCCCGCCCTCACACACCCCGAAGCAGAGGCTCCCTTGTTGCGCTCAAGTATTGGATGTCTGGAATCATTGCTGGTCGCACAAGATGCTGCAGCCTGGGCTCTTCCCGCTTCGTCTCTCAGTCCCCGCCGCGCAGTCGCCGGTCTGCTTGGTCTTGCCGCAGACCACCGTCCCAAGGTCCGCAAGCGAGCTCAAGATGCTCTGACTACCGTTCTCAAGAACCCTCCGCCCAGCCCTTCGCTCGATCACCCCGCCTCCGACATGGCTGCCGAGACATCGATGCGCTTGCTCCAGGATGCTGCTGAGAAGTCTGCAAAAGCCAAGAAGGCAAAGAAGGGAGCAAAGGAACAAGAGAACGACCCTGCCTTGATGCACGCCCTGCAACTCGTCAAGACCATTGCCACTGCTGCCAATGGATGGCCTTCCCGCAAGATCGACTCGCTGTGTGAGCTTTTGCTCGCCATCTCAAAGTCCAGCCACGAATTCCTCGTCATGTCTGCTTTCGAGGTCTTCGAGATCATCTTTGCTGGTCTGGCCAACGAAGTTTCGGCTGCAAAGCTTCCCCGTCTGTTAGAGGTTATCGGCGAACTTCAGCCATCGCAAAACGACTCGCAACTCCTGCCTCCTTGGATCGCCGTCATTTCGAGAGGTTACGATGTCGCCGCTCAACTCGACCCCGACGAGACTTTCGCAAAACTGCCTACCCTTTTCACCCAGGTCTCTGCCTTCCTCACTTCATCTTCCCACAACATTCGTATCTCTGCCTCGGAGTGTCTTATCTCTTTCCTCAACACCTGTGTCCCCGACTCTGTCCTCCTAGAGCCTTCAATTTACGACGAGAAGGTCTTTGAGAACCTTGGAAGCCAGGTCAACGATCTTCTCAGCATCAAATACCAGTCTGCCTGGATGGAAGTCTTCTCAGTGATTGGTGCTATGTTCGACACCTTGAAGTGGCGCTCGCAGGGTATCCTTAACACTGCCGTCAAGACTGTTGGTGATCTCCGTGGAAACGACTCTTTCTCTGGAAAGAAGGAAGCCGATGCTGTTCTCGGAAAGGCCATTACCGCTATGGGACCTGATAGCGTTCTTGAAATCTTGCCCTTGAACTTAACTAAGCCTGTTGCTGGACAACCCGGACGTGCCTGGATGCTGCCTATTCTTCGTGACTCAGTCAGAAACACCCGCCTTGCCCATTTCCGTGCCGAGCTTGTCCCTCTCAGTGAGGCCATGTTCCAGCGTGTCTTGAACCACGGAGCTGCCGAGAAGACCATGGAGATCAAGATTTTCGAGACTATCGTCCAACAAATTTGGGCTACTCTTCCTGGATACTGCGACCTTCCATTGGATGTAACCGAAGCCTTCGACCAGACCTTTGCTGAGATGGTTGCCAACCTTCTTTACTCTCAACCCCAGCTCCGTACCGAGCTTTGCAGAGCTTTGCAAAACATGGTAGAGTCGAATCAGACCGTATCCTCAATCGAGGGCGAAGAGGATCTTGTCATGCAGGGTAGAGTTTCCAAAGCTGACGCACAGAAGAATATTCAGCATCTTTCCGGCCTTGCTGGTAACATTCTTGCTGTTTTGTTCAACGTCTACAGCGAAACCCTGCCTCAATACCGTGGTGTCATCCTTCAAGCCATCAACGCATACCTCAGCATCACCCCCGAGGCAGAGCTGATGGAGACATTCACCCGCGTTGCTTCCATGCTCGAGTCATCTCTTGGTGAGAGCGGACCTCAAACACAGGCTGACAAGCAAAAGGAGACCAAGGGCCCTAACAAGATGCCTCCCATGTCGCACACTCTTATGGATCTGGTCATCACAATCTCTATCTACCTTCCTCGTGACAGCTTCGCTGGACTCTTCAACATGGCTGCCATCATTGTGAACAATGACTCCGACCCGCAACTACAAAAGAAGGCCTACAAGCTTATTCCTCGTCTTGCCGAGTCTGAGTCTGGTCGCGCAGCTATTGTTGAGCGTAACTCTGACCTTCAACAACTCCTCCTCCAGGCTGGTCCCAAGGCCGCTGCTCCTTCTCGCCGCGACCGTCTGACCGCCATCTCTCAAATCATCCCCACTCTTCCCAAGGAAGACCTCCACTTCATCCCCTCAATCCTGTCCGAAGTCGTCATTAGCGCAAAGGAAGTCAATGAAAAGGCACGTACCGCCGCTTTCGAGCTTCTTGTCCAGATGGGTGAGAAGATGGCTGAAGGTGGTACCGTCGTTAACGCGAAGGTTCCTCACATGCCCGATGACGCCGCTCCTGTAGAAGCCAGTCTGGAAGAATACTTCACCATGGTCTCTGCTGGTCTCGCCGGTTCCACTCCTCACATGATTTCCGCCTCAATTACTGCTCTCGCTCGCCTTCTCTACGATTTCCGCAACACCCTTTCCGAGCCCGTCATCTTGGACCTTGTCCAAACAATGGATCTCTTCCTCACATCCGCCAACCGCGAAATCGTACGCTCATGTCTTGGTTTCGTCAAGGTATGCGTGCTCTCCCTCCCCACAGATCTCATGCGCCCCCGCCTGGCGACCCTCATCCCCAACCTTATGGTCTGGAGCCACGAGCACAAGGCCCACTTCAAACTCAAGGTCAAGCATATTTTTGAACGCATGATCAAGCGTTTCGGCGTCGAAATCGTAGAAAAGCACTGTCCGGAAGAAGACAAGAAACTCATTGCCAACATCCGCAAATCGCGTGACCGCGCAAAGAGAAAGAAGGAAGCCGGCAAGGACGACCCCGACGCCGAAGACGATGACGCCAGTCGCAAAGCAGGCAAATTCGAATCAGAGTTTGACGAGCAAGTCTACGGTAGCGACGAAGAAGACTCTGGCTCTGACATCTCCGACGACGAGGTTTTGGGTCGCTCAGCAGCCAAGGGCCGCAAGGCAAAGGCTCAAGGCGGCAACACCTTCATCGTCGAAGACGAAGACGAGCCCTTGGATCTGCTCGACCGCAAAGCCCTCGCCAACATCTCCTCCACCATCCCTTCGAAATCGCGCTCTGCACCTTCCACGCGCAGACCCGCAAAGATGGATCTGGACGGCAAACTTGTCTTCAACGAGGCCGACTCCGACGACGAAATCATGGAGTTTGACGACGCGGGCAACGCAGCTAGTCTTGAAGATGGTATCAACGCTTATGTCGAAGCCATCAAAGGCAGAGATGCCGCTATTCGCGGTAGAGGCGGCAAACTCAAGTTCAAGAACAAGGGCAACAAGAACGCGGATGATGACGACGAGATGGAAGTCGATGCCAAGGAGTTCGCTGATGCTCGCGCCAAACCCCAACGACGAAGTCTCGGCGGCGACAGAGGCTCTTCCTCTGGGTTCCGTGGCGGTAGAGGCGGATCGGGCTTCCGTGGCGGCAGAGGAGATTCTCGCGGCGGAAGAGATTCTCGTGGTGGTAGAGGAGGTTCTTCAGGCTCAGGATTCCGTGGCAACTCTGGCAATCGCGGTGGCTTTGGCGATCGCGGCGGCAGAGGCGGTTCGTCTCGTGGTGGTCGTGGGTCTTTTGGCGACCGCAGAGGTGGTGGCCATGGCGGTGTCAACAAGGGGCGTTTTGCACCCAAGGGCCAGGGCCAGAGGGATGAGAACCGCAACAGAGCTAGTAGAGCTTAGGAGAAGGTGTGTGATTGATTGTTTAGCAAAAAGTTGAGCATGCTAGGAGGTGTATAGGAGTTTTGATGTTTATAGTTTTTCTTGATATCGTATATTGTTTTCACTTGTACGGATATTTGGCCGATGGTGCTGGAGTTTGTGAGAGTCCTCGTGTTGTGTACATGTCCCTTGATTGTTCATCCGACTCTCGAGAAGGTTCCTTGATCTAATCGACCTCATTGACAACAACACCAGCTACCAACCCCAACTCACTCACTCACACTCTCACACAGTTCACACCATGGCCACCGACGACGAAAGACACGCAAGATTCAACCACACCATGGCGCGCCTACACGCTCGAGAGCAAGCGCTAGCCGCCAAACTCGATCAACTCGACAGGGAGATGCAGCAGTTCAGGAGGGATCTGGTTGCTTTCCATGCTCGTCGCGCTCATGTGCATGCTCTGATCCAGCAGCACATCGCGGAGGAGGATGCATTGAACACCGACAGCTGGACTCGGATGGATGTTGCTCCTGCTTCCGACGTTCAGGGTGTTGCTGCTGGGTTTTTCGACCAAGGTGCTGAGACTATTGCGGCTGCTACCACTCCTTATAGCCGAGATATCACTACTCTTGACCAGCATGCCAATCCCGTCGTCGATGACATGGACTCCCTTTTCATCCCCGAGCAGGCTCGTAGCAACGAGGAGAACACCAGCCCTCTCACCTCTCGCTCCAATCGCCGCAGCGACCAGCAACACATCGACTCTCTCGCCTCTCGCCCCAAGCGCCGCCGCGTCACTTTTGCTGATGACGCCGACGTGATCATCGACAGGAATGCCCTCGCTGTTCAAAACTCCAACTCAGAGAGCATGCCCCAGACCAGCGACAATCAGTCTGTCACAGCTCCCAGAAGTCCTCATGCATCACAGGGATTCTGGGGGTGACAACATGCACTTCGTCAAAGCTGGGGGTTGGAGCTTGGGATGCACAAAACTTGTCGACACCGTTGATGGAGGCATTCGCGACAAATGTCAGACTGCTTTGCAAAGGCCTACAGATGCGACGGATCTGTGCCACCGAGTTGATTCAATGCAGCAAATACTCGATCGCTTCTGGATGTCTTGTGGAGCATAGGCCTGGATCCTGCAGGAGGAGAGACCTCAGCTGTGCGATGGCCTTGGTCGATATGCAAGTGGGGGGACGAGATCAAGCAGGTCTCTTACGTGGTTATGAAATGGTGTGGCAGTCATTAGCACGGCCTTGGGAAAGTTCTGGGAAAACAGTGCCGCCAAGGTTTCCGGAGTGGAAGTATTTTGACCTTTTGTGTTGTCATCGGTAGAGGAGAGCTGCGGAAGAGCCCCATCAATCTCGTCGCCTTATGTCTCTCGACTCTTTTCCCCTCGGTCAACCTCATACAAACACAGCAAGACCATCTTACTGCGCCCCTTTCCCCGCCTTTCTACACTGTTTTCCTCGCAAGAAAAGCATTCATGTATCCAAATGGCCAAGTGTGTAATCTTCTCACTCCCACGAATTTCCACTCTGCACACTCTGCCACTGTAATTTTTTCTCCCTTGACAGCAGTGTGCTCCTCACTGATTACTCTGGCTTTCTCTCCCAATACCTTTTCCGCCAACTGCAATGTTTCGTTGAAATTGCGGGTGCGTAGACAACTCACCACACCATCCCAGGCTTGCACAAAGGGCAATACAGGAAAAATATAGGTGAAGAAGAGATGCAAAGGGCGAAAGGGAAACCAGAGTATCGTGACCAGGAAGAGGAGAAGAGGTTCTCCGAGCATCAGCAACAGCATACCTAGACTCCGGTCCTGGAGTTCCAAGATGCAAACGCCATCAGCTGTTTCCAATGTATTCTGTATAATCTTGCTTGCAGCTTCGTCGGTGAAATGATGGAAGGACAGACTGTACAGATGAATGGATTTGTGGTCGCCAGAATGCTCAGAAGTGGAAGAGGATGTTTTGGAGATGACTAAGGGAGGTGCGTGTGAAGTGTCTGTGGCGTCCACGGGTTGAGGTATAAAGGACAGGTTCGCGGAACGGGAGGCTAGGGGCATCCAGGCATCGAGGTTTGGGTGGAAGTCGGAGAGGCGGAAAGGGATGGGGGTGTGGTTTGTGAGGGTGCGGGAGGCGTTGATGGATTTTTCTATCAGGGGTGTTGGACCTGTGGGGGTGGAGGTGTTAGATGTAGGTCCTGAAAGCGTATTCCCGTCTGGGAAGTCTATGGTAAATGTAGTTGTAGAGATGCACGAACGTTCCTAATACAGAGGCAGGACCAAGGAGATCTGAGCATATGACATCTCTCAATGTGCGTCTATCTCTTTTCTGGAGAGTATGGTGTAGTTTGACAGCTCAAGCCTCGGTGACATCACAAGTACCTCCGCAGCAGTGCCTAAGGTTACGGAAATTCCAAACTTGCTTACCTCCTGCTCCCGAGCAAAAGTCAATGACAAAATATTGCTCTGAATCAATATCCGGGAAATCATCGAGGAAGGCGTGAATGAGTCTGGCCGCCGTTTCTGCTGGGGTTGTTTGTTGTAGGAAAGGTAGTTTCCGCGTCCATTGAGCTGTAAGCATGTCCTGACAGCAGTGCTTGACGAATGACGGTGTTCTGTATGGACGTATGGACTAATCAGATACTGTGCATGGAGACTGTATCTAGGCAAACACAAAGGCAGAGGAGAGTCGGTGGCATCGTTCGTAGATCATGGACCTCCTGGTTGCTCTTGTCGGCCACCTTGTTGGGAAGATCCTTCGTGAGTTTGTCGATGTCTTGACTAGCACGAATTGTGCCACCCACGAAGGACTTCTTGGTTGAAACTGTTCGAGCAGAAGTCGATTCTCTTTGACAGATCAACCTCAGTGGCTGCCGACACTTGATCTGGTAGTAAGAGATGCTGGTGATCCGACCGACGTCCTCTGCCAATGCATCCAGGTGGTACACTCACATTGCTAGATCGCACCACTCGAAGAGGTGCCATCTTGATGGCGACGCCTGTATCTGTGACAGCTGGTGGACCTGGTCGAAGATGAACATGATCGCATGGATTGTGAACAAACCTTTAGCTCGAGCAATGAAATGATAATGAGCCAAGAGACATTGTTGGAAGCATCCTGCCATCCAGGTGTCCAAAGATATGCCTGCCTACGTCATGATGCGGCTGGGGAGGAACCCTGGCCAGTAAGCAAAGAGTACGGCACAAACGAGCAATAATCTGCGCTCGACGTGAAGCAATCAGCTAGATGACTACGATGTCTACTTGCAGGATATAATGCTCATGCGGCTGGTTATCCGAGACTAAAGGGTCTTGGGAAGAGTACTTGTACAGCATCAAGGTAAGTTAGGGCGAAGTCGGGGTTTGTCTGAGCCGAGGTCGGGGTCTGTCGTAGGATCAGCTGCATATCGAGACGCACCTTGATAAGAAAAGTTTCGTGACTCAACGCAGCAATTGCCATCTGGCCGGGGAAAAAGTTGGAGTTGTTGCTTCTGTTCTCTCTGCATTGTTCTTGATCTTCTGTATACCCGTCGTCATGTCTTTCCGTATTTGCTCTTCGCGATTGAGCGCCTCGCTCAAGCCTTCATTGGCTTTGCGCCGTGGTTATGCCTCGCCGACGGCATCCAACCTGCCTGCCGGTCTCCAGAATGCCATTCAAGTGCGCAATCATGCTGAGACTGATTCCCATGGACTGAATTGACAATGAGCAGAAGGAAGCATCTCTAGCTACACCGGATCCTGCCTCGGACTCGCAGACCAGCCGTCTTGTAGGCCAGTCTACACCATACATGGTCCCCACATACGTCCGCCCTCCGCCCATGTTCCAGAAGGGAGAAGGCTGCTTCTTGTGGGATGTTGAGAACAGACAATACCTCGACTTCACATCAGGAATCGCCGTCAATGCTCTGGGTCACTGTGATCCCGAGATGTCCAAGCTGCTCGCTCAGCAAGTCAGTCATGCTCTCGTCGAACCAGACGACATCCTCGCATACTAATATTCTACTCAGGCGCAAACCCTCGTACACACCTCCAACCTATACCACAACCCCTGGACCGGCGCATTGTCTAAGCTGCTCGTGGAAAAGACGGTCGAATCAGGCGCCATGGCCGACGCGGCACGAGCATTCATCTGCAACTCTGGCTCCGAAGCCAACGAGGCCGCCATCAAGTTCGCTCGCAAATGCGGTCGCACCGCCGATGAATCGGGAAACAAGCACGAGATTGTCTCGTTCCACAACTCTTTCCACGGACGCACAATGGGCTCCTTGTCAGCCACTCCCAACCCAAAGTACCAGAAGCCTTTTGGCCCCATGGTTCCTGGCTTCAGATACGGCACTTACAACGACATCTCTGCCATCAACGACCTCGTCACTGAGAAGACCTGTGGTGTCATCATCGAGCCCATTCAGGGTGAGGGCGGTGTCAACGTCGCAACCGACGACTTCCTACTCGCCCTCCGACGCCGCTGCACAGAAGTCGGCGCCATCCTCATCTACGACGAGATCCAATGCGGTCTCGGACGCACCGGCACCATGTGGGCTCACGGAGCTCTCCCCAAGGAAGCACACCCCGACGTGCTCACCACCGCAAAGGCCCTCGGCAACGGCTTCCCCATCGGCGCCACCATTGTCACCGAGAACGTCTCCAGCAAAATCGTCACTGGCGACCACGGCACCACTTTCGGCGGAAACCCTCTGGGCTCTCGTCTTGCACACTACATCGTTGGCCGTCTGTCCGGCGCCGAGATCCAAGATGGCGTGCTTGCAAAGGAAAAGATCTTCCGCCAGCGTTTCGAGCAATTGAAGAACAAATACTCCGATGTCATCACCGAGGTTCGTGGACGTGGTTTATTGCTCGGTGTGCAGCTATCTCAAGATCCCACTCCTGTGATCACTGCTGCCCGTGAACGCGGTCTGCTGATCATTACTTGCGGAACCAACACACTCAGATTTGTGCCTCCGCTCATCGTCTCCGAGACCGAGATCAACCAAGGCATGGATATTCTTGAGGATGCCATGAAGGCTGTTTTCAGAACCGATGAGCACATTCCCGGTACTGATGGCCAGCAAGAGATGCGTGCCTCGTAGAAGGGAACATTTGTTGATTGATCTGCTTTTGTTGTTCGAAAAGTTGCATGGCGTTGGTAGGAAAGGGCATGTGTTATGTGATATAGACCAAACAATGTACTACTGATTCTCACGGATCAAAACTTGTCAGAAAAAAGCCAACATGAAACAACGATCACAAGTCGTACTTTCAGGTCATCAAATCCTTGTGCTGAATCATGGATCTGCCTAATCACAACTGAAAGAATGACTAACGACTGTGGGAGGACATAATTCGTCTGCATTGTTTATGCATGATATGAATACTACTCTGGGGGAATTAACGTTAACTAGAAGAGGACTACAAGAATGAAAGGTAGAACCGTGATGTGCAAAGATGCTGCTGCATCTACGTTCCAGTCTCAGTCTCAACACCGGGTTGTCTACCATTGAGGCCACCCGTCATCTTGTTCTTGATCTTCCTCAACCCAATCTTGGTCTCGTCCTTGGCAAACTTGAGGTTGCGAGCTGGTTTCCACTGCATCAAGCCGCGCTGCTTGCGCTCCTCAGTACGCTTGTTCTGTGCGTTGTGGTTCTTGATACTTCCTCCGGTGTTGGGGTCTGAGAATGTGGAGTTGGTACCGGCGTAAGAGTCGTAGGAACTTCTGCCGCCAGTGGTGTCGGTGGCGAATGACTCTCTGCCTGCTCTTTCGCGTTTGTTGCCGCCTCGATTCTCTGAGTTGTCGGCGTCCATGATACCGAGATCTTGCGAGGAGTCATCGGAGTCACTGTCGTCGTCGGAGCTGGGGTTGTGAGGATCGTGAAGAGGAGGTTCCGCACCAGGCTCGCGACGCTTTCTGCCTTGCGAGTCCACGTATGCCTTGGGGTCTTCGCCAAAGGCTCCACTCCAGTCAGTGCCTTGCTTACTGAGCCACTTTTGCTTCTCATCGGGCTCTTCCTCTTTGAGGATGTCGCGGCCTTCTGTGAGAGACTTCTCGTGTAGAGCTTGCACACGATCAGGCATCTCCTTTTCAACTAGTCTTGTGCGAACGCCTTCAGCAAGACAAGCCTCCCAAGTCTCGTAAGTCTCGCGAGACTCGTTGTCGCTCACAAAGTGTTCGTGACTCTCATCCATACCAGCCTTGAAGCGACCAGTAAACCTTAGGCGACCAACCTCCTCGAGGTCTTCCAGGCCAGGCATAGCCTTGTCTGCATTGTCTTCCGTAATGTAGTTCTGAGTCAACCTTGCCGGGGCCGAAGTACGCCAGATGGGAATGTCAATCTCGGTTGATTCGTTGTCGACCAGATGCTGTAGCCAGAGAACAGCGTGAGCATCAGCCTTGCGCTTACCAGAAAGGTGGAACTCAAAGACAATAGGACTGCGGTAGCGGTACTTGACAGGAAGGCGTATGGGCTCCTTCTTCTCGTTGTGTTGAACTTCCCATTCAAGGCCGTTGGCAGTCTTGTGACATTGTGTTCGTGGTAGCTTACCAACTGAACCACCGGTGCGCATCTTGAGCTTAGCATGATGACTGTAGCCAGTTGCAGTAATTCTCTCAGAGAGGAATTGGAAGGTACCAACGTCCCAGCCAAGCATGTTGGGAGGGAGACGAGTTTCAATGCTTCGGAAGAGAAGAGAGATACGAATGCGACCAAAGCCGATACCACCATCGAGAGGGTACCATCTGGTAACTTGCGAGCTGGTCTCCATGACGTCGGACAACTTGAGAGGCACAACTCCGAGGATGGGATCGTGCTCACGGTTGCGAGAGTCGCGAACGGTGACTGTAATGACAGCAGATCTCCAATCGCGGACGAATCGCTCAGTACCAGCGTTGAAAATAGGCTGACTGCTAACTGCCTTGGCACGAGTTCTGTAGACCAACTCGTCGTTGTAGAGGATGGTACAGTAACTGGTAGGAAGTTGATCTCCCTCTTCGTCGGTACCTTCGCCGCTAGGCTTGGCGGGTTCGTACTCTCTGCCCTTGCGACTGCCCTCTGTACCCTTGATGTTATCAAGTTCGAGGTTGACAATCTGGTGAACGACGATGCTGCAAACACCACTAGGCCATAGAGGGTCCGGAGGTGTGTGTTGGACGGCATCATCAGTATCAGTGTTGGCTACACCCTTGTCATCTTGGAGCTCGGGCTTGTCGCGAAGGTTCTCAGGAAGTGCGTGGTTCTTGCCATCGGTACGAAGAGCAGGTCTGAATTGAGGCTTGCCGAAGAAACCCACCTCCCAATGGAGCTCTCCAGGCATTTCGCTGTCGGAGTCCATGCCAGCAAGCTTGGAGACTTGAGGATACATCTTTCCGGGGTGCTGGATCATCTTTTGCATGGACAGCTCAACCTTTCCGACAATGTCGTCAGCGGTGTGACGGTCGGAATCCCAAAGCTCGACACTCAAATTCTCGTCGGCCTTGATCAGCTCGGGAGTAACGAGAAGACTATATTTTTGTCAGCATAGGAATCAAGACAATTTAGCGATGCAACTTACGCAGCAGTTTCTTCCCAGATAGGGTTCAAATCGTCGGTGATAACACGGGTACAGTACATAGGCTTTCCATACTTGGAGAAAGACAAGGTGATGTAAGGATCGCTGCCTCCGTACTTGCTACCACGCTTGTCCTGCTTGCTCAGACCAACAGCACGATGGATGCGGATCCACATGACACCCAGAGCTTGGACGTCCTTGGTAATGTCGTCGCCTTGAAGCATAGCCCTCATGTCAAGAGACATAGACTTGGGGGCGACGTACATGCTAGCAGCCGCGCCAATGGCGTAGTTGACGAAGTTCGAAATGAGGGGAAGGTTGAGAATGTTGACACCCTTCTCAACCATGGGAATACATCCGGCCTGAACGTGAGGGACGCCCATGAGTGTAAAGGTCAGAGTCTTGAGGAAAGGAGGTTCCGGAGTCATGGCCATGCGCAGTCTGACAGTACCGACTAACTCCTGTAGCTCGACGAAGATGGGAAGAGGGATACCAAACAGTCCCTTGATACCGAGATAGAAGACCAGTTGCATGTGCATGTTTCTGGCTCTGTCCGAGGCTCTCTTGCCAGAAGGAGCAGCGTGGTATGCGAAAGAGACTTCGAGGTTGTAATAGTCACCACCCTCCTCGTCAGCAGCGGCCTCTTGCGGGTCCTTGGTCTTCTTGTTTTCCTCGTGAATCGCTTTCTTCAAATCCTTCATGTGCTCATCGGGAAGAGCGCGCAGACTGAGGATGCGGATGGGATTGCTGCCTTGGTTGATTTCGGCAACGCGGACGTTCTCGATGACACCGGGAACGGATGCTTGCATGACATCCTCGAGGGTATCGGCGACACTCTGGAACATATCCGGATTGACGAGGCCCCAAACGACTCCGAGCAAAGTATTCATCCATTCGACTGATTCGGGGAGGAGATTGGCTGTGGCCTGCAACGTGCATGTCAGTATCGCTACGTCTTTAGACGTCGGCTCCTCGGCGGACTTACGGTTCTGCCTCTGGTCTTCTCACTGTCCCACTCGACTTCTCTGCCACTACGAATGACCTCCTTGGCCCAGAGGAAGATACCAGAAGCCACACACATGGCCAGAGGGATGAGGCCTTTGAGAGAGCCACCAAAGATGTTTCCGATAAACACGACAGCAAGGAAGACACCAATACAGAGACCGGTTGCTTTCTTCTCCATGGCAGCGAAGAAGGGCTCATAGCTGACGGATGGTGTAGGGTGAAACAGAATGTTGGTCTTTTCGCCGTGGATGGGTACGTCTGAGGTGCTACCTTCAGCGACAGGATCCGGAGGGGCGGTGACATCTTGGTTGTGCTTGTACTCGTCCATTGGTTGCGACGGGTCGGTCTTGACGGTCTAGATTGTGTCAGCCTTGTAATGTGCTTGTTATCGTATGCGCAACATACTGTAGGCTTTCCCAGATTCGCGTTCGGTACAGAGAGCTGCCCGCATGTCAGAAAGCTGTAGTCTCGTAGATCAAGTACATCATCCCATACCATGGGGTTCTTGGCCGCATCTACCATCTCCTTGTTGACATCTTCGATGACTACCTCCTTGCCGGTGGTTGGGTCGGTGACTTTTTGCTGGTTCTCCTTTGCGTGCAGGTTCGACTCCTGCTGGTGAGGGACTGCATCGCCATTCTTGTTGGCAAGCTGTTGCTTTCTCTGCTCCTCGATCTGCTTGTCGCGAGTCGACTTGTCGCGATCTAGTCTCTCGATAAACTGGTTGATGGTGGGGATCTTGTTGTTGCCCGAGTAGTGTCCACCAGGGGCGTGCTGCTGCTGATCCGCCATGGTCAGCGAGTCGGACCGGAAGGGAGGTGGAGGTGATGGTGGTGTAGAGAGAGGAGAGAAAGAGCTAGATCAAGGTATCATTCGCTTCTCCACATGCTACACAGCGTTGCCTTGGCCAGCTCGCGATTGACGCACGAAACTGGGAATGCCATCGAGAATGGCGCGTTCGCCAAAAACGCATACGTCACTGCCAGTGGCTTTCTTGTCTGGTGGCTGCAGCGAGTGGAGCGCTCCCGTTGCAACTCCTCGTCAATTCCTGCTCAAATCGTCGCCCAAACACTTGGCCTCAATACTCAACAGTTATGGTTATCACTCTTCTCGTTCCCGGTAAGGGATAGATACAGAAGTCCGACATGTCTATAGTACCACTCCATCTGCAGAGGGGTGCCGATTCACGACGCAGAAGTGATAAGCACAAATGCGGAGGAGAGAGCATTGACCAATAGAGCCGAAGAGCGGTCCCGATCTGGAGGACCAAAAGACTACCATCTCCCAGCTGGGCATCAGGCTTGTTTCTCCCTGCTTCTTGTTCCTTGGTTGTAAGACCTTCGACAAGCATGTCTGGCTGCTTCACCTCGTCCATGAATTGCCGCCTTTGTATCGGCGGCAGATCGGTAGAATATCAGTTAGTCGTTTGTGACGATACTGGTCTCATCCTATATATCGATGGTGATATAGTAGACTTAGAAGAGGGCATCATCGCTCCTGGGCTGCTAGAGTTATATGCCAATGGCTTACTAGGGTTCCATTTTGCAGGAATGCATTCAGAACATGAGGATGCAACCTGGCAGAGGCAGTTAGATGCGTCACTAAGAATGTGGCAGACATGGTGGGAGACAGTAGCAGAGGCAAGCTACTATAGACGTAGGTAGTAAGGCTTAAGATATAGCAGAAACGATGAAAGTAGAGACTCTTTATGCGCATAGAGGACTGCTTACATACGCAGAGACGCGTGTTATTCATATATAGATAACGTCGAGTTCGGACATGGTCGTTGGCTATGCCGGTGCAATGCGGCTCTCAAGTTTGACCGAGCCAACGAAGATGGTGTGTTGAAAAGGGGGAAGGCATATAGAACGTGTCACTTCTAAACGCAGCGGACTCGAACAATGTTGTTCATTTGCGAAAGCTAGACGTTTTTTATCATACGCACAGCAGGGTCCACATGGACTGCGGGGCGGGTTTGTGTGTTTAGCATGGCTTCAACGGCGGTTGCTGCGAACTGTCAGATGCAAGAACATTTTCATTCAGGAGTAGAGAGAAGCGTTAGACCGGTCGCGATAAAGGGATAGCAACGAAGAGCTCCGAGCTGTCACTTGACCAGCCTCACACCCTACCTCCAAGACTTCAGGAACGCAACCCAAGCTAGAGTCTGACCAGCCATCCAGACACCGACGTCGACAAACAAAGCCTGGACCAACCACTTTATACGACGCAAATCACGCCCGCTCACGACTTGCATCTCTTTTCGAATCGCAGACACTCTCTTGCACATACACTAGCTAGAACGACATGTCTGAGACTGAGCCCAAGCACAACGACGACACACTGCAGCAGCCAGCGCATGCCGACACCCACCAAGAGGACGACAGGGATACAGTAAGTTCCTCGCTTAGCCACACCATCAACTCTCTTTGTTGTCTGCTTTTGGCTCCCATTCGCGTCTGAGTCCGCCCGTGACTGATGGCTCTCAGGACACATTCGAAGATGCTCCCGACACGACCCCGTCTGACGCTGCACATGCCGAACAGCACGACTCAACCAACCATACCATCTCGCATCACCGAGACAATGCCGATCATGACTCTCGCATAGCCACCAGCGAGCCGCCATTGAACGACACAGCACCCAGCCTTTCCACATCTATTGCGCCAGGAGCATTTGACTCGGACGACATCCAAGACGCCCTCGCCGAAACATCACATGCTGAGAAAGAGTCTGCCTTGGAGAGCGAAGGACAAACTGCACAAGAAAGCCGACCATCGACAGCACAAGGGGACCATCACGCGACACCCATCCCCATGAACGACGAAGCCGCCACAGCTGCAGGAGCCCAAGACAAGCGATCCGGCATCGACATTATCAACCAACTCACACCCGAGAACGACCAAGACGACATGCCTCGAGCTGTCAAATCCCGTCAAAACACCCTCGAATCCGTACCCGAGCTACCACCCGCCCTACCGGAGAGAGACACCGAAAACGAGCCTGTCAAAGGTCTATCTGGTGACCTCCCCACTCTCAACTACCCTCCTCCGCCACCAATTCCGATTCAAAAGTCGCAGACTTACATAGTCTCGCCCACAGTCGAGAAGCCTCCTACCACACGGAAAGTCTCAAGTCCATTTGCCTGGTTCTCACGAGCTCGAAAAGCTACATCTCCCTCTAGACCGACCAGTCCACGGAGGAATACCGCTTCGTCACTGCAGAGCTTGACAACGAATCCCGACTCGAATGACGATGCTTCCCATCCACCTACTTTGAAAGACCGTTTCCACATCTTGCGACTGCAGGGCGAATCAGCCATATCGACAGATGAAAGTCTGGCTCTGCCTCAAGGCCGCCAGGGTCGTGCTGGGAGTCTACAGAGCCCCACCAAAGAGGATGGACAACTAAGTCCTCCATTCACTCCTCGAGCAAACTCCTTCTCCGCCATCTCATCACCCACCACAAAGCTTCCTCCTGGAACTGTTTCTGGAGACGCTGCTGGACCATCCGAGGAGCAGGGCGCGGTCAATTGGGATCTTTGGCAGTCTGTTGTCTACGAAGGTCCTTCAGCTGTCGCGCGTACAAGTGGAGACGAATTCAATCGCGCTATCGCTAATGGTATTCCTCAGCCCATTCGTGGTGTAGTATGGCAAGTCATGGCAGAGAGCAAGAACGATGAACTGGAGCAGGTTTACCAAGAGTTGGTCGCTAGAGGCACTGACAAAGAGGTTATCTCCGCATCTACTGTTCGTCGTACTAGCGGCCACGGTGACGCAGAAGTGATAGCTTCCTCCGCCTCTTCTGTGCACTCAAATGTTTCTGCAGCCACCTCTCCTCAGATCAATGGCACTGAGTCTTCGACATCACCAGAGAGGAAGCGCAGATCAAAGGATGAGACTGCTGCTCTGCAGAAGCTCGAGAAGACCATCAGACGCGATCTCGGTGCCCGGACAGCGTACTCCAAGTACATTGCGAGCGCAGGTCTTCAGGATGGTTTGTACGGTATCTGCAAAGCATATGCTTTGTATGACGAACCTGTTGGCTACGCTCAGGGCATGAACTTTATTGCCATGCCTCTACTATTCAACATGCCAGAAGAGGAGGCATTCACCCTCTTCGTGCGGTTAATGTCAAAGTACAACCTCCGATCGCTGTTCACTGCTGAGATGACCGGCCTTCATCTACATCTCTACCTGTTTGAGCGCCTATTGGAAGACTACGAGCCAGCACTCTACTGCCATCTCCACAGACGTGGCGTTCCTCCGAACTTATACGCCACGCAATGGTTCCTCACTCTGTTCGCCTACCGCTTCCCTCTCCAACTCGTACTCCGCGTGTATGATCTCGTGCTCAGCGAAGGTCTAGGCGCCATCTTGAAGTTCGGCATCGCACTCATGCAACGCAACGCCCAAACGCTACTGGGAATGAAAGACATGGTCCAACTGTCCACTCACCTCAAAGAACGCCTCTTTGACGTCTACATCGATAAGTCGCCTTCCGCAAACTCGATCCTTGAATCAGGTTTCTTCGGCTCCACCTCCGGTGCAACAGATAAGGAAGTCTATCGCGCTGACGAACTCGTCCGAGATGCCTGTGCCGTAACCATCACACCCGAAACACTCGCCGCCTATACCTCTGAGTTCGAAGAAAAGACCCGTCTAGAGAAAGACAGAGAAATCGAATTAGAGTCCCTACGCAACGAAAACGCAAACCTCAGCTCACGAGTCCGCAAACTCGAACTCCGCACTCAGCAATCCGATGCCGAGCACGTAGACCTCGCATCCTCACTAGTCCGCACGAAAGTCGAGAACGACTCCCTCCTCGACGAAAACGAGTCCTTGAAAATGCAAGTCGAGGAATTGAGGAAGATGGTAGATAAACAGCCCCAAGAAGTCGAAGAGAAGTTGAAGGGTGAAATGGATGCGATCATGCAGAGAAATATAGAAGTGCAGGGGCAGAATCGAACACTGGAAGAGCAGCAGCAGGAAATGGAGCAGGAATTGGTGGGGACGAAGATGATGTTTGCGCAGGTGAGTTCTTGCAACCCGTGATTTGTGATGGTTGAAAAGGATGATGCTGACAAGAGAACCAATAGTTGAATGCGGAACATGATGCTCTCAAGCAAAAGATGAGGGATGTGCAGAACATGCTGGCGACCACTGACTCAAAGTGATGAGAAGCACTTCCTTTGCTTTCTCCTCAACATCAAATACCTTGAACGCACACAACCCTGCTAACAGAAGAATTTATCAGCAAGGCAAGCAGAGTTGAATCTCTTGCTGTCTTGTACGAGACTGTAGAGCAGAGTAGTGCCTCTCCATTTTTCTCCTCGAGAGTGGTCGACCAGACCTTCTTTTCATCAGCATTTTAGCCATTCTTCCCTTTTTCCTGTTCAAAGGAGGCACAGAGAGAGATGACTTGTATATACAAACTTTTCAATTCGGTGCCAGATGAGTATACACTCTTCGCTAATCTGTCTGCCGTGAACTTCTCGCTCTGTGTTGTGTCATTGCAAAACTTACCCAATGTTCCTAGCTATCTCCCGACAAGGCTGTCGAACCAGTTTCTCAGAACACAAGTATTTGAGAAACTGTCCAACAAGCTGTTGTTGCAGCAGCGCACTCACTCATCTGCCTTTATATACACGTACATTCGTCACACGTTATTCGAATAGGGGAAGACGGAAGACTTTTTGTTGTATGTTAAAGACTTGTCTGGGATTTCTAAAGCTCATAGTCCTTCCCTTTGCCATACTTGCCTCTAGTAGTCCTCGTTTTCTCCTCCTTAAGACTATCTTCCACTATCACACTTTCTTTCCTTTACCCTTTCTGCAACTTTTTCTTGTCATGCCGCTGCTGACACCTTTTGAGGTTCCATGATGGGACGAACTTGATGGCCTCGGCAGAGGGCTGCTCGTTGCCGGCGAGGTTGAGGAGGAGGTAGGCTGCGAGAACGGCTCTTCCTTTAGTTCTTCTACTGATGTTTTTGAGTCTCCAGGAGAGAACGAGATTGAGGGCCTTGGCAGAGAGCTACTTGTTGCCGGCGAGGTTGAGGAGGAGGTAGTCTGCTTGTCGCCAGAGATGAGCTTCTCAAGACGGCCACCTTCAGCGTTGGCACCGACGGAGAAGAGGACGAGCTGTATGTCTTCGGCAGAGAGCTGCTCGTTGCCGGCAAGGTTGAGGAGGAGGCGGGCTGCGTGGACGATCTTGCTTCTGATTCTTCTGCCGATATTTTGTTCTCCAGCATAGGATAGACTTGATGTTCTCATTAGAGGGCTGCTTGTCGCTGGCGAGGTTGAGGAGGAGGTAGGCTGTGTGGACGTTTTCTACCCTGGTTTTTCTGCGGCATTTCTTGTTCCTCCAGCAGAGGACGGACTCGATACCCTCGGCAGAGAGCTGCTCGTTGCCGGCGAGGCTGAGGAGACGGTAGGCTGCTCGTTGCCAGAAAGTTCAGAGATGAGCTTCTCGAGACGGTCACGCTCAGCGTCGACACCGACGGAAAAGAGAACGGTGTTGATGTCTTCGGCAGAGGACTGCCTGTTGCCGGCGAGGTTGAGGAGTCGATGGGCTGCGAGCTACTTCTTTTTGGGTGTCTGGATGCGTGCAAATCTTCGATCGACGGGAAGTTCTGCTTTCCCTGATCCACACTTTGCATCTGCGCATTGGAGGCATTTGTGTCGCGCACCAGTGACTCCTTGTCCCTCATACTCCTTCCGTTTTTTCTCCCGTGGGTGCAGCACTCTGAGGCCAACTAGTCTGGCTAGAGGCTACCACTCTGAGCGCTGCAAAAAGAGACTTTAGGTGTGGAAGAGCAAAGAAAAGGGAGATGAGTACTGACGAGGACCGCCTGGAATGATGGTCGACTCAAATCGTGGACGAGGGAGGCTGGATGATGCAAAGTGGGATGGTGGGAAAGGATACACAACGATGAGAGTCATCTCAGGGAGAGCGCGTGAACGAGGTTGGCTGCAAGATGGAAGTCGAAATGGCAGATAACGGAGTGGACCAGGCTGAACAAGACATGAGGCTCGCGCTGTTGCTTTCCGAGCAGTAGTGAGGATGATCAGGCCGGCGACGGACGCCGCGTGCAGAAGGGCGTAGGAGTGCTTGTGCATCTGTCCTGGAGCCAGGTGACGGTCCGAACTGTTTCACAGCGATTCCAGAGAGAAATGTCGACCGACGAAGGAAGAGAGGAGAAATGCAACGAAGAATGCTTTTTTATCCCGCGCGGAAGGTCATAAGCTTGAACTGATCGATGCTTGGAAGTTGCTCGTAGAGCTCGACGGTCGAAGCGCGCTCTTGATCTCCAGGACACAGTGAAGGTTTTTTTTCGCGAGCAGCAATGCTTTCCAGTGGAGTGTTGTCAGATAAGTCGCTATGGTCAGGTTGATGTCGACGCCGTAACGGCTTTCTTTGGCAGTGACACAGGGATGTGCGCACCGAGAAAGATGAAAGACTACGTTGGTGAACGGGGGAGAGCTTTGTTGGTCAAGAAAGGAGGACGTGTTGGCGGGGAAAAACACACGGCGAGGTATGCCTCATTGTTCGTGCGGAGATGGTCTCGGTCCTCAAGTGGTTGACATCCAGAGACAAGTCGTTGGTGGGAGTCGATAGCAGTGTCTCTGGCAATAGGAGGACCTTGTTATCCGAGGTCTTCAGCTTTTGATTTGGCGGAGGTGAAACAGCTATGACTCGAAGACCGAAGTGTCGGCTGAGAAGTCTGGTTTCTGTCGGGCATTTTGAAAACCTCATGCTACGAACAGTATGCCTAATAAAAGGTACCGAACATCTGGAGGATTTGTCGGTGTTGCTTCTGCATTTCTTAGACAACGCATAGTATCCCTGTAGGGACCAGACGCAGATGCGTTGATCACGCGGGACCACGCTTGACTATTGTGCGTAGCAGACTAACGTAGAACTTAGTCAAAAGGCTCACAGGATGGGAAAGAGCTAGTCAATCACTTACGCGGAAGAATTCCTACCACATGGCATTACTTCATGTGGGCGTAGGCTGATTGCTCCTTGAAGAAGGTGAACCAGCTTATCGGGCGGCTAATATGTGTCAGCAGGGATGTAGGGAGTGAAACGGATGAGCGACATACAACGATCTAAGGATCTATGAGTTTGAAAGTTTGTGTTGAACCTCACAGGGACACGACATCCTGTGAGGCATACTAGTGCATATCCACGGCTAAAACGTGGATCTAGTAGTTGTCGTTTGGTTTGCTCGCAGGGCATCACTTCCTGTAAGCAAGCGCATCCATTGGCAGCGCGTTGCACAAGTCAAGAGGCGTTGCGCTTGGACGGAATGGGGCGTGATTGTAGAAGATCTGCGCAGAGTCAGTGTCAAGGTCCATGAGACCGAAGACTGGGAGCAGCTCACCTCATGCTCTGAAGTGCTGCTTTGGAGGCACCATCATCTGGAGACGTGGTCGTGCGCAGATTCAGTGGCACTGCGCAGTGAAGATTTCCTCATGCTCTGAACAGTATACCTAATTAAAGGTACTGAACGTCTGGAGGGTTGTTGTCGCTTCGCGTTAAGCACTTCCCCTACGACCATCTGAACTCCCTGATTGAGTGATCTATCGCTAATGCAATGACAGGTCGGGCTTGGGCTGATTGTAATTAAAGTAAGTAACTGAAGAGGGATAGAGGAGGGAAGGTGGGTGGGCGAAAGAGAAAAAAATTATTGGTTGGTGGGAGAAAGAGAAAAGAGGAGCAAAGCACCTTCGCGCTTTAGATATGTGGTGGGCGTTCGGGAAGGCTTGGCACTCACTCCCTGTCACCGAGTGAACGTTCTCAAAGTGAATGAAAGCCATTGACCATTGTTCTTCCTGGTCCAGACATAGCAATGCACAGTGCGTTCAACAAACAGGACTTCATCCATTGAGATAACAAGTCAAGACTTTCTCTGGACTCGTCCCGACGCTGCAAGGTGCTGTACATTCTTGTAGCATGGACATCGCTTTGCCTCGTTGTAGGGAACGTGACTGTGGTGTGACCCATCCAAGGGCACATTCATGGTGTCATACTCTACACTCTGTCATGTTTCTTCAATAAGATCGTGAGTGACTGCAGCACGCTGCCTTTACGTACCTCAGCACGCTAGAAATCAATCAAATCAAACTGCTTCCAACAGCTCCAGCTGCACCGCCGACATCCTTACTTGCACCCTGTTCTCCAGTTCTTGGGCTAGCAGTCTTCTGCACCCAGTTCTTAGCTTGATTGGCCGCACTCGATGCCGAAGCACCACCGGCCTTGAACCAACCCATCATGGAAGCTTCATTCTTTTGCTGCACTTTGCCCTCCATCTCCTTGACTTCTGCTTCTGAGCTTGCACCTTCTTTAGTACTGGCTTCGTTTTGCTCACGCTCTTGTTTTTCTGCCTTGGTAGCTTCTTCCAATGCCTTTTCTTCTTGCTCAACAGCTGCGAGATCAACGTCTTCGAAGCCAATCTTGCGGAGAATGCGACCACAGAGGTAACGGTATGACGTGTGGTTTCCAGCAACAAGATCAGTGACATCAACGTTCTGGACGCCGGGAACGAAGGAGACGGGTTCCAGACCTGCGACACCATATTGAATGCTCGAGGAGCGGTAGAGGAAGCCAAGAATATAGTCAGAGGTCGAGTAGACGTTGACGACCCTGCCCGTGCAGACTGCACGCATCAGACGCCAGTCTGCTGCCGTCGAAGGAGTAGGTGCACCAAGTAGAACCACATTCTCGACAAGTCCGAACGCTTTTCTTGCAGCCAGAGATTTCAGACAGACAAAAATGACACGAGCGCCGAGAGAGTAGCCGACCAGCGTTACTGGACGCTCGCCTTGTGCGCGATTGATGAGAGCGTCAGCGAGGACTTCTCCTGCTTTGTCTGCACGGGACTTGGCCACGCTGAACGGGTTGTCGATGATTCTGCTGACTTTGAGAAGACCTAAAGGCCACAGCGCAGCGGTCATAGAAGCAAAGATTGTTCGTTTGATGATCTCGCTCTTCGCGTACCCCCATGCTGCTGAGCGAATCATCGTCGTGATGGAGTTTCCAAGGTTGAGTAGAGCCTGTAGTTCGAAGCGAAGGGCAAAGGTTTCCATTTCTGGTCCGATGACTTTCCATGGCTCGACAACTTCGTCGGTCTCGGTCAGCCAGCCAGAGATACCGATTGCAACACGTAGACGACGAAACTCTTTGTCAATCTTGCGAGGCTTGTGGTATGTGCGAACAGGGACGAAGGAGAAGTCTTCAACTTCTTTGGCGTATGCGTCCATCATCTGTCCAGTCATGCGACCGCCGTATGCACCGAAGAGACCTCCGACGATGACAGAGCTGCTAGCAAGAGTGCCAAGATATCCCGCTGCTGCAGTTGCTCCAAGTCCTGTGCGATAGTTAGACAACAGAATTTAAATGTCACAAGTCAGACCTACCAAGACCACCCATGACTGAACCAATACCAGCAGCTACAAGAGGCGCTGCCAGACCTCCAGTAACTCCAATGAGCGCTGCTCCCGCTACTGATGCCAGACCGACCTTCCATTTCCTCGAGCCCTGGTTGTCTTCCTGCTTCTTCTTTGTTTCGTCGTCAGCCTTCATCTCGGCAGCAGACAGCAATCCGCGGGCAATCTTGTTTTCGTCATCGGCCAAGAAGCTGGTAGACAGGTTCAAACTACTGGTCAAGTGCAGAAGAAGCACACGTGAGTAGGCCGAGTAGTGTTCGAGGCTCAGCAGCAAGAGTAAGACTGAATGAAGGATCAAAGCACGATGCTGCTCTTCGAGCTTCGCCAGCGGGGTCTCTGTGGGTGGACACAACTCCTTGAGTGCCTTGCTGACACCTTCGTCGTATCTGGATGTTTCGGGTGCCTTTTTAGGTGGTACGCGGGATGTCTGCGCATGCGCTTCTTTCTTTTGAGACACAGCCTCCTCGCGTTGGTTGACGACTTCTCCAATACGCAGCAGGACAGAATCGCGCCAGTCGTCAAAGTGCTGTAACGCGGCTTTCTGTAATTCCTGCATCTTGGGTCCACTCAGTTCCTTTTCCCTTTCTGCCTGCTCTCTTCTCGCTCTCTCTTCGTCTTGTTTCCTCTTTTCCTCTGCTCGTTTCTTCTCTTCCTCGGTGGCTGCGACATTCGTGTTGTCGGATTGCTGAGCGGTCTCATCCACCTTAAGCTTCGACATCATGTCTTCCATCTTTCCGACCTGGTCTGGGTCGAAAGTATCGGTGATGCCCTTTCTCATCGTCTCGGTGCAATTGGCGACAAGCAAGGTAAGGTCGCTTCGTGCTTGTGGTGTCGGCAACACCGATGTGAGCGACTGCTCCTCTTCATGTTGCTGTTGTTGCTCGCCGCCTGAGCTCCACGGGAGTTTTGAGAACATGCTCATCTTGATGTTCAGATGATCTGTGGCATATGTTATCAAGGTAAAAAAGGTTAATCAATCTGGAGCAGTTGAGCCAAGGAGGAGGTGGAGTTTCATGCTTCTCATGACGTAGTTTCACATGCACGAGTCGTCATTTCAAGCCTCCCTGCTTGGAAATGTTTGTCACAGCACAGCACCAATAATGCTCAGTTTCTTGGTTAGTTTGGACTCGAAGTCGAGTTTCGTGAGCTCTCTCCGAAAACGTCGCACTCGATAGGCTTCTCTATGTATGATCATAGCTCACTGCATCGCTTCAGGGCTTAAGAGAAGAGACTCGGATGGGCACCTGTGACACACTTCCCAATGCGTCGGAACGGCATGATGCCTCCATCACCCTGTCTCTGTCTTGTACCACCGGCAACACGTCTTCACTGTGATTGTATACATGTATGAAGGTCTTGAAGAACAATGCAGGCCCATTTCTGATGTTGCGATAACTTCGTGTTGATAGAGTTTTGGTCTGGACGAAGTCATGCTTGTCTTCAAGACATATAACAATGCCTCAGATCATTTCGAGTACTTGCACAAAGCGGATAATTCTATGACCCCATCTCCGTCCCAGTCGTGCTCTGGACAAGATTGAGTAGAGGAGGCCAGGCGTCTTTGTCGTTGGGCTGTTTGTCCGAAGCAAATTGCGCCATGTCGTCGAAGCACAATAGAGTTTCCCTCCAGATATGACTGGTCTCGATTGCGTGTTCTCCAAATTCCAAGTGATGTTCCATATGTTTACATCTTCGCGTACTTGCCTAGAGCTTCGGATACAACGTACATCCTTCGAGTGACTGGTGGCCATGCTTTTGTTCACAAGTTGATCTCAATCGTGGTCTCCTTCCGTGCAACGATACAGATACGCAGATCAGCGACGACATCAGTAGATTCACATACGTTAATACCTTGCACGTGGACGTACTCGACTGATAGGAAGCGGACCAGTACTGAGCATGAAAGTATCAAATTCCTATTGTGATATCATGAAATAGAGAATGGAGATGATTAAGATGCGCAAAAGTAGAGAATCATGAATGTGCTCGCATTCGAGCATCGCGATAAGAGAGCTTCTTTGAAGCGTGCGCCATCCGTATGGGCAAAAATTATGAAGAACAACGCTTTGTGTAGAGAAAAGAAAAAACAAGAGTGAAAGTATGAGGCCGTAAGTCGTAAATCGTGAGCCGTGAATCGAAAGAGCCGTGAATGTTGAGTTCGAGGGCAGTCTTGGATATCGTGAAACAATCGTGATGTTTCGTGAAAGGTCAGGATGATGTGGATGTTGTTGGACGTGAAGGAAATGATGAGAAAAGATAAAGAAAATGGCAAGACCAATGATGTGTTGAATCATCAAAGGATCTCGGTGAGAATGAGAGAGTAGATGCAGGTCGAGATGTGACTTGTGAGACTGGACTGACGATGCAGTGATATCAACCTGTATATCGTTGTCGACGTCTGTCAAAAATAGGCGTTCTGAGGGTCGAGAGCTGCGAGAAGGTCGTGACCGAGCAGACGAGCAGCCTTGCATCCGTCGTATGGGTCCGCGTTGGTAGTGTCGTCCGCATCATTTTTCTCCGTCTTGGTAGTGTCCCCTACACTGTCGTTCTTCGACTTAGTCGTGTGCTCAAAGTCGCCGTTCTCTTTCTTGTCAGGAACTGGAAGACCGGTTTGAAGATCTTCATCATTCGGGAGACCAATCTCCCAATCGTAGGTGAGAATCTCCTCCTCGGTGGGAATGTGATTCTCCATGATTTCGTCAAATTCGTGAGGCTTCAGGTAAGGTCGGACCGTCCAGTTCATAGTCTGATTGCAAGGGTATCGAGGGGCAGGAAAGAAACGACGATGAATGTCTTTGCTAGCAATTCTGTCATTGCCCTCGAATTTGAGCTCTTGTAAGCTAGGAAAGAGGGCGACGGTCGAGGTGGCTTGAGCGTTGGCATATACGTCGGCAGGGTACACAAAGTATTTATTGTGCTCATAGTCCTTCTGCCAGATGGTTGGCATGCACAGCACAGGACTACAAGTGGTCTGTAAGAACTTTCCCTCCAGAGGACCAGCATTGATGTATTGGTAGTCTTCGTCGAAGATCTCAAGGAGTACCGGGGCAAAGATCTTGCCACCGAAAGGCTTAATCGGGATGTCGACAGCTTGATGTCTCTCCAGATACATCTCTTTCTCCTTGGCCATCTTTGTTGCTTGTTGCTGAAAGTTAAAGTGTTCTGTGAAGAATGGTGACTCGGGGCAGAGATGCTTCCTGCCTTTGAGCTTACGTTGGCCCTCCTCACGGGCTCTGACTCTGGGTGCCTTCCACTTCTTGGTGTTGGAATGCATGTTGGACGTCGGTGTAAAGAAAAGGTTCCATCGGGGTTCGAACGCCGGTTTTGAGATCACGTGAGGCAGCGACGGCTAGGCAGCGATCGAGACAGCTGCCTGTAGTTCCTGTTCACTTATCTCGATACTGAGAGCACGAGTTCTCGTCACTTAGGGCGACTCTGATCCGCCAAATTTCGCTCACTTATGCTGTCAGTTTCTCAGCTCCCCAGTTCCACGGTGACCACCCGAACAAGATCGTGCATTCTGATGGAAGCTAACTATGCCATCATCAAAGCTTGGAGTTCGGTAGACGGTGTGGGTAGTCAGTTCATGGTGGTGCAAGGGGCTTTCGCAGCTCCTATCGTTGCAGACTCATTGCCAAACCTACGATATATCTCCATAAAGGTCAATACTGCCTGCGGTTGACGTATTGAGGCGAGATGCGTGACGAGCCAGGGGTGCCAGGAGCTTAGCTTCCGCGGGCGAAATGACAAACCCAAGAATACTCTGAAGTATTGTATACATAACGAATCAGCACTTGAGTTTGAGATCTCGAACAGAGGTCCCAGTAGACTGCCGACCGAGGCTGAGTGATGCAAGATCTCCGAAGGACGACGAGTATATGAGCCTATAATCAAAAGTCATGGAAATATCTTAGCCATAGTGTATATCCACTGAGATGTCAGCACGATTGACCTCCTACCGGTCAGAGTAAATTCCAGAAAAAGTTTGTGCACTGTTGTGGGATGGTTGTGGAAGAGCAAGCTTTCGGGAGATGAAGTTGAGATATTGGCACGTGCATGCGTAAACAGGCTTGCTTACATTGCCCAGCCACAATGTGGCTGCGTACGTCAGAATGCATTTCGATAAAGCGGCAGCGAGGCGCTGATGTTTTTTGCTCGGGCTTCTCGTCTCAAAACTCGCCATCGTGCGTAGACGAGAAGTCTCCCAGGGCGAGATACGGAATCGCCCTGCTAACGACAACTGGGTCGACATGCTCTGTCTGCTGAATATGCTTCGGTGTATCGAAATAGACAGAACATGAGGGCCTTGGGTTGGGCGGCTTCTTTGTTCGCGCATGCGCGTTGCTCTAACCGCCCAATCAAAGACCCGACTTGCAGCTTTACGAATCCGTCAACTTTTCCTCTTACAGGGCGCTAACAGAGACAGCACTCTGGGCAGGAATCAACTCCCATATCCCAGAATAGAGACTGGCACGAGTGGATGGCGCGTGAAACTGTTGACTTGGAGCCTTGCTCTAAGTCTCAGACAGCGAGGTCTGTGGCCGCACGACTGGGCCAGGACCGACAACCAGGTAAGCCAATGCATGGGTTTCTTTGTTGTCGTTCAAAAGCAGCCATTGTCTTTATTCCCGTACGCTCCGCAATCGACTTCGTTATTGTTTTTCTTTCATTTTCGTATCTTCACTTCTGCCGACAAGCGCTTCTGATTGCATTATTGTACATTCAACCTTTCCAGCAATCCAACTCGGATCATTGCGCCGCACTCTCCGTCCTATCAACATCAACTAACGCATATCCTGCTGGTCAGATATTCACGCTCCGTCACCTCAACCATGTCCTCCGCAGAGAACCAACAGCATGCTTTTCCGGCTGCGCCTCCTTCTCTATCCGCTGGCGACCATGAGATGCGGAACTACTACGCTACGCAAGATGTACCACGACCGTCCTCCGATCAAACATCATACCTAACACCATACCTTGGCCTTCGAGCTAGACTCTCGCAGGTTTGGATCAACCGTTGGACAATTCTGATCCTTCTCGTCCTGATCCGGGCACTACTCGCCATTGGAAGTGTGAACACGAACTTGACTTCCGCAAAAAGAGAAGCACTCTCTGCTTGTACTGGCGTGGAAAATGTCGGAAGCGCTATGGCGAGCATGCCTTATTACATGGCGTCTGGCGTGAACGAGCTCACCGCATCAGGAATCGAGAAGGCTATCAACGGGCTAATGTCTATGCTTCTGCTCAGCATCACCGTACTCGAGGAGGTGTTTGTGTTCTACATCAACCTGCTCACCTCAACCTACGTTTGTCTTTTCACTTTTGCCGTTGGTGGTAGCTTACACGTTGCCATCGATGTTGCAGAAGACGTTGGAGACTTTTTGAACTCCACCGCCAAAGGCGTAGGTAACGAACTCGGGGATGCTGTTGAAGATTTCCAAAAAGCAATGAACAAATTTACTGGCGCAATTGAAGATGTTGGCAGTTTTTTCACCGGAAAAACCGAGAACATTCCCGACATCAACTTGAACTCATCAATCGCCAAACTCGACGCACTGCAACTTCCTTCTGGATACGACAAAGGGTTGAGTAATTTAAACAACTCCATTCCGACTTTTGCTGAAGTCCACAACGCAACGAACACTGCTCTTCGCTTCCCATTTGAAGAGGTTAAACAATTGCTCAATGAGACGATGGGCAAGTACACCATGAACCGATCGATATTTCATGTTCCGCAAAAGGAAAAGCTCACGTTTTGCTCCGACGATGATGGCATCAACGACTTCTTTGATGACCTCGCGGATGTGATAACGCTTGCCAAGAAGATTTTCCTTTCGGTCCTCATCATTGCAGCAGTCCTTGCCTGTGTCCCCATGGCTTACCGAGAAATACGTCGTTGGCGTTTACAAGAGCAGCGAGCAAGAGCTATCAAGCATATCAACGACCCCATGGACGCTGTCTACATTGTCTCGCGTCCGTACATGGCCGATTTTGGAGTCAAAGTTTCGAACCACTTCTCATCGACCCGTGCGCGGACACTTGTGAGGTGGGCAGTCGCCTATGCCACGACTACACCAGCCTTGTTCGTTCTTTGCCTTGCTATCGCCGGCCTTCTTGGTTGCCTGTGTCAATACATATTGCTCCAGGCGATCAGGAAAGAGGTTCCAGAGCTCACCCAAAAAGTCGATGCTTTCGCTGATAAGGTGCAATGGTCACTCAACAATGCTTCCCTAGCCTGGGCTGTTGATACCAACCATGTTATCAATACGACAAATACCAAAATCAACGAAGACATCTTCGGCTGGGTCAATACCACAACTGGAGCAGTCAACAACACTCTCAACCTTTTTGTCGACGGGATGAATGACGCGATCAACGCTACTTTCGGTGGCACGATCCTTGAAGAACCCGTTCAAGAAGTTGTGAACTGCTTAATCACCCTCAAGATTGAAGGCATCCAAGAAGGCCTGACCTGGGTCAGTGATCATGCTCATGTTGATTTTCCGATGGTCAGCAACGACACTTTCTCTCTCGGAACCATGGAGAAAGTCAATAACACTTCTTCCGGCAACAGCTCAATGCTTTCGGAACCAGACAGTATTGACGCAGGCGATCAAATCTCTCGAGCGGTTCTGGTCGTAGTGCGTTCACTGGAAAAGGCTGTGAGGCAGGAAGCTATCATTTCAACCTGCGTGCTGCTCATCTATGTACTGATTGTGATCATCGGACTTATCCGAGCTGGTTACATGTTGGCTCATGCTGGCGAAGAACCAGCGCCAACCGATCAATACCCCAAAGAGCTCAAGAGTATGCCTCCGCAGAGTTTCTCTGCCACGCATGCATCACGCACTAGCTTTTCTCGCAGAAATTCTTCGATTTCTTCACGAGTGCCCACCTACGAACAAGCAACCAGTGCAACGACCGTCGACACGAGCGACAACTCAGCAAACCGCCTCAATGGCCAATCATACACCCTCTCGCCTCGCAAGTTTCAACTATCCGACTACCCAGGCGTCACGTCGCCAATCTTGAGTTCTGGCTTCAGCCCGAGCGAAAAGGTCGGTTTCGTTGGCGCCCAAAATGTCGAAGCTGCAACACGTCGACCTACGCACATTCGTGCCAGCAGCCATGGCAATTTTGCAGAAGACCCGTCTCCCGTTTCTCCAGCAAGCCCGCAAAGGAGCAATGCTCATTTGCAACCACAAGATCCATTCGCCGACCATGCCCGGTGATAGCCTTCTGGCTATCGGCCCACACATGACCTTTTGAATTCCGTTGGCCGCGTGAATTCTTCTGAGTCACCCGTGGGCTACGGGACAATGGTCGACACCTGCATATAGGGAGACTTTAAATATGCTCAGACCTGGTTTTGGTGTTCCAGAGTCCCCATTCTCTTTCTCCTCCCGAGTTGATGCTGCTCTGTTTTTCTTAAGCAGATGCCGCTCCTCCGCAGGAGAAAAGAAGCGTGATGATCAGTCTTTGGTCTGATCGGTGCACGTTATAAAACTGATGTTAACAAGAAAAAAAAGAATCTTTGTTTTTATTGACCGGAGTCGCCACTGTGTTGTGCTCTCTCTTGATGTATGTCTCGAGCTGCAGCTTTGGCGCGCTCTACTTTTGCGTTGTCGGAATTCCTCACATCCGTCTTCTTCCGGTAGTAGCAAATACTCCTCCCAAGCCTCACCCTCCCGCTTGACCTTTGGTTGCCTCGCCCGCCCAGAAACAAATTGGCAGATGAGTTGTAGGCTGGTTGAGAAGGAAGAAGACACGTTTCATACAAGGATGAGAGTCGTAGTTTCGACATTGGTAATGTTCCGGTACTCGAAGCCCCATCCATCCCGTCCCTCTACCCGACGATTCCAAACAACCCGCTGCCCTCTCAGATACCGCTGTATGGGTATGCATTTCTCGCTTCTCTCTTCGGTCTGCAGACGTCGCTTTTTGCTGTCTTACGCAACGTCTGGCCTTGTCCTTCTTGTCCTCGTCTTGCCGCTCTTTCGACTCGCACTTTGGAGCTCGTCTTGCCCGTCGATTGTGGCTTTCTGCCTGTGACCGCCAACACGAGATGAAGCACATGTCGAAAGACGGCAACACGAGATGCCTGGAAGCACAACTCTCACACACCGCGTTGCACCAAAAAGACACCTCTCGGACAAGAGCGAACCCAGATCATCGCCCACACACCGAAGCACTGTGTTGTGTTTTTTTTTTGCAGCAACATCATTGGAAACCGGGACTATGGACCGGACATATGGGGTATGGCGCTCACTCGCCTGGCTCCTAACACTCCCGCGAATACCCCTTAGACCGACTTACTCTGTGGGAAAAACGAGTGAGATACTGCGAGCTCAGTTAATTGCTGACTGGTAACGAGCGTTATGATCGTGACAATGTGTTTTACTTACGCATTGCTCATTGAAAATTTTGATAGATTATGGCCTGAGTGCGGCTGTTTTCAGAAAATGCAATATCCTTGTCCTCTGGATTTTGGGTTGGTTTTCATAAGTCGCTTGCATTGGCTCTTGCTCGCAAGAGTCTCGATGCAACCGCCTCTGCGGCTATTTTGGCGTTCTTGGGAGTTTATCTTTGTTTAAAAAGAGGAGAAAATTGGCAACACGGGTTCAAAGGTCAGGTGTTAGCAAACCAAGGTCTTGGATCCAGTTGTTTGGGGAGGAGAGCAGAGAAATGCTGTTACTCGATAAGCATTTGGCAAAAACAATCTTTCCTCCCTTTCTTTTGTGCCTCCCTTATGTAGAAATTTAATGCCACATTTGACACTGAGAGTTGTTTTGTTCCCCTGTCTCCTAAGGATTTTGTGACTGTCACTGATCGACGAACCTCGCTGCCTTCCTCTAATCTCTGGAAGAGCTGCGCTTCTTTCTGGAAGTCCAGACTGCATGGTTAGAATCAACCAACCATGCTCCCCTCTCCGCTCCTGGAAGGTTTGTGTGTTGTCTTTCTCCACAAAGTCGTGATTGTTATGATATTCTACTCATAGTCCAACGTTATTCACCTGCAAAAAGGCCAGGCTTCCCACCACTGTTCAAGCCATTCTTAAGCCACCCATTCACCAGAGCGAGCGCCTAGCTATCCATACAATGAGAACAGCATCTTCAAGCCATGCTACTTCCTTCCCCATCGAGTGCCACAGCCAACCACAAGTAGCCACCCACCTCTGACGCACCCATCCGCACTTGCCCTCGCAATATCGAACTCCATTTCCTAGAGGATAGCATTCATTTCTAAGCCTCTGATCATATCTTCCAGTCGGAAGCAACGCCTCATACTACTGCAGAGGCTCTGGGAAGTGTTGGCCACGGAAAAGGGCACGCCCGCCAAATCGAGCTTCCCACGTGAAAATTTGACCCGATGCGGGCACGCAAACTCTCGCGCTAACTACAAGCAGCTAATCTGACGGTCGTATCCGTAGGTCGCCTCTCGATACCGCGAGAGCAACAAGAGTCCCATCTTGTGAAGATGTGATAAGGTCTTAATATTATCACTTTGAGCTATATCAAAAAAGCAGCTGGCACAGTACTCGCTACCATCGAGTAGAGAGCGATACCTCATATCTCATTGGCGAAAGACTATGAGATTCCGAACATAATGATATTACTTTTAGTCATAAATTTATACTAAGCGCCAACAGAGACATTCGAGCTCGCCGGCGTCATGGTTCCCGTGGAGCCCTGCAGTAGCCCGAGCAGGCTCTCCGCTGCTTCTTTCCTACGAGCCAGATCGTCTCTGATGCGCTGGTGTTTGGCAGCTGCACTGCGTTCAGTGAATCTGTTGGTCGAGCTTTCCTCTACGAACTCGATCGAGTGGATCATGTAGCTGACACCGTCGTGGTCGGATCCCCATTCTCGAGAGCGCAGGAAGTTCTGTGTCGAAGCTGTGTAGTGGGTTAGGGCTGGCAAGATGAGCACCGTGATGTGCAATTCTGCTTTCGTCGATGTGCGCAGTGGCTTTGTGGGCTTTTCCGTGTAGATTTTGCCCAGTTCTGGAGTCTCCAGAGCTTCGTCTGTGCCCTCGTTGAATAGCTCGCGAAGATCCTCGTTGTATTCGCCAAAGTCACCACGGATCCAGCCCGAATGAACAGCGGCGGCTACAGGGTCGGAGTCGTCGGCGTAGACATCGGAGCCCCAGACTGCGCGGGTCTTGCATATCTCTTCCAGGCCACCAGCTACGTTGTCGCTGTCTTCTTCGAACGCATTAGAAGCTCCAAGATAGGCGCGAGGTACGCGTACGGTGAAGGTGCAATTGGCCTTGTCTTCGAAGCGTGGTATGGGTTTGACAGCGCTCTTGAAGTGGTATTTGAAGTCAAGCGGAGTAGACTCCCTCGGAGGCAGGCTGAGTTTAGTGGTGTAGACATGACTTCCGAGATGTTTCTGTGGCAGGCTCGACACGGATGCAAGCAACTCCTGGTTGGAAATGGTGGTTTGAGGTTGGCGGGTCGAAGGCATAGGCGGAGGTCTCACGTTGTGATGGTGGTGGTGAGGCGGATGGGCGTGAACGGCATGATGATGGTGATGGTGGTGATGATGTGGACCAGCAACAGCAGCTTGCTGCGGTGTGCTGGCGCTAGAGGGGAAGCGGAGAGGATGGAAGGGGGCAGCGGCATGAGGCATCTGCTCTTCTGGCAAGCCATGATGGTGGTGGTGATGACTAGAGGGTCTTGTCAGTATCAGCATGGTCGGTCAAGAAGAGTGCTTGGAGTTCTTACTGATGTGCGTGGGGGTGATGGTGGTGATGATGTGTGGCAGCATGTGCCGTCTTTGGTCGTTTGCTACCCCTCTGACTGGCGGTCGGTGTATTCCTGCCGTCCACACTATCACTGTCCTCCCGAGTATCTTCCCTTAATCTAGTCCTAGCCTTTCTACTGTCGGTGTCGTCGTTGGCATCGACCTGCCTAGCAGGACTGCCGCGTGAAGGGGTTGCGATGCCGGCTGTGGGAGTATTACTACCAACACCGCTGCCGAGACCCGAAAACATTCGACCAAACTCACTTTTGACGCCAGGATCTGCTCCAGGCCCGGTGTGCCTTGGTTGTGCTCCATGGACTGCCTGGGGCAATGGCGACGCACGTCCGTTTTTGTGTCTCATCTCTGATGCCACACCTAGGAAGGCTCTTTGCAATGGATGTTCTTCTCCTTCTCTTGCTTCGTAGCCCGGTGGACCATACATGGCGTAGTGTGCGGCACTTGGCCTTTGTCTGTCGTCCATGGCATTCATACCGGGTGTGTGTCTGTGATCGGGCCGACCAAGCATCTCGTTGTGCGGGCTACGTTGATCCATCTCTTCTCTACTGGGCATCTGTACTGCGGGACGAAAAAGACCAGGATATTCGTCTCGCGCAGAGCCAAAGTTGAGACGGTTGAAGGATTGTGGAGGTGGAGGTATAGGTGTAGAGCGGGCTGTGTGCGACATGGTGTGAGGGAGATGATGACCGTGCCCGTTGAAGTCCTGTCGATCGAGGTCAGGTCTTGATGGTGGCTGCGACGCAGGACCGGGTCTGCCCATGTGGTCGACGTAGGGTGGGAAGGCGGAAGGATGACGCGGTGGGGGTCGGTCGTGCATATCTTGACGATTTCGCAACTCTTGGTCGAGGTGAGCGTGCATAGGCTGACTGTTTGGGCGCGAAGGCGCATGCCCAGAGTAAGGTTGGTGTTCTTCATGAGGAGCGGATGGTGGAGACGACTGGAAGGGACGGAAACCCGGCGCAGCATTGTGTTGAGACATGTGCGGAGGTTGGTGAGGACCAGCTGGATGGAATGGCTGAGACATGTCTTGTTGGTGCTGGGCTTGGATAATGCCAGTGGGACTGTGTGGTCGCGGGAAGTGGCCATTCGGGGCTCTTGTGCTAGCTGAGCGAGCTCTTTGCGGAGAAGGAGGGCGTGTAGGCTTCATCGGGGGCGATGGCACAGCTGCAACCGTCTTGGGCGAGAGGTTTCCATGTCGCGATGAATCACCACCGATCAAAGAGGATATGGACATGGTTGTGCCGTGTCTCGAGCTGAAGGGCGGCAGCTCTCTGGAGCCGACGTAGGGCGAGGCGGACGGGGTGTGCCGCGGCGCAGGCATGGAAAAAGCAGAAGTGTTCGGACCCGAGGTGGGTGACGGCGGTGGCATGTTGCGGGAAGAGTACGAGGCGGGTGGTGGAGGAGGATCGATCGGTGCTGTGACAGAGTCAGCCCATGTCCTTGATGACAAGCAAGCTTGACGCCATGGCTAAACATGCCTCCGGGATAGCGCTCGCTGCCTACGGAGCGACGGCGTGCAGAATCGTAGGGGAACGGAGCACCCGACATATGCGCAGAGACGGGCGCCGAGGCGGTGTTGGAGGTGGGAGGATGCGGATTATGATGAGCGACTTGTTGGAGTTGTTGGTGCTGGGCTGGGTGATTCAGCTGGGTGGACGCTACTCCTACAGAATCCGGGGTTAGAAAAACTTGACCATGCGGATTAGAGTTTGGGCTTCCCGGCGATCGGCAGATTTCAGAAACGCACGGTCGCGTGGCTGCTGGCTGACTGAACCCTGCGATTCAAGCTGTCATTAATGCATAGCAGCAGCGACAGCGACCCACGCGACGCTCTGCCAGGCAAGACAAAGACTCGGTGTTCGTACCTGGTGCTTGTGGCTGTGTGCTCCAAGCTCTTTCGTACTGTGACGCCATTGCAGGAGGTGCTGGGCCCATACTGTAGCTGTCGCGTCTAGCGTGCTGATTCGAAGAGGGCATGAACGGGTCGCGCGTGTGAAATGGATCCGAGAAAGGCATCTGCACTGGTGGCTGCGCCGTTTGCGTGTGGTATGGGGTATGCGACGACGACGAGGACGAGGGCTGGGGAGTGGCCGAGGAGGCAGCCGCGAGGGGCTGAGACGAGGGTTGTGGTAGTCGGTTATCCATCTTTGACACGAGAATGCGGTGTTAGAAGAGTCCGAGACATTTAATCGACAAAGACATTACCATGGACGTCTGCGGGCTTGCACATGCTGGCACAAGCGTGGTTCGGGAACAGATGCGCGACCGAGTCCAGTCGAGTGCGAGTGCGAGTAGCAGCAAAATTCGAGTAGCGCAAAGAAGTCTTAGGTCGGGATTATTGGGAGAAGGTCAGGTATGGCGAGACTGGACTGGCTTCCCTGTTCGCGCTTCTACAAGGGCCACCACTCGGGCCTGCCGCTACCCAAAAACTAGCTTCTCTATGCGTCATGTGAAACTTTAACTCCCAAACTGCCCAAACTGCCCAAACATTCATCGCGACCTCGACTGTCATGCTTCCCATGCCTGGTGCGCCTTCGTCGTCTTGGGTTCTGTTCCGCCAAAGGCTGTCTACCATGCTTGGCCATGTCGACAAACGCGTCGTTGGCTCATTCTGGCTTTTTGGTGAGCATCTCGTCTCCTGATCCCATCCTGTACCTCTCCTCTTGTACCTTGCATCTCCCAACTGATCCCTCATGCAGGCCTCATCAACAACGTTCTCTATGTGATAATCCTCAGCAGCGCTCTGGATCTTGTTGGCCCCGCCGTGCCCAAGTCTCTCGTCTTGCTCTTCGATGTCGTGCCTTCCTTCCTGGTCAAGCTGACCGCTCCGTATTACATCCATCTCGTGCCCTACAATCTGCGCATCCTAGCATTCGTCGCTCTCTCCACATGCGGCATGCTGCTCGTCGCACTGAGTCCCTCGGCCGCTGACCCCAACGTAAACGGAGGCTCTATCTCTGTAAAGATGCTTGGAGTGATACTGGCTTCTATAAGCAGCGGCGGAGGGGAACTTAGCTTCCTGGGTCTGACGCACTTCTATGGCCCTTCCAGTCTGGCGGCCTGGGGCTCAGGAACTGGTGGTGCAGGTCTGGTTGGATCGGGCGCATACGTCCTGGCTACGAGCGCCTTGGGTCTTAGCGTCCGAACCAGTCTGCTGGCCTTCTCCTTCCTGCCAGTCATCATGCTGTTCAGCTTCTTCGTCTTGCTGCCGGCCAAGCCCAAAAGTCATGACTACATCGCTGCTGCCCAGCACGACGCAGATGCAGACACCGAGTCGCTGCTGAATGACGCTGTCGAAGATGACCGTCCAGCTTCACCCCCCATGCTTAGTCAAGCATCTCAGTCCTCGGATACCTGGCACAACCTCAAGGTTAACTTCCTCCGAGCCAAGAGGCTCTTCTTTCCATAGTGAGTTTCCATCATCTAGTAGTTGTGATCAAGAACGGTAAGCTAAACATTGTCTCCCTCTCCTCAGTATGCTGCCTCTGCTCCTTGTATACGTGGCCGAGTACACGATCAATCAAGGTGTCGCGCCTACACTGCTCTTTCCCCTTGATGAGACACCGTTTGAGCATTACCGCTCCTTCTACCCGACGTACAATGCTATATATCAGCTAGGTGTCTTCATATCGCGCTCTTCGTTGCCCTTTGTCACGATACACGCCTTGTACCTTCCTTCGCTCTTGCAGTGCCTCAACTTGGCAATACTGGCAATGCACGCCATGTTTCCATTCCTACCGAACATATGGATCGTCTTCGCGATCACATTCTGGGAAGGATTACTCGGAGGAATCGTCTATGTCAGCACGTTCCGCAGGATCGGAGAGGAGGTGGCAGAGAACGATAGAGAGTTCAGTCTGGGAGCGACTTCAGTATCGGACTCGGGTGGTATCTGTATTGCAGGCTTCCTCGGAATGGCGGTCGAGACAGGGCTGTGTGGGTGGCAGGTGGCGCACGGCAGGGACTGGTGCACGAGACTCTGATAGATAGATAGGTTTGTAGTGCAGTTTCATAAGCCAATGTCGCATAGATGATAGAGTTCCTGATACTATGATACGGGAGTGCCTTGATGGAGCTACGGAGGAAAGACGGATTTAAGGAGTTGGGTCAAGATGGGCAATGCGGAGAGACGATCAACATGTCATGGATGATGAATTCAAATTAAACAAAGACAGTAACACATGGCTTCCGAGTTAGACGACTCAGCAGTATGAAGAATGGCGACTCGATCCAAAGTGCGCGCGTACGTGCAGTGGAAGGACAGCAGCGTCTTCTCGGGCGAGGAGATTGAATGTATCATAAGCTTCAAGAACACATGCGACGACAAGGACCAACACGCTCTTGACGAGCACACGACAAGCTCCCGACAGAAGCCTACACAGAGGCAGCGCACCGTCACACACTCGACTCAGCAATTGTCGACCGTCCCATCCGTCGCTCCATCAGTCGCCGGCTCGAGAACACGCTCGCATCGACCAACCCTCTCCTTGTCCGTCTACCCGCCGCCCTCGAATGCCCACCAAAGAGTGCCTAGCCATGCCGCCAGCAACACAACCAACACGACGCGCAATGTGCCCACTCATGCCCGATCTCTGTCGATAATGTCCATGGGCAGTGACAATGCAGCCGCAGCCAATTCTCACAACGTTCGGCGGCCTCCTGCTCGTGGTCATGGCCGCTCGGCCAGCATGCAGGTCCTCTCGCGCACACCCTCGTACCAAGCTCCCTCGCTGTCCTTCAGCTCCTACAGAAATCCATCGCCCTTACAGAGTCAACACCCGCCGCTGACCCGTCGTACTTCGGGCATCCGTACCGCTCCTGGCACTCCTGCCTTCAACTTCCCTTCTCCAACCACTGCTCAGCATCCATCTGCGAGCAATACCTCTCCTCAGAGACGCCCTTCTGCCTCGCACATGATGCCTCCGCCGCGACATCCCTCTGCCTCCTCTGCTTCTTTTCCTCCTCCAACCTTCTCCATTCCACCCGAATCTCCTGATACTTCGCGTCGAGGCTCCCCTGCTCTTGGTCGCTCTCCAATGCCCGAGTTCCAATTCCCTCTCAGAAGTCCTGCTCCTCCACAAAGACCACTTCCACTACCCTCTCCAAAACTTCCTGACGTGTCGCCCTCATCCGCCAACCCGCTTTCGCGCATCATATCCGAGTCTGGCGCCAATGACACTCCTCGTACTAGCAGCGACTTCTACTCTCTTACGAATCACTCGTCTGAGACTGCTTCTTCCGATGCAGGCCCACCACCACCAAGCCGCATGCTACCAAAACCACTCAACGGCCGGATACGGCAAGCCCCACCAACCAGTATGCCTAGGAATCAAGAGCCTGAGATTCTGATGATGGGCTACGCTCAAACTATGGGTTCCTTCATCCTTGACGGCTCACTGGTAAATCAAGCTCCTTTTGAGGATGTCAAAAGAAAAGGTGTCGTCGGCGGGCAAGGCGGTGGTGGTGTAGTGGGCGTGGAAAAATCAAAGCGACAGAGTGGCATGTTTGGCTTTGGATGGGGGAACATAGGCGAGAGTCTGGGTGGTCTCCTGGGTGGTGGTGAGATGAGCAGTATCCAAGAGATGCGAAGTGTCGCAAGCTCAAAGACTGTCCCACTGCTCAGCACTCCTCAGTCCATCCTCTTCGTCGATCTGCGTCTTGCACCAGGTGAGACAAAGAGCTACTCTTATCGTTTTCGCTTACCGCGAGGACTACCACCCTCTCACAAAGGTCGAGCCATCAAGGTACAGTATCATCTGACTCTGGGTATTCAGCGACCTGGAGGGAAACAGCAGGTCAAACATATAGAGATCCCCTTCCGTGTGCTTGGCAGCGTCAACAGTAAGTCATGTCTATCTGTATCATCCACAGTAATCTTACATTCTCAGATCGAGGAGAAATCCTGGGCCATGACTTGATGTCTCCCTACATACTATTGAACGACAAGGCCAGAAGTCAAAGTATAGCTCTGAGCGGATCGAACCCTCGATTTCCCTCTGCAAAGTCGCCATCAGAACGAAGAGCGTCGTCCTCGTTGACGGACGACTTTCTCTCATACACGGATCAGCTGTTGGCGAAACCTGCATCCGAGTCTGGCGCACTATTATCGCCCACTGCCGAGAAGCCTTCGCGTAGACGGTCATCGCTGGACGAGATACTGCCGAACAATACGAAAGAGGCCATAGACATGGCTATCCTGAGATCAAACATCGCATCCGGATCATCGGATCAACTCACACAATCCAGCAACCGCTTTACCATTTCTCGAGGAGGCCAGCTCGTCGCTATAATAACCATTGTACGACCATTCTACCGCTTAGGTGAAACAATCACCGGCATCATTGACTTCATCCCTCCTACGCCCGAACCCGATACCGAGGCAGACCAAATCCCAAGTTATGGCATCAACGTGTGGCTAGAAACCACCGAACGCGTGGATCCAAGTCTGGCCTTACGCTCATCGTCTTCCGTGCAGCGAGCAACCAGAAAGGCACATGCCCATGTCAGCGAAAACGTACTTTTTGCCCGCAGGGTCTCCTTCAGACTTGAAGTGCCTACCACAGCCACACCCACCTTTGAGACCACAGGTGTGCAATTGGACTGGAGAGTCAGGATCGAATTTGTGACTGCTCGAGTACGACCAAAAGCAGCTCGTGGGTTGGGTATCGAAGACGATGAGGCCGACCGCGCAGAAGAAGAAGCTGCATTGGCTGAAGAGAAAGAGGCCGGTCTGCTGGAAGAAGTGGGTAGGGATGAAAGAGGTGTGGTGAGAATTGCAAAGGAACGACTTGTTGCCGAAACCTTTGAGGTCGCTGTACCTATACGTGTTTATGGTGTCACTGGGACAGAAATCGACAAGCGCGAGGCCGAGACCGATGGCCTGGAAGTCTGATTTGCGTCTCGCATGTGGCGAATCTTGATCATAAAAGGAGTTGACCGGGAAGACTCGGTACCGTTGTGTATAGAACAACAACTTGCCCAAATGTTCTCTGGCGTAATTACCCTCATCTGATAATTTTCCTAATGTGCAACTGTTCCTACGTTCGTGCTGAGCTGCACCTCCAAGAACGATCTCAGGAGTTCGCCTCGACCGCTCGTTCAGGTTGTAAAAACGGACTTGCTGATGTCTGCGGTTTCTCCGCTTTACTATGGGTCCCCAGTCGTATGGATAGAGCGTTGAGGGCGTATGACAGGAAACATCCAAAGTACGTTGTGTGGCATTGCAGACAAGTATTGATAGATTGATGCAGTGCAAATGATACGATCGTTTGTCTACCCCAAAGTCTTGCATGCCTTGATTCCAATGTCGTGAGCTGCCTAGGCAGTCCTGAGGTTTTCCAAACCTCACATCCAGAGGCTTAAGTAATGTGTGGCACATAAGAACTCCAAACAGGCAGATCGTAAACTCCAGCTGGAGAGTGGCCCAAACTGATGAAACTCTCTACCACCAAATACACTCTTGCCCACATGTAAGCTCCCAGACCCGACGCCAGGAACATCTGCCAGAGCTGATAGCGATACATGAACTTATTAACCCTGGTCATGACCTGGAACTTGTATTCTCCTCCAACGGTCAGGAGATCTTCAATCAAAAGTACACACGTGGACAACGGTATGAAGCAGATGACGAAAGACGAGGCTAACCGCCACATATGTTGTTGCGCGCGATTGATAAAGTCTGCGTTCCATGCGAGAGCATGCAGGCCACCGTACAAGACGCTCGAGGCGTTGAGAGCGATCAACAACTTCCAGTCGAAGTCGCCAGGGCGTAGGTCTATGGTTGGCCAGTTGCGACTGCGTCGGACTATGGTGTTCTCGGGCTTCTCGTCGTTACCAAGCTGAAATGTTCTCAGCAAGTCCGCGGCCAGCGTCCATCGTCGGATATCTTCTCCATATAGAGTAATGGTCTCGTGTAGATTCTGAATGGAAGTCTCGACGTGTATCTCATCCTTCACCAATTCAACCTTTGCTCTTGTGCTCGGACTCGATTCAGGATCGGTACGAGAGTTTTTTGTTCGAAAGTTGGGGACGAGTTCGAGTATTTGCTCAAGAGTGTGAGAAAGGGCTGTCCTCTCGAACTTGTTGACGTTCTTCGGTTCGGTGTCCGGAGCCTTTTGGTTATTCGAATCTTTTCCATCTGCTGGGTCTGACGAGGGTTCTGTAGAGACTATCACGGACTTCAGATAGTATGTCTCCGCCTTGTTAGATCTATTTGGTCGATATAGAGGTCGAAGATCTTTTGATTTCATGCAGAGGAAGGCGATTGTATCCTGTATGCCCAAGGTCAGGACGGGTGTTGGTTGCTCGATGTCTAGCGGTTTGTTCCACCAGAACATGTAGACAATCAAAGCGCATACAGAGTGACCGAGGGTGTTCAACTGAACAGCATGTATCAGCATATAGGCATAAGTCAGACACTCTTACTACATGCCTCTAGCAGTGTGATCGGAAGTGACAGGGCCATCCGTGTAATGCACTGGCAGATAAACCATCCTGCTTGTACACAGACTAGAAATTTTGCCAAAGCGTTCGCTTTGCTCTTGTCCCTTATCTCTTCCTCTCTGAGCTGTGGAAGTAGGCCCGAATGATGTCTGGCGAAGTATTCAACACCAGCAGGTGTCAGGGTCAATCTTCGGCGCCCGATGTGCCTAGGGTACAGCAGAGCCTCCTCGTCCAAGTCCACGACGAAGCCTCCCATGACAGCGTAGAATGCGTGCACCATGCTCCATTTTCGTGTAGCATCTATTGTGCTCATCGCTTTCGCATGACTTTTGGATCGACGATATTGATCCCAAGCACTGTAAGCGACCATCTCTGGCGCCAGTAGTCCTAGACAAAGCCAGCCTACTTTGCGCCACATGAGTCGTTTGGTGAACCAGTGGCGTTTTGCGTCCGAGTAGTGAGGAACGTTGAGATGAAGAGCTGTCCATACGCACAGAGAGATGGTGATGATGCAAGAAGACAAGATCCCGAAAGATCCTCTTCGATGGGGTTCTGCGGTCCATGACACGAGGTCGGTATGGTTGCCGAAGACAGTGAACATGTTGTGGTGGTGAAGACAAAACGTCGAGGTCTGACCGATAAAGGTTGCACTGGACAAACCTTTGAGTATACTCGACGAACAAGGCTGAGTCTGTTGCGTAGTGATTTGCAATTCAGCCGCAGGACATGGGTTTCAGGCAATGATGGCTTGCATTGGGCTGCATGCAATGACTGGATAGGATCATCTTAACCAGAGCCAAGGACCGTCCTGTAAAACGGAAGCCACTGGGTCGGCACAGATACACACATGTACTCGGGAGATCTCCTGCAAGCCACGACACTATAAACCGCTGTCAATAACGAAGCGAGTCCGATACGCGCCGGATTCGGAAACAATGGACAACGCATCAGGGTGATTGTATGCAGGAACATAATACCAGGAATCCATGCATGAGCGAAGCGTTGAGAAGAAAGTGCAAGAGATGAAAAGGTCATGGAAGACGGCTGCAGAAAGAGAATCGAAGGATGCGTATGATATGGTTTTCTTTTCGTGCAAGGGTAGGAAGGAACGACCATGATTTTTGGGAAGATGCGATGCCAAGTTTCGTTATTATTACGTGCCGCATGGCGGTCGTCTCCAATCAGAGTCAAGTAGATACAGCAGTATTTTTCGTGAGTGTCCAGCCATAATAATCAAAAGAGCTCTCGCCGGCTGACAGAGTTTCCATTTTGAGGCTCCATAGGTTGTTAACACTCAACAGCGGGCGAATGAAGTGCGGCTGTCGAAAAGTGATGTATAGAAATACTCCGTCGTCTTTCAAAACGCGATGAGCCTATCTTTGATCAGCTTGTTTTTCCTCTACGTACGGGGGGATGATAACATACCTCTGCCAGATACCGTGAGGTGTTGTCTTTCACATCGTCAGGAGGAGACCATGGACTGCCGTGGATCATAGCATCCATCGTGCCCTTGTCGAACGCAACATCAATACTCTTACTGCTATGTTGAGGCATGTCGCGAATATCGGCCCAAGCCCATGTCACACCGTCGTCCTCCTTGGCTGACATGACCTCTACAACTTTGTGCGAGAAATCCACGCAGAGCTGGTCTTTGTAACCCCGTGCAGAAAGGTCATAAGGAATTGTCTATTTACACCATCAGCATCGCTCGTTCTGCCAGCACGATGTCTCGCCAACTCACGCTATCGCCACTACCAAAATGAAGAATCTTGGGTTTCTGATCTACAGGTCGAACATCGAAAAGATTGCTTTGCAGAAATGGCAGCAAAGTGGAAAAAGAGCGAAACCATTCGTGTGTTGCGTTCTCGCCATCAGCTTGTGCGTATCGCAGATCCCAGTACTCGGATGTAGAAAGGGCTCCTTCGCCGTCACGCTTCAATTGTTCCTGTGCTTCTTTCGTCGACATGGCTGTGGTTGTGGCTATATCGAAGAAAACTGTCTGCTTTGCAAAGAAGAAAGATGGTTCCGAACGTTCTGCGTTGCTTCCCGACAGTCTGATGTATCTCAGGCCGCGGCACGGCCCGCGCATGTTAGTAAGCCAAAGTCTATCGATAAAGCATCACTCCACGATCGGAAGTCAGCGACCTCTGCCTCACTACGAATATGTGCAAGCGCAGAGGAATCTATTCCTATGAACCCAACAATAGCACGACTGGTGCGTACTCTTACAGTGCACTCACGAAGGCATTGGCATTCTAGAAGCACTGTGCTGAGTCTCAGGATCACTACGAGTGCGTGAGATTGTCGCTATCAATGAAGCGTTCGAATTGAAGATCAACATTCTGAAGGGCGTAATGCCATCATCTCTCAGAACCGATATAGAGCTGGAAGACTCTGTTGTTTGGAGAACATGAAAATTAGCAAAGTGGAGCAACATGATCCATCTGACGCCTCGATCATCAACCTCCTGTTCCGCTAGCGACGTCGACCACAGACAATAATCCCCTGGCCTGGCACGTTTTCCTTAGTGACTCCGCTCTCCATGAGGGTTTGTTGTGGCTGTCATATTCTCGTTGCGTCTCTCATACTGTGATGGGACAGTAGCAGCATTGGGCGAAATCTTCACTCCACCATTTGCAGCCACAGTAGCTAGCGGACGTCCACAATTGGTGCAAGTGTGATGTGTATCTTTGCAATCGTCCATGCAACATGGGATCCAGCACAGGCAACCCGTCAACACACACAGGACCGCACCCCAGATGTAAGCTCTCTCTCCGACCTCTTTGGATGTTCTAGTTGTTGTGGGTGTTTGGCAGACAGGACAATCGACTCTTGCTGGAGTGCCTGAAAGTGAACCAAGTGGTGTGACGCGCTCGCCGCTGGGATTGGCAGCCGCTGCTGCAGGAGCTGTTGGATACGAAGCGGCCGTATACGAAGGGGGAACATCCGTCTTGGACATTGTTGTTGAAGATGATTGTGAGTTCGATGATTTATTAGTAGTACTGTGGTGTCTAGCTGCGCCGATAAGACCCAAGAGCTGTCGGTAGAGTGTGCTTGTTTGTGATTCTCTGATGCGAGTATATGCGCAATGAGCAGGTTTGGGTGAAAGTTGCGAAATTGAATCGAAATCGCGGAAGTCGTTTCGAGAGTTGATGTGGTATTCCAAACTAGAAAGAAAAGTGCTCTTATATACTGGCGCCAGAGTCAAGACCCAAAGATTCGGAAATAAGAAGACGAGCATTGGCAACTGCAATTGCGCTTTAGGCGCTCAGCCAAGCGCTGTTGCATTCCTTCGCGGATGATCTTTCTCTTCAGCCTCGCGCAGGATTTCTGGCTGCCTGTTGATCCATGTGGCGCAGCGGATCCTCAGGGATCATTCGTATCAGGTGACTGTCGTATGCACCGCCTACTTGTTGGTTGGACAAGATCATATACTTGACTTACTGCATGTTTCTTGTTTAGCACTGCCCATCAGGCGTTTCTACGGACCCTGGTCGACAACTCTTCCCAATAAGAACAAAGCACGGTCACGGACGCTTGGCTTTCATGTCAGTCTGCAACAGATCTGATGAGTCAAGTGTGATGTTTATGTATTACTTGATCGTTTACTGAATTATGTGGTCAAGCAGACTTTGCAGGCCATTTGACTCTTCTCTCCGCCCGTGCCATGAAGTTGGTAGGCCTAATGAGTTGGAAGAACGGATCGTATTCCACAGCCTCCTCATCAACCTTTGACCAATGGTAACGATATACCAGCTTGGGCAGGAAGATCTTTACTTCGAGTAATGCGAAGTTGAATCCGATGCAGCCACGAGGACCTTGAGCGAAGGGAACATAGGCGGAGCGGTGGCGGTTCTTGACCTCCTCGGTGTCCCAGCGATCAGGATTGAACTTGGCCGGGTTGTCCCAGAGGTTGGGGTTGTTGTGGATGTGATGAAGTGCAGGGATGACAATGCCACCCTTGGGTATCTTATAACCTCCCGGCAGGATCAAATCGTGTTGAGCTGTACGACCAGGCTGGTAGGATGGGTTATGTTTACGCTGCATCTCCTTCACGTATTTGTCCAGGAAGGGAAGCTTGCCGATGATATCGGCGTCTAGTACTGTGTCGTCGTCGATGTCGTTGTCAATGAGCTCTTGCAGAAGACGTTCCTGCATACCCTCGTACGTTGTCAAGCCGTAGAGGAGCCATGAGAGAAGCGATGAGGTGGTTGTAAATCCGGCTGCGGTTGCAACCATGATCGAGTGACTCATGTAACGCTTCGGTAGCTTCTCGCCTTGGTTGTCAACAGCACGAACCGCATAGTCTGCAATACATGATGCTTTGAGTGCTGCGTCTTGCAATTCGAGGTCTTCGACACCATTGGGAGTCACTGCAGCAATAGCCGCTTCCATCTGCTGTTCAAGTTCGTTCCTGACGTGTCTCAATCTCGCTGGATCGCCGAAAGGCAAGTATGAGTACCATGCTCCCATAGTAGAGACCTTCTTGTTCAGTTCGAGTAGCTCCGCAATGTCGCGCACCATCTTGTGCATAGGTGCATACACAGAGGAGAAGTGGTTAAAGTCGAGGCCAAGTGTAAGCTGACCAACTGCTTGAGAGCCCAGCTTCAACATATAAAGATAAACGTTGAAAGCATCACCTTGCTCGTCCAATTGATCGAACACTTTGTATGCCGACTCCACGGTTTGCTGCATCTTAGGGCTGTAATGTCTGACAGCCTTTGGTGAGAAGGCTGGTGGAAGGAATTTGTGTGTCAATCTCCATGCTTCGGTGTCTGTGTCGGCAAGGAATAAGCCTGCTTCTTGGTCCATGATGCCGAAGAGCGGATGCTCAGGTGTGATTTGCTTGGTGAAGAATCCATTCTCGTTGAATACATGGTTGGCGATCACAGGATCATTGGTTTGATAGACAACACTTCCGAAATTGGACGTCTTGAATACTGGTCCGTATGTGTCGAACAGTCTCTGATGGTTGCCAAGATGATCAGGGTATATCTCATAGTAGTTCCCAATGTAAGGGAAACCTTTGGGACCTGGCACATCTCTGACTTGCTTGCCGTCAATCGTGATTGCGACCGGTTGCTGACTGTTGATGATCTCGGACACCCCTGTCAAGGTCTCGTTGTCCACGGAGAAGTCGATACCTGCTAACTCTCAGTGGCTACTCATCTCGCGCGAGCATCTCACTTACCACTCGGCTCCAAGACAGCAAAGTGTCCTGCTACCAGCAGACGGAGCGAGTCATAGTCAGAAACTTCGCTGGAATTAACCTCGATCTCATGCCCTGTAGCAGGGTCTTGTCCTAGAAGGTAAAACTGTATGGAAGGCATCTCTGCTGTGATTCAACGATACTATGATCTTTGTCGCGCTCAAAGTTTGAGGGGCTCTATGTTATATATTGAGCATGCATTTCATGAACGGATGGCCTATTGCTGACCCATAAAATATCACGGACCATCAAGAACCTTGCCGCGGTTCGCAATTGACCTTCATCAAAGAGTTATTACGAGCGGGTCAAAGTAGGCGAGAGTTGACGATGCCTCGGCCGGCGACGAGAAACCGCCGCGAGTAAGTGCTCGCATCTTCGCGACAACAACTTAGGCTTGCGATGCGTTTCAAGGTTTCCACCAAGGGAGATGTATACGAGCGGCTCACGGGTCAAGTCTCGCTGTTGGAGCCGAGTAGTTAAGGCGACCGGGATATGAAGTTCGGACGTCGCATCCTGAGCGAGTATAGCCCGCGTAAGTCTTCTCGAAAGGTTTCAGGAAGCGCGCGAGTCGCAAATGATATCCAAATGTGTGCGGTTGTCAAAGCTCCAATTCCGAGTTTAGATTGGATGCTCACGTGATTACTTGGCCGAAGCGTGAGGTGACCCTGGACTTTTCGACGACCATGACTGTGCACTTCACAACAGGTAAATGTAAGCTTCCAGAGCGAGAGGGAAGGTAGGTGATCGAGTTGTATTGTTGATGTTAAGCTGAGTTGAGATATTTTTTGTCAAGACAGAACATGGTCATAAGGATGACAGGCTTTTGGGGGGACATTGAAGATTGACATGTCAGATTCCTATTACGGAGCACTGCTATATCAAAATGTAAAGATATCGTCGGTCATCTTGCCGACAGAACCAGGCTTCTTCCAGCCCAGCTCGACCAAGTTCTTCTTCGTGGCATTAATCATACCAGGGGGTCCACAGAGAAGGATCTTGGAAGATCCATCTGCGGCGGGAGCAGGCATGTGTTGTTCCAAAACATCCTTTGTGACGAAACCACTTCCGTATTGCCAACCCTCGGGTGGGTTATCAAGCATGTAATGCACCTTCAGATTCTTGGGGTATGCCTTGGCCCAAGCATCCAATTCTGATCTGAGCAAGATATCGTCTTCGGTGCGGTTCGCGTACACCAATGATACCTCTGTGGTGTCTGTCCGGTCTTCGCAGATGCTCCTGATGAGTTGATAGTGCGGTGTGATACCAGTGCCACCAGCCACCATGCCAATCTTTCTAGCGTAGCCTTTCTTGTATTTCATGGCTCCCTTTGGCCCGCGGAAGAGGACTTCGTCGCCGACCTTAAGCTGGGCGAGGTAACGTCCGGTTAAGAGGCCTTCATCGTAAAGTCGGATGAGAAGAACCAGCTCGCCGAGATCAGTGTCGTTCGAGGTCGGCGTGTACGAACGTGTGACTGTTTGCTCGCCAATCTTGGCCTGGATGGCGACGTGCTGACCAATAGGTAATCCGAGTCTGGTCGTTGGTGTAGGGAGTTCAAACCTCAAACGAACGAGGCCGCTTCCGCGAAGGATCTGCTTTGACCTCAAAGGCAATGGCTGAAACTCTGTGCTTTTAAGGAAGCCGACATAATGTCTGAGCGGTAACTTGGGAACTCGCTTGTACATTGGGCTCCTTCCAAATCCTCCAGGAATAGTTGTGATTTTCGAAATGTAGTTTGCGAAACCTGCACCGAAGGCTGCAGAAAAGACGCTAGCCATTAGGAAGCCCTTGAGGAAGCCATTGTCAGATTGTAAGAAGTTGAGCTTGTGTAGATACTTGTGAGCTCCAGGAATGTGGATGCGACCGTGCAGTTTGTATGCGATTGCAGAAGCTGTACCAGCAAGCAGGCCTGCGGCTCCGATTGTGCCTAGGGTCTTTGCGCTGGGAAGGTTGCTTTGGCTGGGTACTGGCTCTCTGCGGACAATCTGTACAGCCTGCTTGCGAGTTGTCTTGGTGAATCCTGCCAACCTCCCAACTATGAAGGGAGCCATGACCTCTCTGGCCTCATCGGAATGGCCGACGTCTTCGAACGCTGTGGTAGCATCTTGTCCAGCTACCTCGACCAATGATTCTACACCGCCAGGATGATCCAGAGTGTATTTTGTAACATCATATACATTGCCATCAATGATAATCCAGAGGTCGTTCTCGGTGTTGTGCTCTGTGACCTCCTTGAGGGTGTACTCTTGGATATCGGCCATGATAAGAAGAGAGATTCCTGAAGGAAGAAAATGCTTTGGGTCAGTAGAGAGTGATTTGGCAGGGTCTGACATGGGTCTCCCAAGCGCACGAGTTTTCTTATATTGCCTGCCTCCAACACTGATAACACACTGCTGGCATGTGCTTGCCTGAACACGACGACCGAGGCATGTTCATCTGCTCTAGACAAGCACGGTTGCACTCAATGGGTGGAGCTCGAGCGGCAAGGAATGCGTAAAAGGACTCTTTCTGATAGGCCCTTGGCTAGTCAGTAGAATCGGCAATGTCGCAAGGAGCCGACGATAGCGAGATGAGGGTTCTCAGGGCCATGTCAAACCGAAGATCAGGTTCGGTCCGAAACCGATAGTAGATGGACGGTGGAGTGAGAAAACGTACCCGAGCCCGTGCTTTCGAGACCGGGCCGCTCATGGTCTTGTTGCCGACTGCCCGCGCTTGCCTCATACTCCTTCCATCGTTCCTCAAGAGTCCTAATTTCATACTGATTACGGAGTGGTAGGAGAAGCTGGAATACACAGGGCCATTTGCACAGAGCCATCCGAGTCGAACTACCCAGTAATGTAGGCAGTTCCTCGCAAAACCTCGTTGTATTCCAGCAAAACAATTCAGAAGGGGTGGAGTTGTTGTTTCCGTAGAAAGAGTCTCATATGATGATACAAGGCTGGATAGGTTTATAAGGCCTCGAATTCACATCCAGCCCAGCTGAACATCCAGGAAGAAAGCAGCCGCAGTTCGGGCAATTGGATTCATGCTCATCGCGTAGCACTTGTCGCGTCTGACACATCGAGCTTACCAATCTAGTTTTGACTTGCGAACATGAATCTTTCTTCATCAAGGCGAACAGATGTTTGGTTGCATGTCGACAAGAGTCCCTCAAGGGATGATGATGTTGGAGATGTGAGGGCATGTTCTCCAGCCCGAAACTTTCCGTTAGCCATTAGAGAGTCAGTGACGCAAGTCCAAAATGACACTGCGTTTGTTGGTGTCAGAAAGAACGCACAACCTTCCTCACTTTTTAGTGTTGTGGCATCGACCCTTCAAGTACTCCTTACTGCAACGAAATGCTTCTCTGTTCATCCTTGAGAAGTGTGGCCGTCGCAACTCTATAACTCGGCTCCAAGGTGGTGCCATGCAACGCGACGCGTCCCCCTTGATCAGCGGCAACGCTTTTTCCAATCGATCGTATCGACCAGGAACGCATTTCAGCTGTGTACTGTATCCAACGTCTTCAGCTAGATGTATGTGTATGCCAATGGAGGCTGTACACTCTAATCTCCTTGTGTGCAGGGGGTACGTTGAGAAGATATCGACAACAACGTCGGCCAAGCGATTTCTGGTGACGAAACACCAAGCGCTGGTTGGCTTGGTATACTCGTAATGAGACAGAGAAAAATCGCCAATGCTGTGTCCCCAAAGACCGCTGGAGACTTCAAGATGGTGCAGTCTCCTATTCATGCAAAGGTATGCGATGAAAGTATTGCTTGTAACGAACCCACGTTGTTGCTACGACTCGAAAGAGACGCCACACGTGAACGTGTACTCGTATTCGAAGTGGTAGATTCAGGTCAACAGAGTATATGGGGCTGTTGACCACCGCTGTAACACAACCTCTGGATTCACACTCATATTCGATATCTGCATACCGCAGGAGTGTCAGACTTCAGTGGCGGAACAAACTTGATAATCTGTTGTGTTCCTGCTTGAGCCAATTTATTCCTGCAACACCTATTGGACCCCTCACCAAGCCTCAGAAGTCTGAACCGTTTAGTCGATCCGCCAGATGCGCCAACCTCGACAAGAAAATGCCGCGCCGCATGGCAGTGGCAGAGTATTGTGCCAGGGAGACGGACCTCAACATGTTGGCACATGGCCGAATATTTCTCCTTGTTCTGATATTTCTTCTTCTTCCATCGTCCTTCAGAAACATTCTCGTTATTATTTTCTCAAAGCCCCCTCAGGAAGGTTTACTATAGGTATAGGGCATCGTTCCTGCTCCTGAGCTTGCCCCAAGGTTTCGTCAGCTCCACATTCTAACCCCAGGTCCCTTCTCGAGAACGCCATCCGTGCACCTGGTGCCATCCTGGTAGAAAACAACTGCTAGTCGTTGCATATCTGGGAACGCTTCCCCCTTCTCATTCTCGAGTGCATCAATCGCTACACTGGAAGCCGGAATTTTCAGGACCACAACAGTATAATGTCACCACCAGCATCACGTCGCTTGACACGACCAGAACCGCCTCCGCATCCAAATCTTTCCGTAGCTTCTTTACAGCCGGGAACACTAGATAGCCGGTCTCGAGGCTTAAGCAGACAGACCAGCAACGAAGGCCTCCCTCGACAAAGTCCGCCGACTCCATCCACCCTCCATCGCTCTACAAATTCGAATACATCAAACCACTGGTCAAGGGATGGCTCAATTGGCTCACTGCATAACACACGCACACGAGATGCGAACGCTGCAGGGATCGCACTGGGCCAGGGACTGTTACCTCCACCGCAGATTCCAGCTTCGCGGTCTAGTTCACGACCATACAGCATGAGGAACGTCAGTTCTTCCACGAGCCTGTCAAGGATGGCGACTCCCAGGTCTGTCAGGGATCTTGGTCGCGACTTTGATAGATACTATAACCCTTTTGAGACACCGAGTCAATCAACGACAGATCTAACAGCTTTGCTTCCTCGTGGCAGTTCTATGGATAGCAGTCGACATCAAGAGGGAGATGCTCCTACACCAATGTCAAGGCGGAACTCGAATCCGTTTGCTGATGAAACACATCCTGCGACTCATTCGGCAGCATCCCCTGCAATAGCGTCCATTGCTTCTCCAAGAACCGACTTCCCTAGTGAGAATGACACAAACATGCCGTTTTTCCCGTATCTCGACGACAGACTCGGCGCCCCGGTCACAGAAGAACAAGGCTACAGTTTTCCTCTGTACTGGCATGAGAAAGAATGGGACGATGACATGCACCTGCCGATGGTCGACGATGACAAGAACTTCAAGCCCACACTACGGGAGCGCTTCTCACGAAGAAATCTGCAGGATACGCTCGGTCTGGTGCTCATGATAGTTGGTCTGCTCAGCGTTTTCATCATGTTGCCCGTACTCAGCTGGTCAGGCATAAACATCATCGGATACAATGATACGCCACTAGACCAGATGTGGGGATATGGCGACAACGAAGTGACGTGGGCAACAGTCAATGCTAGTCGGAAATGGCCGCTTCTGAAGAATATGCGTACTGGTCTGATCGACCCAGACACACCCAAAGCAGAGAGAACGAGAGTCGGTGTCAATGGCGATAAGCTCAATCTGGTTTTCAGCGACGAATTCAACGATATCAACAGGACGTTCTACCCTGGCGATGATCCATATTGGTTCGCTCCAGACATTTGGTACGGAGCGACCAGAGATCTCGAGTGGTATGATCCGGATGCGGTTAATACATGGGACGGAGCTCTACATCTTCAACTCGACGCCTTTGGTAACCACGGTCTCCAATTCCGCAGTGGCATGTTGAACTCATGGAACCAACTATGTTTCAAGGGAGGAATGATGGAAGTCTCGGTGAGTTTGCCCGGTCCTGCTGGTGTGCATGCCCTATGGCCAGGCGCCTGGAGTCTCGGCAACCTCGGTCGACCTGGATATCTAGCTACGACGGACGGTACATGGCCATACACCTACGACGACTGCGATGCCGGAATAACCCCGAACCAATCTGACAGTAGTGGTATGAACAAGCTACCGGGACAGAAGCTTGCCAACTGCGTATGTCCGGGCCAAGATCACCCCACTCCAGGCAAAGGACGTGGAGCTCCTGAGATCGATGTCATTGAGGTGTCAGCCGATTATTCTGGACTTGGTCTTGGTGTGGCAACTCAAAGTTATCAGATTGCTCCCTTCGATGTCTGGTGGTATCCTGACGCAAATTTCATGGAGATCCCGGATTACAGCCTTTCTTTCTTGAATACATGGACAGGAGGACCGTTTCAACAAGCAGTGTCTACAACCACGATGTTGAACAACGGTTGGTACGATGGAAAGGCATATCAGCGGTACGCCTTCGAGTATGTGCCCGGAGTTACGGAAGATAGTTTCATTGCGTGGACGGTTGCTGGACAAGAGATGATGAAGTTTGATGCTAGAGCGATTGGACCGAATGGTAACGTTGGACAGAGGATCATCAGCGAAGAGGTATTTATAAACTACTCTGAGTGTGACCAAAGCCTACTGACATGTCATGTGCAGCCAATGTCGATGATCCTCAACCTGGGTATCTCTGAGAACTGGGTAGCGATCAACTGGACAGCCGTGTCGTTCCCAGCAATCATGCGCGTTGACTATGTAAGAATCTACCAGAAAGAGGGCGAGGAGAGTGTGACGTGCGACCCGCCGGGCTTCGAGACGACCGAGTACATCAAAAGCCACCCAGAGGCATACGAAAACCCTAATTACACGGTGAGTCAAGCGATGTATACTGAATGCTGAGCAACATACTGATTTTGTGACGGGCAGACTTGGGGCGATACTGGGTATGAATGGCCTCGCAATTCATTGATGCATGGTTGTTGAGGCACGATGATAATGTAGACGAATAGTGTAGATATATGGATGTTCAGGCTTCATCGACGACTTCCTCACCGTACATGTCCTCTTCCCTGTGGTCGTCGTTGGGAGCGTCAGTGGCAGCCTTGTCCTGATCCATCTTGTCTGTCAAGAATTGGTTGATGTCGTCTTGTAAGCGCGAAACCTTTTGGCGCAAGTCGGCGAGGTATTGCGACTTGTCTGTGGACGAGGTGTGTTGGGTGGGGGCGGACTCGAGCGGGGAAGAGAAGGTGTTGGTCGCTGTGGGCGACGTGTAGACGGCGGTCAGGTGGGCAGACATGTCGATGGGGCTTTATACGTGCAAAGTATGTGGCTCTTGGAAGTCGCAAGGATGAGGTTCGACGTGACAGGAGGCTTGGGTTGACAGGAGGAAGGAAGCAGCTATTTTTGGCAGGAACGAGCAAAGGGATTCTCAGAGGCTTGGGTCAATGACGCTCCCAAACCTTCTCTCCACACATTTCTCAAGGCACTTTGAGCCAGCGACACCATGGACGATTCATCATGAACAGCCATCAACAACCACCACAGCAACACGACCACCCTCCGCCGAGGCCTCGACCGCGGCAAGCCTCTCCTCCGGTCCTGGTCCCGCGGCCGCCGTGGGCCCATCGCAGCGCCTCGAGCATGTCGGCCGCTGCCAACGACACCACTACCAAACAACTCCCTGCCGTCCAGCAGTCCACCAACCGCCCCAGCACTGCTCATGCCACGACCGCTCCGCCCTCTGCTCTCGCAAACTTCTCGCGACCCCAGCCTCGCCAGTCAATCGATGCTCAACTGCGCATCACCTCTCCGCCTCCACCCCCGCCAACTGCCCCTCCATCCATCCATTCGCGTGGCCGCCAGCACTCCCAAGGCTTCTTCGAGCCCTCGTTACCCCACCCGTCCTACATGCCCGCTTCTCAAATCGCTGCGCAAGCTGCCATGCACCACATGCACAACCCGCCCACAGACCGCAAGCGTCCGAATCCGCCCTTGCAGCCCATCAACGTCGCTGCCACTCGTTACGATCCTCGCATAGCCTCTCCCACCGCTCTCAGCCCTCCTCCTTTGCAATCCTCCAACATCGACAGCAGGATCACCGCTACCACTGCTGCCAACGTTGCCTTTCCTCGCAGTCCAGGCCCTATGCCCTCACCTCACGCTCTGACTGCCGATCAGCCCGTCTCTGCCCCTCACATTCCCCTCCCTGCCGAACCAAAGCTCAAGGAGCGTTCCAAGATGAAGCTCTTCCACAAGCCAAAGAGCATCGGAATCACAAAGGACAAAGACTTTGACAAGAAGGCTGCTCCAGCCCTGCCCTCTCCCAACCGTGGTCTGCTGCGTGCTGGTTTCGCGAGTGCTTCTATGACTAGCCTGACTGACCCGAACTCGTCTGCTGCTGCTTCCGTCTACTCTTCTGCGAACACTTCAACTTCCACCCTAGTTCCCGTCACCACCACCGCCACCGCTGCATTCGACAAGAAGGAGGACAAGGAGAAACCCAGGCATCATTTTTTGTCCAGGCAAAAGCAGAAGGACCGTGGTGCCCTACCTCTGTCCTCGGCCTCGTCCAATTCCACTGCTGTGGATCCTAATGCTCCACAATCTTTGTACTCGTTCACCCCTCAATCTCCAGGCTTCTCAAAATCTGTCAGTGGTCTGGATTTGCGACATGGCGGACGTGCTCTGCGAGAGAAGAAAAAGGAAGAAAAGGCCGCGGCCGCTGCAGCTACCAACCTGACACCCACCATGTCCAACACTTCTGGCAATCTGCTTCGAGACGACTCCAGAAGTGACTTTGGCGGTCCTAGCAGTCTGGACTCGGCTTCTATACTTGGTCCTCCTAGCAGCAATTCACTATTTTCTCTACCTCTGTACGAGCCACAGCCTACAATGTCTGCTGCTGCTTTCAATAATCTGGGCAATAGCATGGGTCTACACGGCATCACAGCTGACGATGCCTGGCCTTTGTTAAAAGCAAGACTTTTGAACATCTTCTCTGGCGAAGACCTGCGCACACCAATTGAAGACTTCAACTTGTTGGTCTCTGTTCACATACGACGGTGCATACAAAAGCGCGCTCCTGTGCTTCTAGTCGAGGACTTGAGGGAATTGCTAACAACTGGTTTCTCCTCTCTCGCGCAAACCTTACAGAGAGTACCCGACGAAAGACTTGTCACGCGCCTGGTCGCCATCTGGCAGACGACCTTCAGCTCAATCCTTCCATTCATTCAAGCTGTCTTCTTGCCCCTGGATCTCGAATTCAGGGGTCACGGCAGTATAATGAGTGCAAGGGAGGCTCAAGAGTTCTGGGGCGCTTTTGTACCTGCTGAGATGCCGCCACTACCGTTTACACGGAAGCAGTCATCATCATTTGATGAGATGAGACCGAGTAGTTCTGGAGGCGCGACCATAACGAGCAGTACATCGAATCGCATGCCTGGACTCGGAGAAGAACTAGACGTGCGTCGTATTGCCCTGATCGTGTTCCGTGATGTGGTGCTCCTTCCACGCCATGAAACGCTGCTTGCAATCTTCTCGCGACTATCGCTGGACAGTATAAACACTACTCCAATACCTAGCAATCTGTCGTCCTCGCCGCCAATGTCAAGCAACCGTGGGAGAGGCTTTTCCAACCCGGCGGCAGGAGGAGCCGAAAGACCATCCACAGGTGGCTCGTTGTCTCCACGACTTGGAAGCAGCTATAACAGCAATGCAAATTACCTCGACAGCGGCAACACAACCATAGTCTCCAGCCCACCTGTCCAACACAGTCGTAGCCGCGCGACTTCAAATACTTCAGCCGGCAGCTTCGGCACCTCCCTTCCTCACAGCACGTCACACTATCCGACCACATCCATCGATAGTGTGACTTCTGCTCCTGCCTTTTCGTCTTCGTTCTCTCCTGATCCGTCAGGCAAACTACCCACCTTTGCAGATCCGGCACAAGTCACTCAAACCGTAGCTCGGATGTTGCAATGTGTCAGTGTTGTCGCGGGAGCACAGACAGGCGATCAAAGTCAAGCTGTGGTGGAGAGGCTGACGCGAGAATTGAAGTACAATTGGCTGGGAAGAGGCAGGACAGGCAGACAGAGAAGGGGATGGGTTGGTGTCAAGGGCAAAAACACTGGGAGCATGGGACAAGGACAAGGACAGGTCAACGGGTTGGGGGTTGTGGGTGCGTGAGCCCTTTCAATTTTTTCACAAGCATCAGGAGTTCATGCGAGTAAGGCAAAAGTCAGCGGGCTGGCTTGGAATTGGACTTTAGCAGAGGTTTGAATATGACATGCGAGAGGCTGGCTAGTCGAGGAGTCTAGATGCACACAAATCGGTAGGCGTTGGAAAGAGATACCACCAGGAACAGCCATCGGGGCATAATGACACTTTTTTGTATGACCACTTTCGCGCAGTCTTGTTTCAAATGAGATTACGGTATGAACCTATTCCAGTAGGTACTGTACCGTCTGCGAGAAGTATGTCTTCTCTTTCTCCTTCCTTGGTTGTTGGTTTCTCCATCCCCATCTAACCATTCTTGAGAGCATCTTCTCCCGAGAAGAACCAACTGGGTTTTCTGATCTCATCGACGCCCGAGTTCTTCTTCCAAGGGGTGTCCCAAACTTCCTTCTTCACTACCTCTTCCTTCTTCCTTGCCTCTTCCTTCCTCTGAGTGTCTTTTTTCTGCTCTACCTCTCTCTCTCCAACCCTCTTGTCAGTTCCAGTCTCAGCAATGCGCATAGTCTTTTGCTCAACCTCTGTAATTCCCAATTTCTGCATCTTCATCTCTGCGTCTTCCTCAGCAGTGCCAGCTGCAACGTCGATCATCTCATCAATGTCGTGCTTCCTATAAGTCTTTCCTCCGACCCTGAAATCTTTACCGCTTGCTTCCAGCGCCCCTTGTCTTTCTTGTTCTGTGCCCTTCCCCTTTTGCAGCAACATCTTTTTGTTTCTTCTCTTCTCGCGCTTGTGTTGCTGCTGCTTTTCTTGCTTGACTTCGAGGAGGTGGCGGGAGTATTCTGTAGCGATTGTCTTGTCGAGGAGTTTGTAAATGACCCAAGGGGCGTGGGGCATGTAGAAGCGTTTGACATTCTTCTCGGCGGCTGTGATGAAGATGTCGTTGTCGAGGATGTAGCCGATGGTGTTGTATTCGGCTCCTACTGCTGTCAAGACAGGTGGACATGGATTCTCGGGGTTGTAGCGTTCCTTGATTCGATCGCGTGTCAGTATATTCTCCTTTGTCTCATGCTTGACCATCCTGTGAAGCCAGCACGAACTCACTCGATCGAGTTTTGTCACCAAGACCCAGTCTGCCTGTGTCTCGGTAACCAACCCATAAGCGATGTCCCAACCATCATCCCTCAAAGCTTCGTAAAGCTGATCCTGCAGTTTTTGGAGCAAAGTGCGGTCTCTGAGTTCTGTGTCTGCATAGATGGACATGCATTTGCTGCGGTCGAAAGGGCGGACTGTATAATCGAGACTGAGCAGTTCTTCTTCCAGAGTAGGGAAAGGGCCGAAGAGTTCGACATCGAGGTTGCGGATGCGGCCGAGGATTTGGTGGTTCGGGTAGTTGGGGACGTGGATTGTGTTGCAGGATTCCCACTCGCGCTATGACGATAATGATCAGCTAGAGTCGAGGGGAAAATAGTGAGAGACAAAGGCGTACGGCAGTGACGGTTATGAATTCGACAAGGGCGGTGGACAGAGGTGTCTTGAGTAGGACTTGAAAGTGAGCTCCCTGATAATGTTGTCAGTGGATATGAGGTAGAGTATGGTGAAGGCTCGAGGTACTGAATATGGAGGCATTCTGGCTGATTGAACGACACTCGCCTATAAGCGAGATCCTAGTAGTCTTGAAGAAGGGAAGAAGAGGGAAAGTGGGTTCAAGACCAGACGCAGCTCTTGAGATGAAGCAGTGGCGGTGTGAGAAGAGAAGGTGACTGACAACAATCACCAAAGAGGTTATTGATGTGCTCTGTGGAGGTTTGCACTGAGGAGATGTGTCTCTCTTTGAAATTTCCGTCTTTGCGATGTCAACAAACCCATCAATCGCGTGGAGGGGTACGCAAACGGAGCTTTCGCTGCTGAACCAAGCCGCTGGGTTTGATCACCCAGGCGCATGGCCTTATTATCTTCTATCCAGATTTCGAATGTGATGGTGGGAATGCGCTAGATATGATAGACTGAGATGGCACAAGGCCAAGTGCAACATCGATATCGACTCACGCTCTTGTTCCTCTTGCTTTGGTGGTCCTGACGTGGGAGCAGGCCTCTTCTTGCGCTTGGAACGTGATAATTTACTGGGTTGTTTTGACGAGCCATTGTTAGCTTGACAGGGATATCGATGTTGGCTAGAGTGCTAATGGGTTTTGTGTACGCTTCCAGAGTCTATCATCAGCGAGCGCCAGTGGATGAGATTAGTCAGAGCCAAATCATGTGAGTACAATACCGTCGACATGTTATTTCTATAGTGCTCTGAGCCTCAATATCTCATGCTTAGGTGTTGATCGATGCGGAATCTCCTGGACCAAACAACTACCTACAATCTTGTATCGACAAGCTTGGTTGGACCCCAGAGAGCAAATCGGCACACCAGGCATATCAATCATGAGGTTACCTCTTTGCGAGCAATCAGGAGCCAGAGATGGTTCGTCGGCACCAGCGAGTGACACCCGACTGCTCCTTCGTTTTCCAGTCATCCAAGCTTTTTTTGCTGGAAGGGTTGTAAGTCGACCTCCAGTCAGAGATTCTCGTTCCGAGTCGAAGTGCAGAAAGAAGCGTCACTCGAGAAGCCGAGAGACAACAAAGGTGACTATCATAATTGCTCATCTACCTCGTCGACGTTAGGATACAACAATGCGTTGTGCCTTGCGAATGCTGAGTCCCAGAAACCGATATGGCTCAACGGCACCGCAGACCAGTCGTCGGGACCAATGCAGCCTGGGTGTCTGTATCTCGCGGTTCCGGTTCAACAAATTCGAGAATCTGCTGTTCATCCCCTGCACTTGAGTCTGTCACATTGCGTCGATGTCTTAATCAGTATTCTGCATGGAGTCTTTGCGTTGCGTGGTCTGGATGCCAAACGTACTCAAGGAGAGACGAGACAGCTCAGTGACGCATGATGGCATGCAAGGACGAAGAACTCGTCTGGTCATGTCATTGCACAGTGTGTGCAACGCTCTCCCGTGTCTTGTTTCGCAGTTGTTAGCATTGATATTCCCAAATCAGTGACACGTTCAGCAATTGTGTTTCTGGGACAAGGACCATGATTTTTTTTTCTTGACTTTTCTTCTTAATTCTCGGAGATGACAAGCTCTAAGATATACGCATGGAGAAGATGCTTCCTGACTCTGTATATAAAGAATACATAAATGGTGGGAAATACGAACAGGGTCATCCTCCTAGCAATGATGGAGTTTGAGTTGTTTGTTCCGAGGAGCAAGCCACACGATTTGCGCTGCTAGTCCACTCGAAAGCAGGATAAACTTCAAATACCCAGCCATGCTGTCGTACGCGGTATATTGATGTGTCTGTCCGCCTGATGTCGGGGAGACCGAGAGAGCAGATCATCTACTGATTAATATGCAGCAAAGCAGGACTGTGGTCAGCGAAAGTACGAGTAGGGTTGCTCATCTTGGTCAAGATCTCGAAAAACATATTGTGTCAGCATGTGATGCATGTGGCTGGGAACACAATTCAAGTGTTGCGCACTCCGATTGGACGATGCTTTTATTGCAATTCCAAGAATCAGGATCGTAGACCACGCCGAAGAGTCTTTTGAGAGACTTGTTGTTACAACACACAACAACAAACGCATCCATCCAAGCGAACGTGCGACACGATTACCAGCCGTCGGTCGAGATTCCTGCGCCATCTCAGTGTATATTTGAGATAGCGATTGAGTGGTGGAGGCTGGGTAAAGTGAAGTCAAGCCTCATCCGAGCCCAGAGCAAGACAATGCACCGTGAAGCCACAGAATCGTGGGGGATGGGTTGCACGGGTTATGGTTCGATTGACCGCCCACAAGGGTCCGTGGTGCGGGAATAAGATCGCACGTGTGAGGTGCACCACCGTCTATATTGTACTGTAGTCTCAGAATCTGAAGCGAAAAAAGTATACCCTGTGCAAGACGAAGGAGACGGGACGCACAAAATGTTTGGATCCTAGCATTTCGTGGAGAGACACGCAGGGGTCCTTTGTTAATTTGCTGCTCTGTCAACTGTCACACAGTAGTACCAGGGGACGTCGCTGCCGGTCATGGTAAACGAGTGCTTCAGATCTTACCGGCGGACCGCGGTGTCGAGAGGCAGAGAGGTGTGGCTGGGGTGTGGCGGTGTGGCACAAGTAGCCTTCACGTACCTGCATGAAAACAAGGAAGTTGGCACTCGGCAAGGGCCCTCTCATCGAGGTTACAAATCCATGATGAAAGCCAGTCATGGAGATCGTGGATAGAGCTCGCGAGTGAGACAAGAAATCAAATCGTGGAGCTCGAGGATGATGTCAATCAATAGTGTGATATCAATGATCGTCAGGGCTCCGTTGGAGTTTGGGCGGAAAAGCAACGAGAGCAAGGTTTTGGCCAGGCGCGAACAAGCTGCTGCAAGCGGCAGCGCCACAGCGGCCTGCAGGGCGATGGTACAGTAGTTCGATCTGGGGAACCGCGGAATTCTCCTATCAGAGCCACCGCATCTATTTCACGGACGACTAGGAGCTATAACGCAGGGTGGAAGGTGGAATTGGCGACCAGGTCGCGATATGCGCGGGAGCATGCAAGAGTCCTGGTCTCATTTCTCCAACGGCAGGAGAAGTTGGGAGCAGTTCCAGACGGTTCCTGCACTGGGCCGCCAAGAGCGAGCAAGCGCCATTTTAGCGCGGCCGAGGGGATTGCGCCGATCATGGTCACCTTCATCATATGCAAGCAAAAGCTACGTGGGACGCTGTATGCGGATGGCGCAGGCTGGCTGGTGAATCAAGAAAAGGTGGAAATGTGGGAAAGTGGGAGGCAGTCTCGGCCGACGAGTGCACGGTATCGCTGAGTTTAGTGTTGTCAGAAAGTGAAAGTAGCTGCGTGACCGCATCGTAGTGGGCGCCATGGACGGGAATTTAAGAAAGAGCTCCCATCGTCACTGCGCATCCGACCAGCCATCAACAACCTGCCTCCGAATTACTTCTCCCTCGCGTCTCGACTACATCTTCTCATCTATCCCCTCCATCGATAGTCGTTTCATTCTCCACACTCCAACCTCGTGCCCTTACCGTTCCTCGTCAACGATCACTATCTGGTATCCTACAACGCAGCATCTACCATCACAATGAAGTACGCCATCTCTCTCATCGTCGGCGGTGCCGCCCTGGCTGCCGCCCAGCAGGGTCTCAGCACATGCGCTGTAAGTTTTTCTCATCGATCTGTCTGCATTGCAATACACTGACGCAATTGTCTGTAGCAAAACTGCTTCAACGCCATGGTTGGCAAGTCCGTGACCGAGTTTGGCTGCACCAACGGCGACATCGCTTGCTACTGCTCCAAGCCTGAGTTTGGCTACGGTGTCCGCGATTGCTCCAACCAGGCCTGTTCCGCTCAAGAGGCCGTCGCTGCCATTGCCTTTGCCAACGCCTACTGCGCTGGTGAGCATCAAATCCATTGCAGAACTTCACTTTCCCCCATACTGACCCTTTGATAGCCGGTGCTGGCTCTACTGCCAACTCGGTCGCCTCGATCCTGGGCAGCGTGTCCAGCTCTGGATCTGTCTACGCATCAGCCACCTCAGCCGGCGCTGCTGCTGCCGCTGGATCTTCCGGATCCGCAGCCCAGACCTCCTCCGGCGCCCAACAGTCGTCTGGCAGCACTTCTTCTGCCATCACCACCTCGGCCCTTGTCGGCACCGTCACCACTGATGGTAGCACCATCCCTACCACCACTGGCTTCTCTACGATCTACTCCGTCGTTCCTATCGTCGGTGGCATCGTCGGTGGTGCCTCGAGTGGAGCTTCCAGTGCCGCCTCTGGTTTGAGCTCAGGTGCTTCCAGCGCCGCGTCTGCCGCCAGCTCTGGTGCCTCATCCGCTGCTTCAGTCGCCTCGTCCGCTGCCTCCAGTGCCGCATCTGCTGCCAGCTCTGCCGCATCTAGCGCCGCCTCAGGTGCCTCGTCGGTCGCCTCCAGCGCTGGAGCTGCCGCTTCCTCGGGTGCCTCATCTGTTTCGTCTGGCGTTTCGAGCGGTGCCTCTAGCGTTGCTGGAGCTGCCAGCTCTGGTGCTTCGTCTGCTGCCAGCGGTGCCAGCTCGGGTGCCAGCTCCATCACTTCGCGTGCATCCAGCGGCGCTTCTGCTGCCACTTCGGGTGCCAGCTCTGCCGCATCTCGTGCTTCCAGCGGTGCCTCAAGCGTTGCCGGTGGTGCCAGCTCAGCTGCATCTTCGGTCGTGGCCACTGCCGGCGCCCCTATCCAGACTGTCGGCCCCATGATGGGTGCTGCTGCTCTTGCCGCTCTCCTGCTTGTCTAAGCAGACACCAGCTGGTGCTCTTTCAGAATCTCCAAGCACCGCTACGAGTTACGAAAATGTGGTTTGGCAGCGTCGAGTGTGCTTAGTTAATACGGGGTTGAAGGCCACGTCGAAGCGGAGTTGGCTATGGCGAAGGGAATGAGGAGGCACTTTTGATAGTCGGAAGGCCTCGGATAACCTAATGTGTACTACTGGTAAATGAATATACCCTCTTCTTCAGACCTGTATCGATTTGATCAGACTTCATTGTTGTGTATTGGTGTAGTGACTGGGCTTTCTGACTGTAACCCTAGAGGGTCATTGTGTGTGAAAGTGACTCCTGAAGGTAGCTGGGTAACTGAGAGACGGGTCTTGTCATGTGATCAGAGTTTGCCCACGTCATGCATGCACCGAGCACCGAGCACCGAGCACCGAGCAATAGCGCGCCGGTCACCTGAGCTAAGGAAAGTCGACAGAGGAACAGATCAATACAATCAAGACTTGTCTCACAGAATGGATAACATGAACATGCAGCAGAACGCTCCTCCGCCGCCGCCGCTCGGTGGTGGTAACCAAATGCCTCCACCCATTCCCCAATTGCCGCCGCAAATGTTCACAACAGCAGCACAACTGCTCGACTTGACCGACAGTGAGCATACCCTGCTTTGTCGCATGCCACGTGTTGAGTTGCAAGGACAAGACTGATTGATTTGACCCGCAGAGAAGCTTATGGTATCACTTCGCGACGGCAGGAAACTGATCGGTGTCTTGAGGAGTTGGGACCAGTTCGGTATGAAGGCACTCTTTGCGACAATCCTCTATCGCAGTCGTTGACACGACCAGGAAACCTTGTTCTTCAGGATACAGTCGAGCGTCTCTTCGCCCAAAACCTATATGCCGATGTCGACCGTGGTCTCTTCCTCGTCAGAGGAGAGAACGTCTTGCTGCTTGGTGAAATCGTACGCTGCTCAGCCTCAACCCGCTCGGAAACTCCTGCTGACCAGCTCCGAAGGATTTGGATAGAGACGACTATGTGCCCCCTACCTTCCAGCAAACAACGGTCGACCAAGTTTTCGAGCTACACAAGCAAGAGCAGGCACAAAAGAAGAAGCAGGAGAAGATCAGACACAAGAAGCTGGCTGCATACGGTTTCGAGGGCGAGCATTCTGGGGAGGCCATTCTGTGATGTGTTGCGCCATACACGATCCGCATACACGAATCTTCTGCCATGAGGAAATGACTCAACCCTCCTTCCACGCGCCTCGCAACCCTACCTTGCCAATGGTCTATATCTACCATCAAGCAACCAAGGCTTCTGGATCTACGTCGTCGCACAACTGAAGCAGACTGATCATTCCAGCTGAGAACGTCGGTCATCAGGTGCGTAAGCATATTATCTTCTCAGGAAGCATGCAACAATACGCCCAAGACATGTCCCTCGACCTCTCATGACAGTCTTGTTCTGGCAAACAGAAGCTAGAAGAAGATATTGACTTTAATGGAAATTCTCACGGCTCTTGATGTGCCACCTGCTCATGTCTCTGAATCATTGTAGGTATATATCCAACCTCCTCAGATACATCCAATCGGGTCTTGCGATATTGATCTTTATTCGAAGGGAGGTGCTTACTGAGATTCGAGAAGTAAACGTAGTTGTGTCCTGTCATCCAGGTCTCGTTTCCCACATGGCATTGCCGAGTATGCTTTCCCAAGCGGTTTGAGAGAACCTCTGTCGACATCAGAAAAGTCTCTGCACCCGTAATATCACATCGGGGTTGGCTGAATATGTTCCGATTGCGCCGTCGACACTTAAAAAGGCTGTTGTAGATAGACATAACAATGTGCTGGCAGGGATACTAGGTGCAGGATTCATGTCTCCCTTGCACAACACAATTACATATCAAGCGCTCACGTACCAGATATTCCGACGCTGATTACCATCGTTCGTCGTCGTCGTTGTACTTTCCGAGTCCAAGTTGCGCCTTTCACATCATTTTCCCTCTTCCACGTTTGTCCTTTGGCATTTTGGCGTCTTTTGTTCCAGCTTAAAACCAGCAGAAGTACTTGGAGGCCTGGTGCGTCGGCTCTTGTTCGCAAGAGATCCACAACCATCACTGTTTGTTACACAGCAAACGTGGCACCTCTCGACTTCCTCTACCCGATCCTCCCTCTGGACACCAGAATCACGCGAGCTCTCCTCTACAGACCTCAGCCTGGACAACCATCTCCATTACCTATCCCTGAGAATCGTCGTCTCAATATCCCTCTCGAGCAACGAGAAATCATCGAGCGCAACTTTGCTTACCAGACCACCACTAGCCCGTCACGCTCCTGGTCTTTGGTAAAGACAGAGCAGTATGTGCACTACAAGGACCATTCAATGATCGCATATCTCTACGATCATCCCGTGCGCGAGTGGGTCACATGTGTGGAAGCTGCAAGGTTTGCGGTTGAGGCGTTGCTTGCTAGGGAAGCGATGAGAGCGCTGAGTGTCTCTATCTTTGCGATGAACACACCCTTCTCATGGTGGATGACTGGGGAAGTCGATCCTGTAAGCCATCCAAGAGCAGTGCAAGATCAGAATCGCTGAGACTGAACAGGATATCAAAGAAGAAGTGGAGGAAGGCGTGGAAGTCAAACTTGAGCCTGTCGCGCCTTCTACAAACATCCTGGCACCCGAAACCTCTACTACAACAGAGGAATCGAAAGCTCAGGTGATCAAAGGAAATGCAGCTGAAGAAGAGAGACCAACCGCACACGACCCGGCAATCAACCCTTCACCCCGTCGTTCAATTCGCGTCTCTCAAAGAAAGCTCGAAGAGAAGTCGCACCAGCAAACCAAGATCAAGAAAGAAACCATGGCAGAACGCACTGAGTCTGAGCCTCATACACCCCAGAAACAGCGAGTTGCAACTACACCCAGCAGATCGAAAGGAAAGAAGGTTGCCCAGATCAAGCAGGAAGATGATGATTCTTTACCACACCGCTCCGCTCGCAACGCACCTAAGCGCAAGTTCGCAGATGAGCCTTGGAACTCGGCTTCAAAGAAGAGCAAGCAACAGAAGAGGGACAAATCAGATGGACGAGACGACAGAGATGGACGAGACGACAGAACATCAAACATTCTTCGGTGTGCTAGTTCAAACAACAAAGCATTCACAAGAAGAAAAAATAACTAGCTCATGGTCAGACCATCCTTGCATTAATAGCATGAGACAAGCATACCTACCTGCTCTTTTCCTTTGATCGCTTTCCCTTATGCTTGACCCACTTCAGCCCATCGTCATCTCTGATGAAGACCACTTACACTCTTGACACTCTTTCTCTCTGACTATCCACTGCATCTATGGCGTACATAGACACAGCAGAACAACAGCGCCGATGACCCGTGCAGAAAGATATTACTCTCTCCCACAACTAAGGTGGCTGAAGTAATTGTGAGATATCTTTTAGTTCTGGTCGGGGAGAACGAGTTGACACATGATCACTATCTCGCTTAGTGACATGCAGTGGGAATGTGTACTATGGTAGCACAAAACATGCTGTAACTCATCCACCATAGCGACACCTGCATGTTCCAGGCACCGAGCGCGCGCTTGGGGTCCAGGTTGATGTTCTTCCAAGCGCATGTCTTTTGCGATCGGTCCACGTTTCGATGCATTGTGTTCACGCACGAGTAGTCCATCTGAACAACAGCATGACCATAGACAAGCATATCAGGAGGGAAACGATGGCATCAAAAACATAGCATTCGGGTATCTTTCCTTCTCTAAACTCGTCCTCTTCCTCTTCTAACAATGCTCAACTCCCTCTTCTAACAATGCTCAACTCCCTCTTCTAACCCCAAGGTAACTGTCTCAAAGCTTGTAGGCCTTGTCCTTGACCCGTCTTCATCCTTTGCACTCCACTTCTTCCTACACATCCGTAGTGGATAACCTCATTATCTGGATAGACCCTCACGGCCGAGTTGCCGAATCTCTTGTGGCAAACTCTGCAATGGTCTTCCTCTCTGATGACGACTCTTCTACTCCTTCCACCTTTCTGTTGCATGTGCTCAGGTCCAAAGGCGAGCTCAGAAGAGAGACTGATTTTCATGACGGACTGAAGGGAAGCGATGATACGTTCCTCACGTACGACGGTATTGGCGCTGCGGATGCGGCCAAGGAAGTAGGAGGATAGTTCGCTCACTTGTAGGTCGCTGGGCATCAAGTCTAGGGTGTTGGCAGCAGGAAGTCTCGGGCCGTGTTTGGACAGCAACTGCAATGCAGGTTCCCATTGCACTTTGTGTGGACTCGGCGGTTTGAGGTATAGTGAAAGTAACGTGGTGTAGACGTTTGGTTGCTGGTCTTCAGGGTCGCTGGCCATACTGCTCTTTTCGTAGGTTTGGCTGCCAGTGTTGGGGTTCGAGCCGACAGGCGCTGAGGAAGTGGTCGATGCCGAGAGGTAGATTTTGTTGCAGTATTCTTCTGCTTTCTCGTGGTCGCAAATCTGGAAGACGTAGATCTGAAGAGCTTGTTTGTGGTTTCCCATTGCGCAGAGGACGATTGCGCGGGCTTCGTACACATCAGGATCTGGTTCATCAGGTTAGCATGGATGTTTCGACAAGCGGGCGATTTTTGCTTACCATCGGCAGGTAGCTGGTTGAAAGTCTTGAGCTTGTGGTATTGCGTGCTGTTCCGCAGAAATTCTTCCAACTTGGATCGAGCGTTGTTTCGCTCTTCATCGCTACTGCCCTTATTGTCCCGCAACTTTTCCAGATAGAGGTCGACAAGCTTCTGATGGAACTCTGGCGTCTTGTCATTCAGCTCTAGGATGACGTGTTCCAAATACTGCACTGCAAGAGACTTGTCCAGTGGGACCAAGAACTTCAGTACCTTGTCCTTAGGCAGACTCTCCGCGTTTCTGGTATCCGCCACAAAAATCTCCATACCCTTTTCCGCATTGACCTTGATAGGCCACTCTGCGAATTCTAAAATGATGTCAATGAGCTCAGCTGGAAGGTTCTGCAGGTAGGCAATCGTTCTGTCAGGACCTCTCAATGCAGGCATGACTTCTTCTGCTGCTTCATTGCGACCAAACTTTTCCAAGAGTTCCAAAGCTTCACGATGTAACTTCTTGCCATAGAGGAAGTCAATCAAATCGTTGTACCTTCCGCTCTCGTACAACTTCTCTTCAACAACATGCGGATCACAGAAGTTGTCAAGACGGAAGAGTGGTCCAGCTAGTGATGGCAGTGCGAGCATGTAAGCACGGAAAAGAGTTGTGTCGACCAGTTTGGCAACTTCTAACAGCTCAGCTTGCCAGTCAACATTTTCAGCCCCTTCAGGCAGCTCAACGAGGTTGCTAAATGGTGGTGTAGAGCCCGCAAACATCTCTGTTCTCAGAGTACCATCTGTGTTCATGTACTTCTGGACTTGTACTCGTGATTGAGCTAGGTAGGAGCAGAGAGCCATAACGGCAGCCTTCAAGTCAGAGCCTGTCAAGGGTGCATCTTTCGCAGGCTTCTCTCGAGGTGCTTCGCTAGTAGTACGGAAAGACCGAATCGATGCTGTATCAGAGTCGTCTTTGGCTGCAGATGGTCTGAACTTGCCCAGCACAGATTTGGAAGGAGTCTGGGTGGTCTTGACTTGTTCTTCGGGCTGCGACGAATTTTCCTCTGCAGCACTCGTCTCACCAGAAGGTTCTTCTGAGTCAGTGAGCTCCGGTGGGTCTTCAACAGTTGAGAGGTCTCCGGCGATAGATTTGGGATATAACGAGACGACACGCTTCGGTGGTGCAGAAACATCGGTCAGAAGGTCTAAGGCTGGTCTGTACTTTTGCTGGGAAAACAAAGTCTGAGCTTTGAGCATACTGATTTCTCTGATTGAACCTTGTTTGTCCTTCAGCAATGTATCTTCCAGCATGTTCAATAGACTGATGGCTTCATCGAATTTTGTCTTTTCGACAAGCTGTTGGACCTGGGCTTCATAGTTGAGAGCAACCATACGCCAGATACATCTGTCACTGGCGACCAGGAAGCCTTTACCGGCATGTGCCAAGCTAATGTTGGGTTGGGGAACATGGAGCATCGAGGCACCGGGGAGAGAAATGGTTTGGAGGAGATTGAGGGTGTCGGGACTCCTGACGTCCAGAGCGCCCTTAGTAGTCTGCTGCAGCGATAGTAGGTAGGGGTATGAGTAACCAATGGCCTCGGGAGCAAAGGCCCAGGGGATTTGGCGTTTATCGGCAGGTTTTGCGTCCGTGTCGATGAACAGTGTGTTGACATCTTTTGCTATAAGCATCTTGTTGTTTGTGAGGTTGGTCGCCATGGGTTTGGGGACCCAGCTTCCCATGCCCATATAGCCCATGCCTGAAGAAGTGACGGCGCCAAATCTGACATTGCCGGTGGGGGTTTGTCTGATTACATCGGTGATGGTCAGAGTGTCGATATCAACTATTGAGAAGCCGGGATCCAGACCAACAAGCATCTTGGTAGCAGTAGCCCATAACAGCGACTTTGGCGAATGTGGTAGTGTCACCTCTTGAACGTCAGGGGACAGTTCCATATCTTGCCAACTCCATGATAGAATTCGACGCTTAACAGCAACAGCCAGACGAGAGACGAGGGTGGGAATTTCGGTGACGGGATCTTTTATGACGTTGGAGGTGACGGCGAAAGCGGTTGCGCCCTTTGTTTTGTCCAGTTTCTCCTGCAGTTGGAAGGTTTGGAGGTCGTGTATCGAGACATAGCCGTCGGAGAGGGAGACGAGCATGTTAGCTTCCTTGATTATGGCCAGCTGCTGTATCGCCCTTCTAGAGAATTTCTCTTCCTCGCGCACCAGGTCGACGGCGCGAGAGTTTGATCGTGTCGCATCCTGGGGTGGTTCGGTGATTTCGTTGACACGGTATATACGGAGTGTGCCTGTGTTGAGACCTACAAGGAGTCTATCGCCTAGAGTAACCATCAGTGCCCTTCTCTCGGAGTCCCAACAGTGGACATACCATATGCTAGGACCGACTCGATCTTGGACTTGTCTTGTTGCTTGAGCTCATAGATGGGCTGCGCGCGGAATGCCGACAACATGGCGACCTCTCACCCACGCACTTGACCTATCGCGACAACTATGGCCTTCCAATTGAGCTCGGGTGACTTGGGAATCAATTGCAGAGCTTGATACCACACCTTGTCGTCGCTGTTGTCGCAACGAGGTTGACCGCAATGACGCCTAGGGCACAGATGCGGAAGGTTTGCCGAGAGCCGAAACCACTCCCCAGCTATACTCATACCTTGATCAAGGCTTCTCTTCTACTTTTCTCGTAGCACACAACACTTTTCCAGCCACACTATAGAACGTTCTTCTGGATATTCATCCGAGTACTGCGTTCTAACACGTTGATAATGGCATGGTCAGAAGTGCTGAAGACGCACCTACCGTCACAAATCGATAGTGCCTTAGGTTTTACTACACCTGGTCTAGTATGCTTGCTTGGAGACGTCAGCCGAGCCGACCTGTTCGTTGTGGACAATGCAAGTGACAATTTCTTCACATTGTCGCCTTCTCTTCATACCGCACTGAATCTGTGCAAGTGTGAATAGGCTATTCTCGTTCACTATCACTGTCAGGCGACGACTAAGCAATGGGGATTATATAATCTCCCTTCAGGTCTGAAGTTGACTTTTTCCCAACACATCCACAGGCAACCTGTAACATACCATTCCCTACATCTTGCTCTTGCTTCGCGACAGACTGCCGCCTTTATATGGTATGTACTTTTGTACCTTCTGCAGTTATGTATATGCTTATTGACAACGGCCAGCAACCATGTCCACCTCTCCTTCAGACTCCATCGAGATCAAGGACTCGGACTCCGAGTCGGACCGCTCAAGTCCTGTTCAACCTACCCAACAACTGTCACCCAAGATGACTCGCTCCAAGAGTCGTCGTCTTCAACCATTCACTCCACTTATATCATCACCATCCCAACCCCGCAAGAAGATCAAGAAGATCAAGAAGGTAGAGGACTCGGACTCTGAGCCGGACCGCTCAAGCCCTGTCCAGTCGCTTCAACATTCATCACCAATGACTACTCGCTCAAAAGGTTATCGTCCTCCATCGCATACTGCACCCCAGCCACCACCATCCAGGACTCGTCAGAAGAGCTGGATGGTCAACTCGACCAAGATGAACACTCGCTCTAGCCATGGGAATGCCAAGGTTACCAACACAGTCACCGAACCAGTCAACGAAACAGTCACGAGCTCAATCACCAGCCCAGTCGTCAACGTCCCCACCGCATCACCCAGTGATGTCGAAGTCAGTGAAACCGTTGCAGAAGCCAGTCAGGTTCACTTGTCTCCTAATGCCAACCACACCAAGGTTAGAGAAGCTTCGATGGTACGTATGCAACGATCTTGTGCCACGGTGATGATCTCCACCTAGGAAGTATGCTAACTGTGCTTTTGCATCACAGCTGTCCAGCCAGAGTCTAGCTCGTTCTATCAGTGCAGGGATGTTCACTGAGATCTTCCAGCAAGCCTCATTCTGCAGAGAGGGTCTGAAGAAGCGTTTCCAGATTTTTCTTCGCTACATGGATCCCAAGGCATCTCACTGTGGTCATCTGGTTGAACCACCGACTGCTGAAGTCAAGGTACCAGAATTTGTGCAAAGGCTCTCATTCGAACATCTGGCTGCTTTTCTCGATGCTTCAGTGTTACGCACGTATTGGGAAATTGTCACAGATCTGCAGGACACCGAACTGGTCATGTTCCAGACCCTGGGCCGTATCGACAACCTTTTGAAGGGCAATCCTTCCCTCGACAAGGCTAACGCCAACATCATCATGGCTCACTTCGCCACTATCGCTACGACCAGTGATGCATTCTGCACTCGCATGTCTGCACGTATCACGCTCACACCTGAGCAGAGAATCTTCTTCGACGAGAACGATATCGAGACCGGTCAGCTTCTTTGTTTCCGCCTTGTCGTTACAGCCGATCTACCTTCTGTGGAGGACAGACTTCGTCTTCTCTGGTCTGTAGCCCCTGTTTATCCGGTGAGAATGCGCTTCCTCGAGTGGAACCACGCTACGTCCAGAAGCAGCCGTGCTCTGAAGACTACGATGGAAACTCTTGCTACCACCATCAAAGACACCGAGACCGAGGCGCGTGGTACCAAGAGAAAGGCCGATGAGGAGATCGAGACTGATCAGTAAACAATCACAGTAGCGCATGTACAGTAGTTGATTTCGCTACTCTCAAATGACGACCATTTTCACTTCCTATTACCAATGTGCTGATTGTCTGTCATGAGTGTATCTATACAGATGTACCAGACTTTGGAGGACCGTGAAGACTCTCTTTGGGGGCTTTATCTCATCGACTTCTCAGGTGTAATTTCTGACTGTAAAACCACAGCGTACCCTCACTGCCCCTGCAAGGAAAAAAAGCATGGATTGGTGGTCGAAGTATTGGTGGAAGGTGCGGCACAATTGAGGCTGTGCAACCTGACCAGCGTCACGGGTTGAGTAGATACTAAAAACAGTACACTCTTGACCATTTCTTTATAAGCGCGTTGATGTCTTCCATCTGCTCACATTCAATATTCCGTGTGTATTCAAGCAATCCTTGTGGGCTTTGGAGCAAAACACAAATTCCTTCCACAGATCAAAAGCAAAACATGTACATACGGCAGCCTGCATGAAGAACAAAGAATGTCGTAAGTCTTGATATCGTCAACGATTAACAAACCAGAGAGGAAAGAGCTAGACTCACTACCGCCACCTCATCGGGACTAAAACATTCCTGCCTCCGTCATGCCACTTGTAACACCTTGCGCCAACAGAATCAACTCTGGCAGAATATGACAACGCCTAGCCCTAGCCACCGACCCTATAGGACGTCCAACCACGTGGTGCACCTTCTCTCCTCTCTCTTCTCGAATTACTCGTCTCCAAATACACACCACCAACACCATCGCATCGTCCTCTCCTTTCCAACTCTTGATATTGCGAGGGAGTCACCACTCGCAATCTGAACAGATGTCTGAACAAGCCATAGTCAACCCTATACCCTGCGTCGATCGTTTGACCTCGGTGGTGGTTGGATATGTGGTCTAGCCGATCTTCCCAGGCTGAGAAATGTTCCCACTGCGAAGCACAAAATGGACATTGCGATCGAGTTGGTGGGGGATGAGAGTGAAAGTGCGAGGTACAGTGGGTCTTCCAAGTTGAAGCAGAGGTAAATTCCTCGTGGCAACCCAAGAAGGCAAAAGTACACTGGAGCGTTCCTGTCTGAGGTCTTGCAACGCCAAAGCCGGATGTCGACGAGCTCTGCCTCGAGGATTTCAGAGAATGGTCCGTATCGACTGTTCTGGTCGAGACTGTACGAAAGGATCGATCCAACGATGGTACATTCTCGGATGCTGTAGAACTAGGACGATAACAAGTTGCCCCTGTGGCCGCGACTGAGATGCCATCAGAGGAAGAAGTGCTGCTGTCATGGTGCCTTGTGCCTGCTCTGAGCTCCGTGGAGTGGACATAAGGCCGGATGATCATCTCTTCGAATCGAGACGGGGTATGTTGTTCCCAGTGCGTCATCACAGGTGTGTTAAGACGCACGCGTGAGCGTCGCGATGTCGAGTCACCCACTGCCGTCCATGGTTAGCGAGGCGCTCTCAGATATCTGGAGGCTGTATACCTACTCTTTATATGTCGGATCCCGAGAACAGAAGAGAAGGAAACATGGTCGACATCCACGAAATATATGTATCACTCTTGCGGTGTGATCTGATGTAACAATCTGAGAATATGGCAGACACGAGGCAGCTGGACACAAAACGATGGAACGGGTCACTTCCGCTGGAACCATTCTCTACTCATGGCAGGTATCGTCGGAACATGAAGAAAGCCCTGGTCCCGAGTGTGTCGTTCAGCTGTTGCTGACAATCACAAGCCAGCCTTACCGCTGATCGTGGAAGCATTCTTACTCCTGTACGCTCCACTTGGAGGTTAAACTTTCTTTCAACTCACTGTTGGCAAGAGGCGAGACTACGGTTTGATTGTGATGAAGGGTGTCTGGAGGGAAGGTAGAATTTGATCATTTGCCTGATCGGTTTGCGTTTCACGTGCAAAAAGGGGGAGGTCATACTCGCGCGAGGAGATCGCATCCTCGGGTGCTCTAATCGCCGTGTACCGCCAAAGGCATTGGCGCATACAAAGTGCGCGCCACAAGAGCGCACGACAGTCAACGCATCTGGATCGTGAGCGAGCCTTCCAAGAAACGGCAGATGATTGAAACACTCGAGAGTGTTACCTTTGAGATTACTACATTCACGGGACTAAAGGCTGGCCAGCATGAGAGGCTGACTGTATGGATAGTAGTATCTAGGAGAGCCTGAGATGCTGCTTGGATAATTAGCAGGGTGAAGCCGAGAAAGAGGGGTTCATGTAGGCGTGCATTGGATTCATGCATGACATGCTTGGTAGCATAGCTGATGGGTATGTCCACCATCAAACTGCCTCTGCGGTTTCACATACCTCCAGTACTACGTGGATGGCTTGACTCTTATTTTGTCGGGCGTGTGGTTTTGACTGACATGGGGTGTCGGATTCTGAGATGTGAAATCAGACCGAACTAGATACGAATGAAATGGAGAAACCAATCATTCGTTGACAAGCATCGGCACGTAATAGCACATAGTTGTGTAAAGCTACTCTGACCTTTGTAAGAGATACTGACAGCTTTGGACTGTCTGGTCTACTATGGCGGACAAGATGTTGACGTCGCTTGTCAGAGACAGGGTCAGGAGCCCGACATTAACTTCGAGGGTTAGTCAGTCTTGATACAACCACTGTTCTTTCCAAGCCCAACATTCATACCACAAGCCTGTGCAGGAATAATCTGAAGTTGAGGCCATTGTACGGTTTGAGTCGGTGGATAGGTCTTGAAGTGTGACTTATCCTAGAATAAGTTGACGAATGTACAAAACACTCTGTTCGTTATCCGCCCTTGTTTTGATGCTGCTCAAGTTATGGGCCTTCTTCTCAGATATAGTAGAAGCTCACGCGCTCGTTCGAAACTGTATCATGACAGGAAATCCAAGATGCGAAAGTGTATCGAGGAACAGAAAACATGTAAAGAAGAAAGAAGAAAATACGTCAATTGAGGGAAAGGTAAGCGTTGTCTCCAGACTCCAAAGACAAGGCAGAAGCAATGAATTTACCAAATAAAGAGTGCAGAGAGAGTGTATTGGTATCTGAAGAGGATGTAGTGATCCTAGAATGACAACAGAGAGTGGCTGAAGCGTGAATCCTCGTCCTCATGACAGGACAACGAGTGTGCATCCTCATGTATGCACGCTGCACAGTCTTGACGCGGAGCTGCGACCGTTTCTCATGTGAGAGAGCCCAGGCATCGCAAGGGATTCGCCAAGTGGCGTATGCTGGGCGCAACTTGCTCACGAGACAGTCGTGCGAACCAGCGCGGAGTTCGTGATGCTCGATTTTGCCAGATAACTTCTGCTGGGTTTTCGGAGCTGGACTGACAGTCTCGTTCTCGTGCGGTGTCGTCAGTCATGGAATCCAGGAAATCAGAATCTTAGACAAAGATGCCCAGACGGAAATAACGACCATCAGTGATCTGATTATGCTTCATGAACTTGAAGGCAAAAGCACAAATGTATTTGCCACGAGGTCAAATACGAAAGCGAAATGTTGTTCAACAACTCGGCCGAAGTCAGCCATAGCCAAATGTTCAGGTCAACGTTTATAAACAAGAACTCTCGTCGCAGCGCATCGTACTGACTGGACTACCAGATGCGATCAGAAAAGTTCAGCTCGAAGCTTGGAAAGTCGGGAGCGAGAGAGATCTTCTGTATTATCGGCCGTAATCCGGACACAAGATCTTGTGTGCTCGGATTCATCAGGATTTTGTACCTTGGAAATATCGTTGATACCGCAGCCAAGCTTCTTGGAGTCTGGCAGACGCAGAGTAAGTTCTGTTAGAGTGACAAAGCCACGCTCCAAGACGACACATGGTTCTGATGTTGCGAGTCAAGGAAAGTATTACCTGAGTAAGGGCCTTGGTATTGAAAGGCGGAGCACAAACCTTGGCTTGGTGGTCTTCGAATCAGAGTCGATTTGTAGATCATCCGCGCGAAGCCGTGGCTGAACCTATGAACAGGAGGATACAACGAGATGCAACGGAGATGAATCCCCTAGCTTGTCTCAAAGTAGACGTAATGCCAAATCGAAACAGAATGCGGTCTTCGAGTATAGGGCGTGGATAGGCGAGACGAATTACAGGAGTCTTGGGAGCTTACGTAGGTCAGATGCCGATTTCCCGTGAAAGGGCAGCTTTGCTCTGTGTCGCAGACTTGTAGGGAGCAATGGGCCAAGTGCGTGTACAAGCCTTGGTAACTTGGTGCGACAAGACTCGAGTTCAGCTCAAGGCTCAGGGCAGAGCAGGCAGGGGGATTTGACCGAATTTTGCATAATAGACACATTGGCAGGCCTTGGAAGAGGCCAAATTGCGTGGTGGACGAGAAGCAGAGAGAACTGGGCGACGAATTGATCAAACGTGCGGCTTGGCACCGAGGGTCTGAAGAAGCGCTGGACTCAGCATGACGGCGACGAAGGCAGCAACTCGTCTTCTTGTGACGCGAGATTGGCATCACGACAACGATGGACATGGCAAAGCAATAAAGGAGGGAGAGCATCGGCGACGACAGGCAGATCAGAACCATCAGATGGACTGTCGGAGACAACTCTCTGCCAAGGAGATGCCCAGAAAGTTGCCCAGGAACTTGGCTGCACTCGTTTCTGTTGGCATTTCTCCTTTGGCAAACATGTCAAAAGAAGCACCATGGCCGGCCATGCGTGACTGGCATGAGTCGTCTATCTGAACGCCGTCTATAACAGTCCGTTGACCTTTGCGTGTCAACTGAGGCCCCCTCCACCTCGCATACCGCACCCGCCCGGATTTAAGCTGGACAATGGCCGATCGCTCCTCGTACCGGCATTCGAATGCCTCGGATTCCGACTCGCAACACACTTTCCACATCGCCCAAAATGCCCCCTCAATACTGCCCAAACCACCGGCTCCTGCCATCCTCCGAAACTCGTCGGGAGAGCTGAACGAGAAGCAAGACCATGGCTACGACCACGACCTCGAGAAGCAGGCCAACAGGTCGCCTCGCAGGACGCTGGACATGGCTGAGCGATACAACCCTTATCCCAGTCGCTCCCCGTACGATCAGTCCAGCTTGTCTTCGGATGAGAGCGATCATCTAGTAGACCAACGTCTACATCTCGAGTCCAAAGCTATCAAGATACTGGTGCGTTATATACATCTGTTTGTTCCATGTCCTTCTCCCCGTACTTACATCGCATTCCAGCTGTACCTCTCCGGTCCTTGTGTCTTGGTTTCCTTCCTTCTCTGTGTTTGGTCACTGGTCATTACCTTCTTCACTGTCTTGACATATCCTCTACGACTCCTCTCGGCCTCTCGTCAGCCCCTTTCTGACGAGCTCCGATCTCTTCTCGCCCGCTCAAACCGTCTACAACTACGAGCAATCTACTCCTTCAACATCACTCAAGGAAAGAGCGTCTCTAGTCTGCTGCTCGTCCATGCTTCGTCGCCCTTCGTCGCTATGGCCGTGTCTCTGAGCGCCTGGGCTGTTGCCATCTACTGGGTGTTTGCCGCCATGATCGGTGACCCTGACGGCACCGAAGGTGGCAACGACGGCAGAGCCACCGTGCTCGGTCTTCGAGCCTACTGGGAAATGTGGCTTTGCAAGGCCATGATCCAATAATTCTTCTTGGTCCGGTCCTGGTCCGCTGCAACACGACTTCCGAATTTCTTCTTCCGGCTCAAATCTGCGGCCATTTTCCCCATTGTGCTTTCATCTAGGTTTACAGATGAGTTTCTTTTTACAGTCTAGCAAGGTGTTGGAGGAGTTTTGTATTTTTACGACCACGTTCCCGAACCCTGCGGGGGTCAAACGATTACGACGACAGCGAGGTTTATTCTCGACTTGCTTTTTCTCTCTTTTCCAGCTTGTTCCTTCTACCAGAATTATACCAATCAGCGCAGCAACATCAAAGTATTACTATCAAACTTTCAACCGTATGCCTCCCCTTACCTTTGCCTTTCTCCGCTCGACCCAGCAGACTAGTCTTCATGAAGCATGTCATCCACCTCATATCGGCTACTGGCCTCTGACGCCCTTGACGTTTGGCTGTACCGCCTTCCAAGATGTCGCATGCGAACATGATGATGCTCTCGTTAGTCCCGTGGCGTGAATGCCTTTCTCACTGGATCATGCGTGCCAGACCCGGACATAACGCTGCTAGAATTGTGGATTATATTGCAGCCGAGAGACTCGGACTCATACCAATACCCGCGCAGCTGGTTCATCTTCATTGGTCTAGTGGTCATGATTTCCGCTTGTCAAGAGTAAAATCTCGTCAAGCGCGGGAGACCAGGGTTCGATTCCCTGATGGAGAGAATTTTCTTTTGCTATCTGGTTCGCTGTGATCCGAGCCCCGAGTTGTATTGCGACTGCTACTAACTGCTTGATCATTTTTGTTTGTTCATGTCTCGAGCAATGCGACGCCGTAGTTCTTTCTACTCGCGTTGTTCATAGCACTTTGCTGGCATTGGCATCTGAGGCCGACTTGATTCCTGTATCTCGAGCAGCCAACAGTGGGGTTGAGTCAAGCCTGTGATGAAAAGAACCCAATAGATATCTATGAATGACGTGTCTACGTTCGATCATGCTCGACGAGGTGAAAAGTGTCTGTAGATGGCACTCTGTAAGGGTAAGTTTTGGCAACACATATTGAACCCGTACTTCGAAGCGCATCTGGCGAAGAGTACAACAACAAGTAATTCTATAATGGGACGACGTGTATTATGCAGTCTTTCTAGTATGTATAAATTCCAATCGTGTTCTGAGACTGTGACAGACTATGCTGTGAGCCCACCAGGAGGTCCCAATCCGTTCTATACTTTTGTATCTCGTCGAGTCTGACGACGACGATGCTTGGACAACCTGCGCGGTAAACTAGTGCCTCTCGACCTTGCTAAACGGTGTCGATGTTGACTGAGGGGGCGACTGGAACATATCAGTATGATTGTGTCTGTGCTTGCTATCCTTGCAATCTCACCTCAGTTTGACCGCTTTCCATGGCGTAGAGTTGAGGGTCACTTCTGGCTGCGATACGTCCATCGCCGAGAAGCTTGCTAGGGTGCAGAACGAGGTACACGACAGTGACCGAGAACATGAAGACAGCGTCGAAGATGTAAAGCATCCACTCATGGGTGATGATGTAGCCATCGTTGCCTTGTGCGTACTCAACCACACGAATGAGGTTACGCACCAGGATGATAGCACTGCAGAAGTACATGGCGTACATGTGCTTGCGCCAGCTCAGACTCGAATCCACCGAAACACCGGTCGGAAGCTTGTTGATGCGAATGTGGAAGAGACCCGTCACAACGACGAAGAAGCCAAAGATGATGATTTGGATAATGAGACCAGCGATGACAATGTTCTTTCCGGTGTTGAACGAGTCCAGGTCGCTCTTGGCCTGAATACCAGCACCGCCAGACTGTACAAAGAAGGAGATCACGTCGCCGATGACGAAGACCTTTGTGAGCCATTTGGTGCGGATAATTGCGTATTCTTCGGCATCAAGACGGCGGATGATGCGGCCGAGGACCATGTAGATTGAAGCTGCGTAGAGTGCAGGAGCGACCAGAAGTAGAAGACTTTGCATGATGAATGGACCCATAGCTTCCTTGTCGCTATGTGAGAGAGCACGTCCAACATATCCTATGCACTCGACTATATCATGTTAGCATGTGCCGGACGAGTACAAATTGAGATACTCACGTAGCACACCAATTGTGAACGGGATGAAGTAGCGAGCACGCAACTTGAAGATGTAGTAGACATGGCCAGCGGAACCAAGCCCGAAGAGTACTACGAATATGATGGCAGCTACGATGGACGGAGTGTAGTGATAGAAGACGAAGTTGATCTCTCCAGTATCTGAGTCGGACATCTTGAGTCGGTAGTATGTGTGGATGCGATCCCTTGCAAGCAGTCCAGAGCGGTTCGAAGGCAAGATTGTTCGTGAAGGGAGAAGACGAGAGAGGTGGAGACACAAGTTGATGGGAAAAGGAAGAAAGGCTAGCTACACCTACCTGTATATTATATGCTGCATCTTACATGTCTGCCTTGCCTTGACGGCACTGCCTCTTGGATCCGTACAAGTCGCAATCAAAATTGTTGATGACCGTAAGCCGGTACGATCGTATCCACCGTATTGCTTGGGAAGGATCTCAGCAATCGCGAGACACGGCCCTTGATTGGTTGTTTGAGCTAGCCTTTGCCCTAAATCTGTCGGAGTATCTTCCACGTATACGGTGTATCCGGCTGCCCTGTTTGCAGTGTTTACAAGCATCCTGTTGGGGCATGATTTGATGGATGGGTCAAGGTGCGACGGAGCGCTGGAGTCTTCGAGCGACCGGGCTTGCTCACAGGACTTGGCGAAGTGTGATCTTCTTACCCTCGCTGTGCGTATCTGCATATCCTATGCACAAATTCCGTTGCCAAGATTCTGCCACTTCTCTGGATAGCCACATAAACGGACATGATTACTTCAGATAACTTATTGCTAGTGCTCCATATACGTTCCAGCCTGAGACGCATAGCTGTCCATAAAATGGCCGGCCCTGCGACTCCAGCATGTGCGCCGCGTCTCAAATTGATTTGATCCCGTATGCTCTCGATCCGCTCTCAATCTGCTCTCTGGCATTACCTGTCTGATCAGCACCTCTGGATCACGAGAACCAACTCGCGCTGAGTCGACCCATCGTTGTCGATCATGAGTGATGGCCTCGCTGGACCTGGTCGAAATTCTATACATCTAAGCTCACCTCTCCTACACACACCATCTCTGGGATCATGCTGGATCCTAGCTAGCCCTATGGTAGTCTGACACTCGAGTCTATCTCTACTCTCTTCTCTGAGTCCATGGGCATGAGCGTGCGCTGGAAAATCTGCCATGGTTTCCTATGAACCACAAAAGCCGCTTGTGCACCTGACCAGCACTAGCTACAAGTGGCTAGTGACTCTCGCGACTGGCAACCAGAGCTACAAGGGGCTGTTCTCGTTTCTGTTCATCAATTTCGACATTTCCATGTGGAGTGCATTTGCCAGTTTATTCTGCGGTACGGAGTATATCACTGCCCACTTAGGTGTAATGCGGGCCATTACCATGCGGATAATGACTATGGGAGCAGAAATGGATCTCCCAAAAGGAAATGGGAAGATTGAGCAAAACTCGGACTTCTTTTACAAACTTTTCGAGACAACGCCATGGAACCCGGGTGAGCTTCGTGGCGTTGGAATAGAGCTCTGAGGTCAGTCAGGCATAACTGATTCCATGCTACTCCAGTTTGAGACCCAGAAGTTGTTTCAAACATGGCTGGGTTGAACGTGGGGATGGCGCCCCGTGTCGGGAGCCTCCAGCGACCATTGGTGGAAGATTCCCAACCCCACACCCCACATCCCATCCTACAGCGATCACCTCCATCACCACGGTGGGATCGTCCTGACCTTGCATGACTGCTGCATGCCGGTCTTCTCACCGGACGATCGCAGCATGTCAGTTTTGACAAGTGGATCTAGTATAAAGGCATGTCGACACCTTCCCTGCGTAGGGCGAAGCTCTTTGGGCATTACTTTCATCAATCATGGACAAACACGACGAGACTGCCAAGGAGGAAGAGGTCGAGTACATTGACTTCAAAAAGCCTGAAGAACCAATCTCTGGAGAATTTGACAACGACCAAGCAGATCTATATGCTGAAGCCCTTCGACGCTATCCGAACGATGAATCAATAGACCAGGCCGATGAGAAAAGGTTGAAGCGTAAGCTGGACCTACGCATTATACCACTGCTAGGTGTATGCTACTTCTTCTACGTAAGACGGATACAAGTTCGGCCTCGGTGACAACAACTCACTCATCTGCACAGTATGTCGACAAGACCACCTTATCCTACGCAGCAATCTTTGGCATTAAGAAAGATCTGGACCTTACTGGCGAAGAGTACTCATGGTTGTCAAGTATCTTCTATTTTGGCTGGCTGATCTGGGCGATCCCTTCGAATCTCATCATGCAAAGATGTCGACCAGGATGGTATCTGGCCTTCAACATCTTCATGTGGGGAGCACTTCTGATGTGCCAGGCTGCTGCGAACAACTTCGCAGCTTTGGCTGCACTTCGTGTTTTGTCTGGAGCTTTCGAGGCTATCGCCGACCCAGCATTCATGCTCATCACCTCCATGTACTATACTCGTGAAGAGCAGCCCTCTCGTATCGCGGCCTGGTACGTATTCAATGGCGTGGGAGTCGCTGGTGGCGGTCTGATTGGGTAAGTTCTGAAAGCTCTGCGGACCATCAGTTTAACGCGGTATATCCTAATAATCCCTTAGATTTGGTATCGGTAACATCCACGGGGCTTTGGCTTCCTGGCGATACGAGTTCCTTGTCGTCGGCGCATTCTGCTCAGCATGGGCAATCGTCCTCTGTTTGCTTCTTCCCAATTCGCCTACAACATTCAAAGGCTTTTCTCGTGATGAAAAGCTGATCATGATCGCGCGCCTGCGGCGCAATCAGACAGGTGTCGAACAGAAGCGTATTGATTGGGACCAAATCAAGGAGGCTTACCTCGATTACAAGACTTGGCTATTCACCTTGCTAGGTTTTGTCGCCAACATTCCTAATGGCGGATTGTCAAACTACTCCTCACTGGTCATCAAAGGTCTAGGATTCGATACCCTACACACAGCGCTGTTGGGTATCCCGCAGGGAGCTCTCGTTGTGATCTGGATTGCCCTCGGAGCCTTGGCAAACAGATATTTGCCCAAGAATAGTAGGACAATTGTCTGCGCGGTATTTATGATTCCAACGATTGCCGGCGCTCTGGGCTTTTTATTGGCACCCGACAACGCTTATGTTGGGCGCTTGATTTGCTTGTAAGTTCATTCTTATTTTCTCAAGATGGAATACACGTCTGACATCTCGAAGCTACATGACGGGCTCCTACCAGGCGTCATTTGTATTATCTCTGTCACTCGTGACCAGCAACACGGGTGGCCAGTCAAAGAAGATGATAGTCTCGGGCATGATCTGGTTTGGTGCGTGTGTTGGAAACATCGTCAGTCCGTTCTTCTACAGACAAGAGCAGGCGCCATCATACTCTCTCGGTATTGGCTCCCTGTTAACAGCAAACTGCATTGAAGTCTTGTTGTTCGGCGTGCTGAGATATGCTTTCATCTGGGAGAACAAGCGCAAGGAAAAGACCAGGCTTCGTATGCGCGAGAGTGGCGAAGCTGCTGCGTTGAACGACACAGCGTTCAGCAATTTGACGGACAAGCAGAACCCTAACTTCGAGTATGTCTACTGAGATGTTTCAGATGGACGGCTGTGTATGTCTGCGTTCTCCAAGATATGTTGTTGGATCATGAAACTGATGAGCACTGCTGCTGGATGCTGATATGGAGGATGACTACGCGTGTTACAGTTCATCATGTTTTGGCACGTTCGGCCCTCGCTCAAGTTCCTCCGGGACAGGATCACTGATGGCCTGGTACTCTGCATTCTGAATCACAAGAGAGACTTCTGGGTCCCGCCGGATCAAATCTAGGTACGTTTGGTCAGGCAGATAGATGATGTAGTGAGCACGTTCAAAGATCTCAAAATCCTCCCAGTGTCGTCGAATATGTGGACTCAAGTCCTTGCCGATGGTCTGTAGATGCTGTGATATTGTGTAACCTGGCTTAAGATAGACCAAGTATTCATCTGGTGGGGTGAACACCGCTAGATGCCAATCGAGGTCCGGGGGCTCGATGGGGTGCATTTCAGACGGCGGTAGAAGTGTATGTGTGGCCTGCAGTCGAGCTGCAACAGAGAGAATAGCCATAAATAGTTTGAGTAGCTGCATGGTTGATGTCGATTTATGGTGAAGAAAGAATGAACAATTTGATGTTGTCGTCGGCTCCCGATAGCGGCTACGTGGAGCTTGGGCCGGATCCCTTATCGCCCGCTGCCCCACTCGTTCGGGACCCTCGAACGAAGACCCCTCGACATCAAGCTCTCCAAACTTTTTGACTCGTGACAAGTGTTTACCTCAACTGCTCCTTCTCGCCAAAGATATCCAAACATGTCTCACTCACACGACGGAGCCCACTCTCACTCCCACGATGCTGTCGATCATGGACACACTCACGAGATTCTAGACGGACCCGGCTCCTTCTTGGGCCGCGAGATGCCCATTGTAGAAGGCCGTGATTTCTCTGAGCGAGCATTCACAGTCGGTATCGGTGGTCCCGTCGGTTCAGGAAAGACTGCTCTCATGCTGGCCCTCTGCCTGGCCCTCCGCGAAAAGTACAACATCGCTGCCGTCACCAACGACATCTTTACCCGTGAGGACTGCGAGTTCTTGACCAGACATAAAGCATTACCTGCCGAACGCATTCGCGCCATCGAGACTGGAGGTTGTCCTCATGCTGCCGTGCGTGAGGATATCTCGGCAAACTTGGCTGCGTTGACAGATTTACATCAAGAATTCAACACGCAGATCTTGCTTATTGAGTCTGGTGGTGATAATTTGGCTGCGAACTACAGTCGCGAGCTTGCCGATTTTATCATCTATGTCATTGATGTCTCGGGGGGTGACAAAATTCCTCGCAAGGGCGGTCCGGGAATCACACAGTCTGACTTGCTTGTTGTCAACAAGACTGATTTGGCTGAATTGATTGGTGCTGATCTTGGAGTTATGGACAGAGACTCGAGGAAGATTAGGTATGTCTGTTCTTCGAAGTCCAAGCGACACAGACCACTAACACACGTTACAGAGAGGGAGGTCCTACAATTTTCGCACAGGTCAAGAACGGCAAGGGTGTTGATCACATTGTCGATCTGATCTTGAGTGCTTGGAGGAGCAGCGGTGCAAGCCAGGCAAACCCTCAATAGTTGAGAGGACCTTTGTTGCAGATGATGAGTCATTATCGCTACCTGGGAAATTGAGAATTTCAAGCGAGACAGAACAGGAATTGAGCAATAGTTGATAAGACTTTGCTAGAGTCTAACGAGAGACCGCAGGGGGGTGACCACATACTGCCATCACAGGCAGCAAAAACATCAATAATACAAAACACCAAAGGCCCTGAAGCAAAAAAAGAAAACAATCACAGGTCTGACGGGTTGGGAGTTGTTCACTTACTTCCTCCTTTCCTCCACTTTCCCTCTATTATTCCTTCCATCTTCTCCTCCAGCCTCTGATAGTGACCAGACCACCTTTCCACAGGGGCGCGTCTATCAAGAGACCAATTTGAAAAGCTTTGTCAAGCTTTGGGTGAGAGTATTAGCTGATGCAGGCGTTCGAACTCGAGCTCTTGTGGTGAAAGTTGTTGGTGTTGTTGTTGTGGTGAAGTGACTGCCAAGAGATATGGTTAGCTGCTATTTCGCTACACTAACCGTCAGACCAGAGTGATTGTTGTGAGAACCGGAAGGACTCGTATATAAGGTGTCTGAGACCTTTCCCTTCAGTGGTGGAATAACCTGACTTATCAGCAAGCGAGATCCAGCGCGTCAGTCTCTCATGTGTAGTATGACATCCAACAAACATGTGATCCACGCCACCTGGTACTCCTTCGAACGCTATCAACGGCACTCCTCGCTCTATATCCCGCTCGGACTTACTGTTGTGCTCCAGTGGACTGAGGCCTACAGGCAGCAAGGCGCACAGGAGACCAGACTGGATATCTTCCTGAAAACTTTCTTGGACTCAAGATGACACTCGAACAGGTATTTGGGCAAGGCGTGAAGACATGTATTTGCTCTGCTATCTACAATTTTATTCTGCTCCGTATCTGCTTCAGACACACTGGAAGTTTCCAGCAGGCTTGACGTTACAAGAGCTGTTAGTTCCTCCAGTAACATGGATGTTGTTGAAGGTAAAGTTTGAGCAACTACCATCTCCACAGAGGATATAGTAGTCTCTAGCCTTGGTCTGAGCAGTGCCAAAGATGTTGGACATGGTGATGTTCTTGATGATGACACCATTTGTGGGGCTTCCAGTCGGGCCTCCGTTGAGGTAGTCTTGCTGAATGTCGATACCGTAGATGTCGATGTTCGAGACCTGGATGTTGCGGTACTCGATGTTGGCAATGTAGCCAGTAGTGTTGGAGTTGGACTTGATTCTTGCACCGTTCTGGCTGTTGAGTACTTTACTGTTTTCGAACAGGATATTTGTGACATTGTTGTTGCTCTGCGAGAAGTCAGACGATGTGTCTTGATGAGGGACGAATCACTTACCTTGCCACCGACACTTCCAATAGAAAGACCATGCCCACCATCGCAGTACATGTTGGAAACAGTGATGTTGTTACCGCTGGTGATAGCGACACAATCATCTTGGTTCAACACCCTTGAATCTCTCAGGACCATGCCATCGGTGCTTGAAATATCGAAACCATCTGTATTATGAGCCGCGGCAAGTCCATTCGATCTGCTATTGGGCGCCTCGCCCTCTGTGTTGTTCAAGAAGATATTCTCCACCACCAGCCCGTTACTACCAGAGATGGAGAAGCAGTGGACAGGGTAATTTTGGATGACCAGATTCTTGACCACAGACTTGCCAATAGCTTTGCTGATGGTGATAAAGTGGTTCGGCTTAGCGACACCGCCGTTCGAACCAAGACCGTCCCACCAGGCCTGGCCATTGCCGTCAATAATTGCTCCTTTCTGCGCTGTGATGGTGACATCTGTACCAGCGACCTTGATCATGTCATAGTTTGCATCTGCGTAGGCGAATGTTGTCGTTCCCGCAAACGTCACGACAGTGCCGGTTTTGAGCTTTGTCAGGTCGAGTGTTGTGTTACCAGGAACGGCGATGCTGTCAAGAGTGATGTTGGTACAGGAGGACACGGCGGCAGCGACTCCCGAGTAGGAGGTGACGTGGCAGGGGTCAACAGTCTCGGTGTGGGTTGTAGTCGGAGCGGCTGTGGCCATTGCCGCCAGTCCAGACAACGACAGAGATTGGAGCGCGAACGATTTCATGTTGCTATAGCCAGAAAAAGATGAAAGGGAAACTTGATAGCAGATGAGGACAGGAAACAGTCAAGGGCATGCAGCTAACTTATACTTGGCCTTTGTCCAGGATCAAATACATATTAACCCGAAGAGAGGTACGTTAATCTCAACAAGCATCTGTAGGCGTCCAGTCCAAGACAAGACAAGCGAGAGCATTCATCAACGTGGCGGCTTAGTGTGCCCATGGGGACTCCACAAGCAGAGGCGAAGCGTTTCGGAAGAATTGCTTGATATTGCAGATCATCCTGGAGGATCTGAATTTTTCCGCCATCCAGAAGCTTTTGCTGTGACACAGAGATGGATACGGAAGGTTCAAGACTTCAAGTGTCCAGCGGGGAGGCTCCAGATCTGCAGACGGCAGAGAGCGGACCGCGAGTGCGGAGTCTCTTCCTTGTATCCGCAGGGCGGCGAGCTGCATGGAGGTCCCGGGAGCGCAACAGCATCACGAAGAGTTTGTAAGAAGGTGTTGACGAAAGCAGGGGCTTGCTTTGACATGGACCTTTCGGCTCAAGAAGCAGTCGTGCTTTAGCGGCGATGAAAGCAGAGGGATAGATCGGATTCCCAGGACCACCAAAGCATCAATACATACTTCAAGTTCTTCCTGACCATGACAACCCCGACAACAAAGACTGGAAGGAAAAAGACGGGCACAATGACGGGCCGGGCCTCGTGTACAGTGCTGTATGATTAGGTAGCTCCTGCATGATTCACCTCGCGGCGATATCAAGCCACAATGGGACACTTGGTACTTTACGTCGAGCGATAAGATACTAGTGATAGATATGAGTGAGGCGAGGTGTGAGTCTCACAGTCGTCGTCCCTGGAGAGGGTCTCCAGATGAAGAGATAGGAACAACAGGAAGTAGGTGAGTAAGAGAGGAAGGAGATATGGATGCACGTGAGAGGCCCGTGCAGATGATGGAAGCACCTTTCACGTGAAAGCGATATAGATCATCAGCTTCCATCTTGCGGCCACAACGACCAACACCCAGCTCTCAGTATAGCAGAGGATACAGCTTCAGTATCCCTATCTTTGGTCGCCACTTCCCCGATTCATTGCCGGCGACATCGCACTTCCGCCACCATCTACACGACGACATCTCAGCTTGGAGCCATCTATAACACCCACCAACTTCGACACCGAGTCTTCGGATCAAGCTGCACTCGATGAGCCGACGCGAGTTCCCTTGGTCATACTAGGATGATGCCCTTCTCAACTCGAGCGCTCTCCCACAGATCAGAAGCGACAGCTTGCAGCCGCTCGAGTCGGCCAAGCCTGCCACAGACTCGTCACTACCTGCCGTCCCTGACATGATGGCGTCCGACAACCGTTCGTCCTGGTCCACTACTCCCTTTGGATGTGAGTGCGGCCGTGCGAATGCTCGTGCTTGCACATGCATGCGCAAATACAGTGCTGACCTGTCCCCTTCACAGACGAGTTCCCTTACCAACCCGAGAACCTTCCCTCAGGCCCGCCCCTGCTTGATCAAGACGAGTCTACCACTCTACAGAACTTCTTCAGCGATCCAGATCACTATGGAGCTCCGGACAACTTGCCCAATGCCTTCCTGGCCAACATGAACTCCTTGCCCGAATCAAGGCTTCAACAGTACGACCAACTCAACGATCCTCAATGGATGTACCCTCTGGACAGTCAGTCATATCCCATGTCGTACCCTTCACAAGAGCAGTCATTCCAGTTCTCCAACACAAACTACAACCAGCGGTCCTTCCAGGCGCCAAAAGATCCCAAGGATCTGCTTGCCCTCGTTGGCATTCCCGAAGCAAATGCATCGGCCGATGTACTTCATGCTGCCTCGACCTTGTTTTCATACCGAGCAAACCCCAACCAAGTTCTTGGTGCTACAAGCTTTCCTCAAGCAGTGACCCAGCAGCAGCCAGTCGCGCAAAACACAGCCCGCCATGCTTCGTTTCCCTTTTCGGTCGCCGCGACGACGAGCTCGACGGCGCAGCAGCACCCCTCAGCCAACGGTCACTTTCGTGCATCGTTTGACAATTCGACAACAAACTCTCACTCACATCCTCACTCCCACACTTCCTCCTCTCACCAATCCAGCACTCCAATGTTCCACTTTGGCACGGACAACAACTTCCGCCAATCTGGTTACGCTGCTCCCTATCAAGATCTCGAAGCAAGCACCATCCAGCACGTCGAATTCGCGCGCAACATGGTCCACTCATCCAACGATGCCATGTCTTCTGTCGAAAACTCCGTCCCTCACACCCCCGATTTGAGTAGAGGTGTCCACAACTACTACCCTGGTAGCATGCAGGCTCTCGCCAGTCTTGCTGATCAGACCTCTACTGGCGAGTCTGACCAGCCCAAGGGCAAGAAGCGTCGCAAGTCCAAGCGCGAAGATGACCATGACTTTGACACATCCGTCACCTCCCCTGCCTTCCGCGTCAATAATTCCAGCCCTGATGGCGACAACACTATCGCTGATTCGGACGACAATGACCGCGAGGACAACATGCCCAAGTCTTCCATTAAGCGTCGCAGAGCTTCGTCGGGTGCCAACAGCAAGCTCGGTAGCATCGCTCGCAAGAACCTCACCGAAGATCAGAAGCGCAGTAACCACATTCGCTCCGAGCAGAAGCGTCGCAACATCATCAAGCAAGGCTACGAAGATCTCAACGAACTCGTCCCCAATCTCAAGACTGGCGGCTTCAGCAAGAGTGCCGTCCTTACCGAAACTACACGCTTCCTCGAGGAGATCCACCTTGGTAACAACAGTATGGAGGCATACTTGCGCTCTCTGGCTGCCGAGAAGGGCGTGGCCTTTGAACTATAATCTTGAGCGGGCGTTCACGGAGTTCATTATCATCTACCCTGGCGTTTTGGGCGGCAATGGGCATCTTTACATTTCGAAAGCATGCTAGTGTCCCCTCATACCCCCATCTGTTTTCCCTCCTGTTTGTCCAGGCGCAGGAAAGTCTGGCCTTCTTTTCTGTTTTGTTCTCATTGATGTTTCTTTGCTTTCTGCGAATCTGATGAATGATGCTCAAACTCACCGAGGACAAAGAGGTCACCAAGACAGCATTGCGGAAAGAAGCAGTTCTCTTTGTGTCTTTCTCTTTGTCCCTTTCACATTACGCAGGAACCCCGTCCACACCTTGTATCTACTCCCAACACACAAAACCCCACAAAAAAAACGATATTTGAGATTGATACAGGAGTTTGATGGAAGGGGTACTCACCGTGTCAAATATGCATTGCGTTGGAGGAAAGTTTCTGTTTTTCTATACATACCTTTGCGATCCAGTTCAACTGAGCTTCGAATGAGAAAGCCTTTTACTTCATATATATCTTTCCGTTGCATTCATGATCGTTAACAAGGCCTTTCCCGTACTTGGTTCTACACTTAACATGATAATTCAGAGGGACACGATGATCACAGTTATGAGAGGTTACAAGTAGTTGAGATATTAAGAGCACACAAAGTGCTTCTTTTTTTTCGTTTTTGTCATTATCTAGGAGAGGAGTGCCGGACTTCTCTATCCAATTTGTTTTGTAATATCATGTCCTCCCGAAATTCAAACACTGCCCGGTTGCTCTCACGCCTCATTCTCCTAAACTCTTTGAAAGCGCCTCTATCCAGCAGTAATTACGGTCGTGCTGGTTGTCGTGCTTTGATCGCTTGCGCCCAAACTGCTCGTGCTCATGAGTGTTATAGTGGTGATACTAGGCAGCTCAAAAGGACTAAGCGTGCTCGTGACGGTGACAGTGGGGGCCGGCTTGGTGACCGTGACAGGAGGCGAAGGAGTAATGGTCGTCGTGGAGATGGAAGTAGAGGCAGGGAGAGTGGTGCTGTAATTCAAAGTTGTTGTAGACAGCAGAGTAGTAGTTTGAATCATTGTGGACGTGGTTGTGGAGATGGAGGTGATGGTAGTGGACTGCTGCAAGAATTGTTGTTGAGGGAATGCTTGAGGTGCAGCGATTGGGATGATTGGAAGGGTGTTCCAGAGAGCAACCACGGTGTAGATGAAGAGGACGCTAGATTCGAAGAGCAAGACCAGGATCAGGAGGATGAGCAATGGTGTGGGAATGTAGATGCCGCCTCTGCGCTCTGGGTAGCTGGCGAAAACTTGAGGAGCGGCAGGTGGAGGGGGTGGAGGAGAAGTCTGAGGCTCAAGGTCTGGCGGCGAGAGTTGTGGTGGGTAGAGAGCCGAGTCGCGGTTGGACTCGAGATCCTTGTTGAGGTGTTTCTCAAAGGTTTGCTTGAAAGGCATGATCGGTGTATGTTGACTCTCGTTGAAGCTTCGAAGTTGGAAGAGATTGAAGGGCGATTAAGAAGTAGAAATACGTCCAGCGTATCGATAAGTGTGTGTTGTGTAGTTGTCTAAGAGCAGGAAACAGAAGAAGAGAGCAAGACGCAGACTTGAAAGAGTGCTGGAAGAACGACAAAGCCGCCAACAATGGACAGGTCTACTGCAGCATGAATGAATGTGATTGTGCCGGTGTCAACAAAAAAGCACGAATGGCAGTCAAAGAATAAGAAAGCAGGGAGCAATGAAGTCTTATTGTCTGTGGAAGGACCTACATGCTTCTATTGTCTCATATTGACCAATGATAGGGGACCGTTCATGAGGTTGTGTTACTGCTAGTTCTCAATTGGCGGCTACGAATGCAGACGGTTTGTCTTTGTTTCAGGTCGGCGAGCAAGCAAGCTCGAGGGTTGGTGAAGTCTCGCTAGGCGCCGTGATGTTTGTGATGTATGTCTCGAAGCCTCGTAAGACCGGCAGTACGTCGAAGCGCTGTGTTGGCGACCCGGTGACACTGGTGTTCTTGTCAAATGATAGATCTTGGTAGACTGCCCATATGTTGCAGTGAATTGTGGGAGTTCCCTTCGAGTTGATTGCTTGAAGCTAGGCAGCATTTTTGATGCGGGCAGAAACGCGATACAGTATGGGCTATCTGGTGCAACCGAGTCGTTATACAGATGAGTCAAGGCACCGAGGCATGTGCTACCACCAGCTCCCTCTCCTTCAACTCGAGGGGTCATCACGAAGAGGCTCTGTCTTGTGAGTCACTCTGCTGGTGGTGCCGCATAAGCCGATGGCAAGATCAAATGCACGAATTGCAGATCGAATGGAGTTGTGCAGCAGCTCTCTCAATATCGAAGTTCGGACTGACCGTGTCACGAGGGTTTAAAGATTTCGAAAATGTATGCATCGCTGATAGAATGGGACGCAGAACATTAACAACAGTCTGATGAATGGCGGTACGTTTCAAAGGCCGAGTGATGGAGGATGAACGCTGGAGGGGCAGTCGCTATCGGGGAGCGGACGGAGCACGGTCCCCCGCCACTCCCGACCGAAAGTGGTGCTGAATGCCGGCCCTCTTTCTGTTTGACTCACGACAAGTTTCTTAACCACGTCAATTCCATTCGACTTGCAATTATATAAATTCAAGTCAATTGCACCTGTGTTTTCAAAAGGCAAAGACGCCGTCCATATCACACTCCCTTTCTTTCGCGCTCACAACCACCCAACATGGAGCACATCAAGAGAACATTCGCTACGGCCAAGAAGGAGAACAGAGTCGGTTCAGACCATGCGCACACGAGTCTCGCTGTCGACTGACATTCATACAGCCTGCCTTGGTCACTTATGTTACTGCCGGTTTCCCTACCGCTGAAGAGACTCCTGACATCATGCTCGCCATGGAGGCTGGCGGTGCCGATATCATCGAACTCGGCATGCCCTTCACCGACCCTATTGCAGACGGTCCCACCATTCAAAAAGCAAACACACAAGCCCTGAAGAACGGCGTCAACATCATCTCCACAATCCAGATGGTCAGAGATGCAAGGAAAAGAGGTTTGCGTACGCCTGTCATGCTCATGGGCTACTACAACCCCGTCCTCAGCTACGGTGAGGACAAGATCCTGAAGGACTGCAAGGAGGCCGGTGTCAATGGCTTCATCATGGTCGACCTGCCGCCAGAGGAGGCTGTGCGTTTCCGCAACCACTGCACAAAGATTGGTCTCTCGTACATTCCTCTCATCGCTCCCGCTACCTCGGAGAACCGCATGAAGCTGTTGTGCAAGATTGCCGACTCGTTCATCTACGTTGTTTCGCGCATGGGTGTTACTGGTGCCACCAGCTCTGTCAACACTGCTCTGCCTGAGCTGCTCGACCGCGTTCACAAATACTCTGGTGGTGTTGCTGCTGCTGTTGGCTTCGGTGTCAGCACCAGAGAGCACTATTTGAGCATCGGCAGCATGGCCGAGGGTGTTGTTATTGGCAGTCAGATCATTCAAACTCTTGCCGACGCTCCTGCTGGTCAGGGCGCTCAGGCCGTTGAGGATTACCTGGATGGCATTACCCAGCGCAGAGATATCATCAAGCAACAGACACGCGAGGGTGGTGTCCTGGAGACTAAGGAGATGGAAGACATTCCCGATGAGGTTCACGTCGACGGCGTCGTCAAGGACAAGGATACCCCTGACGGCCCTGGTCTAGCTGACCAGATCGAGGCCCTCAACACCGACGGACCCATGGATTCAAACGCCATTCCTGCAAAGTTCGGACAATTCGGTGGCCAATACGTCCCTGAGTCGCTGATGGACTGCCTGCGCGAGCTGGAGGATGCTTTCCATGCTGCCATCAACGATGAGAAGTTCTGGGAAGAGTACCGCACACACTACGAATGGATGGGTCGCCCTGGTCACTTGCACATCGCCGAGCGCCTGACAGAGCACGCTGGTGGCGCAAACATCTGGTTGAAGCGTGAGGACCTGAACCACACCGGATCGCACAAGATCAACAACGCTCTTGGACAGGTTCTCCTGGCCCGCCGCCTGGGCAAGACAGAGATCATCGCCGAGACTGGTGCTGGTCAACACGGTGTTGCCACTGCCACTGTCTGTGCCAAGTTCGGTATGAAGTGTACCGTCTACATGGGAGCTGAGGATGTTCGCCGCCAGGCTTTGAACGTTTTCCGTATCAAGCTTCTTGGTGCACAGGTCATCGCCGTCGAGGCTGGTAGCCGTACCCTCCGTGACGCTGTCAACGAGGCTATGCGCGCCTGGGTCGTCAAGCTTGACACCACTCACTACATCATTGGCTCAGCCATTGGCCCTCACCCCTTCCCTACCATCGTCCGTACATTCCAATCGGTTATTGGTCAAGAGACCAAGGATCAGATGATGGCCATGAAGGGCAAGCTTCCCGATGCTGTCGTCGCTTGTGTCGGTGGTGGCTCAAACGCAGTAGGCATGTTCTACCCCTTCTCCAAGGATCCCAGCGTCAAGCTTCTCGGTGTTGAAGCTGGAGGTGATGGTGTTGATACTGACCGTCACTCTGCCACTCTCTCCGGTGGTACTCATGGTGTCCTTCACGGTGTACGTACCTACATTCTCCAAGACAAGCACGGTCAGATTTCCGACACCCACTCTGTCTCCGCCGGTCTCGATTACCCTGGTGTTGGCCCCGAGCTTGCAAACTGGAAGGATACCGACCGTGCCAAGTTTATCGCCGCAACTGATGCCGAGGCCTTCATCGGCTTCCGTCTGCTGTCACAACTCGAGGGTATCATTCCCGCACTCGAGACTTCACATGCCATTTTCGGCGCTGTCGAGCTGGCAAAGACGATGAAGAAGGATGAGGATATTGTCATTTGTCTTTCCGGTCGTGGCGACAAGGATGTACAGAGTGTGGCTGAGGAGCTTCCCAAGATTGGCCCTAAGATCGACTGGGACCTGAGATTCTAGATTGCTTGTTGATCTACGTTTCCTTTCTTGCAATATTATATTATAGAGACGAACGTGATGGCGTCAAAAATTACCAATAGCGATGTGGAAATCAAAATTTTATGAGTACTGAACACATTACCTGTTTCCGCCTCAATGGCTACCACTCTCTCTGTGATTATCGAAGTGCACTATCTGCTTCCATGCCGTTCAGCGAGAATCAAAATCTGAGTACCTTCCTGCCCCTGTGCAAATGGTATAACTCTTATCACACCTAACACTGGGCTCTGGAGCAAAGTCCTCGATGTAACAGGCACAATGATCATCGAACCAAAGAGCTTCACCCAAAAGAATCCAAAAGAATATGCTCGTCGGGGGATACTGTCTGATGTGTCGAAACTATTATGCATCCAAACAGCTGAAAGGGTTACATACTTTGTGGGCAGGAAGGCTACAGACTGGCGGGCTGGCCTCATACAGTATTTGACCTAATGCGGTGTATAGCCAATGTCCCATATGCATCGCTCTAGTCTTCACTGAGTCTCTTTGTGGTTTTGCATATTTGAATGGAAAGATGCACTTCTGCTTGTTATGTGACCGTGGCAAGCACTCCCACATCGCAGAAACCGTAAACTGTCGCACATCTTGCTCTATAGCATTTGGCGAACAAGATCTGACCGTTATGTAATTCTCTGCGCGATCGAAACCTAAGTCTGTGACTCTCTTCCTGATAGATGATTGGACATCTGTTCTTTGTGATGTACAGTATGTAGGCTAGCTAGTCTTTGCACGGGATTGTGGTTTACTGAAGCTGACTTCGGTTTCTATATTATTATACTGGTCGTATGCAACAGTCGACTTACCACACAGCGTACAACCGTCTCTCGGTTGTCTCTGTCTGATCTGCTTGTCATTATCGAGAGTATTGCTCCTTCAAAAACATGTACATCTGTTAGTATAGTCGCAAGGGCTCTATAAAATCGAGAGGCGTGTGGCGAAGCCAAACGACCCTCGATACCATTCTCTGGCACTTCAAGGAGCCTTCCTGGTATCGTAAATGATAAAAAAAATGGTTGTTGTCACGGTTTGCATGTGTCGAAAGTTTGTATTAGCCAGAAAGAAAAGACACGTCTGGATAGTGGTGAGTTTGGGTCTGCGGCGTGCGCCGACCACAATCTGACTTTTATAAACTGCTAGATTGAGCTAAAAGTTGTTCTGCGGAACATTAGTCTATTTGAAACTATACAGAGAAGATTAGCATGGCCCCTGCACTAAGGATGGTGAGTTCGATCCCCAGCATGCTCAAAACTTCGTCATCTGCTAACACAAACTCCAGACACATGCAAACAAGTGACTTAAACCATTTTTTTATCATTTACGATACCAGGAAGGCTCCTTGAAATGCCAGAGGGTAATCTTGGAAAAGATGAAGGTGTGAGGAAGTTGTTTTGATGATGGTTCATGATTCTGATGGACAACGCCACCAAGCTGTTAGCAAAGCTCAATCGAGCTGCGAATGGGCTTAGATCCACGCTGCCATCACCTCGAGTAGCCGGAGTCTCCACGACTAACGCATCCTTCGTGCATGTGACCATGCTAACTTCTCTGTATAATTTCAAATAGACTAATGGCCATGCTAACTTCTCTGTATAGTTTCAAATAGACTAATGTTCCGGAGAACAACTTTTAGCTCAATCTAGCAGTTTATAAAAGTCAGATTGTGGTCGGCGCTGCGCGGCTTCGATCTTCGTTCTTCAGCTATCGCTGAAGACCTCGATCAAAATAATTCATGTGTTGCTTGCGTATGACACGGAGCTGAGAGTATGAGAGCGTGAGAGATTCAAAAGTCGCTGCACTGACATTATGTTAAATGTGTGTCGACGGAATAATATCACGAGCATACCCGGCAGACCACACATCCTGATGCGACCAGTCGGGAAGTGTTGCAGGATGAGAAGTACCTATGTTACGTGAAATGAGCGAGGGATTTGCTTTCCGATATCCTTTCTACCCAGCTCCATGTGGCAGAAGAATGTTGTAGCTAGACGTCTTTCGATGCTAGGTAAATGTGCAGTTCCGTTCTCCTCTCTATGCGGAAGCTATATCACGCAGGTAGCGATATAAATGCACAGTCCTTCCAAAGAGCAGCAAGCATCCACTGAGAGCCGTGGTCTCTTCGACTCTCCATGGGATCATTTGATACCCGGTGACAACTTTGCATTTTGATAGCTACCATCATCACGGGATGATGATAGGAGATAAGATGCTCCTCACCTCCTCTTACGTATATTTCACACACTATCAAAAGGCAAAGTAATCTTCAGACTGGAGAATTTCCCAAAGAAGCCAAGAGTAGATTAGTTCTCAATGATTATTAGCTGGTTCCTCAAGGTCATCGTGTACTTCCACAACTAGATACATGCGCCATGTATCTTTCCATGGGTGGATGCTATGAAATGGCAGACTAACCTACAGTATCAGAATTTCTGTGGTCTATAGCTGTTCTACTCCTTTATCAACATCTGGTATATTCGTCCATCGTCTTACACCAGAATCGGTGCGTAATGGAGGTAGATATAGAGGGTAGAGATTGAGGTTGAATGAACCATTCGCGAGAGTGGAAGAAAGCATAGCAACGCGAATTGGCACTTTAGATAGGGAAAATTGTTGGCGTCAAGGTTGATCTTTCCGAAGCTCATTTTGGCAAAGTACAAAGCCGAACCTCACTAAGATAGCAAGGTAACGGTATGGTTAAAGCGATGTCTAGCACGTAGTTGTGGGAATCGGTGTACTATGCATGTCACGTTCTTGATATAATTGTGTTTGAGGCCAAATCGTGATATTTTCGAGCTGGTTTTACACTGTTGACCTCCTCGATAATCCTATTATATACAACTTGTTCGATCGCCTTCTTTCAACCAATCATGTAGAAAGTGACAGAAAAGTCATCCTCACCTGAGCTCTCGTCCTGAGCGACGATCTCTTCGACCTCATCGGAGTTGTCCTGGGCGACGGTCTGCTCAGCCTCATCAAAGCCATGCTTGGTGACTTTTTGCTCGACCTCATCAGAGTTGTGCTGGGTGACGGGTTGCTCAACCTCGTCAGTATTGCCGTCGTGCTGGGTGACGGCCTCTTCAACGACCTGCTTCTTTGCACCAAAGATGCGGTTCTCCACATGATCAGGGATGAGGTCTCTGACTGTAGTGCGCAACTCTTGGTCGTGGTTTAAGCGGCATCCCTTTCCCTCCAAGTACTTGCAATGGCCTTTTCTCGCGAGACCGCCGCAGGTAACGATGTGCTCATGAGAGAATTCGCATCCTTCACGCGTGCAACCTCTCAGGCTAATACTGTTAGCGTGGCAGATCTTCTTCAAGGTACAATCCTCACCCAGAGGGCACTTCTTGCCGGAGTAGGTCAGGCTGAAAGGACAAAAATTGAGCAAAGCCTTCAGCTTATCATTTTCTGACGAGTGGCTGATAACACTGTTGTTGACGCGACGACTCTCGGGTACGGAATCCTCAAGGTTGACCGAGGGATGGGACGAGTTGTCGTGATACAGTTCGAGCGACGACTCAAGGTCTTCCTTGTCCGACTGCTCCTGGCCGGTTACAAGCTCGTTGGCGACGGGGGCTTGTTTATCAAAGAAGGAAAGCTCCTGGCAGCGGGGACTGCGCGAAAGGGTAATGCGGGGGACGGCCTTAGGGAAAGGTCGAAACTCGATCTGTGCCTTCACGTTCGAGCCGACGACAGCAGTAACGAGCTCAGGGTTCATGGCGGCAGTGGCAGGGCCAGAGGTGGAGTTGTTGACCACGGCCGGCTGAACAAAAGAAGCAGCAGGAGTAGAGTTGTCGACCACGGCCGACTGAACAGAAGAAGCAGCAGGAGTGGAGGTGTTGATCTCAGGCAGCTGGACAGCAGGAGCGTTGGCGGGAACCGAAGGGCCATGCTGAGGAGCAGTGGCGTAAGGCGACTGGGTCTGTTGCTGAGCGAGAGCCTGAGCGTTCAAGTCCTGGAACGACTGACATAAGAGGTTGAACGAGTTGCACGTAGTGATGAGCAACTGCTGCTGTCGCAGAAGCATATCGCTATGCGCCTGGGAGTTGTCCATGATACCGAAAGCCACTTCAGTCTCACGCAGGCAGAGCGATGCGCAGAGTAGAAGTAGGATGTAAGCAGGAAGAAGAAAGATGGTAAGAGTCGAGAAGCAAAGAGATGAGGATGCCAAGGTAGAAGTGGAAGTGAGAGACAGGTGAAGAAAGGAATAGCGCGAATGAAAGGTGCTGCTGCTTGGGCTCGGTGAACATGAAAAGTCGTAAAAACGAGAAGTGAGAGGTGAGAGAACTACTACCTCGTTCATTGACTGTAACCACGGTTTCACAACCAGCCACTCGCCCTGATGAGTTTTGTTGGTAACTAAGCTGTAGCAGTGCACAACGGCTTGCCCAATAAAAGCGCGACCATGAAGACTATGTGTAGGACCGCCTTCCTAGGGAGACGACCTTTTTGACAAAGTATCGTGCATTCCTGCAGCTAAAATGTGGTAGTCTGTTGAGAGAAAGAAGCATAAAAAGCTGAAGTGACAAGGTTCCTCCCAGGAATTCTTGATCTACCGTGTGGTCCATCCTCCCCATGTGCTAAGATGTGTAAGCTTCGCCTTTCTCCCAAGGAGTTGTAGTACGACAACCTCAATATAGAAAGGCATATTGGCTCCATGAACAAGGATGTCTCCAAGGAGAGCCTAAGGTAGCCCATATCTCGATGGGTACTACCGCATCTGTCGAGACTGTTGTGCATCTTTACAGCTACACGCGTTACAACCTTTGGCACATGGGGAGGATGCTGAGCCATTGCGAAGGAGTTTTGTAAACAGCGGCTTTCTGTGTACCGTGTTTGACGAGCTTGGAGACAGTCTAGCTGTAAATTTCCCCAACGAGTACCAGGCTTGTCATCCTGAGAAGAAGAGGCAGATGCAAAGGGTCCCCTTGGTCGTTGGCGATACGAGTAGGAATTGATCAATTCGGTTAAAGTCGGTCCTCAGGTGTTTAACCATGGCATACGGATAGGGCCGATACCGCGGCCAAGACCGGAAGCCGTCATTGCCCCAGCTCTCGTCTCCAGGATTCAGAACGACCATCGCTGGCGTGTTTAACTTTTGGAGTCACACACTTCTTTTTCTCCCTAGTCATCATACATCTCCCTAAGTTATAGACAAGATGCTTTCAGGATCCAGAACTGCTTTGAGAGCTTCTGCTCAAGCTTCCAAGCTTCGCCTGCAATTGCAGTCCAGCATCAGAGCCGCCTCGGCCTGGTCGCAAGTGCCACAGGGACCTCCCGTTAGTCGCATAACACCTTGTGGAATAGACCCGTACTGACAGAGATCTAGGATGTAAGCGCTGTCACAACACCACTGGATCCACAGTAACTGACCATCCAGGCCATTCTTGGTATCACCGAGGCCTTCAAGGCTGACAGCCACCCCGAGAAGATCAACCTTGGTACGACCCAGCTGCACCATCAACAAGAGACAACATCTGACCAATTCAAGGTGTTGGCGCATACCGTGACGACCAGGGCAAGCCCTACGTCCTTCCCTCGGTAAAGGAGGCCGAGCAAAGAGTCGTCAAGAAGAACCTTGACAAGGAATATGCTGGCATTACTGGTGTACCCGACTTCACCAAGGCCGCCGCTGTCCTCGCATACGGCCCCGACTCTGCACCTCTTAAGGAGGGCAGAATCGTCATCACCCAGTCCATCTCTGGTACTGGTGCCCTCAGAATCGGTGGTGCTTTCCTCGAGCGCTTCTACCCCGGCGACAAGACCATCTACATCCCCAACCCCAGTTGGGCCAACCACAATGCTGTCTTCAAGGACTCGGGCCTCAAGGTCGAGAAGTACCGCTACTACAACAAGGACACCATCGGTCTCGACTTCGAGGGTATGGTCGAGGACATCAAGAACATGCCCAAGGGCAGCATTGTCCTTCTCCACGCTTGCGCTCACAACCCCACTGGTGTCGACCCTACCGAGGAGCAGTGGCGCGCTTTGAGCGACGTTGTCAAGGAGAACGGCCACTACCCCTTCTTCGACATGGCCTACCAAGGCTTCGCCAGTGGAAACACCGACCAGGATGCCTTCCCCATTCGCCACTTCATCAAGGAGGGCCACAACATCTCGCTCTGCCAGAGTTTCGCCAAGAACATGGTCAGTCTATCTGGCTAATTGAATTGATGCGCGCATACTGACATTCTCTAGGGTCTGTACGGTGAACGTGTCGGTGCCTTCTCCATTGTCTGCGCCGATGCCGACGAGAAGAAGCGTGTCGACTCCCAGATCAAGATCCTGGTCCGCCCTCTTTACTCCAACCCTCCCGTCCACGGTGCCCGTGTCGCGTCCACCATCTTGAACGACCCCGAGCTCAACAAGCAATGGTTGGGTGAGGTCAAGGGTATGGCTGACCGTATCATCACCATGCGTGCTCTCCTCAAGGAGAACCTCGAGAAGCTCGGCAGCAAGCACGACTGGAGCCACATCACCAGCCAAATCGGCATGTTCGCCTACACCGGTCTCAAGCCTGAGCAGATGGATGCTCTGGCCAAGGAGCACAGCGTCTACGCCACCAAGGACGGTAGAATTTCTGTGGCTGGTATCACTTCTGCCAACGTCAAGCGTCTTGCCGAGTCCATCTTCAAGGTTACCGGGTAGATCAAGATGTAAATGTTTGCCCTTTGACGAAGTATGTAATGTAGGATATGGAAAATGAGAGTTGTAGAGCAAAATTTAGACTGATGAAGAGCATCAATCCCGGTCCACAATAACAGAGGTACATGATAGGTGTTTGTTTACATGCCCCATGTGTCAAAGCTGTGTCGCGACAGCATGCGGACGAAGCGAAAGTCGTCGCAACACACGAGGCTCTTTCCGAAACAACCCCTGGAATTACAATCTTGCGATCGTCAGGTGTCTGGTTGTGGATACCAGCAACTAGAGCATGATCGCGTGGCAGCTGTGGCGCAGAAGTAGTTCCGGATTCGGCACGTTTAGGGTCAAGAAGTCTTCTGGGTTTCGCTTTTGCACACCGCGGATTGCTCAACGGTGGAGAAGAGAGACATCCCTGTCTCGCGAGATGAAGTAAAAAGAATCACCGGTCGATCGTAACGTGGAATAAACCTATATCGAACAGAACGTGTCTGAAATAAACGGAGAAGAAAGTGTACCAAATGTGGAAGAATGCCTACCCATCGGCCGACTGCAGAAGTGATTGAAGAGCCTCATCCAACAGAGACACAGGGTCGTCGTTTAGAAGGATTACATCATAATTTCCAGACGCTAAAGTGGTGGCCATGTGGCTTGAAAGTTGGCGTCTTTACTTTCTTCTTGTTTGGGCCAAACTGCCGAGAAGACGAAGAGACGTTCTTTCTCGAACGACACAAAAGGAGATGGGCTGCTCCTGTCACTGCTGGCTAGTCGAAAAGGCCTGACAGCCCAGATAACAGGCACCACGGGATGAGCAAAGATAGACACTCAAAGGATGAAGAGCTCCAGAGTGACTCAAGAATGAGAGCACGAGAACGTCATACTCAATCTTCCGGCTGGGAGACAAGGCGGAAAGGAAACCGTGATCGATTCTTCGATCGAATGGGAGATGAGCATCTTCAGAAGACTTGTATGAGCCTCGAGTTCCAAACATTATGCAGCAGCATGAACATAATAGAGAGAGGAGGGGAAGCAGGAGCAAATCGGGATGGACTAGTCATCAGGGCTTTGTCTGTGTTATTGTCTACGAGGCGGCCAGCCAATTGAGTAGATAGCAGGCATAATTAGAGCGGGAAATCAGGGATGGCAGAATCGGCCATGGCGGGTGCTGTGGTGTTCAGCGCTTGCAGAGACTCGTTAAATCTTTCTGAGTTGGCCGAGGGAAACCCCACCATGGCACTACTGGCTTTGAAGCGTTGGTCTGGCGTGGGCACGGCTTCGACTTGGAATCCGAACATGCTCATACACGCCCTCCTCGTCCCTCCATTTCTTTTCCCATCCTGCTAGCCCCCCCTTCCGACTTCCATCTCCCCTGCGTATTGGTTCCTTGACGACTCACGACCTCTCTGCGTCTTCTGCCTCTTCACCTACCAGGAGCTCTCTACCCACCTCCTCGTAAACGTCATTCGTCCGTGCAGAATTTGAACAGGAAACGCCTCGACCGCCCTTCGAACACCATCGTCTGCTCAGCTTCCTCGTGACCTTGCCATCTCAGAGATCTACTTTTTGGACCACTCGACCCCGTCAGGCCATCAACGGAACCAACAGCTGAATCATCCCGCCACGCGACTCGCCCGAACACCATAATCTCGACCCAGCGAACGCACCAACTTCATTTCTTCCTGCCCCCAAACCTCCATCAGGACATACCAAGATGCCTGCAGCTGAAGTCAAGGTACATGGCTACAACACGAGTCCTTCTGCTAAAGTTCCGGGCTAATACATAGGCGAATAGAGCGAGGACGGTCCCATCGAGCTTGGCGACTTTGGCGACAACATCGATGTCGCAACCTTTGAGCAGATCCTCGAAATGGACGACGATGAAGATGAGAGAGAATTCAGCAGGAGTATCGTCTTCGATTTCTTCCAGCAAGCCGACAGCACATTCGACAAGATGGATGAGAACATGTGCGTGTCTTCTTGATCCTCTGCCCATGAGTGGCGTAAACACGCATGAATCCAAGCTGACGCGATTTCCAACAGCGAGAAGAAGGATCTCGCCCAACTCAGTGCCCTCGGTCACTTCCTCAAGGGTAGTAGCGCAACACTCGGTCTGACCAAGGTCAAGGATCACTGCGAAAAGATCCAGCACTACGGCGCACACAAGGACGAAACCGGCACACGCGACGAGCCCGATGCCGAAGTCTGCCTCGACAACCTCAAAGTCTCCATCGCACAAGCAAAGAAGGAGTTCAAGGTCGTCGAGCGTCTACTGAGAAGATTCTACCACGATGATGACGAGTAAATGGCAAAGTAAACAAATGCAAAGAAAGAGAGGAAACACACACCAATGAGACAAAAAGTCATGAATTCAATACCACACAAGCACAACCATCGATCTGAGATCAACAAGAGACATGATTTTGGCCAGACATGTACATCACCCCCTTTTCTGGCACTTTACACGTTTTTCAGCCTTCGCTATCACTGCTTTTTGCAAAACTTTTCCTTCAAGTGCGCTCTCTGTTTACCGCCTGATTTGCATAGCACCGTCCCTCTCTTCGATAGCTACTTTTCTTTCCTGAATGATGGCAATAATGTTTTCCTGTTCCTGATGGCTTGCTAAAGTAAGATTGCTAGATGTACAGCGCTGATCTTTGCATCTCCTCACAGGTCTCCCTTCTCAATTCCTTCTTCATTCTTGCTTCGAGTCAGTCACCGGGCCAATGACTCTTGACATTCAGATTTCCCCTGCCCTTTGAGATTCTTCACCGTTCCCTCCTTTTGGACTTTTTCCATGTCGATGCCGAGATTTGTTTTCCACTTCTTTTCAAGCTCTGATAAAAAAGACTTGTAGGCTCACAAACTGCCTTTCGTCTTTGACCCTCCGACAGGCACAGGTCAGCTTTCTCGCTGACAATCGATACCTATGGTTCTTCAAGCTGAATGCTCGCCATCCACCCACAGCCTCAGGATGATTTTAGTAGTTGGTGAACCGCATACTGAATGTAGTGATATAGAAGGACCATGTTCTGTCTTGCTTCTGGCAAATAATAATATTGACAAGCGTTCGGAAAGTCGATACATCAATCGAAACAACTCCAGTCCCGAACATACATAACCTCTTGCTACCAGGCTGCTGAAATATGCTTTGCCCACATCTTATAAAATTCTATGCTTTCCCCTCTCGGTAACTCTGTTGACTCCAGCCCTCGCACCGTAAACATGTCTTGTGTCATCGCAGACTTCTCTTGCTTTGTTGCTCATCGCTCGCGATCGGTGATTTCTCTCCACCTGGTGAGGAGTGGTTGCATCTCTGCCTCGCAGTTGCGTTTCGCGTCGCGGATGCAGCCGTGGAAGTTTGCGACGAAATCGCCTTCGTTGTAGATGCCCTCGGCCGGGCCCTGTGTGTACGAGTTTAGGATGCGTTGAGGCACGAGTGCTAGCTTGGCCAGGATTGTGCCGTGCCATCTGTAGGCGCTTGTTAGCATGTGCTGAAGAGGAAACCAAGCAATGTTCCAGAGTATACGCACTGGACAATGTGCTCAAGGGCGTGGGCTTCAGCCTTTTGGAAGTTGTAGCTGCGGTATAGGGGATCGAACCAAGAGTCGAGGAAGAACTTGGCCCATTCTCCTGCTCTGATGACCATGCTACCGCCGGCTAGGCCTTCGTTGTCCTGCGACAGGACGAAATCGATGCGATCACCCTTGAGGTGGGAGAAAGTCTTGATGACGGAATCCGGAGGGACGACGGGCTTGTCGACCAGCATCAGGGACTCGAGACGGCGAGGCTCCATAATGTGGTCTTCGATTGACAAAGAGGGGTTCATGATCAGAGCTGTGCTGGTGAGGTAGAAGATGTAGGGAGTGTGGGGATAGAGAGCCATGGCGTGGCGCATAGCAGGTACGAGTGACCATGAGGTAGGGTTGTCACCGAGAGGGTAGTCGGTCGTGTTGGGGAAGAAAGCTGCATACGCTGGGTTGTTGTGTGTTAGCATACGACAATGAATCCATCAGGGTCGCATGAAGACTCACAGTGCTTAGCGGCATAGTGCTTTCGGTTGGCCTTGATGGCAGCTTTGTAGGATTCGCTCAGCGAAGGGTCGAGAGTGGTGACGACGACAGCTTTGGGAGTGCCGGCCGGTATCGATACACTGCTGGAGCCCGAGGACGGACCAGAGAGCAGATATATCGTCACCACGGCACCGACAGCTAGGATAAGCAGATTCCGGAGCTGGGAGTAGCGCAAGAAGCCTGGGCGAGTTGAGCGCGCCGCATACGGCGGGGGATGTGACGTCTTGCGAGGTGGGAATGCGAAGTGCATCTTGGGTGTGCGGTATGAGACCGTGTGTCGTCAAGGTCGTTCGAGGTCGTGTGCTTTGGTCTGCCTCGTGGGCTTTTGTCGAGAGTGGGGAGATGGTCAAAAAGGAGCAGCAGCCAGGGTAGTAAACGACAGTATCCCTGCTCTTATGGCTGCATCGTGTGGTCGCTCGATAACTCAATTCGCAATGGCGTGCTGCAATGCGACCAGAGAGACGGTAGGAAGTCGGTCCAGGACGTGACTATGTCTGGCGGGAATGTTTCGATGGGTGTTGACGGCAGTCTCTATAAACAAGGGCTGGAAGCATAAAGTGTCCATTTGCGCCCTCTACAATCTCCTTGGCGCCTCGACGGTTGCTCGTCTACTCTCAACAACACGCCCCTGGCTTGCCCTTTCTGCAAACTCTGTCTGTCTGTGTCGTCCATACTAGAGTCGCCTACATCTTCACCTCGAACGACAGCGACATCTGGCTTATGCAAGACGGTTCACTGCCGACATGTCTTCTGTCTGATCAACGGCCTTCTTCTCTCGGACCTCCGTTCTACCTCAAAAAGTATAGGGCTGGTGCTTGGCGCTGTATACGCTCCAATCCTTCTACTGCCTTCTAATCTTGCACCCTGTCAGCTTCAGCATATCTCAGCCTTCGACTCGATCCGATCGGATGGGCTGATGAGAGTGCGTCACTTGTCCGTCTTTCCAAACTTCTCTCTGGCTTGCGAACAGAAATTCAAGTACCAAGTACTCGTATAGCACTTGTCATCTGAGACTCCCGAGCCGAAGCTTCGGAGAGAGCTCCTGTCTCATTGCTGCATTGCTAACATCAGTGCGCTCGACATACCTACTGACGATATACGGTCGATTCGATCACGATACATGAGAGTTTGCGCTCATTTATGGACTGTAGACCGAGTCCCAAGACCTCAAGTCCCACACAAAATGACAGCACGAAGTAGGACCGTGGTAGGTTCGCCGAGAAGGGTGAGTGAGCGTGACGTAGTAGGTCGTCACTCTCCGCGCGATTCCATAATAAAACATATCCTTCGAGAGATAACTCCAGCACTTCTGTTGAGCCTCTTACTTCTACTCTCACCTTCTAAACTCACATCCAATCACACAATACACATAAAATGCCTCTCGATTCAGTCCTTCAACTCAGCTGCAGCTGTAACCAATATCCCTGGGGAAAGCAGGGCCGTGATTCTATTTCAGCACGTCTTTGCGAAAAGACTCCTGGTTGGGATGGCGAGAAAGCCGACAAGGAATTCAAGATCGATGATTCCAAGGCCTACGCTGAGATGTAAGTCCGCCTACGTAGCTGACACGCAACCCAATGCTGACGACCATCAGGTGGATGGGTACCTACCCCGTCCTTCCTACATACGTAAAGTCGTCAATGGAGAACCTGCAAGATGTCATCGACAAGAATGCAGAACAGCTCATTGGAAAGAACGTCATTAACAAATATGGTCACACCAACCTTCCTTTCCTGCCCAAGGTCCTCTCTATTGCAAAGGCCCTTCCTCTGCAACTACATCCCAACAAGGAGCTCGCCGCCAAGTTGCACAAGGAAGATCCTCAAAACTTTACCGATCCCAACCACAAGCCTGAGATTGCCCTCGCTCTATCCAAATTCGAAGCTTTTTGCGGTTTCAAGCCCTTGGACCGCATCGAGCCCCTCTTCAAGATCGACCCTTTGAAGCAGTTCGTCCCGGAACACAGCAAATTTGACGATCAGGTTCTCAAGAAGACCGTCAACACTCTTCTCAAGGCCGACGAGAAGACCGTCAGCTCTGTTGTTGATGCATTGACCAAACTTGACAAGTCTGCGTTCGGTCAGGACACCTACATCCCTGAGCTCATCCCCCGTCTGGCTGAGCAGTACGACAAGACCGACAACGGTATCCTTGTTGCCCTCGTCACCATGAACTACCTCGTCCTCCAGGCCGGCGAGGGTATCTACATTCCTGCCGACGGTATTCACGCCTACCTTGCTGGTGATATCATTGAGTGCATGGCTCGCAGCGACAATGTCCTCAACACCGGTTTCTGCCCCAGAGCAGAGCGTAACTCTGCCGACCTCTTCACCTCTACTCTGACTTTCAAGCCTCACGATCCCGAGGCTTGCATGTTGCGTGGCGAATCCTACGACCGTAGCAAGAACGGCAAGACCCAGGTGTACAGACCCCCTATGAGCGAGTTCAACATGCTTGTGTCGAGACTGGGCAAGGGCGAGAAGGAGACTCTGGGCGCTGTTGATGGACCCAGCATCTTGCTCGTCACCGAAGGCAAGGGCAACTTCACCGCAGAGGGCAAGTCCTACGACGTGTCTGAGGGTAATGTCTTCTTCATTGCTCAGGGAACCGAGCTTGAGATTGATGCAGCAGACGGTCTGTTCTTGCACACTGCTTACTGCGAGTAAAAGGCTCAACCCTGATGCCTTTTGATGATTTGATGTCCATACATGTCTATTTTCTTGGTAACGAGCCTTTGGAAATTTTAGCTAGAGCATTGATGACTGGTTGTATTTGACTATCTTCTTGACTTCTTTCTTCCCAGTTCTTTCGCGTGTGTCTTATGTTACAGCATTTTCTCTCGGTACAGGACCGTACCGAGATATACCCCGCCAACGATCAATCTTAGGCTAAACAGATAATACACTTCCAACGACTTGTCTGGCTAGTATAATTGTCTCCACTCCCTAAACAAACCCACTACTTCATCGCGGTTTCATCATCAATTGCAGAAATCCTATACATGGCCGACTCAATGCCCACCACCAAACTTCACGCTTTCAATCGCGAGGACACGACGTACACTTCTGACGGCCTTTCAATTGGGATCAGTGTGTTCGTGCCCAAGAGTGCTATAAAAGGACAAACATTACCCGTGCTAGTGAGATGGCATGGTGGAGCATTGATCAATGGCGGCAGAGTGTATGAGCCTTGGTTTCCAAAGTGGTACGTTTTTGATCTGTTCTGAAGTCTCTCCTTAGATAAGGTGTCTTGGTCTTGATCCTTACTACAACATTGGACGATAGTCTTGTAGAAGTGGTAGTATCCACAGAGATGCGACCTTCTATCGGTTCTCTTTGGGTGTATCTATGGTCGCGAAAAGAACTGTGCTTTGCTTTGGTGTGCCTCTTGATTCATATTATCACAAGAGGAGCAGGCTCTAGCAGATCAAGATGACAGAGCCACGGGAATGCTTATGCTACTGATAGTACTGACATTCTATTGCTACGAAGAGACTTTACTAACATCGATCATTCTCTTCTAGGGTCATCGATCTAGCAGCTCTCCATGATGCCATCATTGTAACTCCCGATTATCGCCTACTACCCGAATCCTCTGGCCTCGATATCATCTCTGACCTACACAACTTCTACACCTGGCTCCATACCAACCTCGCCTCCTTCCTGAGAACTTCCTTCTCCCAGTCAACGGCAACGTCAGATCTCTCCAACATCCTCATCACGGGAGAGTCGGCTGGCGGATACATGGCTGTTCAATCCGTCCTTCTGGGAGAAACCAAAGGCGTCAAAGCGGTCATCGCACACTACCCCATGATCGACCTCAGAGATGCTTGGTATAGCGAGCCCGGTAGAAAAGTCATCTGGGGCCAATCACCGCCTTCATTCCCAGACGGATGGCTCGATCACCAACTTGAAGGGGCTGCGAAATCTGCAAAACCGATCACTGAAAGAATCCCAGAAGAAGGAGAGCCGGACTTGTTCGTTGCCACGTTGTTGGAAGGACGATATACTGAGATACTGGGTAGCGATTCAAGTCTGTATCCTCTTGAGAACTTGAAGAGGATCAAAGTGCAGGGTGGAGTTTTGACGCCTATTTGGATGTTTCATGGAGAACAGGATACGATCATTCCGATGGATGGAACGAGAAAGTTTGTGCAAGTGGCTCAAGAAGGTATACACGAGAAAATCATTCCTGGAGCAGAACATGGATTTGATGATGACAGCGTTGGTCTGGACACAGATTGGGTTGTCGAGGGAAGAGAGTGGTTGCAAAAGCATTGGCCGTAATGTCGTAAGATGTTCGCGTGTTGGAGTTGCAGAAAAGTGAAGGCAGTGAGCGGGTCAATCGAGAAGTGACGCGCGGTGGGAGCAAAAAACTCCCTACACGGCTACTCACTCACATTCTTTCTATTGTCTTTCCGACAAGGCATCGAGTAGCTATTCACTGGCTATTGATCATTCATGACAATGACCACGACAATAGCAAGTGGTTAGATAAAACTCTCTTCCAAGTTCTTCATTGCTCCTCTTCCTTTCGATCAATATCATCCCAAACTCTTCATCCTATTCCTTCCTTGCAAGACTTCTACATCAAACCCAATTGTCACACAACTATACTTCAGCTTACCCGACAATCCAACATACCACCAACATGTCTTCTGCAGCACCTACCATCGTCTTCCTAACCGCCGAGGATCTCGAGAAGATGCTCGTTTGCATCAAGTCCGATACCCTCAAGGAGAAGCTCTCTGCTATCAACAACCCCCACGGTGCCACTCTCACGACCGCCAGCCTCAATTCTACGCAACGTCTTCTCGACGTGTTCGAGGGCGATGCAAAGAAGTTGCTCTCCCTCTACCTCAAGGACCCAACTCAATCCGTCAACTTCAACGATATCAAGTCCATCCCTCTGAAGCGTGGTCAACGCAGAGAAGTCCACAACCTCATCCGTCAAGTTTCAAAGGACAAACTCGACTCTGATCTCGACAGCGAAACCTCTCGCATTCAAGTTTTTGTCAGAAATACTGCAATTCAGAACCACAATCAGGAGAAGCAACGCCAGCACAAGCCTCAGCAGAAGCCTCAGCAAAAGGCTCAGCAAAAGGCTCAGCAGAACACTCAGCAGAACACTCAACAGAACAGACCATCTGCCAGAGCAGCTCCGTACCGCAACACCAAGAACAACCGCAAGGCTGCTTCTCGCAACAAGTTGGCCACCAGAGGTGTTGCTGCCACTCGTACACCAGCTTCAATCCACATGACTGTTGAGCAGTTGGCCCAAAAGTTCGCCTCCAAGGAACAGTCTACTCAGTCCACGACACAGAGCGAATCTACTCAAACTCCTGCACCAAACGAAACCACTCAACCCACAGCAGAAACCGAAGCCGCCCCGGTCGAGGCTCATCCTGAGCATGTCGATGCACCTCTCGTCGAATTCAGAACCATTGAGCTCCACAACGCTCGTGTTCATGAAACTTTCAAGCTTCGTGTTCCCAAGAACAAGGAGCCTGAATTGAGTGCTGAGGAGATTGCTGAGCGTGCAGAGGCCAGAAAGAATGTGGTTCCTCCTCACATGCGTGGTGCTGCATCTGAGATCCAGGAAGAGGATGAGATAGAGTGGTAGATGACTGGATGGTGGCGTTTGGTCTTTTCTTGGTTGCATTGCTTGTTTTTTTCTTTCGTCGTAGTTGGGTGGGGAGTTTGCTTTCTTGTTTCTTATTTCTTGATGCACATAGAGCGCGATGGATTTTCGGCGTTCAGGTCTTGCAAATCAATGTTTTTCTCTCTCTAACTCTTACAACTTCACATGTCCCTTGCTATTCCTCTCAATTCTCGCGATCCATTGCATTCGAATTCTCAAATCTCCCTGGTAGCCACTTCTTTGTAAGCCTCACCGACCACTCCGCCGGATTCGGAGAGCTGTTTCCTGACACCCATCTCACAGATAGCAATCTTCGAGATAGGAATGTCAGAAGCCCATACATGAGATTCATAGGTCGAAAGAAGGGACGTAGCATCTAGATACAACGAAGACTTTGCTGAAGGACCATGGCCCGAGTCGGGTGTATTGGCCTGTAGAGCATCTTCCTTATTTTCGGTCGCATTCGTCGATGGTGGCAAATCGGGTTCCGAAGCCTTGACTCCAGCGTCCTTTGCTTGTGTTGCTTCAGACGTTGGTTTATTGTTCTTCTTGCGTCCCTTTATGTAGATTGTGTTCACGATTGTAGCGTGAAGTCTCAGTGGTCGTGTGTCAGGGACTAGTAAGCCAGACACGGTGAAGACTTTTCGCAGTGCTTGACACAGAGGTTGAAGTCGGTTTGTTTGGTCGTGAGGGCGGAGGTAGAGGATACTTGTCTTTGTGGGTGATTGCATTGGTTCCAATCCTTCGAGGGATAGTGTCAAAGGAAGACTTTGCAGAGTGAGTGCTTTGATTGTGCTTGTTGGTGGTGCTGAGTTCAAGGTTGTAGCAGAGGTGTCTGTAGTCTTGACTTGGCTCGTCTGAGAAGATGTTGCTTCTTGAAGCAGATTCCCTAGGTCTAGAGACTCAAGTAGTGCAGTCGCTTGAGCTAGCTTTGCTTCGTCTAAACTCATGACTCCCAGGGTCAAGTGTAATGAGCCCAATGGCCTGACTGCTTCAGGATGCAACGTAGAAACATTGCTTTTATCCGCTGCTGATTCTACTTCCTGAGAGGCTTGAACCGGAACAGCAGAACAAACGTGCTCCTTGAACTTTCCAATACTGGCTTCTAATTGGGGTTGAGAGACGGAGTTTACAAGAGGAATGCAAAGGAAATGTGTAAGAGCGGGCTTCTTGGGTGCGTTCGTCTTCTTGGTCGCTGTCTTGTTGTGCCGGCCCATGGTATGGAAGGAACGACGAGAACAGATCTGTGCAAAACAGATCTGGAAAGAATGAGAGCAAGTTCTCAGAAGCATTCAAGTAGACATGAAGGGAATCAGCGAGACAGTCACTCATTCACACGATTGGACTTGACGAACTCGATTACAATCAGTCAGACGTCAAGTAAAAAGTGACACAAGGTATTGAGACTTCCAAGACACATGGACTCGAGGATGTCTCGGGTAGCAAGACTCGATGGTGTTGGGAAGCGGCGATGGTATAGACGGCAAGTACCGGTATGACGAGGTAGACGGAGCTCTAGAATTCCAACTCATGCGACCAGCTTTCTTGTTGCATAACACGACAAGACGAACAACGACAAGTCATGGCAGACCTCGATACAGAATCACCGGCACAGCGCTCAGCTCGTCTGCGCCGCGAAAAGCGCAATGCAAAGATCCAGACCGAAGGCTCGGACAGACTGGCGCGCATCACGCAGTTGAGTGGAAGACCTGCTCCTGCTCCCGAAGAACGTATGTCGCAAGCAAATTCACTGCGACGGTAACATTACTCTGGACTGACACTTATCATAGCATCCATGACACAAACTCCTACCAAAACCGCAAAGCCGACATCAACCATGACACCACAGCACGCATCCATCGAAGACCCAGACGAGGTCGACATTTCCGAGCACTACTGGACACCCACTCCCTCGGATCAGACTCAACTCGCCCGCCTGCAGCAGCAGCAACAACAGCAGCAGTCACCTTTTGCGCGACCAGGTCAGCAAGACGAGGATCCCATGCTCAAGATGATGCAATCGTTGCTCAGCGGAGACCCCTCAGCAGCAGGCGGCATCCCAGATTCGGCCATGGACGACCTGCCTCCTATGCTCAAAGCCATGATGCAAGGTCAACGCGCAACACAGCAGCAAGCCTCAGCTCCCACTGGAACAACCTACCTCTGGCGCATCGTTCACGCCGTCTTTGCTCTGGCTCTAGCCATTTACATTGCAGCCAGCGGCACCTTCAATGGCAGCAAGCTCTCTCGCTCGGCCTCTCTTGAGGGATCGGACTTCGGCCCTAGACTGTTCTACATGTTCGCGACCGCAGAAGTCGTGTTGCAATCGAGCAGATACTTTATGGAAAAGGGAAGACTGCAGGGAAGCGGATGGTTGGCTACCATCGCGAATTCGGGCTTGGTGCCTCAGCCTTACTCCAACTACATTAGCATGCTGGGCAGATATGCTGTCATTTGGCAGACGGTTGTTGCAGATGCCATGGTCATTGTCTTTGCGCTGGGTTGTCTCGCGTGGTGGAACGGCATGGCTACTGCCTAGTGTTCCAATGTTCTTGTAGCGAATTCATGGCTGATCCATGTCCCTTCTGCTTGTCTCTTGATCGTATCGCGACTTCACACCAATCTCTGGGCGACCGAGTATGTGCAGTAGAAAAAGAAACGTGATATGTGCTCTTTTGTACACATGCAGTAATTTTGGTAGTCCCCAATACCTTATCCATCAAACGCCATGCAGAAAGTGCCATGTCTCTCGGACCATATAGTTTTACAAAGATCGACTCGACCCAAAAGCTTAGACAGCCGAAGCGACATCGCCTCTTGCCTGGGCCAGTAGAGCCTCCTCTCTCTTCTTCTTTTCTCTAACCTCCAAACTGAGCTTGCTGTCTTTCTCGCTGCGAAGGCGTTGCTCCTCGAGCGAACGCAATGTCTCCAACTCTTCCTGTGTGGCCTCGACTTGTCTTGCGTTGGTGATCCTGATCAAATCGGCGAGGATATTCTCCGGGGTGCGCATTGTCATGTCGATCGTCTCTGTCCTCGTGCTGGGCGAGTAGTTGCTGGGTTCCTTGTCACCACTCGTGCTGGTGGTGGGAGCGGCACCACTGGTGGGCGAGGCTTCCGGGTCGGCGAAGAAGACGGTCATCAGAGCCGGGTCTGTTTGTGCGGCGGTACGGTCGAGAGTCATGGGGATGGCAGGGTTGTGAAACTTTAGACGGACGAGTTCGTGGCGCCAGAATTTCTTGGAACCCATGTGACCGCCATCGATTTTGGGAGCGAAGCGCATGTGGATACGGGAGACTTCCTTGGGGAGGACTGCTGCGCCGGGACCGAGACGGATGGCGAGGAGCTGTATGTCTTAAGTCAATTTTTGGTGGTTGGCGACTGGTGGTGGTGAGGAATTGATTACCTTCTGCGGAGGTTGTCAGCAAGGCTCGAGGCAATGGAAGAGGTGGAAACATACAGTTTGCAGCTTGCGCATGCGCTGCAGTAATGACACCATGGTGGGCGAGAGTTATGTGTGGTTTGCTGTAACTACTGCTGCAAGATGCATCTTCATGGCGATGCGGCCTTGGACTTTGGGCGGCGCGGCCGAAGATTGTCCGCCGCTTGCTCGTTGCTCCATCTTCATCACCTTACAGCTTCTAGCTATCCACCCCATCCAATTCTCATCCACACTTCCTGCATCATGTCGGTTGCCAACGGAGGATCTCTCGCGACCACGTCGGGCGGCATGAAGCCCGTTCAAATCGCCCAAGTCAAGGGCAACTCGCGCGAAAACCGCACCGCTGCACACTCTCACATCAAGGGCTTGGGTTTGCGCTCAGATGGCCGCGCAGACACCAACGCTCAGGGCTTTGTCGGTCAGGTTGCTGCTAGAGAGGTTGGTAGGCTCCGTGTCTTGCGCGATTCTCCTACTAAAACATCGTAATAGGCTGCTGGTGTTGTCGTCGATTTGATCAGAGCAAAGAAGATGGCCGGTCGCGCTGTCCTCCTCGCCGGAGGTCCTGGAACTGGCAAGACTGCCCTCGCCCTGGCCGTGTCACAAGAGTTGGGAACAAAGGTGCCCTTCTGCCCCATCGTCGCCTCCGAGGTCTACAGCACAGAAGTCAAGAAGACCGAAGCCTTGATGGAGAACTTCCGCCGTGCCATTGGTCTGCGTGTCCACGAAACAAAGGAGGTCTACGAGGGAGAGGTCACCGAGTTGACCCCTGAAGAGGCCGAGAACCCCCTGGGTGGCTACGGTCGCACCATTTCACACCTGCTCATCACCATGCGCTCTGCCCGTGGTACCAAGAAGCTACGTCTGGATCCCAGCATCTACGAGGCCATCCAAAAAGAGCGCGTCCGCGTCGGAGATGTCATCTACATTGAAGCAAACACTGGTGCTGTTAAGCGTGTTGGTCGCAGCGACGCATTCGCTACCGAGTTCGATCTGGAAGCCGAGGAATACGTCCCCGTACCAAAGGGAGAGGTCCACAAGAAGAAGCAGGTCGTCCAGGACGTCACTCTTCACGACCTGGATATTGCAAACGCTCGTCCTCAGGGTGGTCAAGATGTCATGAGCATGATGGGCCAGCTGATGAAGCCTCGCAAGACCGAAATCACCGACAAGCTACGCGCTGAGATCAACAAGGTCGTCAACAAATACATCGATCAAGGTGTTGCAGAACTTGTACCAGGTGTTTTGTTCATTGACGAAGTGCACATGCTCGACCTGGAATGTTTCACCTACCTCAACCGCGCTCTCGAATCATCAATCTCTCCCATCGTCATCCTCGCATCCAACCGTGGCTCTACTACCATCCGTGGAACCGACAACCTCGTCTCTGCACACGGTATTCCTCCGGATCTTCTCAACCGCCTCCTCATCATTCCCACCCACCCTTACTCGGCCAACGAGATCCGCAGCATCGTCGCAACTCGCGCACGTCTCGAATACAGCAGCGCCGCACCGCCATCTCTGCAGGCTGACAAGCCAGGTGCCGCCCAAGGACTTGTACAAACCACACAACTCGCCGACGAATCTCTGGATCTGTTGACCAAGCACGGTGAGCGCGTGAGTCTGCGTTATGCCATCCAACTTCTTGCACCCGCTGCCATCCTCTCGCGATGCAGAGGTTCGGATAACAATTTGGTCACGGCGCAAGATATCAACGAGGCTGTAGATCTGTTCTGGGATGCTGGTCGTAGTGCTAGTGTGTTGAGGGAACAGGGTACTAGCACTGGGTTCATCTCATAAAAGGATATGTCGGTTTAGCATTTGGCGTTCGAATGGAAGATTTATGGAGCAGGTGTTTTATGGCGTAGACGGCCAATGGACGGCATGGCAAGTAGCCTCGCAGAAAGATGTGGCTACTGTACGAATTCAAAATGATATCAACTTTGATCAAGCCTTCTGCGATGGAACAAGCACTGTGCCAGATGAATTGACTGTCGCGTGTTTTTGATTTGCATCAAGCAAGAAAACTGCTATCACGTCGAACAATCAAGGTGAGCCTCGAACGTTGCTTATGAAGGCCTCGACTAGCACTGTTATGATCGGATACTCCTACTACACAGAATAGTAAACACACAAGCCGACCATCGGATGTGTCTCGAGTTTTATGTTGATGGATGATGGAGATTATTTACTCAGCCAGGGTCATCCCCAAGTCAAGAATGACGAAGTCGTGCATCTCGACATGTTTCGATCGCGACTTGGACATTCAATCTTCCTCTCCCATCCTCACACTCAATACATCTCACCAACAGCAATCATGTCATCAACACTCAAGCGCAAGCCCTCCCCATCAGAAGACGACTCTCTGGCCGAATCATCCAAGCGCCGCTTCACCGAGACAACCACAGAGGATACCGCACCCTCACAAGACAACGACACAGGCGCATCCTCCGCGGCACCCACACCCACACCAACGTCAACATCAGACTCTCCAGCACCCTCATCGCAAGCCGATCGTCTCGCCCGCTTTGCCGCCCTGCGCAACAGAAACAAATCCTCACGCGACGACAATCGCAAAGCCACAACTCTAGAAGTATCCCGCGCCTCTGCAGACCCGAACGCTTTAGCCGCACTCTCCCGTCGCAAAGAACGCGCTACCGAGAAACTGTTACACGCACAAACCCTCGAAGACGGCGACGACTGGGATCGCAAGCGCGCCTGGGACTGGACGGCCGAGGAATCAGCTGCCTGGGACAAGAAACTCGCCAAGAAAAAGGCACACCGCGATAATGTTGCCTTCCAAGATTTCGGGCAAGACGCGAATAAAATCTACAAGCGACAAGTCAGGGATATGAATCCCGATGTTTCAAACTACGAGGCGGAGAAAATGGCTGCTGTGGAGAGGGCTGCTCAGTCAGGAGGTTTAGAGATTGTGGAGACGGAAGATGGAGAACTGATTGCCGTGGACAAGGATGGCAGCTTCTACAGCACAAAAGACTCGACTGATTTCGTGGGGAATAAGCCAAGCAAGGAAAAGATTGATAAGTTGGTGGGCGAGATACAGAAGGCTGAGGAGGTCAGACTCAAAAAGAGGAAGGAGAGGAGTGGCAAGGAGGAGGATGGTGATGTTACGTACATTAACGACAAGAACAAGCAGGTAAGTTTTACTGCAAACGGGGATGTAGGTTGGAAGAGTTTTCTGACATTGAGTGACCACAGTTTAACCAAAAATTGGCGAGGTTCTACAACAAGTACACTTCGGAAATCAGAGACAGCTTCGAGAGGGGTACTGCTATTTGAGCGATTCTGCCATATTCAGAATCACTGGAGCAGCCTAGGAGGATGCACCGACGAAGACGAAAGATCGGTCAAGATATACATATACCCAGTCTTGACAGCAAAAATTGAAAACCCAAAAGGTGAAGTTCAACTCTGCTTGAGCGAGCAGGAAAGCACCAGACATGCTACTTCTTCCTTCCCAACACCACAAACAATTAGCTTCTCCCATTCTTACCACGACGAGGCGGAGAACAGAATGACGATGTACTTACACGCGAATGTAGAGGTCAGCCCAACGTGCTCGAGAACAAGCTCAAAACGGATATCTAACAGTAACTTATTCTATCAAGCATCTCTCTGCGCAGGTATATATCACGGGGTCGTATTCCCCAAGCGAGCTGTGCATTCTGGTGGCTTTTAAGCATCGAGGAGGAGAACGGAAGATAGACCCAGACCATGTGACACTATCCACCTACAAGGATCTGAGATACTAGCAAAGGGCACAGTAGCTGTAGCATGAGAGATGCATCAAGAGGGAGCCTGGAGTCAATTGGTTCTCGATGGATACTGGCCATAGCTCTCGAGGTGGTTGTGCATTTTTAGAGTTACCCGTGAGAAGCCTCTGGGAGAGCAGGAATTGAAGATGTGAACATGACCAGGATGGAAGATCGCTCGATTCTAGAAGGCAAGCAGACAGTCGAGAAGTATTCGTTCTATGTTAGTATGTTGCACGATAGATGAAAGCTGCACACGTGACAGATATAAGATTGAAACAATGAGAAACAAGACAGATTGATGGGGTGGGAATCATTTTGAATTTTAGCACTCGTCTTCCCCAGTTGCCAGACCGCTAATTGAATAACAAAACGCCGGTCATGTCGCAAGCAAGACTTTTCATAGCTGAGAAGAGAACATTTAAGCGGAACGCTCGAGGTCCTTCTTGAGGGTACCCATGAACTGCTTCTTCTCGGCGGGGGTCTGGTAGGCACCGTGACCGAACTTGGAGGATGTATCAATCCACTAGTTGGAGTCAGAAAACGTTTTGTCAAAAGAGGAGGGCTAGGGATCAGATGGCTTACCTTGAGCTCGACCTTCTCGGTGGCGCGGCGGGCAGTGTGGATGAACATGGACTTGCGGAGAGTGACAACGCGCTTCTTGACACCGGGGACGGAACCCTTGAGCATAATGAAGTCGTTGTTAATCTCTCCGTAGCGGACGAAGCCACCCATGGGGGTGATGGTCTTCTTGGAGACATCGAACTCGGTCGAGGCGTTGCCAGCATCGTCACCGCGGCCAATACGGTAGATCTTGTGGTTGACCGAGGTACGGTGGTGGTAACCGTCCTGACCGGCACGAGCGACGGTCCACTGGACTGGGTGGACGTTAGTATCAGAGAACAAATGTGCAAGTCAGGTTGCCAAAACATACCGTGCGAAGGGTGCCAGGCACCGATACAAGCGACCTTACGGAGACCCTTGTGGGTCTTTCTCGGGAGCTTCTTGGTGCCCCAACGGGAGGTAACACCAGAGAAACCGTGACCCTTGGTGACGGCGATGCAGTCAATCATCTCGTCCTTCTCGAAGATGGAGCTGATCTCGATGGGCTTCTCGAAGAGGCCGTTGGCGAAGTCAACCTTGTCGGCAACGGAGCCACCGTTGACCTGGATCTCCATAAGGTGGGCCTTCTTCTGCTTAAGAGGGGTCTTGTGAATCTGGGTGTGGGCGAGGACACGGACGACAGTGCAGTACTTCTTGATGCGCTCGAGGTCGCGGGTGACGGACTGGCCAGCGTTCTCGGAGTGCTTCTTGGCGTACTTGGTGAAGGCCTTCTTCTTGGACTTGTACCAGTTCTTGTAGAAGCGACGCTTGACCTCGTCGGACAAGTGCTCGGCCCAGACGGTGGTCAGGGAACGGAGACCGCGGGGAGTCTCGATGTAACCGACAAGACCGACGGCGACCATGGGAGGGGTCTCGATGATGGTGACGGCCTCAACGATCTCCTTCTTGTGGAGCTTGGCACCGGGACGGTCGAGGTCGCGGACGATGGTGGACATGCCGGCCTTGTAGCCCATGGCAGCAGTCAAGTGGACGGGCTTCTTGGAGTCATCCTTGGGGAACGACTTGGCCTTACCACGGTGGTGGATGGTTCTCTTGCGAGGAAGGAAGGCCACTGTGCGCGCGCGTTAGCATTTGGACGTGGCGAGCTGGCGGTGGTTGCTGTAGGCGCTGGGTGTACTGACAAGAGCCGTGACGGGGAGCCTCGAACTTTCTGTGCGACATGTTGACTGCTGTGGTTAGTTGACAACGAGGATGACCTGAAAATCCAGAGAGAGAGAGGCCGCTGAAATTTGCAAAAGCCCAGAGTGCAAGTCTTGGCACGGTGGTCCTCGCTTAGTTTCTGCGCACCAAAGTCATGTGATTTTGCTGTCTAGTTGCACGTCTGGACTCTGCCTCCACTTGCTCAACATCCACAAAGTGTTCAATGCTTTATGAGCAAGTGGCAAACAGCAAGCATTACGTTTTTCTTCACTTCGGCGCATCCTGTGGAGCTGTGAGGGGCGAATTGTTTCGATGTCTGGCAAGGCAAGAGCACCGCCAAGCCGAATGCTTCAGAGGAGACACTACCTCGAGCAGGCACACGACTCCCTCGACATGGATCGTCTTCTCACTGCACTGATGCAAGCTGCTGCCGAAGGGATTGAGATGCATATCACTTTCCAGAGTAGTACAGTAGGTCACAGGTAGAGGCCATCTCGTGCTTTCTTCACGAATTCAATCCGACAGACATTCGTGCTCTTCAACATTGTATAACAGCTTTCATCCTGGCAGAGAAGTGTCGACAGATTTTCCAGGCACAGTGTCTAATCTTCCCTCAATTCTTTCCCGATGACAAACCTGCACAAGAAGATTGACAGCTACTTGAGTCGTAGAAGCTAGCATGTTCTCGTGTCTTTTCCCGAAAGCATTCCTGTACAGAGTGTCGACAAATGCCTGCTTCCAAAACCTTCTGGAATGAGCTCATGGTGCGGTTGTCGACAAGTTCCTGCGGCATTGGGGCTGGGAGGTTTTCGGGATCTTTTCGATACGAGTGCTCAGGCAGTGGTGTCGACAGGTGCCTGCGGCGTAGCGGCTAAGAGGTCTTACGCATTGTTTCGGCAGAAGTGCTCGGGCAGTGGTGTCGACAGATATTTGTGGCGAAGAGGCTGATGAACGATGGAATCTTTCCGATGCATGACGCTCGCGGTAGGAGTGTCGAGCGATCTTCGAGGTCAAGAGGTAAGACGTAGAATCGCATCTTTGTGCATGGAGCTCACCGCTCAGTTGAGCATTTCCTCATTTGCTGCTCTGCACCCCCAAATTTCTAACAGAACTCAGCTTTCACAAGCTTCACGATTTCCTATCCGCACTTACCTTACACTCTCTTGTTGCATGATTGCACTTACTCCATCTGGGCTCCCCTTGCCCGTTCCTTTCCATAACTTGTCCGCCGCTCGAATTGTTTCTCTCTTTCATTTCCTTTTGTGGCCTGCAACTCCTTCTCGTATCTGTCTGCGAAACTTCTTTCTGCACATACAACACTCTGCTTTACATTCTGTCTGCACTCTCGTTATCTTTGCGCATTTGTCGACAGCGGCATGGCTGGTCGGCCCCCTCAGCGAACCATCAACGTCAGAGAGTCCATGCTCGCCGATGCAACCAAGGCGCGCGAGGACAGCCTTGCGGCTCTGATGGCCGCCGACCTTTATGCATATGGGGCTCTCAGCTGCCAGAATTTTCGGGTTAAGGCGCGACAGAATGGAAAGACTTCCGAGAGATAATTCTGGGGAAGAAGTCAGTGTTTCAGCGTCGACAGCTTCTCGATGCCTTGCTGAGGCATTATCACTAGTGCCTTACACAAGCCGACCGACGACGACTCCTTGCGTTTCGTTGTCAACGTGCCCAAACGTGTGCAAGGCCACACCAAGACGAACGGCTCGACTGCCATGTCTTCTTTACATCTGTCATCTTGGATCCGCGAGACACTAGTGCATCTGCAGATTGCACACAACTTCCAGCAGTCCACCAAAGGCGTTTATATGCTCAAGTCTCTCCTGCAGGATTTATTGGACCAAGGCTTGTACAACGCGGTTACGGTGTCGACGAGTATTACTAACGCCCTCGTAGGAGAATTTACCCAAGAGCCAACTCGACGAAAGTGGGTGCCTAAGGTAACCATCCTGGTCCTTATTGACGGCCTTCTGAGAAACGTCATATTGCACGGCACACCCTCATGGGATATGACACTGACAAAAGAAATGTCCTTGGCGATGCAATCGGCTACGAGAATGCCCACTGGAGCCCTTGCCAAAGCTCATATCTACAGCAACTAGCGGGTGACTCTCCTGGGCGATCTTGTCGTGAAGGCCGTGAAGGACGAGAAAGGCATTCGCTTTCGGCCATTACTCACATTGAGATATGTTAAGGTGCACAAATATGTTGTAACATATGACCAGATAAACAGTTTGCTGACGTTGACGACAGGGGGAACGGTCCAAAGAATCAAACTGTCGCCTTGGACTCTCCTGTTGACACTGTTCACAAAGTCGCGGATCCCGTCAAGCTTATCTTGATCTTGGAGCTTCGGACGGGCGCAATTCGAGCGAAATCTGTCAACAAACAGTTTGTCACAGCCCTGAAGAGGAAAACCCGGATTGTCGAGTGGTCACACCCTGAGTGGCCGCTAATTGTCACGCTTCAAGAAGGCGGCCATGCCAGTCGGGAACACCCAGTTTGGTCACGTTGACAGAAGATTCTAATCTTTGCGGCATAGACGCAGGACTTTCGGCCCAGGGCAGGAGGTCAATGGGACCTCGCCGTGTGCTAATAACTTCAGTCTCCAACGCCTCCTTCTCTCTCACGGAAAGATATAGCGTAACATGGCACAGTGTCTTGTGGACTAGAAGTGAACCCAAAGAGAGTCTAGAGAACATTGCATCTCGATGGACATGATCCGATTCTCGAGATTATTGTGCATTTCTATAGCTATATGCGTTACGAACCTTTGCACATGGAGAGGGCAAATTCCAGAGAGATCATTTTGGAGAAGGAGTCAGTGAATCAGCGTCGACGGCTTCTCGACAGCTGTGCTGCACTATAAGGAATGCTCCGCACAGTCCTGTTCTCATTCTTGATCCTATAGATATCCGTACAGTTTGAGGCGTCAACACAAGAAGTGCATTGTCTCCATACAGAACATGTCACAAACGTTGCAGTATCAATGCACGAGGAACCAAACAGCATCAATCGGAAGATACGATCCTATCTGCTCTCCTTGGAACCAAAACTGCGTCCTGATAGCTCAATGACCACATTGTGCAATGGGCATAGAATCAGCAGAGCAACAAACTCTCAGCCAATTCTCAAAAATATCCATTGCATATTGGCACATGTGCCACCAAAGACGGATGACAGCTTTTGCGACACAAGTCACACGGTACCATTCGCAATATATGGAGGATCTGCAGTCGATGCTGAGACAGTGCAACCTTCAAGCAGATGAGATGGCCCGTGCCTCGAAGCCACTTGCAATAGCCTGGAATAGCCTTCGAGTGGAGTACCCTGGACGCGTTCGTTAGCAACTGGTATAGGAGTCATTGATTGTGAAGAAGCCTCCCATACTCCTTGTAACAAAGTACCCGGAAAACGCAGATTGAATGTCGCATGACCTTCGACTTGCAGATATTCGATGAGCCCGAACAGCGAAGAAGTAGGACAGCAAGAGACGGACAAGACCAAGAAAAGCGCGGGCTTGTAGGTGCATAGATATCCGAAACGACGGCAAGTGGCCTCAAACCTTCGTCTTGTCGCAGCTGGCTCCTTCGCACTCGTACAAAGTTACATGTCGAGACGGTCGCTCGTGAGCCAATCGTCTCTGGAAACACTCGACTAATCCCAGCTCCAAGCTGCCCTCGTGCCCGAAACCACCACTCACCGCTAAGCCCACACGATACGATTCTGCTGCTGTGATTCTCCCTCGGTCAAGAGACACGCGCATACATGAACGGAAGAAGCTAGTTCTATACACATGTCGTGGCGACCGGTCAAACACATCGTACATGCTGTATGCGTGCAGCGATTCGAAGCGAGTCATCCGAACGATATTGCCCTGGAAATTGGAGACGATGTCTATGTCACCGAAGTGGGTGGCGCCGCTCTCGGGTGGTGTCGAGGATGGCTACTGTCGCAACCATCCATTCTTACGGGTCTGGAATGTCAGGATGGCCAAGCACTCATGCCACGAGCATATGCTGGTATCTTCCCACGCAACTGTATCGAGGTCCGAGAGGTCTTGACAGAGGAGGACCAGGTCACGGAAGAAGAGAAGGAACAGCCGGACAATACTCAGGCAAACGGTGGTGCCCAGAACGGCCATGGTCTCCTAGAACTGTCGACCAATACGCCGCGCCGAGGAAAATCGAAGAGGAGGACACGCCTACTGCCACGCAAACCAAACAACGCTCATCTACTACCCATCGACGTGCAGCCGAGGCCGGTGGGCGCGTTGAAAGAAGAGGCTCCTCTCCCTGCTCTTCGCATTGGTGATGCGACACCTTTCTCTAATGAGGAACCTCTGGTCGACGAAATCTCCTCATGCCTGCGCGAGTGGCATTCTACTCACGTACATCAATTAGTACTCAACCACGAGTATGAGCTTTTGGAAAAACTGTCAGACCTGGCTGGCAGATTGGACAATGCGCGCAAACAGCTAATACACGACCTTCTGACCGAGAAGGAGTTGGCTTCTTTGCGAGAGAGGACGGTCTGGGATCTGGTTGACGGAAACAAGCTGCTCCATGGAGAAGTCATTGTTAGAAGCCCGCAGGAGAAGGGTCGCATACTTACTGCGCAAGACAGCATCCCGGAAATGTTGGAGTTGCAGGCGCTCATGAGCATGCGCGATAGACCTCCTCCCCCACCTGCTCAAGAGTCCTTGGTTTCGCACTTACTGGTTGATCTGAAACAAACTGGTGATAGGAGTAGCGAGCCTGGAGTATTGCATATGTATCTGTGTCGTCAAGCATCCGATGCTGTACCACGCGCTGTGTCCGAGGTCTTTGCCGTCGAAGTGCCTTTCGATTGTCACTCGCTCGAAAGTCTTACCCCTAATCAACTGCCAAAGACATTGTTCACGGACTTGACAAAGGCGGAGATAGGCAGTGCAACTGATCCAAGCTCGCATCTATACCTGGTCTGCTTGCTTCATAGAGAAGAAGCTCCCCGGAAACGAGTCATCGCAGCTTCTCAAGCAACGCCTCAGACAGACAGACCGGAGTCCCACAGTCGATCAGAAAGTACGGGCGCCCGTCGTAGCTTCCTTTGGGGCAGTCAGCGCGGTCGCAAAAATCTTGAACGAAGTACTTCTCGAGATCAAGCACGACCGCCAACTCGGGAGTCATCACGATCAAAGATGAGAGGCCGGCCCCAGACACCCGTTGTAGTAGACGCGCAAGGACGTCCCGCGACAGCTGAAAAGAAATTGAGACGTGTCATTGGCTATGGCGCAGTTGAGATTGGCGAACTCATCCGTAAGCATGGCAACACTACCCATAGCATCTCACTCTGGACACCAGCTGAAGCCTTCGAGGAAATCATCGAGGAACCTGTTGTCGGTGCAGACGGTTGGGCAGAGGTGATCAAAAATCTTGTCCGCAGCCCGATGGGTAGCTTTACCAAAGCGCCCTCGGTCGGCAAGTTTCAGCTCGATTTGCATGCCTTTGCTCATCCAAACTCCGACGTACTCATCAAAGATCATCCAGCTCTGTTGCGGGATGTCTACTGTACTCAGGCACTGAACTTGGCTTCTGGATCAGTCCAACAGCGCAGCGATGTATACCTTACTCTCAAAGAGCCCATCCTGCCATCTGGTGCCCACTGCTTCCATCCGCAAGAAGGAAGTGTTGCCATACCTAACGAAGCGGAATTGAGAAACTTGCAACTGACTCTCGAAGTGCGGACCGAGGCTGGAAAGCGCATTGAGAACTCTGTCTGGCCAGCATCGAATCGTCCACCGCATACCGCTTACAGAACCTCGGCTATCGACCGCAGCGAGATCTGGAATCAGACCATTCGTTTGTCGGTTCTCAACGAAGATCTCCCACATGCGCATGTCGTTCTCAGTATTGCAGAGGGCAACCAGTTTCCTTTCGCACTGGCCTGGATACCTTTATGGGATCACCAAGGAGCTGTTTGTACTCATGGTCAGCAGATACTTGCTTTGTGGGACTATAGCGAGTATACCGCTAGTACTGTCCATGGTAGAGGCGCATATCAGATGCTGCCTTCACGTCTCGACCAGCTCCAGATACAGGACAATACTCCGATGGCTGCATTGTCGGTAGACGTCACACTCAGCAGCAGTACTACCCCTCAGGACCCGACTATTAGCTCACTTGTGCAATGGGATGGGACGACAGTACAAGGTCTTCTGCCTCTACTGGGAGGATTCAAGCAGGCCCCAGATGCGGAAATTGTCAAGTTCTTCAAACCTGTTTTGACGGCACTTGACAAGATCTTCGATGTCTTCTACCGTGTGGATGATGACACCGGAACAGGAGTTAGCCTTGGAGAAAATTTCACTGAGCGAGCATTGTCATGCCTAGTTCACATGCTCCATCTCACACGCGATCGTCGATTCAGTAGTACGAAAGGTCTATTTGACGAATACATCCAGGAGCGGCAACATTCGCACGATGCTTCCAAGGGCGTGTGCAGAGCCTTGCGTGCCTTTATCAGCAGGCCGTACGAGGTCGAGGATGCACGAGAGCTGCGCAGTACTCTGAAAGTCTCGGGCCAAGTCATGAAATTCGTTACGAATCGGAGCCAATCTGGATCACCACGAAGCACTTCGTCACTGAATAACGCCGTCTCTTCTGTGCTGGTGGCGTTGGTAAACCTGATGCGTAATCCAAGAGAAGATCTATACGGTACTCAGACAATCTTGGTGCAACATTTCTCTTCTTGGCTTCCTGAGCTTGCTCATGCGATGAACGCCGATGATATTCTTGAGGTCGTTGATGGCATGATGAATGCATCAGCAAGCAAGAAGGGTGGTCTGCGCATACACAGACTGATTATGATCAAGGAGTTATCCAGTCAAAACACCTTCTCCGCTCCCAATGCACTGCTTAAGCTACATGCTTTGACCATAGGATGGCTTGAAAGCTACTGGCCAGATGCTTCTAACTTGTCTGAGCAAAAGATAGAGGGTGTCAGAATGTGTTGTTCGATCCTACGCACTCAGCAAGCGCAGATCTCCAACGCTGCACAGTCCTTACATTACATCTGGAGACTTATAGAAGCTTACCACGTCATCCATGAATACCTGGAAAGTGGAGGAAATGGGAGGGCATCCTCTCTCTCCGTTAACAAACCGAGGAAGTCTCTGTCCTATCTCTTTCCGGACCACTACCCCTTCCTGAGTATGCCTGTGGACGCGACAAAAGTACCTTCTGAGGTTTTGATGGAACTCGCCGCAGTGCTTGACTCTTTCTTCCAGAATGGGCCACCACAAGGCCAAATTTTCTTGAACGGAACTCCATCTGATTCGAAGACAATGCAGCAGGATTTTTTGCTGAAGGCTTTCAGGGTCTTCAAGTCCATCCACAATGGAGAAGCCTTTCCAACGCAGTGGCTTAGTTTGCATGTCACCCATGCAAAAGTCGCTGTCATTGCTCTCCAGTGGTTACTCGATATGCTCTCTGCAAACTTTGTGCCCTCTGAAGATGACAGCGGCGTCAACGATGTCATGGAGTTCAACCCTGATCTATGGGAACTCTGGTTCCAGATATTAATCGATCTTGCTTTGAGCAAAACGGTGTCGATGGAAACTTTCACCGAACAGACAAGACGAGCCATCTGGACGATCGGTGGAGATATTCGCGCTGATGCTGCCGACCTACTCCAAAAAGGATGGGCTTGCTTGGGCTGGCAGGCTCCTCCAGAGTACGTGCAAGTGCTCTATCCTATGGATCGAGTTGGTGGGTATCAAGTGGGTCTGTCTACTGAGATCATTCCATCTATTGTCAAATTATGTATGGGGCTTCACGATCAGCTGCAATCTGTTGGGCTTGACATATTGCGCTCCATCATCGTCAGTGAATGGCAACTGAACGAGAATCTGGGTGTAGTCCAAGCCGCCATCATCAACGCCTTTGACACTATGCACCGCCAGGATGCCGCCATACAGAGCCCGTTCGCGTCCGCTTTCTTGGAACGCCTGGGGAAACACTTTGCTCTTGTCAAAAGTACTGAGCTGAATGTGCTTTTCGAAGCTGTGATGGACGTGATCTCAGAGGTCGGTCGATTGTTCAACGTACTGGCCGATTTGGGCGACGTGAGAGACCCTGCTTCTCGTATGGTACAACTCCTTCGTCTCATGGATTTCTTGCGATTGAGTGGCCAGGAGGAAGCATACGTGTGCCGAATCCACGAGCTTACCGAGCTCCATATCCAGTCGAAGAACTATTCTAGTGCAGCATGTGCACTGAACCTCCACGTCGAGGTACTGAACGAGAGTCAGCCATTCAGACTCCTTGTTGCAGTGAAGGTACCTGGGCTTGAGACTCCCACAGAGTTAGTGCAATCACGAAAGGATCGGCTGTACCGAACCATGGCCACGTACTTTGAGAAGGGCTACTGCTGGGAGAATGTTCTCAGAACTCTCAAACAGCTCGCCGGAGGACGTGAAGCCACCTGGGACGCTGCTGGTATCGCGCAGGTCCGCTTAGACGAGGCACGCATTTACAACACTTTGGCCGCCGGGCCGGTACCACTGCCCCGGTTCTTCTACGTTGCCTTTAGTGACCATGAACTCTTCCCAGGGTCTGTACGGGGCCAGCACTTCATCTTCGAAGGCCCCTCGAACTGCGACAGGAAGAGTTTCTCGACGTTGCTCCAAGTGCAGTATCCTTACGTCTTGAACCTGGGACCAGACTACACGAATCCCACATCAACGACAAACGATCCGGCTGTCAAGATCAGTCCTGTCACTGTGTACAAGAATCAGTTGCATCCCATCAATCAGCAAGGTGGCGTCGCGCCGGGGTATCGGGAGCACTGTCTGACCGCTCAACCGATTGCGTTTGCCATGACAAGCCGCCATGACAATCCATCTATCAGTGTTATCGATCAAGTTGTCGAAAAGACCGTGTTCTACACGCAAACGGCATTCCCAACAGTATTGTCTTATTGCCCCATCACTCGAGAGGAGCGAGTTGTCTTGACACCGATGCAAGCAGCCATCGATCGCACCCAGCGCAAGACACTGAACATAGCAGTTGCAACTCACTCCACTGCCAGCAAAGGAGAATCACATGTGGAAACACTGATTGAGACAATTCAATCGAGCGTAGACACGAATACCAGCGGTAGTGTCGCCGAGTACCACAAACTGCTTGAGTCCTTCCAGTCCCGTCCAGGAACAGGCAGCACCGCCAACAACACCATGGCAGAAGCCCAAAGTATCTACCGCGACGGATATGGCGAGCCAAAGACCAAGGAAACACAATTGCGGGATATTCTCGTCATCTCACTCGAGGACCATGCCCGTAGCATCGAACTTGCTATATCCTCTCCTTTCATCCCTACGCACATCAAAGAGATGCTGCGAGCCAGCTTCGAAGACAGCTTTTTGTCGGAATTGCATGCGATATATCCTTCGAGAGATTGGCAATTGAGATCTGCAGCATGGCAGAACACGGAGATACCGCAGATGCCTGCGGCGATGCGTGAAAGAGCACCTAGCGATGTTCTCACTATCGACACACAACATACCGAACAGGCGGCCCATAAACCTAGAGGTCGACGCGCTTCCATCAAGAAAAGGTTGAGTTTCTTAAGTTTGGGAAGTAAGGATAAAAGTAGTGGTGGTGACGGTGGGACGAGGAGCCATAGCAGGGCGAGCAGTAGGACGAGGTTTTGATGGATGAAAATTTGTGATTGTTTGTGGTCAAGTCTTCTGTTTATCTTTCAGCTATCATCTAGATACCCATTTTGCTATCTCGTGTATATCTCTATATGAGTACTTTCTTATTCGCATCGGGACGATTGTGAAGCTGGTGTACCAAGCTTCATGCATCCACGCGTGACGCAACGCGAATAAACAAAAGACGTCTCAAGCATCGGTGCTTCCCAAACCTCGACCGACTCAACTTTCATCTTGCATACGCTGCCTCAAGTAAATCCGGACTATTTTCTTACTGGCCCACCAGAGCGAACCAACCTTCTCCAGAATGTCGGCTCGAACGGTCAAGACACGCATCCTGATAATCAGCGATACGCACTCCACGCCCCTTGCACCTGCCTCCTCGTCTCAGCCCTTCCGCCACCCTCTTCCCTCGGCAGATGTCCTCATCCACTGTGGGGATCTTACCATGGAGGGTCTGGCCTCCGAATATCGCAAGACACTCGATATGCTTGCTTCCATCGATGCACCGGTAAAGCTGATTATCGCGGGGAACCATGATAGGACGTTGGACAAGACTTGGATGAGGAATCACGAGAGACTTTTATGGGGAAAGAAGTGGGAGGAGACGTATGAGGAGGCCAGAGCGATGTGGTTTAGGAAAGAGGGACGGGCCGTGAGAGAGGGAGTAAGAATGTTGGAGGAGGGGATTCATGAGGTTGAAGTGGGAAATGGAGCGGTGTTGAAGGTGAGTGGTTTCTTAGTCTTTCTTGCTTTCTTGTTGCCTTTATCTATTGGTTGCGTAAAGAGAAAATCGCAGAGATTGACAACATAGAAATGTATTGGTTGAAGACATTAACAATTAACATCCCCCATTAGCTCTACACATCTCCCTACCAACCCGAGTTCTACGACTGGGCATTCCCTTACGAAAAACACGAAGACCGCTACAACTACCCCTCCCAAACTCTCTCTGACGCCACAAATATCGCCATCAACCCCATCCCCTCATTTTCAGAGCAGGAAATCGATATCATCTGTACACACGGACCGCCCTACAAACATGGAGACATGACTGCACATGGGAACGTGGGATGTCCGCATTTGCTCAAAGCAGTGGCTAGAGCAAAGCCATTGGTGCATTGTTTCGGTCATATTCATGAGGGATGGGGTGCAGAGTGTGTGACATGGGATGAGGTGTTGGATACTGAGGAGAAGGAGACGATGGAGCAGTTCAAGACACAGGGGTGGAAAAAGCATGTTAAAGAGGTTGAGAGGATTGAGGTGGTGGAGAAAGAAGTCAAGAAGCAGAGAGCAGTGTTTGTGAATGGAAGAGACATCAAGAGGGGCGAGCAGACGCTGATGGTTAATGCGGCGATTATGGATGTCGGGTACAGTCCTGTCAACGCGCCATTCGTTGTGGACTTGGACCTGCCGATGAAGGGATGATGGTGGGAAGATGGGAAGATGCAAGATGCAGATAGGGCAGTGGCGATGACGGAAGGGGCCAGGGATCATTCATCAAGACATAAGTTATGGTTTGTAGTAGACATTTACTACACGGCACAAGCATAGTGAGAAAGAAAAAATGCCAATCATCTCATGGGGCTCATATATGAGAGGGTATTCGACGGCTTTGAAATTTTTTTGAGAAACAAGAGAGAATTCTGGCATGAGCTAACAACAGTACTTTTTGCTGTCCTTTGAGCAAACGCCAGTGTCATGAACAACGACGCCCAACCATGATGTGTGAGAATTGCCATGGTGAGTAACCCCTCATAATCCTTCGTTACTAGCGGCGGGTCATGGTTTACTTGCGGATGGCGCGCTGGTAGAAGGCGAGCTCCTCACCCTCGAGGATGTAGCCGTCGACACGACCGCTCTGGCCGGGGCGCGAGGCGACAACGGCGAAGAGACGACCGGCCTCGAACTGCTTCTCGATGGGGGACTCGACCTTGCCGGAGGCCTTGGTGCGGGTCTCCTGCTTCTTCTCGACCGACTTGGACTTCTTGGTCTCCTCGGCCTCACCCTTGGCCTGGCGACGGCGACCGAGAGCGGCACCGTAGTGGGCCTCATACCACTGACGGAAGGGAGCGGCATCGATCTGGACAACGGCGGACTTGGTCAAGGTGTTGGTGCGGACGAGCTCGTTGTTGGAAGGGTGGTAGGCGACGGCAATGACACGGGTCTTGCGGGAGATACCCTCGGAGCCCCAGGAGAAGTTGCCCGAGTCGAGACGGAGGGCACGGAACTTGCGGTTACCACCACGGGTGCGCACGAGATGGATACGCTTGGCACCGATACGGGTGTTGGCAGCCTGACGGCCCTTCTCGAAAGCTGTAGAGACGAAAAGTCAGAAAGACAGTTCGTCAAGCAATCGGGTTACGGTGTTGGACACCAGTTTGTTTACGTACCGCGCTTCTTGTTGGCGGGAATGCTGAGACAATGTCAGCGAATGCTTCCCAAGTAGAGTGATGAGGTTGCAGATATTTACCGCTTGGCGCCAGAGGCGGCGCGCTTCCAGTTACCACTGCGAGAGATACCCATGTTGTCGGATTATGAAGGCTGCTGTGCGCAAGCGTCGGTCAGTGTCTTGTCCTTGTGTGTGAAGTTGTGTGTGAGGGCTGAGAAGGCGCGACGAGGATGGGTGCGGCGGCTTGTTGCAAGTCTGGAGCGATCGAGAAGGCTTGCGGCGGTGGCAGACGATGGCAGAGAGTGTGCGAGGAGTGATGGTGTCGGTCGTGTGTCGAAGATTGTGTATGCGTGTGCTTGTTTGATTTTTCTCCTCCACCACCGTTCACTGCGCCGGTTGCCAGTCGAGATGCAGATTTGCAAAAAGTCGGTCGGTGTGCATCCAGTCGCGTCTTCTCTGGCCATCAATGAAGCGACTCACATTGAATGGCTTCACAAAAAGGGGGTTGTCGATGGTTGTCGTTGTCGTCGTCCGATCGCGAAAGCGCTCAACAGGTCGCACGCAGATTTCGTCCAAAATCGCTTGTCGCTTGATCTCCGGCTTTTTCTTCTCTCTTCGTGTGGGGAAGCTCAACTCTTCCGACGCCGAGCATCCATCTCACAACATTGCTACCTCGCAACATGGGGCTGGCCCTGTGAGACATTGACTCGGTCGTAATGTTATTATGATAAGATAAAGTGATGGAAAGAGATACAGTCCAGTGTAGATTGCCTCGTTTCCATGTGCCAAAATTTCCGGCGTCTACATTGTTTCCACCAAGATATAGACCCGATTTCTACTATGGAAATGCACCAAGATTTCAAGACTCGAGACATGTCCAGAGAGAGCTCCTAACGTATCGCATCTCAATGGATAGTGCCGTTTCTCCCAAGCCCACTGTGCATTTCTACAGCTAGACTCATCACAAACTTGTGCACACGAGCATGTCGAACGTGTGATATGACAGTAAAACCTCCACAAACATGACTGATGATCATATAGACTACATTATATAAAAAAGTGGCACCAGGTATTGAAAAGTATCCCGTTGGTCATCTCAGGAGCTTCCAGCAATACGTGTCAACACGAGGAACTGTTCACTCCCGCCAACCCGTTTGCTACAGTTTGTGACTCTTAGTCTCCTACACTCCTCTCTGCTACAAAGGTAGAAAGCGCAGTGCTTACTATAAGAAAGCACGGTGATCTCTAGATCGTGGGTGTGTCCAAAGAGAGTCTGAGGGATACTGCGCCTCTTTGGATCACGATCCAGTCCTTGAGATCATTGTGCATTTTGATAGGTAGACGCGTTACAAACCTTCGCACACGGAGAGGTGCTGCCAAATGCTCGACAGATGCAAAGCGAGCCATCACAAAATGTTGACCACTGCCAACAGAAGACCACCCACACAGCCCATCCCAGGAATAGCGGCTGGAGCAACTCCGCCAGGAGAACTTGAGGAAGCCGAAGAAGATGTCGTCGAGCGAGTAGCTGTGGAATCACCAGTCGAAGATGCCGAAGTTCTGATGTCCGACGAACTCGAGGATTTACTACCAGTCAAAGAAGCTGCAGAACCCGAATCTGAAGGAGCAGAGTTGGCACTGACGATGCTACTCGTCGATCCGCTTGTCGCCAAGTTAGACGCAGACAATGTCGACACTAGGTTCGAGCTCGACACTGATATCGGTGTAGCAATAAAGACTGAGCTTGGCACCTGCATCGTTGTAGCGATAGAGATTGAGTAGCCCAGTTGACTACTGATAGCGATGGCTTGACTCGACAAGCCGGCGTAAGCTTCAGACGAGAATGCAGAGTATTGACTCTGCATTTGGGATTTGTAGATTCCTGTCGCAGTTGCTGCGGCTGCCGAGATGGAGTCCAAAGCCACAGAGATCAATGAAGACTCGGCTGCGAGATTGGCTGAAGCTTGAGAGGCAAAGAGAAAGTTTGTCGAAGTTGGATCTGTGTTGTTCTGACCGAGGGCGAGAGCAGCCAGAGAGACAATTACCAAGGTTGAAATATGCATCTTCGGCGATCGTAAATGTTCAGTGAGTGGTTTTGTGGTTGAGCTGAGAGTGTTTGGGTTGATAAGAACACAGCAAAAGTAAGAAACAAGAGAAAATGACTTATTCTATAACACAACCTTGTGCTACCAGCGCACTGCATATATGTCATAACCCCTCGATTAGGCCTCGCGGCCTTTGTAAACTGAACGACGTGGGTATGAAAAAATTACGAGTGTTGTAGTACAAAGCCGTGAGTCTCATGGCATTACATACCGGAGACAGAAGTCTCATCGCCGACATATGTTCAGATATTCTATACATCCTCTTTGCGTGCTGAATTTTATTACTCCTCTCTCCCACCAGGCCATAGAGCGCAATGCTCGCTGTAAAAAGGCACAATCGTTTCGGGATCAAGGGTTCATCCAAAGAGAGCCTAGAGAGCGCCGCATCTCGATGGATACAGTCCAGTTCTCGAGAATATTGTGCATCTGTATAGGTACGCGTTGCAACCCTTTGCACAAGGAGAGGAGATGTGTCTGAGTGTTCAGGGCTCTCAGTATAGAATATCAAGATCCTGTCTTGGGTAGATCGACCGTACGACAAAGTGAGATCATTCCTCACACATGATGATGCCAAACAGCAAGTGGTCGAGTATGTGCGACAAAGTGAACGCCTGTGATTTCGTATCATCCTGCTGCGTACAGCTTTGGCGATCGGCAACAAGCAGGTCGCATGCTCTCTCCGACCTTCGCTTGTAGGGATGTTGGTGTCTTGTGAGACGCTGGGCTGGATCTGTCGGAAACCGGATCGCTCTAAAGAGCATATGGTCGCGATTAAGAGCAGCGCCTCCGGTCACTTGATGACGATCGTGTTGGCAGCAGATCGATGGCAAGTCAAATCGCAATAGCTACACCAGGGATATGGTGTCGGCGAAATTTCTGTAGGCCTTCGTGTTCGTTCCTGCAAGCCGTCATGGATGTGAAGTGTTGACGACAACTTTCGGTCACACGACCAAGCCAAGTGACTTGGCAGCAGGAAATCGATTGACCACAAAACACAAGAGAAGAAAGAAGCAGGCGTTGAAGCCAAACAAGCGATGCAAGAGTTGACTCATGCGAAGTGGCGGTTGCTTGTTCATTTCTGTTGCCGTTTTGCGCTTACACGTTCGGCGTCAAGCTTCAGACAGCTTGGATTTCGATGTTGCCCAAGGATCGGATTGCTGATGCGACACAAATTGTTAAATAAGAGGTATGATGTCGCCGCTCGACAAGATGCTAGAGCTCAGATGTGGTTCGAGTGACACAAGGAGGTGCGCGGTCGAAGTCGAGACGCAAGGATGTGCAGTCGGGACTGAGGCACAAAAGCAATATCGGAGTGACCATAATCTGGAACAAACAAGCTTTCCGTGTCTTGCGAGGTGGAAACGCGATGACCATCCTTAAGATTTTTCTGAAGTTGCGAGGAGATGCACCCCTCGTGATGAACATCTGCGGTCCGAAAGCAACTTTCCCCTCTTCTTGTATGCTCTTACACATCCGTGTTAGACATGCGCAATATTTCGATGGAGTGCATTATTGATATGCGGTCTAGCGCGTTCATATCGGCAGAGGTCCTGCATCCTGCGTCCTGATCAGTTGTATGCGTGACCAATTTTACTATCGAAGGAATATTGAATCATGTTGCTCATCAGTGGAATTGTTTCCAACGAGATGAACGAAAATATCGGAACGACTTTGATGATTGATGAACTGAACGTTCTGCGGGCCAGCCGTTCGCTGTCGATCTGCAGATCGCGATCAACAACAACTCAATCACTCAAAGCCGCAACCTTCGTGCGCTCAAGAGCATGTCGTGCGGGGTCGACGAAGCCACACAGCCATCTACGAACCACTGGACTGGTGAGGTGGCAGGTGCGAATGAGCATTGCTCTTTTTCTAGGGGAATGATAACACAATAGGTCACACAACAGATGCAGAAGATGAAATTGGAAGTAGAAAATGCATTAGTCAAATACTAATTGACGGTGGACATTACGAAGAATGTACAATGAGGGGGATATCTTGGAGCCATGCTCTTTTCGAGAAGCGTGGTGAGTAAGGAAATTATGTGAGGGTGCTGAAAGTGCTTAGAAGACACTGCCCTTTCTCTCGACATCCTCGACGACCTCGAGGTCGAGTTTGCCACCGTTGGCGTGGCCGACGGAGCTGGCGAAGGTCTCGTGGGGGACCCAGGCGGCGGAGGTACGGGGAGTAGTCTCCTCCATCATGCGGTCGACCTGCTCGAGAGAAAGGCCCTTGGTCTCGGGAACCAAGAACCACGAGTAGACAAAGGCGCAGGTGCAGAGACCACCCCAGATGAAGAAGACGGAGGATCTGAGGTTACCCTCGTCCTTGTTGACCATGTAAGGGGTGATGACAGCGATGATGGTGTTCCACAGCCAGTTGGAGGCGGTGGAGAGGGCAACACCACGGGATCTGATGGGAAGAGGGAAGACCTCACCGATCAGGACCCAGGCACCAGGGCCCCAGGTGGAAGCGAAGAAGAAAATGAAGATTGCGATGAAGGCAATCTGGGCGTTGACAGCAGAGATGTTGTCGGAACGAGTAAGAGGGTCACCACCAGCGGGGTTGGGGATGTCGTGAGTGTGGTTGAAACCGACGGTGACACCGATGATAGCGACGAGGAACTGGCAGATCAACATGCCGAAGGCACCCCAGATGAGGAGAGGACGACGACCGAACTTCTCGACAGTGTAGAAGGCAATGGGGGTAGAGCAGACGTTGACGAGGGTGAAGATCAGCGAGATCAAGAAGGCGTTGCCGATGGCACCGGTGGACTGGAGGAAGGGAGTAGAGTAGTAGAAGATGAAGTTGACACCGGTCCACTGCTGCATCATCTGAAGAGAGGTACCGAGGATGGTCTTGCGCAAGTTGGAGCTCTGCTTCCAGAGCGAACCTTTGAAGCAGTTGGCCCAGCCAGAAACCCAGCCGGTGGTGGGGATCATGGAACGCTCGTACTCCTCGTTGGCGACGATCTCAGAGAGCTCGGCCTCGATGTAATCAGAGTCACCGGGCTGGCCACGGAGTCTGGCCAATGCGTGGCGGGCAGCCTCGACGTTACCGCGCTTGACGAAGTAACGAGGAGAGTCGGGGAGGAAGAAGAGACCACCACCGAGAACGATACCGAAGATGAACTGGATACCGATGGGGATACGGTAAGAAGCAGTGCTGTTGATGTCCTTGGTACCGTAGTTGATGCAAGCAGCCAACAGGAGACCAATGGTGATACAGAACTGGTAGCCAGAAACGAGAGCACCTCTGATCTTGCGAGGGCAGATCTCGGACATGTACAGAATGACAATGGCGGACTCGAAACCGACACCGAGACCGGCAACGAGACGACCAGCGACAATCAGACCAAGACCGTGAGAGGCGACCTGAAGGATTACGCCGACGATGTAGATAGCGCAACCAATGATGACAGTCCAGCGACGACCGATGGTGTCAGCGACATCACCGGCGATGATAGCACCGAAGAAGGTACCGGCAGAGAGGATAGAAGTGATGAGAGAGTTGTGAGGACCGGAGAGAGTGGTAATGCCGGCGCCCTCAATGAGCTCGACGAAGACAGGAGAGCCGGTAACACCGTTGATGTAACCTTTGTAGTGTGTTAGATGCTGAAGACGCAGTCGACTGTGAGGAAAGAGTGCTTACCAGAATCGTAACCGAAGAAGATACCTCCGAAGGAGGCGAAGGCGCAGATCAGATAGGCCTTCCAGGTGACTGGAGCCTCAATCTGATTGACATCAGAGGTGGTAGCAAGCATAGCACCAGGCATGTTGGCGGTGGCTTGAGAGGATGAATTGATTGTGAGATACAAACATCAACAGAAGTGCGCGAACCCGTGGTTTTGTATTCCCTCCTTCACTCTCCACTGAATCCCCGCGTGGCCCCATCATGCATCGAGAACATCACAGTCTAGTCCTAAACAAGCACGAGAGACGCCTTCTTCGGCGAGCTACGACGAGAATATGGCCGTTCAGCGCTCGGGTCCAGTCACATGGTCTGATCGTTAAGCCATCTAGAACTTTTGATTGGCAACAAAACAAGTGCTTCTGCCGAGAACCTCACCAACGGCACGCCGGGCAAGCTTTACAAATTTGATGTGGGTTTAGACTAACGGTCCACCCAACGTCGAGCAAGGCCCGGCCGAGCAAGCCCAGCCTCGGCCATCCAATAATTTTTCTAGACTCGAGGACAAGCTCGCCGCCTCCAGTGCTTCGCGGTCTTGAGAATCTCAGCCATTGACGAACAAAAGAGGCAACGTCATGGACCGTTTCCAGAGCGCAGAAGCAGAGTTTGAACATGTTTGCATGAAAAATGGAAGATGTCTGAGAGCGAAAAAAAAAACCAAAGGAGATTGAGCTTGTGCTCCGCGACCATCCCACCTTTCCCGCGGTTCCTAACCCTGGAACGTTTTGAGTACGGGGATCGGTCGTACATGTTAGCCGACCATGATTGGTTCCTCCAGCGATGTCTTCAGCTACCAGATGCGGAGTTGATGATGCAACCCAAGAACATGTACCTACTTGTACATAACCACCGCTGTAGAGTGGCTTTCGCATGTGACGACAAGCCCTATCACTTCCCATCATGAGGAGATCATGAGTTGATCCTTTCGCGTGCTGTGGGGATGACCTTTAGTCGCGTGTGGAGAGGTATTTGGGGGGAGAGGGGCCTCGGGGAAAGCACTCGGGAGCGCTTGGACGCCCGGCCCTTTGCAACACGGCGTGTGTTCCACGGGGTACCGAAGGTCAGACATCCTTGCAGTCAGACCATGCGGCGAAGGCCGATGTGGATCATCACCTCAGATTCGTGTCAGAAAGAAGCGCCATGCCGAAAATTCTCCAACACCCCGACAATCCCCACCGGAGCTCGATCGCAAAGCTGGGGCGGAAGTTCTCACAGGCCCTAAGTTGACGCTCGTTTCTGGAATTGCATTGAGCCTGTGCCAAATTGTCAAAACAAACCTTGGAGTGGTGACAAAACGACCAAATAGACAACCTCTCTATGGTATAGCTGGTGGAACGGAAGTTGCAGGCTAAGCTTACCTCTCCAAAACGCGAGGATGTCCAAGGCTGACCGTTGTATTTGGCGCATGCCACTGCCAACACGGAAACGACGGGCGGCATCATGCAAGCAACGCTGGCGAGCGTGGCGGCGTTGTGGGCATGCTTGCATTTGCTTGGTCCGGGGCTTACAGACAGGCCACACGCGAGTGCCGAAATTGTGATGTCTTGGACATGGCTTTGGTGGCTGGAAAGCACGAGTCGAGGATGATGTGTTTGATCCTCCAGAGTATCACATCAAGTGTAAACATCAAGCGGTGTGCTTCGGTAGGCGATCAATTTTGGGTCAGTGACTGGCTCAACGTCCTTCACCATGGGGACTGTGGATAAATCCAGCTGCGTGGGGCTCTCCACGGGGTGTGTAATGAGTGAGCACAGAGCCCTGTAGAGAAAATTTTGCGCTGGCTCAACCAGAAACGCAAGCCAAATGTCGCGCTTCTCGAACAAGCGCGCGCCTTAGCAGTGCATGTGCAAGCTGTGGGGTTTCATTCATCGAGATCCTGCGATTATTACTCTGTGTTTTTGGGTAGCATGGTTACACTGATCGCGACTTATGTGTTTACGCGAGATTCGATAGTTCTGTTCTGACCTTCCTAAACAATATAAAAGGCGCAGAAGGATGCAGTATACTTTCGATCCTACAACAGCGTCCTATAAGCTGTGCTGTATCATTAGAACTGATCCTTCGCGCCTACTTCATGTGAAATCCAGAATGGATGTTGTAAGCGAGCTCCTGCATGCATCTGTCGTCTTCGGCCATCAACATGCGTTTGGGAGCCCCCTTTCGCCAATAAAGTTCACTGTTCAATCAAGTACTACCAGAGAAAAAAATTCTCCATCGAAGAACGGGCCTTGACAACCTCCACGCTAGGCACCTAACTTTGCTACGTGAACGGTAAGATCATGATCGTATCGAAAGGGGCCTTTGTCCTGGCGACATTAATGAGACAATCAATCGAGTGACATTGCGGTATGAATCGGATATTGTTTGATGTGAAAGTGGATCTTCGGCCGGCCACCGGGTTTCTTCGGCTCCTGAAGACGGCTTCGTGACGGCCGGGGTGGAGGACTCGGCAAGGGCAAGGCGGCTTGATCTTGTTTTGGTAGCCGACCCCGACGGGAGAGATGCGAGAGTATGCGAGTATGTAGTTGCATGGTGTAGTAGTTGCAGAGCATGGTAGAGAGGCTCATCCAAAATCAAAGGTGACCCATGTCATCATCGTTGATATTTCACCTGTGCCTGAGGCAGGAGCACACAGGGGAGTATGACTCAAGAAGGAAAAGGAGAGAAATGTGCTCGAGACAGGGTTGTCCTCTCAACGACGATATATCAATCTCTATCTCATCTGTACATTCACCAGCACCATCAAAGATGGTTTTGTACGTTCTCCTACATACTCTCAAACGCCCTGGTCCAATAAGTACGTATGCTGGTGCTCTTACGATCTCGTGCGATGCAGTATGGCGCATTGTGTGCTTCCGATCTTTTATGCTTCGCAATGCTCACGTAGACACCTTCTCTCCACTTGTGAATATATGTGACGCAAGTATACACACGAACTCACAACACCTTGAGAAATGGGATAGTATCCAATGAGAAGCAATAGACTTCAGACTCTCTTTGGACATATCTCTATATAGGTAACCATTATGCCTTCTCATAGTAAGGTTGCCGCTCTAAGCCTCCGTGAGAGTCGCGTCGGATCTACGGACTTAGCACGGGGAAAATGACTGGTATCACCCTCAGGACCGGAATTCGACCAACGCGAAAAAACGGGACTATGACGCGACTATACACGTCGCTAGTACCGCCTGGGGCTTAGCTGTTGCCTGAAACGCGGTACTTTACGCCTCGCTTAAAGTTGGTCGAATTCCGGTCCTGAGGGTGATATGTGCTTACAGCTCAGAACTAAAATGCTTTATTTGTGCCAACCCTGCGCAGACGAAAATGAAGTATGTCAATTACGTGCTGGATAATGAGGACAAAGCTCTTGAATATGATTTCCACCAATACTTAGTGTATCTACAAAACAGCACAGATGGAAAGCTTGACCGACGAATGTCACATCATCTATTGCATCGTGCACAGTGTCTCTAATACGGATAGGATTCAAGGTAGAAGATTCGGATGAGGGACGGAGCCGCATTTCCTCGCTTAGATCTTGCCGTAGCCAACGTTGGCAGTGGAAACGGAGCTGGCAGCAGCAGCAGAAGCAATGTTCTTGCCCTTGAAGTTACCAAGGAAGCTAGTGTCGGCAGAGGAGAAGGCACCAGAGCTGCCAAAGGCGTTGTTCTGGCAGCTACGGCCAATATAGGAGCTGCAGACACTGCCGCTGCCAGGAACAGTGAAGTACTTGCCAGTAGCGCCGGCTTCGATTACCGTAGCCACATTCTGAACCTTGTTACTGTTTCGGAGGGTCAGTAATAGCTCAGGAAAGGGTAGATAGGGTATCAGGCTGGCTCGGAATACAACTAAGACTCGAGCACCAAAGTCTGGAGCATCTCTGCACCACAGTACCCGTCTAAGGACACAGATTGACTTACCCTTCAGCGAGGACGTAACCACCCTGGCCGAGCTCGAAAGCGTGGCCTTTGCTATCAATGTCGTACCAGTAATTGTTCACTGCGTGTAGGATAGTATTGCCCTGGACCTTGGGCGAACGACCGGAGGTGTGGTGGATGTAGTTGCCCTTGAAAGTGATCATGTCGTTGGAGCCGGTGAAGTAAAGAGCCCAGTAGTGACGACCATCACAAGTGGCCGACCAGGAGCTTGAGCCGTCAATGTCGCAGTTGGAGATAGTGACTCTGCCGGAAGCAGACTCTCCGAGGACAATGTGCTGACGAGCAATACGTTGGGTCTGATAGCAGCGTCAGTCATAGCTCAGGAGATAGTGGTCGACCCGAAAGAAGTATAGTGGACTTACAGTAACGTGGTCAATCCAGATCATATCAGTACCTGCCAAGGATTCAGTAATGAGACGAGAGATCAGTATATTCTGAATTCCACTCACCAGCAAGAGTAATAGCGTCACCGCCCCAGACGTAGTGGGGGTTGAGGTCAGTGATAGCAATGTTCTGCGATGATGTTAGAGATGCAAGAAGCGGCGTATACTACTTGTCCTACCTGGATAATGATGTTCTTGACACCGTTGGCCATGCGGAGACCCTTGCCCTTGATAATACCCTTGCTGCCCTGACCAACCAAACTCTTGTTGGAGTTGACAGTGATACCGATCATGCCGGCCTTGTCGTAAGTCAGAGAAGAGACCTACTCCTTGTTAGATTCACGTTGCTGTTCGCAAAGCTGAGCAACAAACCTTGGGTGCCGAAGCTTCGTAGTTCTCACACCAACCATCCTTGTCGATGGCCTGCTGACAGAGACTACCAGTACCCCAGGGAGAACAGCCCTTGGCAGAGGTGGTGCCCTCAGTACCGCGGAAGTCGAAGGTCTTATTGAGGATAATAACACGAGGCTTGCTATCACCAAGGTACGAGACCAGCTCGGCGGTAGTGGTAGGGTACACAGCAGCGGCTGAACCACCTCCAGTTACACCCTTGGCGAAACCTTCAGCAGCACCAGTGACACCAGCAGCGCTGACGGTGCTGGCGAGTGCTGCAAGAGCAGATGTGAAGAGAGTGAAAGATCTCATGATCAAAAAGAGCGACGGAGGTAAAACGAAACAGATACGAGAAAGGATACAAATGAAGAAGTGATGAGACGGGTCATTCTTCGAGGTGCATTGTACATGTTATATACCTACAGAAGCTGCGGTAGAATTCCACAGATCTACCACCATGATGTTAATATCGGCTACGAAGCCCTGTCTGGTATACTGCGAGCAAGGCCCGACAGACCAGGGCTGTCAAAAGTGGACGCCGACGTCTCAGATCGCGCGTGAGAACTTATCCTGAGGCGAAGCGACAGCTTGGCATTGTTCCCGTTCGGCGCCATTCTAATTATCCATGCACCAAGCCCCATAAGTAACCTATCTACAAGTTTTATTCCCCTAAAGAACAGCAATGAGTAATTCCACTGTGACTTTCAACAATAGAGACGGTCATCTCAGTCGTCTCCAAGGAAGCTGCGTGCTGTCGTCGCACTTAGTCATATGTATGGGCTGGCGGAAAAGAGTCCGATACGCAGCCCTAAAACAATCTAGCCCTTTCAGGAGTAATATAGGACGTGTCTCCGGGAGACCGCTCTATTCTCCAGAACAATCGAAAGCTCATCGTTATTCTTGTCTTGCGGCGACACGAGGAGATCGAGACATCCAATGCATTCGCCGGCAGCACCCTATTGACTGTCCATCTCGCCTGTCAAGAAAGATTGCTCCATTCCTTATCTGACACACCTCTCTGCACTGCCTAGAACGCCAATTCCTGTAGTTCTGTATGCGCTTCCTGAAACTAGGGCTCTGACCACAGCTCCTCACAGCCCTAAGGGCCAATAAGATTTCATACACCGACCATCGAGGCATTACAGAAGGCCGAAGAAGCTAACATAGAGGTTGATGATGATATGTTTTGTTCAATGCGCTCGCTGATCCAGCATGCGGATCATATCGACGCATGGTTCGATCGAACCTCCCGGTGACAGTGCTGGTATCTCAAGACAGAGGACTGGGAAGATTGCATTTAGGGATGTCTCGTTCAATCCAGACATAACTATCGCAGCAGAGGTCGAGCTTCTACAAGAATCCGGATGGACATCACCTAGTAGGCCCATAGTAATTTCAGACCACGACAATGCAGCTGTCTCTTATACTAGCCACTGAACATGCAAGATTGGCTTGACAGATCTATACATATAGCTTACGTGTAGCTGATCAATCCTTTAGAAACTCTCGACAAAGACTAAAATAACCGAACCTATTAAGGAGCCAAGACTGACAAAAGAGTGTGAGTGAGGGGACTTCTATGCACATTCAGCAGAGTTATCTAGTATGTTGGGCGTGGTACAGATCCAGAGAGTTAGCTCGCAGGTCGAAATTAGTCACTACTAGGCTAACAATCACACTCTCGCTAGTCGATTGTGCCGCGACACGCATCCGACAATCGTTCAATATCGATATACTGCACTCAAGCCTGTTGCCACAGCGAGGTGCAGAACTTGCCGGCTCGGCAGCGGTATATACTGAACGTTGTCACTCGTCTGCTGGTCTTTCCAGGTCCATCACCTGTCATACAGATTCAAAATGTCAGGCCATGTTCGAAGACTGGTCTATCATTTTGGCATGCTTACTCGACTCATCCGAGATCAGCAAAACACTACCTGGAAGTACCGCTGCAATCATCCAGCACGGACAAACATCAAATATTGAGCACCGACTCGAGCGGACTAGGATTAGAGATGCGCTGCTCTATCATGAGTTCTAGGGCTCTGGATATGGAGAAGATGTGTGTAATATCGTCACTCTAGCACCTGAAGCTCAGGCTACACTATGCTACGAATAGCATATCAATCTGTTCTTATCACCCACAATATGTTTCTTTGGATTCCACAGCAGCGAGTGTCGACCCAGGCGAGCATTACGGCACATTTTCAGGGCACAAGACGTCAAGCACTATTATTGCGCAAATTTCAGTCGCCGTTGATCTGCTAGATATACTCAAATCTTCTGGCCAACACTATCGACCCGATCAGAAGCAACCAAGGAGCCCAGCGAACCACTCCATTCTTCAAAGCCTTCATCGCCCAGATGTTGATCAACATTACGTGGACAGCGACGAACATCTCTCCGTCATTTACGTGTGGGAACTCGCCGGCTGGCTGCGGGAGCTCAATAAAGTTACAGAGTTCTTTCCAGCCGTCTTGACCCAGCTTGAACTCTAGCAGCCTCTCCTTAGGCACAACTGCTCGAACGCCTGCGTTGTGTCGATTGAGAGCTGCAACAGACCATCCATCCATGACCCGGTCCATCACATGAACGTAGTTCCAAAAAGCTGCACATTCAGGACTGATCAGAGCCAAATAAGGCCAGATCCTCCATTTACCGATAACAACGACAGTGCTCTCGATGGATCTGCGCCACTTTTCGGCATCTCTAGTGGTGAGAACGACTTTGGCGTCTGGGTATGCTTCGGTGAGCTCGTTGACTAACAGATTCATGGGCACATCGCAAACAGCCTGTCTTTGTCAGTACCGTCCCGTGACCAACAAAAGATTTATATACTGACGTCAAAGTCGCCAATCCACTTGTCGAACTCTGCTCTTCCGAATGGCCTTTCAGTATCACGAGCAGCCAGCGCCTCGCAAGCTATCGGAAAATCTCGAGTTGCCTTCTTGACAGCCTCCGCTATGTCTATATTAGTGACAATGTTCAACGCAAACAACAGGTGTCGTACCCATATGGTAGGGAGTCAGGTTTAGCTTCTGTAGAGCGGTGTACATTGCTGCATGAGTCTGTCAGCTCGTGTTTCAGGCGTCATTGCAGTGGTCGGCCCTCACAGAATGTTCCGGTCCTGGACATGCTGGCGAGGATAACCTTCATAGTTTTGGTACGAACACCTCCTTCTTTGTCGATTGCGCGTGGGCCCGTCGGGGTGGTTGCCAGTCTGCGCCCCTGAGGTTCGTAGATACGTCCTCCATACTTGACGAGTAGGTCATCAAATTGCTTCATCGTCGAGAATACAGAAACGAGTGCAATTTTCGCTCTGATAACACTGGTGGCCAGTGAAAATGAGTTGGATCGTAGCCTTTTAAATGACAGTTCAGCTTACCCCTCCGCCTTCCGCTGATTTATTCCATGTGTGCTCACTTTTTGTTATCCATGTTGCGCCTGGAAGGGACCATTGATCCAATCGGGAAGTCGCTGTTCATGCAAGTTTGGTCGCACATGCCGCTTTCTAGGGTATTGATAGCTTTGATTGGATGATCGACGCCAGAACCGGTCAAAGACGCGGGTTGTGTGACCGAACTCCTCAACAACTGGACATTCCCAAGACCTTAGATAGCAAACAGATTCGAAGTAAACAGAGATACTAACGGCGATTGATGATGAACTCCAGCCATAAGTACTCGAGGGCCTCTCCTGGCAATTTTCGAGCATCTTGAAGCTTGGTGACGTGTCATGCGACGAGACGACTGATGCCAGAGACAGCTTTGTTTAGAGGACGGGACTAGATTGGGCTGGTGGGAAGCTTTGAGCTGGGTAGAGTGTTTAGTATTACAGCCAGTGTACTGGAAAGAATATGATATGTAAAACTATGAACGTTCTGAATGCAGTCCTGCTTCACGGTCGGCCACTCAGCAGGCAAGTTTGTTCAATCTAAAAGTAATGACATCGATCACATCAACAGGATCAGTTCTTCTGTTCGTGAACGTGTTGAATCTGAGCTTCGGTGTCTTTGGATTCGACGACAGTGTTCTTGCCCTGCATGGCAGATCTTTCCAGCATGTTCAATTTGTCTTCTTCGGCATCTAGGTGACGGAAGCAGAACCAGAATCCGACACCACCCAAGAAGGCGAGGATGGTGATGATAGTGTAGTTCCAAACAAGGAGGGGATCCTCGGAAAGAGGAGTGAATGCTTGTCCAATGGCAGCAGCAAAGGCGCTCATGAACAGATTGATAGACATGACCATAGACTTCATGTTGGCAGGAGCCTTGGCGTAGGCGTACTCGAGAGAGGTGACGTTTGTGAAGATTTCGGCAATACCGATGAAGACATAAGGCAGCACTTGGGCCCAGACGTTGATGTCGGCCTTGCCAAATTCTTCGATGCAGTCGGGGTCACTAGCGTACTTTCCGCAGGGTGACTTGGTGTAGATGAAGTGCTGCATCACTGCAGCGGCGAGCATAGATCCGGCGGCGAAGAAGAAGCCGACTGTCATACGCTTGATGGGGGTGAAAGCGAAACCCATCTTGCGGAAAGCAGGGTAGATGCCGTGGTCCAAGATCGGAATCATGATAACAATAGAGATTGGGTTGAGGTTCTGGATGATATCATTGGGCACACCATTGAGTTGCAGAGTAGCAGCCTGAGATGTCAGGTTTCCAGTCATCTGGTTGTAGGCCAACTATAGGTAATCGTCAGTATGTTCACGATGAATGAAAAACCAAAGAACCACTTACGAAGAAGAGGGGCAAAAAGAGGAAGACCTTGCAAGCACGAAGACCACGCTTGACTTCCTCCACCCAAGCATCATCGTATGTCATCCAAGCAGGGCGGCGTTCGACAGGGACATTGGATGGCTTTGCCACATCCCAGTTGAATTTTCCTTGCTTGTTCTTCCAAGTAAAGCCGAGCATATGGAAGAACTTAGACAGGATGGAGCCTGTAGGCGGGCTCAAGATGTAGTTCTTGCGGTTGAGGAAGAGGATAATGGGGGCAGCCACGAAAAGAATGGTGGGGAGAAGGAAAGCTAGACAAGAAACAACAATTAGCATCATTCCACCCGACCAGATGGCATTTAATTCTTCATACCCAGCCAAAACCCTACGAATTTTTCGACGTAGACCATAGAGATCTGTCCGGTCAAGGATCCGATGTTGACACAAAAATAAAAATATAAGAACTCGAGACACAGTTAGCAGAAAGCTTGGTGGAGGGCTTGGTACAGCTCCAGGGAGTCAGCTCGCAGGTCGAACCGACATCATGAGATAGCATTCAGGACACCATCTCATGGTTGTAAGTCATACATGTAAGACCGGCTCGCTGAATCTATACCTTTCAGCTCACTTACAATTCTTGAATTGGTCACTGCAGGGTCAACAATCACTCTCTCGCCAGTCGGGAGCGTCTCAACACGCATCCGGCGATCGGTGTTTTGCTCAGCAAGTAGCGGAGAGATATTGGCCTTGAAGAAACCAGTACCTGTCGCGTGATGAGTTAGAAAGTTGATATCAGGTGCGAGAAGGCATTTTTCTTGGCGTACCGACACACAAGGTAAGCAGACCGATGATGAAAGCGGCGGTTGCTCCTGTCTTGTGGATGATAACAGTGGGTGCAGATGCAGCCACGAGAATGATGTGAGCAACGATGCCTATAGCAATAGCGATGTGGATGGTCTTGTATCTGCCCAAGTGGGCATCTGCCACATAGCCACCGATCAAGGGCATAAAATAACTGTACAAAGTCAGAACATAGCACAGTGGAAGATGAGGATAGTTCGAACTTACGCAAAGAACATGTTGAACAAGCTGATACCCTGTGCCGCACTTTGACCCATGCCAAGTGCACCAGGCTGGCCGTGAAGACCACCAGCACCTGTTTTTGATCCCTCAGGTAGAGGCCATTGTACGAAGTTTGTGTACAAGATAGAGCTTCCATAGTAGGAGAAACGTTCCGCTAGTTCGGCAAAGGCGACAGTGTATGCGGCCCACTTGATCTTGCCAGAGACACGACGCAGAGTCTTGAGGTCCTCTTCGGTAGGAGTGTCGTCGTACTCCTCGGTTTCTGGAGTCCTCACTTCATAGAGAGGCTCGGCTTTGCCGACGTCCATTGATCCACGGCCAGCGTTTCTTTCGAAAGCTGTACCTTGCATGGATGCATCAGGAATGTGAGCTTTGGCGAGCTCATTAGCATCGAGAGTGTTGTTGCTCATTATCGGAATGTTCCCAGTTGGACTGTATCCTGAAATAAATGGAACGAAGCACAAAACAATCAAGAGTCTTCAGCGACGGAACAGAGGCACAGCTCGTTATATACCTAGTACGATAGTGTGGAGGGGAAGTGTCCAGCAACATTCCTTCTGCCAAACTTTGTCTTGTCTAACCGGGGGTCTATTGTTCGGATTCACTCGTGTGGTCACACACCGATTGTATTGCTATCAGAAGCGGTTGATAATAATCCCAGAAGCCAAGAGATAGCGAATATTCGATGGTGGCGGCTGTACACATGTATTCAGACCTGAGCGGTCGGAAACGAAGCGTGCACGCCTTCCAAGACCTTCGACCCACCTTGTTGTTACATGCTGAGGTAGGATATGCGTCCCAAAGAAGAAGGTCGAAAAGGACAGAGCAATGTAAGAATGCCAAGTCGCACTTGGCAGACGAGAGTGATTGGTATGCCAAGGTAGCTTGGCAGCAGCGGGAATGATTGGTCATTCTCGTGTCAGGGGGATGATCGCCCGTTTGCCATGCCGATTTTACTGCTAATGGCCAAAGAAGCGAAGCGAGTGTGCATAGCCGCATTGATAGACGTCTGAGCAGGCCAATAAGCATAGGTTGAATTGTCTCTCGGACACCATATTGTCTTATGAGGATTCAAACGAAGACAAGTGGTGCCGAAGCTCGTCTTTGTATCATTTCAAATACAAACTGGGCCATCTGAAGTCTTGTTACTGAATCCTTCTGCGAGTATGTTGTGATGCGGATAGGTCGATCGTCGGTGTAGTTTGAGCGACTCCATAGGTCGCGTGCCGCCGGTAGCAGAACTTATCAGTGCAACAACCAGAGCTACCGGAGCAAGCGGACTGTCAAGGACCTTTGAGGATCCTACCACTTTCTTACTCCCAGTAGGTGGTGGTAGGTGATTGTATGATGGGTGAGAGTGACAAGAATCGACTCATGTAAAGGGAACGGACTGTTTCCGAGCGATGAAGTTGATCGACACCCTTATCGTCAATAAAGCAATCAAGCTTCATCAAAATAAATCTCATCCTTCGGACCCGTGCCTTTTTCTAGACCATCGGCTCTGCAAAGTTCTCGATGCGCCTCTGATATCTCGCTATCGATCAGAAGATCAGTCCGCGTAAGGAACTGCATGAGTAGACCAGCTTCCGCATGCCACGAGACATGGCAGTGAAATGCCCAGGCACCAGGATTGTCAGCTACGAATCGTATCAAGGCCCAACCAAATGCTTCGACACTAGCGGTATCGCGGCGAAGAGGATTCGACAGATCCAGTGATTCGTAAAGAGGCGAGAGGTTGTCTAGGTCCATGGGCCCATCAAGTGATTTTCTAGAGGGATAGCCATGGCCTTGAGCAAGGACCCAGAACTTGTATCCATGGAGGTGATAAGGATGATTACTATGCCAGTTAGCGAACTGTAGCTTGCGAAAGTTGTGGAGGAACTGACCCGTCATCGAAATTAGATATCAGAATATCGACAGTCTGAACGCCTGATGATTGGATGGTGAGCTGGGCAGACTGATCGAATGCCCGATTGTTGACAAATACAGGTCCTTTGTCTTGCTCCGCGTCGAAGGATGCGTTCTTTGCTTGCAGGCCATCGATAGAACGGAACAATGTAGGACTCTTGACGTCGGCACGCCAGCTGCTCGTATTGAACTTGCCTCTGGAGAGCCTGTATGCACCTATCTCGAAGTTGGATCTCAGGTAGAAAAAGGCATCAACTTTTGTAGGAGCTGCAACAACCTGGACAGGCACTAGCTCAGTGGTGTTTAAATCTTTACACTCGAGGCCAATAGCTTCGTTCCAATCCATTGTATCAGGAAGCTTGGTGGCAGCCTTGGCTTCAGAGTTGCTGCTGTATTGTATGACGCCTTGTACGGAGTCAACCATGAACGGATTCGGCTCGGCGAAACAGTGAGTGATCATGCGAGCTCTCATCCTAAATTTGGTTCTTTCCCTTTTGTCTGTATGTACGACCACACTATAACGTTGCGCGGGGTTGATGTTGAGACGATGGTAATTGATCGGTTGTACGTCAGTACCATCGACTTCTGTGACCGCCAGCTCATGCTCGTCGATTTGGAACTGGAACTCGGCAAAAGCACCGACGTTGATGATGCGTAATCTATGATGCCGATTTGGCTCGAGGTCAAAGGCCGGAAATCCGACATTGCTTGTAGTGTTGTCGCATTTCCTATGCGGCAGATCATCACAATTACGAATGGCGCGACCATTGATCAAAGCCCCATCGGGTACTGGCTCTGCATTTTCCATGTCCGGAGCCAAGTATCTTCTAGCGAGGATTCCTGAGAGATCGTGGTAATGGTCGGAAAGCATGATTATGCGATCGCTAGCGTACTGAAGTTGCTGTAATTGCTTCTCATCTCTTGAGTGGATGATCAAAGGCCCCACTAGCCCGTCTGAGGCCTGGTTGCCCTGATGCGCATGATACCAATAGGTACCACTCTGACCTCGCACTTTGAATTCGTAGGTGAAGCTGAGTCCTGGAGCGATAGGACAACCTGTGATACCAACAGTTCCGTCCATGGAGTTTGTGCCATTCTGGTATATTCCATGCCAGTGCATGGCAGTCGAATTGGTCATCTGGTTGTTGACCGTGACTCTGATAGTGTCATGCTCGTTGACCTCAATCAGGGGACCAGGAAACTGATCATTGATGAGCAGCATTGGCCTCCATACACCATCTGGATTCGATTCCGTCTCTCTAAGAGTCCAATTGTACTGCCTGATAGTCGGGGCAGCTTCATAGTTCCAGGCGGGATCAAGCAAGTACTCGTCCTCTCTAGGAGAGCTCGCACCCTTGGTCGACTGAGTTACATTCGGGGGTTCGGATTGGTCCTTTGAAGCCGTATCTGGCTGCGACGTGTCGATGTGTGAGATTTTCTCCCACGATGGTCCTTTAGATGTAAGATTGATCGCAAATGGTACGAGTAATATCACCGATATCAGGAAGAGAAACGCGTACTGCGACCAGTTGAAGCGCCATGCTTCATCATGCGAAAGGACCTTCTCTTCATCGAGCAGAGCCCTACATTGACTATTGCCGGCTGAGGATTGTCTAGGACTATCGCCAAGAGCAACTTCCTCATCCATCGTCATGATGAGAAAGCGTGAAAGATGTGATTCTGAATGGCGGCCGTCGTACCAAGGCGAAAACAGAACAGTTTACGTTCTTCAGAGCACTGTAGCCGTGTAGTTGACCTATACGGAGCAGCACAACGACATGACGTGGCGAGATCAAATTGCGATAATTGACGCAGAACTTCTCGAACGTTTCCGCGCTGCGGGTCGACGCAGCAGCGGCACGAGAGCGACGGCATCTTGAATTGCGGCAGTGCGTGCTGTTGCCCAAATCTGCGCGCGCCGAAGATCCGTAGAATGTGGTCGTGAAGGGAAGGTGGTTGGAGAGCAAACAGGCCAATCAAGACGGCTTGTCCGTGCATGTGCTCCCCACATCTGACTTTGCTTGTGCCTCGAACCTGTTCAACAAGCCTCACACATACTCGATAGTGGAGCTTGAACTTCCAACCGATATGCTTGTTCTCTTACTAAAGCAGGAGTTACTCTGATGAGTGCCGACGCGCCAATGAAGATGCGGCTATTACATCCCCCTCTTCGCACGTGTATAGGGTTCATGGACATAGAGGCTTCTCACCCGGCCGCTTGAACCGCTCCAGGATGGTCGAATGCTGTCCGATGGCGGTATGTACATACAACATGGCGACCGAAGGGATGATATGATCGACTTCTTCCACAAGTTAAAGGTAGACTTCTGCCCATACGTATTCCCTTGAGAATCAGCCCACCGTCATTCATTATATCTACAATGTTTTACTCCACCCTCGTTGTCTCTGCAATTGCTTTCTCAGGTCAGGCACTTGCTGCCAACCTAACATCCACTTCTCCAGCAGACGTCGCTGCTGCTCGCAACAGTGCCTTGACACTTAGCCCGACCAGCAATGTCAAAGGCAAGGTGTTCGACCGCTTCGTGACTATCTGGCTCGAGAACACCGACTATGACAAGGCTGCAAGCGACCCCAACCTCGCCTGGCTGGCTAAGCAAGGCATCACACTAAGCAACTACAATGGAGTCACTCACCCCAGTGAACCCAACTATGTCGCTTCTATCGGTGGTGACAACTTTGGCATGGACAACGACGACTTCAACCAGATTCCTGGCAATGTTTCCAGCATTATTGACTTGTTGGAGGATAAAGGTATCGCTTGGTCACAATACCAAGAAGACATGCCATATTCCGGTTTCGAAGGAAAGGCCTGGATCAACCAGCAAACCAAGGCGAACGACTACGTCAGAAAGCACAACCCTGCTGTAATCTACGACGCCAACACCAGTGCTGATAGACTGGCCAAGAACAAAAACCTGACCCAGTTCTACAGCGACCTTGCGGCCAAGAAACTTCCCCAGTGGATTGTAAGTGTTTCCCCTCCTTCCCCACAACTCCCACACTTCTCCTACGAGGGAATGGAGCGTGAATCACTATAGAAATGCACAACGGTTTCAAGATCCAAGACATATCCAAAGAGAGCCCCAAAACGTAACACTCTCATTGGACACTGTCTTGATTGTTGAGATTGCTGTGCATTTTTATAGCACTACGCGTTGCAAACCTTTGCACATGAAGAGGCCATCTGAATCGAACAAAAGCTAACAGAAGACTAGTTCATCACCCCGAACATGTAGGTCAAGCCAAGCCGTAGATTCAAAATTCGTGAAATTATGCTAACAGTATTCTCACCTTAGGACTTCAGACGGCCACGATACTAGTGTCACCACTGCCGGTGCCTGGACGCGCAACTTCCTGGAGCCTCTTCTTGACGACAAGCACTTCATGAAGAACACGCTCGTCCTTGTCACGTTTGACGAGTCCCATACCTACACCTTGCAGAACCAGGTCTTCAGTGTTCTTCTCGGTGACGCAGTACCCAAGAAGCTTGTTGGCACCACCGACTCTCAATACTACAACCACTACTCTGAGATTAGTACTGTCGAGGCAAACTGGGACCTACACACTCTTGGTCGCTGGGACGTTGGTGCCAACATTTTCTCTTTCGTTGCTGACAAGACTGGTGACGAGAACACCCCATGGCCCGCTGCTTCCGGTCCCAACAGCAGCCACTTCTTCAACAGCTCTTTCTCTGGCCCCTTCAGCGATGCCGACAGAGTTGCCACTCTTCCCGTTCCTAACACCAAGCTCGTCAGAAACGGTCGCAAGGTTCTCGGCAAGATCGCTCGTACTTGGGGCGATGCTTCGTTGCAGAGCCAGACTTACTACCAGAACACCGTCCAGATCCCTGACGGTATGCATCCTCCCCAGGGCTGGTAAACACAGCACTTGCGAGTCGCCTTCTCCTATGCGAGGTTATGTCACGTGGATGGCTATAGAAATGCACAGTGCCTTTAGCAAACAAGTGGTATCCAAGGAGGGTCGGCAAATCATGGCATTTCCATGGACTTCGCTACGGTCTGGAAAAGACTGTGCATCTTGATGGCTTCGACTTCCGCCTATCTGTTGTCGTGGGAGCCGAGTGGGAGTGATGGACCTCAGCACATGTTTGCTAGATTCATGATATGAAAAGTTAGACAATTCTGTCGTTTCTGCACAAATACTACACTCAACGTATTGCGTTTCGAATCCAATGTTGTCGAAAGCTTCTTAGAGACAAACCAATTTGCTCCAAAATACCCAGTTCATACCTACCCGTGACGTCTAGCACCGCAGAGTCTAGTGTCACAGATATACCTTTCTAAAACTCGCGGGGACGGGGAGGGGCGGATCAATTTTGCCGCTCGAACAAACACGTGGGTGTTCATGGTATATAGACCTCCCTCCCGCACCTAGATTTCAACTTTTATATTTCACCTTGCTCCAACTACCGCACATAAAACTCGCTATATCTGGACTTTACACTTGGACTAAGCAAATTTCGAAATGTCTCTCAACAAAATCACATCAATGTTCCCAAACGACGACTCTGGCTCATACGTACCTCTACCAACATATAACACGAAAGACTCGGAAAAAGAACCCTCGCCATCATCAGAATCTTCCTCACAGTTTTCTTCTGCATACTCGACATCTTCAAAGGGACAAATCGATCCCCGCACAATCTCAGATGTCACACTAGGATTAAGCGATGGTCTGACCGTGCCTTTTGCCTTGACAGCAGGTCTGGCGGCTTTGGGTGATACAAAGATTGTTGTGTTTGCTGGTATGGCAGAGATACTGGCTGGGAGTATTTCTATGGGGATTGGAGGATATCTTGGGGCTAGTGGTGAAGCGTGAGTTTCTTGCTGTTTTCGTGCCACTGCTAGAAAAGACCTTTGCTAATGCTGGACTCTTCAGACAATCTGCATCTGCGACAAGAGCAACGACGATTGCCATGGTGCACACATCGCATGCAGAGGCTAGAGCAGCGGTCATATCCACACTGGAGTGTTATGTTTCTGCAGCCCTGCTAGACACAGTGGCGGACGATATCACGGCTTCTTACGACAAGACCATCGCTTTCTTACTTGAACACCAGCATCAGGTTGACTCTGCTGATGTCTCACCGCGGCTGTACACTAGTGCTCTATGCATTGCTTTCGGATATTTCTTTGGAGGCTTGATACCATTATTGCCCTATGTGTTTATTGCTGATGGTGGAGTTGCGTTGATTTGTTCAGTGGTGGTCATGGTGTTTACCCTGTTCGCATTTGGCGTCGGTAAAACTGCACTTATAGGAGAGAGGAGTTTGAAGATTAGGATATGTGAAGGCCTCAAGATGGTGGGATTGGGTGGAAGTGCGGCAGCGGCTAGTGTGCTATGTGTGCGTCTTGTGCATCAGTAGATCTGACAATAACACTCTCTTGAAAGTTTTCTGCTGTCTGCTGTCTGCTATCTGCTGCGTTGAAATTGAATTGAGGATGGGTATCATGATTACCTAGACGAGCTAGGCAAGAACAGTTGGCGCCGAAGGTGACAAAGAGAGGCTCTAGCTCTCGACAGCCTTGGCCTTGACACCGACAATGACACCCTCATCGTTCAAAGTGACGATGTAGTACTCACAGCGAGTGCTGCCATGAGCGACACGGAACACCTGAACGTCAGCCTTGTCGCTGCCAGCTTCCTTAACAGCCTCGACGACTTCGGCGTAGTGGTTCTTGACGTTCCAGTCCTTGACGCTGATCTCCTCCACCTCGCCAGAATGGTTGATCAGGTCGGCAAACTTGTCTGCAGCTTTATTAGTGCTTGTCTTTACTTGCTCCTCTACATAGTATGACCTTGACTGATGGAATCCTTCTTTCCATACTTGAGAGCCACAGACTCAAAAGGCTCATCAGTGTCGCTCTGATAGAAAGCATCCACATTGTTCAGCGACTTAGGCACAGCCGAATCCACAGCCTTTGTCTGGGCAAAACCGCTGGATTTGACTTCATTGCTCGAGCTGCCAGTGTCCTGGTTGGCCTTTTCCAGAAAGTTGGCGTATTCTTGATCGGATGACATGGTGAGACGTAGAGTTTGTGACAGATATCGCTGAAGGAAGAAGTTTGTATGTAGTCGTCTGGGTTGGAAGCTTGTGCTTGTCGTCTTGCGAAGAAGTTGGAGTGTTGTTCGTTGCATGTTTGTCGGTGCCTTTTGTCGATTTCTTGGATACAAACAGTGCCCTGCCCCTCACAACCGCTGACGTCAATTATGCATACAAACTTGGCTGTTCGGACTCGCATATTTTATGTAACAGCTCCGGGGTTGCACAATACCTAGCACAACTGTACGACTTGGAGATTTTGCATGTCGAGACAGGGTCTGTACTTGCACTAATTACACATTCCATAGTCCTTCGCACAAGGGCCTACAAGGGTCCAATCTGTGATACAGATCAACTCATTCACGCTCAAACCTGCACAATGAAACTCGTTTAGAAGTCAAGGAAAAGAAAACATCTCTGGTTTTTTTCCAGAGACACAAACAGCCTATGCAATGCTGAAGTCATCGCATGTTCGTCAGTGCATAATTGTGCTGCGTAAATTCCGACACGCCACGAAGTCGAGCCAGACATGAGCGAATTGATGTTGCCAAATCTACCACGACTACCAGAGCAGAAGTGCTTCTACACACCGAGTCTTCCAATCACCTCCTAAGGGATCTCATCTATAGCTGAAAACCTTACCCATGACCATCTTGTGCCGGTCACTTTCCCACCATTCGATCCATCGACTCGCACAAACGATAGGATTCTCTGAAGCGCCATGATCAACTATTACAAGACCAGATTAGACGGTAAGACGTCACGTAGGCTGTGTATACCATACTTTGCCATCGATCAAAGCTTTCTTGAGATTCTTCTTTTCCTTCTCAAGCATAGCACGTGACTTTTTCCAGTACTAGCCGGATTGAGCTATCACTCCAGAGTTCTACAGCCCATGAGAACTACTAAAAGGGCACAAGAAGCAATGAGGAATGAGCATAGCTCAAGACTTGAAATTCTCAATTCTATGTCCTCACATCTCCTCCTCCCCTACGACGACTACAGCAGGACCGATGTCATCGAAGCTTCCATCTTTCGTTGGTCTACTGATCTTCTTTCCAGCACTCCTGCCCTCCACCCGATTAAGGAGATCGCGCTCCCATCCTCGCCAAACAGCCCAGTCTTCCTTCTTCTTCTGCGCATGCCATTTGGCAGTGTGAGCAGCAGGACGCCATGCTAGTCTGTTTTCTGGCATGCTGCTTAGAGCAACAGGCTTGGCCTCAGTGACGAGTTTGAGCAGTTCGCTGAACGCGGTCTTCCCTTCTGCATGTAGAGCCTTTTGGCGTTGGACTGGCTTTGTAGGCCGTAAGACCAATGGCGTTTCCAGCCAGTTGAGATCGAATGATGACTTGGGTGCAGATTGTTGCTGGAGGTAGCAGATGGCTGACTCGAGACTGTCGATACGGAGCTTGGCTCTATCAAGCTCCACCTTGCTTGCGCCTCCCATCTCTGTAGCCATGGTCTTTGTGGCGGTAGGATCTGGTTTGTTCTCTTCTGCTGATTTTCTCCAATCATCTCTCTCCTTGCGTAGCCTTGTAACCCGTGTTTCTGCTTCGGCCAACGACTTCTGATGGGTGGTCTTCTCGCTTTGCAAAGTTGCGATGGAGGTCTCCAGGTCTGCAAGGGCAGAGGATCGTTTGGTAGCTTCAGCCATGCGAGCTTCGAGCATCTCGACACGAACGCTTTGTTCCTCCAGCTCTTGCTCCTTGGAACGGACTAGGAGGGAGCGCTCGCGCACAATCTCTGTCAGGCGAGCGACCTCTGCTTCGGTGTCGACAGAGGTAAGCTTTGTTGCACGAAGGGTGGCGCTGCGAGTCACCCATGGCTCAGCAGGACGCTCGAATTCTTGAGTGTTCTCAAGGTTGGCTGAGATGTCGCTCAGCTCATTGAGTTGTGTGATCAGCGAGGAGAGGTAGGTCGTTAGTGTGTCGAAGGGCGTCGTCTCTGATGAGCCGCTGCCGAAGACACTGGCTGACAGACGGGTCAAGAGAAGCTCAGCTTCGCTTAAGGTGACAGACTCCTCACGGCCTTCTTCACCCAAGAGGCCTTGGATCTTCTCACCCGCACGGCGTCCGAAGACAGCGAGCTTTGCCGTTAAACTCTCCGCGGAGGTAAGAAGCTCCAAGTGAGATGGACTCAGCGCAAGCGAGCGTGATTGCAGGTCCGTGACATTGCGATGTGTTTTATTGACGACGACACGAGCACTTCTGATACTAGAGACGATGGAGTCCAGTTGCGTGAACAGATTGGACTCATCAGACTCGCTGCCTTCTGATCGGGGTACCGGAACATGGCGCTGCACCAAGGACCTGCATGAACCGAGGGCCGACGAGGTGCTGTCTAGATGGCTCTGGATCAGAGAGGCCTGCATTAGCATCTCGCTGGCAGACGCAGCAAGCGAGTCTTTGATGTGAAGAGAAGCCAGGTGGGACATGACTGCCATTGATCTCTGCAGCTCTTCGTCCACTCTACCCTCTTTCATGTCATCACGCTTGATGGCATCGATGTAGGTGTTCAGCGCTCTCTCGACAGGTTCGAGCTCGTACAGAGCACTCTCGTATCTGGCGAAATCTTCGATAGAGCAGCTGCGAATGCCGTTGATGAATCGGTCGCTCATCTCAGCGACCCATGTGAGTCTGTCGAGTACACTGTAGGCAGCGAAGATATCTTCGTCCGCAATTTTCGTGCCTTGTCCGTTCAGACGTTCCTTGACAAGACTGCTGAGTAGGCGAGACTTGAAGCCTACACGCTTGAACCGCAGCAGTGCCAAGATTGAATCGCGCTCTGCGTTGAATGCGTCGGGCAGGAAGAGATGTACGATAGCCAGGTGCTCAGCAGCTTCTTCGGCCTCCAGACGTCTCAGCTCGAGATCGATGGTCTTGATCTGAGTCTTGGTTGCAGACATTTGTAACTTCATGTTGAGATCCATCATTGCACGGCTTCTGCTCGACAGTTCTTCTGCTTCCGTCTCTGTGATCTGGCGCGAGGCTCGCATATCTTCCAGGTCAGCCTGAAGACTGGTGACCAGCTCACGGAAGCGGGAGATTGTGTACTCGCAGTCTTCGATAGCCTGAGATTGCTGTGCAGAGCGACGAGATTGTTCACCAAGGATGGTATCTTTGAAGTCAATCTCTTCTTGCATCTGCTTCTCAGCTTCGACATGGTTGATTTCGAGTTCGTCGTTGAGTTCTTTGAGGTTCTCGAGGTCCTCAATGACCAACTCCAATTCGTCAATCTTCTCCTGCATAGCCATGTTCCGTTCGGTCAACTCTTCAATCATATCTTCGGCACCCATTGCAGCGTCAAGCTGTTGGCGAATGTCGTCCAGGTCGGCCTCGGTCACGAGTAGCTTCTCCCGAGTTTCTTCGTAACCATTCTTCAAGGAATCAAAGTCTTTGACCTCGTCCTCGAGGCTAGTAATTTGAGCCTTGAGATCAGCCTCCTGCTCCCGTGTCATGTCACGCAGCCTCAACAGGGCCTCCCTAAGTCTCTCGTTTGAACGTTCTAGTTGAAGCCAGCCTTGACTAGTGCGTTCTTCGGGATTCATCTCCCTGCCTAATTCCTCGTTCTCTTCCTTTAGTATATCCAGCTCGAGGCGCAGTTCCTCATTGCTAGTTCGTAGGGAGTCGAGTTCAGTCTTGAGAGATTCGGACGTCTCCTCGGCCATCTCACGATCGAGGGTAGCCATTTCGACGACAGCGTCATGCTCAGCTTGGATGGCCTCGATGTCGATCAAGCGAGATTCCGAGTCCTTGAGTTGAGCTCGCAAGTCGTTCAGCTCGAGAGATTGGGCCTGCATTTTGGACTGCATCTTCTGGACAAGATTCGCGTATTTGTCGCGCTCCTGTTCGACAGTCTGCATCTTCTTCAGGGAATCGCGGTCTTCTTGACGTTTACGTTCCATGAGCTTCATCTTTGTCTGCAAATCCTCAACCTCGCGAGCGGTGGTCTTGTTCGGACGGAGGGAAGTATGCGAAGCAGCGGGAGAGGTAGCGGACTTGGAAGAGGGCGCGAATGATTGGGGAGCATCCTCAGTATCGTCAGCATGCTGGGTATGGTGGGCTCCGTCAGTGGGAGCAACGGGAGAGGGTTTGGGCGAAGGAGAGTCTTGAGGCTGAGGCTGTCTCGGAGCCGAGGAAACACGACGAGCAGCAGGGGGCTGTTTTGTAGCTGTAGAAGGCTGTCTAGCAGCAGAAGTGAGGCCTCTTGTGGTGGTGGAAGTGGTGCGAGCAGTCGAACGGGACGAAGCAGGTACAGCGGCTGATGGAGGATGGCGCGGTGTCTGAGCGGTGGTGGTCGAATTGGACGAGGGCACGACGGACGATCTCCTGGCGGCAGCGGACAAGGCAGAGGAAGCGTTCAAGGTGGAGGCGGTGCGCGGCTTGGGCGTGGCAGTAGAGAGGGGCCGGCGTGCAGCGGGGGCGGCGGTGGGAGGGGTTGGGTTTCTCGTAGGCTGAGCGGTCGAGGGGGTAGCGGTGCGAGCGAGCTTGGTGGGCGATTTGGTAGGAGAAGGCAGGGCAGAGGCAGCTCTGGCTGTGTCAAGAGCTGGTGCGAGGTTGATGCTCGTAGGACGAGTGGCCGGCCGACTGACGATGCGACTGACTCCGGCGGCGCGCAGGAACATGCCATAGTTGGCCTCGCAGTCAAAGTAGCGCTCGCCCTTGACCGAGCCGTCATTCTTGCCCGTGGCATCGTCCAGCTCTACACCGACCCATTCTCCTGGCGCAAACCCCGTCGCTCCCAGGAACCGCACAATCGCGTGTCGTCCATCGTTGAGTTCGATCGTCTGTCCCACGCCCAGCGCCAGACTTGCCATTGTTGGAGACGAGTGTCAAATGCTCATGTCAAGCAGCTTAGAGAGCGCAAAGCAGTCGTGAAACACATCCCTGTCCATCTTCGACGCCCGTCTGGATAACCAACACCAAAACATGCTTGCGTCACAACACAACCACAAAATACCGAGACAGTGAACAAACGTTGCTGCATCTTGTACGATTCTCTGTTGTATCTACGCGACACTCTGGACTGCCCGCGTCCTCGCTGCCACGTCCTCGGCCTTTGTTCGTCCCAGTCCATCTTTACCATAAAAGTCCATCGGATATACCTTCTTATCTCCTTCCCACCCTTCTCGCTCCCCCAACACCACCAATGCCTCGTACGGTGTCAACAACGGTCGCGGGAATGCATATCCCCAGTCGATACTCAATCTGGGACATGCCACCTGCACCCAGCATTCCACATCGTCCATCATCCCCAGCTTGCCCGGGAAGATTTCGCTGAGCAGCAGGTTCACCCACGGTATGCCCTTCTCTTGCAGCCGCTGCTCAATCATGGTCATCGTATGCGGGTTTCCTTGTCTTCCAAGCGATCCCAGAATCAGCCCCCACTTCTTTGCTTTTCCTGCCGACCTGATGGCGTCGCTTCGCAGACTCATCATCTGCTCGTGGTCATATGTTTCGTGTGTCAATCTCCTCGAATAGGGATCGTATCGGTATGCTGGTATCGTCGGGTTGTGAATCATGGCACTCTCCAGATGGAACCGTCCGTCTCCCAGATACAGAATCGAGTCAATCTTGTCCTCGTCCTTGAGCGCTGGACTTGTGCAGCCCAGAATCTCGCCTTTGCTCAGGGGCGCAATCTGTGGTATCACCACGTCGTAGCCCGCGTTCCGCAGCTGTGGAGCCGTGCCATGCAGCGTCGCATTGAACTGGATTGTGCCAACCATGGCAATCCGGGATCCCGCTTTGAAGTTGCGCTCGATGGTGGCCAGGAGATGCGAGACGTCGATTCCAATGTCGACAAAGACGTACAGCGTCTGGATTTGCGTGACGCTGACAGGGATCAAACAACTGTGAGCATAGTGCACCAGCATGTCACAGCCCAGAGCGCGCGCCGTGTAGTCGTCTATGCAGCATGCGCCATATGTCACATCTCCCATGATCAGGGTACTCGTGTCCGGGCAGAAGCGTGTGATAATGTCCGAGATGGTCGTCGCAAACAGAAGCAGTCCCTCGGGAAACTGCAAGGCGATCTTCTTTGCTCCGGCGCTGCGAACCTTGTGGATGGTCTTGTGAATCTCGAAATTGTAGTTTGAGGGAAGTAATGAAATGGCGGCGTTGATGTCTTGATCGTTCAGAATCTCGGGAGGGACTTGGTTCAAGGCTCGGGCACTCCTTCGAGGCGCGGCGACTGGAGTAAGCTGTCAGCATACTCGAGATCAGAAGTGGAAACAAGATGCGGACCCTGAATAGCACCACTGTCTTCAATGCCGCCATTTGAGTCGCCTTTGGCGGCCGCCTTTTCTGCAGCAGCCCTGCGTCCGATGAATCGCTTCTTGGGCTGTTTGGTCACAGCTATTGCCTCGCCAGCCAGCTCCGGTGTCGAAATGTCTGCTTGTTGTCGATCCTGCTCCATGTCGGGTGAAATGCAAAAGTTGACGAGCGGCCAGAAAATATCATGCATTGATTACCTTTGACGGCTACGGCATCGGCCACCGACTCCCGAGCCGCCGCGCCCGTCGGCCTTGGCTCCCGCCCTGCCGCCCCCGCTCTCTCTCTCCGCACCACCCGAGGCATCGCTCCATTCGATGAGCCTTGACAGTCGTGACTTGCTTCTGTTTCTTCAAGAGCTGCATATAGATCAACCATCGACCCAATTGAGGTTCAAACCCTACTACGTCAACCATGTCTGGAATCGTGCGTCCATCGAGGCATCAAAGATTACCTAGGGCTTTGAGCAGACGATGCTTCTCTGCTACCTCCAAGACATTTGCAGACCATGTTCGCATTGTTGAAGTAGGCCCACGGGATGGACTTCAAAACGAAAAGTCCTCAATTTCGCCAGAAACAAAAATCCATCTCGTCAGAAGACTCGCTGCTACTGGTCTCAAGACAATCGAAGCTGGCTCGTTCGTTCATCCCAAATGGACCCCTCAAGTAAATCGACATGACCTACAATGCTCTGTCAACCATAGCTGACACTCATCAGATGGCTAGTTCGGACAAGGTTCTGCAAAACATCTTGCAACAGCCTCCTCACACGAGTCAACCAATCACTTACCAATGGTTATTGCCCAACATGAAAGGTCTAGATAACTTCTTCTCCATCCAAGCTCAGAACTCGACTCAAGGAGACACTTCTTATCCAACTCCTCCGCAGTCCCCCAGGCATGATTCAGGCCCTGCCCAAAACACATCGACCCAGAACCCCAACGACATGCCTTCTGCAACTTCTGGCGCGGCTGCTATGGACTCGAAGTCCAGCCCCGAGCAACCAAAACATGAGGTCTCGATTTTCCTTTCGGCTACCGAGTCCTTCTCTCAGAAGAACACGAATTGCAGTATAGCCGAATCTCTCGAGAGATTCCAGCCTTTGATCACTTCTGCTAGAGATAAAGGTTTCGGTGTACGCGCTTACATCTCCGTTGCTCTTGGTTGTCCCTTTGAAGGACCTGATGTCGATCCACACAAGGTTGCAGAACTAGCTGCTAGCCTTCTCGAGATGGGAGCGGATGAGATCTCGGTAGCAGATACTACGGGGATGGGTACAGCACCTCGCACAAGAGAGCTGTTGCGCACTCTTACCGCCGCTGGCATTCGGAATGACGACCTGGCTCTGCATTTCCATGACACTTTCGGGCAGGCGATGGTCAACACTCTTGTCGGATTGGAGCATGGTGTTCGAACCTTTGACTCTGCTGTCGGCGGTTTGGGTGGCTGCCCATACTCTCCTGGTGCCACCGGAAATGTCGCGACCGAAGACTTGGTGTATTCTCTTGAGAGCCTCGGAGTCAATACTGGTATTGACTTGTCTGAGATTAGCAAAATCGGGGACTGGATCACCGGTGAGATTGGCAAGCCCAATGAAAGTCGCGCAGGAAAAGCGACTCTTGCTAAATTGAGACGAGCTACAGAATGAAGAGATGCAAAGCCTGCTTGGGTCCTCCAACTGATCTGGGTCTGAGCAAACCAAAGACCTCGAGGCAGCAAACCTTCAATCAGCGAGACACAGATCGTTGTGGTCACCAGTGCCGCCGTAGATACACATAGTTGATAGTCATCGAGTTGCATCCTTGCCTTGTGTGTCGAACGAATCATCAAGCCTCAAGCATATTGATTTGTCCCAATGTGAAACATGTTCGTGCAGAACGCCCGGAATGCCGGGCCTGCATGAATCCGCATGCAGGCAGCATGCAGACACTGCAACGTGAGGTATGGGGACACCAAAAGCCGTCAGCAGGTCCATACATATGGTACTGCACGGAGTGACCAAACATGTGTCGCTTCCCGAAAAGACGAGCTAAGTACACAATAGTAAAGCAATCAGTCCAACAAGTTATTAATCATACATGCGAAGTCTTGCAATGGAAGTACCTTGGCGCTGTCAGGTTGCGATCGTTGAAGCTGATAATAAGATCATCGATGCATACAGGCCAAGCAAGCGCTGTGGAGCTCGACATCGAAACGTACACAGTACATACGCCATGTCAGGAACAAGCTTTTCTAACAACATCGCACAGTGGAGCCGTGATGACCCGTTTAGTATCGAGTACAACATCAGCTGAACGTGACCCGTGTCCTGTGTGCTGTATCGAGTGAGCTTGAATTGTCCCAGACATATGACCGCCGATCACACTGTGTGACGAGACCTTGGAGCTGCTCGGGAGGTGTCAGGCGGTGGAGAAATCTTGTCAAAGCCACACACACAAAAACAAGACAGGTACGCCATCGAGCCGCTGGCGAGTCGGATCCACACTGCTCAACCCAAAAGCTTCCTATGGCACGTGGCCCTGACCTAGCCGCTTTCTGCTCTGAGCAAAGGTTAACCACAGCGAAGACCCGCAAGACATTCGAATCCGTTCGCGGCTCGCCGTGGCGCACCTGATGGTTCGTAGATTTCGTTGCATCTGGTCCGGTACGCCTCTAATCAAACCCGTCTTTGATCTACCGCTACCTAAAGAAGCAGCGAGCCGACCGTTTTTCATCCACTTTACTCCTGTGTACGAGATGGTTAACTATAGTTGGCATGGTCTGTACACGTCCGTATGACTGGGCGGGGAGATATGCAGCGAACCGCCAGTTGAGACCAAGATAGCCGAAAGTATTATCGACAGGCTTGACGGATTGACGCATTAGTTTGATGCACGGCGGGCCGGGTTGCTTGCGCGGTGTGCATGCTGTATCGCGACTCGCGAGTGCGCTCCAACACAGCGATGATGTAGATCCGAAGGATTCGGGGTGGCTGGTACGGAGAAATCAAGAGATTATCGAGTGGTCGATGGGTGTAAAGGCGTTTTGGGCGCCAACATGGCGCTCCGCCCAGTTCAACAGACGTGCATGCATCGTCACTCATCTCTCCTGAGTCTGGTCTTTGTGGTTTCCCCACGACGCCAGTCCAACTCCCGTGAAAGCTTGAGCATTTTGCGACTGGCATGGATGGTATGAAAGTCAGATCACAACACATCCCACAACTGGTGCTTGCTGATGCCGAGAGTTGTCGAAGCAAGGGGATCTCCTGTGCTGGAGCGTGCCCGAAGACGATCGTAGTCAAACATGCAGAAGGCCAGCCCGGAGAAGCGTATGGTGGAATGCTCATGGGGAGTTTCCGGCAGAAGTCAACGGATGCCAACCAGATGCAGGTGGCTTCGATAAGTCGCTTCGTCCAATGCTTGGCCCGGACAGCCCCCATCATTTGCATCCTCCACACGCACGCAGGTGTTAGCGTCCCGCGACAGGGGCTGATCTATGGCTCCACCATGGCTCAATCAAAAACAGTTACTGTACGCCAAGGCACATGTAGGTGTGCGGCGCCCTTCAGGAAATCTGGGTTAGGGTTCTGTCAGAAGCGTCGTCCATCCGACTGCTGCCATTTCCCCTCTCGATTTTCTTCTCTTCCCTCTTCTCACTCGTCGCCTGTTCCGTCGCGTGTATCCCGCATACACCTTTCGAGACCCGACGGCTCCCACGCATCATTCCTTAGGTCCATCAAGGACTCATTTTCCATACCATCCCCCACCTTTGTTTCCGTCCGCTTGGCATACTGTCTGTCTGCGCGCGTCTCGCGTAACTGTAAGTAAGCTTGCCTTCTTCTCGCGCCAACACCCCAACACTACGCGCCTGGGTCTTGCCGGACAATTCATGTTAACAGAGCGCAGCGCTCTTTCCTAGTCCTTCATGATGGCTTCTCAGACATCTCCGACAGCGGCGATGCATCCTCATCATGTTGTCCAGCAGGGTCGAGGCCAACCCAATGGCCATGTTGCCCTGCAGCCGCCTCATCAACCAAAGCCAGCGTCGCATTTCCTCCAGCAGGCAAACGAGGGTATCTGGTTGCAGCTTGGTACGTCCTGCGTGTCCTGGATGCATGAATGCGTTCGCTAACACGTCGTAGGAAGTGTCTCGGAAATGATGGGCGAGTACGATAGCGCGACCCAGGCGTATGAACGCGCTCTTAGCTTCAACAACCACTCGGTTCAGGCTATGCTTGCTATCTCATGCATCCTTAGGTCCAAGGATCAATTCCCTGCTGCCGTCGAGTATCTTAAGCAGATTCTACGTATCGAGGTTGCGAACGGGGAGGTCTGGAGCGCTCTAGGTTCGTGACCGGATGCTGGTGACTCCTTGCACTCAAGCTGACTATCTTCAGGCCACTGCTATCTCATGATGGACGACCTCCAACAAGCATACTCGGCATACCAGCAAGCTCTGTACCACTTGCCTGATCCCAAGGTTTGTCCGCTCCTCATTACTCAACGTCGTCGCTCTCACCAGTATTAAATACCCGGCAGGAACCCAAGCTCTGGTATGGTATCGGTATCCTCTACGATCGCTACGGCTCGCTCGAGCACGCCGAAGAAGCCTTTTCCCAAGTCATGCGCATGGACCCGCGTTTCGAGAAAGCCAACGAGATCTACTTCCGCCTCGGTATAATATACAAGCAACAACAAAAGTTCCAGCAAAGTTTGGAGGTATAATGACGCTTTGCCCGCCGTAGTTGGCGATTGACTGACCGTGTTCCAGTGCTTCAAATACATTGTCACCGACCCTCCCCGTCCGCTTAGCGAAGAGGACATCTGGTTCCAGATCGGCCATGTGTACGAGCAGCAAAAAGAGGTAAAGCCAGCTATCAACAAATCCTATCACATCATCACTGACTCGATACTCAGTATGACTCGGCCAAGAGCGCCTACATGCGCGTGCTTGACCGCGATCCCAACCACGCCAAGGTCCTGCAACAGCTCGGATGGCTGCACCACCAGCAAAGCACCAGCTTCAGCAGCCAAGAGCAGGCAATTGAATACCTCGAAAAGTCGGTCAACTCGGACCAGACTGATGCACAAAGCTGGTACCTCCTCGGCCGCTGCTACATGTCTCAGCAGAAGTATCCCAAGGCATATGAAGCCTATCAGCAAGCCGTCTACCGGGATGGTCGCAATCCTACATTCTGGTGCTCCATCGGTGTCTTGTACTATCAAATCAACCAATACCGCGATGCACTAGATGCTTACTCAAGAGCCATCCGCCTCAACCCCAACATCTCAGAGGTGTGGTACGATCTCGGTACCCTGTATGAGTCTTGCAACAACCAGACCAACGACGCTCTCGATGCCTACTCCAGAGCTGCCGAGCTTGACCCGACCAACGTGCACATCAAAGCTCGTCTCGCGCTGCTCAAGGGTCAGCCTACCAACGGTCTGCCCAACCAAGCAGGCGCACCCCTCCCTCAGGATGTGCCTCCTCAGGCATACCAGCCCGGTGCTCTGGGTGCTGGACCGCCTGCTCCTCAGTGGGGGGCTCCTCTCCCGGGCCAAGCTCAAGCTGCTCAGCAACCTCCCCCAGGCGCCAACTGGTCGCGTGACAACCGTCTCGCCGACCTCCAAAATCCCCAGAACCCTGGTGCTCAGCCTCAGCAGATGTTGAACCCGTACGATTCGAGGGACCGCCTTGCTCAGCACGTGCCTCCTCGCCAGCCTACCCCTCCCAAGCAAGAGCCCAGACAATACCAGGACCAACCTCAACGTCCACCTCCACCGGCTCACAGAGGCCTCTCGCCCTCCCCTAAGGTGCTTTACAACGCCCCGGGACCTGGCGCCTACCCTTCAGCACCCCAAGCTCAGACTCCTTCTCAGCTTCCTCAGCCTCTCCCTCAGCAGCAGGGACCTGCTCCCCCAAACCGTATCGCCAACCCCAACTACGGTCCCCAATCGTCTAGTGTACCTCCACCAGCGGCGAGCATGGGTGCTCCTCCACCTGCTCAAGGTCAGGCTCCTGGTTACCCCAACAGGATGGCTAGCCCTCCTGAGATCCGTCCTATCATTGAGAGTCAAAACACCTCTCCCAACGGTAAGTTCGGTCGTCAGCCGTTCGAGCACCATCCTACATCCGGTACGCCTAGCATTGCTGGAGGTGCCCCTCCGCCTAGCGCAGCTCTACAGGCTGCTGAAGCGGCCGCCAGAGAGCGCGAAGACCGTCCTTCGACTGCTCCTCCAAAGAGACATAGAGAGTGGGAAGACGACGCTTCTAGCATGAGCTCCCAGAAGAAGCCCGCCAACGAAGAGAGCCGCTCGCGTCTGGATGACCCTAGCAGTAGACGTGCATCACCACCAGATCGCATGGACCGTATCCCGAAGTCGCCCTACAGGAGTCCATCAGAGGTGCGACGCGCAGATGACCAGCGACGCGCTACTGAAAACTACCACCCTTCAGAAGCTGCTCACCACCCACCGGCTCTCGGCCCACCTCAGGTTAATCCTCAACCATCACCTCGCATCCCTACAACAGAGGAGCGTAGGGAACAGCCTACACCAGCACCCCCGACTCAACAGCTCCCTCCTCCTCAGCCTCAACCCCAACCTCCCACCCAGGCCCCGACACCTGTTCAGTCTCAGGCCCCGCCGCAGCCTCAACCTCAACAACCACACTTGGAGCCCGCGGCTCGCAAGATGGACATGGATGAGGATTACGATGACAGTGGTGACGAGGAGAAGAGACCGATCAAGGCCCAAAGCGCAAGGAACAGCCCGAAGCCTAGCAACGGTGCTGGTCACGATTGATGAGATACGTGCGACAGCGGGTCGTCTGTTGGCACTGTAAAGACATTGGACTTCAAAGGTTTAAACTTCTATGTAAAAAGTATTCTTCAATATTCATATGTTCAAATTCATTTGTTGATGCGTTGATTTGTGTGTTTACTACACTTGCATGAACGATCTCGACGGAGTTTTAGCAAAGCATTTCGGAATCAAGAGTCTGATGGCTTCGCAGTCTTCTTGGTGACTCAATTGCGGAGTCCAAACTCCACTTGCCAACTCAACTTCAACTTTCTCCTTTCCGACCGACCATCTTTAGCACTTTCCAGTAATGCCATGCAACGTTTGCACATCGATCCGCTTGACAAGAGACAATGGAGGTTGCGATGTCTGTCGATTCGCCCAAAGTCTCGTTATCATACGGCGCATGCTGCGAGTCTGCGACCAGATTCGACGATTCTGTCAACAACGCATGCCTGCATGGTCGATGGCGACATCCATAAATGCTGCCTAGGTATGCTATGAGAGGAGAAAAAGAAAATGATGATCCTTACAGGATCAAGGCAGCTGAATAAGGTCGACCAATGGCGATTCATGAATTGCGGATGCCTGGTCGTATCACAGGCCCCTGGAATCGGCGTTATCTCAAACGACCTCCGGCGGATACAGCCCGGCGCGGCATCTGCCCAAGAAGGTAGGTGGATAAATACTACACTAAGAGTCTACATCTCTCTGGGTCTATCTCTTTGCAATTCGCACCTATCCGAGTGCTTTGCTAACAGTATCGTTGCCATTGCTCCGTGCGCACACTATGGCGACTGGATCCTTGAAAGAAAACATTGACGTGGTAGAAGTCGAACAGCCATGTCAAGAACCCAGCAAACTCCCAGATGTCTACGAAACGGAAACTACGCCTCTACTGGGACGAGATGCTGAATCCCATGATGGGGCGGTCAAAAAGGACGGCTCAGGCCGAATGAGCTCTCGGACCATCTTGATCATCATGGGAATATTGATATTGGTCGTCCAGGCCGGCGACCAATTCGCGGAAGCACCATTGACCAGAATCTACGAGTCAATCTACTGCTACCAATACTGGGAGCAAGAAGATCCAACTAAGATTCTGATGTCTCGATCAGCTGTGGGACCGGGTGCACTTGGTGGTGTTGAAGAACGGTGGTGTAAGGTAGCTGAAGTGCAAGGCAAGCTTGCCATGCTGAAGGGCACTCAACAGTTTCTAGATTGCATACCTAGTATGTGAGCTCATTAGCGCTACGATGTACCCACTACTGACTAGATCCAGGTCTTCTCCTATCTATACCAGTCGGTATTCTAGCGGACCGCTGGGGTCGGAAGCCAATATTGGTGGCCGGTCTTTGCGCTTTCCCCCTTAGACTAGGATGGCAGATGATTATTTGTAGGTTATTCGAACAGCAACCGATAGTTCTTCCTCGTACGCTTTGCTAATTCTGATTCAGCTTGGTTCTGGCAGAGCTTCAGTTTACGGGTCACATGGTTCTCAGCATTACATGCTCTAATATTTGGAGGCTCGCCAGTTCTGTCAGCTCTGTTTTTTGTCATCATCTCAGACATCACCGATCAGGAAACAAGATCTGCCATCCTCTTGCGTATCTTCGCCGCGAATATGAGCGGTAATCTTCTGTGTCCGCCTATCTCGGCTTGGATCATGACACGCAATCCCTGGGGAGCGCTTTTCCTAGGGCTAGCATGCAATTGCATAGGAGTTCCTCTGTCGCTCTTGATTCCGGAGACCCTTGGATACCAACAACATATGAAAGCTGAGCATAAACATAGTGACGAGGAAGAGGCACCATCCTTGTCGAAGAAACAAGCCATGGGCTTCCTGGACCAATGCTACAAGCCTCTGAGCGAGTCTATGGGATATTTCTCGCAAGACGGACGAGTCGTCATCTTGATCCTCCTTTTTGTACCAATCATGTTATCATGGAGCACCATTCCGCTGTTGTTGCAGTACGCCAGCTCACGATACGGCTTGAGCTTCGCTACCGTAACTATCCTGCTGACCGTCAGAGTTGGAGTCACCATTGCCATGTTCCTGAGCGTTCAATCGTTCGTCTTCCGTCTCCTCGCAAATGCCGGTCTGAGTGGACAGAAACGGGACCTCTTCCTTGCCCGGAGCAGTGTTAGTCTGCTCATCGTTGGCTGGATCGCCATTGGCTTGTCTCCCACCCCCATTTTCTTCACTGCATCCTTGATGATTGCAAGCTTAGGACAAGGTTTTCCGGTATATCTTCGCTCCTTTTTGACAGGTCTGGTCGAGCCCAACAAGGTTGCAGAGCTTTACACTATCATCGGTGTTGTTGACACATTGGGCCTGATGGTTGGTGGACCTCTGCTCGCTTGGCTGTTTGAGAGAGGTATGCAGATTGGAGGAGCCTTCGTGGGGATGCCGTTCGTTGCATTGGCCTTGGTCTACGCTGTTGTGGTGGCATTCCTGCTGAGAATTGGTTACCACCCGCGTGAGACCGTGGTCGAAGAAGGTTCCGACTGATTCGTATACGATGGACGACGACTTTTCATGCTCCCACTTACCGCAATTTGTTGTGCAGCCTACACCCTCCTACCCGGTTGCTTACGGTCTTCAAATCCTCACTCTCTTCATGAGTGACGCCTTCACTGTCCAAAGACACAACGGTGTGCGACCCAAAGATATATTCAATGAGAGTACACACCATATTGCATCTCGATGGACACTATCCAGTCTCTCAAAGCCATTGTGCCTCTTTATAGTGATCTACGTGACATGGCTTTGTACACAGAGAGGACAACTGATCACAATTCTGTTACACACCTCGTGCAGGTTGACTCTGCCTTTGCCTTGTTCGACAGACCAGCGTGCAGAATTCTGGCATCTATTTGCAATGCACGGATTGTTGCCATGATCCAGTATGCATTGGCGGGAGTGGCCTCGCCGATGATGAGCTTCTGGTGTTGCTTGTACTTCTCTGGGTCGAGGGTATCGATGATTCGAGCTGCCAGGATTTCTCGGCAGATTGAAGACATAGTGGGCGATCCTTTGGCAAGGAATTGTGCGACCTCTAAAGCAGTGCGAGGCTTCACCTCACCTGCTCCCCGAGTCATCTCGACGAGAAATTCGGCCTCCTTCCCGGCCTCTCGCCATTTCTGGAGAGTGGCAACATGAGTGTTGCCATTGGATGACTCCATGGTGGCATCAAGGCGGGCCATCTTGGTGCTGAAGTTAGCCAAGGCGAGGCTACGAAGGGGACCCATGGGTAGAGCAAAGGGAGCAGGCTTGGTGACAGGCGCAGACTGTCTCGGATGCGGAGGGTCGGTCTTTCGCCTCCAAAGGATCTATCCCCTCTCTCACGGGCAACAAGTTGTGAATAAGCATATTATCAGAATGCACAGGAGTCTAAGAAACGCCAGTATTTCCAAAGAAATGCCTAGAGATGAACTCTCTCTTTGGATACTGTTCGATCTTATAATCCCCCTTGCATTGATATAGCTTCCTAACAAGCGTCCTCAGCTTGCGAGTTATGCTGACAACCCTGCACCGAAGTGATGCTTATCTACCAGGTAATCGACAACCCAACGCTTACGCCGGCGAGACGAGTCGACCTACAGGCATGAGCATTCGAGCAGGCGAACATCTGAGCAAGTCTTACTGACGTAAAGATTCAAGCAAGTCGATCTACCAGGTAATCGACAACCCAAAGGCTCCAACGCGCGTATCTCTCGGCTCTCGGAGCTCGGCTTGCTGCCATCCTACGGCAAACTCGAGTTTGTCCAAAAAACTGTGCCTACAAACCACACCAACGTCTTGTGCGAGGGATCCCGAGCTGGCTTACCGGAGCTGGACCTGGAAGAGCAGAAGGCTGAGTCCAACACACGCCGAGGAGAAGGCAGGCGAGAGTCTTACGTCTGCGCTAATTGCGGGTGCGGCGAGTCATCAGAATGGTTCCTGGCACGACAGACCGAAGACGTCGGATTCAGATACCGTTGCAGTGCACACTACCATTCGTACAACCCCGCCACCAGGACACTGCGAGAATCGCGAATGCCATAACGACGGAAATTCGCTATAGCGTTTGACTTTCGTTCATCAATTCTATTCCTGCAACGCCTGCTGAGGCTACGCATGAGACAATGACAACGAACTCCGAGTACCACAGCGTCGTAAGCGTACAAGCGCAAAAGCAGGACAGGCTCGTGCCAATGATGAGTGTCAAGACACAACAGCAGGCAGATGGGTGTAGGCAGAATCTTAAAGTGCACATGTGTGCAACCCCTGCTCAAGGTTCTACAAGAAACATGGACGTTGGCCTGACAGGATTAAGGATCCAGCGACGTGTGCAAGGTATTCGCCAGGGCATTGGACCACACAAACTTGTTCGTGTGCAGAATACTCTTGCAGTATGACCAGGAGGAATCAGCTCTTCGTGCCGCTGGGACCCATAGACTCAAGAATGAAATGAAGAGGGCGTGCATACACACCACTGGAAGGTTTGCCCAAGAGACGTTGAAGGCTCAAGGGACAGGTTCTGTATACGGACTTCAGTTTGAGCTTCTCTCAAGAGCGAATTGTGAAGGTATGCGCTATCAAGATGCACAGTGATGTTGCAGACACAAGTGCGGCCGCTGAGATACCGCGAGATGTTGGCTCTCCTTGGTCACGACTCGCACTCAGAAAGTATCGTGCATTTCTAAAATTACACCAACCATGCTTGCCTTTCGGACACATGAGTTTCAACGTCTCCATGAGAAAGTGAAGCTTTACTGTCGATTGGCTAGTGGTCATCACACTTATTCTGAAATCTCTTGTACGATCATACATAAGTCGAATGATGAGCGTCGAAGTTCATCATGTTACTTGTGAGACCCTGGCCTCCGTCAACTTCACTCCTTATCACTTTATCTGCCTCGCGCTAAATGCACAAGACACACAGACATGCCACTGTAAGGTATCCTGATAGCTGGATAATAATTGTGGTCGACGATATCCATGATAGCGTGCACTAAAGCTGTGTGTCGGAGTGAACATAAAGTCCTCCAATCCGTCTACAATGACCCGCATTATTTGCCCCTGAACATTATCATTTATGACTCGAGAAGTCGGTGAATTTAATGAACGAGAGCAAGGAAGGAAGGACAGTCCTATTACTGACTACAGAGCTACACAGAAGTTTCCCCTCATTTCATCGCTTCAGTAAGCACCTTAGGAGCAGGATAATGTTTCAATCCATACACAAGCCACCAAACAGCAACGATAATCAGTACACCCACCAGAATAACCGAATTGTAATTCATCAGGTCTGCCGAAACCGGCATTGCGTAAGGGAAGCAGAACATGATGTTGAAAAACACAATCAAAACGCAGCCAAGAGCATTGACCACATAGCCATACTTGCCCATCCAGAAGTCACCTCTGGGGGTGTGTTTGCGGCCGCTGATCAGGTGGGGGAAGATGGCGAGGAAATAGCTGAATGCACATAGAACGATGAAGGAGCCGACCAGATCGTTGAAAGCTGTGCCGGAAGCTAGGATGATGGCGCCGAGACCTGTGACGAGTATGCCGACCAGGATGGTGGCGGGTATAGGGCAGGAGAGTTGCTCGTTGACAGAAGAGAAGAAGCCTCCAAAAGGTGTAGCTTGATCACGGGCAAGGGCCCACCAGGTGCGACCGAGGGAAAGTACGGTCGAGATCGCGCAGATCATGATGATCAGAAAGACGATAAGCAGCAAACAGAAAGCACCACCGGCGTTTCCGGTTGCTTGGTGATAGATAACAGCAACAGGGAAGGAGCCAGAGGTATTGATGACTTCGTCCAGGTCGCTGACAGCGTAGAAGAGCGCTATAGCATAGAAGAATGCAGTAATGGCTCCAAGAGAAACCTGGGCAAAGATTGCTCGAGGGATATCGCGACGAGGATTCGGAAGCTCCTCTGCCATATGGGACACACTGTCGACTGTAGCGATCGTGAATGAGCCATTCAAGACACCGGTCAAGAAGGCTACGCCACCACCCCAACCAGTGGTGTTCTGCCAGTCGGACCAGACAAAGGAGCTGCTAGCATGTGTTCTCGGCATAGCAGCAAGGACAATAATCGTGACAACACCACCGACGATGAGCAAGAATAGTCCGACGTTTTGTAGAAGCGGCAGGAAACGATTGCCAAAGATGCAGAACAGGACACAGAACCATGTGATGAGGACGTAGGTTAAATATGTGTGCCATGCCTCGAGCACGAAGTCGGGGTGGAACAGTGCATACATTTGCAGGAGGACGTTCGAAGGGATGGCGATGATTGAGCAGAGATCGAATATCCACCCGAAGAAGTTGAGGTATCTGTCATACAGTCAGCATCGTTCTCCGTATTGAATCCAAAGAGATGATTACCCTGCGAAGAACCCAACACTTCTGCCCCATTTGGGACCTGCAGTCACAGATGCCCAGTGATATACACCACCGGCAGTGGGTACGGCCGAAGCAAGCTAGCGATGAATCAGCGGACGCCCTGAACATATAGTCGTATGCGATGTCTTCCATACCTCAGCGATGGATGCTGCAATGATACCGTAGTAGATGCATGCAGTGATCAACTCGTACAACACACCAGCAGGGCCACCGTTAGGAAGAGAGAGGATCAAAGAGCCAGCAAAGGCAACCCAGGCAGAGTCGATATTCAAAGCCAGGCCACAGATTTGCAATGGACCGTAGTGCCGTTGTAGTTGATCTCGATGGCCAGAAGCATTGACTGTGTGTATGATCTCGCCAACTCCGTTCTCGAGGGATTGTCTACGATCTGTAGACCCCAGTTGCTGTTTCTCGTCATAGTCAATGGGCTTGAAATCTGGGGCAGACATGTTTGGTCGATGCTTTCAATGCATTGACTTTTGCTTCGATGGGTACAAAGAATCCTTGGAGGCTGGAAGGACCGTGTTAAAGAACAAAAATTAGCAAGACCTGTTGGAGCAACCTTTACGCCAATCTCTGCGTATGGATAATAGGCGTGTGTAAATGTAAGATACTTTTTTTTCATAGCCCTATTTGAAGGCGCTGATAGGTGCCGCGCAGACCAGGATCCGATTCGTCGAATCATCATGCAGGTGCTATCGCAGAATCTCATATCTCGACTCTCAGCTGGATCCAACTGGTGGGATGGCTGTGGGACTTGTGTCACTTGGCACAACCACAAATCCTCGCCTGGATATCCAGAATCGGGTAGCAAACTCTTGCAGAGTCAAGATTGATTTTTGAGTTTCTTCTTGCATGGTTCCTTCCTTTGGCAGGTGAGCACGCCTTGAGCCAGGCGATACAGCTTTGTGGTAGATCGAGTGGTCACCGTTCTATCTACTAGAGCCATCGATCCATCAGCTCACTTTGTACTCACCTCTCGGTTAGAGAGCACTGCAAATCTTCATGACTGCAGTCGCCACTGCTATGCGAATGCAAGATGAGCGAGGATATGGAAAACACAGGCCTCGGGACGCCGGTTTTAGTGATCAGACTCGTCACAAATATTTTACCAGGCTGTCTGACTCTCGAATCCTCATGGACCCCTCTGATCGTGCTGATCGCTAGATTGACGCCTCACGCTTCATATTCGAGACCTTATGTGTGCATGCCTGAAGATTACTTGCTCGGGTGGCATGAAGTAGGAGCAATCAAGAGTTGGTCTGTGCGGGTCCACTGACCCACCCTTCTGTGCCTCCTAGCAGGACAGCATCTCCAGCAGCCGAAAATGCTATGTGATGGATTCATGATTTTGACGTTCTCATACCTTGTGAAAGTACTGCAAGTCATAGACTCACATAGTAGTCATGACTCCTCAGCATACAGCGTGGTTGTTCTTAGATGGCTACAGAACGGAGGTGCGAACAGTGGGGACGTCAACACTTAGCCTTATCTTTCGACGACCACTGCACCTACGCTTTGCACGATTTCGAAGCGACAACCTTCAACATCCTCGACCCAGAGATCATGATGCGATGGCGTATACAGCTAGCCCGTATCTATGTACATCTATAGCACGTACATGCCGGAAGGAGCAATAAGCCGTCTGACACAGCGTTGTAGTCATCTCTGCTTACCGACAGCCTTTAGTCAACACCCCCAATCTACCCCAGCGGAGCCTATTGATAAGAAAGACCCTGGACTGGGTTTAACTCCATGGCGACATGTGGCTGTCGAAAAAGAACTCCACTTGACCGGACACTAATGCCGTCTGCCGATACCGAATAATTGTTCCGTATCGCTTGATCACCAGTCTCCTTCTGGATATTCAGCCCGCCCTCAGCCCGGGATCTCGCCCAGCAGTATGACTAAACCTTCTTTCTCATGGCCGGCACCCAGCACTATTCAACGAGCGCTTACAACATCAGGTTACCTATCTTCTAGTAGGCGTGAATCGCTGATCGTTGCTTCCGGCATGTACTTCATGTCTTGGACAGCCATCATCAGGTGCGACCAGTATCTCTTGTCCTGATCCTGTCCGAACTTCGAAACCATGGACAGTCGACAAGATGGCACCGAGAGCGCCAGCTCATGGTTGCCCAACAGCCTCCGCAAATCGACCGATTCGAAAGACCAAGAACCTGACGAGACAACTTCTCTTCTCCCAAAGCCTCAAGATGAGCCAACGATTGGAGAAGTCGATGACTTCGATTTCGAAGGCAAGAGCAGAACCCAACTTGTCATTCATGAGTTTTGGGTTCTGCTGAATGGTTCAATCCCTGTCTTCCTCGCATACATGCTGCAGAACTCTCTACAGACTATTTCGGTCCTCGTCGTTGGACGATTGAGCCCTGAAGCTCTGGCAGCTGCTGCTTTCTCCTATATGTTTGCCATGGCGTCAGGTTGGCTCATTGCACTGGGAGGTACAACAGCCATCGACACCCTTGCGTCTGCGAGTTTCACTGGAAGCAAAGACAAGCATGATCTGGGCATCATTCTCCAGAGAGCATTGTTCGTCCTTGGTCTGTTGTACATTCCAGTCGCCATTCTCTGGTTGTGCTCAAAACCTGTCTTCATGGCCCTTGGCCAAGACGAGCGCCTGTCTGAAGACAGCAGCAGGTTCCTTAGTGTACTTGCACTTGGTGGACTCGGATATATCTATTTCGAGTGTCTGAAAAAGTTTTTGCAAGCTCAAGGTATGCAAATTATAAGAACCGTGAAGTAAGCCCAAGTACTAACGACTCGATTCCAGGCATAATGAGACCAGGCACGTATGTGCTTCTCATCACCTCGCCGGTAAACGCAGGCCTGAACTACCTCTTTGTGTATACTTGCAAGATGGGTCTCCTTGGAGCACCTCTAGCCACAAGCATATCATACTGGTTGTCTTTCTTGCTTCTGCTGGCCTATGCACGCTTCGTTGCGGGCTGGGATTGCTGGGGTGGATGGTCGAAAAAAGCATTCCAGAACATGGGCACGTTCACAAAACTTGCACTTCTCGGAGTCGTCCACGTAGGAACCGAGTGGTGGGCTTTCGAGATTGTGGCTCTCGCTGCAGGCAAGCTTGGAACAATTCCCCTGGCTGCACAATCCGTCATCATGACCACCGATCAAGTTCTCAACACTATCCCATTCGGCGTTGGAGTTGCGACATCAGCGCGTGTAGGCAACTTGCTGGGAGGCAGAGACGCCAAAGGTGCAGCCCGATCTGCCAACGTTGCTGCCTGGCTGTCAATGATCCTCGGAGCACTCGTCCTTGCCCTTTTGATGTCGGTCAAGAACTTCTACGCAAAGATCTTCAATGACGATCAGGATGTTATCAATATGACTGCAGAAGTCATGCCTTGGGTCGCTCTGTTCCAGATCGCTGATGGACTGAACGGCTCTTGCGGTGGATCACTTCGTGGTATGGGACGACAGCATGTAGGTGCTCTCGTCAACATGATCAGTTACTACGCTGGCGCTCTGCCTCTGGGAATCTGGCTTGCTTTCCATGGCTGGGGTCTGGCTGGTCTGTGGATTGGCCAATGTATCGCGCTATACCTCGTCGGTTTCGGCGAGTGGGCGATCGTTGCTTGGAGTGATTGGAACCATCAAGTTCGCAAGGCCTTTGAGAGAATGGAGCATGAAGAACAAGTGGAGTCTGGTTTGGCCGACAATGTCGATGGCTATCAAGGAGAGGAGAGCCGATAACCCAAAGAGACAAGTCGAAGGTAGAGCTGTAGGCTTGAAACTTTACAAGCGATGGTAGTGCCACAGATAGTCTAGTCGAAAAAGCAATAATATGCAGAATCCGTCCACTCGTCAGGCAAGCCATACCAAAGATCATCAGGTTGAATGGTGAACCAGCGATCGTCAATCCAGAAGCGAGCTCATGGTACCTGATCAGGAAGCTCCCATCGCCATACAGGAACACCAAGCCATTGGCCTGACTCGATGGCCGGTATCAGCAACCAATCGGGTACCATTTCTGCGATTACCAAGAGGGTTACCAATCCAGTTCCACACATGAGCGATAGAGTTGTCGACGTCAGTGTTATAAATCTCGATTTATCAACCCCAGGATTGCGGGGTCTGGTAGGGTTGGAGCCTGAGATTGTAGCCCGAGATATCTATGCCGCCGCACTCTAAGGCCGGTGTGTCAACATGTGGGGTAGATATAGTAGATATCGTGATCGGTGCCTCGACTCAGATGTGACGCGAGCATCTCGGAGAAAATAGTCGGCTTGCACGAAACATGTCATCGGTTGACAAGGTTTCGTTCTGAGCTCCCTCGTGTAGCTTAGCCTGTGTTGACAATCTTGACACCTCGAGGTTAGGTAAACATGCAAGAGCTCGTGGTTGCGTAGTCCCTTTTGTGCCCTTTGAGGACCCCAGGCGTAGGTATTAGTTGTGAGCCCGCTCCTGCTTTGTTGTTTCTTGTTCACACCATCTTTCTCGTTCTTGTCAATTCCATCCTCAATTGCTCTTTTGAGACATACTCGCCAGTATGTTCAAGCTTCTTACCGCTGCCACTGTCCTGGCAGCTAGTGTTTCTGCACACGGCGACCATAACCAGGAAACCTTCAAGGAAGGCCCCCACAAGCAACTGTGGTACAATGCCCTCCCTGGCGATGGCGGTACCCAAGCCGATTCAGTCTTCTCTGGCATCTCCACCTTTGGTCGTATCGAGTACCATCCTTGTTTGGCCAGCGATGCTCGCAAGTATGACATTGCCTTCATTGGCGCGCCCTTCGACACTGGAACCAGCTACCGCCCTGGTGCCAGATTTGGCCCTAGTGGTATTCGTCAAGGCTCAAGACGTCTGAACCTCTATGGAGGTTTCAATGTCCCTCTTCAGGTTCGTGACAGCAGCAGTAACACCCATCAAGCAACACAGTACTGACTCAACTCAAGACCAACCCTTTCAGCGGATGGGCCACCGTCATCGATTGCGGCGACATTCCCGTGACGAGCTATGACAACGAGTGGGCCTTGAAGCAGATCGAAGAAGGCCACAACAGTATCCTCATGCGCGAGCCTGCTGCCAACGCACACATGGTTGGACCTTCGAAGCACGGAAAGACATTGCCTCGTGTCATTACCATGGGAGGTGACCACACTATTACTCTGCCTCTTCTGCGCTCGATGAATAAGGCATATGGACCCATTACGGTCATCCATTTCGACTCCCATCTCGACACATGGAGGCCCAAGGTCTTCGGAGGAGCACCCTCAAAAGTTGCATCTGTCAACCACGGAACGTACTTTTACCATGCGGCCCAAGGAATGTAGTATGCCTATCTTAAACAGAGAACTTTGCTGACTGTTTTCAGAGGGTCTGATGCGCAACGATACAAACATCCATGCAGGTATCCGCACGACCCTGTCTGGCATGTCCGACTACGACAATGACGGTTACTGCGGTTTCGAGATCGTCGAGGCCCGTGAGATCGACACTATCGGCACCGATGGTATCATCAAGAAGATCCACGACCGTGTTGGTCACAAGAACCCCGTGTACCTCTCGATCGACATTGACACGCTTGACCCTGCTTTTGCACCTGCAACTGGTACACCCGAGACTGGTGGCTGGAGCACTCGTGAGCTTCGCACCATCATTCGTGGTCTGGAAGGCATAAACTTGGTAGCGGCAGATATCGTCGAGGTTGCGCCTGCCTACGATACCAACGCCGAGCTCACCACCATGGCCGCTGCTGACGCCCTGTACGAAGTGATGGTATGTAAAGCAAAGCTTGACTCTTTTGGAACTGTTGCTGACTATGTGCTTGTAGTCGCTCATGGTCAAGGCCGGACCCCTCTCCGAGATGGTGATTGACAGCAAGAAGGAGTTGAAGTAAGAGGATGACCGGATGATTGGAAGAGTTGGATTGTCCTAGACAGTCGAATGTTTTGGAGTGCGCGGCTGGTAGTTGGACCAGTTGGCCATGATCTTGGATAATGTCGACTAGTCGACCATGAACAATCCCATGCTTTATCGTGTCGGAGTGCGCATCGCAGAATACTAGATGGCGTGTCCAAGCCCTTGGTGCGGGATACATCATTCTCTAAGTCGAGAATCTTTGTCGTGAATCTTTGTCGTGAATCTTTGTCGACAGGTGGCTCAAGTGTTGGCAGTATCGGCTTCAGGTGCAAATCTCATCCTGAGCAGCTGGACAAACTCAGCAAGAGCCTGATTATCGCCGTCGACGTTTCTCATGTTCCGAAAAGACTCTGTGGCCTCCTTGTCGCCTTTTGCTTGAGACCAGTGTGACTGCTGATGGAAACCTCCTCTTCCTCTGCCCCTACCTCTACCTCTGAAGGAAGAGAATGAACGTTGCTCTTGCGGCGGAGGCTCTAGAGTCAGACCGTAGACGCTTTGCAGTTGTATGCGCAGATTTGGATATCTAGAGAGGAGTCGTAAAAGCTCTGGATCTGACTCAAAGCCGGTGAAGTCGATCTTCTTGGTGCTTCCTGGCAGCGCATTCCTCACGGCAGGCAAGGGCGTTGGATCAGAAGGTAGAGTTTGCGTAGGCTGGACTGTCTGAGTGGGTTGTTCTTTGGGTGGGTCGTTTGCGTGAGTCTCCTTGTGCTGTTTGAAGCAAGCGATGGAGCAGCTGCGGGCAGTCAGAAATGCGACTTCTTCTTCCGACCATCAGCTACTTACTATGGCAGCTGACAAGTTGGACACTTGTACTTGGACTGGTTCTGTTCACACACACCACAGACACCTACCATTTTGAAACCGTTGTGTCTGTCTAGATGAGAGATGGATGGACAAAAGATAATTTGATGATGAGTAAGCTTTGCGGGCAGTCGCTTCACCTCCGAGATGATCATCAATGATCATCAAGCGCATCAGGCCCGTCTACATTTTCCATAGCAACCCACCATGCAATCAATATCGCTGCTCGGTCGCAGCCTTGCGCGCGCAGGCCTAAGGACACGGCAACCATGGACTAGCACACAGTGCGCCCGCCCTCTACCGCACACTTTCTTCCGAAGGACTATCCACACCAGCCCGCAGCTCAAGCAGCAGAGCCACATGCCCACCCAGGAACAGCTGCGCGCCCAATTCAAGAGCAAGAACCGCAACACTCTCTACTACACTCTGTCCATCATCCTCGGCACTGTCGCCCTGTCCTATGGCTCTGTTCCTTTCTACAAGATGATCTGCCAGCAGATGGGCTGGGGTGGCCAACCCATCAGCATCCATTCTGCTGGCCAGTACGAAGACGACGACATTGCCTCACGCCTCATCCCCGTCACCGATTCTCGCCGCTTGCGTATCACCTTTGCTGGCTCCACATCTGACGTCCTGCCTTGGAAGTTCACTCCCCAGCAGAGAGAGGTCCGCGTTTTGCCTGGCGAGACTGCTTTGGCCTTCTATACCGCTACAAACTTGAGCAAAGACGAGGACATCATTGGTGTGGCCACATACTCGGTCACTCCAGGTCAGGTCGCCCCGTACTTTTCAAAGATCCAGTGTTTCTGTTTCGAGGAGCAGAGGTTGAACAAGGGCGAGACCGTCGACATGCCCGTCTTCTTTTACATCGATCCAGAGTTTTTGAGAGATCCGAACATGTCAAAGATTGACACCATCACCCTCAACTACACCTTCTTCAAAGCAAAGTACGACAAAGACGGTCACTTGTCCCCCGTCGCTTGAACATCAAAACCACGAACCCTTATCTTGTATATATACCGCTTCTTTGTAAAATACCCCAGTCTTGCTCTTCTCGTTGATACTGCCACCTGAACCTTTTGCACTCGATCTGCTGAGCTATGTTTCAAGGTGTTTTTCTGCATTACATCTATTTAGAACTGCTTTTTTTGCACTTCGTAGATCGGGCCAAAAGCATAAACCCTTCTTAACCAGGTCAAAACACAAGCAGACGGACGAACAAGAATCAAGAAACAAACTGCCCTTCTCTTAAAAAACATTCGAATGCATCAATAGCGAGCCCCACATCTCAGTCGTCCAGCTCTTTGTACGCCCGAATGCCTCTTTGCTCCATTCATGGTTGGACCGGGGCTCTGTGTATACAAAAATCTCAATCGTGTGTTGCTTTCCGTTTCGTGAACCACTTCAATAAAAAGAAAGAAAAAAGACATGGTAAATCTTCCATGCACGCTGTAACTCTTGTCGGAAGATCAAAATATTGGTTGCCCGTTCGGAAAATGTCATAAGCCTCCTCTTCTACTCCTCCAAAACGCCTGTGAAAATGCTTTGCAATGAATCTTCATTGCCGTTAGTTCGGGCCCTTGTATGCACTGCTCTTGCACGAGTCGACAAATTGGTTCTGCGGCCAGGCATATCCTGCATCCTCCCAACTTGTAATGTTGGGGTTCTCGTATGCGTTCGAGTGTTTCTTGATGTACTCGGTGGTGGGGTAGCCAACAGGATCGCAAGTCATCTCACCGTCCTCGTCCTGGTAGATGCGAATGTAGTCGAATCTCATCTTGCCGGGCATGAGCTCGGCGAGACCGGTCCAGTTCAACTGTGCGAAACTGGCCGAGAGACCAAAGTTGGCAATGAGCGCCATGGGTTCCTCGGGCATGACCCTTTGTCCGATGTTTCCATTGGGTCCGACGGCGTCGGCAGTCATCTTCCACGTAGGCTCCGAACCAACGTACCAGGCAACGTAGCCGTCATCACCAGTCTCGTACTCAAAGGCATACACCTGGTAGGCCTTACCATCGTACCAGTCGTTGTTGAGAAGCGTCACGGTTGAAAGAGCCTGTTGGTAGACACCGCCTTGGTAGGAGTTCATCTCGGAGATGGAAGGATCGTAGACCTCGATAAAGTCGGTGTCGGGGCGCCAGAAGATGTCGAAAGGAGCAGTTTGGTAACTTTGCGAAGCTGATCCGACGGCGGCGCCGAACTTGTCAGGATCGAGGTACGACACACTGGCTTCGATGGCATCGATCTCGGCAACGTAGCGTGACTTTCCAGGACTAGGGTGTTCTTCACCATCACAAGTACAAGCAGGCAGACGCATTCCGGGAAGCCAGTTGAAGCCATCAGGAGAAGACTGGTTGGCAGTGATACCGGGGTCGCAGACGTCCGAGTAACTGTAAGGCCAAGTACCATCGGTTGTGGCACGGTATCCAGGTCTGCCGAGGTTGCCCATGGCCCAGAAACCAGGCCAGAAACCGATCGTGTCACCTCTACCAGGAAGTGAAATACTCGCCTCCAGGTAACCACCCTTGAAGCAAAGCTTGTTCCAGGATTGCAGCATACCTGAACGGTAGTTGAGGCCGTGGTTCTGGAAAGCGTCGAATGTGATCTCGAGAACACCGTCCTTGGTAGTGATAGCGTCGGGATCATACCACTAATTATTGTCAGATATTGCAACGGCCGACACTGAGAGGAGAGACTCACCTCGAGATCCTGGGTAACACCATACCAGATGTCAACACCTTGGAAGTACGGGTCATCACCGTCGTAGAAAGTACGGCCGTCAGTTTCAAACTCGTCGGAGAACTTGATAGCAATCAGTACAAGGGTTCCTCAATCGTGGACTGATGCGACATACCACAAGATTAAGAGTTTTGCCATTGACGTTTTTCCTTGTCATGACGGAACTGGGTGTGGCAGGGTCAATGAGACCGTGGCGTACGTTCTTCAAAAGGGCCACGTCGCTCTTGATACACATGGGATCGGAGGTGCACGTGTTAATCTTGGGTTCGTTGTACTTGACAGCGAAAGTACTAGCCAAAGCGTCAGTGGTAGAAACAACAGAGTGTGGTCGAATAGAGCACATACATGATGGGATATCCGATAAAAAGCATGAATACTCCCAGGGTGATCAGCACGAGACCACCCAAATTGGTAATACCACGTTTCGAGAACAAGTCGGAACACGTTATGCGGCCTTCTTTTTCGTTGGGGTCTGGGTTGTGTAGGTAATCGTCCTTTTCGACATCTTCGGGGAACAGAAGCAGGCCAGCAGAAGGCAGGATGTTGTATTTCTCCGAGACGGTCTGGGTGTTTACACCTTCGTCGTCGCTGCCGGCACGTGAAGGGGCGCGCGAGTCGTCGAAGGGAGAGGCGAAAGGACCGACTCGACTATCTCTGCTGCCAGTGGATTCGGAACCCCAACTCGTGCGACGCGAGTTGTAGCCACTCTGACTTGGCGACCTCATGGGTGAGTCGTCGTCGCGGAAGCGCCGTGACGGGCGAGAGCGGCTGGGAGGGAGGAGGAGCTCTGCCGACTCGGGAGCGCCAGCGTTGTACATGCTGTTAGACGAAGGAGCGGGATGTAGCGAGGGGCGGACAGAAGCAGAGCCAGCGGTGCCGGGTCTCGTCAATGAACGAGACGAAGGCTGTGGGCGAACCGTCTGGTCGAAGTGGTTGTCGGCCATGTTGACGAGGTCGTCGCTGCCTGAGTTCAGCCGAATGTGAGGAGTTGATGGCTGGTAGGCGCCCGGCGGGGATGACATACTGCTGAGAGGAAGAAGGTCTCGCTCGAGACGAAGCAAGACAGATGGCGGAGGGAAGAGCGCGGAGGAGCGGCCGGCGTGGTGGTGATGGGCCGTCTAGTGTCTGTGTGTGGCCAGCCCTCGGCCTGCGTGGGCAATGGTATACGGTGGAGACGAGGTGGGCGAGAGTCGTGAGGCGAGAGAGGTGGTGGGGATATCGGACAGCGAGATGCGAAATGCAGTGGACTAGCAGCAACAGCAGCAGCAAAAAGATTGTTGATTGGGAGGTGTCGCGCTATGTTGTTTGTGCGCCAGGCGCCTGTGCTCGCTGCTTGGGGGGCTTGCGGTCTCGAAAGGTTAAGGAGCGAAACACGGGCCTTTTGGACAAGCCGTGTTAATTAGGGGCTTTGGCAGAGTGGCACCGCAGACTGACGACCAAACACCACTCAACCACCGCAACACTGGGGCCGATCTCAATTCTGCGCCCACCAACTTCGTAATCCTCCGCGACTGCACCCTTCCATCTCGTACCAGCCAAGCTTTTCTATCCACAGACCATCCTTTACCATCACACACTCCCTGCCCGTACAGCCTCAAACCCTGCCTTCATCTCTGCACTCGAAACATGGCCTCGAGTTCTCAACCGCCGGGATGACGACGAGAGCCGTGGCAAACCTCCGTAATCCCACGCTCCCACAACGCGCCAGCCCCGTTCTGTCTTGGTTGAATCTCCCTCAACTTGCCCCCATCTAACCCGTCTCGCAATAGTGCCCGAGCGTCTTTCTATTCCAAGGAACCACACAAGGCCCTGGTCTTGTTCCGACTTGGAGCCACGACCATGAAACAACCACTCGATTTCTTTCCATCTTGCTTCTGTACTGCCCAGCTTCCGCTTAAAAGACGTCCATGACTCTGTAGCCACTCTGATGATGTCTGTTTGAATTCTATCGACGATGCAACTGAAGACTTGAAACTCCCTTCATCACCATGCTAACAGGCACCGCTTACCACTTGCCGTTCGTTGCTGCGGTGCTGACAGGCACAATGCATGCATCCATCCATGTACAGTGTACCTTACCCGGCATCGCATTCTCCGGTATCCAAAACAATCTCCAAATCCAAGATCCACCAAGCCTCCTTCCCGGCTTTGCTTTGTATCTCGTGTTTTTCTTGTCTTGGTCTCGGTTGTCCTCGCCGGTCAACGAATTGCTTGTCACCGGCTTCAAGCTCCAGCCTCACGAGTCATGAGATTGCTGTTGGAAACTTGAGGAGGTGAGATACGAACTGTCGGCCAAATCAACGCAAAAGCGCCGAATCCAGGTCCTTATCCACGACCTCGATCCTCACAACAGAGCGTCGGGTCGGCTAACCGTCACCCTCTCTCAAATACATATCTCTGCCTGTTCGCTGCGCTGTTGTGAGTTCGAAGTTTGCATTCTAGAAGACGCTAAGTTTTCGACCATTGAGTTTGTTTATAGGGGCTCAGTACCCGCTGCGGCTCCTTAAACGTCTCACTTCCCTTACTCATGCTAGTCTGACTCCGACCCAAGGCTTGACTATCTGGATATCATCTAGGCACATGGCAATGCTTATACAGCTGTATTTGTGATCATGACATGCATCAAAGTCGTACCAGAGCATTATCAATCCAACTACAACGCATGTTCAAGAGCACGCAGACTATGCATTCTGATGTGTGCCGAGGATTATGATTATTGTCTAGTTTTGCAGCAAATACTCGTCGAATAGTATGGAGATTTGTCAATCTGCACTTTATGAAGTCGACTTGAAGAACTGAGGGAAGATGCTCCTGAGTTCCTCAAGATTGCTAACCTGGTACTGAGAGACCTGCGCCGAGGGTGCAGTCACACCCGGTTCTACCAAATGGGCGGCAGTCCAACCCATCTTGGTCGCACCGGCTGCATTGATAGCAGAGTCGTCTGTAACTAGTGTCAGTAGCGGATCTGTAACGATCACCCAAGATGCAACATACCAACGAAATAACAATCTTCAGGAGATGTTACACCAGCCTCAGCCATGGCTTTTTTGAACATGTCCGGCGATGGTTTGCAGAGGAATCTGGCCGCCGAGTAATCGCAGTAGGTGATGCCCTCGAACAAGTCTTCGACACCCAACAATTTGACTACTCGCCGACCATGGTTGATGTATGCGTTGGTGAAGAGCCAGGGCTTGACTTTTGACGTGTCTAGATCCTTGAGCAGCTTGCGCAACTTTGGATCATATGACATGATGTCTTCGAGGGGCAGCGCATCGTCGACCTTTTCGTTGTACTCGAGTGCGTCGACCTTGTGGTGGCGTACAAGACCCTCGATGGCAAGCCCATAGTCTTTGTAGTACCGCATATGCAATTCGTTGGCATCTTCTTGCGACAACGACAGATGGTTTTGGAAGTATTTGTCTGGTTACCGATCAGTCATCGCGCCAATATGATCATGGATCAAAGAATGCATACCAATCAATACACCCATTAGTTCATGCACTTTCTTGCCTGTATACCATTAGAATGAGAATGAGGAACACAATGATTCTTACACACTCTTAGAGTACAACTGGGACAGGATCGTTAGTAAGTGTCAGAACGTAGAATGTTCTCCGAGGGTAAACCTACGCAATTATCTATATCGAAGAAGAAGACTTTACGGGTGTCGGCCATGTTGCTCTGAAACCTTTCTATGCGTCTATCTGTAGTGGAAAGCAAAGCCCGAGAAGCAAAGAGACCCGGTCGAGTGAGAATAGAAGTAGAACGACGAAAACAGGGCAACATTCAAGAACCGAGTCAAAGAGAGGAGCGACAAAACCAACACGTTGACGTTGATGGTATGGAAGACGAAGGGGTTTCGGTTCCGCCGCATTTGGTACACCGAGGCGGGAAGGACGACGCTTGGCGTGCGGCTTCCGAGTCTGGCATGGCGATTTGACAATTTCATCACGAAACTCGTGTTTCCTTCATCTTGTCGAAACAACACGCGTGTTCTCCATCCACTATCACTAGAGATCGCATGGGCATGACGGTCGCATAGAACCATTGCTACTGGCGATATTGCTGTTCGACGCTTGCAAACAGGAGATAGTCTTCTCGTCATGGCTTCGGCGCAGGTGAATGGCTACAGGCCCGCTGTCGCGGAGCAAGATGTACAATTCGCATTCTACGACCAGTGGCTGCAGCTGAGAGAGACCGTTCTAGCGGACAAGCACGCGCATTTCAAGCTACCAGCTGCTGTAAGGCAGCGGCTCCAGCCTCAGACTGGACCATCATCCGCTGCCAGCTATGCCTCAGCTTCTCAGCTACCTGGCCTTTTGAATGCCTCAAGCAGTGAACAGGCAATGTACAATCCGTCACACGGTGCTGCTGCTGCCTCTCGTCTTGGGAACGCGCAAGCCTTCTTACAGAACACGTCTGCGGCAACAGGGACAACGGCTACCAAAAGCGGTATTGACCCAGTACTGTTGACCAAGTCAGAGGACTTGATAAGAGCAGAGATGCAGCTGAAGAGACAACGCATTGAGAGACAGCTCAAGGACACGGCAGATCAGCGCAGGCATACTCCCTTCTTCAAGAATCAGGAAGATATGGCACCTCTTATTGGTTTGACCGAGACCTTTGAGAAAGCGCTTGAGCTGGTCAAACCCGTCTCGGGTTTGAAGCCTCCTGCTAACACTCAAACTGCAGCGAATGATTCGTTCGACGAGAATTCGTATTACTCTAGCCAGGCGAACGATTGGTCGTCAGAAGAGGGCTCTCCCAAGAAGAAAGCAGCAACAGGTCCGGCAAGTAGTGCTCCTCTTTCCAAGCAGCATCCCGTCGGCGTTGAACTTGATGACAAGCAGCATCAATCGATCCAGACTTTTCAGCACCTTGACACCGAGGCCCTTTACGACGCTGAGAGAGAAGATTCGGAGGAATATTCACCCCCAGATGCAAACGCTTTCAGCGGACCTGATGCTGACGCCGATGCAATGGATCTGGATGACGGTAGGTTACATTCGGTGTCCATACGTAACCCAGCTAAGCGAAGCGCAGATAGCAGCGAGTTCGTGCCTCAGGAAGCGCATGTTCCCTCGCCCCAAGCACCCGTCGTCACCAGTCACCTCAGCCAGCTCGCTGCCCCCCAACCTGCTCGAGTCTCGCCTCTTACCCTTGTCAGACCCCCTGGTCTCAATCAGTCCCAGACAAGCTATCCCTCAGCGCCTATCAGTCAGCTGCCTGCTTCGCCATATGCCTACCAATCGTCTAGCGCCTTCCGCCAACAATTCGAGTCCGACGATTCGACCACTTCGCCTCGTAATTCCGCTCACACCAGTCCAGCTGGTGCTTTCAAGAAACAAAGAGGAAAGGGCAAGAAGAGGAAGCGAGAGGCTGACAGGGAAGCGAGAGAAGCCCGCAAAAGCCGACCCAAGCCCAGCGCTCCATCGCCTGAGCCGTATATCAAACCCGAACCCGTGTCACCGCCGCCGTTCGCTGCACCTACCACTTTGCAACCACGACGTACCCGCCCATACCAGCTGCCGCCAGATGTTGAGATAGTTCCGAATCCGAGACAAGCCTACTATCAGGAGCCTCAACCTCCTCATCCTCCAGCTATGCATTACGGTATCGATGGGGTCTCTTCTCCTACTGTCATCAGGGTTTCGTCCCCTGCTGGATATGCCAGACCCAGAAGAGACGATCAAGATCTGCGTCGTGTAGCCAGTCTCCATGCTGCACACCGTCCCATGTCTCCTATGGCCAGGATATCATCTCCCGCCAGCTACCGCACGGTGTCGCAGCCATTCCCTGAAGGCGCACCAAGGTATGGCGAGGAGGTTATGAGGGCTCCACAGATGCATTACATGCGATCGGAAAGATCTGTAACTCCACCGCACCTTCGGGCTGCTAGAGAGGGACCAGCATCTATGATGGCACCTCCACCGCCGCCGCCCGTTCGACGGATTGTCGTGGATCAATATGGTCACAGATACTATGCGAACGAGCCTGAAGTGCAGCCCAGGATGTCAGTCGCACCCCAGCTCCGCCCAGAAAGCGAGATGATGTACGAACGTGCACCGAGTAGACAATCTGTCGTGTACGCGAGCCAGCCTGGACACAGCGTTTACGAGGATGAGCACGGGATGAGAATGGCGCCACCACCTCCCCCTCCGCCAGTGCGAAGAGTGGTTGAGCAAGCAGAAGGCGCACCCCCCGACTACCGTGCCTACAGACAGCGAGAATATTCTCGCGCTCCCGAGCCACAGTACTATCGAGAGGAGGCTGCTGGACCAGTGTATATCAGGGAAGCACCAGGACCCAGAGCATCAGTGTACCCACCGGAGTCTGCAACACCTGTGGGATATGCGCCACGGGCTTATAGCGTACATCCTGAGATGGAGCCGGTCCGGTACATGTCAAGACAGCCAAGTATGGCACCACAGGGCGAATATGTACGAGTGACAGAGACAGGTGGTCGTGCAGCTACGATGGCACCCCCTCCGGCACCTATGAGGGCGGTAAGCGTTGTCCCAGGATCTGAGTACGGACGCACTGTCGATATGAGATATAGCTACGGAAGCCAGGGTGCAGGTGGGTATGCAGCCGCAGGGCCACGTTACGGCGAAGAAGCGGCGCCTCGGGAAATATATGTAGATCAGTACGGCAGAGAGGTCAGAAGAGTGGGATATTGATAGATAGGAGTGTAGAAGCATGTCGGCAGAAGCAGAAGCAGAAGCCGAGACGAAAAAGGCAGAGTAACAAAGACATTCGTTTCAATCAAGACGCTACTACAAGTGAGCAATGTGTGTAGAACGGAGGCATGTGATTGTATGCTGGAGTGCAAGGTTTCTGCAGCGCATGGCAGACACAAAGTTGACGGCGCACGTGAGGGGAGCTTGGCGCTCTAGAGGTTGTTGTGCCTGGGAAAATCGACGCGACTCGTCGACGACGACAGCAGTGCGATTGATCCTCTGCGGATTGCATACTACGACGAGTCTTTTCCGGTTGGCTTGTCTACTTAGATCCTGGCGGGCTCTCTGGGCGCCCGTGTTGACTCGATTACTGGATCTCGACTGCTCCACTCGTACTCGTAGTGCTTGCTTGAGTGCTGCTCCAGCCTCGACGTCCATCTGACACTTACCCACACGCTCGTTCCTCGACGCATCCGACTCCTCCGATGCACAAGATCTCCAACTTCACCGGCCAAGCACGCCATGGTTGGGACAAGATGACGCCTGCAATGGGTTTTGGCCGTCCGCACCACCAGGACATGGCCATGCCGCCCACAAACATCAAGCGGAACATGGCCACCCAGCACAACATGCAGCCGAACCCCCAGGTTCCCGGCCATCTTGTCAACTTGTCCTTCAACATCCCCTTTGCCTCCAACCTCAGTGGCCCGGACCCGGACTCGGTCATCTACGCCAGCCCTGGAGCTTACGCCCGCTGGACACATCCTCAGCCGCACAACCCCGATTCTCCCCCGCCGAACCACGAGCTCCCTGTCCACGCCCGCAATGTCGACAACCTGCGATCCTTGTGCAAGGTCATCACCGAAGCCAGCAACGCTCAGATCCATGCCACCGTCACATCCGCCAGACCCAAGCCTGTCCCCGGCATGCAGCGAGGTCCGCTCAATACCCTCGTTACAAACGTCTGTCTGTCTGGCGATTCCGATTTGGTCTACAAGATGCGCGCAAAGATACTGAACGAGACTCCAATCACCTTGGTAGGTACAGGCCGTCGGACTTGAGCTGCACAGAGCACCCCGCTGACTCGAGATAGCGCTCTGCTACCGTCGACGTGGACTCGACCCTTATCATGGTCCCCAACACCGAAGGCGTACGTACCGACATTCTGAGACATATGGACGACATATCGGACCGCACCAAAGCCGACATTTTTCTGCTCAACCCTCGTCCTATGGACGTCGACTCGGCCAGCATCCACGGTACCATAGACAGTCTCGTCGAGAACAGATTACGTCTCATGATCTTCGGAGACATGGAATGTTGCGAGCATGCGAAGACCAGGATTTTGATCATGATCGACCAAATCGTACGTCCCCCGAGACCTGCTCCAACTCGTCGGATTCACGTGCTAACAGACATTATAGCTCATGCGACAGGTCGACACGATCAAACTCGAGCTTTCTCTCCACACCCTAATCTGTGGCCGACACCGCCGTAACATCAAGCTCATCGAGTCAGCTACTGGCACTGCCATATACTTTCCACCCCTGTTCCCCGGAATCTTCGGCTATAGCCCCGCCGGCTCGTATCCGCGTGCCAGAGACGAGATCATCATCACGGGCGAGAGTCAGGAAAACATCATGCAAGCCAAAAGACGCCTGCAAGATCTGGTTCTAACGACAAAGACGTTTGTCAAGGATGTAGCCATCACAACCAGCAAAGTCGACTACATCCTGCTTGAGCGACTAGACAAGATTCGCAAGATTGTTGAGCAGAACGGCTCCTATGTACTTCTGCCTCCACTGGGCAACCACAGCGGTCTCTTGCGCGTGCAGGCGACTGACATTCTGAATGTTGAGCGTACTGTGCGCGACATCATGTCTCTGGCTGGCCAATTTTACAGCGCTTCCTGGTGGCTGACTCAATTAGACCCCATGCAAAGGCAGCCCACACCCTCGGATATTCGCGCCATGCTGCCCGACATCTGCATCAATTCTGGCGCCGAGATCAACTTTGAGAAGCTCAACTTCCACATCAATGGAAGCGACGATTCTGTCAAGGCCGCCATGACCATCATCAACTCGCTGCCCTTTGTCAAGAAGGCTAACTCGACTCTGCGGGTCAAGGTTGAGCTTGCCAACGAACACAAAGAGTTTGTGAGCGGGAAGAAGAATGGCAAGATCAACAAGATCATGAGTCAGAGCAACGTCCAGATTGTCTTTGATGGCTTCAACGAGTACAACTTCTACATCGACGTGCGCGGTGCCCAATACGAAGCTACTAAAAACGGCCTCGATCTGGTCGAGCTGGAGATGCCCGCTTCCATTTCCTTTCATGTTCCGGATCAATACCACAAGCGTATCATCGGCATCGGCGGTCAACACATTCAGCGCATCATGAAGAAGTACTCTGTATTCGTCAAGTTCTCGAATGCTATGGACCGAGGTGGTATCGGCAAAGATGACGATGATGTCAAGGTTGACAATGTCATCTGTCGTACTCCTGCAAGAAACGCCGACAACCTTGAGCTTGTCAAACAAGAGATCATGGACATGGTAGAGAAAGTCGACGCCGAGTATGTTTCCGAGCAAGTCGTCGTCGACAGGCTGTACCACCGCGAGTTGGTCGCTCGCATGCCCGAGATCGAGGAGCTCGAGAAAAAATGGAACTGCAAGATCACTTTCCCTGGAACAGAGCAAGCAAGCGACGTCATCACTGTGTCTGGACCCGAGTATCAAGTACCTCAAGCTGTGGACGAGTTCTTGGGTATGGTCCCTGAGAGTCATGATATTTCCTTCCCCAGCACGGTCGAGCTTCGCAACTTCCTCGTGTCTGCGGAATTCCACGATGATGTCTTGCAGAAGCTCAAAGACCAGTACGTTGTTGAAGTCATAGTCCAACAGCCAAAGCTCGAAAGAATTGGTGATGAAGACGTTGAAGTGGAGAACCTCCTTCTGACCTACACGCGCAACAACGCTGGTGGCTTGAAGGACGCCATCGACTTCCTGGTCCTCGGTCTAGTTTCTCACGGCCTGAGCGCGAGCACGGTCAAGGGTGCCATTCCTCGACCAAAGTCCGACTCTTTCGAGGACTCGATGCCATACTTTGACTCTAAGCTTCTGCAGCGCGCGGAACCACCAGTCGTGGCCGAGTCACCTACACGTACTCATTTTGGCAGTGGAGAAAGTAGCGAAGGACATCGATCGATTTTCGACAGACTTCGCAAGCCGGGCAGTATGTCATCTTTCTCTTCTTTCCTTGAGAGACGCAAGAACAGTTCAAACTCTCCTGCATCTTCGTTGTTCAAGCATGCTTCGAACAATGCTTCCAAGGCCTCGCTGCAAAGCATGGAATCGCGAGAATCGGGCTATCGCAATCCTTGGAACGACAATGGCCCTGACGTCGAGTCTGAAACCGCCAACAATCAGACAAACGGCGGATGGGCAACTCTGGCTGCGGCAGGCAGCCGACCTGCCACTTCGTCGGCATCGCTCACGTCGTCGACACCTTACGAAAGCAAATTTCCCTTTGGCGCCGGACGTAACGGCTCTACAACTTCGCTCAACACCACTTTGATACCCGGGCTAGGCGGCGATGTCGCCTCCAGCAATGCCCACTACCATACCAACGCCAACCGGTCAGCCTCGATTTCTGTCGAGATTGTCAATGCCAACGGCGGCAATGTATCGGCATCATCGTCGTCGTCCGCCCATGGCCCGGTTGGCTCGCGTCCTTCGAGTTCTGCTGCTGCTACTGCACCTGCTTCTGGATACCCGGCTCCCATAGGGCCTCCGCAATGATTTTGATTTGATTCTACAGACCATGTATGTCTTTCTGATCCAGGGACAAAGGGGAGTTCTTTTCACCCTTGGAGTTCTTTCGATTCTCTTCTTGCTTCTTGTTTTCTTCCTTCCCACGCAAATGATATCCGACCGCCTGACGTTCCCTATTCTGCTGTTTTACATCTTTTTTTTACCGGCATCTTGAGAGTACATTGCTACATACATTCAGCTATGTTCCATTTCCCCTCTCTTCCTCATCATTGCCGTTTTTGTTTTTGCTTTCCATTGTACCGCTCCTGCTGTTCCAGCCTCTTTTCCAAAAGAAAATACCCCTGTTCGAAGACTTTAGCCTTGATATTCTTGATCTCGTTGTTTTATGCCACAGCTTTATATACCACCAATCCACTCGGCTCTCTGACCAAAAGTCGCTTTTTTTGTATCCTTCTTGTTGCCTGCTTGAGTTTTGTGAAAAATGCGATGAGTCGATCAATATCTTGATAAACGTCTGTGGCCATCTCGCTGTCTGTACAGCCAACTGCTTGTGTCTGGGCAGCAGTGTCTCTGCAACCGTTCTTCCCTATCTGAATCGGTCACGCCTTCTCCATCGGATTCGATTTTGGCTAAACAGACCATCACCACTCAGCCTCGGACCTGCCTGCGTGCCAGGTCATTCAATGGACCCCAGGCCTGAGCATTGTGCAGTTCTAACACGAGGTGAGAGGCACTCAGTGATGATTTAGGTTAAAGTTCATCATATGAAGTGTAACTATACAAAAGGTGATATCTTGCGGCCCTAGTCCTTATCCAAAAACACCATCTAATGCTAAATTTCATCAAATCGTCCTGAAATGCTTTACCAGTCCATGCCACCACTCCTCTCACCGCCAGCAAGAATGGCATTGGCTTTCGCCTTCATACCCATGCCATTCTCCAAGTGGCTGACAAACTTGCCCTTTTGACCCTTGAGGATCTTCTTGTCAAGCTTCTCGAAAGGCTGCTCTTCGTTGTCTTTCTTAACAATAAAGTTGCTAGTTCCCAGCACCGAGTCGAGCTCCTCAACAGGCGGCAGCTTGACGTAGACATTTCCATCTTCGCGGGCCTCAACCGGGAAGGTAGCGATGTTGACGCTCTCGTCATTGCCGCACTTGCCAGCGTCGTCGCCCTTGAGCTCGTAGTTGCGTTTGTGGTAAGGGCAACTGACCCACAATTTGTTTGTCTTCATGTCATCACCGATGAGACCGTCACTGAGCACGAATGCGCGCTTGTGAGGACACATCTGCTGTGTGGCGTAGTATTGGCCCTTGACCTTGAAGATCGCCAATTGTGTGTCGCCACGCTTGACAGCAAGTGAGCTGCCTGTTGCAGTATCTTGGAACTGGTCGGATCGTGCCAGAGGTTGCCATGCAAGATCGGTCCACTTTGTACCGCGGAAATCCGTCGTGACAGAATCCTTGGGCCAGTATGTAGGACGGTGTTGCTCACGTTCCTGCACGTCCTCGACGGTCTGCACTCCTTCATCAGTGTTGGCGAACTGGTTGAACTGCTTCATACGCTCAGGCGACTTGAGGACTTCTGTCCATTCGCAGAAGAATGAGCCCACGAGCTGTTCCATCTGCTGTTCGAGATCCGCGCAAATGCCGAGCTTGTCCTCCAGGATGACTTCCTGCAAATACTTGATACCTCCAGGAAGGTTTTCTATCCAACGAGCTGTTCTTTGTAGCTTGTCGGCGGTGCGGATGTAGAACGAGAGGTAGCGGTCAAGGATGGGAATAACATCATCCGGAGGCACGTCCTTAGCCAAAAGCTCACTGTGTCTAGGCTTTGCACCACCGTTACCACCAACAAAGATGTTGAAGCCCTTCTCCGTGGCGATGAGACCGAAGTCTTTGTTTTGTGCCTCGGCACATTCACGCACACAACCACTGACACCACCCTTGATCTTGTGAGGTCCACGGATGGATTTGTAACGTTCTTCGAGACGTACAGCCATACCGACGGAGTCACCGATACCGAAGCGGCACCATGTGGTTCCAACACAAGACTTGACAGTGCGCAGCGACTTGGCGTAGGCGTGTCCTGACTCCATGCCGCCATCGATCAATTCCTTCCAGATTAGTGGAAGGTCCTGCTTGCGAGCACCAAACATGTCTATGCGCTGGCCACCGGTGATTTTACAGTACAAGTTGAACTTTTTGGCGACGGTGCCGATGATGATGAGTTTATCGGCAGTGATCTCGCCTCCTGAAACACGAGGGACAACAGAGAATGTGCCGTTGCGCTGAATGTTGGCCAAGAAACGATCGTTGGTATCTTGGAGACCACGGATGTCCTTCTCAAGAATGTGCTTGTTGAAGAGTGAAGCAGTGATATTTCCGATAGTTGGCTTGCAGCCTTCGCAACCCGACGACTCGGGGTCCTTTCCGCACTGCTTCATGATCTCCTCAAAAGTCTTCAGTTGTTTGACGTAGATGATGTTGAAGAGATCGGCACGCGAGTAGTCAAAGTGCGGACAAAGGTGGTTCTTCACTTCGTTGCCCATTGAAGCCATGGTCTTGTTGAAGATGGTCTGAACCAGAGGCATACAGCCACCACAACCAGAACCCGCCTTGGTGCATGCCTTGACATCGCCAATAGACTTGCAGGTTCCGTCCTTGACCGCTCTGGTGACATCTCCTTTCAGCACGTTGTGGCATGAGCAGATCTGGGTGTCGTCGGCAAGGTCATCGGCGTCATCGTCACCCTTGCTTGCGCCGATGATAAACTCGCTAGGAGAAACCTCAAGAGGCTTTTGGTTCTTGACCATAGGGACCAACTTGACATAGTCCTTGGTGTCTCCAATCATCATACCACCAAGCAGGTACTTTCCATCCGTCGTGAAGAGATACTTCTTGTAGACTTGGGTGAATGGATCCTTGTATGTGAGAGCTTTGACGGGTGGCGGGGCAGGACCGTCGGTGAGCTTCTTGACTTGATCCTTCTGGTCGGTGGTGCCTTCCTTCTTTCCGGCACCCCGTCTGACGGGCAGCATTTGCGGACCATCTCGATCGGCGAAGAAGTCACCGAAACTGGCAACCTCGACTCCGAGCAGCTTCAGCTTGGTGCTCAGATCCGGTCGCTTGAATTGTCTGTAGGCGTGAGCCTTGGCTTGTGTAAGGTTGAAGGCAAGCACGTCTGCCATCTCGACACCAGGCGCGATGAGACCAAATGTTTGGCTTTCCCAGCTGGCACATTCTCCAATGGCGTAGATGTCTGGTGTAGAAGTAGAGAGGTCGTTGTTGATGACGATACCACCGCCTCTGTCCGCACATTTGATGCCAGCCGCACGTGCAAGCTCATCGCGGGCCTTGATACCAATGGCGAAGCAGATGCATGTGCAGTCCATCTGCTCGCCATCCTCGAAAGTCACACCAGTGACACTGTTGTCGCCATCGACGTTGATCCTTCCGACTCTTTTGCTGAGAAGTACGTCCAAGCCCAAATCCCGAACTTGCTCGACGACCATGCCACCGGCATCGCCATCAAGTTGTCTGCTCAATACCCAGCGATTCCTCTCGATAAGCTTGACTTTGCTGAACTCTTCGAGATCCATCATGGCCTTGGCGGCCTCGAGACCGAGCAGACCACCTCCGACCACAGCACCAACAGATCCGGTCTTCGTGGCCGAATATGCGATGAGCTTCTCCAAGTCTTCGATCGTGCGGTATACGAATACGCCTTTTGCATCGTGTCCAGGAGTGTGACGAGGTAGTACTGCATCGGAGCCAGTTGCAAGAACCAGAATGTCGTAGGGTACTGTCGTGCCTTGTGATGTCTCGACCTTTTTCTCCTCGGCATTGATTGATGTGACTTTGGTGTTGAGGTGGTAGTTCAATGAGCCTTCAGGCATTGATGAGTACCATTCTTTCGGATTGAGGTAGAGGTTCTCGACCTCGCGGTGTTGGAAAAAGCTGGTCAAGCCAACTCTGTTGTATGCAAGATGTGCCTCTTCTCCAATAACAATGATATCATATTCTCGTCGTTTCACGTCGTACTTCATGAGCTTCTCTCTGGGATAAAGGTCAGTCTGGAGTTTCATGGTTTTGGAGTTCAGACATTTACATGAATGCGACACCGACCATACCTAATCCTACGACTACGATTCGCTGCCTCTTTGTGTCTTTAGGTAGTTCGCCATTCTGCTCCAGTTTCTCGACCTTCTCGGGAAGCAGGTTTGCCTCAGCATCATTCCACTCGCTGTTACTCATGTTGAGTTTGGAATGCTAAAAGTAATCGAGACAAGTAGGAATAATTGTATAAGCACAGCAAACGCTGGCGAAGGATGGGTTATAGAAAAAAACAAAATGTATCACAAGATAGAAGATCCAAAGGTAGAGAAGGGAAATCAGGATGTTTATGGACTTGCCTTGCCATACCGAGCTATCTATCAACATGATATCAGCCCCCACCAATGGAGGCGCATGCAAGCCCAGCAAATGCCATGGCATAAACTCTTGCCGCGGCGGGCGGAGAAGCACCACCATGGTCAGCGTCTGCGGGACGTGGCCATACAAGCAACTCCGGATTACCAAACAAAATGCATCTGCGCAGCGACATCAGCTTCTTTCTCCTCGGAATCGATCGTCGAGGGTGGGAACGGGTGCTTCGAACGTGGAGCCGCCCAGCACTGATAAGGACGATAAAGGGACAAGAAGCAAAGAACCCTGACGAGGTTTCATCCAGCCAATCACAGCAGGCCGATTAAACAAGTCGCCTTTAAGCGCATACTCTTTTTTCGACTTCACTTGCTCAACTACATACCGCTGATAAGGCGATGGCGGACCATTGGTCCTCTAAACGCTCCTTCAGTGGCTCATATCTGAACACGGCAGAAGCAATTGCTTGTACAGGACGACAATGCAGACTCTCATCTCAAAAACGGGTGCCATCGGGCAGAGCAGCGTGTTGGCTCTCGCTCCCAACGCTATTCCGGAAAGAGACGACCTTATCTCTACCCATTCTCAACCACTCCACATCCCACAAAGATGCTAACAGCGGTGTCTCCCCCAATCCGGGTCGCGATAATGCGCCAATTCCGTGGTGACTTGTCTATCGTAATTTGATGAGGCTGTTATTCTGCTTCTCCGCTCACAGTATGGATGTCTAGACATGCCGGTATGACGAATATGAAGCCTCTGACCTAGCTTGGCGTCCAGAGTGTAGACATTTCTTGTGGTCAGCCTTTCTCCGGGGTATCTGGATCTCGTAGATCGCTTTTTCGTTGCACAATCAAAGCCAGAACAGACCATATTCTCTTTACTTCCTCCTGCTCGGTCTCTTTGAGCGTTTCACAAAACTTTTGCAAAATCGAATACTCAAAATGAGCACTATTCAAGCGACTGAAGAGGAACGTGTGCATCTGCGACGGGTATCTGCAGACTTTCCTCCTACACCACCAGATTCGGAGAGTGATACCGAAAGGTCGACTAGCAAGGCAGCATCAACAGATTTCGCTCTACCTCCACCATCACACCCGCCAACCGAGATCGATCCATTAGATCACAAGACACCCGACGGATGGCTACCACGAGACTCGAGACTGATTAGATTGACCGGAGCACATCCCTTCAATTCTGAAGCTCCTCTTACGGCTCTGTACGACGAAGGTTGGTTGACCAGTCCGGAACTGTTTTACGTAAGGAATCATGGCCCAGTGCCTCAAGTCAACGATGAGGATATTCCAGACTGGGAGTTCACAGTTGAAGGGTAAGGACTATCTTCACATTTTCTTGGTGGAGCCCACGCTAAAGAGTGCTAGACTTGTCGAGAGGCCCGTCACCATCAAGTTCAAAGATCTTGTCCGAGAATACGATCAGGTCACATGTCCTGTGACACTAGTCTGTGCTGGCAACAGACGAAAAGAACAGAACGTTGTTCGCAAGACCAAGGGTTTCTCATGGGGTGCTGCTGGTGTGTCTAATGCATTGTGGACCGGTGTCATGATGCACGAGATCTTGAAAAAGACTGGCCTGAAAAGAGGAGCAAGATATGTGTGTATGGAGGGTGCCGATAAGCTGGTAAGCTAGAAGTTTCGCCCCCTGATCGATATTTATACTGATCAAACTAGCCAAATGGATACTACGGCACCTCGGTCAAGCTCAACTGGGCAATGGATCCTAACAGGGGCATGATGCTAGCCTACAAGATGAACGGCGAAATGTTGACACCAGATCACGGCAAACCTTTACGAGCCATCATCCCTGGCCAAATAGGAGGTCGCAGTGTCAAGTGGCTCAAGAAGCTCATCGTCACCGACAAGCCAAGCGACAACTGGTACCACATCTACGACAACCGAGTCCTACCAACGACTGTCTCCCCGGAGGAGTCTGCAAATGACAAGAACTGGTGGATGGACGAAAGATATGCCATCTACGACTTATCCACAAACTCCGCAATGGCACACCCCGTACACGAAGAACAATTATGTATTGTCGGTGCACCAAAGAATTACCGAGTCAAGGGATACGCCTATGGTGGTGGTGGTCGACGCATTACTCGCGTCGAAGTCACACTGGACAAAGGCAAGAGCTGGCGTCTGGCCAATGTCGACTACGCCGAAGACAGATATCGAGAAGCAGGCCCCGTTGATCTTTACGGCGGAAGACTAGACATGGAGTGGAGAGAAAGCTGTTTCTCTTGGGCATTCTGGAACATCGACATCTCGGTCGACGACTTGAAAGACGCAAAGGACATCATGTGCCGAGCCATGGACGAGAGCATGAATGTTCAGCCTCGCGATATGTATTGGAGTGTCCTTGGCATGATGAACAACCCCTGGTATCGTATTGCCATTCACCGAGAGAATGACTATCTGCGCTTCGAGCACCCCACACAACCCGCCTTGATGCCTGGCGGCTGGATGGAGCGGGTAAAGAAGCTAGGAGGCAATCTTGCCAACGGCTACTGGGGTGAGCAACTTGGTGGCTCAGAAGCCCCTGAACCCGTCACAGAAGCGGCAGCAGATGTGAAGATGACCAAGGACGGAATCGACAAGAAAATTACTATCGACGATCTACGCAAACACGACACTGAAAAGGAACCATGGTTTATTGTGAACGGAGAAGTGTATAACGGCACAGCATTCATGGAAGGTCACCCCGGAGGTGCCCAAAGCATCATTTCGGCAGCTGGACTGGATAGCACTGACGAATTCATGGGTATCCATAGTGAGACTGCCAAAGCCATGATGCCTGATTACCACATTGGTACGCTGGATGAGGAGGGCAAGCGAGCATTGAGCGGTGAGGAAGTACAGCCGGACGAAAATGCGACTCCCTCGGAACTTTTCTTGCATCCACGAACATGGAAGAGAGCTATCTTGCAATCAAAGACCACGGTATCCTGGGACAGTCGCATCTTCAGATTCAAGCTCGAAACTGAAGATCAAACACTCGGCCTCCCTACTGGTCAGCACCTCATGATACGTTTGCGCGATCCGGTCACGCGCGAGGCCATCATCCGGTCTTACACACCAATCTCAGAAACGGCCGAAAAGGGCTTTGTTGACATACTGATCAAGGTGTACTTCAAGAACGGCACGCAAGAGGGAGGAAAGATGTCGCAAGCTCTGGAATCTCTACCCATCGGACACTTTGTCGACTTCAAAGGACCGATTGGCAAGTTTCAGTATCTGAGCCAAGGCCTCTGTGCCATCAACGGTGTTGAGCGACGCATCTCACAATTTGTCATGATCTGTGGCGGGTCAGGAGTCACACCGATCTACCAGGTCTTCCGTGCAGTTATGCAAGATGCTGACGACAAGACCAAGTGCACATTGCTCGATGGCAATCGTCTTGTCGAAGATATTCTGTGCAAGAACGAACTTGACAGCTATGCCAAGGACAACGAACACAAGGCAAAACTTCTGTACACGCTTACACAAGCGCCGGACCACTGGGATGGTCTGAGAGGACGTATCGCTGCACCACTCCTTGCTGAGCATGCTACCAAGGAAGCACTGAAGCTTGACCCGACCGAACAAGCAATGGTGTTGATCTGTGGACCTGAAGCACTTGAAAAAAGTTGCCATGCTGCACTGCTAAACCAGGGCTGGCGCGATGATGAGTTGCTCTTCTTCTAGTCGAGAAAGAACAGAGTTTTGTGATGATGTGATCATGTTTGCATGGCGTATTCGACGGGGGATATATTGGGACAGTGACTATGCTAATTAGTCCGGTGGTTTGGGTTGATAGTGGTATCGAGCAAAAATTTGTCAAATAAAGACGGAAGTTCTATCAAAGCGTGTCTCCAATATTGGCGTTCAAAAAGTGTCGTCGTCGTCGTCCCACTTGCGCCTGACCAGACTAGGGCTAATATCAGGGACACTATCACCTTCGATAGACTCTGTACGGTCGGCGCCAGCAGTGGCTAACAAGTCATCGACAATAATCCTGCTCGCCTCTCGCGCCGGGGTCTGCATAAGGCGAGATTGAGGGATGTGGAACTGCATAGTCTTGGGAGGACTGATACTAAAGTCATCGTCGCTGTCGGATTCTTGATCCCAGAGTGTGCGAGAGGTTTTATCTTTGGAGTCGGTGAACAAGGCGCGACCGGTGCTCGTCATGAGGTCACGGGCAGGGGTTTGAACAGAGATACCAGGAGTGTGTGGAGCTTGTAGTGCTTTTCTCGGCGACTTTTGGGGAGAAAACAGATCGGAGCGGAGTTGAGGAGCAGCCATTTCGGGACTGCTCATGGGACTGCTGTCAGCAAACAAGTCGCGGGTGCGTGTCTGTGTCTGAGTTGCAGGGGTGTCGGTGGTCGCAGGACGGGCTTGTTTGCGAGCAGTGTGTGGAGTGGCCTGGATACGGAAGTTACGGTCCATGATACGGTGCATCAGAGGATCGGGATTCTGTTGGCGTTGAGCTGTGGAAGGTTGGTATGCTGAGGGGGGCTCGAAGGGAGACGACGAGTGCAAGTTTGAGTCGTCGCGCATCGGAGTATTGATTTGAGCCGACGATGGCTTGATTGGCGAGGGAGAAGCAAAGTGGTTGGTCTTGGTCCTGATCTGCGGAGTGCTGTGGACACCAGTGGCGTTGGAAGGAGAGTCGATGATGGACGTCTCATCGTCTTGGGTGTAGTCATGAGCATAGTCCTGGCCGGTGGGAGTTATGGTCCTCTCAGCGACGTCGTCGGCAGATGGTTCGTCGTAACTTGTGTCTTGGGCAGTTGTATCATTGTGGCTCGCGTCCTCTTCTAGTGCGCCTTCCTGGTAGCCTGAGAGGGAGACATTGGCCGATGCCTCGAAGAACTGCTTCCAGAAGCGAGAGCCTTCCCAGACATCACGGGAGTGCTGAGCGTACTGGTCGACGACGGGCAGAATGCTTGATGTCACAATGCGATGCGCCTTGCTGAAGTTGTGGTCGATTTCTGTTCACCTTATTAGCCCTGGCTGACTTGTCGCATCACGATATTGACATGCCTTGCAGCGTCAAGGTAATCGACTGTTCAAGCCTCTCGAGCTCTTCTGTCAGACTCAAATTGCGACTGCTCGCCGCCGTTCCAATGCCTGACATGTTTGTGTCTCGAATGCAACAATTGTCACTAACACAAACAAACGCGCGCCCTGAAAGCGCTTTGTTGATGACCCGATCTAATCTGATCGCTCGCTCGCTCCACCTTCTCCTTTCTGCACGCCCATGCTCCTTAGTCAACCACACAGGTGTTGACTTACCCCGCTTAAGTCCTCCCTCTCTTTCATCTCTCTCGTCCTTCGGACAAAAACACCACGAGCTCTGACGAGACCGGCCCGTCGTCTTCTTGCCGTGGCTCCGCATGTCCTCCACCATAGCAGCCAAGCTGCGGGGCTTGCGTCGACATCCTTCACCTTACCAGTCCAGTAACCCGGAAAGGATCAATTCGGTCCATGAGCCCTGCAAATCCTCGACTGCCTCTCAACGAGGGGTTGCTCAGCTGTCATTCATCCATCTCTCCGTGACCCTATTTCTCTGACCCTCGCTCTGCTCTTGCCTTCCTGTTTTCGTCTGCTTGTTCACCCGCTCTCAGACTTCCAGCTGCTTCATACTCTTTCCGTCCCACCTATACTGGCTCATCATGGTCGCCAGACTCAGCACCAGAGCTATCAAGCAGGCTGCAGCTTCTGCTAGACTCTCCTACAACCTTTCACACACTAGGACCTTTGCGAGTACCTTGCATAGGGAAGAAAAGCGAACAGCCATTGTCACCGGTGCGAGTCGTGGAATGTGACTGACCTCCACACCTACTCTTCTACTGTCCAGTGCTGATACTAGCGGCAGCGGCAAGGCAATTGCTCTGCGTCTGGCTCAGGACGGTTACGATCTATGCATCAACGACGTCGAAGCCAACAAGCAAGGTGTCGACGATGTCGTCAAACAAGTCAAGTCAGCAGGCGTCAATGCCGTCGGTGCTGTTGGCGATGTCTCGGATCTCTCCCAAGTCGAATCTGTCATACAGAAGAGTGTAAAAGAGCTTGGTCCTCTGAATACAATGTGAGTTGAGTGATGCTCATCCCTCTTCATGTTTTTGTCTTTGCAGTGCCATCGGAAAGTCATGAAAGAGCAAGGATTCCTCGGAGGATGGACAAGCCTTCGCTAGCCGCAAGATTCCAGTTGCATTGTTCTTCAGATGTTCCTGGGATTGGCGAAGCTGGTTGAGCCCAGATCGGCAAAATCCGGCACCCAAGCATTATATTGCGCGCCGTTTTGCGGCCTGTCACCCAACAGCCACAGAAAGCACAGCTTTCACATCTTCCGTGGCGCAATTGGCTAGCGCGTTCGACTGTTAGATTTGTCTTCTGGCATATCAGCTATCGAGAGGTTGACAGTTCAAGCCTGTCCGGGAGAGCTTACCTTTTGCTCAATTGCAGCCCGTTGCCGGGTGTTTTTGTATCTCGGCTTCGGGTTCTTGTGCGGCATAGTTTTCCCTATGCAAGCACAACGTCTGCATTCTCCCTTGATGGCTGCACAATCATTTTGTTGCAGTTCTACGAACGAAGACAGGAATCCATGACTGACAGTCTGGTTGCAGGATTGCCAATGCTGGAATTGCCCAAGTCAAGCCATTGCTAGACCTTACCACCGAAGACTTTGAACGCATGTTTAGAATCAACGTCTTCGGTGTACAGAACTGCTACAGCGCTGCAGCTCGACAGATGATCTCGCAGGGTAATGCTACTGCTGAAGCACCCGGCAAAATGTTAGCTGCAGCATCGATTGTCGCGTTCAAGCCTTTTGCTCTCCTCTCGCACTACTCGGCATCCAAGTGGGCAGTCAGAGGACTGACACAAGCGTATGCAATGGAGATGGCCGAGCACCACATCACCGTCAATTCATATGCACCAGGCATTGTTGGTACAGCCATGTGGGATCTCATCGACGAGGAGCTGGGCAAGAAGCGCGGAACTGACCTCGGGCAAATCATCAAGAAAGGCGAGACGATCAAGAAGTACACCGATGAGTTGATTGCGCTGGGTCGTGTCTCTGTTCCTGAAGATGTTGCCAAGCTGGTTTCCTTTTTGGCATCATCTGATTCCAACTACATAACTGGGCAATGTCAGGTGGTTGACGGAGGTATCATATTCACGTAGATGACAGTGACTGTGGTTGTATATGAGTAAATAGTTGTATGAAGGATGTTCGCAAAGACGGATACTCTGAGAATGAGAGTAAAAAGCTTGGCAAAGCGATAAGGGCGATAAGACCAGCAGTGGCCGAGCAAAAAAGTTGCGTCATGCAAAAAAGCCTCCAAACTGCTAAACAGTGAGTGAATCTGTATGCAAGGACACGAGCAGAGCCAAGAGTAGACAGTACCTAGGAAACAGCAAGCGACATTCTGCAAGAGTAGACATTGTAGGCTGACACGGTGGGTGCTCGGCGGCTAAAGCAAAGGGTGGAGGAATCGAGAGGGATACAAGGTTCAGGTTATCCGCGTTGTTTACGCTCGAAGCGGGGAGACAACAACAGCGACGCCCGAGCCGTCGGTCTGAAGCGCCTTCGTCTGCCATGCGACTTGGACCATTCCACTTGCGCCAACTGACCTCGACTCCCGACCTTCGACGCTCGACTCTTGGTGCGACTTTGGCCTTGCACCGCCATGGACCAGCAGGCGCAGACACTGCTGACGACGCTCAAACGCTCGTCGGCCGCCTCGGATGCGAAGCTCACCCAGCTGAACAATCTCAAGTCCGACATCAAGCACCACCGCGTCCCCGACACTGCCCAACCCGTCATCTTTGAATGTCTGCGCGTCGCCTTGACTCAGCAGGCCTCGAGCACCCTCGCCACCGCTGCTTTCACCACGCTGGGTCATCTTATTAAGCGCCTGAAGATCCAGGACCCCGATGGCACTTCTATTGTCCAACACGCCCCCAAACTCTTCGCCGCTTTGCAAGAAAGACTAGGCGACCTTCGCGAAAACCACCGCAATGCTGCCTCGCAGGCCTTCGCCGATGCCTGGCACTTCTGCCCCCACGACGTCGAGAACATCATCCGTGACCAAGTCATCCCTGGCGCAAACGTGCGCGCAAAGGACACTGCAATGCACTGGGTTGTGCGCATGAATCGCGAAGAAGCACTGCCCTTCAAGAGTTTCGTGCCTTTGATGGTTGCAAATCTCGAGGATCCCGATGGCGCAGTCCGCGATTCGGCCAAGGGTGCTTTGGTTGATCTCTTCCGGTACGTTGCCCGCTTCCTTTGAAACACGCCCGCTTGTCTAACACGTTGGTTGCAGAAACGCTCCAGACCGCGCGAAAGCCGACCTTAAGAAACAGTTGAACCTGCATGGCGTTCGCACAGGCATCGCCTCTCAGATTCTTACACAAATCGACTCAGACAAACCATCCGCTCCTGCAATGGACATGTCACAGTCCACTCGTTCCCTCCCTGCCATCGATCCACATCTCGCCGAGAGTATCAACAGTGATGCGGCTCGCGCACCTCCTCTCGAAGAAATTCCAATGGACCCCATCTTCGTCCATTCGCAAAGAGAGCTCGAGGACACATTCAGCGATATGCTTCCGCACTTTGAAGGCAGAGAGAGCGAGGAGAACTGGGGCAATCGCGACAAGAGTGTCACCAAGATGAGAAGACTGCTAAAGGGAAATGCTCCCACGGACTATCACACTCTCTTCATGACTTCCATGAAACACATGCAAGCAGGTATCATCAAGGTCGCTACATCTCTGAGAACGACCACGTCCAGCAATGGATGTTACTTGGTACAAGAGCTGGCCAGGGCTTTGGGTCCGGCTCTTGATCCAATGGTCGAGATCTACCTGCAAACCTTTGTCAAGATGTGTGCGGCTACCAAGAACATTGCTGCTCAGAACGGCAACGTGACGGTTGACACCATCTACCAATACGTGTCGTATAACATCCGTACCATGCAGCATGTCTGGGTTGCCTGCCAGGACAAGAACGTCCAGCCGAGAACGTTTGCTTCTGGCTGGCTTCGTACTATCCTCAGTAGGCAAGCTAGCGCAAAGTCTCACTTTGAGAGTACTGGAGGTCTCGAGCTTGCCGAGAAGTGCGTAAAACACGGTCTCAACGACTCTCAGCCCAAGGTCAAGGAAGCCATGAGAGCTACATACTGGGCTCTGGCCAAGGTATGGCCTAACAGAGCCGAGCTCATCATGAACAGCCTCGACCCCAAGGCAAAGATTGCTCTTGAAAAGCATTCACTGAACCCGAACGCCTCTGTCTCTAGCGCCTCGACTCTTCGCACCTCGACCGCAAGCAGAGCAGGAGCAGCCTCAAAATCCTCAGTCAGGGATGCCATAATAGCAGCGCGCAAGAAGGCTCAGGCTGAGAGTCGCCCCAGCTCTGCAATGGCCACTGTCTCACCTACCACTGTGAGATCAAAATCATCGAACAATCTATCAGCTCGCCAACCCTCCGCCGGACCTCCTGCATCTGCCCGTGTTCCGTCCGCCGCGTCGACTTCGTCTTCCACATCTACCAACGCAAGACCCAATGCACTGATGTCTGGAGCCGCCAGGCGGCCGGTCAGACGCCCAGAGATCTCGCGCCCTGCTACGGCAGATCCTTACGCAAGCCGCAGACTAGCCAGACCCGAGACACCTTCTATCAAGAGTCCTGTCACCAGCCCACGACAGGAGATCGCATCTGCCTCGATGAGTGCATCTGCAAGCAAAACCCGTGCTGATGGAGGCAGCCCGGCCATGAGTCCTTTCCGCCAGTCTTATCTCTCTCCCAGGTCGGCTGCGAATAGGAGTCGACCCTCCAGCAGAGATAGTAAGGCAGAAGAGCCTGTCGTGCCGAGAGAGGATGAGTTCGCTTCCTTTGTGCCAACTTCGCATAGAAACCACCTTTCGGCCTCCCCCAATTCAACCAGAAGTCATCTTCCGACTTCACCACGATCGACGCTGCGTCGACCGACATTGAATGGCTCGGCATCTGTGGACAGCGTGCTGCCTGTGGTCGCTGACGACACCTTTACTATGGAGTTGCCAACCGTACACAGATCGCAAGCGCCTGTCTTCGAGCGTCGTGCTTCGCACTTGTCGACCGTTGATCCTACGACGGATGTCCAGCCCTCAGAACCACAACACACCCGGCGGGCGTCGGATAGAAACGATTCACCCATCACAATCAGCCACAGGCCCAGCCCTCAGAGTGAAGCCAGTCCTCCCAAATCAACCAGTGCTGTAGCATCCGCTGCGCCCACTCTGGCCTCAGCTGCTCAAATTGAACCCGCCGCCCCTCCATCCGAAGAGGCCGGTTTCCAGATCCATGAAGATCCGTTCATGGAAGGCATTGAGGCATCAGAGGCGCAAAAGATGCGACAGTCACAAGATGCTCGCAATGTGCTGGGCGAAGTACCAGTCAACGAGTTCAGCCAGGTCGAGAGCTCCAACCGCGATGAGCTGCCTAGAACAGAGGACTCTCCACCGCAGAGCCCACAAACCAAGTCCGAGACTCTGCGCTCCAGAAAGCTGCTGATGTCAGGTATCGAGCGCATACGGGGACGAACACTCGATGCACACGGTTTTAGAAAGGTGCTCGAACTGATAAAGGCATCCGAGTCGGGAGACATCTTTGGCTCGGTGGGTGAAGGCAGACGTTTTGACGACCTGTGCAGTGTCCTCCTTGAGTACATTGTCGAATCCTCTGACGCTGTGGCGAATCCTGCCGTCCGACACTCGCAAGAGCTCAGGAGACAGGCTACCAGTGTGATGAGAACTGTTCTCGAAGCACAGCAGCCGGTGTATAGAAAGTGGATCGCTGCTGGACATTGGTACCCGCGGGCGCTCACCGGCGCTCTTGATGCACGCAAGAATGTCGAAGGCTCGGGACTGCTGGTCAAGGACCTTGAAGCGCTCGCTAGTGATGTCGTGGCTAGAATCCACCCTGACGAGGGCGAGAAGGCCATGATTGAATGGCTGGAGCGTCGCGTGTCGGAAGCAGAATACGATGCGCAAGAACAAGAGCTCGATGGAGCCGTTGCAGCCGTCCAAGCCAGGCACGGCGATGAGAGTCTGGTGCGCAAGAACAAGGCGATGGCACTCGCACTGCGCAACTTGGCCGCATTGATTGCATCTACTACCGCGTCTGCTTCCCCTCTGTCGAAAGACTTGGGCGAACGCGCTGGACGTCTTGCTGTTGTGTGTCTGCGCTCCAAGGACGCAGAAGTGCGCAAGTCGTCCGTCGAATTGGCAACACAATTGCACATGAGTTGGCCATCAGACGCTGACAAGCAACCCGACTCGAAGAGTGAGTTCTGGAGTATGCTTGAGAAGAACGGTTTGCCAGAGAGCGCCCGCAATCTGATTGTCTATTTCATTGCACGCAGAGAGAGAAGTGGTTGAGCGGTAGTGGGTGTCATGGTAGGATACTTTTTCTTTTCAATCTCGCGGTTTCTGGGATCAAGGGATGACACAGCATGATATCACAAAAGGGGACAAAGGGAGAGGCGTGGCGCCAGAGGAGTCGTGGTCTTTTTTAATGTTTTTTCCTGAGCGAAGGTGAAAGATCATTTTCTGCTTCTCATCTTTCTGACAACATGTAACGTTCTCGGTCTTCTCGTACAAGAAGGAAGGGGCAGTCCAATCGTTCTAGCTGGGTTTGGTTAGTCCAGGTGCGCTCCTGCCTGTCTGGATGATGTGATGTTTATGTATGCGTCGAGGTTGAGATGTGGAAAATTGACATGGAAGAATGATGTGAACCGCGGAATGATCTTGAAAGGCGCACGGCGGAGCAACGATACAAGGTGAAACTCGAACTTATTTCGATTCGAAGAGATCCGGGAGGCCACGGCCAACAGCATCATAACTAACTAGACCTCGCGATCGTTGAAGTTCATGACAATTCATTACTCCATCCTCCTCGGCAGCTGCCACAGCAGATCGGCATCCTAACACTTCATCTCTCAAACCCTCCGGTCATAACCCATCCCTCCCCTTTCAGTTACAGTACAGCAAGGCAATGTAAGACAGCAGCATCAGAACTACCTCATAGCAGCATGTGTAGCCAATGTCTGCATACTCATACGATCTTGTTGCCTGATCTTCTGCTTTTCCCCTGGTGACAAAGTCTCCTTGGCCTTCTTTTGTTGTTGAACAGGCTCGGTCGTCGATGTGCTGCTGATGCTGATGCTCGAGTATGTGGTGATGGGAGTGTTCTTTTGTAGGAGCTTAGTCCATGATGATGTGGATGATGTTGTGTTGATTGAGGCTGTATCTGAGGTAGAGGAGGAAGAGGAAGCGCTGGAGTTGCTTGCCAAGCGGGAGAAAGGGTTGGATGGCATTGTTGTGAGGTTTGTTGGTGATGGTCTGAGGTGGTGGACTGCAGATCTAAGGCGATGAAGTGGTCGATGTTGTTCGGGTCTGAGTCGTGGATGGTTGATATATCCAGTAGGATCAGAGAAGTGCAAGTTTTGGTGCAGCGTGGATATGGTCTGACAATAGGCAACAGGGCAAGGATACAAGCCAATGGTAAAATAGGTAGTAGACTTGAGATGGATACACCAGGCAACAACACACACCGCTACCTCTCTACTTATACAAGGCTCTAGCTTGCAGCATCAAGTCATTGCGATGACTTTTACTTGCAAATCTTGACTCTTTTCACGCCCTGTCGGCGATGTTTGGGAACGAATGCTGCATTACTCATCCTACGCGCCTTTGGATTGACATCTCTGCCTGGAGAAAACGCGACCATCAGCCTTATAGGCTGACACGACGACCTTGGTGGTCCGAAGTAGGAAGGATTGTGGATCCCAGATGGGACACCGCTGGAAGTAGAACTCGAGGAAGTTGACGTTGCTGAGTCATCTGTGGTAGCTGTGATCCCTGAGCATTGAAGCTTGTTCGAGCTATACCTGTACTGTAACCCTTGTCAGAAGCGCGAGACCATTAACATTAGCATATGCTTCTAAAGTCCAGCTGTTGTTTGTTGCATTATTGCTTCTGGTCTTCTACAATCGAGTGTAAGATACGAAGTACTGTGAAGCGATATCGCCGACCTTCGCGAAATGCATCTGTTATAGGATTTTGACTCACAAAACCACGCGATGTGGCGTTTTTGCGGCTTGCATCGCGAGAAAATGATTCCAAGCACACAATATTCTTACTTCTAGCATAACTCGGTTGCGCGATTGATGAAGATGTCGTATCTAACCCGACACCAGTAGGAACAGGAACATCACCAGAATATTAGGTAGTCTTGAGTCTGTGAAGAAAATTGTATATTTACACACTGAACTCCCTCGGATCTTGAGGAAGATTCATAGATACTCCTGGGTAAATCGACAGCCGACCACTCCTTTGACGCCTTTTTCCGTATGCAGAGAATACAACAAGGGGGGTTAAGAAATGTCCCCGGCTCTTTTGAGGGGCGCCACAGATACAAATGCTTGAATGCATAGAGGCTGGCGGAAAGGGCTGTACGGGTGGGGAGCGGTGGTAGTCCGGCAGCCTCTGGCCCGCGGACGCAGGTATAACTGATAGTACAAGAAATTTACAAGTCGTTAAATGGATCTCAAGTGACAATCTCGCCAATGTCGATCATCTGGGGCTTCCATTGCGTGGTGCCAGATTGACTGGGAAGAACAATGTTCTCGCGGGGAGGCGAGTAGAGGTACCAGGAGCGAAGAGCGGTTGCAGTGGCACGCACACGAGCCTCGTCCAGACTTGAGCCAGCGGCTTCTCCTAGCTTGTCGCTGCCGCTGTAGACACCGACGACAAAGACGGGACTGCGAGAGTGACGACCAGTCTCGGAAAGCAGACGGGCAACTGGCGGCTCAAAGCCTTCACGTGCACACAAACGAGAGAGATCGCGGGTTGGGTGGGTGAAGGAGAAGAGAGTATGCAGGGGAATGTGGCGCGAGAGGATGTGAGCTTGGTGGAAGGCCTGGGTGGCTTGGGCACCGGCGTGTAGGTAGAGGGCACCGAAGACGGCGTTGATGAAGGTGGCCGAAGCCTCTTCGGTGGTGACGCCGGCCTCAGGGTTGTGGGAGTATTCAGAGGCCGGGGCGTCTGCAGTGTCTTGCAGGTCGCCAAAGTTGTTGTCGTAGACAATGCGAGAAGAGGTGCCGCGGCGGTAGTTCCATTGTGAATTGGGACGAGCGGAGGCAGATTTGTCTTGAGCCGAGGGCATGTCCTTTTGACGAAGCATGGTGCCTTCGGCCATGGCGTTTCCGGGCTTGATGCGGGTGAATTGCAAGAGACCAGGGTCGACCTCGACACCGGGGGCGGCGACGGACTCTACACCCCATTCCTCGCGCATGGCTGAGAGAGTAGGCGGGCCCGAGTAAGCGTACTGGGCGGCGAACAGGACCTGCATGGGGAGGCGAGGGTAGTTGCACAAGAGCCACTCGGCAGTGTAGTTTGCAAGCAGGTCTTGGCCAATGACAGCGAGCGAGGCATTGTTGTATAGAGGGTTGCGATCGGCCGAGGGGTGTACCAGGCAGCGTCCGAGAGAGCTAACGGGGAAGCGCGGTGGGAGCGAAAGACGGGCATGGAGAGCGCTGAGCTTGGGAGAGTCGATGCGAGCGGCTCTGACGGTGACGGGAGGATTGAGATTGTAAGTCCTGGAGAAGTTTGAGACGGGGACAGAGGTTGTGTCCAGGATGGCTTCGTCCAGTGTTGCAGGTTGTGATGGTGTCACGGGGGCATCTTGGGCGAGGCGGGACGAGAGGGCAAAGGCACGGCGAGAGGAGGCTGTGGTCGAGGTTGGCGACAACAGGCGGAGTGAGCGCGGCGACAGCAATGAGCGGCGCATGTGGTGAGTTGCAATACGCTCCATGATGTTGGCCTTGACCTCGTTGTCGCGCGGGCGAGGAATTTGTTACAGTAGATGCGGCCAAGATTCACAAGTGCACGGTCCAAGTCGAGTCCGCAGCTCGCGACTCCATCATCAAAGACAGGGCTGCACCGCAATACAATCACCACACACTCTGCAATACCCGCTCCATAACAATGGCCGGCGACAAGATCCCGTACGTTCTCCCTCGCCTACAGTCTTCAGACTCGCCTCGATAGCTGCGACCGGCACCCGTCCTCAGCCTACACACCCAACCCGCTCCCCCACCACCGACCTCCATCCTCCATCGCATCCCGTTCGTGCCATTTCTGACATGCTCTTAGCTACCCCAAGCACGTCTGGTCACCCGCTGGTGGTTGGTACTCACAACCCAAGAACTGGAAAGCCAACACTGCCGTTATGGGCCTCTCGGTCGTCCTCGTCGCTGGTGTCTTCTTCAGCCTGAGCGCCGACCGCGAGCACCGATACAAGATGCCTGAGCAGGGCCGTTTCTTCCCCAGCAGATAGTACACACCCTCTCATCCTCGCTGCCCCCCGGACCACGTACTGACCACAACCCTAGCTGGAGCCGTCAAATCCGCGAGCACGACCGATCCCTCACTTCCAAAGACGAGTAAACGTCGCTCATATATGGACTAAAACGGAGTTGGGGGCCTGCATATTTGTACTTTTTTCTTTCGATTGCTTCTTCTTCACAGCCAACGACGCAATACCATTACAGTCAAACTGCTTTTTCATATGCATTGCATAGAATATTCCTTCATTCTCTCTTCCACCACCACTCCGTTCCATACTTCTTTGCCCTCTTTTGTTTGCAATATCGGCACACCTACTTGTTCAATCATGAAGCTGGCTGCTACATTACCCCACTTGGATGCCTCGACAGCATCACCTGTTCTGACCAGCCCAATCGCTAACCCTCCGAGGAAACCATTGCCTCCCCCTGTCGGATCGATGACTTTTTCCGGTGTCGCTGCATGGAATGCTGGAAGCCACGCTTTCTGAGACGATGAAGCAACGTAGCATCCGTCTTTGCCCGATCGAACAACCACTGATATCCTGGATGCTCGTTCCGAGGACACGCTGGAGAGCAGCTTGGAGCTGCAAGACTCGATGACTTGACGGTCTACGTGGCCGGCTTTGGTGGTTGCAACGACCGAGAACAAATCTGACAATTCTGCGTGATTGGGACTGATGACATCGACATGTTGGAGCGCCCTGATGGTATTGTCCAATTCGGCTGGTACACAGAGATCTGGTACGGGTTCCCAGATAAAGAGAGGGTCACGGAGAGAGTTACCGAGTTGGGCCCTCCGAGACTTGATGCCGTCGACCAACTCAACGCAGCGGGCAGGAGCGCATATCAAATGGAACGACTTGGCGGATAGCAGTTCGGGCGACAAGTCTTTGGCGGTGATGCGGAGCTTGGGTGTCAAATACTTGAAAGCTTGCAGTATGTTCAGTACAAGCAGGGGTTGAGGCGGGTAGACATACCGCGATGTTCGTTGGCACCGTAGCCATTCCAGCCCTTTGTGGTGGGGCCGTCACGTTGTCTTATCAGGACGGCAGTATCCCAAGCAGCTATCATATCACGCAAGGATGAAGGAAAGTCATGACCAGCATCTACAAGCCAGCCGACTCGCTTGGATCGAGGTGATGGTGAGAGAATGCGAGCACCCAAAGCACTATAGGTACCAGCACCTCCGGGTATATTCAGAAATGGAGTTTGGTCAGGAGCAGATGGGGCAGGATGGATGTCATCTGTGGGAGACGAGTCTCAGCATTTCGGATTGGCAGGCACGATAACGGCAAGAAATATATACGAGAGCAAGGGGTTGACTCACCAATGATGAACATGCCAGTGGTACAAAAGTCAATGGATTGCATAGCGTCTGGCGCAGAAGTCAGAGGGTCAAGACAGGACGTGTTTGAGGGTGGTTTGGCGATGATGGTGAATTGGCGGAAGACGGAAGTGGCTTGTCTCAGTTGTTTGGCTCGTGCACACTGCCTGCATTTGGCGGAGTGAGTGGCTGGCCGGGGTCCAAGGCCATCATTGGCATTCGAGTACGAGTAGTCGACTTGCAACCCTTCCAGACTTGCTGCCTTTCCCAACCATCTTCTTGTCGACACACAACCCATCATGGCGACGACGACGAGCAACCTCGGCATGCACAATCTCACCACGCTGATCAAGCGGTCCGTCTACAGACAACATGTCGATTCCAGGCACGCGTCGTACTGACCCCCGTGTCCAGACTCGAAGCTGCCACTTCCCGCCTCGAGGACATTGCTACCTCGTCGGCTTCTTTTGACCAGCCCAGGAACTCCGTCGCCGACCTTGGTGCCACCCATTTGCCTTCCTCGTCCAGTGCTCCCGAGCTCCCTGGCATCGCCAAAGATGCCCAACAACCTTCAGCCCCTGCCGCACCCGCTCTCCAGGCCGACACCACTCCCAAGGCCATACAGGAAATGGACAGGCTGATTGACGAACACGTCGCCAAGTTTGTCTCGTCTGCATCGGGCCTGGACAAGAACATTGAGACTCAGGTACCCCAACCACTATAACAGATGCTCGCACCAATCCTTAACCCCTGCCAGGCACACGCCGTCGAGCGCGCATTTGCTACCCAGCGCCACTACCTTGTCATCGCCAACAAGGCCAAGAAGCCCGACATGACTTCGCCTGCCTTCTCCGAGCTCATCAAGGATCTACAACAAGAGATGGGCACTGTGAACGACATCAAGGACTCGAACCGCGCATCCCCCTTCAAGGACCACCTCAACATGGTCGCCGAGGGTATGGGTGGTCTACAGTGGGTTGTCTTCGAGGGCAAGCCTGCCGACTATGTTGCTGAGATCCTTGGTGGCGTACAATTGTTTGGCAACAGAGTACTCAAGGAGTACAAGGAAAAGTCCGTCGCACGTGCAATCTCTCTGTCCGCTTACGTCAACTGACCGTACATCAGGGACCCCAAGCACGTTGCCTACGTCCAATCGTACTACGCTATCTGGAAGAACCTTCAATCCTACATCCGCAACCACTACGCTGCTGGTGTCACATGGAATGCTCAGGGCATGGACCTTGCAAAGGCCCTCAAGGATGCAAACAACGCTCCCTCTTCTTCACAATCCGCTCCTGCTCCTCCTGGCGCTGCAGGAGGTCCTCCACCACCACCCCCGCCGCCACCGCTTCCTACTTTCGACAACGCGCCCCCTCCTCCGCCTCCGGCAAACAAGTCGACCGGTGGTGACATGGGTGCTGTCTTCGATCAACTGAACAGAGGCGAGTCTGTTACAGCTGGTTTGAGAAAGGTTGACAAGAGCGAAATGACACACAAGAACCCCTCGCTACGCACTACTTCTACTGTCACTGATCGGAAAGGAAGCCAAGACAGTATCACCCGCAGCCGCAGCAGAGGCCCCGAACTCAAACCTAAGCCCGATAGCATCCGTGGAAAGGGTCTTTCCCACCCCACACCCAAGAGAGAGCCTAAGAAGGAGCTTGATGGCAACAAATGGATCATTGAGAACTTTGAGGATGCCGATGCTCCTATCGAGGTTGAGGTCTCCGTTACACAGTCCATCCTCGTCACAAAGTGCAAGAACGCCACTATCCGTCTGATTGGCAAGGCCAACGCTATCAGTATCGACAACAGCCCACGCACTAACCTCGTTATCGACGACCTCATCTCATCCGTCGACGTCATCAAGTGCCCCAACTTTGGCTTGCAGGTTCTTGGCAGCCTGCCCACTGTTATGCTTGATCAAGTTGACGGTGCTTCTATCTATCTCTCAAAGGAGAGCTTGAATACTGAAATTTACACCTCCAAGTGCGCAAGTATCAACGTCAACCTGCCTCCTCAGACCGAGCAGGACGATTACAAGGAATGTCCCCTCCCTGAACAGTTCCGTACCTTCGTCAAGGACGGCAAGCTTGTCAGCGAGATTGTTGAACATGCTGGTTAAATGTAATCATACTCCACATTGGGTAGAGGCCGAAAACCATGATATTTTGTAGGATAGATAGGACTGCCCAGTTGGCAGGTTTGATAGGCAAAGCAAATATTTAAGCGTATCTTATCACAAACTTTGTTGTATGTACCTGCTTTCCTCTTTTTTGCCAGAGACAAGAGTATCAAAATGTTGTCTTCGAGCAGACAGGGTCATACCGTAAGCAAACATCAAAAGCACTATATCAACAATAACGTGCCACATACCTGTCTTGGAGCAGTCATGCTCGGGTAAGATAAGCAAGAGGTACTTTTCGACCTGTTGTGTGGTTGTGGTTGCTTAAGGTCGTGCTGTTCGACAACAATATGACTTTTCGATTTTACATCAACGCTTCACCATAACGTGATCTCAGACCACTCGCAACCCGTATAGCATTTTTCATCGAAGGAAAAACATTCGGTCACCCATGTTTCGAATTGTCCTTCGATTCTCGAACTCTTCTCGATTGCCTCTTCTATACTCCCTACCAGCATTAGTGATTATTGTATTCGGGATATATCTGATTAGCTGCTCTTCCTTTCAGCAGAATTCACTCTGGGCGAGAGCTGGCAGCGTATCAGGATGTACAATGTGAGAGAACAAAATGGATCGTCTCATCAAAGACCTTGTTATTGATGTAAAAAGCACAACACTGGAGCAGAGAAATATCATGACAAGACTTGTCAACACGATCACCACAAAGAGTCAGAGTCGTACGACAGATGTCCCAGTATACATGATTGAAAGTATGCCAGAAAGTGGATTATTGGCGGATTGATGAAGCAACTCACCTGAAAATACAAGATTGGCCAAGGAAGTTGAAAGTGATCATCCAAGGTTGCAACATCCAGCTTGCTTGATGCGAATGAAGCAGATAATGCTATCATGCAATGGGTGTACTCCGTACAGTACCAAGGAGCTTCTGATGTTCATCTTGTTGGAAGATACCCAAGGGGCATCAAGTAGAGGATGAAGCGTTCATGGGTCTCCAAGAGTAACATATAAAGTCCAGCTTCTGGATTCCAGTGTTCTATCTTAGGTCTGCTCTCAGATGGAGTCGAAATGTCGCTTCACCACACGGAGACCGGCGTTTGCTTTGTAAGTAACAATCTCACAGCATGAGTGTATGACTCCTTCCACCTCCAACGGTAGGCGTGAGAGTCCACTTTCTTGCATAGCATGTACCCAACGACAATGCTTACCAAGTTTGCTTCGAGCAATGTTCAGAGCTCACGGGAATCGTCGGAGGTGGGAACAGTCTGCACATGACTGTGAACTCTGTAAAGGATTCCTGATAGTAGCCCACACCCGAGTGACACCGCTTGATCATGTCGAGTACACAGTCGAAGTACTCGATGTAGCTGATCCTGTATTGGACATGCAGCCCCTGCGGCTCAAGGGCGATCATGCTTCTTTGGATCCCTTGCTCCTTCCTTTCGTGTGCGATTCGTAACAAGGCTTACGGCTGTAGGCCCACCACACAAAGTCGGCTCGTCCATAGTATGAGTGATAGACTCACCCATTCTCGACCGTCCCAGAGTACATGTTTCCCTGTTCAGCCGTGAGAGTGTTGATCTGTCATGCGTCCCGATTGCGAGACCGTACGGCTACCTAACCGTAAACAGTGTAGAGTGTTTAGGGAACGGCCATGAATCCCGAAAGCCGTCATCGAGAACACCTATTTGTTTGTCTTAGGTGAAGGTTCATATCTTTCTAGTTCCGATGCAACTCTTGCTTGGCCACTGTACAATCCTAATTCGGCTTTGTCAAAGAAACCGATGTTGCCTACCTCTACTTCTGTCCAGCGGCGGGTCGCTGCCTCGAGCCTGATATGGAAAACCACGATTCGTACGAACAACGATTCGCGTGAGCACAACGACGGTGCCAAGCGGGTGTCTCGGCGACGATGGACAGGCACGTCGTTGTTGATTCCATCGGCGGCAGTGGTAATTACAGTACAGCAAAAGCATCCGGTTGCTGATCGCCGCGAGGGAATGTGGCGTGTGTGAGGTCCACCCAAAGTACTACCTCGAGTCGACGATACCTTTACGAGATGCGAGTGAGTAGTATTTGCGAGCTCTGCAAAGGCCCCACCCACGAACCGGTGGGTTTGGTGCACTGTAGCTGCCGAATCCCAGCGCGATGGCCTGGGGTTCACGACTCGCAAGTCGTCGGCTTGTGCTGACTTGTCCTCGGCAGGAATTCCGAGGGAATGGAAAGAGTGGGACTTGGAGGCTGATGCCAGATCTTGGTGTTTGTACGCAAGCTGACTCGTGAACCGAGCAAAGGACGTTGAAAGTTGGGACTGTCGGGAATTTTGTGTGAGCATCGGAAGCCCCGAGCAGTGAGGCTTTTCGTTACTTATCTCCGTGACTCTTGTTGGAAAAGGAAGTTGCTCTTCTATAGCGTTTAAGCCTCATTTGTACGCGTCGTAATTTCTTTCTGTCTTGTATGGTGACAGTTACTACCATCGCCAATCAGAATAATGTTTCGGAGTGTTCGCTGCCATCAAATCCCGACCGAGGGCTTTAGTTCAAGTTTAGTCTAGGACAGTTCGAGGCAGAAGGAAACAGGTACAGGATATGCTGATCCTTCACTATCGAATCGACATACAAGCATACGTAGATGATCGAAATGAACCCGAGGGTGTCGGATCGAGCCTGAGGATCCTCTTTGCACCCATTTATCCTATCACTACTTACAATATAAAGCTGCGTACAGGGCCTCTAGTCCTGGGCGTCGATACAGTACTGCCGGCGCGTGATCAGTTCGATTCTTCGACTGAGCCGACTCATTGCGCCGAGCATAGCAGGCAATAAGAAGCTCGAGTTGTGTGACCATCTCTACATATTGCGTAACTTTGGCGCAGGAAGAAAAGTCCTGTAGAGGAATCGCGGTCAACAAAAATAGCTTGATTCCAAATGGTTTGTCTCCACTGTAACTTCAAGATCAGGGCGTTCATCTATAATTGCTGACACTAACTGGCACGTGGTGACCAAAGCATTAGAACTTGTGGATCAGAACATCAGAAGCCCTGATGTCTGCCGGTGTATTGGTTGATTGCGACAGGAGTAGGGACAGAGAGCGGTGTCGAAGATCAGTCTGTAGTCGAGTGGATCACTAACGATGATTCAACTTGCTCGTGCATCCTGACTTCCTCCACATAGCTCGAGCGGCGCTCGAAACTTCCTCCGCGCCCATCATATTGCGGTTGAGTAAACGGCCGTAGTCAGTGAGATAAGTGAACTGCCCCTGTACCTTGAGACCAAGTCATGCACGCTGATCTTCGTGTCGACTTCCCCCCGATGACATGGATACCAAGAGGATGCAACCCTGAAAGTTAATCACAGTGGAACGGCATTCTGTTGTGTGTTCGCAAAACGCGAGACGCCTGATCGACTTGCTTCTTACGGTGCACCAGCAGTGCAAAAGCCTTTATCTATCTAGGGGTCATGTTGGTGTCAGCTTGAGATTGTCATGACAGTATCTGAATGCACAAAAGATGGCAGATTGAGTTGGATGGTAGAGATTGCAGTTGATTGGGCCATGTATAAGAGATAGTGCAACGAGTGTTCAGTGAACGTGCATTAGCAGGTGATGACAAACAGGTAGCCTGAACTTAGCCGCTTATCAACTCATCCTATTGTGTCTAGCGCGAATCGAGTCCATGAGCGCAAGACTCGAAACAAACAAGGCAGAATCGGCAACTCCGCGTCTCGGTTGAATGGTCGCGCATGAGAGCTGAAACCTTCTGCGATCAAAGTTCTACAGACGTGAACAGCGTGAGATCAAGGGACGCCGGACTTCCCAACGATTTGTTGCGCCTGCCGGATCTGTACGGAGAGTAAAGCAGAACGAGGAACTCAAACCCGGAGGCAGTTCCGCAAGAAGCGTCATGCCAGCCAGCATTCGGAACCACTGTCTCACCACGGCGTCCGAAGGAAGAGCTCTCAGCCAAGAGCCTTGTTCATTGCTCGAGCTCGAGACAGGTGAGAAGGTGACAATCAGGATGCGGTCAGACGTCGCAGCCAGGGGTGCCTCAATACAAAAGCGGCGCTGGTGCAGTGGAAGTGATAGAGCTTTGTTGGTGCATAGGCGCCTGCAAAAGTCAATCTATCCGCATACCAAAGGTACTTGCAGACGTGAAGATCTTGACCCTTTCGTAATCTTACACGGAGACTAAGACACTGTATATTGAGGAGTCAGGCGGCATTTGTTAGGGGCGGACCAAGATTTGGAAGGACTGGCAGACATCTGTTTCCGTACTCACTGTTGGCTGTAGCTGTGTATATCGCTCTCGAGAGCTTTGCTAGTGGCATGTAAGATAATTGTCAGTCGTACGCTCCAAGGTGCAACTGGTCCAGACCCCAGTTTTGTTCACACCATCGTCGCCTGGATCACTAAATTCATGGACTCCATGTGCTGATGTTGCCTAGGCTGATATTTAGAGTTACAGTCCTTGGCACCACGGCTCCCTAGGGTGTGGCTGGTCCAATGAGTACTTGAGGAAAAGCGACTGTCGCAGGGCCCAATTCGCTTGTTTCGAGAGACGCGGGCTTGATCCTGCGTCTGGAAGACGGCTGAGCACACGCGCAATCTTCAGAGTCCCTGTCGAGATCTACGCAGTAGCATGAGTGTGAGTTTGACTGTTACCAAGCCCTAGATCGTAACTTTAAGACAGAGTCGAGACATCGAACCAGACCTCGAGATGTGGCTGAGTTACGTCCACCTGTCAAGCCTTGAGAGCGTCGATTCGCCAAACGTCTCGGAAGAATTGCAAGGTTAAATTTCGTTTGTTGTCTTGCCAAGCGCATACGATATACGAGTGATAAAGAGAGCAGACTGGTGGGGTGTGGTAGAGAACAATCAGAGGAAGAGAGACCCGTGGCTATTGTATACCAACGCGGAGTTGTCGTGTTGAGATTAGATCTTCTTGACGGCCGTATAATCGGACTGTCCCCCCTAACTGATGTCACAGAAGACACAGACAGAGCCGCCGGGCGGCAAGCGCCCGATTCCGAATCTTGATCGATATAGCAGTGTTCGGGGCCGGTGACCAGTCCGCTATAAGGAAACGGGCGGCCACAACTGCTGAAGCCCTACCGCATGTACCAGACCACGATCCGTAGTTCCGGAGGTGAGTTCGACATGGCTAAGCACATTGCTCACGTGCGTGCTCCATCCTTGATCCCACGCGTACATAGCTTTAATATACTTCTCTCCTGCAACTAGTCATTCTTGCTTATGACGCGACATGGCTGGTACTGATTGGCTGTCTCACTTTTTGAGTGAAATTCTCGCTCTCTGCCAAATGAATGTCTGCAAATCCTGGCTGCGTTGGAACACTAGGAAGCACCGTTTGGCTGCGCCGAGTAACGCCCTGGTCCAGGGACAAAGCATGCAACGTGGAAGTTTATACAGTCCCATAACCAAAGGTCATGCATACAGTCAAAGTCAATTGGTTCTGGGTGCGCTCCGATGAAAATCTCACAGCTGAACGTCCATGTATGCAACAAACGATGAGTAGAAACAGAACGTTCATGTCGGATCGATATCTGCTGCCTGCGTGGGTCCGATGCGCTCAAGGGGTCACCACATGTTCCGAATAAACACCTTATTCCACAACTGCCGGTCGATCGCCAGCCATCTGAGAAGTTTTATGGGCAGACCACGCGCATGTGCCGAGTACTGCAATCCCCACAAGCCGGCGCCGTTAGACGGACGTGTGCTTGGATCAGGTTTGTTGATTGTAGCTAGTTTGTTGGACCGGCTGGGTAGAGGCCGATGATCCTGAGCATGTTTTTCTGGCAGATCCGTAATGGTCATTAGAAACGGCCCTTCGCACCTCTCCTCGTGTGGGCCCCGAGCCGCACTTTGGCTTTCTATCCTACTTCATCACTCTCTCAAAGTATTCGACCGTTGGTCCGGTCCTGGTCTTCAGCCCGCAGACCCTTTAGTGGCACATCAGCCAGAAAGCCCTGTTCCCCTGACGAACAGTCTCAATCAACGCTTTACATCATCTTCGGAAGGTTGTTCTCAGCCCTAGAACTGGCTGTTTTTGCATCAGCGAGCAGGGGCCGGACAGTTCATAGTACTTCCGATCTCTTTGAGCGTCTCCAGGCTCTGGATGGGAACTATCTGACCTGCAAAGCACTCACGCTTAATTGAGACACATCTGCTGTTACACAACGATTGGCTTACATGGTAACTGGTCCCTGATTCAGAGGTGGCCACCGTGGATAAGCTGCATCTCTAGGACCACCCTCGAAAGACTCTGACAAGTAACATAGTGGTAGGAGCAGCAACCCTGATCAACAATGATGGACAACGGCGCATGTGGACGGCTGCATAACAAAGTAGCAGTGTAGGTGGTTGACAACTTGTCTCGTTCAGAATCTCCAGTCAGCGTTGATTGTTCGTGTTCGCTGACAGAAGCAGTGTCACAGGTTCATCGTCTGGAATTGGTCGAGCGATTGCACTTCGTTTTTCAAGTGAAGGTGCACACGTGGTGTGTGCGGATACAGAGCCGACAGCCGACAGTGATAGCGACTCTGGTGGTGATGATGCAACGCACGATGTGATCCTCAAAAGCGGCTGCAATGCTCTGTTCGTCGCCACGAATGTAGGATGCAGCAGGGAGGTGGAGGATCTGGTGAGAGCAACGGTGTCCCATTATGGCCGACTCGACATGTACGTCCAATTGCCGCAGATATTGCGCTTGTCCCTAACATGCTCTGAACGCAGCTTCGTCAACAACGCCGGTATTACTTTTGACCTCGAGACGCTACAACCTATCTGGAGTGCCGACGAGGAACTGTGGGACGACATACAGCAAGTGAATTCGAAGGGCGTATTTCTTGGTTGCAAGTATGCATCAAGGCAGATGCTCAGTCAAGAACCACATCCAAATGGAGATCGCGGCTGGATCGTCAATGTCGCGAGTATCTTCGGAATGGTGGGGACGAGCAACTTCGCCAGCTACTGTGCCTCCAAAGGTGCCATTGTCAACATGACGAAGGCGGTCGCGTTGGACTGCGCGCCCCACAGGATACATGTCAATTGCATATGCCCTGGATGCAAGTGCAAAGATACTCCGGATGCATCGGTACGTGCTGACGAGACATGCAGGGACTTCATCTCAGATGACAAGCGAGGTATTGAGGGATGAAGAGACGCAGGAACACATAATCAGCCTGCATCCTTTCCGTGGACTGGGTATTCCGGACGATATCGCACGGGCTGTTGTGTTCCTAGCTTCAGAAGACTCTTCATGGATAACAGGAGTATGCAGGCTGTGTCGAAAGTTTGAGGACGTGCTAACGTCACCCCAGGTCGCATTGCCAGTCGACGGAGGATACACCGCCCGGTAAAGCCTCCTGTTACCGTGTCCTTGCGCGTATCCGGGAGACCCGCCAGTCCAGAGGGACGACCCAGACATAAAACCAACAAACACAAAACTGATGCTGGACATTAAAGAGTCGGATCCGGATATTCGGGAAGGGACACAGAATAGAGTTAGGATTGGTAGCAGGATACCCCAGCACGTTACTTTTTCTCGTCCGAAAGCGTATGCTTTACTATCGTCGTGTTGTTCTTCTCCTTCTCGTCCAACGCTGCGGACTCGGCATCGATGTTCTTCTGGACCTGCTCGACAGCTCTTTCGATCTCGAGCTCCATGCCGGGAAGATTGAATTGCTCCGCAAGCAACTTGCCGTTCCATCGCTTGAGGAGCATAACGTCAGAGGCATTGTTATTTGTCTGTCGAGTGATAAGATCGGCAACTTGTTGAGATTCGTTTTCTGAAGGCAGGCTGGCTTGTCTTGAGTGTTCTCGAGAAGGATGTATCAAGCCTGCGGCGTAAAGATCATCCAAGGCTTTCGATGGAGACATGGTGATCAAGGGCTCTTTGCTGTTGATTAGAGCTTCAAGGTATTTAGAGCCGTACAATGCTGAGAGGCAGTCAGCGAGTGAGTCTTGATCAGATGTTTGTCCCTGAGCTCGCTCAAGCCGGTATAGTGCCAAAACAATAGACATGGCTTGTCGAGGGCTCAGACAGTGATTTCCAAACTAACCTTTGAAATGCGACCACGCACGGAAGCCAAGGTAAAGGCCGGGGATATTTGGGATGACAGGGAGAAGTCCAACAGGAATGGTAAAAGGCAGGCCAATCAAACTGCCCCAAAACCTCTGCTTGTGCAAGCCCTGTCTCTCGGTGGCGAGTTTTCTCAGAATATCCGGAACTTTTTTCTGGTCCAGAAAGCGGCCGGGAAAGAGGATTTCGGTTGGTGTGAGGTCTGCAGTCGATGAGGGCAATGTCTTGAGACCCCATTCCTCGTAGGATATGCGGTTGAAGATGACGTTGCCGTAGTCGGTGAGCTTCTTCTTGTACTTGTTGGGCGAGTTTTCCCAGGATGCCCACGTCTCATTGGCCTTGTTGACGATGCGGTCGTGGTATGACAGTTTTCCGCTGGCGTTGACTTGGGTTGCGACGCGATCGCAGTAGACAAGGGTGCGCCGCGTTGAGATGGGAAGGAGGAACAGACGCATATCCGCGGCGGTTGTGCAAGGGACGTGTGATTGGTTGTTTTCTCCTGCTGTTGACAAGAAAGAGGGACTTGGAAGGAAAGAGAGGTCGCGGAATGCGTTTGTACTACCTGCTGCTCCCTGGACCCTTATCATGACGTTGTGGCTGAGTGTTTCATATGTGGCTTAGCAGCACACCAACTCAGCCACATATCGAACAGACCTCTCCGCGATGCTCGCATCGAACGGGCGAGCCTTGCAAGCTATGCCTCTCATTCACCCGATCACCACACGCATCATTCGGGATCAAGCAGTCCAATAAATCTCTCATCGCTCCATGGAAACCGACCCTTCTTCCAGGCGTTGCGAGGCAGATCTGGCCATGACCAATATCAGCAGCTTGTGGAGAAGGGCTGTAACAAAGAGCCGTCTGGGCCTAGATGTGTATGAATAGATACACAAACACTGAAACAACATGATTGTGATTACAAAGGAACATGATGCTGCGACTCCCTCAGCTAACGAAGACGCTCGACCACTCTTAGTACACTAATGACAAAAGTGAAGAGCCACGCCATCAAAGCAACAACCAAAACGCCAGATAGTCCCTGCTGTGACCGACAAATACGAGGAGAAGCGGGGCAGTTTGATAGCAAAGATTCGTTGTGATCAAAGCAAGCCCAGCGAGGGTCGTCCAATGCATCCAGAGCAAGCGATAGATTTGACGAATAGAAAACGATAAAAAAGAGATCGACCAGAAGGAGCGAGACTTTGGCCGTAGCACTTCGAAGTCCGAGACTGTTGCGAGATGGGTCAGCACTCATCCTATGCAATGTTGGCGTCCAAGATCGTCACTTACGGTTTGCTCAGGTATTCATCCCATGTAATGTAGCCAATATAAGGCACGGCAGCGCTGTCCAAGACGATGGCCATATACGTCGAGGCACGCTTGCTACAGGGACCTTCGCCCCGGCTGACTGCATTGGCTTCGTGAAACACTCTGGCCCCTAATCCAAGAGCAGCCACGGTAAAGGTAAGAACAATAAGACGGAAAACGAGGGGAACGAAAGGGTTTTTAAGGATGATGCGCTGCAACAAAGTCAGTAAACAACAGAGACACGGGGTGAGGTGACATTTGTAGATACCGTGATATGCGCAAAAGTTTTCGACCGTCTCTCCGGGGTGAAGAGCCAGAGGCCCTTGGGTTTGTCCTCGGGCTTCTCGGGTTCGGCAGCAGTCCAAGTGGTGGTGAGATGGGGCATGTTTTCGTCCATCCAGGCGTCAGAGACAAATCTGGCTCCAGGTACACCTCTTGGCTGAGGACCTGACAACATGTAGGGGAGCCATCGTTGCTGGTTGGTGTCGATGGGTTGGTCCAATAGGGGAGGTTCGGCAGAACGTATATGATCCCACTTGCGGCCAGGGGCTTTGTGCTGAGTGGGCGGAGCAGGAAGATAGTGATGTGAAGCGGGAACAGCATTGGCGAGGGGGAGGAGGCGCTGGTTCTGGTCTAGCGACTCATCGTCGCTGTCGTCTTCGGTATGGACCCATGGCGGGATGGAGCGGACAACGCGGTTGTCGGCGGATGACGAGTCGCGGTAGACGTGGTTGGAGGCGTTGAAAGTCGAGGATTGCGAGTCGGGTGCTTGATTTGATGCGGAAGCAGGAAAGCCCTGGAATGGCTGCATCGCCGCGCTATGGCGACGACGATTATGGGCAGATATTGGACGGCGCTCGTGAAGGCTGTGGCTGCTGGTGGGCGGATACGGCGGCTTGGATTTGTTTGACACGACGCGACATGGCCGCACTTCAGGTACACTCAGACATCGACCGGTCTCGAGAGTGCCAAAGACTTGCTAAAAGATTATGTAGCAGAGTTATAGAGATCATCCTTTTGTTACCCGCCATCAAACTCCAAAACACTCATCATCGACCAGCCTTCGGAAAGGTAAAACGTGCCGTCTGCCAAGCTGAACGTACCAACTTTCAAAGTCCTATGTCATGGTTCCCCTGCAGCAGTTAAGGTAAGTGTCACGCAAGCAACAAGAACAACACATGACTGTTATTCCTAGTCGCGTCACTCACAGCTTTGTTCATCATCGAGTGCAAGATACCAGTCTCGCCTTGGAGCGCGTCCACGAGCAATTCGTTGATCGCTTTGAACGCTCTCGGGTTCGCCATTTCTTCGCGTAATTTCCGATATCATCTTGCCAAAACCTTATAGCATCACGCATTGGCAACAGTACGAGTAGAGCACAACAGGCTTTGGCAGGCTTTGTAGAAGAATGCATGAATTTGCCATGACTTTAAAATGAAATAATTACTGAATGTTCCGTGGTATCTACTGCGTCTCTTGTTCCTTTTCCATAATGACACGCGACTTGTTGTGAAATGATTGTTCTAGTGCTCGAGAAGTCTCAAGCTACCCTGGACGACAACGTTCTCGAGGATGGAACCCGGGGGAATGTCGATGGTCTGACCCTCGCTGGCAACGATGATGACGGTACCCTTGCAGGTGACGCCACGGCCGAGGTTGACGGGACCGGTGATGGTCAAGTGGTCGAGCTCGAGAATCTTGGGGATGCTGGGAATGCGGCTCTGGAAGCTCGAGACCTTCTTGAAGTCACCACCGAGCTTGATGAGGGGAGCGGGACCGAAGCGGTTGGGGTCCATGATGAGCTGACCGTGCTTGAGGGTGTAGAGGTCAGACTTGACCAGCATCAAGTCGGAGCAGGTCTTGACGGGGAGGAAACGACGGCGGGGGACGTTGACACCGTGTGCGTTGTGGAAGTGACGGATGGCGGCACCGACGGCGGTCTCGAGCTGGACGATGCTGACATCGGCCTCGCCCTTCTTGTCGGCGGGGATCGACTTGCCGTTGGGGATGATCTCCATGGCGAGCTCGTTGTTCTCGACAATGCGCTTGACGGCGCGGAGGTTCATCCAGATGTTGTTGGTGTTGAAGTACTTGAACTTCTTGATCGACTTGAATTCGTTGACGTGCTCCTTGGGAACCTGTGCGATTTCGAGAAGACGGGCCTGGCCCTCGTAGTCAATGATGGTACCACCCTTGACATCGGCCTTGGTCTTGTCGGTCAACTCCATGATGTACTCAGCCTTGGTGTCAACCATGTGCTGGAGGATCTTGAGGTCGACGACAGCGCCGAGGTTGTCAGCGTTGGAAAGGAAGACAATCTCAACACCACGCTCGATGAGCTTGTCGAGGATACCCGAGTTGTAGAGCGACTCGAAAACATCACCGTGACCGGGAGGGTACCAGTCAGAGATCTGAGAGTTGGCCGACTTGGGGGCGGGGAGGAGCGAGTCCTTGAGGACACGGGGGTATCTGGACTGGTTGAAGGTCATGATATCGATGTTGTGACCCTCGTACTTCTTGATGATGTTGGCGGTGTCGGCGTCGGTGTTGAACGAGTTCATCAGGACGAAAGGAACGTTGACGCCGTAGGTGCGGTTGAGGTACTCAATCTGTCTGACCGAAAGGTCGAGGAAAGACATACCGTCACGGACCTCAATGACCGACTTGGGGCCGACACAGCCCATGGAGGTACCGAGACCACCGTTGAGCTTGAGGACAGCGAGCTTGTTCAGGAAGTCGACAGACTCCTGCTGGGGCAGGTCCTCGTAGGCAACGACCTGCTCGGGCTTGGGGGGAGCAATGCGGGACCACTCGATCTCGTTGCCCTTGGCCTTGTCGTTGAGGTATCTGCGGAAGAGAGCAAAGAAGTTGTCCATCTCAGTCTCGAAGCGCTGTTTCTCTGCGTTAGATGCTGGAGACCCGCCATGTTTTGAAGCTCAGCAAGCTCACCTGCTTCTCAGCGGGGTCGGTGACCGAGTCACAGAGGTTGTTCAATGCATTGCGCATCTGCGAGGCAGCGACCGAGGTCGAGGTGTTCTCGAAGGCCTAGTCGGAAACGGTCAGCAAAATTGCAAAAATCGAAAAGCGGAGCTGCTGGACGCGTATCGCTTCAGGTACACCACAGTACATGGATGCAGCTGAGGGTACAAGGGACATTTGTGTGTGAGATCAAAAATGCCTGCAGCAAAGGTGGGGGTTGGATGCTCGTGTCAGCTCAGCAAAAGCTGAGAAGAGCATGAACAAGCTCCCACACTCAATGGCAGCCATCTCCAGCCTGACAACACCGTGTCCAAAAACGCGAGGAGAAAAACACTCGCTGCCAGCTCGTGGAGGGGTGGGTAACGTACAACGTGGGACTGGGTCTTGCCGTGGTGTCTCTTCTCGAACTCAGCACCGCCATTGGGCTTCAAGTGGGTTGCCATCTCGGAGGACATGTGGGTTATGTGTAGACTGAATTGGACTTCAAGGTCGAAGGTTAGGAGCTGTTTGCGGAGGACACGAAGGTGGATGATTGACGAAACTCACGAGAAGAAGGTCAATCCAGAAAGAGGGGGATGGGAGAAAGGAAGAGAGAGAAGAAGGACGGCTGAAACGAGTGCGCCAGGATCGTCGACTTTATAACCTGCCAGCTCCGCCTTTGGTTCGGGGCAACGACACAACAATAAATCATTAGCGGAATCAATCACCAGCCTTGTCAGAATCGGGTTACAGAGCTACACTAACGCCAAGTCTACTTTTTCCCGCCGCAGCACGTTGAGAGTCGAGCTTCAACAACTTGAGCTCCGACAAGGGGTTGGGCAACTCACTATTGGACGACGAAAAAGCACTTTGGCAGTCATCTGTTCGAGACACTGTCCCTTGACGTAGCATTGCGTCGATAGAATTGCAACGGCTCTATGTATTGCTCAGGCCAATTCCTTCCAGACGCAATGCCCGTTGGATAAACCGTTCTACACGCCGAACGCGAATACAGCATCCAGCTGCACCACCGCAAATAAACACTGCTGCCGTCTTAAGTAGGCAGAGCTCCACCTTGGTAGCCTCAGGAAGTTCACGAACTGATCCGACCGAGATTAATGTGGAACATGGGGATGTCCAAGCTCTGCCATTGAGGACAGATTCCTTGCCGGCTTCTGGAAGCGCTGAACTGTAACCCAGCAGCCACTCGACTGAAGCGAGACCGACAGCCACTCTGCGAAAAGAGCCGAGTGTAAACCAATGTAAAAGGCACAGCTCTTCCCAACGACAGAAACCTTCTCGAGAAATACTTTGGAAGCTTCTCTACAAGACGCAAGCCGTAAACTTGAAACTCGGGGGCCCAGGGCGATCGACAGGACCGGGCGTATGTGCGCGGGGCCTGCCCGCCACGGACCGTTGCTATTCTTGTGACAGTGAGCTTCAGCCCGAGCTGCGTGTGGCGGACGTCAACGAGTGGCGCGTCTTCTGGATCAGTGAGCTGGCAGACAACTCAGCTGCAAGCCTCTCACCGAAGATGCAGACGGTTGAACGCGGTAGAAGACAAAGTTGCGGCAGGCACTCGGAGCCCGTAAGGTGGCGGCTTGTCCGACGCTTGCAGCTCTGCTTCTATCGCATGAATGACTCTCGGAAAGTCAAAAGGGGCACAGAATGTGATTGCACCTGAGCGTGATTAATGTGTTGTGCCAGGGTTGAAGACGAAAATCAATGTCCGACAACATCATAGTACATTTCTTTTGCTATTTCAAAAATCTCTAATCAAACGGGGTATCCTTTTCTAGACCTCACCTGTATGAACGCCTCGCTACCATCAATACAGAATGTGCAGCAACCCATGCAGGAACCAAAACCTAAAGCAAGCCTTCCACGCCGAACGCAAGTCCACGTTCATCGCCAATGCAGAATAACCAAGCAACCTTATCGTTATCATCTCACTTTGCTCATGACAGTCTCCATACCTCTTTCGACTTCCACCTCGGCAGCCCGGGCCTTGACAAGTCCAATCAAGGACCTGTCACAATCGTCGCGGGTTCTCAGCACAGCCTCGACCCAGCCAATCTGCAGGTCCCAATTCTCTCGCTTGAATTGTTCATACGCATCCGCGACCGCAGGTCCTTTCTCGGCGTTAAGAAGCTCGACGAAGGCGTTCACGGCTCTCCATTTGTCTTTGATGGCAGGGAACGAAGCTTCTTGAGTTGAGAAGAAGTTGAAAACAGTCAAAACATCGTCCTTGATCTTCTCATTGAAAGGATCACCACGTCTAAACTTGACGCCGCGATTGCGAATGGCCGATAGATATCGGACCAGCAGTTCATCAGAAAGCTCCTCGACGAGAACGTCTCTTAATGAAGGGTGCAATACATCAGAGTAATCGGCCAAGTAGTCTTCAAAGGTAGAGATGATCTGGGCCATTGCTTTCTTGTTGTACCATGCAGGTGTAAAGAACTCGGCAAGAATAGTGCGGAAGTCGACCGAGAAGATGAGAGATGTAAAGAGAGATATGCAATGCGTACCAAGGTCGACGTAGCCGTCCCGCAGAGTATCGAGCTCGGTGTTCGATGAGATCGCATATGCCGGTGTGACCATCGTCTCGTATTCACGTCTAAAGGTAGTGAGGTATGATATTTGCCCTTGGTCTTCCTGATCATCGATGCATGCAATTTGGTCGTTGGCAATAGCGACGAGCCAGTCCTGCAGCGGCTGCAGGCCTTCCTGTTCAACTTGTGGCATGGCAGGCGAAGTATACTTTTGAGCTTCAGAGTCGATGAGCCGCTGCCACATGGCCTGTCTTGATTGTAGAGCGCGCATCATGGACTCAACGACGCCTTCGACGACATCGGGCCTGTCAGAGGATGCCGCAACGGTGAGTTGTTCGCGTAGCATGCGCCACAAGTCGCCCAGGGTTTTGGTCCGAAGATGGCCTTCGGCGTCTGTGTCGAGTGTGTTTTCTTTGCGTTCCAAGAAAGTCTGGCGATCAGTCGCCGACATGCGATCCATCCATTGCTCCACAGCATTGGTGATGAGGGTCCTGTATTCACGGATGATGTCTGCTTCTCGGTCGTCGATGACGTGAGGATGGAGTTGATCAGCCGAAACCCCAAGCTTGTCCATCTTAGCGTAGTATTTGGTGACCCAATGGACGATCGCCAGCATGTGCGGCGGGTTCAGCTGGTCGTCTTGGACTTTGGAAACGAGAAAGTCGTGCATGAGTTTGTGATATATGGCGACATAAGTCTTGAAGATGCGCCACTTTCTAGGCATGAGGCTTTGCATGCCCAGTTTGACGGTATTGAGATCATTGAAGTACCAGCGCACACTCTTCTCAAGCTTGTCCGGATCCTCGAAGAAAGATTCTCCGGCTTGGTCGAATTGGGCCCGACAGTTGTATTCGATGGCTTTGAGAAACTTGTCTTTGTAGCCGCGTAGTTCTTTTTGGCCGGCATTCATGGACTTGAAGCGGGAAGCCAGGTCTTTGAACTCTCGATGAGCATGTTGAAGAGCCTCGACCTGACGGTCTTTCTCTTCTTCTTTTTCGACAATCAAGGCCAATCTCACGATGATACCATTGTTGCCTGACTGCACAAGCGGGATGAGGTTCAAGCATGCGGTACCTACGTGCTCGTCGAACCAGTCGATCACATCATCTAGCCTGGTGAAGTGGTCTTGCAAAGTGGCACCTGTTTCACCAAGCTGGAGGTTGTTGATGAGCTCGGTACCTGCATCTTCGGTGGATGACTTGATCGAGTCCAAAGCAATGTCTCGGATGTCGCGCAGTTTGGTGAGGCCGAAATGTATGGCAAGAAGATTGTCCTGGTTCTCGGGGTTCTCGTCGTCTTCACGGAGCAAGTTTTCGAGATGATCCAGGTTGCGACCGAAAGACTCGATTTGTGCCTTCATATCTTCGACCTGGGCAAAGTTGCGATGTGTCTGGGCGACTTTATCGACGAAAGGGAAATCTTGGATCATGTTCTGGGCCTCGACGCAGAGGCGGTCGATCTTGATCATCTCGTCTTTGATCAGATTGACAGTATGTTGACCGTCATTGATGCTGGACATTCCCTGCTGGGTGATCTCTAGCTGCTCTTTGAGACCTATACGCAGCTGGCCATCGACGGCGGCTTTTTTGCGTGTGAATTCATTTTTCAACGACGAGATCTTTTCCAAGTCATCAGGATGCCGCAGCAGCTCGGCAAGCCTGTTGGCGACATCATCCGTGTCATTCATGGCGAGCTCATATACGTGCGCTCCTGGCTGTAGACGAGACAAGACGGAGGTCTCTTGACGCGTTCAATGAATGGTCAAGGAGGAAATTGCGGGGTCCGGAAGAGCCAAGAACAAGACAGAACAGACGGACGGGCCGGCGTGCAATAAGCAATCTCAAGCGACTCGCCGCAGTCACCTTTTCTAATTCACGACCCTTCATTGCGCGACCTCTCTGGTGGGTAGCGACTGAGAGCCTCTCGCTGTTGACCAAGCTGCTAATGCCCGACAGACAGCCATGCCCTACTTCCGCATCACACTACTTCGCTCGTCGATCGGTCTGCCCAAGCAGGCCTCGGGCGTCCTCAAGGCCCTAGGTCTGCGCAAGCGCATGAAGACCGTCTACCATCCCGTCTCGCAGCAAGTCGCCGGTCAAATCTTCGCCGTCAAGGAACTCGTCGACGTCCAGGAGGTCGACCAAAGATTCTCGCCTGAAGAACTCAAGGAACTCAGACGACCCGATTCTGGCTTCTACGTCGAGAGCCGCGTACAGGACCAGCGCATGGATTGATTCGTTCAATCGTGCAACCATTCAACCATCAACCAACATCGTCTGCATTGAGCGCTAGCACCAATTTGCAGACAAGCCGAGCAGCTGCTAGTCCGCGTCTACCCCCAGAGGTCAACATACGATATCCCATCTTGTTAAGGCGTATACGGAGAGAAGACATGAATTTTTTTTTGGGAGGGACTTGCTAGATATTTTTGGGAGCGGGAGTAACAACATCAATCGAGAACTGCCACGGCACTTTCACGCATCCATTACATGCTATCCGAGAGCACATTTTACAGTCTTGATGCTTAGTAAACTGGAACTGCTACCATAATTTCTGCACGAACGAGAGGAAACAACAACAAAATCAAGCGGTCAAAGGTTCCGTCGTACTTGTCTCAGCAGCAAGCGCTGGTGGTGCTTCAGTCGGAACACGAGCAGCTGCGGCTGCATTCAACCTCTGATCGAGCGCCTTCAAGGCCAGCGCTCTTCTCCGCTCTGCTTCCTCTCGTCTACCTCCACCACGACCTCCTCTTCCGTCTGTCATCAAGCTGGGTAGCCCACCTTCTGCTCGTGCTGAAGCCTGCTCGTTGCTTTGGTCGATAGCGTCTTCAGAAAAGGGTACGCATAGCTTAAAAGCTACCATGGTCTTGTAGATGGAATCGGCCAGAGGATCAAGAACGACCTGTATCGAATCGGGAAAGAAGTGGCTGAAAGCAAACGTGTCGCTAGCATCGCCTTTTATGACGGCCTCTTGGCCCGTAGCAGTCGTAGCTAGCAAAGGAGCGACTCTGTAGAAGCGCAGGTATATCCAAGCGGTCAAGAAGCCGAGCCACGACAGGAAGAAAGCGGTGTCAGTACCCAGCAGTGGGCCAGACAAACTGTTTAGCAAAACGAAGACGGCTGGAAAGTGTTTGACACGGATGCGAATCGAAGCACGGAAGAGAGAGACGGTGTGCTCAGGGACGAGCTGCTTGAAAGCGACGAGGAAAGCGGCTTCGAGGGCAACGTTGCCATTGATGATGGTGTTTCTGGCTCATGTCAGTAAGGAAAGGGTGCAGTGTGGGTGGGGGCGAACTCACGCTCGGATCTGACTGCCTGTCACAGTGTACCACAAACAGTAGACGGCAAATGTCAACAAATTCGGAATCATGGTCACAAACAGGACGAACTTGGCGAACTCTTGACTGGTCCAGGCGCGTTCTAGGTATCGGCCTCCATAGAAGAGGGTGATGGCAGATATGGCGAAACTAACGAGGTTTGTTTCAAGCAGGGCAGCGGTGAGGATGGTCCATGGGTATTTCAGCGAGCGGGCAGGGATGATTGCCAGTGCTGGAACAGCCTGGACGCGGATGAGACTGCGCACACTGAACGAGGCATTAAGCAAAGATAGAAGCAGCAGAAGAAGTAGAAGGGCGCGGGTCAGCGGCGGTAGGTTGATGCGGAGTGGCATGGCGACGAGGAAGGAGAGATCGCTCTTGTCGAGCTTCGTCAATCAACAACTTAACGCAGGGTGCAGCTTCCTACTGTAGTCGCACGCACGTCAGGGACCCCGCTAGCTCCTTCCTCTCCATGCTAAATCTGTGACTTCGATTCGCGCCCCTCTCACGAATGTCTAAGACGATCCTTGGTATAATGTTTTCAAATTAGAAATGCATTCAACGAGAGCCCAGAGGGTCATGTCTCTCAATCAAAACTATCGTGCTTCCCAAGAGTATTGTGCATTCCAATAGCTATACAGAATATATGGTTTCGCAGGCTGCAGGCGGAGAGTTGGGAAGCTTGGCACGCCGATAGAACTGGCTGGCCCTTGCAGTCGAGGGTTGGTCGCATCGTATCGCATAACATCTTCCTTGGTGCACTTTCTCTGTCATTTGCACCAATTGCATCACTGTCCTTGTCGCCGGTGCTCGTATACATTCGACCGAGGCCTCTCTTCAGGCACCATGGGTGACGGAGCTCTGGGCTCGGACCACATCAATTACTTGATCCTCCGCTATCTGCAAGAAGCAGGCCACGAGAGCGCTGCCAAAGCATTGCACCAGGACTGGCACCGTCCGCAAGAATACCGCGATCCCGAGAAGCTGCCCTTTGCGCCTCTGGTCAAGCAACATGAGCTGGTCCACATTATCCAGGATGCCATCTTCCACGATCAGCTGCTCGCTCAGGTCACCAACCAGTCGCGCCGCTTCAACTTGACCACTCGACACTTTGCACACCGCGCCTCGACTGACACACGCCCGTCGACGACGACCCAACACGACTTTCCGCTTCCTCCTGCCAAACGTTCTCGGAAGAGCAACGATTCGCTGAACCTGGACGCCATGCACATCGATTCGCAACCACAAGACCCTCACCAAGAACCCCATCGTCATCCTACCCCAGACCTTCCTGAGCCAGGATACGTTCCCACAACGTCGTCTGCCACCCAGACAGACAAAAAGCTCAAGTCAAAGTCAGAAACCATGTACTGGGCTTTGGATCAACCCGACGCGAACATCATGCACGCTTTGTGGAATCCTCATCTCTCCCAATCCACTCGCTTGCTCACTGTAGGCGAATCTCTGTGCCGCTTCTACGATCTACCACATCAGACCAAGAACCCTCTCCAGCGTGCTCACCACACCGACGCCGAGACCATGACCAAAGGCTCCGTCATCACCGCTGCCTGTTGGCATCCCTCTGGCCGCTATGCTACCTGTGCTCTAGACTCCACACGTCGCTTACCAGGAGGCCGTCATGAATCCGTGAGATCAATGTTTGATGCCACTGTCCAAGGCACCAAAAGACTCTATGACCTCCAAGGCTACCTGCTTCAGCATTCTGCCATCGTTGTTGCTTTGCGATACAACAACTCTGGCACCCGCCTGTTGAGTGTTTCCACAAACATGAAACGCGGTCTGGTCGAAATATGGGATGCCAGTCAGCCCGCCGCTTCCCTAGATCCTGTAGCTGTAAAGCTCTTCAATCAGCCTGTCATTGATGCTGTCTGGGCTTCTGATGACTCAATCGTTGTGTGTGGTGAGAACCGTCTTGACTTCTATCAGATTCGCAATGCTTCGTTAACCAACGGTGCTGATGCCAACGGCGATTCGTTTGCTTCTACTGGCACAAAAAACTTTGCTTTACAGTACTCACATCCGACAGACAAGCAGTGGGACAAGGTGCGCTATGACTCTGTGAATGGCGTTGTTGCTGCGACTTCCTCCTCCGATGATTGCACCATACTGCTTGCCAAGACCACCCCTCGATGGGTCCCTCTGTCCGGTTTCCCTATCGAAGGCCCTGCCAGCAAACGTGCTACCGCCATGGCTTTCCAGCCACTTGATACTGCAAACAATACTGGCCCGAATGTGCCACGGCGCCTCGCCATAACTCACGATTCCGGGCGTGTAAGAGTTTACAGAGTCACTCCTAGCCTGTGTGAGACTCTGCACGAATTCACCATGGGTCCTCACGAAGCTGCCTTGGCTTTGTCATGGTCGCCCACAGGTTCTTGTCTTGCTGTGGCAAGCGAAGAGGCCGTGAAGATTTGGGACCTCAATTCTGGGTCTGTACCTCTCCTCACGTGGCGAGCCGCTGCAACACATTGGTACCAAGGCGACGAGAATAACTTGCCCAACGGTGATGAGACAGGCGACGAGCCGAGTCTAAACTGGGATGCTGAGGGCAAAAGACTGATATTCGCAGTGGGCCGTAAAGTGAGTACCTTTATATATCGTGTGTTGATACAACTTACTAACAGTTCTGTAGATGGCTGCTATACGCTTGTTAATGCCTTCCAAGACCGCTCAACCAAAAGATGAGTTCGGAGTTACAGACTGATGAGTCTTCGCTTACTGAAGCTTTGGAGAGAACTGGAAAAAGTACATGTTGTTCCTGCCAGATACCCACACGTTTGAACAGATGCTATTCTAGCTTTGAACCTTTACGATACACTACTCAAGATAGACCAGCTATCACTATGCCACATACTCAGCTTTGGAAAATTAACCAATACGCGTTTTGCAATCATGTCTCTAGTGGGAGTACATATGACCTTTTGGCGATTTACTATTCCTAATGCTTGCTCACAGAAGTCGTTGTATACTAGCCACAAGCATTTGTATCCTCTCTAGCCCGTCTTGTTTGGTCCCTCACTTGCTCATAGCCTCCAAGAAACCTTCACCTCCTGCCTTGGTCTCGACAGCCTTGAACTTGTCACCACCATCTAGACCCTTCTCTGCTCGCTCATAAGCTTCTTCACTTCTGTCCGTCAAAGTGTTCAGCTCCTCTTCCGACAACAAACCCTTGGTGCCCTCTTCCAGCTCGACTCTCTCGCCATCTTGCTGTTCCAGCAACTGCTGAAGCTCCGCAAACTCGGCACCTGACACCTCGCCCGCACGCATCGATCTGAATTTGCCCTTTTGAATGACCAGTTTTTCCAATCTTCGTTTCGACTCTGCTTTTTCCAATAGCAGTGTTTCCACCGTGCCTTTGGTTGCAAACCTATACACGATAACGGGTCTAGTTTGACCAATGCGATGAGCACGATCTTGTGCTTGCAAATCCTGCTGGGGATTCCAATCGCTGTCGAAGAGAAGTACTGTGTCTGCAGCTGTGAGGTTGATGCCTTGTCCACCTGCGCGAGTGCTCAGTAAGAAGATATTAGTCTCCGATTCTGGCGAGTTGAATTGAGAAATTTGCTCTTGTCGGTCTGGCTGTGAGACGCCACCGTCGATGCGGCTACATTTCCATCCGCGCAGGACCTCGCAGTAGGTTTCGATTAGATCGAGTTGTGTTTTGAACTGACTGAAGATGAGGACTTTGTGGCCACGTTCCAGCAAGGTTGGCATCAGAGAGTCTAGCAACAACATCTTGCCGCTTTCTGTCACCAAAGTCTCATCCACGTCACTGTTGTCTTCCTCCATGAAAGGATAGAAGAAGTTGTGGGGTGAGTTGCAGCAGAGACGCAACTGTAGCACAGGGTTCTGCAACTTCTTGGCTCCGATCAACTTCTTAGCCAGAGCCAGTGTTTGTGCTTGTTCTTGGGCTTCCTCCTCACTCGCGTTGAGCGACTGCTCTTCTTCTTCTGACTCTTCTTCTTGCACTTGCTTGAAGTAGGCAGTGTCAGACAGCTCCTCGTAATTCTGAGACTTCTTGGCTCTCCTGCTGCCACGAGCACTAGCTGTTGTTGCTGGTGTGGAGGCTCGGCTGAACTTGACGCTCTTGTTGGGTGTAGCGCTTCCATCCTCGAGTCTGCTCCGTTTCAAGCTAGCACCACGAGTGCTGCGGGGTGTGGTAGTACCGCTCAAGCTTTCGACAGCTTTATTCTCAAGATAGGCTCGACTGTTACCCTCAAGAATTTCTTTGTAAAGCTCGCGTTGCGTAGCTGTGAGTGGTGCATAGAGCACATATTCACGCTTCTTTGGAAGAGAGGTTTCGACGTCTGTCTTGATGCGGCGCAATAAAAATGGCTTTAAGATGGCGTGCAGCGATGTCACAAGATTGGTTTTACGCTCTTCGGACAGGATGTCTTCGTAGCCATTACGCTGGTTCAAAGCCGAGAAATCGAACCATGACTCGAAAGACTCAAGCTTGTCAAAGATAGTGGGCATGAGGAAATGTAGCAACGACCACAACTCAGTCAGATTGTTCTGTAGCGGTGTTCCAGTAATCAGCAGTCTGTTGGCTGACTGATAAGATTGCAGCTCCCTGATCAAGCGGCAGTTCAAGTTCTTGATGCGATGACCCTCATCGATGATGATAAACTTCCAGCCATAGTTGCCAAGGAACTTGCGGTCGTTCATGCAAATCTCGTAAGAAGTGCAAATGACAGGAAAATCCTTGCTGCCTGGATTCTTGAAATGTTTACGACGAATGTCTTCCCTCTCTTGCTTGGATCCATGATAGAGCACGACTGGGATATCGGGAGTCCATTTGTTGAACTCATTCACCCAATTGCTTGTGGTGCTCAGAGGCGATGCGATCAAGAATGGTCCGTATGTGCCCTTCTCACGCAAGAAGGCGAGGAACGAGATTGTTTGAATAGTCTTACCCAAGCCCATTTCATCAGCCAGGATTCCATTCAGTCCGTTCTCGTATAGTGATGTGAGCCACTCCAGACCTTCGAGTTGATACGAGCGCATCAAACCACCGCTCACGAGAGCCGGTTGCTTAGCAGACCTCAAGTTTTGAACTCCGATATTGCCAGACTGAACATCGGAGTCGGCTTCCTCAGCAAGTGCTTCTTTTATTGAGTTGGCTCCAGCCTTGGCTTTCAAGTCGTCTTTGCTCAAATAGTCGGAAATCTTGCCGTTGCCAGATTTTGCTTTGGTCGCATTTCCCCTGGCTGACTTCCTTCGGCCTCCAGCAGCTGGTTGCTCCGTCACTTCCTCGGCTGTTTCCTCTGTGGTGACTGCCGATCGAGTTGCTCGTTTCTGACTGACTTCGGCTGCTTTCTCCGCTGTCTCTTCGCGCTTCAGGGCTCGTTTCTTTCCTCTCTCGTCAGTGGCGTGTGCCTCCTCTTCCTGTCTTTGCATTTGAGAGAGCATGATGGTCGAGTATAGCTTGCTTTGATTCAACAAGTACTCAAGGGCCTTGAACTTTGTGTCGACAACTTTCTTGCCGCCTTTCAAGTCCTTCTGTCTCTCTGCTTCCAGCTCCTGATCGCGTTTCTCTTCTTTGGACCTTCGAGCTTCTGCCATCTTTGCTTCTTCTGCTTCCATGTTGGATGAGATTTCGCTCTTTTCTGTCTTTAACGAAGGGATTGTTGGCTTTGCCTCCTCGGCTTTGACAGATCCTCTTGAAAGGCGTGCCATGATGTTTGGAAAGCTGTTTTCAACAATTAGGATATTCAGCAGCTGTTCGCCTAAACCTGACGATGAATTGATGATGATGATGATGGAGACAAAAGAAGACTTCCACTCTTTGTCCACAAGTCCTCGAGTCTGAGTGGAACGTGTACCTGATGACGTCCACGCGTTGATCCGCGACGCGATCTGGTGTCGCGATCTTAAATTGCCGATCACAGATCTGAGATCGACCAATAGGATAGACTTCTATTTTCCGACACCTGGGCAACCCTGACTGCTAATTTTATCACACCCTTTCACTTGCTCGAAGTGTTAAGCTGTCATTTCTCCAGTCAGATACACTTTGAACGATACGTATCTACTTTATACTCACAGTCACAACGGCATTGTAATTGGCTATGTAGCAGATAGGTACAAAGAGCCTCTTACCGATATGTCACAAATGACAAAAGGATAACGTCTAGAGGTACAGCCAGGACCAAGGTCAACATCCAAAGCATTACAAAACGACCCTAGCAGTTGCTGGAGAAAGAGTCTCTCTAGTGACGAGGATGATCTGTCTTCGGGTACTATCACTAGCCAGCAGCATCCCTTTTGCGCATCTCAGAGAGTGCACTCCTCAGCTCCTCGCCCTCCACCAAGCGGTAAAGAACAGAAGCTTGGTGGTCGGTGCGATCACGAGAGAAGGAGAACTCAGCAGACGATAGACGGTTGTTGTAGTGAGTTGGCCAGTCAATCCCCCTGATAAAGCGCTGCCATGGCTGAAGCAAATCCGCAGCCGTCTTGCACTTTCTCTCGAAGCTTTTCTCGCGAGGAATATATCCACCAAGAAAGCGATAGCGAAGGACGTCCGCCTCCTCGTTATCTGCTGGTGCTCGAAATGAATCCATTGATAGCTCGTCTGCGTGAAGCCTCGCGTGAATGTGCATCTCAGAGAGATCATGACACTCCGTTTGACAAGAATGGCAGAACCGACTGAGCATCTGATATTGCACAATCCTCGTGCATTGGCGAGACTGGGATGCTGAGGCAGACCGCTGGCGAGATGGAGATTGAGAGTGCCGACCGGACGTAGAGGGAGGGCCTCCGTCGTCGGCGTCAGATTGCTCACCTAGAGCAGGCCGAGGCTGCCCGTCGGTGGCGAGCTGTCTATGCGAAGTGGATCGGCAGATAATGTGTCGAGTGGGGTGATAGACTGTACATGACAGAGTGGTATGCCTTGACAATCTTCTTTATTCTCGACTTGATTACACTGTTGCCCAGTTGATTTCCATCCTCGCTCTTCTCATCTTCGCTCTCTACCAAAGCCTTCACCTTGATACTCTCGCCATTTGTAACAGGTAATTCGTTCTTGAATCTCTTCGGTGATGTGTGCACGACCATGTTGTGTAAGTCGTGTTTTTTATGATAAGCTTCAGATGAAGAACTGTATGGTGCACTGTAAAGGAGTGTATGATATGGTATGAAGTGGAAGATGGAAAGTGAGAGAGATCAGTATGTTTACAAACTGGGATGGGAAAGCTCGAGAAGATCCAACATCACATACGCCATATCTCTGGAGAGGACAGTGCGATGAGGTCGTCGTTTCCACATACACTTTTTCGCCAACGGGAAGGTGGCATAGGGTCGACTTCCTGAATTACTGTGCTCAGTTCTGAAGAAACATTTTTTGATCGTTAACATTATCCCATAAACAGACTCATCCAATCTCATCCATAAATCACCAACAAATCCTCTCAAAGTCCACTGTCGATCTGAGGGAAAGCCATGTGTGCAGAGTATTCCTTCCAGCTCGAACACTGCTGCGTAAATTCGCCCTGATCAGGCAACACAATCTGGTTCTTTGCTTCGAGGAACTGGACACCTAAGCCCTCGGAGATGTGCCATGCAATGTGGCAATGCATGAGCCAAGCACCAGGGTTATTAGCATTAAAAGCCAAAACTAGCCAGCCAGACGCAGGCAAAGTGGCCGTGTCCCTGCGAGGAGGGTCGTCGAAGTTAAGCTGATCAGTCATGGACGACGCGTCGAAGTTTGAGGATGCTTGGTGTCCAAGCACGAAGAAGTCATGACCGTGGAGATGGATAGGATCTGAGGGAGATTCTGTTAGCATGACACTCTACCAGAAACTGTTGGGTTTTTGAAACGTACGGGTAATGGGCGGCGATCCCTCCACTTGTTGAATGACCCAATAGGTCCAGACACCTTCATTGGGAATTTCAATCACATCGTACTCCTGAGGCCAAGCATCACTGCCATTGAACACGTAGCCGAGTGTTGGCTTGTCCCAGTGGATAGACATGGCTAAGTGGTGTTAGTACAGATCGTTGTGTGTGGAAGAACGAATGCTTACCGGTAGTGTTAAGATGCCACAAGAGCAGGTTCTCACCGTTGACCGTGACGCCGTCGCCAAAGCCAGTGCTCAAAGTCTTAGCTTGTGCAACAAAATCGTCCTTGGGGACAGATTGCTTCCAGTAAGGGGTTGTAGGGAAGTCGATACACTCGGACGAAGGAGCGGTTTCGCCGGTGTCCTCGGGAGTGGAAGTATCCGATGCATCGTATCTGAAGATCGCACGACCATTGCCGTTACTTGCACTACCACATGAACTTGCAACTTCTGCTCTGAACCAATAGTTGCCTGAGGTCTGGTTGGCTTCGAAGACCACATCGTACCTCTGACCGATTGCCACGAGAAGCCACTCATCCGCTGCGACAGGTTCGATAGGAATAAAGTCACTTTCAATGACCGTGAATTCGTGCCCGTCGAGCTTCACCATCATATGGCTATCAACGGAGGTGTTGATCAATCTTAGACGGTGCTTCTTGCCCTTGGTGAGTGCAACAGACTGGTACTTGCCGCCCGGACCATTGTTGTTCGTGCCGTTAAGCAAAAGTGTATCTGAAGGCGGTGCACCGCCTCCGGCTTGAGAATCTATAAGGGCCAAGGCGTTCACCACATCGGCATTCTTGTGGTACCAATCCATCATTGGGAAAGTACCAAGATCGATGTCGTAGTTCTCAGTAGCAGGTCCGTCGATCAAGATCGTTCCAACGACACCCATACCATATTGGCTGGAGTAGTGGCTGTGGTACCATGAAGAGCCATACTGAGTGCACTGGAAAGTGTAGGTCTTGGTCTGACCCGGAGCAAGAGCGCATTCAGAAACACCGTTGACTCCATCCATTCCAGGAGAGTTGTACTGTCTGATTCCGTGCCAGTGCATAGATGTGCCATTGTCCTGCATAGAATTGGTGACAGTGATTGAGAGAGTGTCTCCCCAGCTAGCTCGTATGACAGGTCCGGGTAGTTGACCGTTGATCAGGAGGCATTGCTGCTCATTTGCTCCATCAGGATTGCATGTCGTGTTGGTAATCTCGAGGTTGTAGCTAACAGTCTTTCCCGTGGTGGGAAACTTCTGATCGAAGCTAGAGCATCGTTAGCAGAGATTCGACAATCGATCAACAGAGACATACTCTGTAGCAATCGAGTATCCGTCCTTCCAGCAAGAGCGGGTGTATGGGCCGTTAGAGCAAGAGCTATCTGCGACCAATGTTGTGTGGCTACCAGAGGCTGAAGATGTTGAAGAGGCTTGGCGACGGACCATTTTGCCCATCTGGTCTCTACCCCATAAGTATTTCCTACCAGGCTCAGAAGCAGTAGATACAGATGCCAATGCCAGAAGGCAGCTGGCAGTAAAGCTTCCGAAACGCATTGGTGTGGTATGAACTAATAATTCCCAGAGATAGAGGAGTGTCTCAACACAATCTGGTCAGGGAATAGAAGTGCTTGTTGAGAGGCAAGAAGGGAAGGTTGCCAGTAGCGATAGGAAAGGGGAAGGAGAAGAGATACAGGTCTGACTCGACCTTATATAGAGCACCACGATTTCTGAATTCTGGATACGACGGAAGAGCGGCTCCAGGGTGCTGTGAATTACATACGTACAGATCCACACTGGCAGGCAAATAGCAAGCCAGCCGCTGCAATCAGAAGATGCAAGGCTGTGCAGGAGCTCACGCAAGCAAGGCTCGATGAAGATACCCATACTAGTGCCCACTTCTACCGTTGGATATCGAGATCTTGAGGGTTAAAGCGGCAGAGTCTGATTTGTGATGCTATGTGGACCATGATGTGTGGGCCACCAGGCGGACAGGATCTCGCACCAAAGCCCTCTTGCATAATACATCTTGAGAAGTCGATCAGCTAAGTCTTCGGAGGTATAGCAAGTGACGTACCGAGATAGTCGTAGATCTCGGGTGGATCGGCAGTGAATCCTTCCCAATTAGGAACTAGGCTTCCCAGTGCTACGGACTTCTAAAAAGACCCGACTGGAAGTGACTGGCGGACGCGAATGCAGAGTTGAGGAAGAAGGTAGATGGAACGAGGAAAGAAGAGGCTCTACCGTATGATGCAAATGCCAGGAATGACACGCACCATGAGCCCTGCGCACAAGGCCAAGACAGCCACGGCGTCGAGAAAATGCTTGTCCTGACGGCTCCTAGTATCTATTGGGGCACGCAGACTCAATGATCAGACAGATGACGGGATGAGAAAATGAAGTGGGTATCGGTAGATAAACGGCATCAGACGTAGAGTGACGGCAGAATCGAGAGCTTTACGAGCGAAGTGATGATGCTATCTCGAGATTGGTCCGAAAATAGCCAGCGAGCAGAGATGGACTCGTGGCGAGCTGAAGTCACAAAACTTACAGATGGTGGACGAGGCCACGGATGAGAAAGTATTTGTCCGGAAGGAAGATGGGCGGAAATAAGACACGAAGGTTCGCTCTCTCACGCCCAGACGTCAGGCTGTCACTCTGAGGTTAGAAGGAGTGTTCAAGGTAAACGTGGTTCCAGATGAGCTCTTGTCATGGAACCTGTAGATGTTGGCCATGGCAGCGAGTTGGTGCTGGTCGCTTTTATGAAGGCTATCCTATAATCTGCCAGAAGGGACTCTTTGGTGATGTTTGAGGACAGACGCTCGTGCAAAGGGCGAATACATGGTGCCGTACGCGATCAAAGACAATAGCCGGTTGCAAGACAGAGACGCGCAAGGCTTGAGCGGGTACAGGCGAGGTTGTCGCTTTGCATGGGTTGAAGTCCGAGAATCGATACAAAGAGTTGTCGACAACCTACTTGCTCGACATAGCAGAGCGGGGTAAAAGAGCCGTGAGATCCGGATTCATTGCTAGTCGAGGTCGATTGAGAATCGCGTTGGTTGTGCAGTCTAAATGTGCGAGTTCAAGGGGACTCGAGCTGGGAGGTGGAGGGAGCAGCCAAGACTCAACGTCACCCACCCCGGGCGGATGCTCAGGAACGGCCAGAGGTTGGCCATGTTGGTACAAACACATCCATCGGCCACACGAAATACACATAGACACCGAGATTCAGAGACAAGAGTCGAGTGCTGAAGCGATCGCCATCTGAGCCTTAGTTCTCGACAAGTCAAGCCGAATTCTACACGCCCATCCCACTAGCCACGCAGCAGCAACATACACCATGCCTCCAAAGCGCATCGAGCAATGGGAGGTCGAACGCTACTGGGAGATCTTTGCTTCGCTGTCCAATGGCGGTACTCATCTCAATGGCGCCCAAGCAGCCTCAGTCTTGAAGAACAGCCAATTGCGCGACGACCAGCTGGAACGAGTATGGGACCTGGCAGATGTCGACGGTGATGGCAGCCTGGACTTCGAGGAGTTCTGCGTCGCCATGCGCTTGATCTTTGATCTGGTCAACGGTGTAAGCAGATGCCAACATGAATGCAATATCTTCTAACTAATTGCTTCGTAGGAATACATGGACGTCCCAGCCACACTGCCCGACTGGCTGGTCCCCGAGAGTAAAGCACATTTGATTCAAGCCTCGCACGCCATCTCGGGTCGCCAAGCCCAGTTCGAACAAGTCGACGATCTAGAAGACGACACGCCAGGACTCAAAGACGGCTTCGATTGGTACATGCCACCGTCTGACCGCACAAAGTACGAGGAGATTTACAGCGCCAACCGCGAGCCGCGCGACGGCAGCATCACTTTCGAGTCCCTCAACCCGCTCTACGAATCGCTAGATGTGCCCGACACGGACATGCGCAGTGCCTGGAATCTCGTCAACCCACGCAGCGACCCAGCTATTGGCAAAGACCAATGTCTTGTTTTCCTACACATGCTTGCCAACCGCCACGAAGGCTACCGTATCCCTCGATCCGTCCCTCCAAGTCTCCGCGCCACCTTCGAGCAGGGCCGCATCGAGTATCAGGTCGACAAGGTACAAACCGCCGCCGATCGTTGGGGCACAAAGCGTGATGATAGCACCATGAGCGGCAAGAAGCAGAAGTTTGGTGACGCATACCTCAGTCGCTTGGGAGTAGGCGACCGTGGTGCCTACAGACCAAAGGGTACTGATTTCACTGCCACCCGCACCGACGCCGAGTGGGAAGAGGTACGCCTGAAGAAGCAACTCAAAGAGCTCGAGGAGAAGATGGACAAGGTTGAAGAGCAAGCAAAGAAACGAAGAGAACGTGGCGGCAGGCGGGATGACAGCAAGCCGGCCTTGGTGAAGCGTGAACTCGAGCAGTTGCTTGACTGGAAGCGTCGTGAGCTGCGCGATCTTGAGACGGGTGAAGGAAGAGCAAAGGTCGGCCAGGGCCTGAAGGGTCTCAGCGACGAAATCTCAATGGTCAAAGAGCAAGTCGACGGCCTCGAAGCTCATCTACGGAAGAGAGAGGAAGTGTTGAGCGATCTGAGAAAGCAGATTGATGATGAGAAGGCGGCGAGATAGTTGTATATACCCTTGTGTTTGGCAGCCATGCCCTGCCGTGTATCAGTCATTGTGTAACGAGACAAACATATTGTTTGGGTTGTGACAATGAACGAATGGAGAGACAGAACGTATCATATGTTGAGGCTAAGAATATGCACCCTATGGGAATGAGAAGATGACCTCTTTTGTGCCATCAGCCATGAACAGAAGCGAGCCTCTAACGCCGAGCAAACAAAACCCAGGGGTATCTTGATGTAAAAAGCAAAACGCCATGCATGGCACCAAATGAAAAACAAGCGACACCATCAAGCAGTGTCCACAAAGGGAGCAAAGGTTCTGCTTTCGAACCTTTCGCCATCGTCACCAGACTCATCAAGGTCCATGCCATCGTTGTCCATGTCTCTCTCGAGAAGTCGTTTTGGCTTGCCACTGGTACTCAGATTGGCGGTAGCACGACGGGCTTGCAAGATATCCCAGTAGCCTTGAAGCAAGCGCTTGACGTTGTCGTCGAAGTTAACGCAGAAACGTTGGGCTTGGACAATCTGCATGGCCTTGATGTGGTCAACATCGGCCAAGATGTCCATGAGATAGGCAGCGACGACAGCAGCAGAACGTTCGTTTCCACTCTCACAGAAGACAAGGACCTTTGCGTTTGGAACAGAGTTCATGTGGTCGTTGATGACAATGGCGGCGCGAGAGAATGACGAGACGAGTTCGTAAGGGCTGGACATGTCAAGAGCCTTTTTCTGGATGTTGATGTCGTCGGCGACGTTCAAAGCAGCCTGCATGATCTTGCTCTCAAAGGAGTGGCGCTGGCGGACGGCCATGAGAAGTGTGATGGCCTCATTCCGCAAGAAGTCGCGATCCTTGACTGCGCTCATTGGACCCAGGTAGAGGAAGGGGAGGATTTGCTGTGCTTGACGACGACGCTCGTAACTCCAGTCCAGGAGGCTCCCTGTTACCATCTTGTCATAGTTGACGGCTGAGAGCGGACCGGACTGGGCGATAGGATGCAGATTGAACTCGGGGGCCAGGTTGATGTTTGCTGTTGGCGGCGGTACGACGATACGCGGAGGGGTGGGTAGGCGGGACGAGTACTCGTCGCCTCGGAGATGTGCTGCCTGAGAGGCCATGGCGCTCGACCTTGGATCGTATGCGCCTGAGACGGATGGGTTGATACAGTCTTTGTCTTTGTTTGTGTCTCGTTGCAGCGGGTGGCATGTGAATTGTCTTGTCGAGTCGAGAAAGTAGAGGGGTCGGATGAACGACGTCAATCTCCAACGCCCGCCGTCACTCTCTGTTCGCTTTCACTCCTGCGCTCATCTCCATTCACTTCCACATCTGCCTCTTCCAACACGCACCCTTTCGTCTTCTGTAAGTCTTCATTCAGGCTGCCAAGCTCTCCGCTCGCCATGTTTACCCACATGGCGGCGCAACCTCAGAATGCAACTGTAAATCCCGCCTGCAGCCCCGCAGCTTCAACCTTCGACATGCTTTCTGTGTCTCATTCGTGCTGTTTGTCAAAGCACGCGGCTTGACCTCCCGCATGCTCGTATACAAACACCACAACTTTGAAGTGTGTTCCCATGTGGTGACAGGCCGCCGATCAATGCCTGAACTCTGTACAGTCAACGAAGGCAGGTCCGTCCTTCCTTGCTCCTCACTTCTCCTCTTGCCCAATTCATCTCTTCGTCATCATCCCCCGCCATCTTTCTGTCTTTCCAAATCATCCTTCCTATCTGCTCTTCTTCCCTCCTTCCTACCAAGCTCTCTCGCAATAGACATTCGCTCAACATGCTTGTCCATCTGATCTCGTTGCTTGCTCCTCTCATTGGCATTGCCGCTGCTCAATGCCCTGACTACCTCGACTATGCCACGCTCAAACACCAGCCATACTCGGAAGGCGTCCGCAATCTCTCGTATCAACGACCTGATCCTGCATGCCGCACCTTCGATCTCCCACTGCTGGAAAACAAAATCATTCCACATGTCATGCATGCCGTTCCCGACCCTGATCTTTTCCGCCTGTTTCTCAATGGTCACTATCCTTCGCAATCGCTTGATATCAGTGCTAATAAACCACAGCCTATCCCAACACTCTCGATACCGCAGTAAGGTGGAAGGGGTACGCTGCCGACTCTGCTGACGAAGAGCTCACTTTTCTCGTGACCGGAGATATCGATGCTATGTGGTTGAGAGACAGCGCCAACCAGATGCAGTCTTATCTTCCTCTTCTGACCGCAAACTCTTCTGTTGACTCGCTCGCATCACTGTTCCGCGGTGTCATCAACCTACAGGCCCGCTACCTCCTCACGTCTCCCTACTGCAATGCCTTCCAGCCTCCGGTCGAGAGTGGTATCGCTCCTGCCCAGAACCCTTCGGCCAGCGAGGATCATGTTTTCCCAACTTACAACAACTCCTCAGTCTTCGAGTGCAAGTACGAGCTGGACTCTCTGGCCGCTTTTCTACAGATCAGTTCCGACTACTACAACGCCACAGGAGATGTTGCTTTCTTCGGCAAGTACCATTGGGTCGAGGCCATCAACCATCTCTTCGAGATTTTCGAGACTCTCTCGGCAGCTGCAACCTACGAGCCCGATGGCCGCGTCCAGAATTCAAGCTATACATTTACCAGGGTGAGCAACCGCGCAACCGAGACTCTTTCCAACGACGGCCTGGGCAATCCCTATAGAGGTGAGACCGGCTTGTTGCGCTCTGCTTTCAGACCTTCGGATGATGCAACCATCTATCAGTATCTGATTCCAGCCAATATGATGCTAGCGCACTACCTCGAGGCGACCGCTCCCATCATGCTCGCACTCAATGGTTCGACATGTTCTGTCACTTCAGCGCAAATGATACAACTTGCTGCAACCATCAGACGAGGAATCGCAGAGTATGGCATTGTTACTATTGGTGGCAAGCAAGTATATGCCTATGAAGTCGATGGTTATGGCTCTGCGAACATCATGGATGATGCCAACATCCCCTCGCTGCTGTCTGCACCCTTCCTGGGCTATTTGGACGTCAACGACGAAGTTTACCAAAACACGCGCGCATTGTTGCTAAGTGACCGCAACCCTTATTTCATGCGAGGTCCCGTGATCAGTGCTGTAGGAGGTCCTCACAATGGCCCGGGATACGCCTGGCCTATGGCTTCTATCGTACGCATTTTGACCAGCGACAACGATACCGAGATCACTGAGCAGCTTGGAATGATTCTCAACAGCACCGATGGACTCGGTTTGATTCATGAGAGCATCAACACCTTCAATCAGACAGACTATACCCGGCAGTGGTTCTCTTGGGCGAACGGACTCTTTGGTCAGATGATATTGGATTTGCAGGATCGCAAGCCTCAAATCCTAGCACAAAGCTTTCAATAGTTGCTTCGATACCAATATGGTCGACTCAGGCGATATTGTTTGAGGAATTTTGCTGAATTCGAAACATCATAAGCCTGTACTGTACAATAGAGATCTGCTAAGATAGCACGAAAAGGCCCGGCATATACAAGAAAAAGTTAATGGAATTGCAATGTATTACGACTGAGATGCGCTTCTAGTAGTTTGTTCATCACAGCTTGTAACATCCGAGAGATGCCGGAAGTTTTCTCGGAAGAAGCTGGAGTCCCAGGAGGCAAAGCCCTCCCCGTATACGCATACGCGATTTCGCGTATGGTACACACGCTGTACGTACGCTGTGGATCTTAACATACTGCCACGACATGCTGAGCCACTGTGTTCACGAAAATTCAAGGCCGTTCGCATGCTATGTCATCGACAAGGTGTCAAGACAAAATGTATTTAAAAGGTCTTCTCGACCGTCAATTACTCTCACCATCCAAGGAAATCTGCATCCATCATGAGAAGCATCTCGACGCTTGCGACTACTCTGGCATTATGCAGTACTGGCATTGCCACAGTCTGCAAAACAACACCTCTGGACTCTGACTGGCCTCGAGCATCGGAATGGTTGGCCTTGAACCGCACGCTCGGCGGTGCTCTTCTCCAAACTCGTCCGGTGGCATCTGCATGCTATGCCAACAACCCTTTCAACTCGACTCTATCTTGCAACGAAGTCGAGAATCAGTGGAACTCGACATACTTCCATGCTACCCTCCCCGAATCAATCGATGCTACGATCTGGGCCAACAATTCGTGCGTCCCTCCTGGAAAAGATGGTCATGTCGAAGGCAGCTCTTGCACTCTTGGTGCATATCCGGCATATATCGTCAATGGCACCTCGAACGAGATAATTTCGAAGGCAATGGGTTGGGCCTCGCGTCGCAACATCCGTATCATCGTCAAGGGAACTGGCCACGATCTTGACGGCCGGTAAGTGCTGCAACTCTCTGTTGCTTGCATAAGCTAACACGATACAAAGCTCGACGGGTGCTCACAGTTTGTCCATCTGGACCCACCATCTCAACCATATTAAGTTCGACTCCAAGTGGAACGGCACTGAAGACGTTGCCATTGTTGGCAGCGGCCAGCAATGGGGCAATGTCTACGATGCTGCAGCGAAACTCGGAAAAGTTGTGATTGGCGGTGCAGACGGTAGCGTGGGCCTTGGTGGACACATCCAGGGCGGAGGTTACGGACCCCGTTCTTCCATCTATGGTCTTGCTCCCGATCAGGTACTGCAAGTTAGTGTTGTGACCACTCAAGGAGACATCCTTGTCGCCAACGACACGGCTCACCAAGACCTCTTCTGGGCCGTCCGTGGCGGCGGTGGTGGAAGTTATGGTGTTGTCACTGAGTATGTTCTCAAGGCCTATCCAGCCCCTGCCAACACGGTGGCTGGAACACTGTCAATCAGCGGTGGCAAGAACGCTACCGGCAACATCACCTGGGACGCCTTTGGCGTTCTTCTCAATCGTATCCCTGGTCTCATGGATAAAGGTATCTGGGGAAACGTCATTGCCTTTGGTCAAACACCAGGCGAGGTCTCGGTAACTGCCCAATTCTCAGCCTACAACAGCACCACATCCGAGGTAACTGCTCTGGTTTCACCTGTGCTCGCAGCAATCCGCAACACAACCGACAGCAACAACTCCAGTCTCTCAATCATCTGGAGCGATCCCACAGTCTCTCTCTTCGATAGAAACAGCAGCTCCAAAGCACCATCCGAATCAGCTGGCTCGGGCGGTCTTGAAACCAGCCGTCTCCTCGGCCTTGCCCAGCTCTCCCTCCCCTACAAACAGCTCTCCTCCTACCTCCGCCGCATTATGTACACAGAGCCAGGAAGCAGCGGTTCTGCCATGCTAATCCTGGGCCTCATGGCCGGACCCGGCGTCCAAAACACCCCTCTTGCCCGACGCGGCGCAGTAAACCCTGCCTGGCGCAAAACCTACGTCCACGCAATCTCGGGGTCCAGTCCTGCAGCAGCCGACTCAGCTACTCCCTTCCAAATCATCAAGCAATCTGCCGAGTGGTATGAGGTGCACAGGGAAGCTGTGTGGCGCGAGTGGGCGCCGAACATGGGTGCCTACATGAACGAGGCTAACCCTTACAACTCAAACTGGAAACATGATTTCTTCGGTGGAAACTATGAAAAGTTGGCTGCTATCAAGAGAAAGTACGATCCTACAGAGTCTTTGTATGCTGTGTCAAGAGTTGGCGCGGAGTGGTGGGACTACGATTTGCAGACCGGCAAGTTGTGCAGAGTCGAGTAGAACTTTAGATGGTGAGGTTGTCGAAGGGAGATTTGAGAGTAGTCTTAGATGTGATTGGTTAGCAAGAGTGGCAGAGTTGGCGATAGATGTTGTATAAAGATTCGGCCATACTTCACAAATCCGAACAGCCTCGTACATCGAACAACAGACTGGCAAAGCATGACTGGAATCGTCACTTGAGGATGGGAGCGAGTAGGCAGTAGTCGGGTTAGAAACACCATCGAACTTTTGATATAAAGAGTCGGTTCATGTATTGACATTAAAGTGTAGATACAAAAGTTGTATATACATCAAGCTTTTGGGTCGAACAGGCGTCTCAGATGACAAGATATTCACCATCGACCCTGTCCATAGCCTTTCTCCATCTGAACGCTTGTATACGATCTCCGTTCTCCTTAGCACTGTCTCGGCGGCGTTGCACTTCATCAACATCTGCGTCCTGTGCATCCTGAGTATCGTTCTCGGCCCAGACCTTCTCGAGGACGTCTAGAACAGACAAGTTGTTGAAGAACCCGCTTTCAATTTGTACCTCTATACACCTATCGCGTACGAGTGCCTGATCGGCTGCGTCCACGCACTCAGTCCCTGAGATGAACAGAGGCCAGAGCAAGAATTTGTTGACGCACGAAGTGATGTCCAATGCAGCTATGTGTGAAAGAGCGTTGCGCACGTGTGCCTGGAATTTAGGAGACGACGATGGCAAGAAAGGGTGCGCAAGACGTTCAGTGTACAACAGAGCCGATGAACGGAAAGATTCGTTGATGTGTGTCAGGTCTCGTTGCCCAAGCTCAAGCGATGCTGCCGAGGTGTCGGGTGCTGTGGGCGACAAACAAGGACTATCCATGGACCAAGTCTCTAGGCGGGATCGGATATCATGCCACTCCTTCCAGAACTCTTGCCGGGTATCTGAAGCTTCTCTGTATACTGTATCGAGGTCCTCGGGTAGATCTGCTAGCAAGGCACCCCAACCGTTGCCATCAAGTCGGCTAAAGTCCACAGGGTCAACCTGTGGACGCCAAACTCTCGTAGTGGGGAAAGTGTTTTGGTCCTTGTACTTTGGAGTCGATGTGGCGCCGTACGATGCCTTTGAATTTCGAGGGTCAGGGCGCACAGGGCGACTCTGTGACAGAAGATTTAAGCGTCCAAGGCGGGCAATCAATTTGAACAAACGACCATCACATCCCGAGAACTGCTCCAGGGCACCAAGATTAGAAGAATAATGGAGCATATCCAGACGGTCGCCTTGGATCTCAGTCTCTCTGTCATTCACTGTCGATGTCATGACATCGAACCAGGCGAAGAACATCTCAACCCAACCAATAAAGCCGGTCCTTACACCTGGATCGCGCATAGAGAGCAGCCTTTGCACGCCCTCCAGTTGCGTTTTAAATTTGGAAAATCCACTGTCACTGACGTGGAACAAGCAGAGAATGAGCAAGATGGCGAGAACCGAATCATCCTGAGCGCTGACCGCATCAGCCAACTGAGCCTGCAGTTGACCGATCGACACGCTCTTATAGTAGCTTTCCTCGGGGGTCGGCCGAGCTAGGATACTGTTATTTTCATCCTGCTGCGAACTATCCAACTCTTCGATAAAGCCGCTGACAGGCGCTCTCTTGTGCAGGCGCATACGCATGTTGTTCAGCGAAAGCGCTGCAAGAGCGTTTTGAAGACCCTCATTATGTGTTGCAAGCTGAAGAATGTGCATCCTATATGGATTGATGGTATCGTCGAAGGCGACCAGAACAGAACAGATGTGCTTGTCGTAGTAGTTCAATAGATATTGCATCCTTGGCGAGAGATGATAGAACAACGAAGTAGCCATAGCTCTTGGAATTGATATGTTCAATTCTGGTAAATTGTCCAGAGGTTGTTGAGGTTTAGTCAAAGTGAGGTCGAGGTTGGAGAACTCGAAATTCTCGGACTGTATGGATTGATCGTAATCTGTGCCACTGGCATTGTACGTAGGCTCAAAGGAAAAGGCGTCTTGACTTTGGGAGAAAGTCAGGTCTTGAGCGACACTAGGGGCATCGAGAGGTTGATCGGCATAAAAGTTCGATGGCGGTGGATAGGAACCGGAACAAGACGCAGGCGAAGGCTCCACCAAGCCGTAATTAGCAGAAGACTGCAGGCCATCATTGTATGACAAGGAAACTGGTGTCAAGGGATACTCGGCGGGATTTCTCTGGTGGATCAGAGGGATATTGTCGTACGGCGAGGTCGGCGAGGGCAATTCGGGATTTGCATATTGCTGCAGAGGTTGCCAAAAGATGGGTTGTTGAGCGTCGAGCGGTGATAGTAAGCCGTACGATGGCGTGTGTAGAGGTTCGTGAGAGGATGGTGCGACGGTATTGGTATCTAGGTTTATGCGAGGAGGTATAGGCCTCTCCGAAGCAGGTACGTTCGTCGATGACTTCCTTCGAGATTGCGAAACACTATTGCGTTTGGTAACACCGACCGGGCCGTCGGTCTTCTCGGCCACAGGACATGTCAAGCCTCGCAGCTTTCCGCGACTGGCAATACCCACACCCCATGTCAACGTCGTCTTGTATCCAGAGCAGTCTTTTCCTATTTCGAGGCACTGCCCGCAGTACGGTCTCCTGCGGTCACACGGAGCGTTCCGTTTCTGGCACATGAAGCAGTCGTCGGCCGCACCTGCGGTTGTCGTCCTCCTTCGGCGTTTCCTGACAGTCGGCTTGGTCTCGAGACCAATATCGGCCTCTGGCTTGATACACGCCATAGTCATGATGGCGAGAGATACGAGTCGAGCAGTGTCGAATTGTCAAGCCGTCTTCCTCGGACGTCGTGTATGTTCGCAGACACTTAAGTATTGATCATGTCAAGTGGTTGTGGTTCGTGAAACGTAGGAACTGGCGTCTGTATAACAATATCGCGTTGTGGGGGCCAAACAGTGTGTTTGGACGAGGAGGATAAGTTTTCGAGGTCCCAAAGTACTTGAGGATACTTCTGATGTCAGGCGACATGGTACAGAATGGGGCATATTGACTTTGAGTGTGTCGAGCTAGGGAGAGTCCGAGTACCGCTCCGTTTCCCACAGTTCGCACCCCCATGCCTGCGCCCACTCTCTGGCGAGAGCCGAGGCTTGAGCCCTCGAGGGACGGGCGAGTGAATCTTATCGCACCTTTTTCCCCGCCAATGAGAGGTCTTATCTTTGCTTAGCCAGTTTCGTTCGTATCTTCGCAGAGCCCTGTTTTGATTATCAATCGTTCTGCGGATATCTTTCCTTTTGCTGTCATGAGCCCATGTTAATCGCACAAGGCCGGTCTGTCGACAATGTCCGCAAAATCGTGTTCACAGCCCCGTCGAGGTCCAACTTCTTCGATTTCGGCTTCATTAGTCATCCAGTGATCACATGCTCAGTGCAGGCGAGATCTCCATGCGCCTACAACCCCGCGATAGTCGAACTCTGACCCTTGGCTGGCGAGACTCGCGAGACGGGCCAGGGTCGCTAACGGCCGGAAACCAGACAGTGCCGAACTCAAGCACCTCATCTGTCTCCGCATGAACATCATCATCCTTTTGACGAGGCGTCGCCGAGACGTCGTTTATCTGTACCCTTGGTCCAGGCACATCCGCCTAAATTTGTCTCTTTCCAATCGTCGTGCCTGAAGTTCTTTCCGACTTTATCCACCCGCGTGCGAACAACGTTGGTCCTCGAGATACAGAGTTTGATTGGGTCAAAGTCTCCATGAACATTAAACCGAGCCCTCTCTAATTCGCCGAGTTCAGCATTCGCTTCATCCTTTGGCATGGGTCCGAGTTCTTCTCTCACATGTCAAACGTGAGTATAGCGAAGCTTGTTCTCGCCCACTGTCGAGGGCATGACGAGCTTGTACAGTGAAGCACGCTTAGCTACGGCTTGACATCTGTGCTTCGCGGAGCAATATACCACCTCCACCCGACGAGAGCCTATACAGCGGTAGCACCGCAAAAGGGCCTTTTGACATCCTGCCCTCAACTGCCTTTCGACCAGCTATGTGGCCGCAGCAACAGTCAGTGCTGTCAGTTCTCATCGGAGTGTGTGTCGTTGATGGTATGCACTCCTTCCCCGAAGGATGACAGCAGCAAACCTAACCGATGGAATAGCCATGGACAGCATCGCTTTCGACAGCATTGACCGCTGTATGGCGAGTGACATGGCTCCTGCACTTCCGTTCATGCCCTTTGGAAAAGGCAATCGACAACGACGACAGAAGGAATGATAGCTTGCATCCGAGTGGACACCACATTCGCTCATGATCCAGCGTATTCTTGATGGTAAAGCCGATATGTCATAAGAATGGAGCTTGTCCGCCCGCGGTCTTCTAAGTTGACGCCGTTGTAAGGCGTCATCGCACACGATACTCCTCATCAGTACTGGGCTAGGAGGGTTCAAACGCCAATGCACTTCTTTCCATCTACACAGTGGTTAGACACCACAAGCAGTTACCTATTCCAAGGCAGACGTGTTCACGTCAGCTAGCTGAAGTGGCTGGGCGTACAATCACAAAGGTAGAGGAACATGCTAGCTCGTGGTGATGGACATGTAGAGACGTACATGAATAGGCATTGCGTTGCCCTCCGCTCGTTTCCGACGTGGTTGACGTCTTTTGTCAGAGAACACGCGTGTATCTCTCGGAGGGTTCGTGTGGCTTCTTCGGCTACACGAGGCGCGGAGATCAGACACGCTATGATCAAGATGAGGCGGAGGCCGACGATAGCAGATGGCTGTATAGGCGTTCATGGTGACTTGGCATTACGAACGACCAATATACGCAGATAGCGAGACCGTGTTGTACCATAAACATCAGGAATTGTGCTGTCGGACCGTGACCTGCATTCGATATTAAAATTGCGTACACTGACAGCCTAAATACGCGTAGCACCCGCCTAGAACTTCTCCTGTGCGGGTCTCATATCAAGTTCATGAGTCCACAAGCATGGCTCTTGCTCTGACAGCCACAGATAAGTCTTGCCAACAGCTTCAGCAGAGATCTTCTTGCCACTTTTCTGATCTTCACCATTCTTGTCTTCGATGGATCCATTGCCGATACAATGAGCTACATGGACACCTTTTGAACTGAACTCGCGGGCAAGGGTCTGGGCAAGCTGCCTTACGCTTGATCTGCCTGCTCCATATGCTGCATACTCGGCGTTGCATCTGAGAGCACCAAGTGTACCAGTAAAGATCAATGTACCCTTCTTCGGAGAGCCATCTGCCAGAGTTGTTTCTCCATGGTCGGCAAAGAAACGCTTGAGCGATTCTTGCGCGAAGGTAAAAGCGCCTCCCACATATGTCTCCAGAGAGTCGGTAAATTGGTCATATGTTTCGTCAAGGAAAGGCTTCTTGGATGAATGCTTGATGTTGTAGATGGCCACACGTAGCTTGAGGCCGTCGAAGGACTGATGCTGACGAATGTCCGCAAAAGCCTTCTTCAACGAGTCGGGTGAAGTATCGGAAGGGAACGCCTCGACGACAGGCTTGTCCAGCGACGTTTTCAGGCCAGCTACTATGTCATTCAGAACCTCGCCGCGTCGAGCAAGCAGAGCAACTGCCATGTTTCCACGAGCAGGATCCGCCAGTACGCGGGCAATGCCTGCCCCCTTTGTTGCTATCAGTATGGACAGAGATTTAAGCTACTTGAAAATGCACTTACCGTAGCAGGGCCGGCACCTAAAAGAATCGCCAATCCAGACGGAGCCATTTTGTAAGTAAGTATGTATGTATGTCTAAATGATTTCAGGTCAAGTTAGCCCTGAAGAACAGAGTTGAGGCACGTCTGAAGTTCATGACGGAGCTCTTCGATGATGTTGTTGACGTCATTGTACTTGACCTGTAGGGAAAGTTCAATGATGAGGTGAAGTCGAAAGACCGAAACAGAGAGCACAATTGGGGCTGCAGACTTGGTAGTGCAAGATGACTACATCTGCATGTCGATGTGTCTGCGGTCGAGATGCCAAAGACATTGACTGCCGGCCTAGAGAGCGAAGATCACACAGAGCGGAGATCAGAAGGGTAAAACGAGGAAGATGATGATATTCATGCAAATGTTTCCTAGAAGAGCCATCGACGATGATGAGACTGTGTCTAGTGAATAAGCAGTACCAGCAAAGTTGAGAGTAAGTGTACTGTTGATAGTCCAGTGAAGATTGGCTCGGCTCTGTCTCTCACCCTGGATTATCGAGAATTCCAGCGAATAGCGTTCAGGGATTATCTGACAGACTTGACCGCCTATTTTGGATAGAAAGAGGGAAAAAGCGTGCGCAGCTAGACATGACTCTTGGATGCAGTGCTGGGTGAGGCTTGGTTGCTAAGAAAAGAGGCGCAGAGGCTCTGGTGGAGCGCCCGACACGTGGGGGCGTTAGCCGGATGCTAGCCGAAGACCCAGACCCCAACTCCCGGGTCAGCCAGGCAGAAGAGTCGACGACACGATGAATCTGGATGCAGAAGTCGGCGAGGATGATCAGGAAGGGGGTGAGGCAATTGGATGAAGAGAGAGTCAGGTCAAAACTGATGATCTTCCGGTTCTGGCGGAGGTCTCCAGACGTCTCCAGACCCAGGGGGCGGTTAGACGAGATGCGACGGACAAGCTTGGCACTCAGATGATCGGTCGCAGCGCTCATCACACAAAGTTATGATTATCTAAAGACAGCAGACTGGACTGACCATGCCGCACCTGCTGTTCTCGCATCCAAGACCATGCCGGAACAGCGATTCCAAGAACCAGACGGCTCAACAGCATACCAGCTACAGCCAGGCCTGAGCGTCCCCTCCAGCACGCGGCCACACATCCTGGCGCGCACCCACTCGTCGCCCATCGCCACGGCGAGCCCTGCAGATGACCACCACCAACACCAACAGCAGCAGCCATGGCAGACATTGCTGACGCCAGCAGCGCCGCAGACTGTGCGACTAGGCACAGAAGGCTTGGGCATTGACGCCGAAAGCCGTTCCAACGGCTTCCTGCAGACCAACAACGAAGCCGAGCACCAAGTCAACATTGCCATCGTTGGCACTGTCGGCGTGGGAAAGTCATCCTTCATCCAGCAATCCCTAGGTCTTGCCGTCCACCCGACAAGTCCCGTCACCTCCTGCCGCATCGCTGTCGACAGCGCCTCTTTCTTGGTGCGCATGCTGGAGTGCCAACTCGAAGACGTGATCATCGACAGAGACAACAGAATCACCTGGCCCACAGACCCGCGCATGCCCACTGTCGACGCCGCTTGCACCTTGTACGACGTCTCCAACAAAGACTCGTACCAAGACGTTCCTGTCGTCCTGAGTGAGTCCCAACTCCAGCCACGACCACCACCACCACCATGACGACCCAGCTAACCATTGTCAAGACGCGCTCGAGAAGGCGTCGATCCCTTCGCTCCTTATCTCAAACAAATGCGACCGCTCCGATCGCCAGCTCGACCCAAACAACATCGAACACCGAGCAAAGGCCGTCCTCCGCTCCCTCATCACTGTCCAGTCGTCCATCTCGCATGTCGACTCTCACTCAAAGGGAATAACCAGCCTGCTGCAAGCTGTTTCCGGTAAGCCGCATCCTGCCCATTCCCGTCCGCCTCCATGGACTTCCTCCCACGCAAACACGACTTGTTTGTCAAAACTGCCCCACCGCCTTGGCCCGAATCCTCCCCCATGACAATCGCACCTGCTGACCTCCTCAAAGTCCAGAGAGATCCTGCCTTGTCTCGTCGTCGAACCATATCGTCCGCCCTCGCCTTCGGTCATCCGACTCGATCGAACCCACCTCCGAACCACGCCAGAGCAAGCTCCGTGCAGTCCAATTCGATGCGCAAAGACTCACGACACGACTCTACAACCATGGCAACGAGTCCTCCAAATCACCCGCATAAGCCCATCGACCTTGACTCAACATTGGATGAAGCGCGCGACGACATGACTGATTCTTCACACTCCGAACATGCTTCTTCATCCGAGGACGGTGGTCTCGACGTCGATAGTCAGTCCGAAGCTCCCTCAGATGAGCGTGGCTACTCTTTCGACAATCTCGTTGACCGCCTTCTGAGGCTACCAAAATCAAAAGCTGACACTCGTTTCGGTGCTGTCTTCCTTGCTCTCTACCGAACATTTGCCGCCCCTGGTCAGTTGCTAGAAGCTATAGTCCACCGTTTCGAAGCCCTAGAACAAGAAGATGGTCCTTTCATGACCAAAACAGTCTCGCAACTGCGCTATCTCTCCGTCATCGAGCAATGGATCGGCACTTATCCGGGAGACTTTGCTCACATCAAGACTCGACGTCGGATGCGTACCTTTGTAGCCAAATTGGCAAACACTCGCATCTTCTCCGCCGCAGCGCGCGAGATGAGTTGTGACCTGGACGTTGTGACAGAAGACGATGATACAAACTGGGCGTGCTGTGACTTGGACCGTGAGAAACGTGGCCTTCTAAGTCCTGATCTAAGCTGGTCATCTCGAGTCAGCACACTCTTGGATGATCCGGACTTTGACTTTGGCGACAATCTTGGAAGTCTGTCTCTAGATGGCGGCCAAAATAGAAACCAAGTGCATTCACTACATACCGATTTTGGTATGCTCCAGACCGTCGACGCAGCGAGGAGGCAGGGCCCTTCGCTCGTGCCAGTGCCGAAAACTCCGATTAGCAAAGCGCATTGGCACATGCTGATGGAGACACCGACAGATTCAATTGCTTGTGAGCTGACACGGATCGACTGGATCATGTTCAGTGCGGTTCGACCACGCGACCTGGTACGGCATGTCTCGTTGTCTCAAACGCAGAAGGCCCAGTGCAAGTCGTTGGTGCACGTCAGTCGCATGATTGATCACTTCAACCACGTTCGAGACTGGGTAGCCAACTTGATCTTACTCAGAGAAAAGGCCAAACATCGAGTTCTGATGTTGGAAAAGCTTATGCATGTCGCTCGCAAGTTGCGAGAGATGAACAACTACAATTCGTTAGGAGCATTCCTCGCCGGCGTCAGCAGTGCTGCTGTACAGCGACTCGCAGCTACTCGAGAGCTGGTGTCCCCAGAAACTGGCAAAGATTGGATGAAGTTGGAGATCTTGATGTCCCCTACAAAATCATACTCAGCTTATCGACTGGCTTGGGAAAACTCAAGCGGAGAGAGAATACCATTCCTTCCCCTGCCAATCAGAGATCTTGTCGCTGCCGCAGAAGGCAACAAGACGTACATCGGCGATGAGGTCAATGGAAGAATCAACTGGCGCAAGTTCGAAGTCATGGGAGAGACAATGGTTGGGATTCAGAGAGCTCAAGGCCTGCCTTACAGAAACTCGATGCTCGGCCCCAGGAACGATGAGTTAAGAGCCTTGATTCTGAACAGCAACATGATCAGAGACGATGAGGTAAGCAAAAGACTTGACGTATAGTGATGAACCTACAACTAACATACCACTACAGGTCCTCTATGAACGCAGCTGCTTCGTCGAGAACGCAGACAGAAGAGGACTACGCGAACTCTTCAGACGCGCGTAGTCGACCTAGTCTTCCCTTGATCTTTTTTCTAGCATTTTACTGAGCGTTTGCATATTTGGCATGGACATGAAATAATGATTTTGGTCTCGACTTTTTCAAGTCGAGCAGTTGAAGAGAGAAGAAAGCAACCTCAGGAACGACCATCAAATTCCTCGGCGAAAGGGCGTTCTATGGTGTGTAGTATTGGCGGCATGCTCAGCAGACAAAGAGCCTCGGAGTTTACCTTTACATATATATGTGTTATCTAGAATTTGTATCTGCCTCGCGGCAATTCAAGCAGTTGTCCCGTGAACGCAGTCCTTGGTGGCGACTGGTTTTACCCCATCCTAACTTCCCGCGTTCGGTTCATTCAAGTTATATCAACCATTTCCCGGATACGTCAAACACACTAGCTGGCTTGTAACAGCAGACGAAGGTACATCTGATAATCGGTTTAGTGATATGCAACTTAATCTGAGTACCCATGTGTCAATCGACAAGCGCCTGAGCATCAAAAGGCTAATTGTCCTACGATGACCTCACCACATGTCGATTTACCGGCTCCCAAGCATATAGGGCATAGATATGTGGAACACTAACTACCTTTCCAGACAATATCCTTACTGCTTTCTAATAGTACTTTAGATCCTGCTAGATTTCTAGACATTATTCTTTGCGTATCAACCTCGCTCTGTCCATTTGTTCTTCCATCATAATATAACAGCCGAGATGTCGTGGTTCAGACGAGATCCACCCAACACGATCAAGTAAGTTATGAGTGGCGACCAAATCACGAATACACAGAATTGACTCTGTAATGCAGCGCTTGGGGCCACAAATTCGTGCTCACAGACGAGCACTTGACTCTGGAACAAATGAATCCAGCAAAACACACTTGGGACTATCTGGGAGAAAAAGCATTGAATCGACTAAACGAGATATCGCCACCACCGCCACGCACAGTGCAGAAAAAGTCCGAAGGCAATGAACCATTCCCAGATGATGAAAAGCAACCTAAACCGGATGTCAAGCCTAAGAGGGATCTGTATGCGTTACTGCGTGACCATGCTGCTGAAGATGAGGTACTGCAACAACTCTGGCAGCAGGTAAATACTGTTCCGGAGTGGGTGGACTGGGAGCAGATTGCACGTGGACAGGATATCTTCTACCGATATGGTGGACCCGTGCTTACTGGACTGGCATATCAATCTCTTCTTGGTGGACTTGGTGCAGCTCGGGTGACTGAAGTGTTATCGAGAACTGGAGGCTTCGCTGTGGATGTTGCAAGAAACCGATTATTCGAAACCACACAATACCTTCTTCAATGCACAAGGTCACTGTCAGATATCCAACCTGGAGGCGAGGGATGGGCTGCCACGATACGAGTACGACTATTACACGCCACAGTACGAAACCGCATCATGAAACTAGCAGAGACACGGCCAGAATACTTTGACACGGAAAAACTAGGAGTTCCCATCAACGACATGGATTGTGTGGGTACAATCGTCAGTTTCTCAAGCGCATTAATCTACATTTCCTTGCCACGTCAAGGTATCTACCTCCGACCACAGGAAATCGAAGACTACACCGCACTGTGGAGATACATAGCCTACGTAATCGGCTGCCCAACCGATGGCCTGCTGGAAACAAAAGAACAAAGCAAACGCATCCTCGACAGCATCATGCAACACGAAATCGCACCCACCCGCACATCCCAAATCCTCGCCAACAATGTCATCAGAAGTTTACAAGACAAACCACCAGGTTATGCATCCGCAGACTTTCTAATCGCGGGAGCCAGATGGCTGAATGGCAATCAACTCTGCGATGCCCTCGCACTGCCCAGACCGAGTGTTTACTACACGGCACTCATGGCCGGCCAATGCATTTTCTTTGGCTTCTGGTGCTACACCAACCGTATGAACAAATCCACTGATCAAAAAAAGCTAGTGGTCTTGCGAGACATCTTCTGGAAAATCATCGTCAAGGGAGGGTTGAAGGGTGAAGAGACGGATTTTGATTTCAAGTATGTGCCGGAGTATAGTATCATGACTGAAATGGGTGGGGTGGAGGAAGTCAAGTTGAGCAAATCAGAGATTGAGATTGCGAGTTTGAAGTGGTTGGTCATGGGTGTTGGTGTTGTGGCAGTGGTAGGGTTTGTGGTTACCAAGGTTGGATTGTTGGGGGTAAGGATGGCGACTTGGGGGGTCAAGAGTGCTTGGAGTCTGTTGTAGACTTGTCGTAGCTCGTAGAATATGCATGTGAAGCACTTCTTCCAGAGGTCATTGGTACGAGTGATTTATCGTTGTGCCGATCTTGACATTTACCTTGGATCTACTGTGTTGATATCTCCATCGAAAAAACCTTTTGGTCGAACAAGGTGAAGACTCGGATACTCCTCGAACAAAGTCTATGGAGGATGCAGTCGTCTGCGAGTACTCGGTGTTGTTGAGATCTTTTGAACCACTAGTTGTCAACAGAGCTCAGGGTACAGATGAAATGAGTAAGGCCACAAAAGAAAGGCCATAAGGAAGATATGTCACAAGGAACATCAAGGGCGGGCCATGGACATGTACATGATAGTGTTCATAATATGTCAGAATTGAGAGGATCCGAAAGAAGAAGGCTCCATCTCAAGAAGCCTGGCAGTTCATTTGTGTCCATCGCTAGGGTATGAAGAAGCTTCAACTAGCAACTCAGCAAAGTCAATGCCATTGCCGTAAGTGATGTTTATCGTGTCGTGTCGTCAATGAGCAAAGTGCCTGAGGTATCCCATGGATTTCATGAGCTTGATTGGTGGGCGCATGAAACACTCAACGCAAGGGTGAGCGTCTCAATTGGGGCAGGTCTAAGTATCACGGTCAGAAGTCTGCCTAGAGCAGGGAGAAAGGCAGGACAGGCACATACAGCGCCGCATGAGCCGCAAGACTTTCCACTCGAAATGGCGGCACCGCACTTGGGGCAAGCTGAGTGGGACATTGCTGCTAGAGATCAGATTGGTTGATGGTGTAGTCGGGAGTGGCAGATATCGTCTGAGAAAGATGAAGAGATGGATCGCCGGAATGATGCGAAAGTTAGAACAGGAAATGAGAAGGAACGGAGTAGTGGCTGGTCAGCAGATGCACGGTGAACACTACCCCACGCACTAAACATATGCTCGCTTGCGGCGTGAGCGGGACGAGATGTGGTTGGAGGAAGTGAGGGTTGACCGCTAGTTACCTTCACCACCTGAGCTGCCTATCGTGCGATGAGAACTGAATACCTCAAAGCGGGGCCAAGGGGACTTCTGGACCTAGTGCAGATTGCTCTGTACCCCGTCACTTGTCGTGAAAAACAGTCATGTCCAGCATCATAAGCTTGAAGGCATTCCTTGATGTAAGATCACGGTAGGATTGGTCAGCGGTTAGCCAAGCACCCGACATGGAAGTGCAAATAGCCGCAAATACCACCTCTTCACGTACGAACATCGACGTGGTGAACTGTATCTTGTGTCACAAGAAGGAGTGTGTGGATCGTAAGTCAAGGTTGCTCTCTGGTAAAGGAGGAAATGAGCATATGTTAAGTTAAGATCTGGTGTGAAAGATATCAGATGCAGAGATACAGCATTGTGTGTCTCATGTTTGCAAGATCAAGAGTGATATCATCAGATTCTTCTTTTGCTTTTTCTACTGAGTTCTCTCTACTCAGTTTGTTGAATTGAGTCTACTGAAGCAGCAGTACCAAATCGTCTTTTGACTCTGGTCTTCCCTCAAATGTATATCATGCGTGAAGCCTCAAAAAGAGGCTCAGGATACCCTCCGTCCTTGTTTCGCCTTGCTACCCTGAACGCCGCCGCCAAACCGGTGAAATGCATCCTTGCTGGACTTTTTTGATGCTGCAAGAAAGGAAGAAAATATAGACCAAGTATTTGTTTGTCTACCAGCCATTCTGACCGTAAGGTGTTGCGCCATAGGGTGTGGTTCCACCGGGTACAGCGTTGCCATAAACGCTGGTGTTGCCGCCTCCGAAGCCTCCTCCGTATACTGAGCCAGCGCCGTATGCAGTCGTGTTGTTGTATGCTGTGGCAGCGCCAGTCATGTCCATCATATCCGGGCTCTGTGGTGGTTGAGCAAGATCTTGTTGGTGTGCTTGTTGGAGGTTGGGAGACAGTTCTTGAATAACAGTGGCGAGCTTTTGTTGCAGAACTTTGATGGCGGTGTGGAAGACGGTGTCTGGAGGCATGACGCCTGTTCCCTCGATATTGACGTAGAAACGATCGGGCTCTTTGTCGTAGTCGAAGACGTCGCCTTCCTGCGGCGGTTCCTCCCATTCAGCGTTCTTGCTTGCTGGCCACTCTTCCAATTTGTCGCTTTCGTACCACAGATCGGCGTGGCGCAGGGCGTTGTGAGGATCGTATTCGAATGAGATGGCGGCCGTGGGCATCCACTTTGCGTGTTCTTTTGCGATTCCCTTCTTTGCGATACAGCGTAGCTTGAGCTCTTGGTTACGGCGCAGCTTGCAGATGAGGGGACCGTTACCGTCGGGATCCATAATGACGGGAGCACCGCGCTGAGGGCCATCATTGTCGGCGTTGGGGCGGTATTGGCTGAAAGAAGCGTCGATGTAGAGATCTTTGGCAAAGACCTTGACAGTCTCGTCCGAGTTGCGGTTCACAGCACTGAGGCGCAAAACGACGGCGCAGTTTTCGCAGTACTGGTCGCAGTCACAGTCGCGTGTGTACAGCAGATCATCGATGTTCTTGGCCGAGAGCGGAATCAGGCCCAAGCGGTGGGCTAGGAACTCGTCGGCCAGTACGGACGTGTTGGACTCGACTTCAACGAGATCAATGGCCAGGGTAGGGACTTCGGCGTGCATGGTGCGGCGGACACTGTTGGCCAGGGACAGGGTGGTGTTGCTTAGGACGAATTTGGCTGAGATGGGAGTGGTCTCGCTGATGTTGATGCGCGGGCCCGAGTCATCGGCGTCCATCCCCCGGTAATCGTAGTCCATGCTGGAGGTAGTGTTGGGGTCGAAGGTTGGTGAAAGAGAAGTTGTGTGTATGAGTGGTCTCCACTGGGTGGTGGGTTGATTGATAGATGGGCGCGTGAAAGAGACGTGTTTGCTGCTTGACCAAACACAGTGAAGCGTCAGCCAAGAAGGCACCTTCACATGTCTCAAGCATTCACTCGCCTTCCTCTCGCGAAGCTCCTCATCAACCAATTATGCGCACTCACGTATGGCGCAAACAACTTACTCGCCTCTCACAGCGAGGTCAGCGCCTGCCATTTCAGCGTCCTCGCGCCTTCCACTCTGTTGCTCGACGACTTGATGCGCATCCCACTCCGGATCAGGAAACTGCCAATCTCGAATCCGCCATCTCGGAAAGTGCAACCAAGCCCGCTCCTTCCACACGTCGCGGTCGCCTAGCACAACGTCGCCCTAAAGAGGTCACTCCTTTCAGTGTCCCCGACTGGTTCTTGCGTTACAACGTTCGACTCCATGCCCCAACTGGAGATGCTACCGCCAACCAGGAATCCCGCTGTTGGACTCTGGTTGACCGCGATTCAGGCCACACTGTCCTGACCCTTCCTTTCACTGTCAACCCATCCGACCAGTCGAATGACTTCTTCACACCCACGGCACAGACGCAGATCGACGGAAACAACGATCATGTTTCCCCAGCAAAAGAGGAAGGTCATGTCCAGGATAATGTTGCTCGCGCCGTCGAGACCCACCTTTCGCCGCCGTCTACACTTAGCACTCCCGACCCACGTACACTCCTATCGCTCCAATTGCAGCTCCTTCTCCACGCCGCTTTCACGCAAACTGGTCCAGCTGCTGCGCGTTACACAAAATCAAACATCGATCTGAACACAAAGGAATTTGTCCATAAAGAGCTAGACACATATGTCCAACAGATCGCAGACTTGGTTCAAGCCGATCTAATCCATTTGGATGCAAACGATATTGCCGAACTGGCTCAGGATTACGTCGAGCGAGGGGATCCTGCTCCTGGCTCTATCTCGTCTCTGGCTTACGACACTTTCAAGGGTGCAAGAAAGCCTGAGATTCAAATAAACATCATCGACGAGACGGGCAGGGATGATGGTCAGGAAGATGGCGAATCCGAACACGCTCATGACATGCCCGAATTCGACTTGGGCAATCTTCCCATGATGGGCGGCAATATCGCCGATCTTGCGGATATGCTCAAAGGCAACGAGCAGTTTAACAAAGTTCTTTCCCGAGCTCAAAAGTCCGGTGCTCATGCTGTTGTTATGGCTGAGATGCCCAAGAGCAACAACCAATCCTCTGAGGAAGCACGCTCTCGCGCTGCCGAAATCAGTCCATGGGCTGAACTCAAACTCTCAACTCTTCTCGACACTGTCATAGACAGTGTTCAGATGAGGAAAGACATGCCTACTCAAGATGTAGCTCGCAATCTCTTCTACGAAGCCGACCCAACAACTACAGACACCAAGACTTCTTCGCTGCCTACGAAAGACAGCCTTGAGCGCTTCTTGGCCGACTTCCTTGCGAAGCGTGTCGATTCTTCTACGCAGGCTCACAAAATGGATTGGTCCTTCCAGAGTAAGTCTGCTTCGACGCAATCAAGTCCATCACCACAACGGACTATCATACACGTTCGTGATATGGATCACATTCGCAATGCACCCCAGGGAGAGAATATCATCAATCTGCTAGTGAACGCTGTGCAGCGACGGAGAAAGGACGGTGAGCAGGTCGTTATACTCGGCACAACCGCCAACTCCTCTCAAGGACCTCCACCTCCTGGTCAGGATGATGACGAACTTCATTTCAGATACTTGAGATTCCCTTCAGCGTCAACCACGGCTCAAAACGTTGCTAGCCAACTGTTGTTTGCATCACACAATCAACAAGAAATGGAACGTAGTGTAGCTGAGCCCGCGCTTCAAAGATTGTTCGAGATTAACATGCGCCATATTCACACTATGGTTCGTCATTTGGGTTTGCCTGTCTCTGACAGTTTCTTCTCGGCGAGCACTCGTGCACACCTTAATATTCCAGGGACCGCGAAGTTGGGAGACAGGACTCTACCACAAGAGGAAGTTCAGAGAATCGTCCTTTGCGCGGAGAGCTTGCGATCGCTTTACACAACCAGCCCATCTCTGGAGACCTCTCACATCGCACTTGCTGCCATGCTAGTCAACAATGTCGACAAGGCTCTCAAACCCCAGAGGAGCAATATGTTCTCTAACCCTATGATTCCTCACGCTCGTGAGCGCGGGGAATCTCAAGACGAACCTGACGCAACCAAAGAATCCGCTCCTGCTAAGCTAGATATGGAAAAATTGAAGAAGTCATGCTCCAAACATGAGACTCGTCTCTTGTCAGGAGTCGTCGATCCTGCAAGCCTCAGGACAACATTCAACGATGTGCACGCTGACCCAAATACCATCGAGTCACTCAAGACTTTGACTTCATTAACATTGCTTCGCCCTGAAGCATTTAGCTACGGTGTGCTCGCCGCCGATCGCCTACCCGGTCTTCTCCTCTACGGTCCTCCAGGTACCGGTAAGACTTTGCTCGCCAAGGCTGTGGCCAAAGAATCGTCAGCCACAGTACTCGAAGTCAGCGGCGCCCAAGTGTACGAAAAGTACGTTGGCGAGGGCGAGAAGATGGTCAATGCCGTTTTCTCTCTCGCCAAAAAGCTGTCTCCCTGCGTGGTCTTCATTGACGAGGCCGACGCCCTCTTTGGCTCTCGCGGCGGTGCCAACAACCGTACCACGCACCGCGAGATCATCAACCAATTCCTACGCGGTTGGGACGGTATGGATGACCACAGCGTATTCATGATGGTCGCCACAAACCGTCCCTTCGATCTCGACGATGCTGTACTGCGTCGTCTACCACGTCGTCTGCTAGTTGATCTCCCTCTCGCCAAAGACAGAGAAGGTATCTTGAAAATCCACTTGAAGGGCGAAACTCTAGATCCTGCCGTCTCCCTCTCCGATCTCGCCAAAAACACTCCCCTCTACTCTGGTTCCGATCTCAAGAACCTGTGCGTGGCAGCCGCCCTAGCCGCCGTCCGCGACGAAAACAACCTTCTCGAAGCTGCGCGCAAGAATGGCGACTCCGATTTCAAGTTGCCCGAACGCCGCACCCTTGCACCTTCACATTTCGAGAAGGCGCTCACAGAGATTTCGGCTTCGGTGTCTGAAGACATGGCAACGCTCGGTGCGATCAGAAAGTTTGACGAGCAGTATGGTGAGAAGAGAGCCAGGACCAAGAAACCGGGCTATGGATTTGGATTGGGAGGGAGCAGTGCTATTGACGAGACTGGCGCTAGAGTTAGACCCGATGAGCCCAGTCGATAGATTTGCGTGCCCTTTTTTTCTCAGATCCGAATAAAAGTTTTCGGTGGCAAGTGTAAGATTAGGAACGAGTGAACTTGGTAGAGAACTGTACGATACAAAGATTGCATGAATTGGCATTAGATAGACACTTTTTCGGGATATCGATATACTTTTTCCATTACTTGTCTTTCCGCCGAAGAGTACTCTCAAATCATGTCCCTCTCTATTGAAGCACGACTCGGTAGAACAGAATTCGGGAGCAGTGAACTTGCCAAGTGCACATGATACTGTGAGGCGCGATCTCGATCAAATCGCAACATACCATTGCATACATGTGAGGGTAGAAGAGCACGGAGTATCTGATTGAATGTCTTATGCAGAAGCGGTAGGCGAGAGTGCGAAAGAGCGAGGCTTTTCCGAACCGAAGGAGCCCAAGACAGACAGCTAGATTTCGGCGTTAACCATCACGTCAAGGTGAAGTGCGTTAGAAGGCAGAAGTCGTTATTATGGACCGAGGTTGATGTGACTTTGTACAAGTACGGAAAAGGAAAATAGCAGATCGATCTATCCTCCGTAGAGTGTTTTTGGTGTTGCATATAATCATATCCGCATAAAAGCCTCTTTGAGAGAACGCCATTGAACACCGCCGCCGTGATGGGTAATCACCCCCATGTTATAACCAGAGAAATCAATTGCAGTAAACAAGCGCCGATTGTTGTTGATCCCCAGTCAGTCCTCTAGTCGACAGGGGCGTGCTTGAAGAGGAACGACACGGATTCGCCGTTGTGAGTACGGCGGCAGGCTTCTGCGAGCTGTTGTTGTTGTAGTCAGTAAATTATATCTTTCTCGGGTGCTTGTTGGCAGAACTCACAGTAGGCGAGATATCAATGGTTTCGATACGGTCGCACAAAGCCTTCTTTTCCTCATGGGGAACAGTATTGGTGACGACGAGCTTGGTCAACTTGGACTTGTTGAGCTGTTCGATAGCATTGCCAGACAGAATGCCGTGGGTGACGATGGCGATGGCGCTGCTGGCTCCGTGCTCGATGACGACCTCGGCAGCCTTGCAGAGGGTACCGCAAGTATCGGCCATGTCGTCGACGATAATGGCGACCTTGCCGCGGACATCACCGACCAGGACCATACGGGAGACCTCGTTGGGACGAGCGCGTTCTTTGTGGATGAGGGCAAAGCCGAGGTCGAGACCGTCGGCGATGGAGGTAGCTCTCTTTGCGCCGCCGGCGTCGGGGGACACAATGACGCAGTCTTGGACTTTGAGGTTGTCGCGGATCCAGCGGAGGGTGCTGGGTTCAGCGTAGAGGTTGTCGACAGGGACATTGAAGAAGCCCTGGATCTGCGAGGCGTGGAGATCCATAGTGATGACATGGTTGCAGCCGGCGGTTTGAAGCATGTTAGCCATCAAACGAGCAGTGATGGGGGCACGCGATTTGTCCTTCTTGTCTTGACGAGCGTAGGGGAAGTTGGGCAGGACGGCGGTGATGCGACGGGCAGAGGCTGTCTTGCAAGCGTTGATCATGATGAGCAACTCCATGACTCCATCGTTGATGTCGCCGGGAGCGGTGGACTGCAGGACAAAGACTGCGACGTAGAGCAGTCAGTCTTGTGCCATGATTGTTCAAAGCCCTTGGTGTGTCATACCATCCTCGTCGCGGACAGACTCGCCGATACTGATGCTCGACTCGTTGTTGGAGTATTGCAGGACCATGATCTTGGCCAGCTCAATTCCCAGACTGTGGCAGACATGGTGTCAGTGGGCTTTGCGCAGCGTGGTGGGCGGTTGTGCATGCGGTGATGGATATGGCCAAAAGTTTTTTGTTTGCGCGCGCGGCGCGGGGTGCAATGATTGATGGTAGATCAGAACAAGGAAGGACCTACCGGCTCGCGACCAGCTCAGCCAGCTGAGGGTGGGAGCTGCCAGTCAGGAGCTTGATCGAGTTGGTAGCCATGTTGACCTATATGGTGTCAACTTTTTGTCGTTGCAGGAAAGCGCGATGAACAAGCCCTCTGCCAATGCGAAAGCTACAGGCGGAGCACAGAGAAGAGGCATTGCGGAGTTAGGGCTGCGCTGGCTGCTGATGGCGAAGTTCGGCCGGCTTCCGAGGGCGGTGGGTCATGCTGTGGCAGAAAGTGTTTGACCGGAGCTGTCAGCGTCGCGTGCTTCTCACTGTCAAGTGCCTTCCGTTTGCTCCGTTTGCTTGAGTTTGTCCTTCCTCTCCTCCTACAAAGGTGCGAATCTTTCACACTATCGAAAGGCACAATGACTCTCACATTGGGAACGTATCCAGAGAAAGCCGAGCGATGCCCGAACCTCAACGGATGCTGTTCTGTTCCTCGAAAACATTCTGCATTCTGATAGGTACACACAAACATACTCTCACGAACATGAAGAGGTGGCTTTTGTGTCCCAACATAGTATCCAAACAAGGTCTCCATCGTTGTTCGGTCATCTCCTCAACGCGAACCTGGGAGTATGAGACTATCGTGTCTCACTTCAAAGCCCTACATGTCTTCGTGACTCGTCCGCATCTCACGAATCTAAGTAGATCATATAGTCTTTGGTCCTGATAAATGCTCTTTCCATACCAATCTCGACGTCTTGTGCACTACTTCAGTACTAGCTAGCATTGATACCGGCAGCGAACACGTGCAAGGAGATCCAGTACGATATCGACCCGGTTGTCGAACATACAGGCGTTGCTCGAGGGCGGGCCGAGTCTGGTCGTTGACAGATTTTGAGGCAGCCTTGTACTGAGGAGCCTTGACGGACCTCTTAGGCTGTGTGATGAATGGGAGTAGGAGGACGAGACTTGGATCGGCCGGAAGATGAGCTTATATACTCGTAGCTGGAGCTGGCTACATATGCAGAAAAGGACAATCTACAGTGAAACTTTTCTGGACATGGTGGTCAAAAGTCAATGCTTAATAAATTAAACTTAATAAACTAAAAGTGTTTGTATGAAGTGATGAGTGAACACCAGGATTCAAAAAATTGAAATGAAAAGCAGCATCCATTTATGTGTAGCGTATGTAAAAGTCATGATAAATCCAAAAAAAAACGACCAACCCTTTAAATGATAACCATTTGAATGCCAACCAAGGCTAATAATTAAGATAACACCACCGAGATGTTTATGTGAAGAGCAGAAGATATACGAAATGTTTGTTGTTTGTGCCTTTTGCAAAGCAGAGTCAACTACTAAGCAGATGCTTAGAGGACGAGGGCAGCAGCAGCGACCATACCGGCGAAGCCCATACCGGCCTTGACGTTGGAGGCAGCACCAGTGTACATGGCCATCTGGGAGGTGGTAGGAGTGTACTTGGCCATGCTGGAGGTGCTGGCACCGGTGGCAGCAGCAGGGCAGTGCTCGCCGTTGCAGACAGTGACGGTCTGGACGTTGCCAGCAGGGTTGGTGAGGGTAAGAGTCTTGGTGTTGACGGCAGGGCCAGTGGTCTGAGCAGCGCAAGCAGTGCAGACCTCAACAACGACGGTGGTACCAGTAGCCTGGGGGCAAGCGTAAACAGTGGTCGAAACAGGGACCATGGCACCGCCGGTGGCAGAGTAGACAGTGGCGGTGGAGGCAGTGTAAGGGCAGCTGTTGCAGGCAATGGGAGCGGCAGGGATGACAGTGGCAGTGGGGCAGACGTAGACGGTCTCAGAGACGGGGATAACCTGTGTCACGACAGCGCCACCGTTGTTTCTGAGAGGGCAGTCGGTCACGGTAGGTGCGCACGAAGCGATGGTGACGACGTTGGTCGAGTAGATGGTTGAAGTTGCGAGGCCACCAGCAGAGATGGTGGTAGCTCCATTGCCGTTGCCGGCTCCATTGCCATTGCCGTTGGCGACACGCTGGGCGAACTGGACACCCTGAGCAGAGTAGGCAGCCTGGACATCGCTGTAGAGAGTGCAAGTACGAGCGACAGTGTCGAATGCGGTACCGACACAGGTGTTGGTAGCGTCACAGAGGTTCAAGCAGTCATCGAGGCTGGAAGGAACAGCACGTCTGGCGAGGGTGAAGTTGCCAGTGATCTCAATTTGGACGCCGAAGTGGTTAGTACTGGCCTCTGCGTTAGTCGAGATAGCCTTAGAATATCTCATAAAGAAGATACTTACTCGCACTGAATCTGGTAGGTGAAGCCAGAGTTGTCGATGTAGAGCGAAAGGTCGAGACCAGGGCAGAACTTGCCGTCAAGAGCAGGGACGGTAGAGTTGGATCCACCAACGGGAGTGGTGGAGTTGGAGCCAGGACGGCCAGCACCAGAGCTGGGGGCAGTGGTGATGGGGCGGCCAGAGGCAGCGGGAGAGGCGGTAGTGGAGTTACCGAAGTTGTACTGAGGGATGGCGGAAGCCATGCCAGAGAAGGCCAGGATGGCAGCGGCGGAGACAGCACTGAAGGAAGGCATTTTGATTTTTGGTTGGTGGTGGTGGGGAATTAGTTGGTTGGTGGTCGGGTTGGTATTAGTAAAGAGTGTGTTGTAAAGAGTGGACGGCTAAGCCAAAGACAGGAAAGATGCTGCTGAAGGAAGCTGTTGCTGTTGTTGGATGATGAGACTACAATCAGAGATGGACAACGGTATATATAGGCCTTTGTTCAAGGACAGAGTGTCATTGACTCGTTGTTTGTTAATTCGCCTCCCCAAGGCGTTGTACCTGTCGAGTGGATCTTAATTTTCCATCACGAGGATCCTCCTGCACGACAGTCAGTGAGAATGGATTAGCGATATGATTGTGCGTCAGAACTGTTGTCGTTGAGTTGGAGATAAGATTACTTGCTACCACAGAATAGCAGAAACCGGTAGCCAGACAACAAGACCGGTAAGGGGGGGCGGCTTGATGAGGGAAGCTTGACAGAAGACGTTTAGAACGGCCAATTGCCATCATGCATGTCCGCTGTATGCATGCACGCACATCGAAGATGGTGGAGATAGCATACAAAGGAGAGAACAGTCCAGTTCCTCACGTGTCGACGGTATCGTAGATCAACATCGCCAAGGATAGCATCGCGACGACCAGAATCTCTATGACCGACTTTGCCATGTTGAATGGAGGACTGGTAGCAGCTGTTGCAAGTTCTAGGGAACCCGTTGAAAGTTATGGCAAGAAACTCGCGGGATGGCTAATCAAACACACTTGGTCACCACAACATGGTTGAGGTTAGAGTATAGGCATGCTCCGAATCATTATGGCTTTCGTGGAGCAACGTCTGGGTAGTCTAATTACGGTGACCCCAATTGGTATGCTTTATTCAACTGTCAGTCGCTTGTCGGAGAAATGAAGCAACTTTTGCTGTGGCAGCGGTTTCTCCCCTGGGCGCACGGTCGTCGCGGAGGATGCAAAGCCTGGCCAAGGGGGGAAGGAGAGGAACAAGGGGTCCATGGCAACATGCCGCTACCATCGATCGAAGAACTCGATGGACTGAAAGCAAAACAATTGCAGTGCACACGAGAGAATCAGATGCCCCAGCTTTGCGAGAATCCAGAGGACTACGATTGCTCTTGATGGGGAATGGACTGAGGTCGGCGTCCGGGACTCTTCGGGCGCGCACGGTGTGCGGCAAACTCTGAAGCTCCCTTGGACGTCCATCCTTGGCTTCCAGAAAGGACGGCCGCACCAATCGGCATCTAGGACACAACCTTCGTGCATACAATTCTTTCGTCCTTGATATCGTGACCACTGCAACTACGTAGACCGTGTGTAACCGACAATGGATTACTTCGACTTTGAGTCAGCTATGCGACGACCAGACCAACCTCCGGTCAATCCGGTCTCGGCGAATCAGTTGGTCTTTCTCTTCCTGTTACGAGAGAATTTGCACTGATGCGAACAACCAGTCATCCGGGACTGCCATCAGAAGAGCTAGAGAACCAATCGAATCAACTGGTTTCACAAGCTCCTGTACAATATGAGACGAATAATCACCTATGGATGCCTGAGAACTACGCACCTCTAAGCGGCGTAGGATCATGGGAGAATTCTATGGAAGCCGCATCGAGTCCGTATTTTCCGAATGCCATGGACATGTCAGCATATCATTCGCCCACCATGCAAGACTACCAGGGATCTTATGTGGACTCACCTGCGGTCACACCTGGAACTGCCTATGGACAGCCTTTGTCTACAGGGCCAGAATCTCCTTATCAACCCCAATCTACCAATGCTGCAATGACTGCAAACAGTCACGAGATGCAAAACTGGTTTGCCCATTCTGTAAGACGTGACAGCAGATCCAAGAAGGGATTTCCACGACGCAGATCCTTGTACTCGAGAAACTCTGGCGTGCCAATCTCGATCCCAAAACAGCAAAACACAGATTGGTCAGCTTTGGATCCCTTGCAACGCTGGCAGAACAGCCCACCAGAGAATGAACCGGCGTCTATAACTGCCATCAACCATGCAGTTGCTTCTACCGATCTTGATCGACATCTCGCTGTGGAGTCTGCAAGCAGCAGTAGAGTCAGTACACCTGGCATCGAACCACAAGGCTTTGGTTACGCAGCTCGCCGAATGTCGAGACCGGCCTCAATTAGCAGTCTGGAAAGTGGTACCTCGAACGGATCAGTGGACTCGATACTGTCAGGACGTTCAGGTAACTCTCGTATATCTTCGGGTTCAGTCCATCGGAAAAACACACGTGGCAAGGTCACCAAATCCCGCGCCCGAGCAGCACCTGGGAACGACGACCGACCTTTTCCATGCACGTTTTGCTGTGATACTTTCAAGAACAAATTCGATTGGTGTCGTCACGAAAAGTCGTTGCATTTCAACCCTGAGCAGTGGGTTTGCACGCCCGAAGGCGAAGTGGTCACTTGTCCATCTACCGGAGATATGCTTTGTGCATACTGTTTGGTTCCTCAGCCGAGCAAAGAGCACCTGGAAGGCCATAATTCAACTGCTTGTGCACACAAAAACGTGGAGGCCAGGAGCTTCAAGCGCAAAGATCATCTTATTCAGCACCTGAGACTCGTGCACAAATGCGAAACAATTCCCACCATCGGGGAGTGGAAGCCTCCAGAAGTCCCTGTTAAATCACGCTGTGGCTTTTGTGGCGCTGAGATGAATGATTGGAAAGCTCGAGCTGACCACTTGAGTAAGCACTTCCGAGAAGGGAAGAAGATGTTGGACTGGAGGGGTACGCATGGTTTTGAACCACATGTCGCCACTCAAGTCACAAACTCGATGCCTCCCTTCCTCATTGGCTCCGAGTCAAAAACACCGGTTCCTTTTTCTGCCACGAAGCCTGGACATTCGGAACTTCTTGCGCAAATCTCTTCGAGGGCAGCATTAAACAATGCAGCAAACTCCGGCAACGCTGTCATTGTGGATCCTTCACCATCTCCTGACAATCGGCCGGTCGAAGGCAACCAGCAGTTCAACACAGCATGGGAGGTTCTGGCCTTCCATCTTGGAAGATTCGCTCAAGAGAAGATAAAAGCGGGAGTCGTGCCTACAGACGAGATGTTCCAACAAGAATCTCGTCGGCTGTGGTTTGACAGCGATGATCCATGGAACCAGACGTTCGCTGATGACACTCAATGGATGGAGATTTTCCGACAAGAGCATGGCCTGCATGACGGCAATACTCCTGATGCTGTGTAGAAACGTCTTTCCGGGCTATATTGTTATGTTTCCGCGATGTGGCCACTGGGCAATCTTTTGAGCGGAACATGGAAGATACAGCTAGTAGGGAATATCGACAGTCAAATCACATCTTCTTGACACCATCGACCCCAACACTACTGGTCGAGGACTGGTAAACTCCATTATATCCTTCCACTTCTCCTTCCATCTGCTCCACAACGATCTGTGCCAACTTCGCATCCCTATACAAAACAACCCCACACGGATTCTTCACCTCCAACAACGCACCCATCGCACCCTCATATCCAGCATCCACAACGCCAGCCGACACACTCACACCACTCCTCCAGAGACTCGACCTCGGAAACACACTTCCCATACAATCTCTGGGTATCTTGACAGTCTCGTTGAAGTCAACCAGATAAGCGCCAGGTTGGAGAGTTATGGTGTTGGTTTTGGGGCAAAATGGTAGAATGGAGGTCTTGGCGCCTTGACGGTGAGTGTTGTCAAAATCAATTGTTGCGGGAGTTGTCCATCGAGATATGCAGCGGAGGGTTAGGTCTACTCCGCAGGGTTGTTGTTGGTGGGTTGCGTTGATGAGGTTGCGGACAATCTGGCGCTTGACGATATTTACACCGCCGATAATCATGTTGTAAATGTCTTTTCAAGTTTAATGATCAAGATGAGTATGACAGATTATGTTTGTGTGAGAAAACACCTAGTCCCTCGAGCAGGACGCGTTGGTTGCCAAGATGTGAAGCACAAGGATGATCGCGCATAAAGCTTGGTGCACAAGTAAGCGGACTCAACGGCCCGTGCACACAAAAAACAAGTCCACCAAACATTTTCTTTCGCCAACAACAAAACGATATTGTATCCGTAAGAGATCAGGAACAAAATGATCACGCCAGGGGTCGAACCTGGAATCTCTTGATTCGTAGTCAAGCGCCTTGCCATTGGGCCACGCAACCGATTATGTTTGATGGACGGATGGTACTATAACATATCCTATCACGGACCGACATAGTCAGGGGTTAACAGCTCGTCTTCGAGGGTGAAGCTGACCTCATTGATAGCGCCGAAGCAATCAGTAATTGGATTGGTGTCAGCCGAGGCAACCTTTGGTTGTTATACAGAGATAGATGCCTTACTGGCACTGGATCTGGCAGGGCAGAGTTGTCGACGTGGACTGAGGAGTATCGCCATTCCAGAGCTGCCTACATCATAAATCCTCTCTTGATCATGAGAATCCGTAAGAAGTTATGATCTTTGATCGTGGGTTTGTGTGCTTATTCGTGTTGTGGTAGCGTTTTTCGACGACAGATTCCTGTCACCCTGCCCATTATCACGTGGCACAGAAATCAATTAACGCGTCGACGTAGGAAGGCGCGTCAACCTCCGTCCAGCCTTTCCAGTTCAGTCTATTCAAAGTCGATCAAGCTCATACACAACCGCACCAACATGGCTCTCCTCGTAGACAAGCATCGCCCGCGCTCGCTGGAGTCATTGACGTATCACCATGATTTGTCTGACCGTCTGAGGTCATTGGTGAGCAGCCAGCCTCGTTCCTGAAGCGATGGCGAAGTAGGACTGACACCTTCCAGGCGCAAAGCGGAGACTTCCCGCATCTTCTGATCTACGGTCCTTCCGGAGCCGGCAAAAAGACGAGAATCACAGCAACTCTTCGCGCACTCTACGGCGCTGGTGTAGAGAAAATCAAGATCGACAGCCGAGTCTTTCAGACAACGAGCAATCGCAAGCTCGAGTTCAACATCGTCTCGTCCAACTACCATCTCGAGATAACACCTAGTGATGTGGGCAACTACGACCGTGTTGTCGTGCAAGACCTTCTCAAGGAGGTTGCTCAGACGCAGCAAGTCGACGTGGCCGCCAAACAACGCTTCAAGGTCGTCGTTATCAATGAGGCAGATCATCTCACCAGAGATGCCCAGGCTGCACTGAGAAGAACAATGGAAAAATACAGTCCCAACCTGCGCTTGATACTTCTGGCCAACAGTACGAGCAATATCATTGCTCCCATACGAAGTCGTACCTTGCTGGTCAGAGTTGCTGCACCAACTGAAGACGAGATCTGCACAGTCTTGGCTCAGGTCGGAAAGAAGGAGGGCTACACACGCTGCGAGGGTCTGGAAAAGAGAATTGCCAACGAGAGTTACCGCAACTTGCGCCGTGCTCTGCTCATGTTCGAGGCTGTCCATGCTCAGAAGTATCAATATCCTATGATAACGCCACCTTCACCTTTGCTGACTCTTCCCAGCGACCAGGTTACAGAGAAGACAGTCATTCCACCTCCAGATTGGGAAGCCCTCATCTCACAAGTTGCCGACGAGATTCTTGCCGAACGCAGCCCTGCGCGCATCCTGCACGTCCGAGCTAAGCTCTATGATCTCCTCACTCATTGCATCCCAGCCAGCACCATTCTGAAGGTAGCTTTCTTGATCTGTCCCAAGGCTCGCGCCCATGCTAATCTCCGTAGACTTTGACCTTCAAGTTAATACCAAAGATTGATGACGCTCTCAAGACCGAGATCATCAAGTGGTCGGCCTTCTACGAGCATCGCATCCAGATGGGCACGGTAAGCAAAACTCATGAGTCCAAGTTTTGTCTTTCTTTACTGATCCGCTGTAGAAATATATCTTCCATCTAGAAGCTTTCGTCGCTAAGGTCATGCGCATCGTGGAGAGGTAAGTGACTGTGGCAATCCCGTAATTTTTCCTTTCCGCTACTGACTCTAGTTCCAGTCACTTCATGGGCATGGACTTCGACGATTGAAGGTAGTCCGTATATCCGATCGGAAACAGGACCCTCTTTCGCTCGATCGGAGATGATTTTAAAGAGGAACGTCAGCCACGAAATCGCGCTTTCTCGATGATGTCCTTATACGTGACACAATCGGCATGAACAGGTAATTACAGACGCAAGCCCGACCCATGCCTCCCGACATCGCATTATTTAGACGAGTCCCCTGGCGTCTTTAGTGGCCGAGACATATGAGCGGGTATACCTTCTATTCGTCTGATTCTGGACAGTGTCACGAAACATGGCTCTTACATAGCTTAACGTAAACGCTCGTATCAATGACATGATGATCACAATCAAGATATGCGATATGATGTGACCATATTCTACAGATCTGAAGCCGTTCGTACCGAGTCCTGGGTCTGATTCAGAGAAGAATCTGGAACTCGGAAGGATTCGCTTGTACGAGAAGCCTCAAGCAATAGGCAAGCGCCACCGAAGATGGCGTCTGCTTGGAGGTGATCTGAAGAGGCTTGCCCTTATCTGATGCATCCTTTGTCGTCGTAATTCACCAAGTACGCGACTCAGGGTCCTGCTTGCCGAAGAAGGAGTCCGGTACGCGAAGTGGTTTGCATATTACTTGGGACTCTTGCATGCCAGAATTGCGACCATACGTGCGAATGCATCAGCGTTGAGTTGATGCTGCTGCCGGCCGAGCGCACATACGGATCTTCAGTGCTTCTCGGGAGCTGAGAACCGAGAAGATGAAACATCTGATACCTGGGCGCCGGTACGCACGATAGGGCTGCTTGTTTGCCAGGCTTTCGTTTTCAGCTTCGAGGCTCCGGAAGATGGAGCTGCTCTGCCGTGCTTATCTCATTCCCTGCAATCAATGAGACACACATCCCGCAGGGTCTCAATGTCTTCTCCTGCCACGTGTTGGATCGCCTTTGTGAAGTCATGATTGGCACGAAAGGACCTCGTAAGCTCGCCTAAGCATGTGATAGGCGTTTCGGTGAGCCTCTCGAATAGCCCTAGCATAAACTCAATTGGCGAAAGAACTACATCCTTCACGCTTCACCATCTCCACCACGCTCCAATCCACATGGCGGCGGCTTTGGTAAGGGCACGTTCCAGCTGCCATTGGTGTTAGTTCGGTGGGCTTGGGGTCCGTCCGAGGTGCTCCGGCACGTACTTGTAGGATTGAGTCCCCAGAGCGTGCCATTGATCTGCTCGTGTATACACAATCCACACGACGCAAAAACATGGTCAATCTACCTCTATAACCATTTTTAAGGGTTCGAAACTAGCATGATCTCTCCGCAAGAGCGCTCGACCTAACTCCAGGTTCTTTTTAAGCATATTTACAACTCCCGCTGTCACTGTATGAGCTTGGTCCCTGGGAGACAAATTTCTTACCTAACCACCACCGGAGGACGCCGACAGCCTCCATACAACCCATCAAATCATGGGCGCTTTCCCTATAGAGTTCCAACATGACCTGGAGAAAGAGTCCTGGGCATTGTACGCACTGGGCATAGTGGTTATTGCTCTCCGCATGTTCGTCTCTCCTGTCAGTTCTGCTTAGATCAATGCTTATTGTTTGTGGTGCAGCTACGCCAGAGCCAGGAAGCTTGGTATCCGGCATCTGGAATTCGATGACTATCTCATTCTGGTGGCAGCCGTCTTTTACACGATCCTTATATTGACGTTGAATCTTACGGCACAAGGCGGTGGTACCGCGCTTGCTATGCCAGGAGAAGATGTATCTGCACTCACACCAGAACAAGTCAAGGTCAGGCAAAAGGGAGCCAAGATTGATCTTGTAGCTGAACAAGCCATGTTGAATGTCATCTGGCTCCTGAAGGTATGCACTTTGAAGCTATACAGCCGTCTGACGTAAGCATTCTCGAGCCTCAGCTCTAAGCTTTTGTATTGACGATATGCCAGGATGGGATTGAGACAACAAATAGCAGTCAAGATTCTTGCCATCTACGTCGCAATCGGCTACGTAGCATGTCAAGTCGCCTACTTCGCGGAATGTACACCTTTCTCGCAATATTGGCAGATCGCTCCATCTCCGCCTCTGAACTGCATGGTTCTCTATGACTATGCCATCGTTCAGGCAACCTTCAACATTTCGTCCGACCTTTTCATGCTCATCATCCCTTTCCCACTCATCATGCAAGTATCGATAGGAGTTAAACAAAAGATCATCCTTCTGGTCAGTACTCTTCCGAAGCAATGACATAATCATACACTGACACGCTTGCAGTGCATCTTCTCAATGGGCATCTTCGTCATCATTGCAGCCACCCTCACCAAAGCCGAATTCTTCCGCTCCGTCTACGCAGAGGACTACATGTTCTGGTACACTCGAGAAGCCTCTGTAGCCTTCTACGTTGCCAACCTGCCTTGCATATGGCCACTTCTCCGCGAAGCCCTCCCAGCACTCAAGAGCTGGACTCCGGGTTTCATCAGCAGCTCAGCCTACAAACGGCGCGGCGCCAGCACTACAGGGCTCACAGCACGCACACGCACACGCAACACTGCAAAAAGCAATCTAGGGCTCTCGAGACGATCGATGGATGATTTCCACGCCATCATGGAGCCGACGCGACCGAAAGAGGCAAAGACAACGACGAATGTGCATACAAGGGAGATACAGCATTACAGCCATCATATACGGAGTACAAATCGGGGGAGTAGTAGCGAGTCGAGTGTGGACGATCTGCCTTTGCATGGCATTATGCAGTCGACGACGATCGAGATGTCGGTCATGGCTTCTGAGCGTAAAGAAGAGGATCGTGACGATGCTTCTCAGTCTTCGACGAGGGCGTTTGCGCGCGATCATGATGTTGAGCTTGGGTTTCCTCATGCGCGTTGAGATTTTTATGATGTCTGGCTTGCACCTTTTTCTCTTTCCCCTTCTTGCGTCCCCACAGAGACGGGCTTACAGTACTTTGGTGTCAGAGACAGTACGAGCAACAGCAATAGTTCTGGTTCTCGACAAGGATCCAGTCCATCTCAACTTACTTGTAAAGATAGATATATACCCTTCTCTTTTCCTTTCTGTTCTCCTTCATGTATATATGTAAGTACTTTTTACCTTACCGAGGACGATAAAAAAACTCCAATTCACAAGCACCATCTAGTTATTTCGCAACTCGGGACTTCAAGAAACAAGCGGCAGAAAGCAAGGATCGATCCTTGGATCTAATCACGTACTTCGTATTTCTGACTCCATACCACTCGTCCAGGCAGCAGGCGAGAAGTGAATACTAGCTTACACGAGCGTAGTTTGGGTTTGTTTCTCGAAATTCAGCTTCGATGTGCGCAATACATCCTTCGGACTCCCCTGCGTTATAAAGATCGATAGCTGTGTGTGTCTAACTCAGAGAACCAGGGCATGACGATGCAAAGTTGTGGATAGAAGGCAAAGATTGTAGATGCAAGGCAAAGATCACAGATGCGCGTTGTGTTTGTCAGTGGTGGAAGCGGTGGAAATAGGCTATGTGCAATCGCTATTGTTATTCACTGGGCATGTGCTACCTCTGCATGTCTTCACTTTGTTCGCGCGTACGTGGTAGCTTGTGACTCCCTTCCTATCTTTCTATTCTGCAGCACATGTGGAAATTGAACAGCATCGAATAACTTGAGGACGATGTTATCATAAAAAGGTGGTATTTCACATCAGAAATCTACAGCTATATACAAAGAATGGAGCTTTTTCAAAACTCGGATATCATCTCAAACCAAAACCCATCATAAACCCTTTTTGGAGGAGGAAAAGAACGAAGAACAGCAAAAAAACAAGAGAAGCAAAAAGACGGCAACATCTACCTGCCAATGAACTTGAGCTCAAGAGGTCTCAAGAACAGATATGATGTGAAGCCAAAGGCAAAGCCGAGCGCACTGCCAACATCACCACCGAAAGGAGCTTCGCCAGCGTGAAGAGCAATGGGGCCGACGAACCAGGTCTGCGACATACCACAAACCATACCAGCGACACCGAAGCAGAAAGCAAAGACTGCGGCAATGCCGATGGCAAGGTTCTTGGGCTTGTCGTAGTTGGAGATGATGTAAGCGTCAAGAGATCTCTTGAAGACAAAGTGATCTGCGAATGCAACACCGGTGTAGATGGCGAGCCAGTATCCGATGAAGTTCATGAAGTTCTCGAGTACAGCTTCGAAGTGGCTGTATCCGGGGATGGCAATAGCAATGTATGCACCAGTGGCAATGGCAGTGAGGACAAAGCGAGGAAGGCGCTGGATCCACTTGCCAAAGACCTGGACGGTAAGACCGACCGAGTAAATGTTGGGGCAGTTGTTGGCGATGATGGAAAGAGCGAGAATGACAAGGCAGAACTTTCCAAATCCGCCAAGGTGAGTGACCAAAACAGCACCGAGGAGACCACCAGTGCTTGACTTTTCGTAGCCGGCCTGGTAGATGTTGTTTCCGCCGTTGATCGTGGTTGCAGTCATGACAGCCAAACCGAGCATCTGAGTGAACAGAAGAGGGAAGAGCAGACCGACGAAAGTGAAGAGGAAGACCTTCCAGCGCTTCTGAGTGCTGGGCTGGTAGACGGTGTAATCAGCAGCGTACGAAGTCCAGCCAGTGGCAAAGCCGTAAACCGTCGATCCGAAAGAAAGCACAGCACCCAACTCGGACTGGCCGGTTTTCCAGGGGATGTTGTAGAAGTCGCCGGTTTTTGCAAAGACACCAATGGTGATCAGGAAAACGATGAAGGTGGGGATCCATGACCAGAACTCGTAAACGTGCACGATCTTGTAACCAAAGAGGGTGATGGCGAAGGTGCAGAAAGCAATGATCAGGATACCAGCCCATCCAGGAACATCATCGTTGACGGTGTTGAGGAGCTGAGCACCAACGATCGAGTTGACGGAAGACCAACCAATGCAAGCAATCACGTTGAAAATGGCGATGAGCTTCACGCCCCACCATCCGAACCAGAATCTCGAAAGGACCATCTATGTCAAAGTCAATAAACGGAAGCACCAGAGCATCGCACGTGTTACAAACCTGGCGAAGACCAAACTGAGGACCCAAGGCAGAGAAGAACGACACCGGGATAATACCAATGATGTTGAAGAAGAGAATACACAGAATACCATCGGCGAAGCCAGTTTCGAATAATGAGGGTCCGAGGATACCAATGGCGAACGATGAAACGACCATGTTTGCTGAGAGCCACTGAAGGATGTTGTCAGCAAGAGGTTCGCTGGTTCCGGCGGGTGCCTCAAGTTCTCACCATTGTCATGACGTTCAATAAGCCCTTGACACCAGTGTCGGTTCTCTCGTTCTCGGGCACGCGCTCAATACCACGCTGCTCGATGTTGAATTTGCCGGCCAGGCGCTGCATCTTGGCATAGTAACCATCGCCATATTCAAAGCTTTCCCCTGGGACGGCAGCGTCTTCGTAGGCGTAGTTCTCCGATGAAGGGACACTGCCAACGCCCGAACCCACGGGGTTCTTCTCCAGATCCTGGATATGCGACATGTTCGCTATAGTGTGTATAGGACTTCACCGAAGAAGATGGGGTAGAATCGCGCTGTTCACCGCAAAATTGCGCGAGAGGGCGAGACAGAGGGCGAACGGTCAGGTAAAGGAAATTGGGGACAGGATTTCTCTGACAAACTTGTCGGAGAGGCCCTACGGGTTATATGTGAGAGGGTGTCGCAGCTCGCCGATAGCGAGAAAAATGATTGTGTGCCCAGGGCGTCCGGCTAGATAAGTCGAAGCCGCGCCCGCCCAATTTTCGCGACAAAAACGCTCACGTTTACCCTTCCGCTTCGAGATCCTCCGTGCGTGTCTAGACACGAGCTTTGATAAGACGGCGTGGTCCGGGTCGGTCTGTAGCGATCTGGTTGTTTTGTGCTTCTTCCTGGCGGGAGGAGCCTACCTGTCTGCTGGCCTCCTGCGATAAGCCAACATGCATCCAATCACGTATTTGTCCATCAAGAACAGCTGAACAGTGAGGTGTTTCTCTGTACCGCGGGTGTCGGGGTCGTCCACATTTCTTCCCACGCGAGCACTTGCCGTCAAAAAGCATGCTGAGCGCGCGCGGCCGCCCACCAGGTCATAGCGGATCTGCAGTTTATTTTACGTATGAGGGTCTCGCTTGAACCCTAACCATACTCTTCGTGTGGACCGAAGAAGCGAACACTGTGTAGCGAAAGCACATCAATTCTCGTGTCGCATTCGATATCCTGGTCTGATATGAACACTCAGAACGATGTATGAGGTTGGAAGAATTACTGTGACAAGCAAGTCAAGCATCGAACAAGCATCCCAAGAAACGCCGCACAAGATTTTCTCGGCAAAAATAACCACTCGGCAGCACTGCAACGGCGATCTCAAAGGTCTTTTAACAGGCCTCGATACTTGCTTGCTTTGCTTTTGGAGGCTCGAGTTCACTGTTCGCCCTTCCAAAAGACTGTCTCTGTAGAATGACCACATTGTGCCTCCATGCTCGTCACATCCTCAAAACTACAACTGTTTCCATAGCATCACAAAGTCAGGCGTTCTTCATGTCAGAGCTTGGAGGAGCTTTATCTCAAGACAAATATCTCTCCTTCCTGAATCGTCGCCAAGCGAAGCCACATGTCTCCAAGCGTCCCAACCTTCCAAAATCCTTCCCGAATGTTTTTCGCTTGAACCCTGGCTTGAACAATGGAGCAACGGCCTACAGGCGCTTAATTCTTTACGAGGGGTAAAAAATGATTAAATCCATTGGCGTGGGAATGACCCTGTTCTGAAAGTACATGCTCCAACGCATCTCATAGCAACGACGACTACCACTCGATTGATGGATACTGTGGGAGCACGAGGCCCCTTCTTCCGCAATTCATGGGCGTACTGCCTTTTAGACGAGGGAGTATGTAAGCATTGCGAAGTGACGACCTTGACACTCTGGATCTGCAAAACGCCGAATCCAAGAGAATGCAAACTGCTTTCATTTTGCGACACAGAAACCGGGCTGATACGTGAACTTCAAACTTGCTAGTGAAGCACTTGGGTTGTCAGAGCGTAGACGTGGTTTCATTTTCAGATAGTAAAGAAGAGATGGTTGAAAGGTATCATTGATTTGCTATAATACAGAACAAGGGGCAATGGTCAAAAAGACAAGACAACGGAGGTAGAATGATAATTTCGAGTGAAGCATGCTGGGTTGTGCAGCCTTTGTAGGTTGCGAGATACTCCATGCATCAACAAGCAATGGACAAAATCATGTTACCAGAAGTGATCGCGAGTCATCCAGGAGCGGACGATGAGAGTATACGATGTCCAGGATTTATGACAGCAGGACGTAGATGTGAATCGAAGCGGTGTTGAGGTGGAAGCATCATTCATGTCCATGGTACAGATTGAGTACGAGTGCAGGTCAATTGGCAATCAAAAGTCCACAATCCAGATCCAGAATCATTGTTCGATGATGGAGATCAACCACGATGAATGAAGAAGAAGCATGAGCAACGAGAAGTCGTCAAAGCACGCAAAGTTTGCCACTAGATCTGTCAAAGATCCACGCTCATGTCAAGCACTCGATGATGAGGGAGGTAGGTCAAATCCAGGAGACAGAAACAGACGACATCAAGGCCAGACATGTCAAGCGCAGCGTGTCACGCATGTCTACCAGAATCGAAGAACGATATCAAGCAGACCTATAGGCAAAGGATGTAGTCGTTGGTCGTCGTCGTGTCAAGATCATGGTCATGGTCATGATGTTCCAAGCAAAGCGATCAGAACCGTCACGCGATCACGGTGTCAATGCAATGAGCCGCTCTATTGAGGCGGCATTTGGGGTTGACCTTGTCCGCCCTGGCCGTTCTGGGCAAGAGCAGCATACCCTGTTGAGAAAATACGATTAGCACGATCCCAAGAACGCGTGAGCTCAGATTGACTTACACATAGCACAGTAAGCCTGGTAGCCGCCGTAAGGAGCATACGGATCGGCCGCGTTGGGGTCAGCTGCAGGTGCCTGCTGAGGCGTAGCGGACATGCCCGACAGTGCCGAGATGGCTTGAGCAGCACCGCCCATCTGTCCATATCCTTGCTGCTGAGGCTGCTGTGAGTATTGGTTGTTACCACCACCATAGTCATTACGAGGAGCACGTTGTTCTCTTGCACCACCATTACGGTCACGTTGTTGCTGAATGATGGTTAGCAGTCTGCATATCCAAACGTTGCGGTGAGACCTACCACTGTGTCGACCTTTTCCCAGATAGCGCCCTTTGCCTCGTCGATGGCAGAGCGGCTACCTACCAAACCTATGCGGCGCTGAACGTCGGGCTGTTCAGGTTGGCCGACGTTGATTTTGCATCCCGTGGTGGCTTGCATCTCCTTGATGGTTTCACCTCCTTTGCCGATGATCATACCAACTGCCTCTGACGGCACGTAGATTTCTTCGGTAATCTTGTCGTTACCACCACGGTCGTTACCCATACCTCCACGGTAGGGGTCGAAAGGCGCAGGTCCTCGGGATTCCTGAGGAGCAGGTTGGTGTCCGGGATGGCCAGGAGGAGGACGAACATCACTCTCGACAATCTCGAGAATCATCTCCTTTGCGATGCGAGCAGCTTCGGGCGAACCGATCAGGTTGACGGGGCGCATGCCGTTGATGCTCTTGTTCTCGCTGACAATGTTGACGTGGCAGCCACTGCGCTCCTGCAAGTCGCGGATGGTCTCACCGCCGCGGCCGATGATAAGTCCGACCGTCTTATCGGGAACCATGATTTGAACGCTGTTTTCACCCTCGCGCAGAGCAGGTTGTTGATCCCTTTGTTGCATCATAGGCTGCTGAGGGCGACCCATAGGAGGGCCACGCTCTGGAGGCACACTGCCACCGTTCTCGTCCATGACGCGGAATATCTCCTGCTTTGCGATTTCGCGGGCTTGAGGAGGTCCAGAAATGGTGCATTGACGGTTGACAGCATTGGGCTCCTTGGCTGGGATGAACTGAACACGAGCGCCGCTTTCGGACTCGACGCGTCGCAGGTTCTCTCCATTGCGACCAATGATCAAACCGACAAGGGCAGACTTGACCGAGATAGTATCGCTGTCGGCAGGAGCACCGCGCGAGGTAGGGGAGCGAGGGTTGCGAGCGGCGGGACCGGGTGAGAAGTTTCCTCTTCCACCACGAGGGCCAGGAGAGTGAGATCTATCACGGTTGTTGTAGCCACGGTCTCTGCGATCGGCGTCGCGACGCTCATCACGGTAGGGGTTGAAGTTGCCACGGAAGTTGTCGCGGCGCTGAGGGGAGCGCGAGCGGGATCTGGATTGCTGGTAGGGCTGTCTGCCGGCAAGACGAGGGTCAGCGCGTGGGGGCTGCTGGTGCATCTGCTGTTGAGGACGGTTGTCGTAGGAAATGCCGCGGTCGGCAGCAATGCTCTTTGCCTTGGCTATGGCCTCTGCGATACTGACGGAGCCGGTGTTGACGGGGCGGATGGCGCTGAGGTCGACGCTGCCAGAGCTGGATGGCTGCGGTAGAGGGAAGCCGCCAAGTGAGGGGGTAGGGATCTGAGCGGGCCCGAGGTTCTGAGGGTAGCCTTGAGGCATGCCACCGGGTGGAGGGCCTTGCTGCTGGGGCTGGCCAGGATTGGAAGCAGGACGCTGAGCTGCGGGGCTTGTTAGACATAGGAACTTGTCGAGTCGAGGGTTTAGCAAGACGTACCCAGAGCGGCCAGGATGCTAGAGATATCGGCTTGACCGGCCATCGTGTCGCAACCTTCAATCGCGTCGATAGAAGAGTGTTGCGTGAAGAGTCTTGACTGTCAGGGATATGCGCGCGACAGACCGAGATGAAATTGAGCAGAAAAAAGAGCAAGTCGGTAGAGGTGAGAGAGAAGGACGAGTCGCGCAAAGGAAGAAATCGTCACTGCGCAGGACAGAAGAAGCCCAAGCCTTGGCCACGCGACCCTCGCCCCGCCAAACCCTCACTTTCTTTGTCACATCCTTGCCAGCCATGAGAATTCACACTCGACTCGGCATGATGAAGACGCCTCCATATATCTCTTTATGTCTATCGTCTCTCATGTTCCACCGTGTCGTTAATTATCAATCACCCAAAGCTTTTCCGAACCGTTCTCCTTCCACCGCTCCAAGCCTGTGCTTCAATTCGCTGCCCTCTCTGACAAGTGATTTGATATCTTCTCATAGGCCCAAGTGACGCACTCAGTCATGTTGGTTTGTACTGCCAGAGGTGCTGTGTCGATCTTCAGCTCTTGACAGAGCTCGTCCCTCAGTTGTCCCTCCACATCTCCATCCTCGAACAAGAATGCATGGTCCTTGGCGTAGTTTGCCCAAACCACAGAGTCAACGTAGCCAGGAGGGTCCTCCCAGAACCCTTCCAGAGTGACATAGCCTGTTCTGGCTTCTCGTCGCTGCTTGACTGTCTTGTGATTGGCCCGGAGGAACAGTTTGACGTCGAACAGTTCTCGGATGTGTTTCATCTCTTGTGAGAAGAGCAGAAATCCGTCGATGATGAAGACCGGCACATTGGAACTCGACTTCAGCTTTTGGTGCGCTGCATCTCTGAGTCCGGCCACCCTTTGCCTGTCCACTCCAGACTCACCCACCGCGTTCTTGTCCTCCTTGGACTCTAGGTCTGGCGGTAAGTATCCATGCGTCTTGATGAAGTCGAGAGCCTTTTCTAGCAAGTCCAAGTCAAGTGATCCGAGGCAGTCCCAGTCTTGTACCCCATCTTCGTTCACAGGTATTTCTTGATCTGTCTTGTAAAAGTCGTCTTCGTGCAGGATAAATGTGTTCGGGATTATGTCTCTGAGTAGCCGGGCGAGCGTCGTCTTTCCCGAAGACGATACACCGCTCACGCCTATCAGCACCGCCTTGTTCCCGGATGTGCTCATTGATGCCTGAAAATGTAGATGCCGAGATTCAGGTTGACAGGTCGTCGGCGGCCTCGATTGCACGAAGCTGGCTGACGCGGGCCTTGGCGCAAGCTAGGCGGCGGTTTGGAATCACAATAAACAACTTGTTCTTTCCATCAGAATGTTGTCTCGATGTTATCCTCTTGTTCCGATCCGGTGATACTTTATTGAGTGTGTAGATTGTTGTACAGTTCCACAAAAGTCAAAATCTCTCATATCAGAAGTCGGCATGGAGCAATCGCCGTTGACACGACAATCACGCCCTGAAAGTTTTGAGCCAAAGGTTGCACAGCTCTATCGCCAGCTGTTTAGGGTATGTAATATGTGTCGAGAGAAAATCCAGGTCGACACTAATTGATTGGGTAGGATCGCGACGATGAAGACAAGCCGGAGGGTTACTGGAGGGAATTCTTCCTCCTGAAGCCCGACAATGAACGCTTCGGACAGTTACTGGATGATCTGGAAGCAATAGATCTGTTACACGCTTCAGTGGGGATACTATGGCCTTTTTCCAAAAGCTCCAAGACTGACTTCTGATAGCATCATTGCGAACAATTCGTCTCTCATGCCATCACGTACGCCAGATCGGGAATCTCACCGTCAGACGAGAATGCTCTTGATGTATGCAGCCCCCTTAACATCCAAGTGCACTCTAGCTCACAGTCTAGAACTTGACAGTATTCCTGACCAAAGTGTTTTCCAAGAAGTACACCAATCCCAGCTCAGATATCATCGAAGTTCTAGCTGGACTTGATAATGTTGACACTGTCTTCAACGACCTCGTGACGGCGCTGGATAACACGATAAGCTCTGGAAAGACAGGTGCGTCATCTTACCTGACGTATCTATACATATCTCTGACTCCAGATATAGTCTGTTTCCAAAAGAAAGCTGTCCAAGTTGCCCTTTGCGTGGCCTCAGGAGCTTTCCAAACAGGACTGCTCACATACTTCACACAACGTGACTTCTTTCCCTCTCTGATGAGGGTGAGTACACCAAGATATACAACGTAGACTTCGCTGACGAAAATAGCTCATTCGCGATCTAGAGGACCCATTAGATGCAGCACAACCATTGCTTCTGGCAGGGCTCCTTGCAAATTACAACAAATTCGAAACCTACAACCCCTATCACGCTCGATTCGCAGATTTTGTCAATCACGAGACGATCGCGCAGATCTGTAAATCAATCGAAAGCACTTGTGTGTACTTGAGAGACCAATATGTTGCCATCCAAGACGATGTGCCTGAAGCCTGGAGCATTGGAGGCACGTTGAGCTACATCGGTCTCGGAGCTCTAGCCGGTGCAAAACCCGCAGTACCAGCACCCACTGAGGAAGAGATGAAGACAAAGTTTGCCGAACAGTAAGTATGTCTGGCCATCGAGAAGATGTTTCTGACCTCGTGCAGGCCGCAACCACAAGCAGGAACACTGCTCACAGTATACGACTTCGTCAGCGCCAACAAAGCATTCAGTGCAGACTTTGTCCGAGCCTATGGCGATGACAAGACGCAGAGCTCACCCTTCGCTCAATACCTCTCTTTCTGTTCTTACCTATATCAGCATGCCTATCGCTCGCGAAGGGCGACGCAATATGCCCATGTCACTTTGTTTACGATCCAGAATCTGGTCGAGGATCTGGATGTCGTGAAGAAGTTGTGCGAGACAACAGTGCCAGTGCGCCTGAGCCGTCAACGACCACCACAGCTACCTCTGGTCTCTGCAGATCGCACGCTGGCTGCGAATATCATCGATGTCATGATTGACAGCATCAACCACAATTTACGGAAGAAGCTAGATGTTGAGCTGTATATGCTAAACATTGGCATCCTCTTGCGCCTCATCACATTCCTCAGTAAAGCGAGAATACGCCTGAGTAAGTTAGATCGGATAAATCAACATGCTTTCTGGACAATCGACTAATCTTTGAACCATAGCATACCACTGGCCAGAGCTCTGGCGCTCCCTCTTATCCTTCGTCCGCTTCCTCACCGTCTACGCCGACGATCTCCGCCCTCTCTATCGCATAGACTTGCTCATCGAGACCCTAATAAACCTCCTCTCCCTATCCCTAACCTTAGGCGAAACCTTCCTGCCTGACACAGCCGCCTACGACGACATATCCTACAAGCTCGTCGAATTCGGCCCTTCCCTCCTTTCCTTCCGCGATGCCTATGGTCTACGAAAAGGCGATTCTGCAGCCGCAATGAATATCTTGGTACATGTGTCTAAACACTACAGCGATCTGATTGCAGACAAAAAGGGCAAAGCCAAGAATTTGAGTCCGAGAGATGTGCAGAGGATTATCAAAGAAGGGTATGAGACGTTGAGTATCGAGGCCAAGGAAGGCTTGGATCATTGGGATATGTATAGAGAGGCAGAACACAAAGCGCAGCTGAAGAAGATTGCAAGGACGGCTTGTGTGGATGCGAGGGCCTTGATGTCTTAAAAGCAATGCTTATATCATTATTATACACGTACTCAAGTATATCCAAGAACTGAGACGAGGCAGAAACATCGACGCCAGAATGGAACCTATGAATGCAAATGCGAACAAGTTTCTCCTCACTTGAGCTGTTGCTAGTCAACCGTATCGAAGTCTGTGCCAATGTTCAAGTCTCGTTTACCAAAGGCAGCCGACAAGCAGGTTGTACGCACCAGAGCATACGCAAAACAAGAAACAAGCAATAACAATCGCTCCCTGATTCTACCAATTCTCATCGACGATATCACTTCCGGCTATAAGGTTGTGAGCTCTGAATTGACGCTACACCCAACCACCGAATCATCGACGTTTCTTCTTTCCAAACTACACCACCATACCACCACACCACAGCCACCACCATGATGGGCGACATGCTCCGGACCACCCCTCTCTTCAACACCCTCTTCTGGACCACACTCTACATCTACATCCTCTACAAACTCACAAGAAATATTCGCTGTGTAATCTGGATCCTTGACAGCATATGGTTCAACGCTTTAAGACTCGCTCACTTCTGTATCGGCGTATTTGACTACGATGCTTGAAATCAAAGGGCTAGATCGAAGGGAAGAACGGCAAGAGAGTGGTGGTTTCAGAAGTTTTGGTTTTGTGTATGGAAGGTTTGTCCAGGCAGATTCGTGCAGACGAGCAACTGTATCTGACTGCAAGACAGCTTTCCAGCCACGACGATCGACATGTCATTCTGGTCACATTTTGAAAATGATGGACACATATCGTTACGAAGAATGGGCCGATGATAGTCTGAGTCAATCGAGGGCTACTCAAAGGCAGGTGAGTTGTTACTTCATCAACACCTGTCGCTCATCACAGTACATGAGGCGGACGAGGAAGTTTGTGTATGCTTCTGTCTGCGTCGAGCCCCGTGGTCGCGGTCTCTTGTACCGATACTGACGCTTTGCTAGATCCGCAAACAATCACGACTCTTTGATGTCACCTCCGTTGTCTGCATCAGACTGACTTCCGAGTGCAATCATGGTACGGGAATGTGAAGCGAAGGCACATGGAAAAAGAAGTATGCCTTATGCTACCAAGTTGAACAAACTCTGATGCGCCGATAGATGCAAGAAGAATCATGATGATCCGAAAGTGTGGACGAATGTCCTGCCGAGATTGATAAACTCAACCAATGATCAAACAGTGTCCACCGGAAGCTCCTATATAATGTTTGGGTGGTGATCTTCATTATGCCTCATCCAAGATTGTCGTGTCCTTTTGTGTGTATGTCCAATCACTTCATTCGATTTCATGGATTAGGGAACGTAGCTGCCAGCGCTGCCGAAGCTCTGTCCAAGATTGCTGCTATATTTTCTCGAGATTGTACGGTTTTCCATACCGATAGGAGCAGACATCTTCCTCGAAGAACGACGCGACAGGCTTTGACTACCCGATGCGCGTCTATTGCTGATTTGTGGAGGTCTCGCAATATCACGAGCGGTATCGTCAGAATCGTACTCGCGCTCGTCTTCAGAAATGGCGTCCGAAGTTATAGAGTCGGTACGGCTGAGCAGAGGACCAGGATTGCCATATTCTGCTTCTTGTTCGGTTTCCTGGGTGATATTGTCTTCGTCGTCTTCCACGTTGTCTGCATCGCCGCCAAAACCTTCGCCTTCGACGACCCAGAAAGAAGGGATGGCTGCAAGTGTTGCGATCAAGGACAGTGTCCACCATGGCAGAATGACATAACCAATCTTGACGCCAACAGTGAACGTAGATCCGCCAATCGCAGGTCCGACAGCTCGTCCGATTGCACCGACACTTGTGGCAATACCGTTCAGCGTACCGAGGATACGAAGACTGCTGGCAGAGTTTGTTAAGAGAATTGTTGAACAAGGGAAAGCGAAGGTTGAGACTGTAGGCCAGTTAGAAATATGTTTCAGAGAAGGACATCAGTGGGACAAACAGCATCCTTTGATAATCATCAACGCAAAAATAGCCACCTCTTGACTAGTCCTGTCAGGTAATAGAGCAGCAAAAGGAACACAGAAGTAGATGATTGGCATGCAGATAGCGCAAACTCGCAAGCACTTGACTACACCATACTTTCGTGCAACCGGTGGGAAGACGAGGAATTGAACGAGCATTCCAGAGATACCATAGAGCGTGAAGATGAATCCAATGCGGCCAGAATCGAGTCCGAAACCACCAGCAAACTTCAGGGGAGGCTGGAAGTCAGGATTGTTGGCAGAGTGATCTTGTACAGGATGGTGCATGAAAATGGGTATTAGTTGATCAAACGCAATGTTATGAAGAGCAAGCAAAGTATAGACAACCAGATTGATGATGGTCTGATAATTAAGTACTTCGCGGAAGCTGGGCGGAGGAAACGCTGGTTTCGATGGCGTTGTATTGGCAGCCTCTTCATCAGAACCTGAGGAAGGTGCGAACTGCGGTTTGAGAAGCGGCTCTCTTTCCGTATCGTCTTGGTTGTTGGTAAGACTAAACTTTCCTTTGACTTTTCTTACCGCCTGCTTTGTGTAGTACTTTAGTCTTAGTCCCAATTCGAGTCCGTAATCGCGTCGGTCTTTTTTCGCTGCAAGGGTTTCCTATACAAATCAGCAATTGAGAATAGATGATACTTGAGTCGTATAGCTACCTCCAAGAACAGTAATCCAATGGCAATGCCTATCACGAACAGAATCACAGCAAGCATATTCGGCAGCGCATATGGAAACCTCTCGAAAAATGCAGGATTGTCCGAGAGAGGTTGACCAGGCTTCACATGGTATGGGTTCGCCAGAGCACCTCCCAGAGTAGGCCTAGAAACAGTTAGCAGGTTTCTTATGTAAAAGTAGTAAAGTTAGTAAAGGTAGAGACAGAAGTCGGAAAGCCATGTGATGGCTCTTGACCTGTACTATCTGTGTTCCCGCCTCACGTACCCAAAGATACTGCCAATATTCCAGACTAATGGCATAACGCTGAATGCGCGAGGTTGCAGCTCTTTCCATGGAACCATTTCCGCCACAGCAGTTCGAATGATTCCAACCGTGCCATTGGCAGCTCCGGCAAGGATTCGTACAGTGATGGCCATACCCAGGCTACTGGAGAAGCCCCAGAGGAGGGATGTGATCATGGTGCAAGTCAAGGAGAACAAGATGACTGATTTTCTGCCATAGCGATCACTAGCACGTCCCCACTGCACAGCAGTCAAGAACTGGGCTAGAGGAAACATGGAAGTACAAATTCCTGCCCACCTCGCTACATCGGCTTCTGGTACTCCCAGGCTCTCGATCATTTCTGGCAGATACGGGAAAACCGATGTGAATGCTATAGGCTCTGAGATACGGCATAGTGCCTGTCGATTTGGTGTCAGTCATGGGTGTCCTTGAGATGGACCAAAACCGAACGGTTTGTACAACGCTTACTTACAAGTACGCACATCTGCTGCACTGGCAGGCGGCGCTCAGGCTGATTCTTGTTTGTTGCCATATCTATCGCTGTCTGGGGTCGGCACTGCTAGAGCACAGTCTAGAGGTCTGAGAGTGCAGAAGAAGCAGTGCCACTTCTGTCGCAGTACAAAAAAACGAGTGATGAAATTCAGATTGCACGCGACCATAAGGATTATGGTGCAAGAGACTTCGTACCATGTGAAGTCACAAGGCTCCACTGCGATACTAAAGGAGAGTGATAGGCCAAGTCATTAGCCGTCGGATATCGGCCCGGTGTTATGAGGGGTTTGAGGGCTCACCGCCTTTCAAGATTGCGGGTACATGCTCTCTGAGGCAGACAGACCACTTCGATTATGTTCTTCAGGAAAGATAATCCAAGCAGAAACTAATCAGATACAGTGACCGAGGTCGTTTGGTGAAGAGGGAATTTTGACTCTGATGGCGAGTGTGCTGCGCGAGTCTGATCCTCCCAGGACATCTCCACAATCACGCGATGTTTGCATTGAATGATAGGATTCAAAAGCGAGCACTATTCCCACCACATCGAGACCAGAAAGAACCGCTTCGTCCAGAGGAAGTTGACTCTTTTTCTTTGACTCGCTCAGAAGACGGATCTAATGGCCTCAGGCCAAGTTTTCGACCCTGTGGTCCTATTGCGGATCGCTCCACTCATCACCTGCTCCGCAACACTATCGTACTGCTGGGCACAAAATGTCTTCATTAGTATCTTCACCCGGTCAAGGAATCGGGAGAAGAGCAACACGTTACTTCCAACGTACATCGAAGACTGGTTCCATGGTTATACTGGTCAGCTGATTGCATCCTATACAACGACTATCTTGACAGCAAGTGCAAACCTTTGCTATCATCGTCGGATCCTTAACGCGCCGGACTCAGCGAAATGGTATGCTGCAGGGGCGTTCTTTGGCGCTGCTCACTTTGCGTTCGTACCTGCGGTTGCCTGGAAATTCACATCCATCATCAACAACGAGACAAAGGGAAACAGCGTCAAGGTTCTCGATGAGTGGCTCTGGGTGCATCGTTTTCGATCCCTCACGGTGGACATGCTCAGCTGGGGATGCATTCTCGTCGGAGTCTTGAAAACCGTGAAAATTTAGATGGGACCTTGCTTAGGATCAAGACAATGTTGTCAAATGGGCTGGGCAGCAAAAGAAGGCTGGTACGGATCACGGCATTGCGATCCATCTCTGGGAATATGGGCAGACAAATCGGGTTGCTGAGTGTATTCAACGACTTATTCAAGTATTGCCAAATTTGCAAAGACGTTCTTTCGTACGAGAGCCGCGACTTGGTGTATCTGCTTATATACGTCAACCGTTGCGTTCTTACGAGGCCGTAGCTTGTTGTCTCAGAAGGACGAGACATCTGACAAGGCTGAGAACATGTCATGTCTCTTGAGGTTCCTGTAAGCGCCTCGTAAGCAAACGGATCCGGTCGTATCGTGGCTTCGTTCAGTCTAGAGCCTCGGAGAACATGGAACGGCAGATTACTGCCATCACACTCAAAGACCGAAGAGGAGAGATGGCAGAGAGATCGAAATTCTTTTCACAAACTGCCAGGCATCGAGTCATGCAGATAACCCTACCAATAGCATATTCGGTCGTGATGCATTTCCACAGAAGTATACGCTTAACTTAAATTGTGGACCACAACAAGGGCTCTTTTGGAGAGTCACTTAGGGTTCATGCGGGCAGTTGAGTCATGCGTTCTATCGCAATCACCCTCTCTATCATGACAAGGGCCACGAGTAGACATCGGTGTGATAGTTCGTGCCGTATCGGTCGCAATTCACTGCCACGAGGAAGTGAAGCAGTAGAACAGCCGAACTGTAGATACGTAGTGAGCCCGTGGCAAACCTGATGCTGATATGTTGACAGAAGGAGCAGAGCCCAGGCCGTTATTGCTGGTAAACGCTGAAGCTATTAAAAACAAACGGCTTCGAACGATGAATCCTTCTGGAAGACGACACTCTCCAAGAGTCCAGGCCAGTACGGAAAAAGACCAAAGTCCGGGTCCGATTATCTCCAGGTTTATGAGAAACAAAAAGGAGGCTGGAGAGAAGAGGTTGGACGAGCATTGAGACCGGTATGCAGGGCTGCGGTAATGAGACTCCCACATAACCCCGTCGGAACATCAATGGCGATTACAAAGACATCACTCCTAGGTAAGTGGTGTATCAAGTGTTCCAGGAGTTGACATACACGTGCTGTTCGTGATATATTGCACCACGCCAGACTGCTCTCTTTGCCATGTTATATCGAGTTCTTCAGTAGGTATATCGAATTCGAAGATAGGCGTGGATTGCAGAGAGTTGGGGGCCTGGGTACCGGCTATAGCGGATATACCCCCATCCAAGACCGACCTCCGAGAAAGTCCTTTGCAACGTGCTTGCCTCTTTGATCATGTTCTCAATACTGTAAGTTCCATGGCGATGGCCGTCTAGCAGTTGCCTCGTTCGTTTGTGCTTTGACTACTGAGTAGTCACTTGCAATATCTACTGATCGCAGGCGCGACCACGACACGAAGCCGAGACTCGCATCGCGGCGAGTCAGTCCATATGGCAAAGCGGGCAGCGCCTGTATAAAAGAAAGAGCCGTTGCGACCACAAAGTGTCCATGACTCTGCTTCCACCTCATCGGTTGCACAATGTCTCCCGATCTTGTTTCTCATTCTGAGTAATGGGCCCTCCCAGTCGTCAACGTTGCAAGCCCTTGTGCCCTATTCTTGCTCGGCATAGAAGCGCTTCGTGACCGTTGAAGGCAATTGATTGCCGGAACCCACTTGCTATGACACAGTGAGTACACACGTTGATTACATCGCTATAGTCCAAACGTCGCGCTATCAAGCAAACCTGCTCATGATGGACGGTGATCAAGGAAGGAGCCGGTTTGATAGAAAAGCCCCTCGCTGCCATCTCACTTGACCAGTTACTATACGCAGTTTCCTCGAATTCGGGATCAGTTCAAGGAAGTAAAGGCTAGGTTGCCTATCTCGACGTCTCCAAACTACACTCTTTTATCCGACCTTGAGCTCTGGTAGCTTGAAGAGAACATCATGAGGTTCCTCTCTGTATTCACAGCCGCTATGCTGTCGTCACTCGCTGTTGCATCTCCCCTATCCAAAACCGAGAAAGAAGGTCTCGAATCGAGATCATGTACGTTTTTTCGAACGCCTCAGTCAGCATCAAGTTACTCATTCCATCTGCAGCTTGTGTTGTGTCTCACCTAGAAATCTTCAACGACGACATCAAATATGGCCTTCCCTTCTGTCAATTCTATATCTCAAAGTAAGCATCTTGTGATAGAACAGTTAGCCCAAGCTAACATGATATAGCACCCGCGACCGAAGCCCGTCTCCTGGTCTGACCGCGCAGCAAGTGTACGACGTTTGTCAGTGCATCATTGATGGCCAATTCCAGCCTGCAGCAAGAGTCGGCGCCGACTGGACACCGATTTCGACATTCAAGGCCGTTACCAGAACTATTGTTCAGTACTCGACAGTCACTGCAATCAGTCCTGTAACCCGCGTTGCAACAGTCACTGAGAAGCGCACCATCGTTCAGACCGTGACTGCCAAGGCTTCAAATGCTGGCGCTGGCGCTGCAAACGGTGCTCAATCCACAAAGACGATTGCTAAAACGACTGTAACCCAAAAGGTCACTGCCGCAAAGATCACCATAACTCAGAAGGTCACCATCGCAAAGACTACAGTAACTGCAAAGGGTAATCCCACGTCGACCATCAAGACTACCGTCACTTTCAAGCCTTCGACTGTCACTGTTGCCAGAACTGTTGTTCAAAAGTCAACTATGACTATCGCCAAAACAACTGTTACAGCAAATAACCAGAACGCCAAGCCAACCACGGTGTTCAGAACGACAACCATGAGTGCAGTTGCATCTCCTCAGAAGACAGTCACTGTGAAGACTACTATCACCGCTAAGGCATCTGGTTCTACGGCGGCAGCCAGCGTACCTGTCAAGACCGTGACCAGCATCAAGACATTCAATTCTCCTCAGAAGACTGTTACTGTTGCTCAAACCACAGTGACTGCTAAGGCTTCGAGCGGGGCTCAGGTCACTTCCACCAGGACAGTGACCAGCGTGAAGACTGTGACCGTCGGAGCGAGCTCAACTTCGGCCTCGCAGCCCAGCAAAGAGTCTGCCGTGGTCTCAAACACCAAGCCCATTCCTATCGCCTCGGCTGCCCCCACTAGCGCAGCAGCTTCCTCAGCATCCAACACTGCCGCAGCAACAACCACCGATCTCAGAGCGACCTGCTCTCTCCAACCCACCTCTACCCCTTCAGCCACCGTCATGGTAGGTGACACTTCTTACGAACGCTTCTACAGAGGGTGCGGTTACACCGAAGACCCCAACAACCCCGGAAACGCCTACTACGCCGACAACTTCCCCCCGGTAGTCACAAACTTCACCGAAGTGCTTACCCCCGATGAAGCGGTGCAGCAATGCGCTGAAGACGCCTTCTACCGCTTCGACGACCCTAACCAGTATCTGTCCTTTGACTTGCACTTTGTCAGCAATGGCAACGGTGGACTTGCTGGCGATGCAGGCGCGGGCTTCTGGCAGTGTGTGCAGTACTTCTCTGACCAGAGTGAGACTGACACTTCTGGTTACTTTGATATTGCCAATCCTTCTGTTAGCATTGCTTATGGTTACACTTCGGGATTGTACTCTGATGCTGCTGCCGCGGCTGCAAAGGCTAATTCTAAGAGAGATGTGGTCAAGGGAGAGAGCCACAAGTATCCTTCCACGAGAGGACAGAGACTTACATGGGGCTTCAGCAATGCCACGCATGCCGGTCATTGAGTCCGGTTGTTGTTTGGATAGATGGAATCTTTCTCCTTTCTTCTTTTATTCTCTATTTAGATCGCTAGATACCATTCACCTTCGCTTATGTTTAATGTTCATACAGATTAAAAGCTTCTTCAATTTCTGCTTCATGTCTCTCTTCATGTTCTGCTTCCTTATTTGTGGCTCATCTTTGCCATCCTTCGCTCCCCCTCGATTCTTACGCTAGGTGATATCAATGGAATCTATAAAGATGGAAGGAAAGAGCAACCCTGGAAGGAACGAATGATCTTGGAAGCATTTTACAGACAGCAGACAATGCAAGGCATGTCTGAATAGAAGAGTTGGAGACAGAAAGTTTGCAAAAACATTCATAATACCATGCATTGAAGAAACAAACAACGCCACATATCCTAGCCAACAGAAGTCCTCATACCTAAATGCTCATGAAGAAACTCTTCTCGCCCTCCTGCGGCACAACCATACTCCTCTTGACAATCGGATCCGCACAACTCAATCTGATCCTCTCCACCGTCGCCGGCGAATGCAACTCCAACACTTCCTCCTCACCCCACTGCTTCCTCGCCGCCTTCAACGCAGCTCTGATGGCAAAGAAGACTGCAGAGCCCATAAACAGCGGCGGCTCACCGACACCCCTGGACCGCTGAATCGTGCGCAAATTCTCCCAATTCACATCTTTGAGCAAGCTCACATTCATTTCCTGAGGGATGTCTCTGAATCCAGGGATCTTGTAGCTGCCCGGGCCACGGGTGAAGAGTTGACCGCTGCTGCGGTGCCAGAGTGATTCTTCCATGGTGAAGAGACCCATGCCCTGCACGAACGCGCCTTCGATTTGTCCGTAGTCTATGGCCGGGTTGATGCTGCGTCCGACGTCCATTTTGATGTCGGCGCGACGACATGTCCACTCGCCGGTCAGCGTGTCGATTTCGACTTCGGCGGAGGCAACGCCCTGTGTGAAGTAGAAGAACATTTGACCCGTGTTGGGCCCCCAGACGTAGCCGATATCTGGGGTCTTGTAGTGGCCTTGAGCAGAAAGGTTGACGCGGTCGAAGTAGGCGGCGTGAGCAAGCTCTTTCATTGTAGCTTTGGGACCGAGTTTCTCTCGGTAAGGGGCGAGGCGCTCGTTTAGTTGTGCGCAGGCGTTGTGGATGGCATAGCCGTTGAGATCTGAGGATGCTGAGGCAGCTGTAGAAGAGGTGTTTGGGACGGTGTTTGTTGCAGTCTCGGAGATGAAAACATCTTCCATGGCCACGCCGAGATCCTCGGCGGCGATGGAGATCATTTTCGTGTTGAGACCTTGACCCATTTCTGTTCCTCCGTGTGCGACGAGGACGGAACCATCGTGGTAAATGTGTACCAAGGCACCTGCCTGGTTCAAGAAGAGGGCAGTGAATGAGATACCGAATTTGGTAGGAATCATCGAGATACCGCGCTTGAAGTACTTGCTCTTCTCGTTGTAGGCGACAATCTCCTTCTTCCTCTCGACGTAGTTGGATTCTTCCTTGACTTGCTTGTACATCAAGGGCACATAGTAGTCCTCGAGCTTTTGAAGGAAGTGGGTCTTGTCGCCGGGCTGGTACAAGTTGATCTCGCGAAGATCATCCACATCCATGTTGAGTTTGTCTGCGATTTCCGACATGAATGTCTCGGTGATGAACATGCCTTGAGGACCACCAAATCCACGGAAAGCAGTGTTGGACACTGTGTTGGTCTTGGCAACGCGACCACGGACGAACACATTGGGGATCTTGTAAACGTTGTCGATGTGAGAGAGTGCACGATCGACGACTGCACCACTGAGATCCTGGCTCCAACCACCATTGTTGAACACATCTGCGTCCAAAGCTTGGAGCTTGCCATCTTTGTTAACTCCGACCTTCCAGCGAGCAAGGAAAGGATGTCTTTGACCCGAAGTCAAGATATCCTCATCGCGGTTAAGCATACAGCGAACTGGACGACCGACCTTCTTGGCAGCTGTAGCAACGATACCCGCAAGCTGGATGGAGCGAGTTTCCTTGCCACCAAACCCACCACCGAGACGCTTCACACGGCAAACAACCTTGTTCGCAGCGACTCCGGTCACTTGAGCAACATATGTCTGTGTTTCGGAAGGGTTCTGAGTACTGCTGAAAATTTCCATCTCGCCGTCTTCGGGCTTGGGAACAGCAACACAAGCGTTGGTCTCCAAGTAGAAATGCTCCTGACCACCCATACGAGCGACACCAGTGAAGACGTGGTCAGCTTCGGCAAAGGCCTTGACGACATCACCGTTCTGAATATATCTGTAGTGGTTGAAGTAACTCTCCTTGAGAATAGCCTCCTCGATGGTGAATATTGCTGGCAGTTCCTCGTAATCGACCTTGACTGCACGAGCACCAGCTTCGGCGAGTTTGGACGAGGTAGCCAGAACCATACCGATCGGCTGGCCAGCGCAGAAGACCTCGTCAACAGCAAAGAAGGTCTCGTCGCAAGTTGGCGCACCCCACCAGTTGGCTTCGGGGTTGGGCAAATCTCTGTGGTCGACCCATTCGATGACACCCGGAATCTCCAAAGCAGCCTCATAGTCCACGCCGGTAATCTTGGCATGTGCTTTGGTCGACAAGACCATATATCCGTAGAGTTCATTCTTTTGTACGGGAATGTCATCTGTGTACTGTGCTTCTCCAGTACTCTGCTTCAGAGCTGCCACATGCGGTTGCTCCTTGCCAAGAATCTTCTGTTCATAGGCTTCTCCAGCCTTGTGATCCTTTTTGCCGAACGAGATGATACGCTCAATTTCACCAAGAGCATCGTGATCAATGTTTGCATCCGTGACGGGAAGCTCAGACAAGATCTCGTGGTAGAAGCGGTAGAAGAAGCCAAGAGCCAGAGACTTGCGGTAAGTTGCCATACCACCGGGTACACCGAACCTCAAGTCAAAGTCCTTCTCCAATGCATTCATTACTGCTTCCAGAGTCTTTGGGTCTGTAAACTTTTTGCCGGTCAGAGCCTTCACTGCCTCCTTGGCGGAGATGGTGACAGGGGCCATACCGCCGTAAACCAGGCTGCAGTCTTTGACGTCGTTCGAGTCGCTCAGGATCACGCGAAGAGCAGCGTTTACAATAGCAATATCATCGTCTTTTCTCTTCGACACCTTGTATGCGCGCATGTGTTCGTTCTTCTCCTTGAAGACAGGAATTCTGATGCTTGCAATGATGGCATCCGGAGGCAGTGCAGTCAATCTGTATGCTTTGAAGAAGTCGGACATGGGGATCTCGGTAGTCTGTTCGAGCGACTTGGCAACAATGGTAGCATTTGTTGCCATGAATACGGGATTCAAGTCAGAGATAGGTGAAGCAGTAGCCAGATTTCCAGCTGGTGTACCGACGTTTCTGATCTGACGCCCGGCAAAGTACTTCAGTTGCTTGAGGATTGCTATGAAGGGCTGTCCCTTGGTGGGTCCATATCGCTCGATTGCGTCGCGGGCAATCTGCTCGAGGTCGGTCAAGACAACGTTGCCGCCAATCTCCAGGTAGTCGTCGTGAAACTCGTATTGGCGCAACTCGGCAATGTCACCAACAAACACCGAGGCGGTGTACTGCATACCCTTGAACTTGACCTCGATCTGTGTCTCTGACGAACCACCGATGATCTTCGCTGAAGGATAAACGCTCTTGATCTCGAGCAATTGTTGTAGTGTGACTGGTCTGAACCACTTCTTTTTCTTGTTGCCAAAAGCCAGCGGCTTGAGCTCATGTTTCTTCAACGCTGGAGGGAAGATGAGTTGTGTGTCTGGATTGTATTCGATGAAGCCAGGAGGCGTAAATCGCTTGATGGGTTGATCATCAACGAATTCTTTGCCGTCCTGACAGCATCCTCCCACTCTTCCGCAGCCTTTCGACGGAGGTGTGACCTTTGTAGCGTTTCCATTTGTCTTGCAGCATCCTCCCTCGGTAGAAACAGCTGACGCGTCGTCTTTGCAGCAGCCACTGCCGTTGGAGGATGACTTCTTGAAGGTCTGGGCGGCGTCGAGGATGGGTCTGTATCCTGTGCATCTACAGAGATTACCGTCGCATCCTTCTTCGATTTCGTGTTCTGTCGGTTCGGGCGTGTTTCGTAGCAGGGCATAAAGACTCTATGAAGATGTGTTAGCATCTCTAGACTGAGCAAGAACACGAGCACTCGTACCATAACTATGCCAGGCGTGCAGAAACCACACTGACTACCATTTCCTTTGGCTATTCTTTCTTGCACGGGATGTGGGTTCTTGACACTGCCAATTCCCTCGACAGTGATGACATGCTTGCCATCCACACTGACCAGAGGAGCCAGACATGCGTTGACCGAGGCATGGTATATCTTCTTTGTCGTCGGGTTGAACTGTGACACGACAACTGTGCAGGCACCGCAGCCTCCCTCGGCGCAACCGAGCTTCGTCCCTGTCAAGCCGATTCCACGAATATACTCGAGCAATGTGACTTCAGGGTCCGCTGTGTCGAGTACCACCTTTGTGCCGTTCAGGTAGAATCTCAGTGTGTCGTCGTACTCCTCGGTGATTGACGAGAGTGTACGCACTGCCGACTGCGAGACGGCAGGCTCAGGGTCGACTAATCCAGGTGCCATGTTGTACAATGATAGCTTGGTCCCAGGCTTATTTCATATATAGACCAGCAGGTGTAGAGGAGGGACGGAGAACGTGTGGCGAACAGAGAAAAGATCCTAGAGGTCTAGCTTCACAAGCATCCATAAAGCGGAAAGGTATCGAGCAATCAGACAGGAAGGCATTTGAGAGTATATGGGATTACCCTTCTGTGTCTTATCAGTGGCCGCCGCCGCCGTCCATCTTTCTGCGTATCGCAAACAACGCGGGGCACAGAAACGGTCCCTGAACCTCGCGACCCATCGAAAAACACCCTGTGGCCGAACAACCCCAGCCGTGCATCCTGTGCCACAAAGATACGGCAGTTCGCGACTCCGAGCAACGCTTGTCGATGCTTTGGTCTGGTCTCTCAAGTAATCATTCGAGTATCTGACAGTCATGTCTTCTGTGGAGTGTCGGCGGTGTCCGCCGGCCTAGATTCTTTGGAGCTATCCGCGCGGCGATATCGGTATTAGGCTTCGTGGTTAGCAAAAAACAGCTTGATATGAGCCTTTTTTGGAAACTATATATTTTCTAAAGATAAAAAGCCTCTCATCATGTGACACCAATCCCAGCACAGCTGGCTCATCTTCATTGGTCTAGTGGTCATGATTTCCGCTTGTCAAGAGTAACTTCTCGTCAAGCGCGGGAGACCAGGGTTCGATTCCCTGATGGAGAGCTTCACTTTTTGTTCTTTTGTCTGGAACACTCACACATCCACCCAAGTTGCCGCATACTCGGATGCAGAACGAGTGACTTCTGTCGGCGTTTTTGCTCTCTCGTGTGATCAAGCCTGGTTTGTATGCCGCTATAGAAATGCAAAATGATTCCAAGAGTTGGAATGGTGTCCAGAAAGATATCTCTATCTGGGGGCTCTCAGTGGGCACGAGTTCGGATCAAAGACCACTTTGCATTTCTATGGTCTGTGGTGATTGCTGATGCAGGTTTGAGATAGATCAAGACAGTGATCGAGATGAAGACGTTTCATGGGCGCGACTTCATTTCTAGAGATTATCATGCATTCACGTGGGTATAGACACGACCTAGTCAGATAGGGAGACATAATACTTCAAACGGACTGCTTTGTGCATTGTGACTACTATCTAACAAAAGACCGGCGACCGGCCGAGAGGGTATCTTTTTTGACGACCGGGCCCCCCTATCAACGAAAACGACCCACCAACCCCTTCCCAAACGCCTCCGCTATGCAACCACCCGATGCTGTACATCAAAGGAAAAACACAAAGCCGACCGACGAGCAGAGGAGCCTACTGGCCAAGAGGAACATCGACCTCCTCCTCGTAGGTCTCGTACTCGTCGGCGGCAAAGTACTTTGCCACGACCTCCTTCTCAGCACGAGCGCGCTCGGCGGAGAGCATGAAACGGACGGTGCCGTCTTTGCCACGCTCTCCGACTCTGCTGCGCGCGCCCGTGGCAGAGGTCGGGCCCATTGCAGGAGGGGAATCGGACGAGTGCTTGTTGGCGCCGTTGGCTGCGCCGTTGGCCGACTTGGGAGCGTCAACCATCTCAGTGTAGCGAGGCAGGTTAAGAGCGGTGGCCTCCTTGTTCAGAGTGATGCGGATGGCGATATAGTTGTCAATGGAGAATTGGGGGCCGACGATTGTAGCGTGGCGGTGGTGGGTGAAGAGGTCGAGCAGATCCAGTAGAGTCTCCATGATTTGGCCGCGGGTGGTTGACCATTCCTCGAGGCTGATGCCTCCAGGACCAACGATCGAGTCCATGTTGAAGTCTGTAGTCAGATTCAAGAGACGTGCGCTCAATTCAATGCAAGAAATTGCCATGGTCTGCGAGGTCTGCTTGAGGGGTGCAAAAGTGCGATAAAGGTCGATCGACATGTTATAGGCAGTTCTACCCATGGTTTCCTTGGGAAGTCCACGCTGCTTCAGAAGCTTGATGATGAGTTCTTGGGGGTGTCTGGTTCTGAAGTCAAAGCCTGCTGATTCAAGCATGAGACGCTCGATGCCGACCACAGTCTTGGATGGCTGTTCGAACATCTGAGAATCATTAGCATCAGAATCCGAAAGACTGATCGGAAAGAAACTCACAGGATCATCAGGACTCAAGTGCTCTGATGAGGACAGCTTTAGGTTCCAGGCGGCGCAAAGAACCTCGCGCGACTTCTTGAGAGTGTCCTCGATCTTGCAAGCACAAAAGAGCGCAGCAGCGGCAGCATCCTATCGAATATCAGCAAAGAGGACTCGGGGCTTCATAGACGGCTTGTCACGTACAGCCCACATGTATTCGTTGTCGGCATGGACCAGGCGGAATTTGTGATAGTAGACGACAGCAGTGTTGAAGGTGCGAACAGGTCTGGAAAGAAGACAATTTAGAGATCGTGGCAAATAAGGTGTAAAGAGACTTACAGTAGGAGAGCCTTTCTCACGCTGTCGATGTAATGCACGCCTTGAAGACGAATGCTGTCTTCCTTGTGTTCAGTTGCGCCAAGAGCATCTAAAGCACTCTGCAATTGTTGCTGGAAGATGTATGGATTGGCGACCTGGATGAAGGAAGGGTGGGGTCCGACACCATTCTCGTTAGGAGTACCACCGTTCTGAGACATTTCTCTCGAATGGCTCATGTTGCGCGATGGTGGTTCGGTGGATGCAGAGATGAAAGAGCGTGGTGGTGATGGAGTTTCGCGTGCGTTGAAGTCCGTGCGTTCGAAGCGTTCGAACCTCGAGCGCTGGCCCTCTCCTTCAGTGGTCATCACCACTCTCGGCGCCATCACGACTGGAAGCTCGTTCTCTTTGCCTTGACCCTCTTCGTCGGAGTCTTCATCGTTGAGTCCAGCTAGCCTTGAGATCTCTGCGGGTGAATAGGTCAGTAAGAGTGTGGGTTAACAAAGGTGGGCGCCGCGAACATACCATCTTCGCTGTCACTCTCGCTCATGGGAGCACTGCCAATGGAGCCTTCATGGAATCCGTCTTGGTCTTCCCAGATAGTGACAACGTCTTCCGGTCCTACAAGCAAGGGTGAGTCAAAGGACGTCTTCCAGTAAGAATGAATCAAGCTTGCGACATACCATCATAAGCTCCGGCCTCAGCTCTTGAACCATCAGAAGGGTCGTTCTGTGTTGCAACACTTGCGAATGCCTGGAGACCTGCTCGGTATTAGCGCATGTTCCGCTTGTTGGGCTGTTATCCAGTCAACAAAGACAACTTACCAAATGCCCTGGGCTGCATCTCTCCAGTAGCCCAACGCCGAGGACTACTTCTCGGACTTCCCCAAGTGCTCTGGTCAACCTCTTCATGGACATCATCCAAACTGACAGCCTCGGTCAGAGAAGCAGGAAGAACAATCTCCTGCAATGGCTGCCTGTTCCTGCGAACCGTTTGACTGCCAGAGTCATCAGGGGAACCAGGCGACTGAACAGCAAAGCCTTCGGCAAGCATAAGCTGTCTCTCTCTATGTATGTTGTGGTCGCCATTGCGATCTGGGGTGCGAGGCTGAGGGACAAAAGCTTCTTGCAACATAGGCTGCGCAGTCGAACCAGAAGGATCGACATGACGGAACTCGCACTGGATGCTGTTCAGGGGGCAGCGACCCATCTGCCACATACGACAGGTAGGTCTGTTGTTTCTGCGCCACATGGCAGAGGAGATGTCCATGTTGCTATCATCAGTCATCAGTAAGATCGTGCGCATACATAAGGCCACGGGACTGGGTCAGTCGCGCTTAACCACAGCCTCTGCTAAGACTAGGAAGATATGTTTGCTTACCTCAATGCTTTTGAGAGATCGTTGCTGGGTAAGCGTTCAAATATGGACACCCTTTTTGGTGAGCAGCTTTGATAAAAAATTCTGTGCGAGACTTCGCCAGAAAGATTGGTTGTTTTGGCTGGCTGCTTTTCTGGAAATCGTCACTTCAGACCGGTTCTAGTTGCCGTGGTTGCTACAGTGCGTGGCTGGTATAGCCCGTATTCACTCTGCAAAGCAAGCTCATGACGCGTAACCAGAGCGTGTCCTAAAGACATCTGAACTCAGACAAAAAGGCACTACATGAGATGATGAAGGTTCTGCCTCTTGCGTAGAGGGTGCACATGACACCCAAAGGGTCTATACACCTTTAGATGGTCTACAACTAGGTGCTAGAGCCTTCTGGGATATGCACCGTGGAACTAGAATCACCTTGCTATGCAAGCTACATAGCAGCCGAACGTATGTTGAAATGACCCTCTTTCATGCTGGCTGTAGAGTTGACAAGGTAAGAGGCGGGTCAAATTGAATCAACCATATGAATATATCTCTATCTTACGAGACGACATGCTTGCCTCCAACAAATGTGGGTATATGCTCTACCAATGCAATGTCCAACCCTATGCTAACGCTTTGATCCATCTCTGTCAACTCAGATATGTCTAGTCAAAGCCTCTTTGAGGACTCATCAAATGGCTTTCCACCTTGGCCAACTCCTCCTGAGAGGGAATAGCACCAAGCCAACTCTCACCACTAGAGATGTCTAGTTTTTCTTTCAACTCCTTAGTCACTTCTTTGACCTCGTCCTCAACATCCAAGTACCAACGCAAGAACTCGCCAACTTCTGTGTTCTCGTGATTGCCGTGGAGCTTCTTTGATGCATGGCGGTTGGAAGAGTAAATGTTTACATCGACGGCACTGTGACCGTGGGTGCTCCAGCCAGTCTGACTGCGCTTGCTGATGATTTCCGACATGGTCCATGGGCTCAATACAGGGTGTGCAATAAGGTGATCGATCTCCTCAGGAGTGATGTTCTTGATGCCCAGGTTGTCGTCGATGAGCTTAGTGAGATACTTGCCAAGGTCGGCGTCAGAGGACTTGGAGGTTGAGAGGTGAGAGAAGTATAGACGGGCAGTGTGCTCGGCACTGTGGGTTGCGTTGGCGAGGACACCAGGATACCAGAGATACTCAGGGTAGTTGACGTTCAGTTCTAGAGTCGTGTTAGCGAGATTCACAATCTGAAGAGGCAGGAAGAGACATACGTCTAGCAGTAGCCAAGCCGCCAGTCTCGTGGTCACTAGTCGCGACCATAAGACCTTCAGTATCGTCCTCTTCAAGGAATTCGATGACAGCCTGCATGGCTCTGTCGTAGGCAAGCACCTCATGGACTTGAGCAGCAGGATCGTTGTTGTGACCAGCATGGTCGATTCTGCTGCCCTCAATCATGACGAAGAAGCCTTGATCGCTGTCCTTGGTAGCATCCTTGAGAGCACGGAGAGCGGTCTTGGTCATCTCCTCGAGCGATGGGTACTCGCTGTCAACGTGTCGGCGATCGATCTCGAAAGGAATGTCGGTGGGTGCGAACAGTCCAAGCAACGGAAGCTTGACTGACGTGCCCAGGTTATCGAAGTCCTCGCGAGAACTAACGTAATTCCAATCGTGTTCGTCCGCCTTTTGAATCAGATCCCTGCCGTCGGCTCTGCAGCCTCCAGCAGTAGTGTTGGGCAAGAAGTGGCATCTTCCTCCACCGAGGACTAGATCGACGTTTCTACCCAGAGGGCCGTTGCCGATAAGTTGTTCCGCAATCTCGTCCTCCATCATGCGAGTTCTGACGTGCGAGACGAAGCAGGCAGGTGTAGCATCGGTGATGCGGGTTGTGACGACGAGTCCAGTGGTGTAGCCAGCTCTCTTTGCAGCCTCCATGACACTGCCGCAGGGAGAGTGATCGGGGGTGACGCTGATAGCGCCGTTGTAGGACTTGTGGCCACAGCTGAAGGCAGTGGCTCCAGCAGCGCTGTCGGTGACAAGACTGTTGCTGCTTCGCGTGCGACTGTTTCCGATCAAGAGCTTATCCAAGCCCAGAGTGTGGTCCCAGGGCAGGGCATTGACGTGTTGGTTGAAGCCGCGGGTCAGGGCCAGCGAGGTTGGACCCATGCCGTCGCTAACCATGAAGACGAGGTTTCTCTTTCCTGTGGGTCGGTCGCCATGCTTCTCGGGAGTGGTCTTTGAAGTTTGGTGCTGGTAGACAACGGCCAGGACGATGACAGCGGCGGTAGCTATGAGGCCCCAGGCGAAGAGGGCAATCTCTCGGTATCTGGCCCAGCGAGAGGCAGAGGGCTGGCGGCTTGGTCTCTGTCCGGTCAACAGAGCATCTTCTTCGGTCGCTCGCTCGTCGTTGTGTGACGACGGGCGGCGCGTCAACATAGGTTCTTGACTAGGCATCCTGTCGTATCAAAGGCAGAACGGAGAAGCCTCTCAGACGTGTCGGTCAAGGACTCGGTGGTCATTGCTGTATCGAAGGTCCCGAGCCCTCATGACCCATCTGCTATGACGCTAAATCTTGGCATATCTTCTGCATGTGAAACGCCTTATCGCCAGCATGCAGTTTCCATAGCGTTTGCTCACCTGTCGATGCAACCGTTTCCATCATGAATCCGACTTTGTCAACTCCATCATAAGCTAGAGCCAGAGTGGATCATAGTAATCATCCCAATGAGATGAAAACTGAGTATCAGAGTATCGAGACCCACAAAGGTAGGTGTTTTGATCCTTCTTCAGCTGTCGCCAACAGCATGTCGTGAAGCCATTGTCTCTGTATCCCTGTCTCCATACAAACAATACGAAGGCTTCTAAACAGGGTTTCACATGCATTCCTGAGAATCATGCTTGGCCATCATCGATATATTCCCTCGATAAGAGCATGTTCTGTTCGAGTGTCTTGCACCACCCTCATTATTTGCTCGAACTTCTAATCCACAATCTGTCGCGGATATGGCACCTCAAGATGCTCAGACACCAGTTATCAACACTTATCTCCCTAAATCCTTAACAACCCATCTACCAAAAACTCGGGATGATGACTCTTGGGGCGATGCGGTGCGCAGTCACTACAGTGCGGAAGAGAATAACGACAAGCTGCCGCTAAACATCCAAGTGCTCGAGGCAGAACGTGAAAAGAGAAAGCAAAATTACGCCCAGATTGCTCATGAGTGAGCTTTGCAGTACATTCTTCAAGGTAGCCTTGGAAGCTAATACACGCACAGCTACTACGAGTTGGCCACGCTGAACCTCGAGCTCGCATGGAACCCAAAGTTCCACTTTGCTCCGTTTTTGGATGACAAACAGTCGCTTCGAGAGGCCTTGTCTGCTCATGACCATTACCAATTCATGATCATGGGTGTTAAGCCTGGTATGCGAGGCTTAGACGCTGGTTGTGGCGTCGGTGAGCCAGCTCGTGAGTATGCAAGGTGGGCCGATGTGAGTGCCACATCTTGGTATGGGTGCTTGAATCATCTGACCCTCCTAGGTCCACATCACGGGCGTCACAATCACCGAGTATCAGGTCTATCGTGCAAACCTGCACGCTGAAAAGGAAGGTGTCTCTGACAAAGTTGAATTTGTCTGGGCAGACTTCTGTGTAAAAGATATCCTCTTGTTGTGTTCAACCATACACAACTAATACATGTGGTTCCAGAAAATGCCCTTCCCTGACAACACTTTCGACTTTGTCTATTCTCAAGAAGCGACCGTTCATGCCCCAGAACTACGTGACGTCTACGTCGAGATGTGTCGCGTGCTCAAACCCGGCGGTGTCATGAGCGTAGGCGAATGGTGCATGACTGACAAGTTCGACCCCAAGAACCCAGAACACCTGGACGTACGCCGCAGAATCGAACGCGGGGACGGCATCGCCAATATGAAGACCGTCAAGGAAGCTATTTCCGAGTTCGAGTTCGTCGGTCTCGATGTTCTGCATATGGAAGATCATGCACTCAAGGGTCTGCAAAGCCGTCCTTGGTGGGCCCCTTTGGACGGTGATGTCTCCAAAGCCTCGAATTGGAGTGATCGGATGCTGGTATTCTGTCTCAAGCCTGCAGTGTGGAGAGCTTGGAAAGCATGGGTGTGGTTCAAGATCAAGGTCGGCTTGTACAGCAAGATCGACGGGGATTCTACCTTGGAAGCGCTCAACACACAGGCACAAGCGGTTTGGGGTCTCAGAGATGGTGGTAAATACGGTAAGTTTTTTGACCTGTTCTGAATTGACAGTGTTGAATCTGGGTGAAGTCCGGTCAAACTAATCGTTCTTCAGGATCGTTCACGCCCATGTTCCAGATGTATGGAAGGAAGCCTGAGAACTGGGTTCATCCTCAGCCTGAGAAGGCAAGAGAGGCTGCAGAGAGTGTGGCAGCATCAGCAAAGGAGATTGCAGCATCAAAGGTCAAAAGCACTTGAGACGGCGGCCCAGCAGAGCCAGTGACCCGCTGACTTTCTCCTCTCTCCGACATAATTGTTTCCGTATTCTAGGAATATCACCCAGGCGAGTCGGCTTCACAGCGATGGTCATCCAGGCTTCCACTCGCTAGACTGCATCTCAGATTCCCGTCTCACAAGCCTTACTTCTTAGCAGCCAATATCCCTCGTGACACTATTTAACCGTACTCCACTTGCTTCTTATGCCGGAAACATCTGCCATGTCGTCCCCGTCTCCCTTCGAAAGATCCGATTTTCCGCAAGTCTCCACACGCCGCAAGACCCATCCCCATACAATGGCTTGCCCCACTTTTTGTGCACCCCGCACGTTTTCCGAGTCGAGGGATCCACTTTTCTATGGAGTCCCGTAACCTTGTTGTTTCTGTCAAATGTGCGATCTCCTATGTCTTGTGCTTGTTTCCTTTTGCCTGCTGGGAGATGTGAGCGAAACCCCACGGCAGTTAAGGTCATTGACGCCTCTAGGGATCCACTTTTGCGATGGGTTGACTCCACTTCCTGATGAGGGGACCGAGGAGTGCGGAATTTGGACTGCGGCTGCTACATGGACGATGATGGGCTCCACATGTGGTACCTGTCTCTGTTTCCGTACGTAGAGAGTATATAAGGTGGGATCAACGACCGTGGTCTCGCCGGCTTTTTGTAGGTTTTTGCTGTTTCCTGCATCTCGATTTTCTTCCTTCTCGTGTCATCCCTCTTCTCAATCGGCTATCCATCTTTCTACTCTGCCATCCCACCTCTTTCCTCGCTTCTGAGAGAAGAGTGTGTAAATGCTCTAGTGGCGCCACTGACTCTCCTACGGCAACCATGTCCGCCATACCCAACCTCCCAGAACAAGACCACCATCCCCTCGAAAAAGACCTAGACGCCGTTCTCGACAAGGCCATCCCTTCCACAGCCACAAAAAGGGTAGACTCACCCACCAATGCCACCACTTTTGCCTCCCCTTCCTCCTCTGCTGGCTTCGCTCTCCACGACGTCCCCATCGAGAACCTACGACCCCTGAAAGTTATTGTCGTGGGTGCAGGATACTCTGGCATCTATCACGGCATACGCATTCCAGAGCGCTTGCGCAATGTAGACTTGACCATCTACGACAAGAATGCCGGTGTGGGCGGTACGTGGTACGAGAACAGGTATCCGGGTTGTGCTTGTGATATACCATGTAAGTTTGACCCTTTTTTTTTGATCCCTGCACATCCCAACGGTCCAAATCCAGCAGAATAGGAAGGAGGGGAAAGGGAGAAGAGAGAACCAAAAAGAGAGAGAAAGAGGAAAAGGCAAAGTGGG